TCAGCACAATTTCAACAATTCACATTGGTTCCATTCAATTCTTCAAAGATTTTCGAATTTTGATCCAAAAATTAGTAAGTTTTGATAACAGACATGAAATTCTGGAATTTTAATTTGAAACTGATAAAATTTATATTTTTCTTGATTTTTTAATTGAAAATCTTGAAAAATGGATGATTTTATCAGTTACAAATTGAAATTTCAGCGGAGATGCGGAAGCTATGCCCAATTTTTGAATTTTTAGAGAAAAACTTTAAATTTTGAATAATAAATTAATTGAACCTTTTTTTCAGAACAAAAATCAACAACTCTCATTGGTTCCATTCAATTCTTCAAATATTTTCGAATTTTGATTCAAAAATTGGTAAGTTTTGATAACAGACATGAAATTCTGAATTTTAATTTGAAACTGATAAAATTTCTATTTTTCTTGATTTTTTAATTAAAAATCTTGAAAAATGGATGATTTTATCAGTTACAAATTGAAATTTCAGCGGAGATGCGGAAGCTATGCCCAATTTTTGAATTTTTAGAGAAAAACTTTAAATTTTGAATAATAAATTAATTGAACCTTTTTTTCAGAACAAAAATCAACAACTCTCATTGGTTCCATTCAATTCTTCAAATATTTTCGAATTTTGATTCAAAAATTGGTAAGTTTTGATAACAGACATGAAATTCTGGAATTTTAATTTGAAACTGATAAAATTTCTATTTTTCTTGATTTTTTTAATTAAAAATCTTGAAAAAATGGATGATTTTATCAGTTACAAATTGAAATTTCAGCGGAGATGCGGAAGCTATGCCCAATTTTTGAATTTTTAGAGAAAAACTTTAAATTTTGAATAATAAATTAATTGAACCTTTTTTTTCAGAACAAAAATCAACAACTCTCATTGGTTCCATTCAATTCTTCAAATATTTTCGAATTTTGATTCAAAAATTGGTAAGTTTTGATAACAGACATGAAATTCTGAATTTTAATTTGAAACTGATAAAATTTCTATTTTTCTTGATTTTTTAATTAAAAATCTTGAAAAATGGATGATTTTATCAGTTACAAATTGAAATTTCAGCGGAGATGCGGAAGCTATGCCCAATTTTTGAATTTTTAGAGAAAAACTTTGAATTTTGAATAATAAATTAATTGAACCTTTTTTTCAGCACAATTTCAACAATTCACATTGGTTCCATTCAATTATTCAAAGATTTTCGAGTTTTGATCCAAAAATTGGTAAGTTTTGATAACAGACATGAAATTCTGGAATTTTAATTTGAAACTGATAAAATTTATATTTTTCTTGATTTTTTAATTAAAAATCTTGAAAAATGGATGATTTTATCAGTTACAAATTGAAATTTCAGCGGAGATGCGGAAGCTATGCCCAATTTTTGAATTTTTAGAGAAAAACTTTGAATTTTGAATAATAAATTAATTGAACCTTTTTTTTCAGCACAATTTCAACAATTCACATTGGTTCCATTCAATTATTCAAAGATTTTCGAGTTTTGATCCAAAAATTGGTAAGTTTTGATAACAGACATGAAATTCTGGAATTTTAATTTGAAACTGATAAAATTTATATTTTTCTTGATTTTTTAATTGAAAATCTTGAAAAATGGATGATTTTATCAGTTACAAATTGAAATTTCAGCGGAGATGCGGAAGCTATGCCCAATTTTTGAATTTTTAGAGAAAAACTTTAAATTTTGAATAATAAATTAATTGAACCTTTTTTTTCAGAACAAAAAATCAACAACTCTCATTGGTTCAATTCAATTATTCAAAGATTTTCGAATTTTGATCCAAAAATTAGTAAGTTTTGATAACTGGCATGAAATTCTGGAATTTTAATTTGAAACTGATAAAATTTATATTTTTTCTTGATTTTTTTAATTGAAAATCTTGAAAAATGAATGATTTTATCAGTTACAAATTGAAATTTCAGCGGAGATGCGGAAGCTATGCCCAATTTTTGAATTTTTAGAGAAAAACTTTAAATTTTGAATAATAAATTAATTGAACCTTTTTTCAGAACAAAAAATCAACAACTCTCATTGGTTCCATTCAATTATTCAAATATTTTCGAATTTTGATTCAAAAATTGGTAAGTTTTGATAACAGACATGAAATTCTGGAATTTTAATTTGAAACTGATAAAATTTCTATTTTTCTTGATTTTTTAATTAAAAATCTTGAAAAATGGATGATTTTATCAGTTACAAATTGAAATTTCAGCGGAGATGCGGAAGCTATGCCCAATTTTTGAATTTTTAGAGAAAAACTTTGAATTTTGAATAATAAATTAATTGAACCTTTTTTTCAGAACAAAAATCAACAACTCTCATTGGTTCCATTCAATTCTTCAAATATTTTCGAATTTTGATTCAAAAATTGGTAAGTTTTGATAACAGACATGAAATTCTGGAATTTTAATTTGAAACTGATAAAATTTCTATTTTTCTTGATTTTTTAATTAAAAATCTTGAAAAATGGATGATTTTATCAGTTACAAATTGAAATTTCAGCGGAGATGCGGAAGCTATGCCCAATTTTTGAATTTTTAGAGAAAAACTTTGAATTTTGAATAATAAATTAATTGAACCTTTTTTTTCAGCACAATTTCAACAATTCACATTGGTTCCATTCAATTCTTCAAATATTTTTGAATTTTGATTCAAAAATTGGTAAGTTTTGATAACAGACATGAAATTCTGGAATTTTAATTTGAAACTGATAAAATTTCTATTTTTCTTGATTTTTTAATTAAAAATCTTGAAAAATGGATGATTTTATCAGTTACAAATTGAAATTTCAGCGGAGATGCGGAAGCTATGCCCAATTTTTGAATTTTTAGAGAAAAACTTTGAATTTTGAATAATAAATTAATTGAACCTTTTTTTCAGCACAATTTCAACAACTCTTATTGGTTCCATTCAATTCTTCAAAGATTTTCGAATTTTGATCCAAAAATTAGTAAGTTTTGATAACAGACATGAAATTCTGGAATTTTAATTTGAAACTGATAAAATTTATATTTTTCTTGATTTTTTAATTAAAAATCTTGAAAAATGGATGATTTTATCAGTTACAAATTGAAATTTCAGCGGAGATGCGGAAGCTATGCCCAATTTTTGAATTTTTAGAGAAAAACTTTGAATTTTGAATAATAAATTAATTGAACCTTTTTTTTCAGCACAATTTCAACAATTCACATTGGTTCCATTCAATTATTCAAAGATTTTCGAGTTTTGATCCAAAAATTGGTAAGTTTTGATAACAGAAATGAAATTCTGGAATTTTAATTTGAAACTGATAAAATTTATATTTTTCTTGATTTTTTAATTTAAAATCTTGGAAAATGGATGATTTTATCAGTTACAAATTGAAATTTCAGCGGAGATGCGGAAGCTATGCCCAATTTTTGAATTTTTAGAGAAAAACTTTGAATTTTGAATAATAAATTAATTGAACCTTTTTTCAGCACAATTTCAACAATTCACATTGGTTCCATTCAATTATTCAAAGATTTTCGAGTTTTGATCCAAAAATTGGTAAGTTTTGATAACAGACATGAAATTCTGGAATTTTAATTTGAAACTGATAAAATTTATATTTTTCTTGATTTTTTAATTAAAAATCTTGAAAAATGGATGATTTTATCAGTTACAAATTGAAATTTCAGCGGAGATGCGGAAGCTATGCCCAATTTTTGAATTTTTAGAGAAAAACTTTGAATTTTGAATAATAAATTAATTGAACCTTTTTTCAGCACAATTTCAACAATTCACATTGGTTCCATTCAATTATTCAAAGATTTTCGAGTTTTGATCCAAAAATTGGTAAGTTTTGATAACAGACATGAAATTCTGGAATTTTAATTTGAAACTGATAAAATTTATATTTTTCTTGATTTTTTAATTGAAAATCTTGAAAAATGGATGATTTTATCAGTTACAAATTGAAATTTCAGCGGAGATGCGGAAGCTATGCCCAATTTTTGAATTTTTAGAGAAAAACTTTAAATTTTGAATAATAAATTAATTGAACCTTTTTTTTCAGAACAAAAATCAACAACTCTCATTGGTTCCATTCAATTCTTCAAAGATTTTCGAGTTTTGATCCAAAAATTAGTAAGTTTTGATAACTGGCATGAAATTCTGGAATTTTAATTTGAAACTGATAAAATTTATATTTTTCTTGATTTTTTAATTGAAAATCTTGAAAAATGGATGATTTTATCAGTTACAAATTGAAATTTCAGCGGAGATGCGGAAGCTATGCCCAATTTTTGAATTTTTAGAGAAAAACTTTAAATTTTGAATAATAAATTAATTGAACCTTTTTTCAGAACAAAAATCAACAACTCTCATTGGTTCCATTCAATTCTTCAAAGATTTTCGAGTTTTGATCCAAAAATTAGTAAGTTTTGATAACTGGCATGAAATTCTGGAATTTTAATTTGAAACTGATAAAATTTATATTTTTCTTGATTTTTTAATTGAAAATCTTGAAAAATGGATGATTTTATCAGTTACAAATTGAAATTTCAGCGGAGATGCGGAAGCTATGCCCAATTTTTTGAATTTTTAGAGAAAAACTTTGAATTTTGAATAATAAATTAATTGAACCTTTTTTTTCAGCACAATTTCAACAACTCTCATTGGTTCCATTCAATTCTTCAAAGATTTTCGAGTTTTGATCCAAAAATTAGTAAGTTTTGATAACAGACATGAAATTCTGGAATTTTAATTTGAAACTGATAAAATTTCTATTTTTCTTGATTTTTTAATTAAAAATCTTGAAAAATGGATGATTTTATCAGTTACAAATTGAAATTTCAGCGGAGATGCGGAAGCTATGCCCAATTTTTGAATTTTTAGAGAAAAACTTTGAATTTTGAATAATAAATTAATTGAACCTTTTTTCAGAACAAAAATCAACAACTCTCATTGGTTCAATTCAATTATTCAAAGATTTTCGAATTTTGATCCAAAAATTAGTAAGTTTTGATAACTGACATGAAATTCTGGAATTTTAATTTGAAACTGATAAAATTTCTATTTTTCTTGATTTTTAATTAAAAATCTTGGAAAATGGTTGATTTTATCAGTTACAAATTGAAATTTCAGCTGAGATGCGGAAGCTATGCCCAATTTTTGAAGGAAACCTTACATTTTCCAGAACGCTTCCTGTCAATTCACTACGGATATTTAGCAGTTTGGAACTTCATCATCTTCCACAATTCAATTTACTCTATTTTGTAGTATTTATTTATTCCTACTTTTTGCGTAAAAGCCAATTATTCCTACTTTTTGCGTAAAAGCCAAAAAGTAGAAAATTACTGTATTTTTTTCTATAAGTCATTGCATAAAAGCCAATGACTTGTAGTTTTGTATTTCCTGTAGAATACAGTAATCACTAACTGCAGTAATCAGGGTACTGTAGATTTCGTGTCTACAATAAGATTACTGTAGTTTTTGTTTACTTTTGTCGAGTACTGTAAGAATCTATGCAAAACTACAGTTATCACCGTTTCATTTTCGAAATCCGTGTTTAAAAAAAAGTACTGTAGTCTCGATGAACAGAAATTTGAGCTGATTACTGTAGTTTTGCATAGAGTTACAGTGTTCCACGTGGCAGTTCTCAGAAATCTATAGATTTATAGCAATTTCCTACGCGATTTTTGTTGCATTCAAAAAATAGTTTATCCTAAATTACATTATCGCGACCCGTGGAAAATCCAGGAAACAAGAAAAAAGAAATATAGGATAAACTATTTTTGGAGACAATAAAAAAGCGGATCACCTAGGACCAGATGCGATTTTTTGAGAAAAATTTTGAAAGGAATTGGTGCGATTCATGGTTTTTCCTCATAAATTGCACCCTCCGGACCGATTCAAAATTTACAAAGAATTACTCGAATTACTGTTTTCGTATACTTACAGTAAGCTTACACGCAATGTTATTCTGCACGGGAAATAAATAACAAGTGTTCCCAGGAAAAATCGACTTTTAGCCAGCTTGCTACATTTTTTCCCTTATAAAAAATGTAGCAACCTGACTAAAACTCGATTTTTGTAGCAAAACTTGCTACTTTTTCCCCGAGTGGATAAAACAAAACAACAGGTGCCGTAGTTCTTGAGACAAATCTACAATAATCCAAACATAAATTTCTGCAGTTAATTATGCTAGATTACTGTAGATTCGAAGAAGTACAGAAACCGAAAAATTGAAAAAAACAGATGTACAAGTCTCGGCTTTTTAGCGAGACTTGTAGAAAAACTAAAGTGAAGTTCAAAAAAACACAAAAAGAAATTGAAAATTATAAAAATCCAGCGAGATTGATTGACACTCGACAACTTGAAAATGTTTGATGCGAACTGAAAAATAGGCATTGGCAAATTAAAATATGTTTGAATTTCGAAAAATAATTTTATGTTTTTCTCAAAAAATTCAAAAATTGGGCATAGCTTCCGCATCTCCGCTGAAATTTTAATTTGGAACTGATAAAATCATCCATTTTTCAAGATTTTCCCAAAGAAAATCAAGAAAAATAGAAATTTTATCAGTTTCAAATTAAAATTCCAGAATTTCATGCCAGTTATCAAAACTTACTAATTTTTGGATCAAAATTCGAAAATCTTTGAAGAATTGAATGGAACCAATGAGAGTTGTTGATTTTTGTTCTGAAAAAAAGGTTCAATTAATTTATTATTCAAAGTTTTTCTCTAAAAATTTAAAAATTGGGCATAGCTTCCGCATCTCCGCTGAAATTTCAATTTGTAACTGATAAAATGATCCATTTTCCAAGATTTTCAATTAAAAAATCAAGAAAAATAGAAATTTTATCAGTTTCAAATTAAAATTCCAGAATTTCATGCCAGTTATCAAAACTTACTAATTTTTGGATCAAAACTCGAAAATCTTTGAAGAATTGAATGGAACCAATGAGAGTTGTTGAAATTGTGCTGAAAAAAAGGTTCAATTAATTTATTATTCAAAATTTAAAGTTTTTGAATAAAAATTCAAAAATTGGGCATAGCTTCCGCATCTCCGCTGAAATTTCAATTTGTAACTGATAAAATCAACCATTTTCCAAGATTTTCAATTAAAAAATCAAGAAAAATAGAAATTTTATCAGTTTCAAATTAAAATTCCAGAATTTCATGCCAGTTATCAAAACTTACTAATTTTTGGATCAAAATTCGAAAATCTTTGAAGAATTGAATGGAACCAATGAGAGTTGTTGATTTTTGTTCTGAAAAAAAGGTTCAATTAATTTATTATTCAAAATTTAAAGTTTTTGAATAAAAATTCAAAAATTGGGCATAGCTTCCGCATCTCCGCTGAAATTTCAATTTGTAACTGATAAAATCAACCATTTTCCAAGATTTTCAATTAAAAAATCAAGAAAAATAGAAATTTTATCAGTTTCAAATTAAAATTCCAGAATTTCATGCCAGTTATCAAAACTTACTAATTTTTGGATCAAAATTCGAAAATCTTTGAAGAATTGAATGGAACCAATGAGAGTTGTTGATTTTTGTTCTGAAAAAAAGGTTCAATTAATTTATTATTCAAAGTTTTTCTCTAAAAATTTAAAAATTGGGCATAGCTTCCGCATCTCCGCTGAAATTTCAAATTGGAACTGATAAAATCATCCATTTTTCAAGATTTTCAATTAAAAAAATCAAGAAAAATAGAAATTTTATCAGTTTCAAATTAAAATTCCAGAATTTCATGCTAGTTTTCATAACTTACCAATTTCGAGAGCAAATATGGAACAATATTGATCGATATATTGAATCCATTTCGAATTGTTGATTTTGTTCTGAAAAATTCATAATTTTTTTTGAATAAAAATTAACAAAAAATTTTTCTGAGAGTTCAGAAAAAATTAATTTTTTTAAATAATGGTGAAAAAGTATTTTCTCCTAATTTTTGCTGATATTCAAAAATCAATAAAATTACATGACCTTTTCAGAAAACCCCGTTAATTTACAAAAATCTTGGAAAAACGAGAATATTTTTTTGAACCATGGGTTACAATTAATATTCACATTTTTGGAAAAACCTTTTTTTCAGAGAAGTTCTAATTTTTCTATGTAAAATTTCTCACCTCAAAAACATTACGAATGAAAGCTCTCAATTCCAAAAGATTGCCATAAATTCGATGCAAAAAAGTCTTGAGAAAATCGCGTTCTCTCGGATTTTTCGAATCGAACAAATCCAATAATTTCAGCACAAATCGCTGATCGATATACTTTTTGCCAAAAAAATCGGGCGATTCGAGGAATCGCAAAAAGAGCTCGTAGATGAGTTGCAAGTGTGGCCAAGAGACTTCGAGAGTTGGCTCGTCTTCTTCTGGATCGAATTCAAAGTTTTCGGATGGCGGGAAAACGCGGAAGATGTTTCGGGAGACCATTCTTTTGTTGTTGTGATATTATCGATCAATTTGTTCAGCGCTGATTATTTGATCTGAAAAAATATTTGGTTGATAACCGTTTTTGGAAAACACAGTGTTATAGAGCGAGCTCGTCGCACTGAACACGACGCTTCTAACAAGGTCCGGGTGGAGCCAAGAAACTGAGCTCACGAGCAAAGTGTGTGAAGTGTCCTGGGAGATTTTCAATGCGACGTACTTATACCATTTTGTAGAGTTTTTCACGCTGAGAAAGATCCTGTTTTGAGTTTTTGCTAAAGACAGCGAGCGACTCTCTAAAGATCCGAAAAATGAGCCAAGAATTGCGATTTTATGAGAATTCGTGTGGTTTTGAGAGCCCACAACTCATTTTAGAGAAGATTTTTTTTGTTGTTCAGAAGGGTCAATTTACCAAAATGACAAGTTTTTGGTTAGCAACTCCATATTTTTTTGGAAAAAATTTCGTGGCTCAAAAAATAGGCCTAGGTGATTGCACATTTGAAAATGTTGCCAAAATTTTTGAGTGTGGTAATATGACCCTTCTGAACATCGCCCTGAACTCAGTTTTTTTGAAAACTTCTCTAACAAGAGTTACGGGCTCTCAAAAACGCGATTTCCGGAAATTCTCAACATTTGGCTCATTTTTGGGCGCTTCAGAGCTTCAGTCGCTCAGCAAAAACTGAAAACAGGTGCCGAATACTTAAAAGTGGTATACCAAAAATTAATAAAGAAAAAATCTGGCGTTACAATATTTTTCCTCAGTGAATTTCGGTATACCATTTTATGAATTCGGCCCCAGGAACTTTCTCAGCGTAAAGAAAAACTGTACAGAAACATTAAAATCTCCGGAGACTGCTTCCATCGTCAGAAACAATTGTTGTTTCGAATAAAATGGAAACCGTGACGAATTTCGAGAGCGAAAAGACAGAGAGCTTGTTACAATTTCTGGGTGAAAACATTGAAAATCGTAAAATTCGCCACGTCATAGTTCCAGACCTGGGAATTTTTACGTTTTCGTTTTTATCGTTTTACGGTTTTTACGGGATTTCACCGTAAAATCCATTTTACGGTTTTACCGCTCAAAAAATCACTAAATATAGTTTAATTATAGTGAATTTTGACAGAATCAAATAGAAACTTCAAAAAAAACACAAAATTTTTTAAAGAAAATTTTAATTCAATCCTAACTAATTAATTATTTGACGAATATAAAGAATAATATTGTTAAAAATGTGTTGGAGTTACGATAAGTTACCAACTCGCTGTTTCTGAAGAATTTTTTTCTTTTTTTCAGTGAAAAGATTGAGTAACAAAATTTTACGTTTTTCTCGTAATTTTACGGTTTTTCAAAACCGTAAAAAGTATGTTTTACGTTTTACGGTGCCTCGTAAAAAATTCCCAGGTCTGCATAGTTCAATTTTTCAAATCCAAAATCCTTACAAATATCAGTTCCATCAATTTTTTGCTCGATTCATATCCAAATATTGATTTCCCTTCCAGTCATTTTCATCTTCTTTTGAACTCATCCAAAATAGCATAATTCAATCAGCATTCTCTCAGTCGTAAACCCCAAAACCTCTATCGATCCGTTGTTTTTCAGATGTGTCAACGATTCTGGGCCACTTCTGATTACCGACAAATCCAGACGCTCATATATTTCACTCACAAGTTGTAGGCAACTGTTGTGAGCGTTGAAAATTGAGAAGGAATTGGCAATGGTTTTCACGTCCGTCAAACGAGAATCGCCCGATACTCGGGACGATGGTCGCTTGAAATGCGACAGTTTGGCGCGAATCTGCGACAGTTTGGCGCGAATCTGCGACCAACGAGTCGCACACAAAAATAAATAAGAGCGACCCTTGTCGCGAATCTGCGCCACAGTATGCGACCAGCGTCGCAAATTCGCGCCACAATAAGCGACCAGTGTCGCGAATCTGCGCCGTAATGAGCGACCAGTGTCGCAAATCTGCGCCGTAACAAGCGAACAGTGTCGCGAATTCGCGCCGTTATAAACGTCCAGTGTCGCGAATCTGCGCAATGATGTGCTAACGTTTGTTTTTTGGCTAATAAATATCAGGTTCTTCAAAAATGAATGCTTTATTTAACATGAGTATTCATTCACATAATAAAATGGAAGGCAATTTGAATATTATAATCCAATAATTGCAAACCAATAGATAAAGTATAGAAATTCTACAAAAAATTGGGAATATTATATATTGGTTTTTGGGAGTCTTCAATTGTGATGCACGAGTGGTGGCGAGAGTTTCGTTTTGATGACGCAGTGGTGTTGATTTGATTTCTTTTTTCTTGCCAATCGTTCTTCCGATGGCCTCTGTAATTTTTAGTATTCGGTTAGAGCCTAAAAATCCCAATTTTTGGGAATTTCTAGCTAAATGTTAGAGATTGAACAAATTTGCTATTAATTCTTACAAGATGTTCAAAGCGTTTTATCAGTTTATGTAAGATTTATCTAAATTAATCCAGCCTAGTGTTTCCAATTTGACAAAGAAATGAAAAAATTACCTTGAATGTCATCATAAATATCCATATCAGTAGCAAAAGTATGTTCTGATTGTTTAATCATTACTCGGTCTCCTTCTCACTCCCGCCATCTTTATAATCAATGCCAGGAGGAATAACATTACTTTCTTGATCGAACAACAATCACAGTATCCATTCCATTTTCATAGTTTCGTGACTGAAAAATGTTCTTTATTGTTCAAAAACCGCCCATGAAATTCTTACCATTTAATATCAGCCCCAATAAACAAATCGTTTCCAAAAATTGATCGCATCACTGAAAATCAATAGATTTTTTCATGCATAAGAATATAAACGTCGGAAGAAGAAAAACGTTGAACTCATTAACCGCATACACAAAGAATTTCAAGAAAACAAACAAAAAAATCAACAAACGGCTAAAAAATCAATGATTTAAAAACCGCCCGTTTTTGTGACGTCACTGACACGCACACTCTTGTCGCAGATCTGCGCCGAGATGTGCGACGGTCGCGAAAAAAAAAATTGTGTGCGACAAAAAACACTAGACTCTCTCGATGTCGCACTCATTGGCGCAGATTCGCGACACTCATTTTTCGTCGCATTTCTGCGATTTGTTAGCGACAATTCTCCCGAGTAATCCTGACGATGTTTATTGCAGCAATCTTTTGACCTGAAAATTCCAAGTTTTGATTGAAACCCAGTTGAAATTCAAATAAAAACCTGATAAAATCAAGCGTTTTCAAGATTTTAATCAGGAAAACATTGAATTTAATCAACTTCTGACTAGAAAGTTAGAATTTAGAATTTTTCTCACTTACTTTTCTATGGTTCCTAATGAGATTTGGCCATCTAGACACTCGTTTTCCTTTGTCATAAGTTGTCTTGCAAATGGAATGATATCCAAGAAATATTTCAAACTGCTGCTAACACCAAAAATCCAATAAATGATCGATAAGTTGGAAAACGAGTGTTGAACTTGTCGGAAAACATCAAACAATCAAGGACGGGCTGAAATGATAATTATATTTATCTCAAACTTTGAAGTCCGTGTAGAAAGCTTTGAACTTTAAAAACTCACGCTCAACAGCTTGCGATAAACTTGGATTCATTGCACAACTTCTTTTGTTTCCAATCAAAACATTTTAGCCAAAAATCGAAAACTCTTCTCGTGTTAATTAGCGTAAATATTCAATCCAGATTGTTGACAAAATTGATAAGAGCATATTTTGATTATTCTCTTCCATACATTTGACACCATTCCAACTCATCATTTTGTTGTTTGAAGAATACACGCACCAGATTGTTCCTTCATTCAAGTGTTTGATTGATCATTCTCAATAAATCGATGAGCCTCAATAATTTCATGTTGATCTGATGCCTTCGACTTCACACGATCAACAATCCAATTTGCAGTTCTCCATCGTGAATTTTGTACGGCAAGCAGCCTGAACGAAAAAACATGAATTAGCAAGCAAAGGTCCAGATCGTATTTTCCCAAATGCCCCAATTTCCAATCAAATTCCTTCGCTCAAAGCAAAGTCCAAAAGAAGGTCCCGTTCTCCCATTCCACCCAAATCGGTGGCTAAAGAGCAGTTCTATATATGGGAACCTCAGGCCTTGCTCATCTCTGCTTTCCAGTCAAATCCAGGCGGTATTCCGCGGCCCACAATTTCGTGAAAAATTGTGTCCCTACCGAGGTTCCTGGTAGTGGCAGTGACTAATGCGCTCGAAATTTATCAAGCGCTGTACTAACTCCGAGCAAAAGACTAATAGAACTGCTCGGAATGGGTTTTGGGGAGTGTTTTGGATGAATTCGAAAGGAAATGGGGCTAAAACCCCCAAAAAAACTTTCATCGTGTTTCTGTGTAGAACGTCATCTCGGGCGACGCAAAAAAGAAATGACAATAAAAATCGATTTTTTGGTTGGCGCATAGAAAAAATAAAAATACGCGGGCAAGTTTTGAATTTTTTGTGTGTTGTGTGTCAAGACGCAGTTGCTGTTTTTAATGTTCCTTTGAATTCTACCGTACCTGGCAAACATTTTTTTTTGTTTTTTTTTCGTGTTTTCGTGTTTGAATGGAATTTCTTGGACTGAAATTGTTGGAGATTTCAGAAAAACTTGAACAATTTTGAAACGTGAAATTTCCTTTTTGTTACATAGTTTTGTTTTGATTTTTCATCATTGATAATTTTTTCTCTCACTGAAAAAAATATTTCTCGCACAGAACTAATGCCTTTTTGAATAAACATAGAGTGAATTTTGTTGTTTAATTCACTGCTACAAAAAATAATTGGAGGTTCTTATTCCAGGAAAATCATTTTTTATAGGATTTCTTACAAAGAATTTTTGAGCTGACAAAAATTATTCCAGACAAGTTCAATGAGCAAAAATTGAGTAATTGTCTGGAAATGACATACGTAATACTTTTCAAAAAAAAAATATATATAGTTCGTGTCTGACATTTTTGAATTTGTGAAAACATCTTTAAATTGCCACGTCACAAATAGTTTCATTTTGAAAAATAGAAGAGTTGTGTGAAATTTTAGAGTTTCTCTAACTTCCGAAGAACAATAGTCAAAATTTGAAAATTGTTCTGAAAATGACAGATTCAAAACACATTTTGTTCCACATCATAGCTCACGTTTGAAGTCTTTAAAAAAGATTGACCATACCATTCCAGACAAGAAAACATTAACAAAACAAAAACAGTTACAAAAATATTTATTTGGCACATTAAAAATTCCCCTCATCCCAAATTAGTTATTCATTTCGTTTCATTCATCGGCTGGAAGATCCTGAAATATTTGGCACATTTTTTGTCTTCCTGATCTTTATACTTACCCAAGTGTTCGGCCCACTTCGATACATTCTTTGTGGCAAAAGTCGTCCCGAATATCTGGAGCGAGACATTGAGCGAAGATTTGGACTTGGTTTGATCCATGAGGCAAAGAAGTTATCCTCCTCGTTGGCTGAAAATAAATTGATCTAAAATTAGAACTAGAAAATGATAAACAACTCACCGAAGCACAAAACAATAGCAAAAACGAGAAGAATTGCGCACCGAAGTCCGTTCATTTTTTGAGAGAAACTGACTGAAATCGAAAACTGAAATAAGCAAGAAATGCTGGGAGGCGTGGCTCAAAAATTCCTTTTTTTGTTCTTCTTGAAAAGGAGAGAAAACGGAGAGGAGAGAAGAAAAACATGAATCCAATTAGCTGGAATTTCATTTGGGATTCCGAAAAAAATCAGGTGTCTAGATGATGATAACTTATTTCGTCTAGCACTTTCGATTAGATTAGAAAACAAGTTATGACGTTGAGAAATACAGTCTCTGAAAAAAATGTTTTATGAACTTATATGCCACGTCATAACTTTTGTGGTGAATTCAAAATTATGTTTCATATCCGCAACATTTCTTGCAACTGATTTTGCTCATAACTCAAAACACCCACAACTTCCGCTCAAAAACTCTTTTATTTCCCTTTCCGGGCTGAACAAAATCCATCCAAAAATATCTTCTAAAATAATTGGTTTTTTTTGGGTGAAGCTGACACATATAAGAAAGAGATGGATTAAAAACGTACGAATTTTTCTTTTTGCTCGTCTTGAAATCCTATAGTTGTGGGACACCACATTATCCAAGATTTATGAGCCAGAAAATTAGTAGAAAAGCTGAGGGGGGAAAATGAATTATTGATGAAAATTATAGTCTACCAAAACATTTTCAGACTTTTGAATTATGCATGTTTCGTACAGATTCTATGGTTCAGAAAAATTGTATGATTATTTTTGATCACCTATAAATTTTTGTGCAAAAAAAATAATATGACGAATCTATAATGTGTCACAATTATCATGATTTATAAAAGTGCAATCTATGATGTTTCAAATTTCCAATTATCCAGCCGAGTTTGTTTACTTACTCGCTCTCTTCTAGTTTTGGTTTCATATAGATATTTATATTTTTTAATTGGAATTTTTCTCCAACAATTTTTTCTTTTACTCACAAAGAAAATTCATTGTCTCTGCTAGACACCAGAAAAAACGATAAGGGAAAAGCACAAAAGTTTAAAAATTGTGACCGAATGTTTGCTCACACAATGATGATGATCAAGCTTATAAATAGCGTGAAATTTTTATCGAAAAATAGTTTATTTGTTGAGAAATGATTGAGACTACAACTTTGAATACTGGAGCCAAACTTCCACTTTTTGGTTTGGGAACTTGGCAATCGAAGGATGAAGCTGAGTTTAAACTTTCGCTTCGAGCAGCCTTAGATGCTGGATATCGATTGATTGGTTAGTCGAGGACTTTTAATTATTGCTTAAAAATTATTTCAGACACCGCATTTGTTTATCAAAATGAGGCATTCATCGGAGAAATTCTTGAAGAATACATCCAATCTGGAAAAATAAAAAGAGAAGAGCTTTTCATCACCACAAAACTTCCATTCACTGCTCATTCTCCACTAGATGTTGCAAAATGTGTTGAACTTCAATTAAAAATGTTGCGCCTTGATTATGTTGATTTGTATTTGATCCACTCGCCTACAGGCTTCAAACATCAGCCTGATAGTTATTGGCCAATTATTGAAGATGGATTATTTGCGAATGATACTACTCCACATATTGAGACATGGAGAGAATTGGAGAAATTGTATCATTCTGGAAAATTGAGAGCTTTGGGAGTTTCGAATTTCAGTGCTAAACAATTGCAAGCACTTTATGATGCGGCTGAAGTCAAACCAACTAATTTACAAGTAGAACTTCATATTTATTGGCCACAAGAAGAACTTCGAACACTTTGTAACAAGCTAAATATGACATTAACAGCTTATGCTCCTTTAGGATCACCTGGTCGGAAAAGTTCGAGACCTGACGGTGATTGGCCGGAAGGTGATCCACTCCTCGAACCGATTGTTACAAAACTCGCGGAAAAATATCACAAATCAGCTGCACAGATTTTATTGCGACATGCTACTCAAAAAGGAATTTCGGTAATTCCGAAATCTACGAATCCGAAAAGAATCGTTGAAAATATCTCGATTTTTGATTTCAAATTGTCGCCTGAAGACATGGAAGAATTGAGCGGAGGCATCAAAAATCACATTAGATTATTTTTGCATGAATAGTGAGTTTGCTAAAACTAACAATTAAAAATGATGATTTATATTTGCAGCTCTGCTCATCATCCATTCTATCCACTTGATGACGTCGACACATCAAAACTAGAAAAAGTTGTTCTTCACATTTAAATTTACAAATTTTAAAAAAATAAATTTTGTAATTTTGACTTTCTCATGACTATAAATAATTTTATTTTCGAACAAAAGTACACAGAAATGATATCAGTTATTGCTATTACAGGAAATGTCTACGCCAACTCAAAAAAATACATTTTGAAAAGAAAATTGGAAAAAAAAAACAAATATTTGAAAACCCGCAAAAATGTGTGTTCGTTCTGAGACCCGCAAAGTACAGTAGTTTTCAGAGCGCGCTCGCACACGCTGATTATTTCGTAACTTCTGGCCTAGGATCCGACAAACATGTGCCAGAGTTGCAGACTCCGCCCACCTTTTTTAATTAATTTTTTTTTGTTTTTTTTGTTCAGAATTTTTTTGAAACAATCATTTTTCTCAGTTCTCAAGCCGTTTAACCGAAAAAACGAACGATGGGAACGTAGAGAATTCTTCTACGAGTCTTTCATGACTAAGAATGAGCTTTAAGTGAGCGAAACCATGTACTTATTAAGCTTTGAATGTTTCTAGATGTTATTGAATTTTGAAATAATACTTTTACCGTTCAGTTTTTTTGAGAAATATGAAATGAAAGTGACATAAGGTGTAGTTCCGTGTTCAATAATGGTGTTAGGTCTATATTCAGCTCGTTTTACTTCTCTGTTACCGAAATAATATGTTTCTTTCCACATATAATTTTCATTTTTCTTTCAGTATTAATGGTCTCCTCGCAAATTCCTCCTGTTTTTTTCATAATTTTGTTCATTATTTCAGATGAGTTCGACATTTTTCTCAGCCCCCCCTCCATCAGAAAATGAAAAAAAATTGCGCAGCGACAACAGAAAGCTCAAGCGCGAAATCGACATTGGAAAGGAGGATTTGGAAAATGAAGTTGGTATTTTTCTGTTTTAGCGTAAAATACAACATTTCCACTGAGAATTTTGATTTTTGCAGCGTGTATTACATCGAAAATCAAGAAAACTGGCGCGTGACTTATCAATAGAACTGGAAGATGCGGTAAGTTTTTTGAAGTTGATGATTTTTCCAAACATTGATTCACAACCTAAATTGATGATTTCAGAAATTGCAAGCTGAAACAGCAGTCAGCGAAAATCGAGATGTTTTGGAACAATTGAAAGAATGTAAAGAAAATGCTTTGAAATGGAAAGAGGATTTTGAGGCATTGAAGGTGGTTGTGGATGGAAAGACGGCCCAAATCAATGGATTACTGGACTCACTTGCTAAAGTTAGTTTTTTTGAATTTCTTGTATGTATACTCATATATCTACATTCCAGGCACAACAAACAACTTCTGCTACGAATTGATGGGTTAATCTAAAATGCTCTACTTTTTATCTTTGATTTTTTAATTGTTGTTGTTGTTGACCTGTTTGTTTTTGTTTATTCGAAATAATGAATATTTTTATGATATACATAGATTGTCAATTGTCACAGTTATTGAAAAGGATTCAATGTTGATTGATTCCGTCATTTCGGCGTACATTTTGTTGATCTATTCTGTAATTCGCGTGTTCATTGTAGATGGGACGAACTCCAACGAGAAAAGCGAAGCAAAAAGAACTGGCTATCAAAATTGGCGAAAGAAATGGAAAGGAATTTAAGAAGCTGCAGGAAGATCATGCGATTATGGTGGAAAAAATGAAAATTGAAAAAGAAGAATTGAAAAATGAAATTTTGGTCAAATCTACTTTGATTGAAATTTTGGAAAATGATAATAAAAATAAAGATAAAATAATCGAAGAATTGAAAAACAAAATTAAAATTTTAGAATATGAATTCAGAATTGCTGAACATTCCAAAGATTCTTTTGGGATCTCACTATCTGAAAATAAAGAAAAACTGGAAAATTTTGAAAATGAAAATAAATTATTGAAAAGGACTTTGAAAGCAGAAGAGCAAAAAATGAAATCAAAAGTATCCTCATTGGAGCTTGAGATTAAAATATTGAAAAGTGATAAAGATAAATCAGAAGGAAAATGTAAAGAATTGAAAAAGTCATTTCATAAAAATTCCGGTTTAAATTTCAGCGGAAAATTCGGCTATAAACCATATAATAGTTTACCAAAGAACAAAGAAAAAGATTTGAGACACGCCTATTATTTTGAAATGGCTCTTGATATCACAAAAGAAATAAATTTGAAACCATTCTTTGGAGGATTTAACCGATGGTTGGCTGTATTCCATCCAGAATGTTCACTGAAATTAACGGTAAGCGATTTTTTCCATATGAGAAATCGCTTCCGTTGGACTTGGTATGAGATGCAAAATTTTAAGAGATTATTCAAACTGTTGTTTAATTTTGATCCATATCCTTCATTGAACAAACTTCGAGATTTCGAGGAATTATTTAATTTGATCAAATATTATTCCATAAGAACTGAACCGAGTTTAACGAAAAATAAAAAAACAAGTTTAGTCTGCGAATGCACCGATCTTCAAAGTGCCATTGATTATCGATACACTCGAATGGCTCAATATGATTGTTTAACATTCGAAAATCCAGATCAACCAGCAAGAATAACTTATATCGGTGATAAAGGTGGAGGTTCCACAAAATGGTGGATAATTTTCTGGGATATTATTAAATCTAATAGTTGTAAAGGTTTGTTCTGCATTGGGATTTTCGATGGATCTGACAAACAAAAAGAAATGACTTTTTATTTTCCAACTTTAATTGATCAAATTAAAAAATTGAAATTTATAACTTATAAAGATAAATTTGGCAACACAATTAAGAGAAGAGTGGAACCATTTGTGGCCGGTGATTGCATGTATTTATATGCAATCTACGGTCATAAAGGGCCCAACGCTTCTGAAAATTGTATGATTTGTTATCATAAAAATGATAAAACTAAGTTGACTGGTTTGAATATCGGAAACTGGAATATTCATGTTAAACTTGTTATGAGAACAATTCAAGATTATAAAAATGATGCTGTTAATGGCGAAAACAGCGTAAATAAAAATTCTACCTGTATTTTCGAAGAAGTTGAAGTAGATCACACAGTTCCCGCGGTAATGCATGTGAAAATGGGTGTTGTTGATCCTTTGACAATTCATGCTCTCAAACTCGATGCAACCACTCCTGAAGAATTGGATGTTATCGAGAAACGACTTGAAGAATCAAGCGCCATCGAATTGCTCACCACAAAAATCGGCGATGTTCATGAAGAAGTAAATGAATTTGATGAAGACGGTGAAATTTTAAATGACTGTCTCATCATTTTGGATAATTCTAGACGAACTGGTGCGAAATGTTCATCCGAATTAAAATGCTCAAAATATTGTTATGTACCTGATTTAGTTAAAATGCGTGATGGTTACACGTCACATGGTTCTGTCGAATGTCCTAAATGTCACGACATATTCCACATGGAATGTATCGGTATTTTGGACAAAAGAAAAAGAACCGAACTTTTATATGGTATAGAGATTTTCGAGTGTTATAAATGCCGGAACATGTCATATGAGAATATTTATGGCGAATTAAAACAAGATCGCGAATTTGTTCTCAAAGAGACCATTGAAATTGGCAAAGTCCAAGAAACTCTTCAAAAATCTGTTAAAAAATTGAAAGATTCAGAAAAAGGAATGTATCAGGAAAAATTAGAAGAGTTTTTCAACGAGATCGGTGCGCAAAGACAAGCATATTATACAAAAAGTTTCAATGGAAACCACATGCATTTGCTATTGCAAGAAGAAAACGTTGAAAAACTTTTCGAAATCTTCCCTGATTCAAACTTTACCAGGTCTTTGAAATATATAATGTTGAGATTATCAAAAATTGAAACTTATAGTTCAGCTACGTATCTGACAGAATTTGAAATCCAAGATTTGAAGAATAATATTTATAATATGGTTCTCGAAATGAAAAAAGTTTACCCGGAGAAATCGGTGACACCTAAATTGCACATTATGGTTCAGCATTTCCCGGTTTTTGCTGATAAATACAAAACTTTAGGAAAAACATCTGAACAAGGCGCGGAGGCCCAACACGCCGAAATCAACATAATGAATAGAGACCTTTCAGCAATCAAAGATCTAGTAAAAAAAGGTCATGCTCTCATGAAAAAATTATTTTTTATGAATGAAACTAGTGATAGTGGTTTCTATGATAAATAATTTGGTCTATTTTTCAACTTCCAATTCCATTTTCTCAACTTTTGTACTGCTTTCGACGTCAAACATTTTCTTTCAAATTTCAATTGTGTTTTACTAACTTTGTTTCAATAAAATTCTTACCTTTCACTTTGTTTTCAATTTTCAATCGATCTTACCCGTCTCTTCTTCGCAAGAACATGGAATAGACATTATTTCAACCAAGAATTCTCGCAAAGACTCTATTTGATCTTAAAATACAAATATAGTTCATTGAAAGTCTTCTTGGTAACATAAGTCTTCAATACAAAACAATTTTAGATGAATAGAGAATATAACATCGAATGAACCAGAATTGAACCTGAAATTTGTTCCAACCTTTTTTTAGAAAATCGAAAACAGTTACTTACTCTTATACATGACGGCGAAATAAAATTTTACATCAATAATGATGAAATTGAACACTTCGGAAATGTCCCCATTTTTTTCGAGAAAAAAAATTAATTTTCAAATAAAAAAAACCGTGCGATCGTTGCATAAAATCGGGAAAGTGCGCTCTAGTGCACACGGCCGAGTTTTTTCTTCTCGCGGCCAAATGTTACGAAATAATCAGCGTGCGCACACACTCTTCAATTTTGAAAATGTCTCTTGCGAGCTCGCTCGCTGAATCGCCGAGTTTTCGCATATTAGTCAAACTCCCCGTCATTTACATCACAAATTATGTGATTTATTTCAACACCCGGAATTTTCGCGTGAAATCATATTCACGTGTTTTGTTCCTGCCTTCATATCATTTCAAAACCCAAATTCAACGAGTTCCGGTGTTTTTTAGAAAGTTAGTTTTTTGAATTCATTTGTCTTTTTCATTCTTCAAATATTTTCTACCACAAAAGGCATTCCTTTCCCCCTTTCCCATCTCTTTCTCTTTTCTGCATTAGTTCGTAAAAGTGTTTGCAACCTTTTTCTCGCAACTGGCGCTTGTTTCAAAATTTTGTGTATTCTCTTCTTATTTCATTTCTATATACTAAATCGTGATGGAAGATGTAACGCTTTATAGAATGGAAGCGAATCGCGCAATCGCAAGCTCATATCTCAAGCTCACGTCGTTTTTTCTCCGCGACCAATCGAAAGAATGTCAAACATTGGAAGAGCTTTGGATTCAAGCGGGATCGCTGATTTGTAATTTATTGTGAGTTGTTTTTTAAAAGTATCTTCAAAAATGTATAATAATTTTTCAGACAATGTCAAGATTCGGAGATATCCACAAGCCGCAAATTCTACGAAACACTTCTTCGAAAATTCCGATATATTAATGTTTCATTGGCGACGGAATTAAACGCTGAAGAGGCTGCAAATGGCGACAATCTGGAGATTTGCAAGTTTTATGCATTGTTTTTGGAGCATTTGAGAAAAGAGCAAGGGGATGTGCTGAAGAATGTTTTGGAGAAATTGGACGATGTTCCCGGATTCGATTGTCAAGCGATGGTTAAAACAGTGAGTTAAAATATTGTAACTACTTAATTTAAAATTATTAAACATACAATTTACAGTTCGCATTCTTCGATTCCATCTACGCAAACGATTCTGCCGATGATTGGTGGTCGATTTTGGCCGAAAAGGTATCGGATGTCACCGGTTTCACGACACCAGTTCCACGTCGACATCGAAACAGCTCAATGTTCACCACACCGACTGCCTCATTAAGAAAAGTTCGATCAGTTGTGAGCACAGCCAGAAGAAGCCCAATTGTTGAGGCAATCGATTCGCCAACTATGAAATTCATGCGATGTGATCGAGAGTTGAAGGAGCTGAAGAAGAAATTGGTAGACACTGAGAGCAAGTTGGATGAAGCCGAGAACGAAAACAGTTCACTGTTGTCGGAAAATCGAGAGTTGAAATCGAAATTAGTCGATGTTCGCTCGAATTTTTCAGCCGATAGAGGAACTATTGAAGGTCTCGAAGAAAACAACAAAAAATTGAAAGAAGCGCTCGATGCCAAGACTTTGCAAGTCGAAAATCTCAATCGATCAGTAGAAGAAGCTGGGCAGAGTGTGAGTTGTTTGAAAAATTGAAAATGATTTTTTTATAAAATGTTATTTTAGATGCGCAATCTCTTGCGGCGCATGGAAGAATCTGATGCTGAGAAGATCGCTGCAGAAGAGAAGCTTGTCACGCTCGAAGAATCGAAATCATCGCTCATGAAACAATTGATGGATGCGAGACAAAATAATGAGGCAGATTACAAGAAATGGCAAACATCCACTGCTGAACTATCTTCAAACTTGGCCCATTATCAAAAAGCGTTCGACGAGCTCTCTATGGAAATGACAGAAATACGAAGTTCGGAAAAGGAGGCGAACATTGAAAATGAGCGATTGAAAGAATCGATGAACCAAATGGAGACTTTGAATGTTCGATTGGAATCGGCGAAGAATCACCTCGAAGAAGAATTGCGAAAGAATCGAGAGCAATTCGATGAGATGTTGAAGAAGGAGAAAAATGATCGAGAAATTGCATTGGCACATCGAGATGGATTATTGACCTATGCGAACAAAACAATCGAACGAATCAGTGCTGAATTGGAATCGGAAAGAGCTGAAAGAAGTAGTTTGAAAGATGCACTTGATTCGTTGCGACAAGTTACAGGTCAAAAGCATCTCGATGATGTTCAGGTTAGTTTTTTTGACATCCATCCTTATTTTTATTGTGTATTTCATTGTTTTCAGAGCACAGAAGCATTGGCAAATGCCAGATCATCTTTTCAACTTGCTCAATCAAAAATCGAAACTCTCGAAATCTCGGTTCAATCGAAAGAAAGAATGATCGCCACATTGAAGTCGCAACTCGATCAACAACAAGAACTGATGACAACTGAATATGCTCTTCAAGAAAAGTTTGTTGCACAATTCCACAAAGAAAAAGAATGCCTGTCGAAGCAACTTGTAAGTTTTTTGTTTTTTATTTCAAAATCATAATGAATATTTTTAGGCTGAAACAGAAGAGAAGAATGCGAGAATGAGCGACGAGTTTGCCAAGAAATCAAGCGAGCTTGAAGCTGAGAATGTGCGATTGGCCACCGAATTGAGTGTTGCCAAGTTTCTGAGAGAAGACCTGGAAAATGCGGAGAAACTCAATGCCAAGCTGGAAGTCGAAAAGGCAGACCTCGAAGAAGAAGTTGACGAAATGCGCTCAAGACTTCATCGCGTCGACAAATCGTCAATTGTTCTCGATGATTTCGAAAAGAACGACATTTATGAGATGTTGATGAATGCGCCAACTTATACACCAGAAATGTTCGGAATAAAACCACGACAAACAATTGCATCTGGATTGGAGGTTTGTTTTCATTTTATTCTAAACAAATCCTAAAAAAGTTTTCTTTTTAGTTCAATACTCCGTGTAGTTCTGCGAGAGTATCATTGGTTCCTGATTCGGCATCATCAAAGTTGACATCAACTTATAGAGATTCGATGCGTTCATACAACTCGCAAAAGGTTCAATTTTTAGAGTAAGTTTTTTTTATTTGAAAGAGTTTTTTTCATTTCAAAATCTGATTTTTTCAGAGAAGAACCATCTGAAAATACACCATCAACCGATGAAGTAACCAAAAAGAAGAATCGCCGAAAATCAATGGCTAGCTTGACATCGGTCTTCAAAAAGAAGAATTAATCGATCTGTAAATATTAACCTTTTATTTTTTTTTTGCATTTTTTCTGTCAAATAATAACATAAATATTTTTCTTTTATGATTTGGGGAAAATTGCATCAGCAAGATTAAAAATTGAAAATATCATTGTTTTTCGTTTCCAACTAGTTTTTATGTTTTTCAAAGACTCGTGGTCTCTTCATTTTTTGCTCAAGAACACATTATTTTATGTTCTCGGGGATGATGAAATCAAAAATTGTGACCGAAAACTGTTTATCATTCTTTTGTTTGTCCACTTTTTCCCTATAAAATGTATAGTTTGCTTGATAGTGAGAAAATTTTTAATTCTCTTTTTCGTTTTCTAGTTTTGTGAATTTCAGAACAAAATGACCGTTGAAACTACAACTTTGAACACTGGAGCCAAACTTCCACTTTTTGGTTTGGGAACTTGGCAATCGAAAGATGAAGCTGAGCTAAAAGTTGCTCTTCGAGCTGCACTGGATGCTGGATATCGATTGATTGGTGAGTTTTGGCGGTACGGTATGCAAAAACTTTTTTGTGCATTTTTGCGTGACCGTTTTTGAAAAGAATAGTTTATTTTTAAATTTTTTCCAGTGAGTTTTGGGCGTGTTTTTCGTCGATATTAATAAATATAGAAATTTATTTAATTTTAAAAATAAAACTCCTTGAAATCTGAAAAGTTTCCCCAAAGCCTTCATAAATATTTGCAGACACTGCTTTCCTTTATCAAAACGAATCAATAATCGGAGAAATTCTCGAAGAATACATCCAATCTGGAAAAATAAAAAGAGAAGATCTCTTCATCACCACAAAACTCTCATTCACCGCTCATGCTCCACAAGATGTTGCAAAAGCTGTTGATTTGCAATTGAAAGCATTGCGATTGGATTATATTGATCTATTTTTGATTCATACACCAACACCATTCAAACATCAGGATGGCAATTTCTTGCCAATTATTGAAGATGGTGTTTTTGTTGTTGACACAACTCCGCATATTGAAACATGGAGAGAATTGGAGAAATTGTATCATTCTGGAAAATTGAGAGCTTTGGGAGTTTCGAATTTCAGTGCTAAACAATTGCAAGCACTTTATGATGCGGCTGAAGTCAAACCATCAAATCATCAAATTGAACTTCATATTTATTGGCCACAAGAAGAATTGAGAGCTCTCGCTAAGAAATTGAATATTACAGTGACTGCTTATGCTCCTCTCGGTTCACCAGGAAGAAAGGTAACGCTTTTGAGAATTTTCTGATTTGAAATTCAAAAAAAATCCCTATTTTCTAGGCGGCCCGTCCAGATGGTGTCTGGCCAGAAGGTGATCCACTCCTCGAGCCAATCGTCAAAAAACTCGCCGAAAAATATCACAAAACTCCCGCTCAAATTCTTCTCCGTCATTTGACACAAGAAGGCATTTCGGCTATTCCGAAATCTACAAATCCCGATCGAATTGTTGAAAACATCTCGATCTTCGATTTCAAATTATCCACCGAAGATCTAGAAGCATTGAGAACTCAAGTAACATCAAGAGTTCGTCTTTTCTTGGCAGATTTGTGAGTTTCCCCCGAATTTCCAAAGTGAAATTAAGCTGAAGTCAATGTTTTCAGCGCCGCCCATCATCCATTTTTCCCACACGAAGATGTCGATACATCGAAAGCTCCAAGAGTTGTTCTCAAACTTCACTAAATCCCATAGAATTCCTTTTTTTGTGAATAAAAGTTTTATTTTATTGGAAAAGGAACCGCTATAACCTTGATTTATGACGCAATGTACACATATCATTATAATAATTAGGTAAGTAAAAGATTTTCGAGTCAGATAAAAAACTTTGGCGGTTCTTTTATACACGATTTCGTCTGCTGAAAACTCCCAGAATCTTCTTCTTTTTTTGTTTTTTCGAATTCGATTTTGATCTCGAAACAACGGGCATCCTAAAAACTCACAAATAATTTTTCAAACCCAAAAAAAATCCCAAACTCACCCTTGACTTTTGGGCTGTTCAAAATGATTCAATTGTGTCGGAGCAATTTTGATCGATGTCGATTTTTGGCTTTTCGAATTTTTCAAACTTGCCGATTTTTGGGAGCGAGATTTGTTGCTTTTTGATGATTTTCGAGATTTTTCATTGTGGACAAGATCGCAATTGAGTTCGGATCGAAGTGGATGAACAATTCCTGGAAAAATTTATATATTTGGAATGGGGAAGCCCGAGAAACGCGTGGATTCAGAGGATTTTTCTCAAACTACAGTCTAGTGCAATTTTTCACGTAAATTTCGGGAAATTCAAAACTACAAAACATTTTTTTTTGAAAATTTGTTATCGCAAAGATACAGTAACTCAGAAATTTTTGGAAAATCAAAAGGTACAGTAATCTGGACCTAGTTTTTTCTACTCAAATTTACAGTAATTCAAGAAAATAAAATGTTTTTAGACCCTACCGTAACCCAGCTTCAATCAATAACTCACTTTGACACTGTTTATCACCCGAAATCACAAATCCTCGCACACTTTGCCTCTTCTCCGGCACATAATCTTTTCTCTGCGAAATCATCTCCCGAACATCTGGTCTGCTCAAATCCACATCGCCGTCGGGAACATCCTCTCTTATTTTTATAGCTTTTCGTTCTCGTTGAGTTCTGGAATCGGATTTTTTCCTTTTTAAAGATGCTTAAGCAGCGTTTCAAAAAAAAACAAAGAAGAAGAAGCTTACAAATCCATACTGATATCCTCTTTTTCCAAGTTTTTCAAACTCTCATTTTTCATTTTTTGCATAGATTTCCGTTTGGAACATGATAGTATTATCGAAAATGTCGAAAAAAGAATAGCAAATGCCAAAAACATAACAATTAAAAATGATTTTGAACAAATTTAATATTTCTTTCAAAAAAAAAAAAACAAATAAGCACACGTAAAAAATTGTTCAAAATACAAAAAGATATGAGACAAAAAAAAATAGGTCCTAGGGGGAAAGGAAAAATTATTAGAGGGAGACCCTGTCAAAAAAAATAGTCATGGGAAAGAAAAATATCATAGAAAATGAAAATAAAAATAACTGATGTGAGCACAAAAAGAGAGAGAGAGAGAGAGCTGAAGAAAATTAGAAAGACTATAAACATATTGTTAATCCATGTGTGGCGCTGATAAATCAACACCCCATTGTTGCGCCAAATCAACATTTGGTGGAAACATCATTTGTGGCATAAACGGCATTGTTCTATAATTAATTGATTAATTAATTATTTTTTGAAAAATAAATTAAGAAACTCACGGATTTGGGAATCCACCATAACCACCATTAAACATACTCCTTTGCATACTGTACAAATCTGTGGTTGGATAGGTCATAGAACCTGCCGCCGCAAGATTATTGGGATCTGGTGAATAGTTGGCGCCGCTGTCTGATTCGGGGCTGGGTCCGGGACTTTGCTCACTGCGATTTCGCCGACGATTTTTGAACACATTCATGGCCGGTGCTCGACCGGCTCGATTATTTTGATCAATCATTGGTTGAACTATCCGACGTCGAGCATTGATGAACCTGCAAAAAATATTTTGAAAAGAAATCCCCAGATCTTCAAATCTTCAAATCTAGAAAAAGTTCCCCCCAAATATCATCATCCCAAAGATAACATCGAAAAAAAAACTATAAAAAAGTTTGGCAACTCTATCGACATCATAAAAATCACATAAATTTACCACCAATAGCTCGTAAATTGTCAAATGGTGGATATTTTTACGATTTTCTTCTAGTATCTTACGAACAGGCGTTCGAAGTTTTTACAATGATTTTGGCGAGGAGATAAGAAGGCGAGGATGGGAATTTGAAAATAAAACTGATTTGGGATACAATTTGAGATTGCGTGGATTTCCGGGAATCAGAATTTCGGAGATTTTTGAATTTTTGGATAGAGATTTGAAAAACAAAAAATAACAGAGTACAATTTTTTGAAAAATCTGAATTTCAGTTTTTAGGTCAAAAATTGAAAAATCACAATTTTTAAAGGACAAAAACTGAAAAATTCACAATTTTTGTACTGTAAAAAGTCAGCGTACAATTTTTTATTGTGGATACCACGATTTTGGCCGAGGTGTGGCAAGAGTTAAGGTAACTTGGAAGTATCAAAAAGCATAGCCAACATTCCGTGGTTAATTTTGAGAGCTTCATTCTAAACAACTCCAAATTCCAGTTCCAACCCTTCCCATCTCTACGCAACCAAATTTTAACGACTAAATTAAGTGGCAACTTTTTGAGATCATAAAAAACGCATAAATTCAGAGGTACGCGCAATTTTACGACCCAACGATGATACAATCTATGTACATCGATACGGTAGATGAGAATTAATGTTAGCACCTTGTTCATCATCATCATCAAATCCATCTTCATCCATCCATTTTTTGATTGATAATTGTTAAAAGCAACATATAATTGATATTATTTATTTTATTTAACAGTCCCCACTTTTTTTTCAACATTTCCTTCATTTTCATCTTTTTCCTCTCTTCTCTATATATATTTTTCAGTTCTTCTTCTTTTTCTTCTTAGCTTCGCATTCGCGTCTTCTTCTTCTCCACTCGCTTCTTGGCTTGTCAACGTCGCCAGCTGCGTCGATCCATCATTGCCAAGGCTGTCCTTTCTCTGCGCTCTCTTTCAATTCACCCACTATTTTCAACTTCTTCGTTTCGTTCGTCGTGAAAAACGAAAAACGAAGAGAAAAAGAGAAACGGGGAGGGAGGGGAGGGGATACGGTAATCGACAGGGGAGAGTCAAAAAATAGCCGCCGCGCTAGTAGAAAAAACAACACCGAATTCGGGATGAAAAGAGTTTTTTTTTGGAAAAAAGAAAAGGGAGGAAAGGTTCCATTCAAGTTAAATTAACTAGTAATTCGAAATGCATTTAGAATTTATTATTTTAGTGGAGGAAACAAGAAAGGGGAAGGAGGAGGTGCCGAAAAACTACGGTAAACTTTCAACTTTAAGCAATGGGTGAATTTCGAGGTTTGAGCTGAAGTTAGCTGTGAGCAATAGCAAAAACCTAAGGAAGATGAAATCAATCTTCAAAAGCGAAAAAAGGTGCGACGTCATAAATCATGTTGAAGTGAGCAAAACTAGACTCTGGACAACCTAAACTAGATTTTTTTTCGAATGACTACAGTCTACTTATTTTCCAACTACAGTTTCATTCGCCATAAAAATCCTACAGTATGCCCAAATGTTTATCCCCATTTCTCACCCCATAAAAAAGGGTGCGATTAAAAACAATAAGCACACGCTCAATTGATTCCACATTATCCGATGCGCATGTCAACAGTTGTGACTGACTGCAACTAACATGAAACCCTGTGGAACCCCCCTCATTATCCGCCAAAACACTCTTCCACACCTCATAAAAAACCCCAAATCGTCTTTGTTCTCATCACAAACCTTTCGGAAATTCCACCAATTTCGAAAACCTTGTTGGTTTTTCCATTCTTTCTCCTCAATTTAATGCAATCGTCTATACAACAACAACAATTGACAGACAAAAAAACGGGGTAATTATTGTACCGTAATCCATGTAGAAAACGTGGGTCACTCATCAAACTGACATCTACGACCACCCCGCTTAAATTACATTCAAATTTTTTTTTTGCGCATTCGACATCCCATTTTTTCGTTGGTGGAAAGAGAAAAAGGGGGGATTGGAAAATAATTGGTGGCAAGATTGCAGATAACGATAACTCCCATTGTTTCAGAACCATCTCCCATGGGAAAAAACCAAAAGAGCTACAAAGTGCTCAAAAGTTCCCCCCGGAAATTAGAATAACAATAAAGGGATTATCTTGCCTCATCAATGACTCAAATTGCGCAATCAGGCAAAAAAAGAATAGAGTGTTTATCCTGATTGTCGGTCAGCGGAAAGAACAAAAGAAGAGAGAGAGAGAGTGCCGATCATCTTACAAGAGAAATACACAAAACTTTTTAGGATGATGATGATATTTGAGATGGTGGTAACCCTTATAAAATAAATAAACATACCAGTTATTGACTTGTAGAATTTTGAGACCCGTTTCATTTGCCAATTGCTTCTTTTGCTCTTCTGATGGATATGGATGCTGGAAAAAATTAAAATTTATTGGGATATAGGTTACGGTAATCAATAGAAAAGGAGGACTATTGATTTTTGATTTTCAATTTTCTGTGCGAATTTTAATGTTTAGCTTCGATTATCGAAAAAATCGATAATTTTCCTCTCTAGACTACTGTAGTCTTTAAAAAGACCTTGAAATTTCGAGATTTTTGCGAGATATGGCTACTGTATTGAACTTTCAACTTCAATTTTTCCCAATCCCTTCCCATTCGCAAAAAAATGATGAAAAATTGCTCCTCCTCGCCAGAACACCACATTTGTTGTAAGAAAAAATTAAATGTTACACTGTGCAAGAGTGTTTGCCCTCAACAAGATATACAATTTCTCTTCGCGTTCGCGTTCGCTTACCGACAAATTCTGAAATAGCCACGCGCGGAATTTGGTGATCGCCTCTTTCGAGAAGACTTTGGGAATTTTGCGTTTTCCACCGCCGCCGCCACCATTCGATATACTATTCGGACCATCGGATAACACCGATTCGCGTCCATCTTCATTCGAACCGCATATTGAGAACTCATCGCCTAAAGAAGACCAGATTACAGTATGTCAAATACTGTCTGTCTGGTCCTCTCTCTCTCTTTTATCTCTAGATAATTTTGAAGGGGCCCAAATTTTACAACAGATTATTATTCTGAACATACCGGACCTTGAATTAATCCAAAATTTACAGCAAACCTTTTTTGTTTTTAGCAAAAATCCAAAACTTTTCAAATAATAAAAATTCAACATAAAATTGTGAGTGCGCCAAACCAAAAAAATAATCAGTTAACAACACGAAATTCTCACCGTCAAATTTTGAAACAACCACTGTCGCAACAAATTAGTCGCCTCTCTCGGAAACATCCCGCGTCCTCCCGATTTCTTCGCCGCCTTCCCACCACCCGCCAACTTCCGGGGTTCGGGTGAAGGATCGGGTGGCGGATAGCCGCCCGACAAATCATTATAATGATGATATGAATGCGGATGTGGCGGTGGTGGTGGCGGAGCATATTGTGAATAATCACACATTGCCGGATGTTGCTGGAGTTGTTGAAGATCAGCTAAATTAGTATTCGAGCTTGTTGGAGCCGAGTATTCGTCAAGCATTGCACACTGAAGACTTTGCTCGATAATACAATTGGAAGCGGTTGATGATGAAGCTGATGAAGATGAGGAGACAACAAAAAACGAAGAAGAAGACGACGACGACACTTCTGTGATGAGAGACAAAATGAAAGCGGGACTTTGAGACAAAAACAGAAGACAAAAGTGTCATTCACAGGCATAATAAGCAGGCAAATACAAAGCAAGCAAATTCAATCATGTGCAAATTATCAAGTGTGGTTAGGTGGAAAATGTTATAAATAATTATTTTTGTATTTTAGGGGGAAAATAGAGAGAGAGAGAGAGAGAGGACCTCTATTGACAGACGAAGGAACATTTCCATTAGTAGGGGGGAAATTCGGAAACGTTAGGTATCATCTAGAGCTAATCAAAGACTAACCAGCTTCCGATATGTTATCAATCGAATTGCCGTTCAAATGTGTCATCGTTGATTCGCCGCCACTTCCATTTCCACCGCCGATTCCAGATAATGGTGTCGAATTTTGTCGTAGTCCACCGCCACCTGATGATGATGGGCTACTACTGACGGCCAAGGGATGCAGCGCCTGGGATGCCCCAGCCGTCGAGTGGAGCGTCCCGCTGTTCACTAAAGGGTGATCCTGTGAATTTGATGTGTTTGATTGTGGTTGTTGGGGTTGTTGCTGTGAAGACGATGCTCCAACCATTCCTGGCGGTAAACCGTAGCCCATTGATGAACCAGCAAACTGAAAATAAAATAATTGAGTTAGGTTTCGAGATATTTTTGATAGTTTTGCATGTATAATAAACCTTCTAGTCTTGAGCCTTGCGTCAAGTATTCAAGCCTAGAAATCGTAATTTTCAAGCAGCCACGCTTAAATAGAGAATTCAATTGTCAAGGATCAGCGCCTAGAGAACCTAGCTTATTAGTAGCCGCGCCTTCAGAGCTTCATGCCAAGTATCCAAGCCTAGAAACCATAGTTTTCAAGAAGCCACGCTTAGATAGCCTAACTTACTAGTATCCGCGCTTAGAAAATTCAATTGTCAAGGATCAGTGGCTAGAGAACCTAGGCTATTAGTAGCCGCGCCTTCAAAAAGTCTATGTCAAGTATCCAAGCCTTGAAACCCTAATTTTCAAGCAGCCACGCTTAGAGAATTTAATTGTGAGTTGCGCTTAGAGACCCTAGCTTACTAGTAGCCGCGCCTTCAAAAAGTCTATGCCAAGCAGCCAAGCCTAGAAACCCCCGTGTTCAAGTAGTGGCACCTAGAAAATTCAATTTTCAAGGATCAGCGCTTCGAGAAATTTCCCATGCTCATCCAAAATCCCAAATCCTCCCCCTTCAAATCCTAATGGATACCAATCATGCGCATCCACACAACAATTCGGATAATGGATTGGTCAATTATTTAATTACAATTATTCAACTACCCCCCATTTTTTGGGTGTGTCAATTCAATATGCGCGAAGTCATATTGACACACGCACGCACAGTTAGCCTAATTTGCATAATCTTTTCTTTTTTTGTTTGGCGGTTAGGTTTTCTCAAAGAACAAGTGTTCATTCTCTATATATGCAAATTTTCGTTTAAAAAAAGGCGGTGGAAATCGAGGAGAAAAAAAAGAGAACACCCCAAGAATTTTCGTCTTTCGTAAATCAAATCGACGCCTTTTTCTTGATACATAAAAAGTTATGAGGTTGACAACTGTCATCTCTAGAGGGGGAAAAAGAAACTTCAACTCACATCCATCGGATGAACCATAACACCAGGATTTTCAGGCAGCGGAACAGATTGCGGTTCGTACGGCGGGAAATGACTCATTGGTGTTTGTGCGCCAGCCATTGATGGTGACGATGAATGTGCGTGATGTCCCATACTTCCGGGTGACATTGGTGGCTGCGAGGATGAAGCTCGCTCATCGCCCACAATATCCAACGGCATTTTTCCTTTCAAACACGTCACGTATCGATTGCAAAAGTTGTCGCAAAGTTCATGCACCTAAAAGAATTTCAACTTTTTTGAGTAAACTAATGTGGAAATAATAATATTCGAGAAAAGCGAGGGAACACTGATAAGTGCATTTGAACACCGCAAAAAAATGGCTGGGCTGGGGAATAAAAAAAAATACTGATAAAGGCATTGTGAATGTAAGTAACAAACCTTTTCGAGCTCGAGCAAATGAAAACGGAGCATTTGAATGGCTTGCAACATAATTTGGTCTAATTGAGGATTCGGCACATAGTACGATTTGTCAGCATTTTCTTGGGACTGAAACAAAAAACATTTTTTTTATTTTGAAGGAAAAAAAAATCGATTTTTTTCCCAGTGAACTGGAGGAAATCAATAAATTCTCTTATAACTCACATGTTTGACAAAATCATTGAGATCATCTCGAAACGAGGCACTACTACAAACATCACCAGTCGATGTTCCATCCCTTGATTGTTCGCGCGGTGTCGATGTGGCTAGCTCGCATTTTTCGAACAAAACAACCAGCAACGGATAGAGCGGATGGCTGCAACATGAATTTGATTTATGGCTATTTGGAAAAGCAGTTGGTGGCCGCCGCCCGACGGCCGCCAAGGTGCAATTTACCGTAACCCATTCTCATTTTCAAAAACAACTCACGCATAAATCGCCTCTTTATCCGCCTGTTTTCGCTCATCCATATGTTGCAAACCGGCAGCTCCGCCAGCTTCAGCTCCAGTTCCAGTGGCGCCTCCGGCACCCATACTTCCAGACCAGAAAAAGCCGGCTGGATCTGCGACATATCCTGCAGCATCTGCACCTGCTGAGCCTGGCGGTGGCCCATATCCATCCGTATACTGTAATTTGAATTGGTTTTTTTTTTAATTTGATGTTGGGTGGTCTAATGGAAATTAGAAGGGGAAATATATCCGGCGGGGAGTTGGCTTGTGAATCATGTCACTTTTTTATGAGATTTTTATGGGGGCTCGTTTAACATTTTTGTTGGTTTTTTACGGCAACAAGAAAACAAAATCTCTAGTTTTCCCCTTCAAACTAGGGTGGGAAACGGGCGGCAAAAAAAAGAAAAAATAGAAATTATTCGTCAATTCACGTGTGTGGTGTTTGCAGATTATGATGCACACAAAAATAATCACAGTACTCCCGAATTATTTTTATTTTTTTTTTCGAGAACAAAAAGTGTTTCGGGAATTCGTGGAACTCTGTGAGATTTGGTAGCGCTATAAAGTTGAAGAACTTGTTGAAGAAAAGGATGACGAGAAATTGGTGAGTGATTTTAAGAAAAATATTTTTAAAACTTGACTGAAACGGTCCGAAAACTAAATTTAAAGAAATTTCAAAGAAAGTTGCATCTATAGTTGGTGGAATTATAATATATCTAGAGTATAGTGTGATTTTCGAAGTTCCAAATTTCGAAAAAGAATAGAAAATGTTTCGAAAAAGAGAAGAATCGACCAAAAACTGACACAAAATTCAAAAGAATAATGGAAAATTTCGAGAAAAAATGAGGCACACGAGTGTATATGTCGTGCTCGTTCTGAAAAAGAAAATAAAAAAAGTGTCATTCATTCGGTCCGTCAGTCATTCAGTCATTCAGTCAGTCACATCTTCTCTCGTCAACCCCGCCCGCCGTCCGCCCAAAGCCCCAACCGATAAATTATAGACACATCAAACATGAAGTGTGTCTATGTATCGAGGGTGGTATCAGCAGTCAGTCATTCAAGTCAGTCAAATAAATAAATAAATAAATAAATTCAGAAGATTGATCAGTACCCTTTGCGCCATAGCTGCTGAATAAGATGAACGATCTTCTCTCTCCTCTTCTTCTTCTTCACAACTTGTCAAAGCTCCTTTAAATTGATGATGATGGTTGTCAGTCAGTCAGTCAATCTATAATAAGTCCATAAATGACAGGTATCGTCGAAAAAAGTGACACAAAAAAGAAAACATGAAACTAATCAAAAAAAAACGAGTAGTAAATAATATGACAGATGAATATCGAAAGAGACAAGATACACACTCACATCCATCCATTCAGTCAGTCAGTTCACTTCTTCAAAACGGTTGTATGTCAATCTTCCTTTTCTCTCTCGCCAACTCTCCTCATTTCCAATACTCTCTCATCAATGGGCGGCGCATATTTCGGTTAGCAGGCAGTCAGTCGGCTTTCGCAGGCCACGCCCATCAGCCAATCGGACGAAACAACTACAGTAGTCCGACTCGCGCACTCTTTCTCTCTCTCAATCTTTCATGTTTTTTCAGCAGCAAAAAAGGCGCCGGGGCCACTTTATATTTTGCCTTGCCTTGCCTTATTCTCTTGCCCAACATATGTAGTCTTCTTTTTTTTCGTCAGTTGAAAGGGGAAAAGAATAAAGATGTGTGAAAACAATACATAATAAAATTGATATGATATCGATTTATCTTCACTAATCACATTAATCACGGAGAAGAGAAGAGGACGACGACTGCGATTTTTAATAAAAACATGATGGGGGTGAAGAAGATGGAAAAGATTCTTTTTCTGTTATTTATCGAATCAAATGATAAAGACAAATGTTGCTGAAACCTATGAGTTACTGGAACACTTTGAAGAACTTGTTCTAGGTTCGGAAATGTAGAAAATTGGGTAGGCCTAAACGTATTGGGGAAGTTACCAAATGTGGTACCTGGTGGACTATACCAAACATTTTTGGTAAATCACTTTCATGAATGAATACGGCCCCTGATATCTGCTGGGCTTCGACATTAAATATTTTTTGGTATGTGATTTGGCAAAAATGATACTCTTCATAATTAATTTCCACTTGAGACCTAGGTCCAGTCCTACTTTCATTTTCAGGCTCTGAAGAACTATTTTCTCTTCCGTTTCACAATTTCACCATGATTATTGCACGGTATTTCATCCAACACCATAAATTCGCATAATTATCACCAAGGTGTTATGCAAAACAAAGAAACTCTATTTTTCAAACTTTCCCACGAGCTAAATCGGAAGAACTTCAAAATTTCAAGCGACCATCGTCCCGAGCTATTCATTTCCCACACACGCGTATTTGACACCTAATTAAAGATATAGATAGGTAGATAAACTAAAACAGGCGAAAAAGAAGAAGAAGATGAAGATGATGAAAAATAATTGGGGCCATGTATATCAAACAATGAAATCAAAAAAAAGAAGAAGAAGACGAAGACGACAAGATAACATCGCACCTTTTCTTTCTTTGCGTTTTTTTTCAAGGTGTTAATCTGGGTAAACTGGAAAACACACGCCATATAGATATTTTGGGGTTGGAAAAAATATACTAGGAAATTGGCTAATATTTCATTCTTCGCGTTGTGTTCTTTTTTTGCTGCTTGGCGGAAAAAAAGAAGCGATATGAGGAGGAAATTGTAATAATATTATGTGGATAATATAATGCGGGTTTCTGGATTTTTTTTTTTGAAGAACCTGAATCTGTAGGAGGTGTTAGAATTCATACTATTCTGTGGAATTTTGGAGTGAGAACTTGAGGGATTTTGGAATTCCGTGAAGCTCTTTAGCATTTTTTTGAGTTCTTTGGAAGTCTGATCACAATTATGTTACAGTAGGGAAACATGAATCTGAAAATCAAGACTCTAAAAACTATCCCTACTGTAAACTTTTAAAATCAATTTTCCGAATCACTCAAAAAAATATTCTCATCACTTTTTTCGAAAATATTTCAAAATGGTTCTCATTATAATTTTTTTTAAATGTGCTACTGAACCAAGAATTTGAAAAAATTGTGATTTTCACACCACTTCAGGTGTTACCCGCTCCTTAACTAACCTCACTACTATCTCGCTTCTCCCGCTTAATCATAGCCGTATCCAAATCATAGGTTGTCATTGTTCCTGCCGAGCCATCTCCACTCCAAGTCGCCGCCGATGCAAGCGACCAAACTTTCGAGTCGCCCATATTTCTCTAGAAACATTATTCATTATTTTCAAAACTTTCTTTTTCAAAAACAAAGTAAAGTGCAAAAGTCAGTCGATAAATCAAAAAGAAAAAGAAGGTACAACTCGGAATGATAAATTTCTTTTGTTCTCTGAGGTTGGTGAAAATATACTAATGTTTTCGGGGGGTAGATAGAAGATCAAAAAATTCAAAAAAAAAATATTTCGGATGGCAGATGGGACCGGGAAGCGAATGATTGATGGGTGGGGCTGAAATTTATTCAGGCCTTGGGACAAAAAAGAGAAGGGGATACAAAATATTCTTCTTGACACCCCAAAAACCAATTGAGTAGCAAAGAAAAGACAATAGCGGATTACCTAAAAATACATCTGCATATTCAACAATTGTCTTGTACATATTTATTTCATAGAAATTTCGGGTAGTAGAAAAAAGACAACAAAAAATGCGAACACACTGATACGTGCCACATATCGCAACATTTGAGAAAGAGAAGCGCTTTTTTTTGGCTGAAAAAAAACTTATCAGCAAATAATAATATAATTTTTTTTTTCTTCGGTTTGGTTTATCAAAATACTTTTTTCGGTGTTGAATAAAATGTTGCCATTTTGTTTCGGGTCAAAGATACTTCAAATAATTGGATAGGTTTAAAAGTTTCAAATTTTTTGTTGAAGAATAAAGTTATGACGTGGAAAAGTTCGAGAATATTCGAGTGAGCTTGATTTATTCTTACAATTGAGATTTCAGGATTTCGGAAAGTTTTGGCATAGTGCTACCATTTTCAAACTTAGCTGGAAAAAAGTTATGCCATGGCAAACTTCAAGAATCTTCGAGTTCACAGAATTTGTCAGAAGGCAGAAGCTTTAGATAAAGATTTTCGAATTTAGAAAAATCGCAAAATTGATTTTTTTAAATTCACAAAGTTATTGATTTATTCGTTATTGACTACTCTTGCGATTTTTACGAAATTTTTTTTTCTAAAGCTGGAGTTAGAGTTCAGAAACTTCATAACTTTGCCACGTCATCGCTTCTTTCACAATTCAAAAAAAATCTTCCCTCTTCTCCCAAAGAAACCGAAAAAGTTACAAAAAAAAATATGAAAAAAAGTACACAAAGGCAATATTTACCTGGCTAGGTACCAAGTCGTACTTGTTTTCGGACGCGATTACCGTAATCCATCGCAAGCTTCCTCTTTTCCTAAAATTATGATTGATCGTCGGATCCTAATTATCTACTACTATTTTAACCAACCTAATAAACTAGCCTCAAAAAAGCGGGACTTTTTTTCTGATCACAAAAAAAGGTGTCATTTCAAGTATCTATTGCCTCAAATATTTATACAACTCATATAAATAATATATCGAGAACTAATACTAATAATAATACAATTACCGCCTGTTGTCATCTTGAATTAATCTCAAAAAAGGAGTGCGCGTAGCGGATAAAAACAAAAGGCGGCGGGCAGATGGAAGGCGAATCGGGTGCCAATAATCTTATGAATGATATATGACGGGGGGACGATTTGAAAATGTTTATATATGCAACAACACTTCACAGCTTGCGATCTCTAGCTGATCTGCATTTTGTTTGGAATCAAAGGGAACATCTGCGACATGCTATGGAGGGGGAGATTTGGGTTAGGAAAAATTTTTGCGCACCAAAAAAATCAAACCAGCATGTTCCTTTAAATCTCAAAGTACAGTAATCTTTGAAATTAACAATCGTGACAAGACCCACGCTTGAAAACAACATGTTCCTTTAAATCTCGAAAAATCTTGCCGGAACTTACAGTGATTCAAATTCCACGTGGTTTTGACATTTTTCCAAAAAACATGCAGAAGTCCAAGAATTTTTGAGAAATGAGGATTTTTCCAAAATATTTTTTTTTCTTTTCAAAGTTCACGCTAAAAATTAACACTAATTTTTTTTCAATTTTTTTTGCAAATCAAAAATCTCCTCAATTTTATTTGTCATTTGATATTTCATGGTGTCATACGGCCTAATTGTTGTAAGTGACTTTTCGCTGGACTCTTAAGTGGATAATTGCTCGATGAAATCCGAGAGCCAGGCTTTGCCTTTCGCGCGCTGCGAGCACCACAATCATAAAAATTACAACCCCCGCCTCAAAAAGCACCACATTTTTTATGGGACGGCGATAAATCAAAATATAGATTTGTGTTTGTGGGGGGGGGGGGTTGTGATTAACAGAACTAATAATATAAAAATGAAAATGTTATAAAGTTTGTCTGGGGATTTAGAATTGGACCTAAGGAATCTGGTTAGGCCTGATTAAAATAGGCTAGGATCTAGTTTTGGAGAAAAATTCAGCAAAAAATAATGGAACTCAAAAAATTGGGACTAAAAATCTAAAATACATACAACTTATGAAAAACTTTGTGCTGAAATTGGAAAATTTTAAAAAAGTGGTCCAATTTTTCAGTTCGATTCAGAAATTCCTGAAATTAGGTTCACTTGAAAAAATAACATAAATTTAAATTTATTGTTTGACTTTTACAACGACACTCCGCTTGCCCGCTGTTTAGCGCAACACCAGAATATTTTCATTTTTCGTTTTTTTTCGCTGGGTTTTCAGGTTTCCGGGAAAAATCAGTGGATTTCAGTCAAAAATTGAATTTTTAGATGTTCTACAGGGCTGGAATTGAAAAACCAACGGAAAATCCGAAAATTATCGAAGAAAGGTGGGTTTTTTTCTAGAGAAACACTGTTTCGATTGAAATTTTTGAGTTTTCAGCTCGAAATATTGATGGGCAATTGGATTTCACTATCAAAAACGTGGAAAACTTGGAGGATTTCGGATTTCGATGATTTTAGTGTGATTTGTGTGATAGAAGGTGAGTTTTTTGGGGATTGAAAATTCTGTAAAATTTGAAAAGTATATGTAAATCATGAAAAAAATTGAAAAAGGTTAGGCTAACTCATCAATTTCTAGGCCCAAAAATCTAGTTTCTAAAAAATAATAATTTTTTTTGAAAACCATTTAAAAACCATACTCAAACAAATAAAATGATCAGAGAATCAATAGGTTCAAAACTACAGTACATACATATCTCCCTCCCCCTCGTTTTCTCTCTTTCCAAAATCTCACGATGTGTACTTTTTGGACTACTGTAGATAGCCAAACATTGATTGCTTTTATTATTATTATTATCATTCATATCCGAACAAAAAGATAATAATATTAATAATATGTGGCGAAAAACAAAGCAAAACAATTTTGGGAGAAGAAAAAAAGAGGAGGAAAATAGGTTTGGCTTTTGGGTTCGCGAGAGGAGAGAGTTGTGGTTTTGAACAATAAAATGATTGACAAGCCAAGAGGGAAAGAAGAAGAAAATTGGAAAAAGAAGAAATCCTGAAGAAGAAAAAGAAAAAGATTGTCATAATAATGATTGATGATGTGTTGGATTACGTAACAATTGGTACGGTTTTTTTTAAGAAGCGAGAGACTTTTGGCTCATGGATCATAACAGATGGAAAAATAATAATAATAATCGGGGAAAAGAATATGTGTAATTGATCTGGTGAGAGATTATTATTATTGTTATTATTATTGCTCACTTGACAGTTTGAGATGAGCTAAAAAGAGAGGGGAGGAGTTTTTCGGGAAAATGGTTCTTGAAGCCGCTTCTGCTTCTAGTTCCACTTTGAGATTTCGGAATTTAAATTTATCAGGTTTTATTATATTCAAAAAGTTCCAGGTACATAAAGAAAAGGAATTTTTCAGAAAATATTTTTGAAATTGAAATTGAAAAAAAATAAATTCAAGATCTTGAATTTTACATGATTCATAAACCTTTTCAGATTTATCAAAACTTTGTCCTTATTTTTTTTTGAAAATTGTTATTTCGCTGAACTTTTCCACGTGGAAACCAAACTTTCACAAGGTTCTAGAACTAAAAATCAATTTCTAAAAAGTTTTTTCCGAAACTACAGAATTTCTACGATTTCCTAGAGAATTCAATTTAATAAAGATCCACCATTAAGTTTTTCCTAAAGCAAGTCTAGATGCTTCCTACTACAGTACCCGCTCCCCCAAAAACAATAATACATACTCAAGTCAACATAATTAAAACCCAAAAAAGAAGAAGAAATAATTCCTTCCTCCTCAATTTCTTGATTTCTTTCTCTTTTCTTTTCTTATTTTTCCGGTAGTCAAATTGGGGTCCGAGTTGATTGACAAGTTTAGAGGGTGTGTGTGCAAATACCATACACCAAACCAAATAAGAAACGCCAGCTAGGCAGCAAGCAAAAAACGACGACGAAATTGAAATGTTTGATTGACAAGTCTTCTCTATTATTTTTTCGGATTCTTCGAGAATTCTACTTACTCGCTTACTGTAGCTTGTGGACATTTTTAGGGAAGAAAAAGGGATGTTCAATCACTTTACACAAATTTTTCGCGCTACATAGATCTGCTGCGAATTACGCAACACGTTGTAAAAACTCATAAAAAATGTGCCGAATTATTACAATTCATAATAATCATTATTAGAAAAGGTAAAAAAAAAATATGGGGAATTTGACGTGACGTGAAATTTGATCTGGAAATTGTCATTTCAAAAAAATGAGAATTTTGAATGGTGTTGAGATTTCTGCAAATGGAACTATTAAAGCGCCGGTAAGCAAGATTACTGAAGATTCAGAAAGTGAATTAAAAAAAATTAAATTTCAGTGCGAAATGTTTACAATTCGTCAGGATCTCAACAGCAGTCTCTACAAATTCCAGCAAACTTCTGTAAATGTGGTGTTGATCACAATTTCCACTTTCATGTTTTGCACTTATAAATGTGGGAAACCTATGAATTTTTGATGAGAATTCAAGTTTTTCAGATTTTCGAAATAATTTACAATGGGAAATTGCGACTCATAAAACCGAGTTATTTCGTCACAATTGGTTCGCAAATCAAACCGAAGTTGAGCAAAGATTGGATATTATTTTTGTGAGTTTTTTGTGGAAAAAAAGCGATTCTGGTTCTCAATTTTAATTATGAAAAAATTTTGAAACGTATAAAATCCAGGCGATGAATTAGTTAGCTATGAAGCAATTTTTTCTCGAAAAAAAATGTTCCAAAGCTTGAAGGTACCCCTAAAACATTTAAAATTTCCAGGAAAACCGCCACCGTGATTCCTCCTCAAATCCTGCAAATATCTGGCCACGAAAAGACAATCGTAGATCAAAAGATGAAATCATCGAATTAATTCGTCGAAAAAAATTGGGACAAGAGGACAATAACAGTAATTTACTTATTTTTTCTCCAAAAATTTCTAGTTTTTTCAGTTGATAAACTCGGACTTCTTCCGCGTGATAAACTTGCCGTTTTCTCAAATATCATCGCAATTCGAATCGAACTCTATATCCTTCTAGTTGCAATCATTGGAATTTGGCTATTTTCAATGGGATTTGTGATTTCTGTGAGGCTGAGTTTTGTTTCAAGCGACGCGGTTTCTGAGAATCGTTTGACATCTGTAAATCATACACAAGCAATTTTGGAGATGTTTACTAGAACAAACGAGAAAATAGGGCAAAATGCGCTAACTTATTGTACTGGAGATTATCAAGAAATGATTCATAGTTTATCGACATTTGCATTGACTGCTGCTGTTGTTTTTAGTTCAGAAACTGAATTATCACATCTGTAAGTTAAGATTTTGAATTTCAAAAAATATTTATTCGAATAGGTTGAACTCTATACTTATTATTACAAACCAAATTTCTGAAACTTTTATAATTTTCCTTTGACATAATATAAGATAACGATAAAATCATTGGTGATAAATGATGAAGCATTGAATAAGGAACAGAATAAACCATTCCAAATTCATTACCCAAATCTTTATGAATTTTGCAAATTAAAGTGATTACCATTATTAATACATGATAAATTGAGATAGGTAAAAATTGATGAACATAAAAAATATGATCTTTATTATTTTCAATTTCAATTTTCTTGATAATCTTGAAAATGTGATAATATATTGAACTCGAGATTATTGAGATCAATAATAAGATACTGTATTGAAAATATATTAGCCAAAGATAATCTGGACAAATAGCTGTTGGTATTGCTAATTTACAACAAGTTATTTTGAAAATAATTAGTGATAAAGAGGCTATCCAGATTATATAAACTGAACAAGATTTCAAAAAAGTGTCGAAAAAATATAGGATCTTTGAATTACTGTAGTATAATATGAGTAATCTTTCAATAGCAATGATAAAAGTGAAAGTAGATGTTAAAAGTCCTGATAAATCAAACATAATTAACCAATCAATGAGGCAAAAAACACCGAAAACAATTATTTTGAACGAAGGACCATCTTTTATATCAATTAGTAGACCAGAAATAGTTGCACTAAAATATAAAATTGAACACAAAAAACAAATGAAATATATATTTCTGAATTTATAGTCTATTTTTCGAGTTTTTTGGAATTTATAAATTCCCAGAAATAAACAAGAAATAATTGATAAAATATCACATATTAAATGAGATAATAGATAATAATGTAATGTTTCAAACTCTTCTAACAATGTTGCATTTGTCATAATTTTTGTCTTTTTTTCTGAAAAAGTTGCAGTCAGGTGCAATTTATGTTTATTGTTTGTTACCTCATTGAGTTTCTTGATGTTTTGTTCCCGGAAAATCTAGTTCCTGGAAATTTTGCTTAGGAAAAATTAAAGGCTATAGTGTAGCCTAATGAACTTTTTTTTAATTTTGAATCCTTGACAAAAAAGTTTTTCCTAAAAATTAATGTAAAAAATCCCAGAAAACCTATCACTCCCAAAAATCTAAATTTTTCCAGAGTTATGCTAACTCTCGAATACATTTTCATCTACGCTCTTCTCATCGAAATCGCTATCAACTGTTTCTATCCAACCATAAAATATCCAACAGTTCGACAATGTCACAGTAAGTGTCACAGAAAACCTTCTGAAATTCCAATTTTCCTAAAAAAAATCTTGTAGAACGAAAAATCTTCATGTACGGTAGCTCATTCAAATTCATGCAACTATTTTTCCTCGGCGGAATTGCCATCAGCATTTGTCTCGTTTTCAATCAAAGACTTCGTGAATAACATATACTTTATTTTACTTAACTTTAATTAAAAATATTTTCTTTTTCTTCTGTTGCATAAAAAATAAAAATAAATAATGAGTAAATAACAAATACGACGATTATCACAGGGCTAAAAATTAATTCGAACAAACTACACACAAAATTCGGTTGGAATTGAACTATTTTTCTGTTTTGGATAAACGTTGAGATCATTGAATAGACAACGTAAGAAAACTGTGGTCGGGAAACAAAATATATAAAACTTTGGGAGACAAAAATATTAATATTAGCTCTGCTTTTTCGAATCTAACAACTATTGTACATGGATGCATAATATAGGAAACTTTTCAGAAAACAAGAGAAGGGACAAGGGGGGAAGGGGAGAGAAAAGCATTTGAGAAATATATATCCCTGAAGCAGTTCTGAGGGTCTAGGCGGAAAAACGGGGGTGGGGGAATCTGGGGCGGGGAGAATCGGTATATAGAAAGATTATGATGAATTTCGAGATGGTTTATAGGTTTTTGGTGGTAATGGCGGGGGCGTACTTCCGGATGGTGGAAGATTTACGAATAGTGACGGGGATTTCGGATCCGCTGATGGTGATTGATTTAGTGGCGGACTTGAGTTGTTGGAGGATCGGCTGAAAAAAATTAGGGAATTTTTGGGGAGATATTTTCGGAAATTCAGGAATTTTAAGCCTAAACCCTTGTGAAAAGTGACTAGAATTATTTGAAAAAAATTCAGGAAATTTCAGATAATTGTGAATTCTGCCCTCAAGTTACAGATTTTTCAGCAATCTCCGGAAAATAAAAAAGAAGCTCTCAACCAAACACAATCACAACACTTACAATGCTTTTGGCGGAAGTGGGGGCGGCGGTCTTTGAAGTGTCGATGTGCCACGTGGCGGTGGAAGGGCCGGCGGAAGAGGAACCGATAGTCGCACTGTCGGTGATCTTGCGGAATCTTCACGTTCGAAGATTGCCAATTGATCACTATTCTCTTTGAATTGCGGTGATTCGGAAGATGTTGAAGGTCTTGGTGGCAGAGGTGGAGCAGCACAATCAGGAAATTGGAAATGTGATGAATTGTGTTCTGAAATTGAAGAAGAAGAATAGAGAAAGGTTCACCATACAACATTGCATTCAAATAATATATATATATAAGTATTGAAAACTAACCTCTCGACGGTGTCAATGGCGATTTCACCAACGGCGATCTTGGCGCAATTCTTCTCGGGTGAAGCTTCGGAGCTTGCGATGAAGAAGACGAAGAAGATGGTGTCGACGATGGACTTGTCATAATTCCCGAACTTTTCGGTGTTGGGACCATTGGCGCAATTGTGGTTGGTGGCAAAGAATTCAATGGTGGTGGAGCACGAGATCTTGGCAAAAGTGGCGGTGGTTGAAGGGGTGCTAAACACATTACTATATACAAAAATCACAACATTTATATATACAGGAGAAGCCATTTTCGGTGAATATAAAAAGGGCGTGCTTTCGGTCAAATGACGAATTTTGTTTGTAAAAGAAAACAACGAAAAAGTTCACAATTTCTTTTGTTGACAAAAGATACTTAGTAAATTCGATTTTTCAGATGGAAAATCATCAATTTCCGGTGTTTTTTATCATACCTTTTCTAAAAAATCTAAAAGTTTTGGAATAAATCTCATCATTCAGAGCGGCTAGCATTTGGGGAGCGAAAATGAACTTTTGCTAACGCTAGGCGGGCGGGTCAAAAGACAACTGTTGCAGAAAAAAATGACTCAACCAAATAAAAAAATTTTCAGATTCTTATCAAATTAGTGAAAACGTACCGATTCTTTGCAAAGTTTTGCGCTCCGAAAATTGTTCATCATTTGGTGTATGCGAAAAACTTCTGAAAAATTTAGAATTTTAGAACAATTTTCAGAATCACACAACAACAAAACCAACCTTTTAGTCTCATGAAAAAGTACAGGTGTACTTGTTACAGTACTCGATTGCGAATGAACATTATGATGTCCTGGCGAATAGTGATTGCCAGTTTTTGGTGCTTTTACGCCCGGCGAGCGGAGAGTGTTTCCAGTGTGTTTTGGTTTGACAGCATCGCTGGTTGGCGGATCGACGCCTTTCGGTTGAATTTCGAGCGATTTTTGGTAGAGATAGTTTTCCAAATGCTCTTCGGTGCGGAAATCGCTTTTTGGATTGATCGATTCGAAGAATTGCTGAAAGAAAGAGAAACGGGTTAGATTGTGTTTGACCTTGTCAATTTTCGTTTGAAATCAAATACTTTTCACAATGTAATTTTGGCAGTTGAAAGAACGCCTAAATATTGTTGAGCCGTGGAAGAGAAAACCAAATATACAGTAGTATTTTGATCTTTTGACAACCTTGTTCCCAAGAAAATTCGCCACGTCATAACTATATTCTTGCTGCCAAAACTACATTGTCACCAAATCTCATGATCAAAGTATGATTTTTTTTCTACAAAAACATATGACTTCTAGTCTGCCCCAGCAAAAACATCAAAAACACATAAATCACTTGAATTTTCCTTATTTTTTCTAAAATTTCAACATTTTTTCCTATTTCAAATTTCATTCGATTCAATTTTTTAATTACCGGAAAACTAAACTTCGCAATTAAAAATAACAAATTCAAAAATATGCTAATTATTTCTGGACAAAAAGTTCAAGTTCAAGCTTCTCGAAAAACAATCAAACTACACACAAACCTGGAGAGGAAAACAAGAAGTTCTGGAAGAACCAGACGAACTCATCTCGATTTGAAAAAATATCAAAATCTTTTTTGTTACTTTCTTCCGTCTTCTTCTTCTTTTCTCAATCTAACCTATTATTGTCTCCTCCCATTTTTTCCCTGTTCCGATTCCGGTTTTCTTCCAATTCCTCCCTATCATTTTATCAATAACATCAAGAAAAAGTGAACAAGTCAAAATTACCCGAGCGAGGTAAAAGCCCCTACTTTTTGGTATGATGGTGATGTGGCAGAGTTGGCCGAAGTATGACGACAAATATGACAAGCGAATAACATTTGATAAGAAGACACAAAAGCGAATAGTAATAATAATGAAAATATCAATGAGAAATCAGAAAAAGTGCGCGGCGGAAGCGAGAGATCACAAGACGCAGACGTACAAACATTCATATGTTCTTCTTGGTCGCGCGCGGGAAGAAGATCGTTTTGAACTTTGTCTATTTCTCATCTTTTTTTGAAATTTTTCCAATCAGATGTCTGATTTCTTACTATAGTCTATGATTTTTCTTCAATTTTCTCAAAATAGTTATCAAAAACAACCTTCTGCTAAAAATAGACCAACTTCCGGTACACACACTTGTTTAAACTACTCATCTCATTTGGAGGAAGCAAGACAAGACAGAGACAGTTGTTCGATTCCAGAGAACAAGAAAAAAACGAGGGCGATCGAAATTCGAAATATTTTAACAATTCTCGTGTGTGTGTAAAGCAGTGGAACGGACTTTTGCCCAAATTTTTTTGGAGGGCTTCTTCTAAATGCAATGGAATGTTTGATGAATACAAAAACTGGTTGAGGGAACTTCTTCTTTCCTGTCATGTTGTTTTTGTTTCGTGTCACATGACACGAAACAATAAACTACTAAAATGATTGATGCGATTGAGAAAAGCGTGAAATAAATCAGCGGAGAAATCCAAGGAAGAATGGGAGATCGTGAGAATCAGGGTAGATCTACAAACTTCGAAAATGCACCCGATTGCTCAGAAGTGTTCTGAATTCAAAATTAAACTAAAGATGGTTTGACCAAACATGGTAAAGTGGTAGGCTACTGTTTATGAGACCCAGGTTCAATTCCTCTTGCCTGCTACAGAATTTACACTTCTGATTCAGATTCAATCACACCTCGGCCAATGAATTTCAGTTTTTTAGAGGTCAAAAACTGAACATTTACTGTAGCGTAAAATTGTTTATTTGGAAACCACGAAGGAAGGTGTGGATTCAAGTCTAAATTTTAGGAATTTTTCTACCAAACCCCTCTCATCATTTTCCCCATATCCACATCAAAACATCTATTAAATACCCATCCAATTCCACCTATCCTATAATTTCGCTCTATACATGAATTGCACAATGTACACCTGCCTCTCCGAAAAATTTTCAAATACAATGGATAGAATTACGCCATTTACACCTTGGATTATCTCTTGTATGCGACAGAAGATGTAAAAGAGCATTGTCTCTAATGCATCCAAGGTTCAAAAGTTAGCCAACATAAAAGGATGCGCAATCGAAACAATTGGGATAGCAATTAGGTAAAACTTGTTATTTTTCCCAATCTGGTGTCCATAAAAGTTGTGAAATTAGTAACCCGCTGTGCAATAATAATTACTCTTATCTGTTCGCAGAAGACAAATGTGGGAAACGATGTAATTATGGGGATAAGATTGTGAAAATTCAAAAACCCTTATATCTTGTGCCTCACTGACTCATAAAACTATACATGTAATTAGTGAGATATAGCCTAACTTATTTTTTTCTCATGCAAAAAAATTCATAAAAATTCAAAAACTAAAACAAACATACCCCTTGTTGCCGGATTAATAACATAATTGCGCAATTCGACAAGTTTGTAGCTTTTTATGGTAAAAAGAGAGCAGGAGAAAGAGCAAGAGGTGATGCACAAGTAAGTAAACAGTACAACTGAATGAGACAGGCAACTGCTGCTGCATCAAACAGTAACACATTTCCAACGCTCCGCCCACATTTTCTTTTGACACGTACTTTAGGGAAATCATGTATGATGGCGTAAGAAAGGATGATGAAGAGCACCTGGCACCTAGATTTCGCACCTTGTTTACACCTTATGGACGATGATAGAATATAAGAAGATGAAGTTGACATGAAAGTGATAGGTTTGGTCAAAATGGGAAGTTAGATGGAGAAAAAACAACAATAAGGTGTGAAGGTGGGAACAAATGAAAAAAGAACCATCATATGAACTCAGAGAAAAGGTGGTCCATGGGCAGCCCCTTGGAGTGCCCCGAGGGCTGGTCCTAAGGGCAACACTGGTGCATTCAAGGGGCGGCCTAGGGGCAATTAAGAAAAACTAGGGTATGACGTTTTTAAATTTTAAAAATTTTGACGTGGAAAAAATCATTTCTGTTTTAATTTTTAATTTTCGCCATGGCAAAATTCAAAAAATCTTGCGCCAGGAAATCATTCACAATGGTGATTACCTTCGGAAATCTAGTTTATCTATTTGATCAAAATTAATCGAAATCAAAACATATTTCAAAGAGAAAACTTTTATTTTATAAAAATGAAGCTTCTCAGAATTCTCATTCATAGTTTTCGGAATTTCGGCCCTGCTATACATTCTCGAAATAACAGTCGGAACATCGAATAATACTTTTCTAATGAGCACATTCTCTGACTTCTGCAATTTCGGACTTGGGCAGCGTGAGATGACACAATTTTCCAAATTCACAAATATTCCAAATAGAAATACTCATAGAAAAAATTCCTTGATTTCCTGTTCCTGCTTTTCACCTTGCAATTTTTTGGGACATATAAAATATAATAAATCGGAATTGAGTTCCCCACTATTTTCTTGAATACCGAAATAAGTGAAATGAAAGAAATTCATTATTTTTTGTGATCGAAAACGTAACTAGGTCACAAAACTAGGTCACGTGCTCAAAAAATATCCTTCAAATTATTTTTCCCATTAGAAAATTTGCCCTTCGTGCTGGTCCGAAGGGCAACACCCCGAAAATAGGGGCAAACAAAATTCCTACGGGCAGCCCCGGGGCAAAATTTTCTCTGAGAAGCCATATTTCGTGAGCTATGACGTGGCAATTGATATTTCGTATTCTCAGGATGAAGTTCTCAATATCACTTCAAACATCGGTCAACTTATTTTCAGCATAAAAACTTCGTCATCTGATAAACCCATAGCTTATCCGAAAAGTTATGTTTTGAACCATGACGTGGTGAAATCCCCAAACTTTCCAGCTTCTCTAGATCTTTAAAAAACAAATAATTCCAAAGATCCAACAACTTCCGTTACAACTGCAGAAAACATGCAAATATATAATCCTATAAATAGTTTTAGGCTGATGAATCAATCAAAATTCCTCCACCTGATTTCACAGTATCTCCTGCAGACGTGGGTAAATTGTCCTGGCCTCATGCTGCCCGGCCCTAGCTAACATGGCTTGAATATGGCCCAAAGAGGCCAACATGAGGCCAGATTCCTCAACCCTGATCTCCTTTTCCAGAAACCTCTGATTCCTTCCAGAAACCTCTGATTCATTGGTTTCAACAATATACATATTAGTATACATATTAGTATCTATTTCAAGAATATCGCAACAATTTCCGATTTCCTTCCTCTTCCCCAACATCTTTTCATTTTCCCAGGAAATGACGACTCTAATGCTCTTTTCCGAATGATTTATGAAAGAGATCGAGGTGAGAGAAGAGCAATAAAATGGTATTACTATAGTAATCTGACAGATATATATTTACTGATGCCAAATGAATTCAGATAATGAATAGAAAAAGCGATCATTGCTCATAATATTCTTTTCATTTCCCCTTATAACTAACTAATTACATCAACAACTAGTTCTTTACTTCATTCCCTTCACATATTCAGAAAAATAAATAAATAAGAACCTGATTTCATTTCCGCCCCATTCTCGGTCGTAAAACTCAAGAAAAAAAAATGGTTTTCCTCCTCAAATCCATTAGGAAATGAAATAAAATGAAATGGCGTGGGTATACGGTAGTCGAAATGTTTGATCTTTTTTCAATCAAGAGATTTCTGGACAGAAAAACACACACATCTTTGCAAGAAAATAGGGAAGTGAAATGCTTGTGGTAAACAACCAAAAAGTTGACACGCGATAAATTTCCCAAAATATATTTTTTGTGCTTTTCCTTTTCCTGGAATCCATTACAATGACTAACTTTTATTATGCTGAGAAAATGACAAAAAAATAGATGAATCACAAAGTTTTGAATTATCAAATGTATTCTGGGAATAGATCAGTCTAGTGCGATTTTTTATGCTTCACAAATCCGATTTCGGCTAAAAAACTGATACTGAGATGAATGTACACGATGGATTAAAATTTGAACAAGAGCAAAGCACACGGAGAAACGTGGAAGAAACATCCAGACATCTAAGAGAGAGTCTATCAAACATCGTTCAAAGACTACAGATATTCCAATGATCAAAAATCAGCGAAACGTGAAAATTATGTCGTCAACTAATCTCTTTCGAGTAGAGTTGGCATCGAGTTTTGGCTCTAATTGGAGAGATGAGTTTTTGAGAAAACTGAAGAACAAACATTTTTGGAAAGAATTTCAGAGTTCGAATACGGTATTCACAATTCACAAGAATGAAGGCCTTGCAAGAACTCAAAATTCAGGTTTAACCAAAAAATCGACGAGTTACAGTAATCCCAGGAACTTTATGAATTTTCAGTGCCTACGGTACCCAGAGTCATTATTTTCAAAAACAAAAAAATTCAAACAAATTTTCTTTCAGGTGCCACATAAATAGAGATTCAAGAGAAAATATTAGCAGAATTCGAGAAAGATCTACCAGATTCAGAATTTCGATCATATTACAAGACAACACTGAAACCTACAAAGCAAGAATCGTAGACTTTGTCCTTGATTTTGCAGGTTCTTGATCGTTTCTTGGTGGCAACTTGTTTCTCGCCAAAATTGGAATACGAGAATCGTCTCGCCTCATCTTTCTTCGAAATTCTCACAGCTTTCATTTGTTTCTCCAACATTATCAAAACTTCTTTTGATGGAACTGGCTTCTTCCGATGTTCAAAATACATAACTTTCATGATTGGCTCTTCTCCAATCGGATCTGTCAACTCTGGAGGCATCGGACAAGCTGGTTTCATTCTTGTTGTTGTTTGTTGATCAACACAATTAATAATAAAAAAAAGATAATAATAATAATCAAGTTCAGTCACAACACAAACTAATGACTCATGTACACAATCCTCCTCCCTCATTTCCGTAGAGGCGTGGTCAACCTTTGCTGCTTTCTCTCGAAATCTCTTCACTCTGCTCTAATCAAAATAAAACTGAGAAGAGAGTGTGTGTGTGAGGAAGCCAGAGACCGGCTACTTGTTGTGCATCCATGTCGAGCCTGGCACGAAGGAGCTGAATTTCAGCACGATGAAACGAAAATGAGTCACTGCACACAGAGAATTAGACACTAGATGTTGCAATATTTTCAGCGTCTCGCTTTTTTCCTCTCTATCAACATCTAAATATGGAAAATATCGCAACATTTTTTGAGGAGCTAGCCTAGAAAAAGAAGGGAGAGAGCTCGAATTAGAGATTGGGGTGAGTGAGTGAGCGCAAGGATAGATATTAATGTATGTTTCAAAATGAGTCATTTGCATTTATGTTTCTCACGTAACTCGATTCTGAGTAGTTGCTCGAAGATTGGGCAAAGTATATATGTTTCGACTCCATTTTTCGCAATCTATTTGAATATGGGGACAGAAAAACACGAAAAGGAATGGGATGATGTGATAACAAGTTGATGACTACATAGCTATGTAGAAGTGCCTACAGACACTAGAAGCAGATGGTTTCCGAGAAAAGAATTCAGATTCACTAAAATGTGGTTTCTAGTCTAGTCTAATCCTAGACTAGACAATAGTGGTTGGAAAAATTTTCTAACAAGGATCGGGGGATTCCGAAACAAAATATTAGGGAAACATGGTGATCTGGACTTTTGAGCCATTTTACACGGTGTTTCACTGTTTTTTCTAACTTTGAATTTTTTAAACTTATGTCTGAGAAGCTTCGAGAAAAAATCCCTTCAAATGAGCAAAACTTATTTTTCTCACACTCCACATTTAAGTTTTCTCAAATGCGCTAAATAAAAAGACGAGTTTCTGAACTTGGATAAGATCTCCGAATTGAAATCGGTGTGTATGTGGAAAACATCTCATTTTTCAAAATATTTCAGATTTATCGGCTAAATTTTAAATTTTTGCTTTAGAGAAGCGGCTCCACTAGAACTGTGCTCTCCAGAAGTTACAATGTTGGATAGATAGAATTTTTGTGATCTCTAGAAATTCCTTTGGTCGACCGAGCTGTGTCTTTCAGATACAGTATTCCTAACGTAAAAATCCCCTAACTTCTCATAAACGAATGTGAAAATGATATCAAATCGCGTGTTTCATGAAAATGATTTCATGCAGAAAATCTCAAAGATTCAAAATATAAAAGAATTTCGAGAATTCAAACTACAAGCGAGTTCAAGTTCAAACTCTATTTTCAGCCGCTAGACAAATACTATCCAGCTGTGCAGATCAAAAACTCACAACAATCCTCAACGCCGCCACAAATCGTCTCAATTTCCGATGCTTCTTTCCTTTATCCTTCATTTTCTTGCTCTCAACAACAGCGATTTGAATAAGCGGTTCTTCGTCGGAACCTCGTCGCAAAAATCGGCGGATGAACATTTTCTTTTTGCAATCTAAATAATGAATCACATCGTCCAGAGAGGAAGAAAAAAGAAGTGAGCAAATCAATCAAAAAGTGATGGTGGTCAACATATTGGAAAATCATAAAGAAAATAAAAAAATGAGAGAAGAAAATAATGGAAAAATGAAGGTGGTTTCGAACACCGCCACAAAATCAGATTATTTTATGCCGTTCGCATAAATAACTTGGTTAGCCACAGCCAAAAAAGAGCTGTCTGTTGAAAAAAGTGTTGAAAACTTCGAAACAGTCTCAAGGGGTTCATGAGTCATGTGTGTTTTGTGTTTTTTTGATTGATTCGAACATTCCCCTCAATTATATGCAAACTACAATTATTTATTGTTTTCAGATATAAATATCACTACTTTTCCTTGAAATCGCTGACTAATTCGGTCAAAAATACAAAGATTTTTGAAACATTTCGGATTAGGGGATTTTCTAATTTTATCGTGATTAATGTTAATCCAATTCTAGAGAAAACCATATAAGATGCAGCAAAAAAACGACCAAACTTCAAATAAACAAGGAAAATATTCTAGTTGGCAGCAATAAAATCTGAGGATAATCCTTAACGCTTGTCTTCAAAAAAAAAACTAAAAGTTTTTGATTTCGAAAAATAATAATCTAAAATTCAATATCAAACACCTACGCTCCATTAGACGAAAGAAGCAAAAAAAAATAACACAAGACGAAATAAACATCTGCCTTTTTTCTTCTGAAAATCAAATAAAATATATTTGTTACAAGAGTGAAAAGGAAGAGGCCGTCGAAAGGAAAGAATACAAACAAAATACGGAAGTTCATCCTTGTCGGTGCGGTGTCTTAGAACCTCCGGATGTTACCACAATACGCAACAATTCGTTTCTTTTTGGCAATTAAAAACGAAAAAACTCTATTGTATTATATAAAAAAGACACCATATGTTAGTCAATTTAGTCAATTTTTTTTCTGATCATAACCATATGTCAAAAAACTTTTTTCTTTCGAAAAAAAAATGATGGAGCTGTGAAAAGAGTGATTGAGCTTCAGAGTTTATAGAAAATCGTGGAAAAACTTTTTTTGGAATAAAAACTGGAAATTCTGGTTTTGAATATTTTTATGTCCCAATAATTTTAAGCCTGTCCCAAACCTCTCCCGTTCCCAATGTCCAAAAAACCCACCCTTATACTCGGCTCCAAAACCAGCGGATACGGCTCATTCTGATACATTTGAATCTCTCTTATCAAATTCGAAATCCGGCGGCACTTCAAAAACGACACCAATACTCGTTTGTTATCCGTTGAAATATCCACATTTTCCTTGCGACCAGCCGCATTTCCGCCTCCGCCAGGCGGATTTTTTACAAAAGTGCTGTTGCCTTGTTCGAAGAAGAAAATATTGGAAAGATAGTGACCGAAGAATGGGACACACGGTGGATTGATGTTTTGGAGTCGTTTTTGCATTTCTTGCCATCGGGGTTCGCAAAGTGTAACGAAACGGGAATAACATTTTTGTTTTTCATTGTCGAGACGCTGGAAAGAAAATGGATTTTGGATGAAGACTGTTCCAAATGTTGAGTAAGAAAATTTGGGGGAAATCCTAGACTTTGATCTCAAAAAATCTGATGTTTGTTGAAATTCGGATTTCCGTTCTGGAAAGATATTATAAGGAAATTGAATATGAAACATGGAAATTGAAAAAAATATAATTTATAAATCAGAAGGTTTAGAAACCAGAGATTTGAAGATCTTTGAATTTTCAAAAATTAAGGTAACTTTAGTGTTCTCAAAATTTGATTTTGAAAATTCAAATAATTTTAACAGGAGGATTTAAAATTATTTTAATGAACTTGAAATTTTTTAGAGCTGAATTCTTCATTTTCAAGCAAAAAACTCTTCTCAAAAATTCCAATTCTCAGAAAAAACTCACATCCCAACACCAACTGAGTCTAAAAACACACGACGATTGAAGTGCGGCCAAAAACGCAACCAATCCCGTGAAATTGTGCAATTCCTCAAAAACCGACATAACTTCGAGTGCTCGATTGAACATTGCAACTCGTTCTTCAAGTGATTCCGTTTCAACAATCGATTTTGACACCCAATATGTTAGCTGCAAATTCTCGAAATGTTGACCTGAAAATTCAAAAAAAAAATCAACTCACCAACGTCGAATGATCGGTTAATCTGAGCAATTGCGGACTTTTGCGATATTTGTCGTGTTTTGTCCACGCGGCTTCGACTAATTCAATCGGTTGAATTGCTCGATATAAATCGAAATGTAGAAGTGTTAATTGTCTTCCAATTTCGAGAGGATGAAGAGTTAGAAGATCATAATTATCAATATCGCCTTTGAGAGCAGTATGCCAGAGGGTCTGCAAAAAAATCAATAAGGAAATTTTTATGATTTTTGTGCTGAAAAAGATAAACTTTTGAATTGTAATTTTCTGATAAAAATCCAAAAATCTGATTTTTCGAATTTTCAAACTAAAAATACATTTTTTTTTAGGAAAAACCTTGAATCTTGGTTTTCGGAGGAATTTGAATTTCCAGATTTTTTCCAAGAATCAAAAAAAAAAAAATCCTCAAGTGGATTTTTTGGCGCAGAACTTTGATTTTCAAAAAATTAATTTTCGTTTCTTGGAGCACATATGTCCAGAGAATTCGAAAAAAATCAGAATTTAAAATCTTGGTGAAAGGAAATTTCTCTATGTTTCTGAGGTTTTTTTAAACAAAATTTTTAGTGTAACAAGTTTTTTTTTAATTTTTATATTTCAAATTTTTTATATTCTCTTCTAATAAATAAGGAAGTTTTGGCTTTTGAATTGGAATTTTCTGAAAAAATCCAACAAATCTGATTTTTCGAATTTTCAAATAAAAAATACATTTTTTTTTCTAAGGAAAAACCTTGAATTTTGGTTTTCGGAGGAATTTGAATTTCCAGATTTTTATCCTCAAGTTTTTTAAGATGTGGATTTTTCGCGCAGAAATTTGATTTTCAAAAAATTGCTCCGAAAGAAAAATCAGAATATAAAATCTTGATTAAAATTAAAAAAAAAGAATTTTCTCTATGTTTCGGAGGTTTTTTGTGCAAAATTTTCAGTGTCACAATTTTTTTTTATTTCTTAGGTTTGGTGGACATTTTTAGCGCAAAATTTTGATTTTTAAAATTTTTCTTTTTTTTTTTATTGTGTTGAAAATACCCCCCCCCCCCCCCAATCTCTTACCATCGGTGGCTGTAACTTGAAATTCTCAGTCATTTCCCTTCTCTCATCATTAGCATAAGCTGGCGGTTGATTATCCTCTCCATAAACAAAAGCACTATTCACATGTCCCTCCTCATTTTCTCCCATATTTCCACAATTCCTCTCATCAATTCCACATTTCATTCGTTTTTCGATCGTCGCCAAGATTGTTTTACAAAACTTCTTGTGTTGTTTAGTCAATTTCTCTCGCGGATCACAACATTTTTGCAAAAATCTTTCCAACGCTTCCAGCAAAACCAAATCACATTGAAAATCATACCAATGAAATTTGACCCATTGATTGATAACACTCAAAACTCTCAACTGAACCGGTCTTTCATATTCTTTTCGAAATCTTTGAAAACTTTGCTCGTATAATGGAGAATATGCAGATGTTGTTGATAAACCATGTGATTGTACAGTATCATATCTTCCAGCTAATGGACCTCCTCCTTTATTTTGATTATGTTGTAATTTATTTGGTATCGGAATATTAAATCGTTCCAAAAGCATACTCAATAAATCATTTGGTGTGCAAAAAGATCGAAATGAGATCAAAAATGTTTGTATATATTTGCTATCCGTATAAGAATGATATGTTAATCTTTCAATTAACTTCAAAACCGTTCCATTTTTTATCACCGGAATTCCACTACTCGAAGTATAATCCTCAAAACTTATATTTTCTTCAGTATCCGGCTCGGAAAACCGATATTGTTCAGGTCCAGGAATAATCAATGGTATCCGTTTGGCTTCATCTTTTTCAAAATTATCCAATATTCTGTCAAGCACACTTTTCGTTGTAACTCTCACTAAAACTTCCATCCACTGTTTCTTTTCATCGATTGATTTGCAGACAATTTGAAATGATTTTGGTAGACAAGTTTTATCCCGTGATACAATTCGAAACGAATAAGGGATTCCTGGGAAAAACAAAAGTATTTTGGGATAAAAAAAAATTAAAGTAGAGTACCATCAGAATCCGGAATATCAAACACATCCATCGAATGTACAGCAACTCGATCTTTGAATTTCAAACCATTCTTATTCTTCTTGCAAAACAAAATCAATTGATCGAACAAATAAATGAATCTGGAAAATATTTTTAGGAATTTGGAAGGGGGGGGGGTTTGATGAGAAAAATGATGATGAACTTCTGACAAGGGAAGTTCTAAAAAAATTTATAAACTCCCTAAATGTTTTCCCCAACAAAATTTTATACCAGAAAATTCCCTCACCTTTCAGTCTTCCACTTCTTATTCTTGGTCACCGTTTCATTCGCCGCATACATCAAAGACGGTCGAACCATCCCAACAAATCCCTCCTTTTCAACTTCATTACACGTTTTTCCAATCGGACTTCCCGTAAATCCCTCAATCGATGATTGTATGTCATGAAGTCGTTTCACATTGTAAATCTTCTCACTTTTCGTTAGCTGATCCCTAAAAAAAAAGATTTTTTGGAAAAAATGGAGAAGATTTTAGTGAAGAAAATTTTAAAACTAACAAAAATGAGGATATCATGAGTTTAGTGTTCGGGTATTCTGAGCAAATCGTATCAATATTTGTTCGAACTCCACTTAAAGCACTTCGACAGTTGTTTAGATCAGTGCGATCTTCATCAGTCGACGATAATCGAGAAAGTTTCTAAATCAAAAATTTTTTTATAAAAGCCTCATCTGATTAAAATAATAAAGCTTACATTAATATATTCCACGTATTGAAAAATATGGAAAAGTGGGATATGTAAAAGTTGTGGAAGAACATATTGAACAGCTAATTTGAAGCTTTGTCCATCTAGCGAGCTATTAAATAAATGATCCTCTGCCTCAAATAATCTTGCACATCTCTCATTATTCAATAATTCCTCAATTGTCTCATTCACAACATCAGTTACTATTCTTTTTTCACCATCATCAGTCTCACGAACAATATAAGAGATATAAGCATCGAATTCATATGCTTCAGCTAAATCCCAAATTCCCATTCCAATACATTGTGTATCACTAAGTTCAATGGCGTCTTCCAAAGTTCTTTCAATTTTCAAGGCGAGTTCGTAGATGTCGGGAAGATTTCCGAATAATTCTTGAATATAAATTCGATCTTCATCGATGGCAACAGTTTCAATTCGTCGACGGAAAACGTTTATTCGATTGAGTTCTCGAATAAAACGACGTTCATCGCGAAGAAATTCGACAGCGATCTGTGAAAAAAGATTTTAGAAATGATAATATTTCCCATTTTTTTATTGGTCACGTAAACACGTAATTTTGAAAAATGAGAAATTGGCCTAGAATTCCAAAACATTGCTCATATTTGTCTCTACTACAAAGTTTCAAACCCACCGATTCATATGTGGATTTTGTTGAACTTTTTGATTTATTGCTACTTTCATTTGCAACATTTTTATTCTCCGTTTCTTCCGATACAAATTCATCAAATTCGGCAAGAAATCCAAATCCTCCAGGCGATTCAGCCTCTTCTTCATTCTTCAATTTTATCCGTAATTCCATCAATGCTCGATCAGCATTCAAAGCAACATCAAGATTTGCAAATGTGATTTTTGGATCAGAATTTCGAATATTTTTCACATAATTTCCGGTCAATCTAATAATATCTTCAGCAATACTTTCGCATGCGAAATAAATATAACTAGCCATTTTTTCGATTTCTCGTTTTTCTCGATCGCGTTTTTCTTTTTCTCGTGGACCCAATGTTTCTTTGATGAATCCCGCAAGTTTATGTTGATTTTCTATCGCTTTTTTTGCATTTGCCGATTTTTGAAATTTATGTTTTGTTGTTTGACTTTGCATATTATCCCAAGCATCTTTGACAACAGATTGGAGACCAGCTCCAAAAAGTTTTCGAGCAATTCGATCGATTTCTATAACTGTTGTTGCTTTTTGATCAACGATCTGAAGAGAAAAAACATTTTTAATGAGTCATAATTATCATAATTATAAAAACATTTTAAATGAGTCATACCTCACAAACAATATTTTGCAAAAAACTTCGTATATGTTCAACTGCATCATATTCAATAGGAAGTCCAGGATGGATAACATTTACAATTTGATAAATTCGTTCATCAAAAATAGCGAGCGCCCATTTTTTCGCGCCAAAAGTTCTTCGACTTGTTAAAGAAGCCGTATCAGAAGAGCCAGCCGAGTTCATTGAAATCGACATGATATTAACACCACTCATTCAGCCAACATACTCAAATTGAACAATGCAAATATTATAGAACAACAAACAAACAAACAAACAATATAATAATAAAAGTGAGTGTATGTTGTGTGCCTGTCTGCTGAAAAGATGATGATGATTACACTTTTTTTCAAAGTTTAGCAAGATAGGGAGAGAAAGAAAGGAAGAGTGCCCGCGGGACGGGTAAAAGACGCAGAGATACCGAGGAAAAAATAAAACATGAAGGCCGCTTCGAACTAGTTTCACATTAAATCTATCTTTCTATCAGACCGTTATATTGATTGCCTGATTGATTAAGATTATTTTGTTTTGTTTTATATGACAAAAAGATGAAGAATTGGATTTGATAACAAAATGGGGAGAAATCGAATGATCATGGAATTTTTATTAGATTCGATTTGAAATCCAGAAATATTTTTACACAATAAAATCGTGCAAAACAATAAAGGTCAATTCTCGAAATAGATAGAGATTTGAGAATTCGGCCGATCGGGAAACAAAAAAAAAACAAAAACAAAATGAAAACTCCAATTCGAACTGCCACTCATTTTCCCATGGCCGAAAATCCGACAAATTTCTCGACCCTTTTGCATTGGAGCACACTTGCATCATTTCGTATTTTTTTTTTCGAAAACAAACGCTTTTCGTTCATCGCAAAAAATCCGGTTTTACCATACGTTTCATATTCATTTATTGATTTCAGAAAATCTATGAGCGCTCAAACTGCATCGTCAGAAACTTCGAAAAAGTTGAAGGTAAGAAATTTTGACATTTTTACTAAATAGAATTTAAAAAAAAACAATTAAATTGAAGGCGGCAATTCGCGCGAAACTTGAAGAACTTGGTGTATATGTTGACGATGAATTGCCAGATTATATTATGGTGATGATTGCCAATAAGAAGGAAAAATCGCAAATGAAAGATGATCTTGGTTTATTCATAGGAAAAAATACTGGAAAATTTGTCGATTGGCTGTTTGACTTGTTCGATAGGTTACAAAGCGCATCTTCGAAGCAAAGTGCTGAGGAAAATAAAAAAGCTGAAGAATCTGCAGCTTCAGAAGAAAAACGGAGACGTCAGAGTGAAGAAGATCGGCAAAAGGAAAAAGATCGAGAACGTGAGCGGGAAAGAGAAAGAGAACGGGAGAAAGAACGAGAGCGAGAACGGGAACGGGAACGGGAGCGTGAAAAGGAGAAAGAGCGGGAACATGATCGAAGATCCCGAGAAAATCACAAAAAACGAGATGAAAAGCAGAAAAGACGAAGAAGTCGATCGAATACCTATTCAGATGAAGAAGATCGTAAAAAAGCTCGAAGTGATAGACGAGTTGTATCAACTGTTATTAGAGCACCTTCAAAAAAGTCCAGAACCACAAAGAGTGCAGTCCACAGTAGTTGTGAAAAGAAATATCAGAACATCTGGAGAGTAAGTTTTATAAAAAGTCATTTTTTGGGGTTTTAAAACATCAAATTTTTCAGCAAAGCCAACGCAAAAGCTCGTAGTTCTATGTTCTTGAAAGCTATGAATGAAGCAAGTGTTAGTGCTGGTTATGCTCCAAGAAAATCGTCAGAAAATCCGAAAAATGAGGGAAATGATGATGATTTGTCAGATTTCGATGCGTTGCCAACGAAAAAAGAAGAGGAAAAACAAGAAGAAGAATCACCAAAGCATAAAAAACATAAGAAGAAGAGTTTGAAAGAGCGAATGGCTTATAAGAAAAGTCGTCGTTCACATTCTGGAGATGAAGAAGATGATGCTGTTATTTTGAACAACGATGAAGCTTCAAAACGTGGACCTCAAATGATTATCAAACTGGCTGGCGGAGAAGAAGCTATCAAAAGGCTTCGAGTTCATGATAGAATCGTTCTTCCCGATAGATCAGATCGATCTAGATTGAAAAGAAAACTGTCTAGCTCGCAGGAAAAAGATGAAGAAGAGGAAAACCCCAAGCATCAAAGAATAGTTTTCGATTTAACCCCATCAAGCACCCCTTCGTCCGACTCACCAACACTCAAAAAATGGGACGGTCAAATCGATCTTGCACAAGAATCGGAAACCAGTGAAGATGAAACCGAAATTGATGCGATTTTGGCTGAAGCAAGGGGATATTATACACAAAATGATGAGGAGGAGGAAGAACTTCCGCCAACTCACACACTTTCTGGCAGTAGTTTCTCATTAGCTCCGGTTTATGTTCCAACACCGATTCATCAACTTCAAGAACTCGAACAACCTCAAACCCAGCAACAACAACAGCAAAAAGAGAGATGTGTGTTTTGGCCAAAATGTACAAAAGGAGATGTTTGTCAGTTCCATCATCCAACCAAAAATTGCACGTAAGTTTTTTGTTTTTCACAGAAGCCTCCAAGTATTCTCGAAATTGTTTTTGTTATAGATCATTTCCAAAATGCTCATTTGGTCCTCGCTGTCTTTTTATCCATCCACCATGCCGTTTCGACAAATTCTGCACCAAAAAACAATGTCCATTTTTGCATTATGGAACTGGCGGTGTTCAACCAATAGTTCCAACTGCAATTCCAAAAGCGCTACCACTCACAGCTAACAAACGTCCTATTCCAATTGCCACGCCAAAAATTGCACCACTCAGTGAAGCGGCTCCACCAAAAGTTGGAGTTTTGTCATCGATTGCTGCTAAACTTGTTGCATCGGTCAAAAAATCTGAGCCAACTGCGTCTGGATCATCATCTGAAGTTACTGTAACTGGAGAAACTGATGAGAATGAGGAAAAGGAAACTGTTGTGACAAAAGAAGAAGTACCTGTTGCTCCAGTTCCTGCTGCAAAACCTGATGTTGTTGTGGCAAAATCAGAGTGAGTTAGGAATCAGAAATGACTGATTTTTTCGGGGAAAATAATTAGAACGATAAGACGTGTGACCTGGCGAATTTTTTAAAAATTGAAAACGTGAATTAATTTTTTCCACTGAAAAACATATTTTTTAATTTTCATGTGAAAACTCACGCACTTTTGAAAAATTAAGAAAACTTTGAAGCCAAGCTCGAATTTTTTTCGGATTTTTATTTGATTCACGAACTTATGATAATTTGAATCAGAAGTTTATCAAAATTTTAAAAATATTCAAAAAAAATGTATCATCAAAATCAAAAAAAAAATCATCTTAAAATTTAACAAAAAATTATAATCCCTGCAACAAATTTTGATGCTTCAAAATGTAACCGAAAAAAAAGTATTCAAATCAGAAAACCTCTCCTCAAAAATCCCATTTCCAGCCCAACTCCAACCGGTGTTCTCCAAAACCTGATTCCCTGCCGATTCGCCGCCGCCTGCCGCAACCCAGGTTGCTATTTCAAACATCCCAAAGAATGCAAATTCGGTTCAACATGCCGCAATTCCTACTGTTATTTCTATCACAAACCAGCAGCAACTCAAGTCAAGAAAACCAATGATGCGATGGCAAAATTCAAATGGACTGCCACAAATCCAGCTGTTGTTCCAGTAGCAGTACCATCAACTTCAACCACAAGTGCCTAGATTTTTAATATCTATTTGTTAGCTGTGTAAATTTATTGAAAAATGATTTATTATTGTATTTTTCTTGTGTTTTATTATTTTTCGCTTTTCTCGAAAAAATGTCATATTTTTTCTTTCGAATTCACAAATTTACAATAATATTTGGGTTAATCTGAACTCTGGTTGGTTTTTTTTTCACAAAAACATGACAAATATTTGTCGAATTTCTTTCTCAATCAATTTGACCAATCAAAAAAAATGTATTTATCATCGCGAAAAACACTTCCACTTTATTTCATTTTGTGTAACAATTTTCTCATCATCTCTTCGATTTTCTTCTCGCCTTGAAATCAATCTCGAAATTTCAGTGTGATTATGCTGAAATTGCTTGTTCTTCTTTTCTGCCTCCTGGCTTTGTCATTTTGCTGTAAATGCAAAGATCAAACTACACAGGAAAGTTTTTGTGGTGCGCATTGGGTTTCGCATGTGAAAGTGATTGCGCGGGTTGCGAAACAAGGACTTCCGGCTGATACTTCGAGAAAGGGATTGAATAATTTGAGATATACTGTGCAACATGTCAAGGTTTTTAAGGTTGGTGCTATTTTTTTGGGATTTATATTTGGGGGGAAAATTGGGGCATTTTCAGAATTTTTTTTTCAATTTTTGAAATTCAAAATTTCTTGTTTGAATTATTTTTCGAAGTTGGAATTTTTTCATAAAAATAAAAAAAATTGAAAAAAAAAAGATTTTCTAATAAAATTGTCAAAAAAATAAATAATTTTTTGAAATTCCATAAAATGTGGACTTGAAATTTTCAAAATTTGATACATGTCATATTTCTTTGAATTAATTCTGTAAATTAAAAAAAAATTTCAAAATAAAAAAATGCAAATTCCTTCGTAAAATTAAACCCCAATGATTTTACTTTGAAATATTTCGAAAAATTTAATCCTAGCTTGTTTTTTTTTTTGAAAAATTTTCAAATCTAGTTAAAAATGTGATACTTTGCATATTTTTTAAAATTCAGTGAATTTTTAGAAATAAATTTTCAGATTAAAAAACTCATTTGAAAAATGTGGTCCCAAAAATTACTCTGAAAAATTTCGAAAAATAAAAAAGTTCGCTACAGTACTCTGAGAATTTCATAGAACAATTCGAGCGCTCAAAATTTCAGAAAAAAAATATTGATCAATTTTCTTGAAAAATCTTGACCAAAATTAAAAAAATCTAAAATTTCTTCTCAGATTTTTGGAATCTAAAAATCTGAAAACCCTATTCAACTTCCAGACCCCCGCCAATCTCACCACTCTCCCCTCGGAAATCTTCACCCCCAGCGAATCACCAGCTTGCGGTCTCAAAATTTCAGCCGGTCACGAATATTTGCTAGCCGGTCGAGTTGAAGGCGCCTCCTCTTTGTATACCGTTCTCTGCGGACAAGTTGTTCCAGACAGCTCAACTTCAACAGAATTCGAAAAGGTTTTGGAGTGGAAAAATGTGCCAGCAAGTCTTCCTGCACAATTGGCTGCTATTAAATGTTAAGAATTTATTCTATATTTTTATAATAAAAAGTGAAATGCAAATGAATTATTTGGCGAGAAGTAAATGCGTCCATTTATGATCATTGCTACTGAAAAATATTTTAAAAATTTTTGAAAAAAGTTTTTTCTTTAACTAACTTTTTCAAATCCTTCAATGTCACTTCGATACCTCGTTTGAGAATTTCTTCAAATTCAACAACTGCAATTGCAAGTGCTCCACCACCAGCAACAGCAACTACCCGATCTTTTCTGAAAAAAAGTGAAATTTTTTACGTTTCAGAATTTTGGTATATGAAAATACAGTGTCTAGAAATTGATGTGAAGGAAGACATTTCAAATCTAGCCAACTAACTTCAAAAAATATCTGACAAAATTGCCAGTTTCAGCTTCTCCATGTGTATACTGTTTCGTGGAATCCTGTGAATATCCGGTGAATTTCAGACCGAAAGCAAAGAAAAACAGGGTCCAGAAAAATGGGACAATCGGCCCTGGATGCGGTTTTCCGACAATTGAATATCCCAAATATTGTCCATGAAGTTGAGCAGTTTGGAAATGTTGAATATTTACTGTTTCAACATCCCATAGTGGAAGTGGGAATGAGGTGACGTCACCGATTGCGAAGATGTAACTGATGTTTGTCTGAAAATTGGGGGGATTTTGAGGAGGAAGAGGGTTAACCCAGAACCGGTTCGGTGACAATTGGAAGTTGGACAAAAATTAGTATGAAAAATTTTAGATTTCTAGATTCTTGTGAAAAAAAATGATCAAAAAGGTTTTCTGTGAATTTCAAAAAGTTTCAAAAAATTGGATCAAAATTGTTTTTTTTTTAATTTTAAGATTCAAATTTTTCCCAGAAGATCTAAATTATTTTCATTTTGAAATCTCAAAATCGGATCCAAAAATCCTTTAAAAAAAAGTTCCAATTTTTTTATCATGTTTCGCTGATTTCCTACAAATTCTCTAACCTTCTCCTAATTCAAATGTGACCTTTCTAATTAATTCAATTTAATCTGATTATTTTAAATTTCCCACTTCTTCGGTTTCAACAAAAAATCTTCACACTCACCCTGAACTTCTCATCAACAAGAATAAATCCACGTTTATCCAACTTCACTCCAGAATGTTTCAAAAATTCGGTAGCCGGTGTAACACCAATTCCACACACCAAAAGATCAGCCTCAATAGTTTCGCCATTCGCCAAGGTGACTGATTTCACTTGGCCATCTTCGCCATTCACTTGAGTTACACTTGTCGCAAGTTGGAATTTCACACCTTTCTCTTCGAATTTCTATAAAACCTTTGTTCTTTTAATGAGATCTAATGGGAATCAAATAGAATAAACTCACCAGTCTGATACCTTTTCCAACATCAGCTCCAAAAACAGGAAGAGGTTCAGGAGAACTTGAAATCACAGTGACTGATTTCGCGTTAGCCGCAAGACTTGAGGCCATTTCCATTCCAATAAAGGATGCGCCAGTAATCACAACATTTCTGCCCAGATGTTTTTCAGCGATCTGATTTGCCTCCTCAAATCTTCGAACATAATGAATATTTTCAAGATCAGCTCCAGGAATTTCGAGTTTTCGAACATTTCCACCAGTTGCGATGATCAATTTTGAATAGAAAACTGTTTCGCCGTTTGAGAGTAGAACTTCTCTCCGAGTTGGTTTGATTTCGGTGACTGATGTGTTGAGGTGGAATTTGACGTTGCGATCGGTGTAGAAATCTTCTTGACGAAGCTTGATTTTGTCAGATGTTGCGGCGGGGTTCTGAAGAAGAAGTTGCAGTGAGTTGCTGGGGGTACGTGCTGTTCAGAATTTTTTGTTATCAGAATTTTGGAAGTTCAAAGATAAAACATAATCATTATAAGGTTTGAAAGATAAATTCAAAAAATTATTTTGTTGATTTTAAAAGTTTTCTTGGTTGAAGTTCTGGATTTGAGACATTTTCTAGAAAAAAATCGAATCTTTTGAATTCTGAATTTTTTTCAGAAAAATCCATAAAGTTAAAAATTTTAAAATCTTAAAAGTTCTAAGCAATCGGTCAGTCAGATCCAGGGTTCCAAACCGATTCTGAAGTTTCAGTTTGGGCCGGGTCAACCTGGAAACCTGGTCAGATATTCTCTTTGATCACCCCTCGAAAAATAATCTAGATCTCCCTGTTCAGAACTCCTGCCCACCTTGCTCAACAAAACCCGATCATACGGTGTAATACTCTCCTCGGAAATCACCAAAATCGGTGTAACCAATCCATTCAATCTCGAATGCTCAATAAAAGTCGCAGCAGCCACACCACCTCCAATCACAATAATTGGTCGATCATCGCATTTTTTCGTCTTGGCAACATATCTGATTCTTCTATCCGATCCCAATTTCTTTTCAGTTGTCTTGATAACAATTTCACCATTAACATCCGAAACTTGATATGAATTAAGACTATCAAAACCAGGATAATCTTCAATATCTCCAGTTCTCACATTGAAACAGGCACCGTGAAGTGGACAACGAATTCGACCATTTGCGTAAACACCATTTTCCAATGGGAAATTATAATGAGAACACAAGCCATTGATGGCTAGAAGTTTGTTGTTGTCGTTTATAACTAGAATTTTCCTTCCTCGAACTTCGAAGATTTTCTTGGTTCCTGGGGGAACTTCTTCAACTTTTCCGATTGATTCTTCAACTACTGCAGAATCATCGATAGCGCATTCGGGTTCATTTGGTGGATAACAACACAAATTCGACATTGATGCCTAACTCTGAAAATATAGGGGGAATACGGAAAATGGATAAAAGTTTGAAGAGAAAAAATAAGGACAAAAATAAAATAAACTTAAAATTTTCAAAAAAAAAATTCTAAACTAGTAATTTCAGATAAATTCGATTCAGTAAAAAATATGATAATTTTGAGCCGTTTCTAAAAATTCCAAATCAAAGTACTTTTTTCACAAATAAAAAAAATTGGGTTCAAAAATTGTTTTCAAATTTCTGGGCCCCCCAATTCACTATCAAAATATGGTCCTGAACAAAACTAGAGTATAGTTTGCAACCTCAAATTCGCCAATATAAAAAAGTACAACTAGGAAAACTACATTTCCAAAAATGAAAAAAAATAAAACAGTTTCCATAGAAAAGAGCAACACCGCATTCATTTTGTGTTTGCTCACATAGTAACAGCGGCGAGAAAAATGATGACAATTTGGATTGTAGCTTGTAGGTTGCTTACAATTCTTTTCCCGAATGAAAATAAAAAGGTTTCTTGTTTCGTCAGCCGGCCGAAAAAAAAAACCAACCAAGAAACGCAGAGAAATAGAGTATTTATACTAGAAAATAGACGAGAGACGAAGAAAATGAACAACAACAACAATAAACCAAACCAAAATAATAAGTGGGGGGTTATTTGAAATGGAAAGTTTTTGAATGATTAAAATTTGACCTGCGGAAGGAACACTATTTATTTGTTTTATGTGATATTTTGGAAAATTTTACTCAGAGAAATGGGCTGGGGAACCGCCGGATAGACGACACGGCGGAGAATATTCGGGAAACCGATGGAGAAAAATGTTCTCCGCCAGTTCGCCGACAGTTCTCCGAATGATCTACAGTGTTTCTCCCTCGCGAAAGAATGTTCTCGAAGCAGAGAATGGAAAACCAGCGGACAACTGGCGGAGAAAATTTTCTAGTTTGGAGAGCGAAAAATGCAAAAAAGCGCCTAGCGGAGAACCAATGGAGAACTGTCGGAGAAACTATGGAAAACTTTCGGATAACCGGCGGAGAACTCTCGGCGAACCGCCAGCCGTAGGCTGGATCTCCGAAAGTTTTCCGCCGGTTCCCCAGCCCATTTCTCTGAGTTAGTGTCCGGAAATGAGAAATGAATAATTTATTTAGGCCACGTTTGGGAAAAATGAAAAAAAAATGAGAAATGCAAAATTATTTGGGTCACGTAAGAGATTTGAAAAAAAAACGTGGATCAAATTTTTTTTTTGAAAATTTCGCAAATTTTTTCCAACTATTCTTGGATTTTTCTGAAAAAAAAATTTGGAAAAAGCAGGAAATTTGAAATAAAATGGAAAGTGGAAATAAAAGTTTATGGATTTGGTTTATTATTTTTTCAGAAAGTGTCAGGAGCAGATTTTCTATTTAAATAAAAAATCTTTTTTTTACAAAGTTTTGTGGATTTTTTTATGAATTTAGAATATTTGTAAATAAAAAGTTTGTTCTAGAAACGCTTTTCGTTTGATACAAATTATGATGATTTTTGGGTCTCGGAGCGATCTACAGTAATCTGGAGAGTATTCTAATCATTTTAAGACAAAATACGGTAGTGTTTGGAGGCAAACTTTATGAAATAAGACTTGATGATCTCGAAACGATCTACAGTAATACTTCAAAAACGTTTCATTTCCCAGAAAAATCCAATTCCCCCATGTAACCCTTCTGATTTCTCACATTGTGCACAACTCAAGATTTTTTGAACTTTTGTTTTCTATAAAAAACCTTCACAAGTGCTTTAACTTTGTTCTCTCATCGTTTCTCTATTCGCATGACACAATAAAAACACAAACACTCTTGAACTCATCGCATTGTCATTAATATCCAAAATACCAATCAAAATCTTCATGACAATATTATCCAACTGCCAATAAAACATATCTTTTGCTCACTTTTATCTCTTCTCCCTTCAATTTTCACTTGCTCACCAACACCGTCACATGTCATCATCGTCTCAACAAAGACACAAGAAGAAGCTTCGAAAAAGAAGAACAGGCGGTGGTCGACACATTTCCTTCATTCATTCATTCATTCATCGCATTTTATACCCCTTCGTTTTAACACAAATTATAAGTATTCTAGTTATCAACTACCAAGTTGTTACCAAATGTATGACTCGAGAAATGCTTGAAAGAAGTGCGCCGATTGTTGTTGGTGGAATTTCGGCGGCTGCAGCGGTTGTGGATAAAAATGGGGCGACAAATGCGGCTGGAGGCGGCAATGGGGGAGTGAGGAAGAAATCGCAGGATACGAGGACTTGCTGCAATTTGTGCCATATTAAATTTGGTTGGTATTTTTTTTTGGAAAGGGTTTCTAGGCGACTCTGAATATTTTTTATGGGATTCTGGAGAAATTAGGCTTCTAAATTCTTTTGAAATCTAATGACGTTTGAATTTAGGAAAACGGCTTTCTGAAATTTTCAGGGAAAAATCTGAAAAAAATTCTGATCTGTTTTTTCAAAGGAGCTGTAATTTAGGCTAAGGTTAGATATATATTTCGACTGAAATTCTAGAATCCAAAACTAGATGTGAAAATCGAGATCTGAAATTTCCAAACTGAACAAATTCGGACCTTTTTTAGAATCACTGAAAAATTTTCATGTGAGAATTTTTTGGACTAAAAAACATCTCTAAATTGTGTTCCTCATTTTCTCGAGTCCCAAAAATCTCAAATCTTCCAGAGAAATTCTAGAATTTCTTCAGAACCCCGTGTGTTTTGAAGTGTCGTCTCTAAAAATAATCTCTGACTCACTGATCTACCTATTTTTGTTTACTTCCCATATGTTTTGTCTCAAATTTCTTTTTCCCCAAAATTCTAGCAAACTTCTCTAAAATTTCATGATCCTTCTGAAAAATCCTCCCTTCCCAACCACATAAAATCAGCGGGTTTAATGAGTATCATCCTCATCAATTTGTGCTTATCCCCCCCCCCCTTTCATCCGCTGCAGTGTAACAATTAGATAGTGTGATCCTGCAAAACTTTTTACAAGGTTTTTTGTTGTTATCAGGTGCTGCATTTCTGGGATTTTTCGAAGCGCTTATCGCCTTTTTTGTGCTACTTGGAGCGGGTCAACAGATTATTTGGAAAAACAAGTCATCCACGTCATGTGATAGAGAGTTAGTCTATCTAGAATATTTCCAAACCCTTTCATTTTTTTGCAGCATATTCCGCGATTGTCTAATCTTCCAATTCAATCATTTCAACGTCACTTTAATCTTCGACTACATCGTTGTTCTTATGATGGTCTTCATCATATTTTCGGTGATTTGTCTGTTTTGCGGAGTTTTCAGTGATACTTCATGCCTTATTCTACCTCATATTGTTATTCAAGCCATATTTCTATTATTTTCACTTGGCTATTTCATTTTGTACGCTTGGTCATATTTTTATGGTGATTTAGTGACGCATAAACGACCATTTCAACTTCAATCGATGTTTGAGAGAATGTGGTTGGCTACACTCTTGTTGACCTTAGCTGGGCTACAATCTTATTTATTTTCGTCGGTTATCCGATGTTCACTTTATCTAGCAGTGAGTTTTTCCTTCCGAACTACAGTAGACTTTCCCAGAAGCCCAATCAAAAAAAAGTATTTTCCCAGGATCTGGAAGAAAGTCGACGACGGCGAGAATCAGCATTCGAAAGATGTTCAGAGCGTGTTCGAATTGCTAAGGAAAACGGACTTTGGAGAACTACTAGTTGGGGTGGAGGATTTCAACAATATAAAGGGCAATATGATAAACCAAAGAAGGAAGTCAAGAATAAAGGATTTCATGTGCAATGGAATACTGATGTTGAGGCTGCCAAACCTAGGAAAGAATCTATTGAACTTGCTGCAATTGATACTGTTGAAGTTCCACCTCTTAGTCCGATCCCGGAAGATGAGGTCAAAGAAATTGTGACGGTGAAAACTGTGAGGAAAGTCAGCACATCTACTTCGAGATCTGAAGAGAGACGATCATCAACACTTTCTTCAAAAGATCAGAACCCAGGTATTCGAGGAGCTTCTGAATCTCCGAAGAAAGAAAAAGAGAAACCGAGATCGGTGAAAAAGACAGCATCTGAAGGGACAAGTCGAATGGAAGAGGAGATGAGAAGAATGTCGAGGGATTCGATTGGCAAATCACATCATCATCATCATCACCATCATATTATTCAGCAGCAGACAAGTTCAATCAAAGATTCACCAAGTTCACCAAAACGGCATGTGAAATTAAAACCATCAGAAAGTTCTATGTAAGTTTTTTTATTTATACAATTTTCTAAGCTGTATCCCTGTATGAACGAACACTTCTCGAAACAAATGTTAGATCAGCTTTTTCTCGATGCCCTTCGTCATATTCTTGATTCTCTTCTGCAATATGATTTTTAACAATAAGCTCAGAGAAAAAGTTGAAAACTCACTCATAATTACACAAAAAGCGCAACAACAAAAGAAACATGAGCTTAGAAGAGCAATAAGCATACAAATTGAAATCACAATTGGGAACCATAATTGAAAATGAATATCGATGCTGTAGTCTATTTTATCAATATTGATAGTCATGTTTGAATAAATAGAAATGAGTGAAAATTGAGGGCGGTGAGGATTTTGAGGAAGAAAAAAAGACGTGATGGCACAGAAATTTTTTGGGGATAGGGAAACTCATTTTTAAAATTTATTTTGATTGGTGAATATTTGATGTAGGAAATTAGAAAATCAGAATTTTTATTTGAAAAAACTAGAGTCTCTTTACTCTGAAATTAACACCAAAAACCCCCAAAAAACGGGGGAAAAAATAAAAGTAAAACAACGACACTCCGCTTGCACAGACTGTTTGAATGAGCGGAGTGTCCTCAGCATCTCCTGGCGTACACTTTTGCGAACAAAAAGTGTAGCTACATTGTTGTATGACGCACGCTACAAACATTGTACGCACATCCTACAAAAAACTCTACAAAGATCCTACACTTTTCCTTTTTTTTGAACGAAAACCGTACACCGAATTTCGAATCGATTTTTTCTTTTTGCGCTGCGATTTAGGAGAGATTAAAACTAGAAAATATAACAAATCATTTATGGATCAATAGACTTTTAGCACATAAAATAAATATAATAACAAAAATCTTCAAAACATAATAAAAAAAGTTAGAAATATAATTTTTTCCGAAGATTTTTTGAGAATTTGTTGGTTGTTGAGGGTTGAGTGGTTGAAGTCGGGGTTGCGGGGTAGAATTCGGGTTGTGGAGCATGTGCATATTGTCGTTGATATTCAGGTGACTTTACTGCGAATCTTCGGTCGAAATTGTCCCGATGTTAGCATTGGGCGTAGGTGTAGGCGGAGCATCAAGTGTCAACCTGAAAAATAGGATGATTTTCAACATCATAAACATCCCAAGTCCCATTACATTACTACTTATCATAATTATAAGAGGCGTCTCCACGAAATGATCTGCCAACTTCAGATCACCTACGTTTTGACAGGCGATTAGCCAGTAAGATTCCGAATTCTTAGTCTTCCTAGTAGTCTTCCTCACCTTTAAAATCATCTCCTCGATGAACTCCAGTGAAGATTCTCCTCCTTTTTTTCTGCCGTCATGATGCAAATTCTAGGAGTTGTTGGTTTGATGATCTGAAATTCAACAAATCGCAATCAAATTCAGGTGTAAAAAGAATAATAACGAGAATAAAAAGAAGGAATGTTATCGGTCAACTCTGATTCGCAGTTTGGATGAATTTTCGAAATTATTTCAAGGTTTTTCTTGAAAAAACGATATTTTTTTGACGAATAAGTTGTTTGATAGCTTCAATAATTATTTTCAACTTCTAGAATCCACGCAGATATAATTTTACTATCATGATACCTGATTTATACGTTTAAAAAGAATTTTAGGCCAAAAAGAAAATAGAAAACAAAAATAAAATAATAGCCGCAACGCAACAAGCTTGCAACGCGGTCCTACAATGTAGCTACACTCGCGAAAAGTGGCAAGTGTACAAAAAGCGTAGAAAGAGTGTAGGGAAAGCGTACGTTATCGTGCGCATTTTGTACGCCACGAGATGCTGAGTCGTTGTTTTATTGCTACAATATTGCGCGTAGGATTTGGTGTTCGTGTGCAATCGGTGTTGACACGAAACTCTTTGAGATTGAATTTTCAGCATAAAATTCTGAAAATCCGTATTTTCAGGAGCGAAAAATTTAGATTCTAAAAAAATTTTAGAATCCAAAAACTATTTTCTAAAGGCTACCCCCACAAATCCCAAATCCATATTTTTCCAGTGAACCCCGCTCCCAATCCGCTCGAAGGCCCTCTCTTAAAAAGAACAAAAGTGTCGACAGCGGCGGAGATCAATTCGATGAAGTCGTCGCATTCTACAAAGAAAAACCCCACCGCCGACGATCTTCTGATCACGGACATCACGGAAAATCCAGTAAATCACCCGACAAAAAGGATATTCCAATTGTCAAAAAAGTTTCCATCACCGCTTCATCAGCACCGTTTGTCTGAATTATTTTTTTCTTCGAATTCCAGTCTGATCTCTGTATATAATTTTTGAATATTTCTGATGTTTTTTGGAAAACGAGGTAGTTTTATTTCATTTTTCATACAATACTTTTTTGAAGTTTTATTGTCTTTCAATAAAAATTTACTCATAATAATTGAAGTTCGACAAATGAAAAAATATCCTCAGCAACCTTGTTGGGATCCTGGAGATAGTGGAATAGCCCGCCTTTTGGTAACTCGTTCACCCTAAAAATTTTTTTGAAAATGAGATTCCAACAACAATCCTACCTGGTGAGATTGAGATATTTGTCGCTCAAAATTTCCGGTTCACACCTCCACGGTGTATTTGTGGAATACACAATCGCTGTTGGGATTCGAACTTGGGCACTTTGCCAAATCGCCTCTGAAGTATAACTGTTTCCATGAATTTGTAGAGCACTTGGAAGAGTTTGGGTTATCCAATATAGATAGATTTCGGTAGAAATCTCATCCAGTGTAAAATGCAAGTTCAGTGTGTCATTAGAGGAAGTTAGGGAATATAACGACCAAAGATTCGAGATATATTTCACTGTTCCAATTGCGCTATTCCCAAGAGATGTTGAAATTGAATCAGGATTTGAGGGCCATGCAAATTTGTCACTTGCAAAATATTCAACAATATCTGTATAATTACTGTTCTCTGATCTTTGATAAGCATTGTAGGCATATTTCAATAATGTGAAAGTAGAAAATGTTGGACGAACAAATGGATTGGATAAGTGTAATCCTTGAATTCTTGCTGGATAGAGAGATGCGATTAATGTTGCGAGATCACTTCCGATTCCTTCTCCACCATGAACAAAATATTTTTGAAGATCTAATCGTCTCATCAATTTTCCGAGAATTCTTGCAGATGCGATGATGTCGAATTCATTTTTCTCTGATTTTCCGGAAAACAAGAATCCAGGCAAACTTGGAATGATCACTTCAAACTGGATTGATTCCTTCACACCAAAGTCAAATCCATATCTTGTTGGATTGGTCAAAATTGGGATTAACTGAAATAGAATATTTGAAACTATAGAAAAAATCAGAACACACCTTGAAAAAATCCCAAAAACTTCCAGGAAAACCATGAAGCATCAAAATTGGTACCAGAGTTTTCTTCTTGCCACTAATCGGGGTAGAAATACGAAGAAAATGCACATTCAAACCCTCGATTTCAGTTTTATATTGCTTGAAAGTGTTGAGAAAATTCTGATGTTGTTTCCAATCAAAATCAAGAAGAACTTTGGTGAGATTCTGAAGAAATTGTGAAGTTCCGAAAACTTTTTCAGATTTTAATCGATTTTTGAAATCATCAATAACATTGGTGTCGACATCAATTGAATAACTATAAATTGTATCATCATCTTTTACAGGGTCGTCAAGTTTCCAATAATTATCCTAAAATTAATTAATTAATCCATTAAGAATCGCGCGTGCCTGGAAAACTTACAAGTTCAATTTCTAATTCTGGAAAATCCGGTCGATGAATATAAACACTAAATAAAACTGAAATAATTGAAATAACTACAATCGATAGAAAAAAGACAGAACTCATAATTGACCTGAGCAAACTGTGTGCGAGTAAGAAGAAAATAAAAAAAAGGAACTTTATTTACTTTGGGGCGGTCAGGATTAGGATTGACTAAATATTTATTTGCCAATTTTTTTCGAATATTCTTTTATTTTTCCCGTGACGTGAGGTCATAAAGAAAATCATGACCAGCAGAATTATTATTTCTAAAAATTTAAAATGTCGCAAACGCAAACACAATTTCCGCATATTGAACATGCTGAATTCAACGTTGAAGTCAATATTCCATTGGTAAGATTTTCTAGAAGTTTTTTCAGACAAAATAATTTTTGTTTTCAGTGGGTTTACATCATTATTACGACAACAATTGGTCTTTGCTATCTTTGTTGTGCACTTTGGTGTTGTTGTGCAACGCTATCTTTAAGAAAATCTGGCAATAAAAAATCGAAAGGATCAGTTGAAGATGGAAATGTGGAAAACGAGAAAAAATCCTCGAAGAAAAATCACTCAAAGTCTCGTGAAAAATCGCAGGATGATCGAGAAGCTCATTAAAAAATGTTCAATAAATTTGTGTTTATCTCCTTTGCTATTGGTTTCTACAATTAACTTGATCATAACAAATAATTATCTACAGTAATCCTCAAAAACTCAATCTGAAAAAAAAGAAATGTTAGTTTTAGGAGGCCCGCAGAAGACTTTTGCCCTTGAATATTCCAAACACTCTTCCCCTGGCACAATTTGAACATAACCCCAAATTTTTAAAATTAAAATTAAAATTATATTTCCATACGAACAATAAATGTGTTCATTGTCTCAACTATGCGAGGAAAAAAGAAGATACATAAATGTCTGCCTACGTGACTTTGGCCACTTTTATTTCTGTTCGGACAACGACGATAAAAATGTTCTATATTCTTTCTAAATTCTTTTTATTCTCGCGTGCACAGAAAAATGACACAAACTTTGAGAGAAAGACTATTTGTAAGTGTTTTTTCGTTTTTTTCTGTCTCATTTTCTGTTTTCAGCAAATCGCAGTTGATTCAGTGATTTCAAACGCAATTAATATTGGAAATCGTCTAAATCTCTTCAAAACCTTGGCCACTTTCAAAACCCCAATTCTCCCTGAAGTTCTTGCCGAAGTTTCAGAATGTAAAGAGAGGTATATTCGAGAGTGGTTGAATTGTCTAGCATGTGCGAGGATAATTGAGGTCACTGAAGATGAGAAGTTCTATATTGCTCCCGAAAATATGGAAGTTTTGACATCTGATGAGCATTGTATGTTTGCACATGGTAGAATGATAACACTTTTAGAACCATTTGAAGAATTGCTGACGTGTTTTAAGAAGAATGGACCAAATGGATTGGATTATTCGAAATTTTGCAAGTTTCAAGATTATATGGGGAATTTGAGCAGATCTCTTCATGAGAAACATTTATTTACTGATTTTATTGATTCTCTCGGGATTCGTGAGAAATTAGAATCTGGGATCAAAGTTTTGGATGTGGGATGTGGAAATGGTTTTCATTCTTCTCTTCTAGCTGAAAGATATCCAAATTCTCAATTTACTGGATTAGATATTGGGGAAGATGCGATAACTTCAGCAAAATCTCGAAAAAAAAGTGATGCGCGAGAGTTTGAAAATCTGCATTTTGTGCAATGCGATGCTGCAAAAATGCCTGAAGATTGGAAAGAGACGTTCGATTTGGTAATGATTTTTGACGCGTGTCACGATCAAATGAGACCGGATTTGTGCATTCAAGAGATCAGTAGATGTTTGAGGAATGACGGATTATTTGCGATGATTGAGATTGATGGCACCAGCAATGTTCATACGGTGGGTTCAAGATTTTTTATTGAATTTTTATCAAATCCACGATTTTTTGCAGGATCGCGAAAACCTTGGTCTAAACGCTGCTTTACTTTACGGCGCCTCAATGTTCCATTGTCTTCCAGTCGGCTCAAATTCTCCAGATGCTCTTTGTTATGGCTCAATGTGGGGACAACGTCGAGCTGTCGAACTCATCAAATCTTGCGGATTCAGTCAAGTCGAACCTGTCGCCACACCATATTTTCCATTAAACATTTTGTATCTGTCTAGGAAATGAAATTTTGATTTTTTTTAAATCTTCACTGGCAAAATACGACCGAGATGCACTAATTATCTACAGTAATCCTCAAAAATCGCATTGTTCTTCATGCATGGCCGAACAAGCGTGGCCTAGTTCTTTCCTATTTTCTCGTCCGCGTCTCTTTGTTTATTTTTTCTTTTTTTTTCACACTGCCGTTGTGTGAGTAATAAGTGTTTATTCACATCGATCTCTATGCAGAAAAACGCGAAAAAGATGACACTATGAATCGAACCTTCTCGCTACGTCGTAAAGTGAAAAAATCGGAAATTTCCGAACCGCGAAATTTTGAGCATCGAATACACGCCGGATATGATGCGAGAACGGGAATGTATACGGGTTTACCCAAGGTTAGTTTTAAGTTTTTCAGTTGAAAAATGTTGTTTATCTGACAATTATTCTGTTTAGCAATGGCAAGCACTTCTCGGACCACCAAGATCGATTTCAAGACCACGACCAATTGTTGATCCATCTTGTATAACACCAGTTGATGTTGCAGAACTCAAAACTGTTATTAGAGGGCCAAATTCAAGGTTAGTTTTTTTTAAAAAAATATCCTTTGTATATTTAAACATAATTTTTTATAGATTTAATACTCCGATTCCTCAACATCTTGATTCTCCTCGACCACCTTTGCCAAGTGTTGCTAGAAGTAATAGTTTGAGAATGACAGTGGTAAATGTGTCTTCACCGATTCGACCATCACCCTTACCAGTCAATCAAAGAGGATATCCTTTCAATGAGCCAACTTATGCACCTTTGCCTGTTCGAACACCACAAAAGACTACAACTTTTGGTGTGGAAACTTCGCCAACTAGACCACCATCAACACCAATCACAACAATTGTTGCTCGCCCGAAATTATCACCTCCAAAGGAAGGTGTGAGTTATGATGAGTTTCGAAATGCTCTTCAATGCGTTGTTGATAAAAATGATCCACGAAACGATTTGCAAGATTTTAAAATGATTGGCGAAGGTTCGACAGCAATTGTTGAGGCAGCTTTTAAAAGATCGACGAATCAAATAGTAGCTGTGAAACGAATGCATCTTCGAAAACAACAACGACGCGAGTTGCTATTCAATGAAGTTTCGATTTTAAGACAATATCAACATCCAAATATTGTCAAATATTTCTCTTCGCATCTCGTTGATGAAGAATTATGGGTTGTAATGGAATATATGGAAGCTGGAAGTTTAACCGATATTGTGACAACTACAAGAATAACTGAATCGCAAATCGCAACAATTGGTCGACAAGTTTTAGCAGCGCTTGATTTTCTGCATGCACGACGAGTTATTCATCGCGACATTAAAAGTGATTCAATTCTTCTGAAACGTGATGGAACTGTGAAATTATCGGATTTCGGATTCTGCGGCCAACTTTGCGACGAAGTTCCAAAACGTAGATCTCTTGTTGGAACTCCATATTGGACAGCTGCTGAAGTTATTGCTAGAGAACCTTATGATACTCGCGCGGATATTTGGTCTTTTGGGATTTTGCTAATCGAGATGGTTGAGGGTGAACCTCCGTATTTTAATGATCAACAATTTCAAGCGATGAAAAGGATTCGAGATGAACCAGCTCCAAGATTTAATAGAAATGCAAATGTTGGTGGTTTTTTGTTGAGATTTTGTAATTTTTTCTTCGAAAAAAATTTTTTTCAGGTATCTGCTGAACTCGACGATCTCCTTTCCCGCTGCGTTGTCAAAGATCAAAATCAACGTTGGCCGGCGCGTGAATTATTACGCCACACATTTTTCCAAAAATGTCAACATCCCTCAATTATTGCTCCATTATTGTTACAACTTGGTAATACAATTACATCAAATAATGCTCAACAATGACTGGAAAAAAAAACACATAATAACTACACAGTATTTCGAATATTTATTGCATATTTTTTCTGTTCACTTTTATTGAGAAATCTCTGCCTTTTTTGAATTTTGCTGCTTTTTCGACGGGTTTTTTTTGCTACATACTAATATATAAAAATAAAAATTTTACACAAAAAATGAGCGAGTCGAGCTGGGCTTTTAAATTTTATTGACTAGAACTTGTTCGAACAAACACGCTTCAAACGATTTTTTCTCATAAAATAACTCAAAATTGAAAGTCGCTGTGAGACCCATTGTGTGTTTGAGTTGTGCCTTGAAAAAATTCTGTATTTCTAAAAAAAAATGTTTTTGAAGGATTTTGTGTGTTTTTGTTTTCAATCCATACAATACCACAAATTGCACTAAAAAAATTACACCGGATAAAAAACGACCATATTTTTTTTATCATCCGAAATGAAACATTTGTCAAAATGTCAGTTGTATATGAAAGTGATAAAAAAATCCGATGGAGCTCGAGAGAATCGAGAGACACCGTGAAAATAGTGTAAATTTTGAAGAGGCTAAATTTTGAATGTCCTGAGACTTTATCTTTTTGTCATTATTTTTTTTGTCTTGAATCGTGTACATTTTTTTCAGCGGCGAAAATTGTATCGCCGACAAAAAGTTAGCCAAACTGTTTGCCGGCGCCTCATCCACTCTTAAAAGTCGGGTTAGTTCTTTTTTTCTATTGATAAGTACCAAAAAATCAGCAAATTTCTGAGAAATCTTTTTTTTTTTAAAATCAAACTACACACTTTTCAGCTGTCACACTTTTTTTATCACCTAACATAGGAAATTTTTTATTTTTATTGCAAGACGAACTTTTTTTCGGTTGGTTAAAATGAATAAGTAAATATTGACAAAAAATCTATCAGCTGGTTTTTCTTGCCACGTGGCAAGGCGAGTCAAATTTTATTTCGTTAGTGTTTTTTGGCCAGCTGCGTTTCAGACATCTGTGGACGAAAACATGTGGGCCGTAAAGGTACTGTATTTTATTTTTATAAGGTCCTAAATAGGATATAGTAGATAAGGACATTGGCTGAAATTCGGAAAATAAATTTTTGCTTGCTAATAAATAAATATCTAGGTTCTCATGGGATTTGCCCGTAGAAACGAGGAGGTTGCTATATACTACTTTATTTTTTTTAGTTTTAAAACTCTAGAAAAATAATTAGTAGCTCAGATTTAACTTAAGTTCCAACAATTTTCGAAAGGAAAACTTTTTTTTGTTTCTGAGTTCAAACTACAAACATTTAGAAAAAAATGAAAATTAGTCACAACATGACGTAAAAATTCTTTTTTTTTTTCGAAAATTTGAACTTGCACTCTTATATTTGTAGTTCTTGTGTCGCTGACTACAAACTCGATTCTTGTAAAATTAGGCTATGACGTGGCAAAGGTTGAAAATTCACAGAAAAATCTAGCGATTTTTTCCGACAAAAAAAAACAAGGCTGATTTTCCTCCAAATGTAATTTTCAATGTTTTTTTTTTGAAAAACGAATTTAGAGTCTCCTAATTTCTGTCTAAAAAAAGGACCCAAAATTCTGACTAATTTTAATTAATTGCCACGTCACAGTTCTCTGTAGTTTGAACATCAAATGAGAATTTTTTTGGGAAAATGTAGATTTTTTAACAAAAAAATCAATCAGATTTTCAGACGAAAAAAAATTTTTTCTAATAAAAGTAATGGGGTTATTCCGGTGTAAGGAACTTTCAAACACAACTATAGGCTTATAAGCCTCTCTAGACACCTACAGTAACCAAATTCTAATTCAATTTCCAATTTCAAATTTCCGTAATATCTAAATCTAAATTCAAATTTATTTTCCTTTTCTCCGAGATGCTCATCACATAAATCATTCCATCTCTCGTTTTTTTCCCATTTTTTCAACATCATAATCTCAAACAAAAGAGCAGAAGCGAAGAAAACAAATCAAAAATTCTCCTCGAATTTTAATTCAGTCGCGCGCTTTTTCTCGAAAAATGTCAAACTCCGCCCATCCAAAGCGAATCTCTCGCGCATTTTCTAATTTTTCTCCAATTTCACGACACACAGCGTTTTTTTTCGTTGTTACTTACTAATAAACATCTTTTTCTTCTTCTTCGTTGTTGTTTTTTTTGACGAAAGAAGAAGAAAAGCGATGTCGAAAAAGGCAAAATAGGAGAAGGCATGCAAAAAAAAAACGAATTCCTCAGATTTTTTGCACTTTTTTACTTGAAAGCGACAAAAAATCGTTTAATGATGTACTAGAAACGCCTTGAGTTAATCGAAAAATTTCTTGACATTTTGCAGGCGGTTGGCTCTGCTTCGACGATGTTGAGATCGAAGAAGAAGGAGAAGGAAAATGGAGGAGCATCAACGAAAGTGAGTTAGTTATGACGTGGCAAATGAGAAAAATGAGATTTGTGAGCATCTAGTAGTTGCTGAATGCCCACCTAATTAGTTAGCACTCATTTTTCTCGCTTGCGCTCTCATAAATAATTATTTTCCAAAATCTCACGAATATTTAGTACTTTTTTGCATTTCTCGAAAAAAATAAGGGGAAAATATTTTTGCCCAATTAAAAATCTCGTTATTCGATATTTTTCGGAAATATTTTGCCCCCGCTGAAAATGTTCTGTAAGCTGAGCTATGTGACTCCTAAACCACAAATTCAGAAAAAGCACATACTTCAACTTTTTCTGAAACTTTGTTTGATTTTTGGAGTCTTATAGCTCAGCTCATAGAACATTTTCATTGTCAGGCTGGGCAAAATATTTACAAAAAAATATCGAATAACGAATTTTTTAATTGGAGCAAAATATTTTCCCACTATTTATCTAGATATTTTTCGTTTTTCGACAAAAAAAACACATTCTTTTTGGTTTCCCACGGTTTTTCTAATCGTATTAGGCGAAAAGCCAATCAGAAAAAAAGAATGAGGATTTATGATGTGACCAAAAACGTTCTTTATCGCAAAAAAAAAACATTTTTCAGACCGACAAAGAGAAAAAAGATAAGAAACAGACGAAAGATGAGGCCAGTTCGTCATCACCAATGACCAAAATGATTCCAACAATTCAAACTGAAGATATTGGAGGTGAGAACACTTCTATGTTTTTTTATCCTAGGTTCTAGCATAGATAGCTCAAGTTTATTTACCAATTGGTGGTCAAATGATTTAGCTTCCCTTCGTTATTTTTCCTGGTTTATTTTTTCTTACACAGCCAGCCTGCCCCACAATGAAAAGAAGCAGGGCAAAAAAAAAGAAGAAAAAGTTATTGATGACCAACTTTTTTCCATCTTTTCTTATTCTAGACTAGATGCGTGCGTGTGAAAAACTTGGATTTTTTGGTGTGAAAAATTTGGAAATGATGAATTGGTGTGATTGCGCGTGACATTTGGTGTTTGCGTAGCGCGGCATTTTAAAGCACGCGCATTGTTTTGAATTGTTTTTTTTCTTCCTGCCTCTTCGCGCCTTTTTTGGAAGGCTTTTATTTGAAAAGAAGAACTCCCAGTAGTATTTCCATTTCCATTTCAACGAAGAAAAGAACCTCAAATCGATAAAAATGTTATTGAGGAGCTGAAAACAACATTGCTTTTTCTCTATTTTTTTTGCTTGCCCCCTTTCCTTCGTCTTATTTGTGATAAAGAATCATCATCAACAATTTGTTTCTTTTGATCATTTTATTATTTTTTTTTCGTTGCAGGCGACATGATTCCACCAGACGCACCACCTCCAACAAATATTGGAAAAAAGAATAATTATGGTGGCGGGCCAGGTGATTCCAAGGCGAGATCGACGACAATCGAGTAGCATGTTCAATATTTCGCAAAATCGAGAGCTTATCAGATTGCCAGCAATTAAAGGTAATCAGTTTTTTTGTCGGGGGGATCTTGTGATCTGTTTTGAGAGAGAACACCTGTCAAGAGATGAAAGAACAACATTTATTTTTACTCGAAAAACAATCCTGTTATGTTTCAGAAGCCGATGCAACAACTCGCGAAGATCTTTTCATTCAGAAATTACGGCAATGTTGCGTGGTTTTCGATTTTGCCTATGATGCGCTTAGCGATTTGAAATTCAAAGAGGTCAAAAGAGCAGCTTTGAACGAATTAGTGGATTATGTTTCGACAAGCAAAGGAGTGATCAATGAATCAGTTTATCCGGAAGCCGTTAATATGTTCGCACAAAATCTGTTTCGTCCACTTTCACCGCCAACAAATCCAATTGGCGCCGAATTCGATCCAGATGAAGATGAACCAACTCTCGAAGCTGCTTGGCCACATCTTCAACTTGTCTACGAATTCTTCCTGAGATTCCTCGAATCACCTGATTTTCAATCATCGATCGCCAAAAAATACATTGATCAAAATTTTATATTGCGACTTTTGATGATAATGGATAGCGAAGATCCGAGAGAACGCGACTTTTTGAAGACAACATTACATCGTATTTATGGCAAATTTCTAAATCTTCGCGCTTATATTCGAAAACAGATTAATAACATATTCTATTCATTCATTTATGAGACAGAAAGACATAACGGAATTGCTGAATTACTTGAAATCCTAGGAAGTATTATTAATGGTTTTGCATTGCCATTGAAAGAAGAACACAAAACATTTTTGCTCCGAGTTCTACTACCACTTCATAAAGTAAGTTTTGAAACATAATAATAATCAAAAAAAATACGATAATATTTTTCAGGTCAAATCACTATCAACTTATCATCCTCAACTTGCTTATTGTGTTGTTCAATTCATTGAAAAAGATTCAGGACTCACAGAACCGGTGATCAAGGGAATGTTACGTTTCTGGCCGAAACAGCATAGCCCAAAAGAAGTGATGTTTTTGAATGAATTGGAAGAAGTGTTAGATGTTATTGAACCTGTGGAATTCCAAAAAGTTATGGTTCCGCTGTTCCAGCAACTTTCGAGATGTGTGAGCAGCCCGCATTTCCAGGTAAGCATTTTTGTTATGACGTGGCGAATTTGTCAAGCCCTCACATTAAAGTTTGCCAATTTTTCGCCGAGTTAGAATTTTTAAAATCTTCCATCGGAAATTTTCTGGATCCCAAAATTACCTCAATTTTCAGGTTGCGGAACGTGCTTTGTATTATTGGAACAACGAATATGTGATGTCATTAGTTGCTGATAATGCAGAAGTTATCATTCCGATCATGTTTCCAACACTTTTCAAAAACAGCAAATCACATTGGAATAAGTATGTTTTTTTGTTCTTCAGAAGTCTTTTTTGTTATAAAAAAACATATATATTTTCTAGAACAATTCATGGTTTGATTTACAATGCGTTGAAAATGTTTATGGAAATGAATCAGAAATTGTTCGATGAATGTTCGCAAAATTACAACAAAGAAAGATCGAATGAAAAACAGCAACTTGAGGAAAAAGAGCGATGTTGGACGAAAATCGAAGATTCCGCCAAAACCAATCCACAGTATTCTGAAGTTAAAGCACTTTTTGATGAACTTGACGCCGATCAAATAATCCAGGGTGGCAAAATCGATAAGCTGAGCAATGATTTGTCTGGGTTAGCACTTCCAAGTAAAGATGAGATCTTGAAGAATACGATTAAACCAGATGATATCAAGAAAGATTTGGAATTTTCGAAAACTTCGGATTATTTGGCTGACGAAATGACATCGAAAACATTGGACGAGTATAAAAGACATGACGCCTATTTGACAAAAGTTACAAGTTCTGAAGAATAATGATTTGCACCTATATTTTCCACCTTCCCCCTTCTCTCTCTCTAACATTTCCGGGTTTTTCACCGATTTTTTTCTCGCTCTCTCGAAAAAAGACAAGAATTCTTTGTCGTAATTGCTGAATTCCATTATTTATATTTTATAATACACAGCTTCCTTCTTTTATATTCCAATGTAAATAGTTTTCATCATAAAATTCTGTTAGAAGGAGAATATTTTTATTGGATTATGAGCAAGAATACATGGAAGATTCGGGAGTTTTGAAGTTGGCTCTTTGAACATAAGTTCCATTGATAACCGAGAGTCTCAACAATTGATCTCTCTTCAATTCATCGTGAACTGGTGTCATTAAACTGGCGACTCGTTCAGCTGCACGATCCAATGTTTTTTCGCATTCTTTTCGATTCACATTTTTAGCGATTAAAAGTACGTGAAGTGGTTCATCGAGATGCGAAAATCCTTTTCGACCGCATAACTCGTTTTCTAATCTTGTGTCGCGAATTGAACCACGGCCACGGATTAAAAGAGTCACATCGAATTGTCTTTCAATCATTTTGGCTGACATTCCAGATGGTCCAAGAATACGACCAATGTAACTGCATTTGCTAGAAAATATGAAAGTTACGGTAGTCTGGAATTTTGAGTGCAAACACTACGAAAACTTCCATCGTACTTTTAAAATATTAGGAAAAGTCTAAAGTTTTGCTTTTTTGAATGGAGAGTCGAGAAGTGTTCAAATTACAGCTGTTTTCCAAGTGGGTGTGGCCAAATTGCAATCACCGCACACAGTTTTTGCAAGAACACAAGGGAAAAGCGGATTCTCGTAATTTTCAAATTTTTCAAGTGGGCGGAGCCTGATTGCAACCGGCGCACATAGTTTTGCATTAAAAACTAGACAATTCCACAAACTCACATAGGTTTTCCACCCTTTTCCATCGGCGGTTCAGGAATATAGATCTTTGTTTGCAAAACATGACAATCATTCACAGATTCCATTTTCTTCTGTGATTCTCCTCCCTCAATAAAACTTCTACTTGTATTCAAATTCTCCTCTTCTTCTTCTTGTCCTCGATAACTTTTACTATACTTATTTCTTTTCCCTTTTCTCACTGGTGTCACAAAATTCGCATCGAAACTCGGTGTCGATTGAAATTGTGGAATTGGAAAATCGCCAGGCGGCGGTGTGAATTTCTGTTGTTCTTCTCGTCGATGATGATGATCGATATTGGATTGAGATCTTGGCGGACTCTGAAAATCCTCCCAAACTCGAGTTATCTCGCGTGACAAAAGAATTTGCGCATTTTTGTATTCGTATGGCGTCTCGACCAATTGTGTCATTTCAGCAAGAAGTTCGTTCAAATAACTGCAACATTTTTGTTTTCACATGATTTGACAATAAATTTCTATCTGAAATTACTCACGCAATAGTGTTCGATTTGTTGTTGCTGAACATTTTTTCTTCTCTTTTAAAAATGGCAAAATAATGAAAAATCAGTTTATTTATAGGGGGTTGAGAAATTGGGTCAAATTAATTTCACGATTCTTTTCGCTTCACGTAAACCTGATTGAATTGCACCGACGGTTGTTTGGTACATTTTTGGAGAAGTGTGCTCGCCGGCAAAACAGATGATCGGGCTGGAAAAATTTTAGAATTTCAGAAAATTAGACCTCAACTGTTGCTCAAACAGAATGATGATCTAACCTTTTTCCTCGATAAATTGGCAATGCAAGTTGATCTATAATATCTTCCCCATTTCCAGTTTTCAAAAATGAATAACTTCCCAACGCGAATTCATCATCAATCCAGCTATATTTATAAATCCTATCTGGAACCCTCTCTAAATCTGCCAATTGATTTTTCCCCGCAATCCAAGCTACAAGAATATTCGAAGCCCACGAACTTTGCTGTAAAGTTAGCAGATTTCCACTTGAAGATGCAGATTCGATGATTGAATCTGGATCCCACCAAGGTCTTGAATATTCCAGAAAAATCTTTTGGTTCGAGCCATAACCCATGTTTTTGATAGCGTTTTGTTTTTTCAAGGAAAGCTGAGGGGTGAACATTGAAATGGAATTGTTTTTCAAATATCCTAGGGAACTTGTGATGATCACAAAATCAAATAAATAATCGGTGCTATTCTGAGTCTTCACTCGAACCTTTTTCCCACTCGAATAATCCACATTCATAACTTTTGTATTGAACACAACGTTTCGTTTATCAATTGCAGATGTATATTGTTGAAGAATTGTGTTGAATCCATATTTATTCAGAACAGTCTCAACATCTTTCCCGTCATCCCAAATATTCAGATTTTCCATAGCAAGTTGATCAATCGGGGATGACCATTCTATTTGATAACTATTACAGTATAGATCTTTAAGACTTCGGAAAATCCCAATGTTCCTTTGAACTACCGTATTGTTTTTAACGAAATTGTCAAAATGGAAATTTATCCTTGAGAGAATCGATAGATTTCCATATTTTTCAGGTTCAGATTCTGATTCTTGAATTAACTTCAAATCTAGAGAATCTGTGAATTTCTGCCAAGTTCGAATGATATTATTAGGTACAAGAGTTCCATTAACAAAAAATTCTGGAGTGTCATCAGGTAATGAATTTTCATCAGCTGCCAATTTATATTTCTTCACGATTCCATAGATCTCATTGTCATAACCGTTTACGTATTCAGCACCATGTTGAAGAAAACCATCGCCTAAATTAGCCTAAGTTAATAATTTTTTTTCAAAACCGAAAAAAGCACTTACCATACTGAAAAGGATAAACTCGTCCTCCAAATCTCCCGGATCCTTCTAAAATCGTGTACCGTACTCCATTATCTTCGAAATATTTTGCAGCTCGAAGTCCAGCGAATCCAGCGCCAACGATTCCAACATGAACTTCTTCGCCATTCACAAATATAAAACCAATTAGCAAAACTAATCGGAGCATTTATTTGAGAGCAAAGAGTGTTTGAAAACAATGTCAACAAAACCAAAATGATTTTATTTTAAACGTGGCCCAAATAAATATTGACGTGGCTAGGTGGGTGGGTTTAAAAAAGGCTGATTGGAGGAAGAGGGGTATTTTGAGATTGTATATTAGTCAGGGTTCGAATGCAATGATTGAAACAAAAATTCTCGGCATGATTCTAGAATTCTTCAAGGTAGAGTACTGTAGATTACATTTCGGCAACTTTCTGAAGCTTCTTCTGAAATAAGTTATTTTCAGATTTTTGTTACAACAGCTATCACATCGTTAATACTTCAAAATTGCTCGAACAAAAAGAAAAAGCGACAAGAATCCGAGAATGAAACCGAACAACAAACAACTGATGCTGAAGAAGAATCAACTGACAATAGTTCAGCAAAACGAAAGAAGAAAAAGGCAGCAGCAAAGAAAAAGAAGGGAAAATCAAAGGGAAAGAGTGCACAAGGAAATGCGCCAGCACCACCAAAAGCACCGGCGAATAAAGGAGGTGTTGCTCAAACATACGATCCAAATTATCAAACACTCGCCGGTCTTTCCAATGATAATGTTTTCCAAAATAAGGGCGGCGCTGGAGAGGCAGCGAAACCAAAACCTGCAATGGCTGCCACTCAAGACCCTAATTATCAAACACTCGCCGGTCTTAATAATGACCAAGTTTTTGGTGGAGGAGGAGGAGCTGGCGGTGCACCAGCCGCACCAAAACCTCCAGCCGTTGCTGGACAGAAAGCTGCTACTCACGATCCAAATTATCAGACTCTAGCTGGTCTCAATAATGCGGATATTTTCAAGGATAAAGGAGCTGGAGGTGGAGGAGGTGGAGCTGCTGCTGGTGGACCTGCGCCACCAAAACCACCAGCTGTTGCTGGACAAAAAGCTGGAACTTATGATCCAAATTATCAGACTTTGGCTGGATTGAATAATGCGGATATTTTCAAGAAATAAGAGAAAGTGATTTACTTGTAAATATGGTTTTGGAATAAAGATTTTTTACTTGTAAGAGTTCAAGAATAATGCGTTTTCATTAGAAGAAAATTCTTGTTTTTGAAAATTTTAATTTACTGAATTTTTTCATAACTGTTTTTTATTGAGGAATTCTCCAAATGACGATCCCAAAAAACATAGTTTCTAAAATATTTATTTAAAAAAAAACAGAAATTTACAATTTTAAGTCAGCACGGTGGTGAAAAACGTAGAAGTGTTATAAGAATGAATTTGTGTTGGCCTCTTGAAACATTTGAACACAACCATTCGATAATCATTTAGTGCCAATGTTATAACAATTGGATCAATAAATGGATAACAATTAACCATCGGCACAAATATTGAATTACTGTAATAACTAAAATCCAAATTCAAGAACGGATAAAACCAAATAATTAAGCATGGAAAAAATGTGAGAATTGATGGAATTGTTGTTTGTATTATCAATGTGATCAATAAATTTCTATGAATTTTCTTCACATTATCACTTAAGTTCAAGTTTTTGATTGAATAATGTATATTTTTCGCAAGAATTGCATCGAAGATCAAGGAGATCAATAGAATAATTGCTGCCGAGCCCATTGAAATCAACCCACTTCTATCGGATTCAGGCTGCAGGCAATGAATAAATATATCAATTTTATAACCACATAAAACTTACTCCATAAGTTCCAATAAAGAATGGTATATTTTTTGTGGTCTCATTGTACTTTTGAATGAAATCAAGATCTAAAACAAGTCTTGTTTCTTCATTTGGCCACATAAATATAGCAATAAGAAGTATGTATGATGAACCATATAATAAAACAGAGCAAATGGTGAGACAAATAAATCTTGGTTTGAAAAACAAACTTAACCAATGATGTTTACAGATTGCAAAATATCGATAAAGAAAATGAACTGAAATAACAGCGAAGGTATAAGCAAACATTGCACATCTCAAAGACACTAGAAATTGAGCAACATCTCGATATTCATAGATTATACTTTCAGAAACAAACACAATGAAACTGAATTGAAAACTTACCGTCGAAATGGGACACAGAGTTTCGAGAAGTGTTGTAAATAAATTGACACCGGAGAAAATAATGAGCAGATATTTATATTTCCGAATTGAGAGCGATGATTTTTTATAAACCAAGATGATGAAAAACGTGTTGATGAGGAAGGAGAAAAAGCACAGGATTTTCGGGAGAAAATAGTGAGCCAAGCTTATGTAGATCATTTTTTTTTCAAATTGACAATTAATTTTTTTTATATTCAAGCTATACACAAACTGTAAAACAGGTTGATGTCATTTTTTTTTACTCGAAAAACAGGAAACTACAGAAAATTCAATTAAAAAGGGCAAGAATGCGGTGAGACTTGCCTAGACACGGAAGTTTGAGTTTGATGAAAAATGGTCCTAAAAGTTTGTCAGAATTGATGTTTGAAGTACGTTTCATGTATCATTTCTTCGGTTTGCTGCAATATTTCAAAATCTATCTATTTTTAATGCTGACTCCAAAACTACAAAATATTTTTCGATTTGTCTTATTATTGACTTAACCAGTAAACCACAGAAAGAATTGCCAAACGCGACAAAATTTCAAACTTGTTTCACATTCTCTGCCCTCTCCTCAATCTTCACACTATCTATGAGCCCCGGCGAGTGTATCCAAATATTTGTGTGCTCTTGTACATACAGTTCCTGCTCATTTTTCACTCATTTTTCTTCTTCAACGATTCTCGGGTTATTCCGTAAAATTCGTATTTTGTGTACTTTTTTTTCACCATAGAAACCGAATTTCATTGTTTTGTTGTTGTTGTTTTTTATTTTTCTGCACCATTTGGAAATTGAAAAGAGTCACATTTCTTCGGAAAATGATGACTTTTTTCGTGGTCTGTGACTTTTTGTAGACTTAGTTTTTTGAGAATGCCGGAAAGTTTAGAAAATGTTGAAATAAAATTTATTTTAATTTTTTTTTGAAATGAAAGAGGTCACGTTTTTGAAAATTTTACAAAAAAATATGTTTTGATTTTCGTCAGCTGGAAATCTTACTGTAGTTTTTTGGTTGGAAATTTTGAAAAGTGTAGATTGGAAAACTCTCTTACTGTAGACTTGTGGTTTGGCAGTTTTTGAGAGAATTTTTTTTTAATTATTGGGTCTTTCTGATTATTTCCAGTTATTTTTTAAGGAATACTGTTTTTTATTTTGAGATTTTTATTTTTCTAGTTTTCTCGAAACTACATTTTTCAACTGTAAAATGACCTTTCTCATCACATGAAAAATCAAACAATTAAAAGTCCAGACTAACAAAACTCTCATAAATAAATCAAATGCTCCAAAACTACAAAAAGACCACAAATATTTGAATAAGCTCCGTTTATTGATTTGTGTAGTCTGTAGTTATTTCTTATAAATAAAGTTTTCTCTCTTCAGAAAATGGAAACCGAAACGAAAACGAGTGCCGCTTTTCGATTTCTCCAAAAATTGCCAATTCGTTTAACTTTGGATAACAATGAGAAAATTAAAAAACGAGGAAAATCGAAAAAAACAAATAAGTAAGTAGGGGTTGTTCCGGGGTCCAAACTCCACCTAAAAACAATCAAATATTGATAAGACCAAAAAAAGAACCAACTGATAAAAAGTTTCGTCATTTTTTCTTCTAATAATGCCCAGACGTGACGAACCACTGTGTCTTGACGATTTTCTCAGCAGGTTTTGATCTGATATTTTCCTGCGAAGTTTTTTTAACGGAACTTTTTTGTAGGAAACTTGCGGAGAGAACACATATTTTGGAATGTGCCAACAATCATTCGGAAAGTGAGGAGGAAGAAGAGGAAGAAGTTTTAGTGGAGAAGAAAAATGTGGATATTTATGGGGAGGTTGGAAATCGCGCGCCGAATGAGTTTGAGAAGGTTGGTGGAACTTTTAGGAGATATTTTTGATCTACCAGATTTTGGGAGCACAATTTTGGTATTGAATAGTTTTTGGATTATTTTTAAGTTATGAAAAATTATGATTTGGGAAAGTTTTTATGCTTCAAAATGTTAAGAAATATTCAGAACTCCCCTAGAAAAATTTTAAGTCCTTATTTTTTTCCAGATCGATAAACTAACAACACTTTCTGTATATTTTGCCTGGTTTATGCTTTTCGTCTTTGCTCATATTCGAGAATATGTGACACGTTTTGGATTCGTCAAAGATCTTTCAAGCAAAGAAAATAAGAAAATGAAGGTCAGTCTGGTTGGGAAACTTCACAAATCACACTATTCTATAGTACAATCTTTTCCGTTTTCTTATCAAAAAACACACAAAATATTGTATTGTCAAAAAATCGTTCGATTTTTGCAGAATTTCGTGCCATTGTTCAGTGATTTCGAAGCATTTTATCAAAGAAATTGTTATATAAAAGTGCGCGATGTTTTCGAGCGACCAATCTGTAGTGTTCCTGGAGCAACTGTAAATCTTGTCGATAGAGTTTCACATGATGGAAATTGGACATATGAATATCCGGGAACAAAAACCAATGTGATAAATGTTGGATCGTACAATTATTTAGGATTTGCACAATCTTCTGGACCATGCGCAGATGCTTCTGCAAAAAGTATTGATGAAGAAGGATTATCGTGTTGCACAACAGTTCATGAAAGTGGACGAAGTGTTTCGCAAGCAAAATTGGAGAGTTTAGTTGCCGAATTTCTTGGAGTCGAAGATGCTATTTGTTTTTCAATGGGTTTTGCAACAAATTCTATGAATGCTCCATGCTTGGTTGACAAACATTCTTTGATTATTTCTGATAAATACAATCATGCTTCTTTGATTCTTGGATGTCGATTATCCGGAGCTTCGACCAAGGTTTTCGAGCATAATGGTGAGTTTTTCGATGAAGCATTTTATGTTGAAAAAATTATCAATTTACCCAAGATTTTATACGTTTCAGTGGCTAATCTTTTCTTCGGAGAAAAATATTATCGATGATTTTTTTTTTCGAAATACTAGATAATATTTTTGAGGTTCTGAATTTCAGTTGCCAAATTCGAAAAATGTTTGCTATAATTTTCAATGATCAAAGTCTTTTCCAGACATGGATTCACTTGAAAGAATTCTCCGTGACGCAATCGCTTATGGTAACCCAAAAACCCATCGGCCGTACAAAAAGATTCTAATCATCGTCGAAGGAATCTACTCAATGGAAGGATCAATCTGTAATTTGCCTGGAATCATTGCTCTCAAGAAAAAATACAAGGCTTATCTCTATTTGGATGAAGCTCATTCAATTGGAGCAATGGGAAAAACTGGAAAAGGAGTTGTTGAATATTGGGGTTGTGACCCGAAAGATGTTGATATTTTGATGGGAACATTTACCAAATCATTCGGAGCTGCTGGTGGATATATTGCTGGTTCGAAAAGAACTATTGATCATTTACGTGTTGCTTCACCAACTGGTTATTATTCTTCGCCAATGTCTCCACCAATCGCGCAACAAATTTATACATCAATGAGTATTATTATGGGAAAAGATGGAACAAATGATGGAGCATCGCGAATTGAAAGATTGGCTAGAAATTCGCATTATTTCCGAATGAAACTCAAACAAAATGGATTTATTGTATATGGAAGTAATGATTCGCCAGTTGTTCCAATGTTGATTTATTATCCAACAATGTGCGGTTTTTATGGTCGAGAAATGTTGAAAAAACGAATTGGATGTGTTGTTGTATCATTCCCAGCTACACATATGACAGAAGGACGTGTACGATTCTGTATTTCGGCTGCTCATACAAAAGAACAACTTGATTATGTTCTAGAGGCTGTTGATGAACTTGGATCAATTAGTCGATCGAAGTTCTCGAAACAATCACATGTGTATAAAAATGCGAAAATTGAATGGTGAAACGTGTAACTTAGTTTTTTTTTTATGTGTTAGTCAGATTTGTATATTAATAAACTGTTATTTATCTGGAAATTGGGAAAGTGGTTTTTGGTTCCAGAAAAGATCGAGAAGAATTAGAGTATTTATTTTTTCAAAAAAATACACAAAATATATAGACTTCAAAATTTTCAATAAATTTTTCTGGTAGATCAAAAAACTTTTTTCTCTAAATCTCTCACTTTTGCGTTGAATTTCGCCGCTTTTAGTCCCACCCTAAGATTGTGTCAGGTCTCGAAAAAAGCGCGAAAATTTTTTGGTAGTTAAACTACACGCTGTGAAATAGGAGAGCATCAAAATTTAAAAGTTTGAAGATACTAGGCTACTGTAGGCGAGCCCATTTTTCCAAAAAAAAAATAATGATTTTTCCAACCCGCCAGATTCCGGTTTTTCTTTGAACTTTTTCCAAGATCAAAGCAATCTTATCTTCGTTTTTTTGCGGTCAAAAAGTTCATTTTTTCATTTTCTGCTGTCTCCACTGATTGTAAAATAATTCAAAAAGGATTCTGAATACCGAAAATCAGATCTCCACAATTTTTAGAACTTTGAAAATCCTCTAGGGTTCATCAATAACTTTCCATTCAAAAGTTCAAAATTGCTTTTCCGTCAAAATGTTGTTGGTCACTAATTACAATAATAATAATTATTATTACAATAATAATAATAACAAGCGTATAAATAAAGTATCCGTTTCCCGGCCACTGTCACTACCATTCAATCCGCCCCGTTCGCGCACCACACTTTCACTTGATTTTCCTCTCTCTCTCACCCCCTACCGAATTACATAACCCCCATCTCTCTATGTCACTTTGACCCGTTTTCGCTTGAATTGGGTCACCGGACAATCGGCTGTTCCTCGCCTCCTCGCTTTCCACTGACGATTGACCGCTTTCCATTTCGACCAGCCAAAACTTTCTCCCGTTTACACTCACCATTTTCACTATTCTTTGAAGACGCGATTTGTATTTGAATATTCATTATTATTTTATTATTTTCTGTAATTCTCTGAAATATGATGACGTCTTGCTCATCAGCTTTCAAAAATGTTGTGGTTGGAAGTGGTGGCGGACCATCGAGCTCCACAGCAACACCATTTGATGTTTACGCCTCGGCTTTTCATTTACCTGTTATTCATCCGGCTCTTCTGACAAACTCACATTTATTACACCTAAATACTTATCAGGTTAGTTATTGGAAGAATCCAAACTGCAAATCGTTTCGAGACCGACATGAGTGCGGGAAAATTTTTGAATTCAAAATAATTTGAGAAGGGTTTATCAAAATCGTTTGGGAACCTATTTTTATTCGAATTTTTGAATGATCTTATCCCTTACTGTTCAAATTATTCACTGAAACCACATTCCTAATCAACGCAGAGAAGATAGTTCTCGAAGTTTCTCGAAAAACTTGATCCTATATTACGAAATCTCCTTGTTTTTCTAGCCTAATTCATATGACACATCTGATCGTCTCTTCGAACACAACAACAATAGCGACAAAGCCGAATCATGTTCGTCTCGTGATAGTTCGATTCATGACTCATCCACATCGCCAACTTCAACAGGAGGAAGTTCTAGTCGAGATAATGTGATTGTTCGGAATGAGACGAAGCGAAAGAAGGTTGGTTGAAAATCGATAAAGAAGATATTCTATAATGAGATTATTTAGTTTCAGGATCAAGTGAAAGATGAAGCATATTGGGAGAGACGTCGGAAGAATAATGATGCGGCAAAAAGGAGTCGCGATCAACGACGACAGAAAGAGGATGAAATGGCGTGTCGTGCTGCGACACTTGAACATGAAAATATGCGATTACGAGTGGAACTCGATAAACTCCGAACTGAAACTGATCAACTTCGAGCGCTGATTTTGACACCTTCAAATCTTTCAACACAAAATCTACTGGTTCCTGCACCTCAATCTTCTGTTATCACAACTAGTCAACTTTTCCCGTTGGCTCTTTCAACTTCACCTCCGATTAGGAGTACTGTACTTGTATCAAATACGAATTCAAAAACATGATTGACTTAAATATTTAAGAATGAAAAGTGCTGGTCGTGAATATTCCATATTTTCTCTATCTCTTGTATCTATTCATGTATTTAATAACTTCTAATAACTGCGATAATAAATGTGATTTTTGTTAGAAGAGAAAAAAAATAACTTTTTCAAAAATAAAGGAACACACAACAAAATGTTTGCTGGGTCTCGTCACGAACACAGTTAATTTTGCGCTGAAACCGGTGTTTTCGAAAACTTTTTTTTTCATTTTCAAAAGAAGTTTTCCGACATTTTCAAACTGTAAATCACGTTCAGCTATGAGTTGCATGTTTAGTAGCGTCTAATTCCGTAGTACACCTTATAGAACATTGTTTTAATCTTTCTCAAGTATCTCAAACTACATTTTCGTAATTTATTTTGTAGTCCAATAAAAAATCTCTAAAATCAAAAGATCGAGATTTTCCCCCAGCTGGCTAGCAATATCTTCCCTTTTCAAATCTTCCCAAAAGCAATGTGTGTGATTTTGCGTCGCCGTGTTTACACAAAAACGCTGTGTTCGAATATTCATCGAGCGCGCCACTGCTTTTTCATCGTTGTTTATTTTTCGCTTCTCTGAAAGTCTATCAATTTCTCTTTCCTGCAAAATGATAAAAGTTTTGATCGTTAAATTTATCACGTGTTACACACCTGAATATTTATTTGAATTAACCACTTTTAAATATGATGTAGAGAGTTTTTGCATAATCGATTTTTCTCATGTATTTGCTTATTTGAAGTGAAGTGGTCTCGTTTTTTGTTAAACATAATCCGTTTGTTTCTTTTCTATTGATAATTTTTTTTCTTGCAGATTTTCGAAAATGTCAGACGCTGCACCAGCAACTCCAGCCGCTGAAGAAGTTGTGAGTTTTTTATTGATTTTTTGAAATTTTCACCAAAATTATTATTTTTCATGTAGAATTTTAGCAAAAGATGTTTCAAAACTCGAAATAAAAATTATTTTCCAGCCAGTCACAGAAAAAATGGACACAACAACAGCCAGCGAGACAACAGCTACACCATCTGAAACCACCAACACAGCTGTCGAATCAGAAAACTCAGCACCAGTGACCAACTCTGCCGCAGCAACTCCAGCTCCAGCTGCAGCTCCAGCAGCAACTCCAGTTCAAGCTGCAGCTCCAGCTGCTCCACGCGTCACTAGCACTGTTCCAACAAGACAATATCTCGATCAAACTGTTGTACCAATTCTTCTCCAAGGACTCGGCGCATTGGCCAAAGAAAGACCAGAAAATCCAATCGAATTCCTTGCCAATTTCTTGCTTCGTGAAAAAGATCGTTACCAACCACCAGAGTATCAACATTAATTGATTGATTCATCTCAAAATATACAACAATTTTTCACACTTCTTTTTATTATTATTTTTAAACCCTGTGTTATATTGAAACTTTCTGTTCGCTTTATCAACTCTCGCATATAATGTTTCTCTGCGTGTATTGTTGATCATAAAAGAATTTATTCAAAAAACCATCTTCATTTTCGAATTACCCTAAATTGGTTTAAAAGCCATCGTGATATCTTATTAATTTTTTTTGCCAAGAGCTTTTCAGCAAAATGCATATTTTCAGATGCCATCAAAATTGTTTGTCGGAAACCTCCCGGAAAATGTAGATTCCAATAAATTGAAACAAGTTTTTCAGCCATTTTGTAATGTAACCGAATGTGATATTGTTAAAAATTATGCATTTGTTGTGAGTTTCGCAAATAATCATGTTGTTAATAGATTTTTAAGTTTGAAAATAAGTACCTTTCCCCCAAGAAAAATACTTAATTGTGACATGAAAAGAAAATTTAACCAAAATCCAGCATATCGATGAAGACAACGTGGATCCTATTATTGCAAGACTTTCTGGATATCAAATAGACGGACAGACTGTTATTATCAAAAAGTTAGTTATTCTGAATGACAAAATGGGAAGCTTTTCAACTTGCACTTTTATTCGTCGCTTGAAAAATCTAGAAATGCTATATCAACTTTTCCAGTCACGTTTTTAAAATAGAAATTTCAGTGAATTTTCATTTTCAAAATTGAGCAAAACAAGAAGTGCAAGTTGAATTTCCCCCAATTAGTTTTCCCTACTAATCCACCCTCACATAAATTCAGATCAATCTCAAAACTTCGGCCAACTCCCGGAATGCCAAATCGATGTTATCGCTGTCAATCAGACACTCATCGAACACCTCAATGTCCACAAGATCCAAATAATTCGAAACCTGCAGAGTGAGATCCGCGAGATCACCTCAAAAATGCAATTTTGGTGTTTCAGATCTTTCCAAACTATAAAAATTGATCTGACTTCTGGTTTGAAGAGAAGTGCTGAACCAATCAAAGAGAATCCAGCAGCTAAAAGAATGGCTATTCAACAAGGTTCAACGGTCGAAGCTGAAATTCCTCAACCACACGATCCGGATCTTCAACAATTATATCAAGAATATCAATTATCTCGAACCCGATTAATATATTATCGAGATAGATTGTTGAAGGAAATGGAGGCTAAGAATCCCGGTTCAACATCTGGTTATATTCTATCTACAAATATTTTGATGCCAACAACTCCAGTTATCACATCATCCAGTGCTTCACAGTACTGTTTTTCGTTTTTTCTTTTCAAAATGATATTTCAGAGTTTTCTTTCTTCATTTTCTCTATTTCGTTTATTCGTTCACATTCATTTTTCTCGATTTCAATTACAGATTCAAAAATTTTTATATACTTTTTCATTTTATTTTTGCGTCCGTCGTCGTTATAATGATTTTGGCCGTCTCTAAAACTCATATTCGTCGTGATTTGTCCTTCAAAACATCCTCATCTCCTCTCTCCCAACATCTTTCTCAAGATATCAACAATTTTTCCAGGGTATCCGGTGCACCAGTTTCATATCAACCTTCTGCAATTGTTCCGCCTGCAAATGCTCCATACGCCACAGCTACACCACAAGCGCCGGCTTCCAACTTAAGGGTGAGGATTTTGAGAAGCTGGAAAATTAAATAACTTCTGATTCTTTTAGGCACCTTATGCAGCTCCTTCGGCACCTTATGCAATGGGACAAACGGTTCCACAAATGGTGAGATATTTTTCTGAAGTCCTGAAAGTAGTTTTTGAAAATATGAAACGGCGATTCAAAAAAAAATAGAGAAATTTTAATTCTAAATAATTTTGAAACGTGAACTTTAAAATGCAAGTTCAACAATTATTTCGATTTTTATCTGAATTACAAATTTGCATAAAATTTGATTTCCAACGGAAATTCCAAAATAGGCACTGTGATTTTCAAAAATACCCACAAAATTGGATTTTCTTCAAAAGTCTTATACCTGAAATTTTCCAAAAATCATTTCAAAATTTTGTCATAAATATGATGAAACCTATATTTGTCTTATCTTATCAATCAATCGCGCGCACGTGGCTTTAAAATATTTCGATGAAATGTTGTTTTTGCCATCAAAATCAAACCTTCAATTTCAGGCACCCTATGGGGGAATGGTGGCACCACCAATGGCAAATGGCGGTGCGATGACGTCACAACAATACCTACAACAACAGCAACAAATGCATCCGAATTCGCCGTTGAGAAGACCTGCGATGGGCGGACCGCCACAACCGAATCGTAAGTGGAAACATTTTTGTTTTTTTTATCAGATGAGATGAGGTTATCATTTGAGAAAAACGGATTGTTGCGCTTTGCAAATATCGATTTTTCTCAATTTTCCCTGATCTTATCTGACTTGTTTTACCTCTAGAGAAAAAAAAATCAAAAACCATCGTTTTTTTCAGCCTCCGGTTCTCAAATACAAATAAAATGGACATAATTTTGAATTATTATATTTTTTTTAATATTGTCATTCTTTTATATATAATAAATTGCAATTATTTATCTAAAAACTTTGAATTTGCTTTTTTCTGCCTAAAATGGTGGAACACGCCTCTTCTATTTATATATATATATTTTTTGAATTCAGAATCTTTTTTTCAACATTGTTTTTTTTGTAGATGCTACGGTCGGTTTTTGGTGGAGGAAAAAGGATTGGTGAGTAGTTTTTTTATTAAAAAAATATGATAAATATATATATATATACATGGGTAGATGTTCATCAGAGTAGATTCTTGATTTTTTTGCTGAATTATTTGAAAGCCAAGACGATTAGAGCGATGGCGAGACCGACGAGAGCAAATGTTGCGATTGCGGCGCTGAAAATTTGAAAATAGTTGCATTTTTCAGTAGTGTAGTTAATGGAACTTACGCGATTATACAGGCGAAGAGATTGAGTGTGTTTTCGGAAATTGGTTGGGGATCGCGTCTGAAAATTTTGGAATTTTTTTAGAAGTGTTTTACAGCAGATTTAGGACTGCGTCTGTTTAGATTTACATCAGCTTGGTTTCTAGAAAATTTTTAGTTTTGGTTTTTTTTCCGAAAAAATATTTCGAAGCTAGATTCTGAATAGAAATTTCCTATTTTGAATTTTCAGAATTATTGATTTTTTGAAAAAGTATTTTTTTGATGAAATTTTTTATAGGAAATAAAATGTTTCAAAGAAAATCTAATTGTTTATCCGTAATGTTTTTGAACTGAAAAATGTTCTCCTGAAATTTTGAAAGTAAAAAATACACCAGTTTTTTATTGATAAAAATTGTTAGTTCAACTTTTTTTTGAGAAAACTTCAAACTTAAAATTTTTCAAACGAAAAACTATGATGGAAAATTTTCAGAATTGAAAATGGAAAATTTGCTCTTTCCGTGTTTTTGATTGTGAAATTTTCAGTTTCTTAAAATTTTCTGTTTGAAGTTTTCTCGAGAAAAAAGTTGAACTAACAAAAATAAATAAAAAGTTAAATTATGAGGTTTAGAACTTGAAAAAAAGCTCCTAACTTTAAAAACTTATATTTTCCACATAAGTTTTTCTCAGATTTAAAATTCTCATTATAGTTTGAAGTTAGGTTTAGAATTTCTTGATTTATTTTTTTCCATCCAAATGTTGGATTCCAAAATCTCACCTTACAACAACTCACCTGTAATTTGATTGCTTGTGTTGATTTTCCTCATTTTCCATTGACAATTTAATTTGATGTGGTTCATCCCCACCAAAACCATATCTCGAATCATTTCCATTATTCATGTCAAACGTCGACAACTGTTTTGATGCCATAATACATTCCCGACTTTCCGAAAGCATCCGACTTTTCTCGTTTTCTCTGTGTCTCTATCTATCAACACACTATTTCGAGTCAACCTTAAAGTAAATAATAGGCAGAGTTTTATATTTATGTATGGCTGTATGTACACTAAAAAAAAACGAAGGAAAAAACAGATAGGAAACAAATAAATATAACAAAAAACAGAAAAGAGAGGGCTCTTGGCTGGTTTTTTTTCGTTGTTTTAAGTTAAATGCGTGAAATTTGAGAATTAAAATACGTGAAGCCGGAATTGCATTTTTATTCAAAATTTTCTGTTAACAAATTTTGAAACAGCAATAAAAAGTACAGTTTTTCATGGTCAGTAAGTTAATACGATTATGACGTGTTAAGAAATAAATCAAATTTGAAAAATGATTAAATTAATGGGTGTGTGAAATGAATTGGAAACATTTGCACGGTAAGACCAAAACAGAAAAAATGACACAAACAGACTATAGTCTAGTTTGTTATGTTTTGGTTTTAAAGGCAGAATTTATTACAGCATATTTTAAAATTTTTGAAAATTTGCGAAATGTTTGGTTAGCTCTTAACAGGCTCTGAATTATGACATGGAAGGATTTTGAAAATTTTGAAAACGGAATTTCATGAGGGTCATAAGACTATAAATTTCTGTATGTACAAACTTTAGGCTCGATTTTAGGTTTGGTCTGAACCAGGCTAGTTATTTTTGGGGCTTAATATTGGCTGACTGAGGGAACAGAAAATTTAATACATTTATAAATTCAGAAACTGAACAATACAATTTCAGCTTGTTTTTTTCTTCTGTTTCAGCCCGTTTTCTTCGTCATTAAAAAAACATTCCCCGAAATTTCCATTATTTTCTTATAGTACATTTTTGAACGGTGTGAACAGAAGCGAAAATAAATTCAACAAATACGAGAAAAAGATAACAAATTTTACAATCATAATGTTATTTTAATGATTATGATTATAGCAAAAAGCATTTTTCCTTTTCTTTTATCAACAATAATAATTGACAGATGACACTAACCAAAATGGTATAGCAAAGTGAAAAGAAAGATCATTGAGCCATAAAAAGAGCGTTTGCTACTACTTGGCCTAGTATATTTGAGGAGTAAACATAACCGAATTGACACGAAATGCATATTTGAATAAATCGATGAGCACGTTGAGAGAAAGGGAACATTTTTATTGATTAATTGGAACAAAAAGCAACAAAAAGAAAAGATTTAGTAGTTTTGAAGTTTAGCATACTGTAGAATATTATATTGCATTCCTGGTTCATAACCGTAACATCTATGTTTCGTCTCGCTGGCTAAACGATAGTGTCCCTTTGAAAATGGTCTTGCATAAAATGTACTGTTGATTGCACCACCTTCTGCTTCGATAATCAAAATTCTGGAAGATTCGGCGAATTTTGCAGATTTGATTACAACTGTGAAGTCGGCTTCTCTTGAATCATATTCTTCTGAACCGAATTGAACAAGTTGATTAACATCCAATACTTGTGATTTGGTTTTGTAGTAATTACACCAGTCGATTGTGTACGGTTCCATGATTGCTTGAAAAAGCTCTGCTCTTCCACGAATTCGAGAAGCGTAGAATAATCGGGATAATAAATTTTGCGCAGTGAGTAGTGCGATCTTGTCGTAATCTATAAGTGGTGTAGATAATACACCATCGCGGCAATCGAAATCGTTCTCCTTGATGATGTACCAAAATCCATTATAGTCAACTATTGCGTGAATAGTTATTCTTGCACCATTTGCTGTTGCGATGATTTTTAGAAAACCTTCTTCTTGTCGAGCATCACCGATAAATACTTCGTTGAGATGCACATCAACAGTTGGAAGACTTCGAAGATTATCGAATAATTTTTCTCTAGAAATCGCAAACTTCTTGCGATTACATTGATTTAGTTGGAATTCCGGGTGCAAAACCTCATATAACTTCATTTGGTCTCTATTATAAATTGCATCGCGGTACTGATTCACAAGTGATTTGGCGATTTCTTTATTGGTTTGGTAGGAGAATATAAAAGTTGGAAATGTTAGCAGAAAATATAGAAGCATTTTTTGTTGGTACGAAAAAATGAAAGAGATGTTCGAAATGAAAAATCTTATCTTTCGTTCGCTCGGATATAAAAAAACAATATTGACATGAAACTTTGTGACATTTTCAAAATGAAAAAAAAAATGAAAAGCATGGAAAAGAATAGTTAGCTGTTTCCACGAGGAGCTGATCTTTGGTAATTGAACTTTCTAGGCATGACTACTTTTTGTAGATGCACGTAAGGCACGGCTCCTAGAGGATCTTTAGGCTCGGAAACTTGGGAAAACGACTCTCTAGGAGCGGCTACTTGACATCGAGGATTTCTAGACTCGGCCACATGGAATGAGAATTCGCAAGGCACGACCCCTTGCCAGAGTGAAACTCTAGATGCGAGTCCGATACATTTAGGTTTTTTAGGTTTGGATACTTGAGAAATCGGCTCTCTAGGCGCTGAGTCTTGAAAATTTCATTTTCTAGGCGCGGCTACTTAACAATTACAATTTCTAGGCTTAGCTACTTGACACACATTTCCGGAAGTCGTCTGGCGGCGAGTCCAAGTCTACCACAAAACGAAAAAAAAACATTTTTCAGCAAATGGTCAACGTTTCTATCGACCAGGTCACGGTGTATTTGGACACCTGCCCGATCCGCCGAAAAAGGTTTTCGAATCGCAAGGTAAACACTACTCCTTCCCCTTTCCTTTCACAATCAAAAACAAATGTTTCAGGTGGCCTCACACCGGAAACCGCACAACGGGTACATTTAATCAACGCGTTCCGAAGATACGGTTATCTTGAGGCTCAATTAGATCCATTAGGCTTGAAACAAGTGGAAAAGTGAGTTTTTATTATGAAACAAAAAAAAATTACAAATATTTGCGATGTTTACGACGGTAGACATGATTTGATTCGTCGCGTGTTGGACATTTACAATACTCGGCATCCTTTCCTGGTAATCCAGCTGGCCCACGTGGTCCTTCAAGCCCTTCCGGTCCGGCAGATCCTTGATATCCTGGAACTCCATCCTCTCCAATAATTCCTGGTGGTCCTTGGAATGCATCATGTCCAGCTGTTCCTTGTTCACCCTCTGGACCTTGTTCCCCTTGTTCTCCACGTGGTCCTTGTCTACCAACTGGATTTTCAGCATCATCTCCTTTGAGTCCAGGAGCTCCTGGTTTACCATCCTCTCCAGATGGACCAGTTGGTCCCATCTCTCCAGGCATACCCGGTTGGCCATCTCGACCTGGGTAACCTGGTTGACCGCGAGCTCCGCGCATACCACGGACTCCTGATTGTCCTTGAGGTCCTTGTGGTCCCGGAAGTCCTTGTGGACAACTGAAGCAACCTTGAGTTCCTTGTTGTTCAACATCTGGCGCGTCTTGTCCATCAAATCCAGGAATTCCATCTTGACCATCCTCTCCATCAGGTCCAGATTCTCCAATTTCTCCCGATGCTCCTGGTGGGCATGTATTCTCGGTAGAGCACTAAAAAAAATTTTTTTGGAAATCCCCAATTGAGAAGGAAAACTTACTTGACACTTATTTGGGAGTGGTCCTCCTGGAACAAAAGATGGGAATGGCGGTTGTGGTCCCTTGTCTCCCTGTGGGAAATTTGGTTCAGGTGCACTAGTTCCACTGGCCTCGTATCCACCATAAGCTTGTCTGCGGATTCGGTTAGCAGCAGATCCAGCTCCCAAATTCACCATATCTCCCCAAATATCATTAGTCAACGATTTGAAATTGTCAATCTCGCTGTCCAATTCATTCCAAATTGAGGTAACTTGTGAATAAATTGAGGCAACAGCAAACAATGAAATGAGCAATGTTGTGCCGGAAAAAAGCAGCGCTCCCGAAGTGGCTGTTGTCACAGACATGTTTGAGAAACGAGAACGAAAAATGTGGAAAGAATGAGAGATTTGATGAGTATTTTATATGTCTTGTCTCGCCCCCCACCAAAAACATCGAAATTGGGAGGAGAAAATCGTATTGGTTAGCAATGGTTCGCAACAGTCAGAGAGATTGGGAGAAGAAGAGACGCAGAGAGGCGGAGGAAGACTCATTAGATGGAAATCTTGAAGTGCATGGGAAGATCGGAAGAACATTGGAATTGGAGGGAGACAAAAACATTGTTGTGTTGTTGATGTGGATAATTTGATAATGGAGGGAGAAACTAGACAATTTTTGGGTATTATTGACAAATTTGGCGGTCCAAAAAGAGTCCGAAACTAGAACAAAGCTTGTAAATAGATTGTTATCTGATACAGGAAGCTTAAAAATGTAGTTGTTGGATTATATTTGGACTTGACCAGGTTTTCCTGATAGTTAGGATTCAGATGTGCAAGTCCAACCACGGAAGTTCCTAATCTGATTCAGAAAAATTCAGAATTCAACTCGTCGGACTTGGCCTTCAGTGATTTACGGAAGTAACGCGAAAAATAGTTTTATAAATTTCTAGAAACTCTAAATGTTTCAATAATCCTCTTGATTTCCACTAACTTTCTGATCAAAGAATATCTCACGTCTACAATTCCCATTTTTCCCAGCATCCAATTAAAATTCCTCATCTGCATCCATTCATTAATTGTTATCTTGCAAGTACACACACACAATTAGAAAAATCGAATAAATCTTAAAGTGGTGCGAAAACTCATTAGATTTAATCATCTTGCCTTGTCGTTCTCCCCATTTTTTTTTCTCCCGAAAAAATACGGACTGAAAAAATTGGGATTGATCTGATATGTCCAGTCGGCGGCGACACATTGGCTAGCGGATTGTTGACAATCAATCTTTTTTCTATCTGTTATCATCAGAGTAAAAAAGTTTCAGGAAGGAAGGAAGGAAGAAGCTATAGTCTTTATTAATATTGATACATTTTTGCGATGATTTATTGATAAGATAGGGTCAAAAAGGAAGCAAGATGGGATAAATGACACATATTTTTTTTTCAAAGAACGGTGATAAGCGTGAACAAAGGTTTGATTTGTTGGATTGTAGGGCTGGAAGGCCTAGAGGTCTGATTTTTCTCTGGAAATGGGCCCGATCAGGCTGTATAGGAGTCATCCTATTTCTTATTAGCAATCTGAATATTCTCTCGCAAAATTGAATTCCGAACAAGAATTTAATGAAACATTTTGCAAGACTGACTGTCATATCAAATTATTTTCCAATTCCAAATGCTTCATTCATTCATTCATTCACCTACACGATGACCGATAAATCTCTGTGGCTTTGTCGGTTTTTCCCTTTTGTCCATCTCCTTTTTCCCCCTCCCTTCCTTTTCGTTTTGTTTCATCTTGATGAAGCTGAGGATGGTGTTTGATCCACACCGACGACATTTTTGTGGATTTTTCGAAATGGAGGAGTTTTTTTTGGAAAAATGTTTGATGAATAATATCGGTTTTTTTGATAGGCATGAGATATCAATAAAAAGTTGCGAGTGGGTAAAAGATCGAAAAACATCTGGGGAAAACGTTGCTATTTGGAATCGGGAAAAATTTTGATATGGACATATAGGCACTGCTCCTTGGCATAGAAGCTCCCAAGGCGTGGCTGCTTGTTAGAGTTCAATTCTAGATGCTGGTACTAGACAATGAGGTTCTCTAGGATCGGCTACTAGGCATAGAAGCTCACAAGGCTCGGCTCCTTCACAATTATAATCTCTGGGCGCGGGTATTTTGAAATAAAAAAAAATAAAACCGTTTCAAAATCTAATTTCCTGCGTGACCTCCTCATTATTCATTCATTTTCGCAAAATATTAATGACCCCATTTCTAATTTTTCAGAGTTCCCGAACTCGACCCATCAATCTATGGACTTCCGCTGAATGAAAAAGTTGGAGAAGGACTTTCTCTCAATGATTTGGCCGAACAACTTCGATTGATTTATTGTGGACCAGTTGCTATCGAATTCATGCATATTAATGTGAGCTTTATTTTTTCAAAGAAGATTTCTGATATTTTGAATAATTTCAGAACTGGGAAGAGCGTCAATGGTTATCGCAAAATTTCGAAGCAACGATTTCGCAAGATTTGACAGCAGAAGAGGCGGTGAAGATTGGAAAGTTGATGTTGAAGTGTGAAGTAAACGAAAAAAACAGCGAAAATTTCATCAAATAAAATTTTTTTTAGAACTTTGACAAATTCCTGGCTACCAAGTTTCCAACATTGAAAAGATATGGAGCTGAGGGAGCTGAAGCCATGTTCGCATTTTTCAACGAGTTATTCGAAAGTGCCCCAGAAAAAGAAGTGCAACAAATAATTATTGGAATTGCTCATAGAGGAAGATTGAACTTATTAACCCAAATGATGGAATTCCCACCAGTTCATATGTTCAGGAAAATCAAAGGAAAACCAGAGTTCCCAGAATCTGTTGATGCTGCTGGAGATGTTCTTTCACATCTTGTATCCTCATTTGATTATAAAACATCGGAAGGACAAGTTCATGTGACAATGTTGCCAAATCCATCGCATCTTGAAGCAGTTAACCCGGTAGCAATGGGAAAAGCTCGCGCACGCGCCTGGTCTCTTCAGAAAGGTGATTATGGAGATGAGAGATCGGCGAGAACTGGCGATTCGGTTTTGAATGTGTTGGTGCATGGAGATGGCGCGTTCACCGGACAAGGAGTTGTTTGGGAATCGATTGCATTGAGTCAAGCACCGCATTTTAGATTGGGAGGAACTGTTCATCTAGTCACAAATAATCAAATCGCATTTACCGCCGAGAAAAGTGTCGGGAGATCAACAACACATTGTACGGATATCGCGAAATCTTTCGAATACCCAATTCTTCATGTCAATGGTGATTGTCCGGATGAAGTTGTGAAAGCAACGCGGCTCGCATTGGCCTATCGAGAAAGATATCGCAAAGATATTTTTATAAATCTTGTATGCTTCAGAAGATGGGGACATAATGAATTGGATGATCCAACATTTACATCACCTGTTATGTATAAAGAGGTTAATAAAAGAGAATCGGTGCCAAGTCAATTTTTGGATCGATTATTGATTGATGGATTAGTGACTGAAGAGGGAATTGAAGCGGAGCTCGTGAAACATACCGAAGAATTGAATGCGGCGTTGAAAGCGGTGGATTCAACACAACCTATGTGAGTTTCGGGACGCAAATTGTTTCAGATTCCAATTTCATGCTCTCAAAACTGAGGGGGAGATCATGACATTTGGAAAAAATTTTTGGAGGGGGGATCATTTTGGAAATTTTGAATTCCCGCTCAAATAAAAATTTTTATTTGGGCGGGAAAATATTTTTGAAAAAAAAAATTTTTTTTTTTTTTGGAAATTTTGAATAAAAAAACTCCCCCTCCCCTTTCTTGGATATTTTTCATTTGTTCACCATTTATTTTTTGGAAGTTTTTAACAAAAAAAAAATTGAGGAGTGGGGGTCATGACATTTCAAACTTTTGGAGAGGGGGGAGATCATTATATGCGAGGTTTGTTGGGCGAAGATGCCATGTATGATTCCAATAATAATTTTTTCAGCGACGTTAGCCATCGTGGAAACTGGAATGGATTCATCCAAGCTCCTCGAAACATCGAAACTTGGGATACTGGAGTCAACACGGATCTTCTGCGTTTCATCGGAGCGGCTAGTGTAAAAACCCCGGAAAACTTTGACACTCATAAACACCTCTACAAAATGCACATCGATTCGAGAATTCAAAAAATGCAAACTGGAGATTCGATCGATTGGGCGACAGCCGAAGCATTGGCATTCGGAAGTTTGTTATTGGAAGGAAATGATGTGCGAATAAGTGGACAAGATGTTGGAAGAGGAACATTTTGTCATCGACACGCAATGATGGTTGATCAATCCGATGATTCGATTCATATTCCGTTGAATGAAATTGTTGAGAATCAGAAGAACTTCATCGAAGTCGCTAATAATTTATTATCCGAGGAGGCGATTTTGGGATATGAATGGGGATTTGCATCGGAGAATCCGAGACGGTTGTGTATTTGGGAAGCACAGTTTGGCGATTTTTTCAATGGCGCGCAGATTATTATTGATACTTTTGTGGCGAGTGCCGAAAGTGAGTTTCAAATATCAACAGCTAGATTTTTTAAAATTCAGGCAAATGGCTGACTTCAAATGGTCTTACAATGCTTCTCCCACATGGTTTTGATGGAGCTGGTCCGGAGCACAGTAGTTGTAGAATGGAAAGATTTTTGCAACTTTGCGACTCAAGAGAAGATCAAACTCCAGTCGATGGTGAAAATGTGAATATTCGAATCGCCAATCCAACAACATCTGCACAATATTTCCATCTTCTTCGACGACAGGTAAATTAAATTTTTTTATCCGGAAATTATCCTGAATCACAATTCAATTTTCCAGATGATCCCCAACTATCGAAAACCGCTTGTCGTTGTGGCGCCCAAAATACTTTTGCGCCATCCAAAGGTAATAAAATCGTCGCCTTTGACAGTTGCCTCTTTTTTTTGATAGTAGGGGTAGTAGTAGTAGTATTTAATGGTAATTGCGTTGTTTTTGAGTTTGCCGACCGATGAAAGATTTTTGGGAAAGATTAGGCGAAGGCCTTTTTATTCCTCTGAAATTTGATAAATCTCTGGAATCCTTAGGTCAAATAAATTTAAGGTTTTAAGAACTAATAAAATCGGAACTTTCTAGAGCTAAACTCAATTTCAGAATTTCAAAAACAAGGAAAATCCAAAATCAACCACAAAAAATACAGTACTCTACAAAATAATTTTTGCCACGTCATAGCATTGTTCCGTAATTCTGGAAAATAGAATAAACTAGCCTATACTGTAAGATTTTGGCCCCGAAACCAAGTCCTACAGTAACAAAAGCCTAATTTGGTCTCAAAAAAAAATAGGAATTAAAAAATTCAGATATAAGATAGCCTAATTTTGAAAAAAATACAAAACTCTAGATGCAAAAGCATTTTTGCCACGTCACAGCATCTTCACAAAAATTTTCTCAAATTTCCAGGCCGCCTCCTCGATCCTCGATTTGGCCCCTGGAACAAGCTACAAAAATGTGATCACCGACTCCACGATCAAAAATCAAAACAAAGTTGAAAAAGTGATATTCGTCTCAGGAAAACACTGGATTGCTGTCGAAAAAGCGAGAGATGAAAAAGGACTTGCGGATACTGTAGCTATTGTTCGAGTCGAAATGTTGTGTCCCTTCCCTGTTGTTGATCTACAATCAGTTATTAAACAATATCCAAATGCTAAACGTAAGTTTACATAGGTTGGGTAATAATTGGGTGGAAAAATGATACTTTTGTTCGTTGCTCTTATGACCATCTGTCTGGTTTGAGGAGTTAGCATAACTGACTTTTGACAAGAGACACATAGAAAAAAGTTTATAATGAAAATGAAGGACACTACACATACACACAGGTTGAAGAATACAGAGATGAGCCATATTAGCAGCCTGGAAATATTTTGGATACGGAAGTTTTCCCAAGATTTTGAACTCACCTCCACTGAGCATAATCTTCTTGAGCATAACCTGGGATCTTACCGCCGAAAATTCCCGCCCATTTTTGTCGAGTCAAAATGCTGACAATTCCCCAAACCCGGATATTTTATACCCTAAAATTAGAGCATCACGTTGGAAATATTTATTTTTCTACACAAAATTAATTGTACGAGAAAATGTCACGATTCACTGTTGCTCCTTCCAATTCATCGTCTTTTTTGTATTGCTTGACTGATGGTGTTTGCCAAATTCCGAAACTTTTGAAATCATCGAAATTGGCAGGCGAATCGAATATATGATACCAGAGAAGAGTATCGCTATCAATATCAGTTATATTTCCAGTAATTGTGTTCCATTCTTCGAGTGATGTGTATATTCCAATTTTCCGGAATCCTAATTGTTTTGCAGCTTTGACTGCAGATCGAACAATATTCGCATTTCGAGTTGTGTCTTTTGGCCAGTTTTCAATTTGATCAACCTTGATCCATAACGCATATACTCGAATATAATTATCAACCAAACCGGTATATAAATTTTGAACTTGTTGTGCACCATCTAAATTACTGTAGGCTGTGGGAGTCATGTATAATTCGACATGGAATCGACTTGTATAGGCACTTCGAATTGTATTCAACATTGTTTTATCGAAAACTTGATAGAAATCAGAATCGAAAGCGCGGATGTAGATTGTTGGAATCATGTTGAGTCGAATATTCATCAAGGTGTCATATGTCATTGGATGAGCTATATCAACTGCGTTTCCGTAGTTTGTAGTGTTGAGAGTGGTTGGCGCGGCATAGATTGAGGGAAATATGGAAAGAATGAGAAAGTGAAAGAGCGTTTCTAACACGAAGAATGATTTTGTCTTATCAGGAAATTAAAAAATCATCATTTTTCCTTTTTGATATTACATTTGGTTGTTTTTGCTGATCAAAAACAAAAAAGTTTCCACGTCATAACTCGTTTCCAGAGTTCAGTTTATCGACTTCTGACATTCGTCAAAAAATACATTTATCTCAATTTTCAAAGTTGAAAATGTTCCCTTGCTTAACAATTTCGTTCACTTATTTTGTTTTCCACCATGTTGTTTCACCTTGATGATGCACCTTTGATTAATGGCTTTTCATCGGTGAATCGCAGCCGTTTTTTTTGTCATCCGTTGGAACGAACGCCAAATGAGATTGCATTCGACGATGAACACCAGAATTAATGAGTTTTTCTTTTGATGGCGGGTGCACTTTGAATAGTTTTTTTTGTGAAAGAAGAATAAGGAAAAAAACTGGGTGGTCTCTGCGATGTTAATCTTTTTCGTTTGGTAATTAGGCTAATGAGAATCATGATAAGAGGAGTTTTGAAAATTGTTTCGGCGACTAAAATTCAACTTTTCGTAAGATCAAGGAGAGTGCTGAGTTTGCGTGGAAAATTAGAATATCTGAACTGAAGCTTCTGAGTCAGCGAAACTCTTTCAAATCGAATACAAAATTTTCCCAAAAACTCAACTTCATAAATCAGCAAAGCCAGGCGAACACATAGACCTCCCCGTGTTTTTTTCCTCCCATTTCGAGACAATTTATCATTTTGGGTGAAAGGACAAAGTGACATTTTCGAATTGAAAACACCGAAAAGTTTTGGAGGTTAACATTTTCGACGTCTAATTGGATTGAATTGAAGTAATTAGTTGGAGAAGTTTGGAGGGTACGGTAGATGAATAGGAGAAGGGTTTGGGTTACTGTAGTCTTGGTAGATCTTCATACTATTTTGAGATTCTTGTGATATTTTCAAAGTGCCGATTTCTGGAATATTTTCAGATCGGAATCTAGATTTCAACATTTGGCGAGAATCAGGAATATAAATCTAGGAAAAACGAAAACTGTAAAAAAAAGTTTTTGGATACTCTGAAAAAATTCAGAAACGTCTGGGTTTCACCTCAACCCCCCCCAATCTCTCAAAAATTCTGAAAAAAATTTCAGAATTCGTGTGGTCGCAAGAAGAGCCGCGAAACGCCGGTGCCTGGACATTTGTGAATCCACGATTCGAAAACGCATTAGGTGTGAAGCTGAAGTTTGCAGGTCGTCGAGAATTGGCGTGGACAGCCACAGCCGTCGGCGAACATCACACAAAAGAAGCTGAGCAAGTGATTAATCAAACGTTTGCATAAGGAGAATGAGAGACACACAAAAAACCGCTTCTTCTTATTCTTCTCCTCCTTTTTGTTACCCATAAGCGAAGTAGATAGCGCGACAAAAAGTAAGACCTATTCATTCCCACCCACCAACTACTTTTTTCCGTGTTTTTTTCCTCTTTTTCTTCATGTGTTTTTTCCCCGTCCCTGGTCATTCATTCAAAGAATTTATGTAGTTTTTGAAATATGTACTATTGTTGTTTTTAGGGTTTTTTCCTCGGATAATACATTTTTTTTGCTCCATTATTGAAACAAGCTTTTCCATTTGGAATAATTGAATTATTCTTCGTGTTTTGTAAACCAGAGCAGATCTGCATATTTTGTTGTTTTTTTTTTTGGTGGGTTTTGGGGAAGCTGTATAGTCGTTTTGGGGAAATTTTGGCTACTTCACGTCATTTTTTTGGAATTTGAGAATTTTGAATTTGCGTGAACTGGTGACGTGGCACTTTAGAATTTCATTTTTGAAATCGATGTTTCTGTAGATCTTTCAAGATTCTGGTGGAGAATTTGAATTTAAAAAATATCTGAATTTGAAGAGCTCTAAAACTGTTTAGTTTCAGAAAATATGCGTTTCAGAATTGTATTTTGAAATTTTGCCACGCCATAACTTATTTTTGAATTTGAGTTCGTAACTTCCTGAACTTATACACATGATTTTGATTTTTCTGAAAAATTGAAATTCTCAAAATAATTTTACCCAAAAACTTTCCCTTCCCAACTTTTTTCTCATTTTTCGTTGTTCTCCCGTTTCCCACTTTTTTTTCGCGGCAACCCATTAAAAAAGTCGATTTACATATGATGATGATATACTTAAATATCGTCATTTTTATATTAGATCGCGCCGAATTGAACGGAACGAAAAAACGAACATCTGTGAAAAAACACCAATGAGCTAGATGTTGTGGAATTGAAAAGGGAGAGAAAGAGACGCAGACATGCGCAAGAAGTCATAAAATTATGATAGACACAGGCACCGAGTTGAGTTTTGTGTTGTTATTTTTCATCAAATCGACAGCTGTCTGTGTCTATGCGTTTTTTTTGTTCTTGAGTTGAATGGGTACTGTAGGAAGGTTTTTGTGATTTTCGAAACGGTCATTTTTATTTGGAGATATGTCGTAAAATTGTTTTTTTTTCGGGTAATGTAATGATCGTAAAATTTCGACGATTAGAAAAAGACACGGTAATTAAATTTGGGAGTTTTTTTTTTGTAAAAAAAAGAGAATGAGATATCTGATTTTAGTTTGGTTGAGGTTCGTAGGTCAGAAATTTCTGAAAAATTCCAATTTTTTTTTTTGAAAAATCTGGGGACTTTCAAAATGTGGATTGTTTCATGTTTTATTCGGAAATATTTCAGCTTGAAAATTTCTTTGGCAATTTTCTGAAGTCAACAAATTTTTCGATTTGAATTTTGAATAGCATTCTGAAAACCTGGGATTTTCTGTAACTAATTAGTTTCCATAGCTGATTTGAATTGTGCCAAAGTTATTCTAAATCCAGAATGTTCAATTTCAAAAATCGATGTTTCCTAGTTGATGGAGAATTTCAGACATTTTAGAAGTCTCTAAACTTTTTATTCAGATGTTCTAAAATTGTTATAATCAATTTTCTGGTACTTAGATCAGGAGTTTCCAGACCATTCAGATTTTTTGTCAAAATTTCTATACAACCCTCTCCTCCTTTACTTTCCCTTCCCTAAGCCACCTACATACATCATGTCCAGCAAATTGGAAAATACAAGTAATTAAAGGATCATCCACCCGCCCGCCCATATAATAATTATTAACTGTTATATAACATAACACACGCGGGAAGCCTTCTTCTATTTATTTTTATACAGTTGAGGAAAATCGACAGATGTTTTGAGAGGAAAAGATCCCGGAAATTAACTAGAGAGTTTCTCATTTATTTTTTCCCTTTCTGTTAATTCTTCACACCATTTTTTCTTCTTTGTTCACTAGCTCCATTTTTTTCCCACACACACATCCATCAAAAATTATACTATCTTATCTATTGTTGGTTAACCCAAACCTAAAAGATAAAATTAATCGAATTAGTGAATGAAGAAGAAGAAGAAGAAGAAGAAGAAGCTGGAGATAAATAAATTATTGAAATTTGATGTGACACCCACAATTTATACATATGCTAGCAGGTTCCGATAATTTTTAATTCCATAAATCAATGTTTTATTAGTTTTTCTCTGGGTGGGAGTGGAATAGAAGGGTGGAGATGGGCGGGGCAAAGAAATTGTGGTAGATATGGAATGGAAATGAGGAAGGGAGACTGTATTTGTATTGGGTTTTTGGGGTTTTATAGACTACTGTATTTTTGTTTTGTTGAATTTTTATAATTTTTTGAACAGATTACTGTAGACTCAAAAGTTCTTAAAATATTTATTTTTTTAATCTAGATTTTTTAATGAAATTGATTTGTTAACAATACAGTACTCAGAAAACTTGCTCATCTAACCGTTGAAAATATTATCGAGCTGTTTAAAAAATTAAGAAAAATTGAAATTTGAATTCTCAAATTCTAAACCCTCTTGTAGTTCTCTCAAAGACCTCCCCGATTTGATTCGTTTTTTCTCCATCAATTTTTTTTTTCAAAAAATAATTATTTTCATCCGGTTTCAGATTATTATTTTCATATTTTCCCCCATTTTTTCTTCAAACTTTTTTTTACTAACAAAAATATCTTCCACCTTTTCAATTAATTCTTATTATAAATAGAATCATTCAACTTCTTCACAAATAACTCGTTATTTCGGCAACTTCAAAAACTCCGAAAAATGAAAAGAAAAAGGGGCGGAGCCTGTGTCATCAAAAACTTTTTGTCACCTTTTCATTTTTTCCGCCACATTTCGGTGTCATTTTGAATTAATTCCATCTTCTAAATATTCACTTAATTCGATTATCAAATATTTGCATTTTATTAGAAGAAGAAGCATAGTTTTTTTTACCATCAATCAATCAATAATTATAGCTTGATTTTTGACACCTGTGAGTGAGTCTATTTTTTCGAAAATAAAAAATAAAAAGAGAAATTTTTCTTGCGGGAAACTAAAATTTGTCAGTTGTTGATGGCTCTCGGAAAAAAAATGAAGGGAGGAGCATTGAATTTCGAGATATTGGAGAAATGAGAAGTTTTTTTGTTGAGTGTTGGATATAGTTTTTGTTATTTTTAGAGTGATTGTGTTTTGTGTACTTTTATTTTTTATTTTAGGGAGTTTAGATCTAATTTTTGATGAAGTATTTGACACGTGGGTTTTTTGCACACTTTTTTTTTTCAAATTTCAGAATGTTGTTTGAAATTTAATTTTTTTTTGGATTTATTTTTAATTTTGCAAAATATTCTTGAAACTCTTGAAATTTAAAAAAAATCCAAATTGGTCTTCAATGACTTTTTGACATGTGGCACAATTTTTAACACTGTTAAAAAATATGCCACGTGTCAAAAATCAAGTTATGAACTGGTATATATTGAAATTCAAAAATTCGAGTTGAGTTTTTGAAAATTTTTTTCAGTATTTTCAGATTGCAAATTTTTTAAAATTTCTGAAAACGTGGCATTTTTTTCTTAAAAAAATGTTTTCTTGGAAAAATCAAATCTCGAATTATTCTTACGAAAAAATTTTTTATTCAGAACTTTGAATTGTGAAATCATGCCACGTGGATTTTCAGTTGAAGTATCCATAAAATAAAGATTAAAAATTCTAACCTCAGAACTTTTTCAGCCACGAAAAAATACAAACTTCTAGACTTCAAAAAATTCTGAAACTCAGAACCCTTTCCCATATTTTTTCGTAATACCATGTTATTTTTTCTCTTCTCTCATATTTCTTGCCGAATTCCGACCGTTTAGTCATACATAGATACAATAAACACCGTGTTGTTTTTTCACCTGCTTCTTGTTGTTGTTACATTTTTCCCTTTTATGTTTCCTTTACATTGTTTATTTTTTTGTACATTTACCAAAAAAAGAACACAAATTCTTCATGAGAAATATGTGACAAATTGAATCTAATCTCTTTGCTTCCCATTCGACATTTATCTATGCTCAAATGCTCATCCAATTATTCTTTGGATGGTTAGAAATTAGACCATGTTGAGTAATGTGACACTTTTTGAACACAGCCAAAGACAATAAAATAAAAATCAGAGATATAACATATGTTTTGGGACTAAATTTGAATAGTAAAAGACATTTTGGCATCTCAAAAAAGTTAATGGAAATGTTTCTTGGAAGACCGCCGAAAAGAAGCAAAAAAGAGTAGAATAGAATAGAATGGAAAAACAGAAGACGAAATTCAATTATAGACTCATGGCCTTTGCGTAATGTTGCCAAATTTTTACGTTTTCGAAATTTATTCTTGATGGGTGATGGCAGAGTTCGGGCATTTTTCTAGGGTTTCTAAATTTTTAAGGTCAAAAAATTTTAAAATTGAAATTTGTTTCATGATTCCTGAAAATATCAGTTTTGTTAAATACCCGTGATATTAAGGACAATTTTGAATTTATGACACCCGGCAATTTTTAAAAGATTTTTTTAAATAAAAAAATTTTCTGGAACTCATACATAATGGATGAAACAAAAATCAAAAATATCTTCAATAATTCAAAAAATTCTGAAACCAATTTTTTCCGGGAATTAATTATTTTTTTTTTTTGAAATGGAGACGAATAGCTAAATTTTAATTTTTAGAGTAGACTCTCTAGTCACGGCTACTTGAGAAATATGACTTCTAGGCGCGGCTCCTTTCTAAATCCGATCCCTAGGCGAGGGTCCTAGATTTAGGTACTCTATGCTGCTTAACAACCAGCTTTGCTAAATGTTTTTTTTTTAAATTCCAGACGACTTGAATTTGTCTGAAACTTTTCAAAACTATTTTTAGCCACATATTTATCTTCCCTAAAATTCCCCCTTCCTCCATCTAAATATGTTTACTATCGCAATTTCATTTCTCGACCGACCAACCCAAGAAAAGATGAACTTGGTGTTCATCAAATTCAATTATAGTGTCTTCTTCTCGCGTAATTCCGCCAAAAGTAGTTCAACTTCTGATTTTTTTTGAATCTTGGGGTCATTTCTTTCAAAATAAAAAAATGAATTAAAATAAAACTTCAAGGCGTTCAAGATGTTATCTCTCATAAAAATGTCTTTGAAGTGTCAAAATTCATTAAATTCACCAAATGTGTATTTTATTTAACTAGTATATGTATTTAGTATTTAAAATTCGAAACTTATGTATTTTCAACATATTTTCTATAGTATTTTGTTGTCTTTTTTTTCAAAATTTGTATTCTTTTGCTGATTGCGCATCTCCTTCTTTTTTCTTTTCTTTTCTTTCCCATTTCCTCCCATTTCTTCCGACTCCGCCCCCTTCAAATTTTTCCTTTCTTTTTTTCCTGACCCAACATTTTTATAGAATATAATTTTAGTTCTACGAACTCAAAAAACCATGAAAAATAATCCTATTTATATTCAGTTTCTATTGATTTCCCATTTTACTGTATACGATTTTTTTGCAAAAAAAATATACATTTTCTCACGGTCACCGGGGTTTTTCTTTCATTTTTCTATACCACTTCTGCTCTCATCATATCTATTGATTGTTGTATTTTCGACGAAATTAATTATCAAGAAAAAAAAACATAATTATTTTGAACTCACCTCTTTTTTATCGCTATTTGTATACTGGGCGAACGAAAATAAAATCAGCAGTTTTTCAGAAACATCTATGAATGGAGGCATGCAGTAGTAGTAGTAGCTTGAATTCGACAACGAAATCTCCACTTCGAACGATACCAAAGGTGAGGACTAGTTTTCGGGTTTCTAGGCCACGCGGTTTTATCGAAGATTTCCCGTCAGGCGGAAGGTAATTAAGAGGCAGAACGGGATATTTTCAATAAAAATCTATTTTTTGACACATTTTGTAAAAGGTCAATTGAGTTTAAGAAATTCCTTCATCTCTAAACCTATCTGAAAGTTCCCAGGGCCGAGTTTGGTTTCCTAGGCCACGCCGAAATTTTTTCATTTTTTTCGCGAAAAAAATTCGGTTTTTTTCATTTTTCACTTTTCATAGCCGGAAAGCGCTTAAAAATCTCTCGAGAATTAAAAAAGAACAAAACTTATTCTCATGAATTTATTATACATAGACGCAAAAAAACCCAGAAAATTGCAGATCCGAATATGTGCAAATGTAAGCCAAGAGGATCTGAACACGAAACGATGTCAACTATCAGAAAATCAACAAAATCTATGTGTTGAGGGTAAAAACTATTCGCGCGGTGTTTTCGACCACGTTTTCTGGCCCGATTCGTCGCAAGACGATATTTCCCACGCATTCCTACACGACACCATAAAATCCGTAGTGCTTCAAGGAAATGATGCGACAATTTTGTCAATGGGCTCAAAATCCGCGGGTTTGTTGTCTTATTTTTTTTGTTGGTTTTCTCTGGTTTTCAAGGACTCTTTTAGGCAAAGACGAGCGATTGTATGGTGAAAATATTGGAGGAAGTACTTCAAGAAATGGGCTCGTTCAAATCGCGATAACACAATTGATGACACTTCTAGAAGAGATGAGGTCAGCAGTTTTCAGCAAGAAAAAACATTGATAACCTAAATTTGTTTTCAGAAGTGATGAAGAGCGTGTTCAAGTTCGAATGAGCGCAATAATGATTTCACAACACGATTCGACTATTCTCGATCTTCTCAGTCCTTTCAATCCCGATCCACGTCATCGAATTGTCAGATTTGTTGATGATTTGAGAACCGGTGTTTATATTGATAACGAATCCGAGATTCGCGTGGAATCTATTGATCAGGCACTATTCTATCTGAATACAGCGGTAGATCATAGACTAATCCGTAAGTGTGAAAAGAATAAAGATTTTTGTGCACGTGACCTTCTCTCCATCAAATCCAATTTTTCTAGAAGACGAAGCGACGCATCGAACATGCCACGTGTACATCTCATTATCAGTTTATAGTCACAATTTATCTGAAACTGAAAAATCAGGAGGCCGTCGACGATTATGTTTCCTTGACATGGGAATTGGTGATCGGAATTCAATGGATAAAGGAATCACAATGCCCGGATTGGGAAGTATTTTGTTGGCAATGGTTCAACGCAACAAGCATGTGCCTTTAAGGTATCCATATTTTTTTAAATTGAAAATAAAATAAAATATTTTTCTGAGAAAAACATGAGAAACTCCCCAAAGACATTTTTTTTTGACAAATTGTTGCGGTAAGTGAAAAAGTTGTAAGGAATATATTTTGCATCTTTTTTTTTCATAAAAAAGTCTCTGGGGAATTTTTTGAAGCAAAAATTTTTGAGCAAAAATAAGTTTTAAAAAATAAAAGTTTTTGCAGGGAGACAACAACTTGTCAATTAATACGCTGTGCATTATCGAGCTCCAGATTCACCACATTTCTCTTCTCATTTGGGTCTCGAAACGATGACAATGAGAATATCGCTCATCTTGCTTGTAAAATAGCGAGAACTCGGTTGAAAAATGCATTTGGCGGCTCGAATTCAACACTGTTGAAAAATAAGAAACATCTGGTTGGTTTTTTTTAGTTGGTTGAGGTCTAATGATGAAATATGTTGCGAACACATGTGTTTGAAGAATTTTTTAAAAGTTTTTTTTAGTTGAGAGCAAGTCTTGGGCTTTTTAAGTCGGACAAAGGCTAATTCTAAAGTTATTTTTTTTTCAAAAATGCCACGTGGCAAAAAATGCGGATCTCAAATTCAAAAAGAAATCTCCACTGATCCCGGAAACCTCTCGCAACATTTTCTTTCTTTCTTTTTTTGCAACAAAAAAAATAATAACGAAAAATGAAATTTGATCCGATTAATATGTATAACAAATATTTAGTAAATAAAAAAAAAGTATATTTCATTTTTCTTCCAGAACAATAATTCAAGTGAGGCGTCTTCAAGTGATACAACAAGTAGAAATCGGCGAGATTTGGAGAGCGGATCGGAATTCTCGGCGGCTGAAACTGTCATCTATTTGGGACCCTCGACTTCATCAGGTGAGACATTTTATATTTTATTTTATGAATCTGACTAATTGACAACTGTTCTTGAGATTCACTTAAAAATGAGACAAAAAGAGATAGGCGGGTGGGTAAATACGATTTTTGATTGCCTATCATTTTTTATGACTTGATTTGTTGTTGTTGTTTTTCTTGGCACCGATTTTTTGTGTCATAAAAATAAGAAATAGGTGAAGAAGTGATGGCTTCTGAAGTAACAGAACCTAGAAACCCTAGTTGTCAAGTAGGCGCTCCTTAGAAAGCCGATTGTCTAGGACTGGCGCCGAGAGATCTACTCTAGCAAGGAGCCGATCCTTGAGATCTTCTATGCCAAGAAGACGACCCAGAAAATCTTGATTTTCCAGCAAAACTTTGGATCTTCTCATTTTCTCCCAGATCTCTTATATCTAGATAGAATTAATTAATCTCTTAGATTCCAACACAAAACCAACAAGAAAAAAAACAGTTTTTAGTGTAAAATGAAAATGTACATTTGACATGTCACTTGGATGTCTCTTTTTTCCAAAAAAAAGATTTTCAAGTACTCATCAATCATTTCCTCTTTTTTCATTTGTCTCCCTTTTGACTCCCATTTTTTTGTCGATCTTGTTGTTTCTTGTTGTTTTGTAGTTTGAAATATTTTTGGGTCATTTGAGAAGTTTCGTGGATTGAAGTTGGGTTAATTGAGAATTTGACGGAGAAAATCAAGAAATTCTAAATTTTTGGTGATGTTCCAAAGCGAGGAAAAATTGATTTTTTTCAAAATGTTTACCAAACATTGTTTTGAATTCTCAAAAGCTACATAATTTTCAAAATATTCAATTTTTTTCTCCAAAAAATCTAATTTTCAGATTTCCCAAGAGCCTTATATTTTTAGACCTAATTTTCACGAATTTCATGCGCTAGATTTGTAATTTCAAAAAAACTCTTCAGATTAGAACTAAATTTTAGCGGAAAATCCAATTTTCTAGGAAAAATCTGGAATTCGGGCTTTCCAGGCGCGCCTTCTTGACATATAAGCTCATAAGGCTCGTTTACTTGATGTAGAGGCTCTCAAGGCGCGGCTTCTCGCCAGATAGAAGTTCTAGATGCGGGTCCCAGAAAATTGAGTTATCTAGGCTCGGCTCCTAGCCAGATAGGATCTCTAGATGCGGCTCTTAATACGGCGTCCAAGTGAAAAAGAAGCGTACGCGAAAACGCGTAGATTCGCGTTACTTTTTGCAAAAACGCGTGTGTTTGGACAAAAAAAACGCGTAGATCTACGCGATTCTACGCGTTTTCGCGTACGCTTCTTTTTCACTTGGACGCCGTATAAGAAATTGATGCTTTTAGGCGCTGCTACTTGCTGCTACGGCGCTGAACCTTGATAATTGAACTTTCTAAGCGTGGTTACTTGACAACTCTAATTTCTAAGCGTGGCTTCTTGGCATATAAGTTCTCAAGTCGTGGCTCCGATAATCTTTAGAATTTTCCCTTCTGGGAACCACGATTTTAGCCAAAATGTGTCTACACAACTTGCCGTGTTCACACTTTTCTAATCTCCAAAACTTTCCCAACAACCATTTTCACACCAATGTAAACAATCAATCACCACATTGTCATCAAAAGTTTCTTTTTTTTCCTTTTTTCTTTCTCGCTCGCTAAAAATCACAATATATCAGATCATTGCATGTGATGATTAAATCTTTTGCAATGTTTTTGTTGTTTATTATTATTATCTCACAAATATCTATAGCTAGGCTATCCCACTTATTTCTCTCTTCCCCCCATTTTTATCCCTTCTCGAAGGCGGTGTGCTCTTTTACTCCTCTTCTCCAGGAAGATTGCGACATATACCGATGATCTTTATTATTTCTCGGCCATCTCTAACCGCCTGTAATATTATTGCTATTTTTATTACCCTCTTTTATGCAATGTTTATACTTTTTGGCAGGAAGAGACGAGGTCCTATTATTACTCATAATAATAATAAACCAGACAGCGAGAAATTATCAGGTTCTTCTTTTTTTTTTCTGATATTATTATGTGTTGTTTTTTTTGTGACCACTTTCTCATTTTTGATCTACCCGCCTTACCGAGAAAAATATTATCAATTTTTCCCCAAAAAAAAATATTTTCATTTTCTAGTGCCATCTACACCTACACGAGCACTTCATCGAACGAGTCGAACGAATAGTCAGACGAATATTTCGCTAGCTGGAAGTGGAGCTGAAGATTTGACGAAACCGTTGAGTATTGAGACTAAGGTTGGTGGTTTTTTTGGAAAATTTTAGGTTCAAATTTATGCCACGTGGCATTTTTCTGTGCAAAATTTGAACTCGTCTAGATTTACTTTTTTTTTAATAAAAAACTTAACCTGGAATTGCCGAAACGAAAATCAAAAATATCTTGAATAAATATTATTTCAAAAAATTCTGAAACCTATTTTTTCCGGGAAATTTTTTTTAAAAAAAAAACCTAGAAAATTTTCATTTTGGAATTTAATTTCGAGTTTTCATAAATCAAGAATTTTTCCCAACTCTTAAAATCTGAACCTCTGAAATTTTTCGCATTCGAAAATTCCCTGAAAATTCCTAAAATTGGAATTTTTAACATGATTCCTGAAAATAGGCATGAGAAATAATATCTACGAAAATTTTGAATTTATGACACGTGGCATTTTAATGTGCAAAATTTGAACATAAAATCTGAAACTCGTCTAGAAAAATGTTATTCTCTTTAAAAAAATTTCAAATGAAAAAAAATTTTCAAAAAATTCAATTAATGAAGTTGCGAAAACGAAAATCACAAATATCTAGAATATTTCAAAAAATTTCTGAAACCTATTTTTTCCGGGAATTTTTTTAAAATAAAAAACCTAGAAAATTTTCATTTTAGAATTTAATTTCGAGTTTCCATAAATCAAGAATTTCTTCCCAGCCAACCCAAAATGCTCTTTTCGAACACCCCAATATTTTCTGCAAATTCTTTAGAAATTTTGCTCATCTTCCAAAAGCTCTAATGAAATTTCCGGTCAACATCAAACATTGCTCATGTTTACACTTAATTAGCATCCCCTCCCCCACCTTTTTTGATCCGCCAAACAATGCACATTTTATTGGAGGGCTCATTATTATTATTTATATTTATATATTGTATTAGTATTTTTTGGCGATGGCGATGATGAATAAGCTTTTTGTGGTTGGCTTTTTGACACCAGCCGACACTATTTTTGGTGGGAAACATTGGTGTGACGCATCACTGGTTTTTGATTTGATTTGATTTTTCTCTTTTTTCTGCTTATAGTCGTTCTTTTTCTTGGGAAAAAGTTGCCAGTTTCTCAAGAAACAGATGAAAAATTATGAAATTTGATAGTTTTCCTGATTTTTTTTGATGTTTGCTTAGACTAGATGGGTGGTTTTTTCTAGATAGAGATATTTTTAGCTCCAGAATTAACCTCTTATGAAAAATGTGAGCTTGAAAATTTACGTTTCAAAATTTTTATTAATTTTGTGGAGGGATTTTTTAACAGTCCACATGTTTCTATAGAAAAATGTAATAAGCAATTAAGAAAAACTTGCATTCAAGTTTTGAAGAATTCCCAAAATTTTTGAAAGAATTTGAAATTTTTGGGACTACAATTTAGAAGTTTAAGTATTAGTTATAATTTTCAGCGAATTTAGAATTTTCGAAATTTTTATCGAAAATATGGGATTATTTAATTTTTTTTCAGTTTTTCTGAATTTTTCACCTATTTTCTGAATCAAAAAGTTTTTCAATTTCCTGTTTACTTTCTTTATTCCTCCCTTTCTTTATTTTCCTCCTTCCTTCAATAAACAAATAATTTGGTTGTAGAACAAAATAAAATGAAAATTCATAATGAATGAAAATGATGTAATATAAACTTTGAAATAGCGCAAGATGTGCGAAAATGTAAACATCCTATAAGAAAATTAGTACTACTTTCTTCCTTTTCATTTTCAACATAAAAATTGGAGCCAATTTGTAAATAGTCTCCCCGGAAACATCTTTTTTTTTTCTGGCCAAATATTATATCATGCAATAGAAATCTAAACGACTAGTTGTAAAAAAATCTGGTCATTTTTGGTAATAACAGATGTTCCCCTGTTTTCTTTTTCTTTTTCTACGCCTTTCCCGTTTTGTCATTTTTTCTGTTCAACAGATATTTCATTCTGAGATTTATGTGAATCTCAATAATTTCGTACAATTTTGCAATTTCGAATAAATTTGCAGTCTTCTCCGACACACTCGATTCCGCCAATGTTGAAAGGACATACGCCGTTTTTCTCGAATTCGCTGAAATTGTATGATGAATTGTGTTCGCCGCCTGGAACGTCGAAAACATCGCCAAATGCGTTTGGTGGAGTTAGTTTGGAGGTTGGTTTTTGTCTAGAATTTTTGGAATTGCCAAAGAGCGGCGCCTGGAGATCCATGTGGAAAGGAGCCGCGCCTTGAGAATATAAATCTCAAGGAGCAGAGCCTAGGGATCACAATTTGGATTTAGTTTGATTTTTAATTAAAATTTAAGGTTGCCTGACCAATTTCTGACCCATTTTTGAAACGCAATTTTGAGCAGAAATTTGCCAGAATCTTTGAATGTTTTACCCTTCCGGAATTGTATCTGAAAAATTTATTTCAGTTTTGAAAACGTGAAATTGTCTCTGAAAGCTTCCAAAAAACGTTACAAAATTTGCAAATTCAAAAAAAAATATACATGAAATTTGATAGTATCCATTGTTTATGATAGTATTCATCATCATAATTTTAATTATATTATTTTGTTTATATTTTTCACACATTCTGTATTATATCATATTTCACACCACACAGCTGATATATTTTCAAAAAATCATAATAATTTTTTGTAGGACCGCGACGATTTTGGAATTATGATTGCGGAAGCGCCCAAAACGCCATCATCGATTGCTAGTTCGAAACAGAAGAAGTGAGTTTTGGAAGGGATTTTTTGGGATTGGGGTAGAATTGGGAAAAAGTGTTGCACTTTCTCATGAAAATCACACATTTTCTTTAAAAATTGCATTTTTCTCATTTATTTATTGTTGTGTTTTTCTACTCATCTTTTTTTCTTCAAATTCACAGCTGACTGACCGGAAATCTTTACAAAATGAGTGAAATTCATAAATTTTCTTCCCTCAATTCACATTCGAAAATTTTTGCACTCTCTGTTTCTCTTTTGTTAACAGCCGCTCTCTCTCCCCTCTCGCATTCTTGTATTTTTCATCTTTCATCTGAATTTTGATCCGCCTTTTAGCTACTTGCATTCTCTAGTTTCACAGTGAAAATGCCGCAAACTTCGGCGATTTTTGAGATTCGAAGTTCGCAAATCACGCTTTTCAAATATTTGAAATATACTATGCAAAGGGTTTTGTAAGTTTTTCTTTGGAGAATTTTTTGAGGCTTGAATTTTTACGTTAAATTCAATTTGAGCAGCAGTCGGAAAGATTTCGGATGAGATTTCGTTTTCAAAAATTGCTCAGATCAACTTTGAACATGACCTATGACGTGGCAACAATTTTAAAACACATAAAACTTCATTTTTTGGCAAAAATTTTTTTTGCCACGTCATAACTAATTTTCAGAGCTGAGATTACCCGATTTTTGAAATCAGCATCTGAAACTACAGGTTAAAATTTCCTTACAAAAATATTCATAAAAAGTTTTAAAAATTTTCAGAATAAAAAGTTGTAAAATTCATATTCAAAAATTTTCCAGATACAATCTCGATGATGGAAAACGAAAACAAATAATGAAATGGATGGAAGGATCCGAATCGCCGCCAGTTCTCTACACAACACCATGTTACGATCAAAATTGGGAGGAAACTGGCGGAATCCTATCGCATCCCCTCGAAGATATCATTGAACAAGAGGAAGAATCGATGAAAACATCGAGTGGCTCGAAAAAGGATCATCCGTTGCGTATTTTGAGTCGACAAAATTTGGCGGAAGAGAAAAAGGTATTTTGATACGCGAAAACATGTGTTTTGACAACAAGTTTTGTTATTTTGTTGGAACTTTTGTTGGTTTTTTGCTATTAAAAAAGAAAAATAAAAGGAAAAAACACACCGAGGCTTGATGATTGATTAGCGAACGAGCACCAATCAATCTTCTATTTGTACTATTTTAGCCTAGATCAAAATTCAATTTTTTCAGGAAGGATCTTCGGATGAGACTGAACTCGAATTAGTGATGGCTGCCAGTTTATCATCGATGAAATCGCATGATATATTAGCGAAACTTGAAGCATTGAGAAATACAGCGAGCGGAGTGTCGTTGAACACAACATCCGATGAAAATGCGTCGGAAATGGCGGTTTATCGAAGAGCGAGTCAATTGGAAGAATATGCAATGTTGAGAGTGAAAGAGATTGAGGAGAACAAATTGAAAGGGAAAAAGAAGAAATTGGGAGGATTGAATTGTTGCCAAATTCAGAGTATGGTTTCGAGCGGAAGTACTGTGGTTGATTGGAGTCAGATTGAGAAGAAAAAGTGAGTAGCCTTGATTCTTGTGTGTTTGTCTGCTTGAAAAAAGGCAGCTGGTGATTGATGGTTGTATTTTGGTATAATTGCAAATTGCATAACAGATGATTTACAATCTGGAATATATATATGACCGGGGTAGAAAGGTGTTGGATTACAGTGACTTTTTGGTAGTTAGAAGAAATTTTAAGGCTCCCGAGAGGTTTTTTTTTTAGTTTCCAGAGTGATTCTTTAAGACAGTTTTGAGAAAAAATTCTGAATCGGACCATTTTTTGAGGATTTGTTTCAAAATTTGAAATCTATATTTTCACCGAAAAAGCACCGAGTTTTTTCCAAATTAAAAAAATAGAAATATATGAAAACTGACAGTTAGGGAGCCCTAGAATGTTTAAATTCATCTCAAAAAATCCCTATTTTTCCAGAGAGCAAGAAAAGTGTGCGCAAGAAGAAGAGCAACGAAAAGAAGCCCTTCGCGAACGCCGTGCTCGCCTCAAAATCACCGAACTCGAAATCAAACGCGAGCGAAGTTTGATTGACAAAGAACTTGATGATAAACGCGGTTTGGCCAACTCTATCGCCCGCCAACTTCAGCATTTCTCCCTTTCACCGTGTAGATCTGGACCAAAACATCTGAGATCCAGTTCTTCGAGCACTCAACATCATCGAATTGATCCACCAATGTGCTCACTTCCATCAACTCCAACAATGTCGCATCGAAAAATTAGCGAGCAGAAAAGGTTTGTATTGAAGAAGGGGGCGGGATGAGAGAGGGTGTAATTATTTTGGTGTTTTCTCACCCACTCGACTTTTTGACACTTTTTGTTAGATGCGATTATCCCATCATTATTTATTATTGTTACATGTTTTTATGCAAACTTTATTTTATAGATCAATGCAATCTTCGAATAACTCTTTGCCACGTCATCATTCACGTAGAAAATCATCGGCTGATAAATTGCCACCAACTTCCGAACGAAAATCATCAAAAGATCGACGAACTCGAACAAATAGCAACAGCAAAGATGATGAATTATTATGGCGAAGTCCATATTCTCACATGACTTCTCCCAAAACATATGGTGGACCGGGAACCTCATCGTCTGGAAGAGGATCTTCTGTGCCCGGATCGGATTTCGAACACAATGCGACCAGTTCGTCGATTGTGCCGGGAACTGAGAAACGATCGAAACGACAATCGTATTCGGCGTCGAGTGGATATGAATCGGCTTCCAATGATTATCATTGTTATAGTGAGTTTTTTACTGGAAAAATTAGATTCAAAATTTTGAAAAAAATTCATTTTAAATTTTTTTGTTCAAAAACTTTGGTAAAAATGAAATTCCGAACTAAAAGCTTCTGAAAATCTAATTTTAAATATTTTCAAAAAAATGAATTCTGTCTAACATGGAAATTTTGAACTGAAAAATTTTTCCACAAAAATTAGATTGGCAGCTTTAAGATTTGGTTTCAAAATTTTAGACATTTTTGAGAACTGAAGTTCGAAAATACCAAAAGTTTCAGTTCAAATTCAATTTTTTTTCTCAAAAAAACATCTTTAAAACTTATAGGCTAGGATTCTGTTGCCTTGAAATTATTCTAAATTTCAATATCTATTTTCCAGCAAAATCATCAATCTTCGACAAAGTCAAAAATGCGAACGAAGAACGTATGAATTTCGCGCGCCAAGCCGATCAAATTCGCCACCGCCAACGACAACTCAAAAAAGAGCTCGAAGATGCGAAAAGAGCCATCGGACAAGTCGACGATGTTCGAGTTGTAAATGATCATCAAAATTTGAATGGATTAAGTCGAACAACACTTATCGATACATTATTACAAGAAAATCGAATATTGGAAAAACGACTGGTTGCGTGTCGAAATCATTCGATGCTTGTTACCACTTTTATTTAGGAACCTCGTTCTTTTCTTTTTTTTTTGCGATAATTTTTATATCATAATAATCTATTGTTTTTTGTGTGTGTATCCCGATTATTTTTGTATATTCTTTAACGAACTTTTCTTCTAATAAAATTGGAATTATTCATTATTTGCCACGTGGAATTGTTCGTAGAACATGAGCCATGTGTTGTTCTCTTTTTTCCAAATGTGCATCACATCACCGTGTAGAATTTCCTGGAAAATATCTAATAAGTTTTTGTTATTTTTGTTTTCAATAGGAAAGAGAATAGGCTTAAAACCCACTGTTTTGTCTTCTATTCTGGTTAGTCGCATTTTTGCCTCGACGACTATCCAATCGTCAGAACCGCTGTATTTTTCGGAGGAGCGCTGAAGATTTTTTGAGTTGGGGTGAGTGCGTTTCGGGGAAGGTTTTAGCTTACCTCGAAATAATAGGGACCCGTGGTTTTGTACCAGCTTTTGAAGAGGGCGGTGAGCGCTGGAAATTGGAAAAATTTTGATTTTCAGCCTGAAAGTTTCAGATATTTTGATCTAAAAACCTTTTTTGATCTGAATTTCAGTTTCAGATTGATATTTGAAAACTTCCCGTAAATTTACGTTTCAAAATTTTTATGAATAAACATTTTGAAATTTCAAATGGTTGTCAAATTCCGAATTTCCAACAAGTATTGATTCTTGGACTGGAAATTTCAGATCTTCTAGAATTTTTGACATGAATTTAATTATCTAACTGAACCCCTGAATCCTAACCTTCTTTTCCAAAAGTTGAAGTTGTGTCCTTCTGAACAATCACAGCTTGAGGATGCATCAATTTCATTGAATCTAGATAAAAATTCATTTATTTTTCAAATTTTAAATGTTGCTCACCTTCAGCACTGGCGATTTCAGTGCTCTTGTTGAATTGCTCAAAATATGGAGCAAGAGTTGCTCGCAACTCTTCTTGGCTCATTTTTTCTAGAAAATGAACTGAAGAACAGGTGAAAAATATAAGGACAGAAACTTGTTGACAGGTGAAAAATGGAGAAAAAATTAATTAATCTCTTGTGATTCGTTTTTCACCTGTCAAAGATTAGAGTTGATAAAATTTAGAGAACAAAATTAGAATAATAATTGGAAAAAAAGACAAAAAGAGAAAAATTTTGAAAAATTTAATTTTCAAGTTGTGTTTTGAATTCGTGTAATCAAAATACATAGTTTTTAACACATGAATAATTTATTCAAAATAAATCAACTAGCAGACTTTTCTAGCTCAAAAATAACTACACTTTTTTGTGACGTGGGGTTTCTGCAAAACTTTTTGAACCAAAAATTGATGAAAAATTGCTCTGCGGCTTGAAAAAAGCAAATTTTGGTCCCTAGGCTCGCATACCTTAAAAATTCACACTTTTTTCAAACTTTGACCTAAACTTCGAATTTTTATATGGAAACATTTGATGTGTTCGAATAAATTCAAAATTTCCTTGGGTTTCCAATTTTCAGAAATTCTTGAGAATTTTTTCTACTGAAACACTTTCAGATCTATTTTTCAGCCCAGTTATAGCTAGAATCAATCTCTCTGAACTTTCTGAAAATAAAACAATTTTGCAAAAAAAATTCTTAGAAAAATATTCCCCACGTCATCTTCATCGTTAGATAACTAAATTTTCGTTGGCTAAAAATATGTGTCTGTGTGTGGTTTTTTACTTGTCTCATGTTCCTATAAAAAATCAAAGTCCACTTCCTGATTCAATCCTTTTTTTCCACCTCAAAGGCTTTGCTTTCGGATTTCTTTTTTTGCTTCAACAACAAAAACATTCTCTAGGCTGTTCAGAAAAAATTGAAACCTATCTGATCATTTTTTTTTTGAAAATCCCATGACCTTCAAAACTGATCGAACAAAATTTTTTTTTGCAAAAAAAAATTTGGGCAAAAACACATAATTATCCGGGCTTATATTTTATTTATCTATATTTGTATGTATGTGGAAAATTCAGTTTTTTGTTGTGTTTTTTTTGCAGAAACTGAAAAAGTGAGCAATTTTTAATTAGCTGATTTTTTCGAGATGAAAAAATAAAAGAAGAAAGAAAGAAAGAAAAGTTTTTGAGCCAAATGAAAAAAAAAATAAATTGATCTCGGTTTTCAAAAGAACTTTCGAGCATTTCTTTGCTGGCGAACTTTTTTCCTGGAATTTTAATTAACCGGAACTTTTTTTCGAAGCCAAAAAGTTGGCTCATTTATCATTTTGGCACCAAAAGCCTCTTTGAGTTTTTGTTTGTTTTTTTCGACCAAAAAATATTTGAACCTCAAGTTTTTTATTCAATTTTTCCTAGGATAAAAAATTTTGGAACCAATTTGACCTCAAATTTTTTGAAGTATTTTTTTCCATAATTCGATTTGAAAAAAAAATCAAAAATAGAAAAAAACACTTTGAAAAAAAAAGAACCTCCAATTATTTTTGGTCGATTTTTTGTCCAACATAGAAAAAAAAGATTTTTTGAGCGGAAAACGTGGAAAATTTGAAAGTGCATGAAAATTGCAATTTGTTTCAAAGTTTTCCGGAAAAATCGTCATTTTTTTTCATAAATTCTCTAGAGAAAGAACTTTGCTGGCGAACTTTTCTGGAATTTAAATTAGCCGGAACTTTTGCTAACAAAAAGTTGACTCATTTATCATTTTGGCGCCAAAAGCCTCTCTTTTTTCGAAATGTGTTTTTTTGTTTGTTTTTTTTCGACCAAAAATTTTTAACCTGAAGTTTTTTTTTGAATATATTTAATTCGATTTTGAAAAAAATCAAAAACACTTCAATTATTTTTGGTCGAAACAATTTTTAAGGAAAAATGCTTTTTTTTAAAGGAAAAATGCTTTTTCGAAAACTAGACAAATGTAATTTTTGCTCGTTCTTTGAACTGTAATTTTCGGATTTTATGGGAAAGGGGTTTTCTATCTTCAAAAGAAACAAAAAAATGTTTTGTCTTTTCTTCTCTTCAATGTTTCTTATGAAATGCGGTGTTCTTTTTGGTGAGAAATCGGTTGATATGGGGTTTTTTATGGGTTCATGTGAATCACGAATGTAGGTATAAAACAAAGTACTGTAGGCCATGAACTTTTGAAGACATTTTTTTGAAAAAAAAAATAAATTACGTATAGAATATTTTGAACAGGATCTGTTTGTTTTTGATAATCCAGGATTTATTATCTCATTATTGTGTTTTGAAATGTTTTCTGAGAATTTAGAACATCTGGTGAAATCCAGAAAAAAAATAAATAAAATCACATGAAATTTTTCTATAAGCAATTTTCAGTTAGCTCTTTGAGCCTCACCCTAATTTTAATTTTTAAAAAAATCACATGCTCAACTTTTTTCTTATCTCCGAATTCTTCTAGTATTTTCTTCTACCAATTAATTCCTCCTCCCCAATTTTCTCAACCCACAACTACTGTAATAATTTCCAGCCAAACTTTTTGACCCCCAAGAACTTTGTGTGACGTCCAAGTTATTCTATCTCTTCCGTTTCTTCAATTTTCTCTCAACAAAAAAAAACATTTTAATTTCTGATTCTTCTTTTTCTTCTTATCAATATGTAGCACCATTTTTTTTTCGTTCCATTTTATGATTGATTTTTTTTATTTTCTTGGTCTCTCGTTTTTTTTCTCGAAAAAAACATGTGTTTTTGCAAATTTATTCAAATTTGTCATGGGTTTAGAACACAACAGACCGAACGAAATAAATAAAAATTTGAATTTCAATTTTTCACGCGTAATAATAATGCGATTATAATGGGGTGAGTCAATCGAATTAATCGACGTGTTTTTTGCGATTAATTGACAAAAAAAGTGAGTCTTTTAGGGCGATTAATTTCACGTTTTTGTCAATTCCTCGCTTTCATTTCTTGGCAAAAAATGCGATTAATTGCATAAAAATATAATTTATTTGACCTATATTTTAAAACGTGACCTATATGAGTTGGAATTATCAACAAAAAAATCATCTTCTTTCAATTTTCTTTCATTTCGAAATGAATCCAAAAAATAAGCAGTGAATTTGGGACACGTTTCAAAAAAGAGGTCAAATAAATTCTATTTCGTATTGAAATTCCTCTTTTTTGAATGCAATTAATTGCAAAAAAAGATGGAATTAATCGACAAAAACGTGAAAAAATCGCACAAAAAAGACTCACTTTTTGTGTCAATTAATTGACAAAAAATAAAATTGACTCACCCCATAAACAAAAATGGCTGGAACCTTTTTCAGTATCTGGAAAAAGTTCAATTTTCCAACTCATTTCACCCCTCGTCTCCTTTCAAACTAATTTCCTTTTTGCTCTTCTCTTTTTTCTTTTTTTTTCTTCACATCAACCAACAAACATCAAATTGTTTTCTTTTCTTCTATTTATTTATTTATTTGAATACATATTTGAATCCAAACTTTTTCAGAATGAGTAGCACTTGTCCAACGAGTTCAGCGTCTTCAGATGCTGATTCATTGTATGATGCGAATCCGATCAAAGCGGTCATTTTTGATTATGGAGAGGTTATGTGGATGCAGTCGAGAAATGTGCATGTTTATCGGAGTGAGTGGGGATTTGAAAGTGAAGGGACATTTTGAATCGGGCCATAGAGTTATAAATTTGAATTTTGAAATTTCTAATAGAGTCTGAGAACTCGGACTATAAAAATCATTTTTTTTTTTGAATTTTTGAATTCTGTAGTCCAATTTATAATATTTTTGTGCCCTTATTCTGACAAAAAATCCATGATTCTGAAGTTTTGAAAGATTCTGATAGGGCTCCAGATGATACCATATTTTTGTACTTCTGAAAGCCCATAACAAAAACTGGCCCGAATTTGAATTGAGAATTTTTTTGTTGAATTTTTATTTGAATCTGATTTTACACGTTTTTCAAATTCCAAATTTCCCTTTTTTTCCAGAAATTGAAGAAGAGAACAAGCTTTTCGACAATTCCCTCATCCCAACATTACTTGGCAAAGAGCTCGCCGCAATTCTCCCAAAAAATTTCCAAGATGATCTTTTAACCGGTGTCTACACTGCAAAAGATTTCGATCGTCTCTTTCTATCCGCCTACAATCGAAGATTCGGCTCGAAAGTCGAAGGTCTCAACTTCTTCTCTGCGACGGAATACGACGATGAGGCGGTTTATGAGGAGGCTGTTTTGACAGCTTGTAGAAAATTGCGAGAAAAAGGAGTGAAGACTGTGCTGATGTTGGACACTTATCATGTTGATGAAAAACGGGATGGTAGACGGATTCCGCATATGGAAAAATATTTTGATTTGGTTGTCGAGTCGTGTAAAGAAGGTTGTAAGAAACCGGATCCAAAGTTTTATCAGGTAAGGATACTGTAATTTTTTGTGCCCGAATTTTTCAACAAAAATTGTTGTTTCAGATAACCCTGGATTTGGCTGATCTCCAACCAGAAGAAGTTATCTACGTGGATGACTCCAAAATCAATTGTGAAACAGCTGCATCACTCGGAATGCGATTCATCCAAGTGTTCAATAGTATGGATATGTTGGAAGATTTGCAAGAGATTCTTGGTTTCGATTTGGACTAGACTTCCATATAATTATCCATATTCGCATTTTTCTAAACCCATGGTTTTGTTTTTTATTTCAAAGATTCGTCAGTAATTGTTTTATTGGCGCGACCGGTTGTACATACACATAAAATATGAAGAAAAAGAGATAAATAAAAATGTTAATCGAGTAACAAGTTTAGGGCTTTTCTTGTTGGCTTGTCGGTTTTTCTTATCATTTCAATCATTCTTGATCCAATTACTACTTCTTACTAATTATTGACGAGTTTCATTTGGCAGAAAAAGAGGAAGTCGCTGAAATGCTGTTCATTTTGCTCCGGTTATTTTGGGTGTTTTTGGTGTTTTGGGGTGATGGTGGAGGAGTGGTGAATTCGAGTTGTACAGGTGAGCAATTCAAGGTTATCACTTTCGAAATGAAGTTTTCTGATTTTGAATTTGATCCTAAAAATATAAATTCCTACCGGGGGATCTGGAAACTACGGTCGTTTTCATAATTTAATTTTCAGAAAAAAATTTCGAATTGCCAGAATTTTAAACTTTTTTCCGAAAATTATAAAGTTCGGATATTTTTTGAACATTTCAAAATAATCTTTACACTATGTTTTGATAGTTCAAATTTAGAGTTAGAATAACTACCACCCAATATTTGAATTTCAAATTTTTCACATGATGTTTTTCCAGACCATCGATATGGAAATCCAGGAAAAACTTGCAAAAGAATCAAAGATGAGCGATTCCAAATCCGAGGTGTAAAAATTGTGCCAATGTGGGAATTTCTTCTACTCAATGAGAATCGAGTGACGAGACATAAAAGAGGTGTGACATATAGCCGAAGTCGACATTTGAATGTGACAAGTTTGAATTCGGAAGTTCGAAGATCGCATTTAGTTCGACCACCGCCTTTGCCGATTGCTCCACCGAGATTGAATCAAATTATTTTGCCAAGAAGATTACATGAGAATCATCAGCAACAAGTTGAACCGGCGCATATTTATTCAATGCATGTTGAAGCGGGAAGACCGATATTGACAGGTTCAGCTGGAAGAATCAATTATCATCCAAGATCAAAGAAAACAAAAAGACAGGAGAGTTATCCAACTGCACCGCCTGAAGAAGAAGAAACAACAACGGAAAAGGATTGTAAATCATGTAAAAAAGAAGGAGTTGTTGAAGAATTGATTGAAGCACAAGGAAAGATTCTGGAGAAAGCTTTGAATATCAAACCGATTGAAAAAGAGAAAGAAAAAGAGGATAAGAAGGAAAATATTGTTGAGGAGTTGATTGAAGCACAAGGGAAGATTATTGAAGAAATTATTGATAAGGATAAGGAGAAAGAAAAGGAGAAGGAAAAAACAAAAGCGGAGGAAAATCACGAAGTTGTTATGGAAATTCTGGAAGCTCAGGGAAAGATTTTGGATAAATTGAAGGAGGATGAAGAAAAGAAGGAGAAGGAAAAAGAGAATAAAGAGGTTGTTGAGACGATTCTGGAGGCACAAGGCAAGATATTGGAGAATTTGAAGAATGTGACTGAATCGGAGAAAAAAGAGGAGAAGAAGGATGAGAAAGTTGAAGCGGTTAAGGAGATTTTGGAAACTCAGGGGAAAATTATTGAAAATCTCGCGGAGGCCAAGAAAAGTGAAGAGGAGAAGAAGGAGAAGGAGGAGAAGATTGAAGCGGTTGGACAGATTTTGGAGGCGCAGGAAAAGATTTTGGAAAATTTGAAGAATGTTACTGAAGCTGAGAAGAAGAAAGAGGAGGATGAGAAAGATGGGAAGAAGGAAGTTGTGGAAGAAATTCTTGAGGCTCAAGAGAAGATTTTGGAATCATTGAAAAGTTCGGAGAAAAAGGAAGAAGAGGAAAAAGATGATAAAGGAATTGTGAAAGAAATTATTGAAGCACAAGAGAAAGTGTTGAAAGCGGCACTTGAAGTGACTGATAAATCAGAAGAGAAAAAAGAGGAAAAAGATGAGAAAGAAGTTGTTGGTGAAATCATCGAGGCGCAGGAGAAGATTCTGAAAGCTGCACTTGAAGTTTCGGATAAAAAAGAGGAGAAGGAAACTGATGTTGTGAAGGAGATTGTTGAAGCGCAGGAGATGATTTTGAAAGCGGCGCTGGAAGTATCTGGAACATCTGGAGAGGGGAAAGAGCCGGAGGAGAAAGAGGAGAAGAAAGGGTCGAAGGAGGTTGTTGAAGAGATTTTGGAAGCGCAGGAGAAGATTTTGAAGTCGGCGTTGAAGATCAAAACACAATCGGGGGAAGAGACGGAAGGAGATGATGAGAAAGAACATTCGGAGGAAAAAGAAGAACATTCTGAAGAAAAAGAGGAGGAAAAAGAAAATAAAAAAGAGGATGAAGAGGAAGAAGAAGAGGAGGAAAAGGAAGAGAAAAAGAAGGACAAGGAAAAAACATCATCGTTGAAAGGTGACAAGAAAAAGGTGATTGATAGTAAAGAGGATAAAGATGGTGATGGGCAATTGGATATTAGACAATACGCTGATAGAAAATCACACAATTCAAAGATGAAAGTTCCGGTGATCAGAGGAAAGGTGAGTATGGAACCATACTATAAATGGTTGAAAATTTGGGTGACAAATAACATTGACACATTTTTTGAACACTATCCATACTCACCGCAAATTTCCTGGGAACTAACAGATTGGGGGGGGGGAACTAATTTTACTGATTCATAAGTTTTTAAAATTTTTAAGTTCCTCTAGCAACTCTATCTCTCTGTTTCCTAATCATAATTGTTTTCAAAAATCGCAAAATTTAGAATTTCGAAATGTCTGAAAACTTCTGAATATTTTCACAGATTTTCTGAATTTCCACAATTCGGATTCCGATGTTTATTGGAATTTTGTAGGTTGTTAAAAAAATCACATAGAAAAATTCAGGCTGTAACCAATGGAACAACACCCGCACCTGAAGAATCTGAATGGAGTCCAAATGTAAGTCCAAAAACCCCTCCAATTTTCATCTCCCCAACAATTTTCATAGATTCGTGACAATGAAGAGCCAGCTGAATACGCCGACAAACCAAATATCAAATATTCATACCCGCCAAAAGATACACTTCCACTAACAACTTGTTTCCATAATCCATCCGGATATGTTTGTTGTAATTTGGAATTGAATAATGTTGTCGAATCGACTTATAAAGAAGTTCGCGAAGATCCAGCATTCAATCCGTGTAATTTACAAGTTATTGCTAATAAGGTTCAGGTAAGATTGGGAACTTCTGAACTACACAGATTTTTTTTTTAATTTTTGAAATTTCCAGCGTGCCACTGAAAAAATGTTCGACCATCCATTTGAAACTGTTGTAGCACATGCTGATTTTGCACAAAATGTGAATTTTGCTGGTGATTTGGTTTGTAAATTAGAGGTCGATGGAAAATACTTGATTGCGTATGGGACTCCTTTCAAAGCTGATGAGGCACTTGGTCCAGAAGGTCCGAATGGAGAACCAGTTCGACTTGCAAATACTCGATTCCGGTTTTAGATTTCTTTTTTCTTGTTATGTATTTATTTTTGGTTTGGTTGGACTTGATTGGTATTACGAATATTTATTCATAAAACAAAATATTTTTTCTAGAATAAAAAAAATCTGTCTCGACAGAATAAATTCTGGAAACATTTCCATTTTTGAACAAAATTCAGATGTTCTTCCTATATTATTTCGTAACTCTTATCGTTTATTCACAAGCAATCTACGATATTAATTTTTGTCGAGATTTTCTGAATTATAAAAATGACCAAGATATTTGGGATCGCTATCATGATGAGTTTCATTTGATGTTTTGTAATGGAACTATAATGCGACTACGGTCTGAACAATATCTCGATCATTTTAAACAACTTCGAAAATATTTTCAAGAAGCAACAAATGTTAGTTGTCGAGATTTGAATAAAGAAAAAACAACTTTTTCATTGGAAAAAAATGATACTGGAAAAAACTGGATGAGACTTGATTTTTGGAAAATCGGAGAGCATTGGAAGTTGGTCAATGAAATACAACGATGTCCAGATGAAAAATTCTCGTTAAAAATAATCGAGGAAGCAGAAGCTCAAAAAATTTTAACCAAAGTTATAACTTGTTATAGTGATAGAAGTATCAGTTTGGAATCATCTAGAAAATGTTTGCATGATCCGATAGGTTTCAAACAGTGCAAACATCATGATATGAAATATTTAACATTGGATTCTTTTGTTGGACCAGCTGATAATCGAGAAAAATTTGTTGCAATTGTTTCTGATATTCGAGTTAACAATCTGCTGAAGTATATGATGTACCATGTTCAGCTCAGGACAAATTCAGAGTTGGACCATAAAACAATTTTCAAAAATGAAACATGGTTAGTCGAAGAAGTTTATGAAATTTGTTAAAGTTTTTTTTATATTTCTTTTGGCCTATGAAAAATCTCTCACGTAATTTTTATGAGTCCTTATATTTTTTTTCCAGAAAATGTAAACAAAGCAATTTCAGATGATTATTGTTTTCTAGGATTGACAAAAGTTAGTTCCACTGAACTAACACGGAAATATTGTTTTTCAAAAAAAAATTTGAGAAATTCCACAATATATTTATTCCTGAAAACTATATTATTAGGCATTTTGCAGAAATTAGTTCCTTTTCACAATAAAATCCAACTTCTTTTTCATCCTGCATTTGTTGTATAAATATTTGATGTTCGACCTTTGGTGATCGTTGAATCATGTGCTTTGAAGTTCACAGAAACATCTTGTCGCAGAATCTTGATTCGCAAATAGTTTCGATAAGGTCGCACAAATAGCAAATATGTGAGGGGGGATAATGTTGGAGTGATAATTACTAGTGCAAAACATAGATATTGGTAAAGAGAACAGGTTAGGACACCGGATTGAACTGCAAAAATTATTCATGTCACAAAAAAAAGTGTTTTTGACTAACGAAGAGCATAATCAAGTGCTCCAGTCCATTCAAAAACCGGCATAATTGTTTGCAAAGTCAAAGCCTTGAGAAGTTGCGAATGTATCACTTTTGTCTCTTTTGACATGCTTCTCTGATTCAATGATAAGATTTTCAGTATTTTTCGTCTAAGAATAAACGAGGTTATGTAAACTGGAGTTATCGGAACTACAATATGAATTATTCCATAGGTTGCAGAAGGACTGAATAAATTAACAATTCCAGTGAGAAGACCAGTTTCAGCGGAGAAATTGTAATTCGGGTAATATTTCTGTGCGATTGGAAGGATTTCATTAGCATCCACAAAATTGGTCCAATAGGTGATGGCTTGGAGAAAACTTGGGATATAAAAAAGGAATATTATTGTGGCGAGACATCTTCTTGATAAAATATTTGAAGATTTTAGAATGTAATATCGATAGCAGAAAGAAATCAAGAGGCACCAAATTTGATGGGATAATGTGTGAATTAGAAGGCTTACGCCAATTGCGCATGGTTTGGTGCCGAGAAATTGACAGAAGCCATTGAGAAGATAGGTAAGAGATTCATCACCAGGAAGCATTCTGAAATCAAGCTTTTTTCAATAAAACACTATTCAAATCTCTACTTCCTTCTTAAGACTCACCTAATTTCAACAAACAAATTCATCAAACACGCGCTGAAATCTGCAATCGCAAAATTCATAATCAAAACCGCATAGGTTCGAATGATTCTTGGTGTTTGGAAAAGTGCCAAATAGAGCAAAGTTGAATTTGTTATCATTCCGGTCGAACTCCAAACAATGTGCCATAATTGGAAAAATGTGCTCATTTGCATGAGCATCTTTGAATAAAAAATGAAGGTGTGTTATGTAATAAGTTGTTTTTATTGGGGGAGATAAGGTAACTCCGCCTTTTCAAAAAAAAATTGGAGCTATCTAGAGAAAGTAGTTTGTGTTGGATGAGAATAGAATTATTATAATAAATGTGGTGATTTAGTAGATTTGATTAAAAACTTGTGATTTGATTTGAGGAAATGGGCACAAAAAAAGAAAAAAAATGGAAAAATAGACTGTAATTGGGTTTTCTGGATTGAACTAGGTTTGCACTTTTTTGATTTTCTCTGGTTTGTTGAGATTTTGATTTCACTTGTCAGAAAAAGAAACTCGCGTCATAAAATTTGTGAATAGAAGAAATTAGGGTTTTCGAAATCATGTTTGAACTGAAAATGAGTTTCAGAAATAGTTTGATCTTTTTTTCCTTCCACGTTTCAAATTGCCACGTCATAGATTTTGTTTTCAAATTTACGAAATTGTAATCATAATTTGAATCAGCATGATTCAACTCTGAAAATGTTCTGAGAAAAAATGATTATAAAAAATTTCTACTTTTTCCAAGTTCTTCAAAATTGCCACGTCACCTTGATTCGGGAATTTTGTATTTTTCCTAAACAATTTTCAACTGCCCGGAAAATGTACGTTTCAAAATATTCTTATATTTTTCAGCGATTTTTGAAATGTGTTTTGAAATTGGACAATTAAAAGAAATAAACGGTTGAATTTCAGGTTTTTGGGACGCTAGATTTGCCACGTCATAGTTCAAAGTTATAGTTTAAAGCTCCCAATGCAAATCTGACACCTCGTCTTGTTTTTATTTTTACAACAAAAAAAAATGAACTTTTCATTATTTTTACACTTCCCTGCACTTTAGGAACATTTTATAAAAATATCCCCCGCGCAACCAAAAAAAAATAATAGAAAAGGCAAGCAAAAATAATGTCAAGATATTTAGAATCTTTTTCGTCAAGTGCCTTACAAAACTGTAACAGAATTGAATGAATTTGAAGAGTACTGTATCCACTTGAGACCATCTGACTGTCACGCACACCTGTCCCCCCGTTTTTTTTTTTGCTTGACGTAATCCAAACCTCTTGATATGTAGTAGAAAAATAGATTTTTCTTTGGCTCGGTGCTTTTTGATCTTTTTCACGGTTACGGTTGATTTGGGAGCAAAGGAGAAGAATATTGGGTTTCATTCATTGATTTGTGCATGTTAATCCAATTTGGCGGTGTCAATAAATAATAGTGTTTGAGGGAAAGAGGAAAACGATAAGAAAACAGAATTGTTTTATTTGATTTTAGGATAAGTGTGAGAAAATTAACATGAAAGTTTGATTTGGCGGTACTTTTTGGCACAATTTTGATAATATTCGAGATTTTTGTAATTTTCAAGCCGCTGATCTTCAAAAAATTGCAGAACACAACTTTTGTTGTGAATTATGACGTGGCAAAGTTTAGACCCTGCAACTTGAATCAACTGAACAAAAAATTCAAAAAGTTGGAAATTTGCCACGTCATAACTCATATTAAGAGTTGGCTTTTGCATTTTTTATCAACAGGATTGTGATAAGAACGTGTTAAAATTCAAATTTGAATATTTTTTCCAAAAAATATTATTTTTTTTCAAACAAAAATAACCTCTAAAAAATTTTTTCTCATTTGCCTCAACCAAAAATCATTTCTCCTAACATTCCTTATCACAAAACTATTTAGCTTAATCTCTAACTATACTTTTCTTTTTCCAGATTCTTCCTCTCCCTTAATCCCCAAACTTCCAACAAAACATAATATTATCAGCTGACCTAATAATCCCAACAAAAAATTACGTAACCGGGGAAAAACTGCAACTTTTTTGCTATTTATTTACACCAACAACACCAATAAATCATATGCTGTCACAATTTTGAAGTGCACTTTATTACTGAAAAATCGAGACCTATCAGGTTTCAGGAAAATCCCTGATCATGTTAGATACAAAACAAGAAAGATCTAGTAGATATATCAATCAACTAAAACAATATTTGCTAACGAGATTAGAGGTTTAGCTTACCTTACTCCTCAATTTACCGCTTCCTCTGCACAATTGTTTATTTCCTGACCGAAGAAGAAACGCTTTTTGATGTTCGCCGATGGGAAAGTTTTTTGTTGATTTTTGAAGAAATACTGTAGATCAATCAAATAGAGATGAGATGTTTACAAGATTGATCTGAATGTGGTTAACATTTTGGGTTTCTGGAACTTTTTAGGTTCAAAATTGAGTGATTTCAAATTTTGTTTGGATTTGACGTTGGAAATTTCCAGATTATGCTTATGGGACAATTCGCGAAGAAAATAACGTCAAAAAACGTGTTGAAAACATAAAAAAAATAAAACAGCAACCACGAAACACACAAATTTTTGAAAGAGTGCGGTTTTTATCAATGGGGCGCACTTCCATTTTTACTTTTATTTTCTTGTTTTTGTTTTTTCGGAAAGTTTTCATTCGTGTATTTTTTGTTTTTTTTCCATGATTTTGAATGAAACTTGTTGTAAAATTCATATTTATCTATTTTCCTAGTACAAGTAACACACGTTTAGTTGATTTTTGATAGTTTTATACTAAAACTGGTGCTCAAAAAGTAATTTTTTGAAAAAATGTACTTTCTTGAAGTTTTCTTTCGTTTAAGGTGCTTATTTAAATTTGATGCATTTCTACTTTACAGGAAAAACGTTAGCAAATGATGGAAATATCGAGAAAATTTATGAAACGAGTTTTATTCGAATGATTTTCAATCACTAGGAAAACTGGAGGAAACGTGAGTTTTTTAACATTGTTTTTAAAAATTTGAATTTTCGAAGTTTAAAAATAACCGTACGAATGACACCAAAATTGTTTTCACAGTTTCTGGAAATAAATAGCAAGTGATCCTCAGGATTTGGTGGAATTTTTAAGTTTTTAGCTGAATCAGGCCAGATTCCCCCGTCACCAAAAAATTCCCCACCCTTTTCCACCAACAACAAAAAAACCAATAAAAATTCATTAATAATACCACTAATTATTACAATCGGACCGGAAATTATGCAAATCCTCTATAGATTTATGAATATTTATTTATTATCAAAATCTCACCCAACATTTTCAATCAACACCAGAAAATAGACGTGTTTTTTTCGAGTCAGAAAATAAACACAGGTGTCTAACCCAATTCCAGCTGTGAATTTGGCGCATTTGGTGAAAAGGTGTTAGGCTTAGGGTCAGATATTTTGACACCAAATTGAAAGCGACATATTGTATGTATCAATATATATTTTAAGTTGGTGTCAACTTTTGACAAGCGTATGCTCAATTTTTCAAAATTGATATTTTCTGTACAAAAATTAGCAAACACTTGAGCCAAATATTTGGAGCCTTTTAATTGAGAGCTCGGTTATTTGATACGCGTTTATTATGGACTGCAATGGATATTATGGTTACATCATTCATTTGCATTTTCAGGCCAAGTGGTTTTTATCGCGCGGCTACTGTAGAGACCAAAAATAGATAGATATGTATTGATCAAATAAGAGGATTTTGTACGTTTCATGGATATTGGATAATTTTTAAGCGATTGATATTGATGTTTGGTGACGTTTAGAGAATTCATATTAAAAATGGGGTAATGAAAAAAAATTCCCACATTTTTTGAGACCTGACACGATCTTTCGGGTGAGAAAAAATATTTTTGATCGACCCCAAGAAAGTTTTTTCGAGCATAAGTGTTTGATCTGAAGATAGTACGGTAGTTCTTCTTGGTTTACAGTAGCTCAGCTCGAAATGTATCTGTACCTTTGAAGAAAAAAAAATTACTGTATCCATAAGTAGTCTTCTTCCCTCATCGATCAAAGTAATGACCTGCAAATCATTTTTCTACTGATCAGTTACAATATTTACTCAACTCTTCTTTTTTTTCGTCCACCACTTCCCTTTGCCCTTTTTTGCTCTTTTGTCATAATTTGCCGTCACTTTTATTCTTCTTTTAAAGAGCCCAATTCTTTTGAGCATATCCCGACAGATGCATTAACAAGAAAGAAAAGAGGAGGAGGAAGACACTTATCATAAATTGGCTGTGATTTTTTGTGTGTTTATTAATAATAGTAGTGGTCAGAGGAAAGAGGAAAATGAGGAATGAAACATGTTTTGAAATTTGGAAAATGGAAAGGTCACGTGAAATTTTTTTTTTGAATTTTTGGAATTTAATATTAGGAATGAGCAAAAATGAAATATAAAATGGGGAAATTAATCGAATTTCTTCGCGTCACGCGTGGTCAAGTGGATAAGATCTTCGATTATTGATTGAGAGGTTCTGGGTTCGAATTCCAAGCTAGGCAACTTGGGAACTTCTAGGAAAGAGTTTGTATTGTCATTCCGAAAATAAAAGAACCCCCGTTTGAATTGGCGCTCACGTACAGTAGACTAAAAATGACGTGACACATGCACATCAAACTGGTTGGCAAATAGCCAGCGTGTAAATTTCGCATTTTATTTTTCCAATAGACTCCAAAATTTTGCGAAGTCTACTGTAGTCTTGGTTTCCTAGGCCATTGCGGTTCTCTTCCAAGGTTCTTTTTTTTTCGGAAGGACAATAAATGTCAAGTTCTGGGAAATCATCGGAAATTTGAAAGCTAGGAATTCTCACAAATGGGTTAAAATCTGAAACTTCAAAAACTTCTGGAAATTCTTCCAGCTTTCCTGAAACTTGGAAAATATTGAACTACAGTAAGAAAACGAAAACTTTGAGATTATGAGTCTGGAATTTTGAAAATCAAAGTTACTTAAAAATCAATAAAAAATTTTTGAACCCCCTTAAACTTTTTTTCAAAACGCATTGGCTCAATTGAAATCAAACCAGTACAACCTAGTACGACTCTTCCAATCCTTAAATAACTTCTCGATATTTCTCAATTTCAATAAACACACACCTTTTTTCTATCCATCCACAAACCCCCTCTCAATATTTACCTTTTTGTGGACACACTTGTGCGTGACTAACTACCGTAGTCTTTCCAACAAAAAAAAAGAGAGGTGTGAAGTACTTTTTTTGTTATTCTTATTCTTCCTCCTTGTTATGTTATGACCACGGTTCATTCGTTTATACGGTAATTAGAAGGTTATGAACTTTTTGATCATAAAGAAAACAAGATAGAAGAAGTCATAATTTAATTAGAGAGGGAAGCGCAGGTGTTGCGCAACAACGATAATCTCTCTTTGGGTGTGAGATGGAGGGGAGGAAGGATTACTTGTTTTGGGTGACGATGATTGGATTAAGTTGGTGGATGTTTGACATGAGAGACGAGCAAAATTAGAAGGAGGTGTGAAAAAAAGTATTGTGGATGGGTACGGTAGTTGGAAGGTATTTTCAGAGCTCGGAAAAATATTTTGATTTTTTAATTCGAGATTTTCAAGATGTTCTGGGCAGTAACTCTACTTAAATTGTGATTTTAAAAAATCTGGATAATTTCTAGTTGTTTTCATTTTGATCTGATACTGAGGATTCAACAAAATCTATTATTCTAGTGAGAAAAATTGCTGATTTACAACATCCAGAAAAATTATTTACAACGTTTTTCCTGATTTAGAAAATCCAGACTTTGAATATTGAGTCCAACAGAAAAAACATGTGAATTTCCTGATCTTAAAAATCTAGAACTTTCTAGATTCACAAGCTTCTTCTAGCAAAAAAACAGAAAACATTCTGATCCACAAAAAAATTTGAAAAATGTTCAAGTTTTCATCTTGTAAATCCGGATAAAGAATTTTATTCAAAATTATCCTGATCTAAACAATTAGATGATCTACGATTTTCACTCCCAACCTTGATCAAGTTACTGTATCTCCCCTTCCCCAAAAAAAGTTTCTCATTGATCTTGCCACTTAAAACTTGTCTAGGCTGTATGAACATACATATTTCCAAAACAAAATCACTTAACCTTCGCAGTTATGCCGCATCGAAAATTTTCTCACACATGTTTATTTATCTCCATTTTGTCGTCGTCTTCATCGATTTGCTGTGCGTTTTCAAGTACTTTTTGTGGCAGGCAGGCAGGCAGGCATTCTATTCTATTCACACACACACAAAACAATATAGTAGATGGTGATGATGATGATTCAAAAACAACGAGGACCCTCTTCATTTTTTCGTGTCTATTCTCTATTCAATTCAAAATGAAAGACTCTTGAATGAACATTTTTTGTTGTATGACACATTGACTACGGTAGTTTTTCTCCATTTATAGACAAAGAAAAAATTAATTCATTGACAAAAAATAAATAAATATACAAAAAATCAAATAAATACCAGTGAGAATCAGGGAAAAGCTCATTATACTATAGTCTAGTGTCATTTAAAAATCTAAATCAAAGTCGCTGAAAGTTTCCGAAACATTGTGGAGGTGGATAGGTGGCTGGTGTTGGGTAGGCGAATGCGAATCCTTGAGGCATGTAGGTGTTTTGAGGGTAGACCTGAAATATTTGGAATATGGTCCGGAAACTTCGAAGGGGGCAAGCAAAGCCTAGAGCAAAAATCCCTTTTTCAAAAATGAAAAACAACATCTGCTGAGCCAGGTGACAGAAAACAGAGAAAGAGTAAAATTCAATTTTTCTCATCCTCAAGTGGTGTGAATCTCTAATCCTATTATCCGCCGCTACACTACAGTATTCCCCTTATTGCTCACATACCTGATAGGGGAATGATTGTTGTGATAAATCTGGCAAACATGCGGCATCATTTGTAACTGGACTCGTGAAAACGTGACACGGCTTCTCCTCATCATCTTTCTCGATTTTCATTCGATTAAAACTCGGGCTACACGCTCCACTTCCGTGCGAAATCGGTGATTCGCTTCCCCCATCATCCGAATCCACATATTTTCCATTTCCGTCCATTCGACGCTCTTTTTCTTGTCGTTTATGCTTGTAGCGTTGATTTTGAAACCAGATTTTCACCTGAAAAAAAATGAAACATTGGCAAATTAGATGAAATTATTCTGCGGACAAAAAATGCGCGCTTTTTAATGAGGGGTAATTTTTGATTACTGTAGGGAGGGGGGACAATTTTAAGCCAAGGAAAAAAAATAAGGTACCTGAGTTGGTGTGAGACTGATTGAGCGGGCAAGCACTTCTCGATCTTGAGCACTCAAATATTTACTGGCACGGAAACGACGTTCGAGCTCGTTGACCTGAAATTTTGAATTTTTTGGGTCTTCTCACAACGCAACGAATTCTTATTAGCAAAAAACACCGGAAAAATCAAATCCCCGCGTGGTGTAGTCGTTAGCACTTTTGCCTTTGCCTCAGAAGGTGCTGGGTTCGAGTCCACCCCCAGGCAAACTTTTTTTTTTTATTTTTCAAAAAAGTTAGTTACCTGCTGTGGTGAGAATAGAACTCGTCTCTTCCGTCTTCCCACACTGATTCCCATAATATTCTGCGGCGTAGTCGTCAATCCAATACTCAACTGATTTCCATTGCCAAATCGGTTCACCGAGAATTCTGCAAATATTAAAAGATTAATATTTATTTTCAGTAAGTTGGTTGGTCAATTAGATTTAGAATTGCCAATTTCCTGCATGACTATTGTCTTTCTTCATTGGGGACCATTATATTTACCAACTTGTACAAATATTGGTGCCAATAATGTGTGCTAACACTTGTCAAAACATCGTGTTGACAGGAGTACTAGTGGTCCCACTGATTCTAGGTTTTTTTATTTTTCTTGTTGTCCCCCACAGTATTCTAGATTACTGTAGATTATGGGGAAACGATGTTTGTTTATCTATGTAATTCAACAATAGTTTTGCGGCCGAGTAGGTGTAAGAAAAATGTTGCGTAAGAGTACTGTAAACCAGTTTACCTAGGGTTTTTTTATTCGTTCCCACAAATTATGTTTTTCCGAATTATTTTCCTATTCTTTATTATTATATGTAGACATAATAAGTTGAGGAATGCGAGAATAATTAAAAAGAGGCATAATTATGTATGTATGAAAAAAACGACTCACTTGTAGCGAATTGCGGATGGGTTGAAGCTGGATATAGATATTGGGCTGAGGGATTGTAGCTAGCGAAATCGGATGGATATTGCGGTTGAAAAGATCCGAAATATTGCATTTGTGCGGTTGTTGATGGTTGGGAAGTTAGGCTAAATGTATCGGTGACGGCGGGAGTTTCGGCGGTGGTTGCACTCGAGGAACTTGATGAGCCAGTTGACATTGTTCTAGAATAATATTGGATTAATACACGTAAAGTTATAATGTATTTACATAGATGTTAAGAACTTACTGCTGAAGTTGCTATGTTTAGAGTTCATGTTCAGGGGCTCAAAAATATGAAAGTGGAGAAAGAATTTCAGCCGCGCACAGTTCAACACTTTTCGAATCAACTGAATGATGGTTGAAGTGTGAGGGAGAGGGGTACTTAAGTTTCGTTGGAACCCACATAGCAACTTCAGGCAGTCCAGGCAGGCAAAAAAAACTTGAAAAGTCATGGAGAGCCTCTTCAACTAAACGCTGAGAATCTCAAAGAGCTCATTTACCTCTTCAATGGGTGCTTGTGGAGGATCGTTGAGAAAAAATATGATGGTGTTGTTGTGAAAAACCGCCCGCCCCCCTTCTTTCTTTCTACAATATACAAAACGATGGCCACGCCCACTTTCGATGTATTATTGGCTGATGGTGGAAATTGGGGGCGGAGCATGAATAGACAGCTTGGTTTTTTTGGGGGAGAAAAGAAGAAAGTACTTCAACTTAATTGGCCATTTGCCAAACAACATGTGAATTTTTGACGGAGGAAGAGGAAATTGAAAAATGTGTGAAATTTTTGGAATTTGGAAATGCAGAAGAGCTTGCGGTTTTTTTGGCTGGACTTTTGGAGAAAATCTTGATCTTGTTTTTTAAGCTGAAGTCTAACTCTTGTTTTTGGAATTCAAAAGAATTTCAAAATTTTATGATTTGATTTGGAAATGGAAAAGTTCCAGGAAAATTGAAGGTTCAAAAAAAGGCAAAGAAAAACTATGCTTTTGGAAACTTTTCGAGAATTTTGTGTTGAAATTTTTAAACCTAGGATAAGAATTTATTTTAGTGGTGGATTTTTCAGAATTTGCAAATTTTGTTCCTAAATTTTTAGAAATCAGGTTTTTCACTGCAGATTTCTCAAAAACATTTTCCCATGCACACGATTTCGACATTCTGAAATTTTTATAATGTTTACCGAAGCTTCTAATCGAAATTTTGTCTGAAGAATTTAAAAGCATTGAAGTTTAGAGGAAAACCTGATTCAAATTCAAATAAATTCTAAATTCTACAAACTTTTGGAAACTGATTTCCCAGAAGAACCATAAACGATTTTTACTTTTTCAAATAAATTTTGATTCAAATTTTATTTCCAAAAAAAATTTCAAAATTTTTACTGTAAAGGCTTTCAAGTACTGTGCTGAAATTAAAAAAAAAATGATTTAAGATTTTTCAATAATATTTTTTTACCTGAACTTCTAAAAAAATTTTGCTTGGAAACTGAATCTCCAGAAGTTTAAAAAACATGCTATCTTCTTCAAATAAATTTTCATTCAAAATTTTATTTCCAAAAAAATTCAGAATTATTACTGTAAGAGCTTCCAAAACTTCAATCAATTCAAAATTTGATTTCCCAACCCCTTCTCATTTTCCATCCCCTATCAACCCCATAATTATCTTCTATCACCAATCAAAACGCCCCCAAAAATGTGGGAAATTTGTGAACTTTTTCTATCACATAGTTAGCACCAATGTGCTAATTCTATGCTTATAAATCTATAACATATGTTGTTATCGAAACCTGGTTATTATTTCTTATTATTAGCTGGTACTATGTGGAAGAAGACTAATTATTTTTTCGATTGGTCATCGATTTTTAATTGGTTGTGAAAATATGGATAGCTTTTTTTTGTTTTTGTTTTATTTACATGGGACGGTTTAGGCTAATATTTTTGAAAATTTTACAAAAACATCTCTAAATTTTTTCTCTGAATCTGAAAAGCATTCCAGAATCTCTAAAAAAATGTTTTAACTTCCCAAAAACATTTGTCGGCATATTGGTTTCAAAAAAGGAATTGAGCTAATCCATTTTCAGGTGCGAACATCAAATACAATCGGATATCCTTCAAAGAAATTTTAGCACCATTGTGTAGTTGTCAATTTTTGATTTCAGAGGATTCCTGGAGGCAATGGGTTTTTTGTAGGAATTTTTGTGCGCTCCGAGAAAAAATACGTTTCAAATTAGGGCGAAATATCAAATTTTTTTTTGAAAAATTTGATTCAAAGCTTTGGCTACAATACTAATTAACTACAGATCATTTTCAGTCAAATCTTGGCTATAATTTTTCTGGAATTTTGTTTCTAAAAGGTTATTGTATTTGGAATAACCAGATTTAGAAATTTAAAATTTTCAATACGATATTTTTCGAGCTGTGAGGCCCTAATAGTACTGTATGCACAATTTGAATTACGGGATTTCCAAAAATTTGAATTCAAGTTTCCAGAACCCAACCCAACCCAATAAATCATTTTGTCGGTATCATCAATCTCAATAACCGCATTAATACATTTAATCCATTTATAGTACATATATTTCCAGGTGCCAACATCAAACACAATCGGAAATCCTTCAAAGACATTTTGGCACCATTGTTGGATGGATATGTGTCTTTGTTTCACAACTTCCCAAAATTATGATTTTTGACAGCTTTTTTTTTGATGTGTGAAAAATATTTTTTCTGGACTTTGGATTTTCTTGGATTTTCAGAATAGAAATGGAATTGAAACAGTTCCGATTAATTTATCACAATCTTTCAGAATTTCCCAAAAAAGTCCAAAATTTCTCTAGATACATTTTTTTGTTGACTCATCATTTTTCTCTCTGTTATTTTAATAATAATAATATGATCAAGTAGCACTTGTCAAGTATCGTCTTAAATAAATAGGACCCAAAAGCCTCCCAATATTTATTTGGATTTTGGATTAAACAAAAGTTCCCTCATCTTCTTTTCCTGTTCCACAAAAAATTCATGATTTGTATATTTTTATCATACAATACAATAATAATAATTGAATATTTTGTATGAGTAATTGAGTTTCCGACGGGCATTTTGGCGCCACTTTTCTTTATTGATAAGAAGATACAAAATAAAATCGAATTTATTTGTGAGTGAAATTACAAAATGATGTCAATATACGGAAGAGTTTTTTATCAGAGACCACGAAGAAAATTCAGCAAAAATCATCATTTGTCTGTGGTTTGAACTGTTATCGAAATGGAGAAAAGTTTGTGAAAAATTTCGTTAAATTGTATTGATGATGTGTGAAGTTTTTTGTCAAAAAAAAAATAATTTGGAATTTTGTGAAATGTTCAGATTGCAAAAAATATAAATTTTAATAATTTCATTCTTTTGTTAAAATTCAGAGACGTATTTTTTCCGGGAAAACATTTATTAGTAGTAAACCTGAAAGTTTCCGGTATAAAAATTTGTGAGAAATGACATATGACGTGGTTTTATAAATACATAAGTGGAGAAAACAAATATTTAATAAAAATTATTATTTCAGATAATTATTAGAAATGACGTTGAAAAATATTGGTCGAAAGAAACAAATTTTAAAAAAATATTATAAAATTTTTGAAACGTATTTTTCAGAGTTCTGGAGAGCACAAGAAATAATTTGAAAGAATCGATTTGGCGTATAATTATCACTAATTGTTGAAAATGATTTTAAAAGTTTCAAAATTTGAAATTATATGTACATACTTTCATCTTTCATCTTTCAATTTTCAGATTTCAAATTTATTATTTAAAAAAATTTCTAGTGAATCAATAACAATGCTTTTATTTAAATACCTAAAATTTCCTGAATTCTGAAAAAATGCCATAAGTTTCAAATTCTCTCCAACTTTTGCCCTCACAATTTCAACGCTCCATAACAATTTACGTAATAAATTCTCATCATTCCTGATAAGCTACCTGATAATTCCCAAAATTCCTCAAATTCCATCTCAACCTATTTTTTCATTTTCACCCCCAACAAATTTCACAAATTTTCTCAATTAATCATCAGGTTCCATTTGAATACTACATAAAATTGAATAAATAATAATAAACTGATAAGAATTGAGGCGACAAACTCTGTATGACAAATTCATTTCGAACCAAAAAAAGCGTGGGTTGAGAGAGAGAGGGAAAAGGGCGGTATCAGGGGGCTCGAGAAAAATTGAAAAAATTAAAGTATAAAAGGTGAGAAGTGAGCACATTTTGTTATCAGTAAAAAATATTCATATTTTTTTGTGATTTCACAATGAATTCCGAATCAATCATTCGCCCAATTCCTCTGATTTTCAATTTTAATCAAGCTCAACCAAATTCTTCATGTTTTGAAAATGGACTTGGAGTTAAACAGGAAGAATATTCAACTAACAGCTCGGTAAGTTACTCTAACTTCAAATCTCTTTTCAAATTGAGTTTTTTTTCAGAGATGCACATCAAACGAGAGTAGTGAACATATGTCTGGCCTGAAAATCCGGCGTGGTCGCCCACAACAAGAGATTGAAGATGGGCAAGATGCGCAAAGTCAAAAGAAGCGACATCGCCGAATGTATGCGCGACAATATCGCGCACAAATGCGACAAAAAGTGGATAATGTGAAAAGTTTGAAGAGCGAAAAAGATCAACTCGAAAATCAGGTCAAATTTCTGCAATCTCAACTTCTTGCTCTTCAGAATCAGATTCAGCAAAGGGATACTTATATTCAAATTTTGCATTTTACTACACAACTTGCTAATAAACCCAAAGTTTTGTAATTTTTGTATTTAAATCTAAATTATTTTTTGTTTCTTGCCATAATTCAATTTTTTCTGTCAATGCATACGTCTCTTAATAATTGTTGTGTAATAATTTCGAAATATATATTTTTTGATTATCAATAAAACTGAACTGTTATGAAACTTTGGGAGACTTAATTTCAAATATCGATTGACTTTCTTTCTATGAAAAATGGGTTACTGTACCTAAACTCATAGTTTTCAGGCTACTGTAGATTGAGACACAAGCTTATTTAAAAATAGAATAGGACTACAGTAACCCTGAAACTTTTTTGCTTACTGTAGTCTCGTATTAGAAGTTTTACTGTGGATCAACTCTCAGGATTACTGTGGCCAATTCTTGAACTTGTCACTGTAACTTATGATCTACCCCAACCCAAAAATTTTAAAATTAAAATATTTCAACAAAATTATCTTTCTCCGATTACTGTAGTGATCTAAATACAGTAACCCAAAAGTTCTTGACTAAAAGATCAATCACAATTTCAAACAAAAAAAAACCTATTTTTAGCCTGCCTACACACTAATTCTAATTCCCCACCCAAATTTTAGATGATAAGCTCCGGGTTTTCAAATCACGAGGATTCTATTATTAGAAATGAATTCATAAAAGAAAAGAAGGAAAAAGGTATCAAGAATAATCGAGAAAACAACAAATGTGATAAAAAATAAATAATAAAATTAATAACAACAAAATGTCTAGTCACGTCGAGATCTTTTCGAATCTTCTCTCGATTCATCGCCTCCGCCACGTTTTTTGTCTTTCGATGAAGATTGGAACAAATCCGACAATCCGAACACATCTTGATCCTTTTCGAACTGCAAAATAATTTATTGATTGATTTTTACTAGCTCCACTGAATTTTTCATTGAAACTCTCCAAGTCGATCCAAAAAGGTTTCAATGACGAAAAAAACAGTTATCACTGAACTTTATGTATTGATAAGTTACGAAATAGAATACGTCTTATCGGTTTCGAAATTCAACGTTTCTGATTTTTTGGAGTTTGAAAAATTGAGCCGATTAGAGATGGTGACAAAACACACGGTTTGAGTGTGTTGGGGGAGACGAAAATGACGCAGTGTGAAGTGTGTACTCCGAAAATGCCAGCCACGTTATTTTCGACGAAATAAAATTTTGGGGTTTTTATTTCGGGGCAAGATGTGTTGAAAAAATTGAATTGTAATTGTTATACATAGTTCGAAAGTGGCTTTCTAGGCGCGGCTGCCTAATAAATATATTCTCAAGGCGCGGCTGCTTGATAAATATGTTCTCAAGGCGCGGCTGCTTGAAAACTATGTTCTCAAGGTACGGCAACTTGAAAGATATGCTCTCTAGGCGCTGGTCCTTGACTCTGATTTTTCTAGGCGTGACTACTTGAGACAAAAATTTTCCTCGTCATCAGAAAACCCCAAAAACATTCCAAAAATTCCTCTTCAAAAATGATCAAACATCCAAAAATCATCACCAATTCCGATTCATTATTACTTCTTCTCATTTCCCTCATGACCCCACATGAATCGTAAAAAACAGACACACAAAATGATAAGAGCACGAAAGCAAAACTAACCTGAACAGGTCCAGCTCCTCGACTACTTCCCTCGGCTCCCGAAAATCCTTTATCGGCCACAAATCGTTTTTGGCTCATTATCTTGTCCAAATCATCACCATAGATGTCTTTATCGATGTTTTTACCTGCAAATAATTGGTGTTTTCCAGGAGATGGTACTGATGTTTTTTACGATCCTAGCATTTCATAAATATTTTTGGTTTTGTGCGATAAGAGAATTATCAATCAATTCGGTTGGAATTAGGAATACGTAACTCTTTCAACCACACCCAAAAAGAGCAATTATTTCTGTTTCGTAGAAAAAGGGATTATTTCACCGGAGGGCAAAATACAAGAAGGTTTCAATGAAACAAGTAATGCTGTTGAGTCAGAAAATTGAAACAGAAATTTGGATTTAAATGGGCCGCCAACCCATAAATAAAAATGGTCTAAAATGAAAGATAGTCAACTCTAGATTGTCCGAATCACACCTCGGCCAAGCCGTGGCTGGCCAGAGTACAATTTTTGGAAAAATCTGAATTTCACTTTTTAGAGATCAAAAATTGAAAAATCACAATTTTTAGAGGACAAAAACTGAAAAATTCAAAATTTTTGTACTGTAAAAAGTTAGCGTACCATACATAAAATGGGTCCCCTGAATCGGGGTGAGGGGCTTAACTTTTTTCAAAAATCTGAAGAGGAGGGTGCCTAACTTGGCCAATTTTTTGCTGATAATTTACCAAAATTCGCTCAAAAAGTGAGGAAGGTGTTTAACTTTGGAAAATTTTCAAGGAGGAACCCTAACTTTGAAAACTGACTCGGAGGACCTATTTTATGTATGTAGCGTACAGTTTTTTATTGTGGAAACCACGATTTTGGCCGAGGTGTGGTCCGAATCTATATAAAAAGTTGCGAAAAGGCTTTCTCGATTTTATAAAGCCCGAGGAAAAGCTTTGGAAGGACTATGAAAAAATAACTTCATTTCTCGAAAGCTTTTCCCCAAGCTCTAAAAAATCGAGAAAGCCTATTCGTAACTTTTCATATAGATTCGGACAATCTAGAGTTGAATATCTTTCATTTTAGACATTTTTTTTCATTTTTGGGTTGCCGGACCATTCAAAAGGTGTTTTTTCAATAAAATTCCACCAAAATCAATCGGATAAACTCACTAGGCCTATAAACATGTTGTTGAACATTGTCACCGCCACGCCAAGCTTTATCATATGGATTGTAAGTGTCATCATCCATTGCACCGCTATCCAAGCCCTAAAAAAAAAGGAAAAAACGATTAACAAATTCTTGAAAAAAAAAAAAAGAAAGGAACCTTGGTTTTGTCGAAAAGTCTTTGATCGAATTGCGGATCTCCGGTTCGTTTATTTGTGTCCGGTAGTCCCAAGACGATTTTTTCGGAGATGTCACGATCGCGTTCTCTGCAAAATAGGTATTTATGATATTCGAAGCCAATATGATATTCGTGTTATTTTTAGAGCTGTTTCAAAAATCACACGTTGTTCTCCGAAAAATAGAGATCAATCATCAAATTTTGTTATCAAAAATAAATATAAATATTTTGTTGGTCATAGTTCAAAAAGTTCCAATTCACGGCTAAATTTTTTGAAAAAATGGTCTAACAGAGGGAAAATTCCATAATTTTTTTGCGTGCGAAAACCAAAATTTAGTTTCAGAACTTTCAACACCAAAATCTACAAACCTTCGAAGTTTATCAGCTTTATCCGGTCGACTTCTGGCAATATTCCGCTCTTTTCTAATATCATCCAATCGATCCTTTCTAATTTCATCTCTTTCTTTCGCACCTTCATCCTCATCGTCTCCATTCCTTCGCATTGCTGATCTTTCTTGTCGCGCTTTTGCAGCCGCATCCGCCATTTTTGCCTCTTGTTCTGCTTTCTTATTTTGTGCAACTCTTCTTTCTAATTGTGCACGTGTTTCGACAGCTTCTCTTGCTTTTCTATCTGCGATATATAAAGCATCAGCGAGTTTGGCGAAGTTGTCATTGATGTGGGTCTAGAAATTTGAACTTTTAATTTACATTAAAATATAAAAATTAACCTGTTGTAAACCTCTTCCATCAGCAGCCAATCTTTTATCCAATCCAACTGTAAAACCTTTTGGATTCTTCCAATTTGAAATACAAGGCGGGATTTTCCAATCATTCTGATCTTTTGCAGTCATTTTTCTTGGTGGACTGTGCATAACTGGAGCTGGTGGAGATGGCGGAGCTCGTGGAATTTTTTGATTAATTTTGAATTTCGGTGGTTCCATGGGATCTTTTTGCTCTTCAACCATCCGAATAATTCTTTGATGTGAACCGGTTGCTGTATTTTGTTGACTTGGAGTATATCGAATATATTGGGCAGGTGCTTGCTTTTCTGCGTGTCTAACTGGCAATGCTGAACTGACTTTTGAATTTACGATTTTCTCCAATGCCATTCTTGTTTTTTCAGTAGCTTCAGCAATCGCATCATCGTCTGGTTTTTGAATATCTTCATCATCTTCATTCCATGTTTTTGCTTTCATATCAGATAATTTCGAATATACAGTTTTATCTTTCGCATGTCCAACTCTAGCAATCGCATCATGTTGTAGTTTTCCATCTGCGCCATACTGAAGAGCTAAAGTATTTTCAGGCTTTCCTTTCATATCTTCAGCTCCTAATCCAAGAGGAAATTGTGCAACATGAATTTCTGGAAACGCTCCACCATCTCCAAAATCTTCTTGGGCTCTCGGTCTAAAACCCGATCGTTTTCCATAAGGTGGTGGTTCTTTTGTAACTAGAGCAGTGCTTGGTTCTCCTCCTCGTCCACCAAACCATGGATCTCTTCGAATCTGATGCGAATCGAGATCTCCTCCAACCGGCGCTGGCAGAATACTAAAATTCAACTTTATTCAAGGAAAATGTCTTTAAAACTCACTCTTTCAGGTTCAATGACATATCTACTAGTTCCTGTCGCTTCAAGCAATAATATTCAGACTAGCTAATTCAGTTTTATTCACAGGGGAACGCAAATTTATAGTGTTTCTCTTCGAAAAACTGAAAAAAAGAAAAATTAAATGCAAGCGGTTGTAAACACCACGACGCACTTTTACACACAAAAGCATTTTGTGCAAACACGGCGACGAACAAATGCACAAAATCTGCGGCGGAATTTCAAAAAATTGAGATCTGGAAATGCCGCTAAAAATATATATATGTCACGTACGTGAAAAAACGAAATCAAGATGTTCCACATGTCCGGTTCCACGCATTTCTAGCCATTTTTCCCTCGCAAATCGGAGAACAAAAAGATGAAATCAAAAAAGAAACCATTTAGCAAATTGCGAAGTAAAATTACGTTCAGAAAAAGATCGAAAAGTTCGGAAGCAACAAGTTCGGATAGAAGTTCATCAGCACAAAGAGCAAGGGAACAACATTTGTCTGTCGAATATGATTTATCGGTAAGTTTCGAAGTTTTAGAAAAATATGAGAACTAAATTTTTCTACCTAGAATGCCTGTATTCACTTGGAAGCCTTGATGAATGCTGCAAGATTCGGAAATGCCGATTTGATGTACCAACTTTATCTCAACAACGTCGATCTCAAAATGACTGATGATACTGGAAACAATGCTTGCCACTTGGCAGTTATGAATCATCAACAAAAAATAGTCAGAATGATAATTGTCTTATGTGCACCGTTTCCGATTTGGAAACAGAAAAACAATAGTGGCAATTTGCCAATCGAATTGGCAACTGATGAAAAGTAACGATTTAAATCGATTTTTAATAAAGAAACAAGTTTGAAATTGAATTTCAGGACAATCGAAGATCTGACAGCCTTGGATAAGCCAAAAATCAAATGCCCATTGGTTCAAGTTTCCAACGTGGATTCGATTTTTAATGATCGACTCGTGAAAGGAAAAACCAAATGGGAACCGAATGAACGAGTTCTTTTCGCATTAGATGGCGGTGGGGTTCGAGCATTGATCACCATTCAAATGTTGATTCATTTGAATGCTCTACTCGATTCAAAACTTGTTGAGAAAATTGATGATTTTGGAGGAACCAGTTGTGGTGGAGTTATTGCTTTGTTATTGGCGACTAGTAGGTGGCGGAAACCGGAGTCTCGTTGTTTTTTTGTCCCCAACAAAAACCCTATTTTTTGCAGACCGTGAAGTTGAAGATGTTCGCAAGCTCCTCTTGGATATGCGTGATCGTGTGTTCGCAAAAACCCAAGGTCGCGGAGTTTGGCCGAAATACAATGCGGGTGGCATCGAATATATTGCACGACATGTCACAACCTGGGAGGATTCAAAAATGTCGATAATCAAAAGACATCGAGTTTTTGTAACTGTCGCTGATACACGAATGGTTCCCCCGCAGCTTCTGTTATTTCGCTCATATTGTCCTGAAATGTCCGAAGAAGCCAAAGATTTTTATAAGTTTTTTGATCCGAAAAAAGTGGAATTGTGGAAAGCGTTGAGATGCACCACGTAAGCTAAATTAGATTTTTGGTTTTTGAAAAGTTTTTCGTTGTTCAGAGCTGCCCCATTTTTCTTCGAAAGTTTCAATGGTTTATCAGATGGTGGATTGATTGCAAATAATCCAACACTTCCATTAATTGCAGATTTTATGCTGATGAATAAATTGGAGAAAACTTTTGCTGTAAGCTTTTCAAAGGTCAAACCAAATCCCATTATTTTCTATTTTGAAGAAATCGGATTCTGAGCGAGAAGAGAAGGGAAATTGGAAGGTTGGATGTGTTGTTTCACTGGGAACTGGAATCTTTCCGCTCGAGAAAATTGATGGAATTGATTTGAGTATTCCACATATGAAAAATCCCCTTCAACTTGCGAAATCTTTCTATAAAGCGATTGGAAATACCAAGAATATGTTGAATGTTTTGGTGAAAGAATGTACTGCTTCAAATGGACAACCGGTGAAATATGCAAGAGAATGGTGTCATGCAATCAAATGTCCTTATTTTAGGTAAGGCAGTTAGCCTTTCTATAGAAAACCATTATTTATCTCAGATTTTCACCACAATTGACACAAGGCATTGCACTTGATGAAACCGATCTTGGAAAAATAATGCATGTTATGTGGGAGACTGAACTGTATGTTGCGGAAAATCGAGAAACTCTGAAGAATCTTGCGCAATTTTTGAGCACCAAACCAAAGAGGGAAGAATTTGCTGAATCGGAGACTGAAATATCGAAAAGTGATTTGTCGTCGCAAGAACAGACGAGAGTTGATTCGACAACGATGGAAACTAGTGAGCATTAGACATTCAAATGAAGTGATTTATTAGTTGGAGATTGATAGATTTGTAAGTTTATTTTTTATTGAGAAAGGAGTATCCGAGACTAACGATTGACCACAATCCGTATTTGATAATCTTTCCAAAATCCAAATATTTAGTTTTGCATTGAAATCAAATCCAGATCATCTTTTGTGTAATCAGATTTAGAAAATCTGCATTACAAAATTAAATATCGGTGGACATTATGTGTCATCATCGAGTTACAAATGATTCATTAAAAACAATTAATTGTTAATATTCAAAACAGAATCTTCCAAAGAAAACATTGCTTGTGGCATTTTGAAAACGAAATGCGTTTTCAAAATTGTCAAGAATTTTTGCAAACTTTTTTGGTGATAAATAATCAAATTGATATAACTCAAAAGTGTTGCGAATCTTGAAGGACCATTTCTTTTTCCATATTCAGTTTCGCAATATTTGAATAATGTTTTTGAAAATGTTTGACGAGTTTCCCAAACAATTTTCCGTCCTTCTTCTGATAATTCAAATATTGGATCACAAATTGCAATTGCTTTCAGTAGAATATATTCGGTATTTGTGAGTTTTTCGCGAATCAGAAATCCCATGACATTTTGAGACGATTTCAGATGATTTCGAAGAATTGTGTTGTTTTTTCTGAATTTCTATATCAATTTAGAATATTTTTTTTTCAAAACTCACTTCATTTCTCCTCCAGTGATGAAATCAAAAAGATTCATTCTGCAAAAATTGATTAAGATCCTAGAAATTAGTATTCGGAGAACTTACGTATTTCGAATGTCGACGAAACATCCATCAGGAGTTTTGAAACAATCTGCGTTATATTGAAAAGATGTGAATGCAAAAGTCATTGATTGAATAATTACTGTAACATGTTTGGCCAAAACAATTTGATCATTGAATGTCAAAAGTTGATAAAATTGAAAAGTCTTCAAATATTCGATTGATAACATTATGTCGAAGGTATGCCATTGTTTTCTGTTTTTATGAAAAAAGTTTTGAAAAAACTGCTCAAAATTTAGAATTAGGAAAACCCACGTGTTTATAGATTGATCCAAATCAGTTTGATGTGAAGATTTTATAATAGCATTATTTAGTTTCTGTTGATTCTCGGCAAGTCCTTGCGGTGTCAATGGCCAACCAGGCATTGGCTGAAATTTCAGTGTGACGTAAAAAAAATCTTTCAAAAACTCTTACCTTGTATCCAGATGTCAATTTTAGAGTGCTCGGAGCTACCAATAGTTTCTCAAGAGTTGGGAATAATAATGGATTATATGTTGAATTTCGAATCTTTAGAATTAACTCATCAATATAGGATAAGTTCCAAATAATATAGTCAGGATTTTTTGAAGATTTGACCATTATTTCAAGAGATTTCGGGAATTCAGTCTCGTTTTGTTTTCTTTTACGAGTCTCCTCCATTTTGAGCAAGAATATTGACTTGCAAAAAAAATGTTTATAATCAGTCGGTCATATCAGAAAATAAAAAGGATTTATGAGATTTTCGGATTATACTCTGTTTCATGCATCTTCTACCAGAGATCTGAAACTTCAGGGACGTTGTTATGCACTTTTGCAAAGAAATAAACAAAAATCTGGAATGTAGTTGAGTTTCGTTAACTTCTGAGTAGTTTCACCTGCCTTTGGCTTAAAGGTTGATTTTGTCAGCTGATAAGTTTTCTTTGCTCTGAAGGCGGAGCTTTTAGTGCAAACCGGAAATTTACATTCATAGTTCGCTCAAGTTCGATTTTCAAAGTCTGAAAATCATGCAATTTGTTCCTCAACTTCTCCTTTACTTACTCTATATTCCCGCGATAGTCTTATGTATACTTGTAGCATTTATTCTCCGAAAATATCTGAAATTCGGATCATTCTACCATATTTTCCTGGCATCCGGAATTCTTGATATTCTTCACTGTGTGATCTATTTATGGCTCCATTGGGTGAAGCATTGTTATCCCGGTCAGCTCTACATTGATACCGCGCATTTTTGCGCATTTTGGGATGCGGGCATTTTTGGATGTATGCATGTTTTTGGCAATTGGTTGATGGCACTCAATCGATTTAGTGCCACGTTTTTCGAATATTCAAAGGTGCGCTCGGTTTTTCTCACCACAATCACATTTTCTTGCAGCTCTGGACGCCTAAACTCACCAAAATCTACTTTATCTCGATATTGCTCATCTCAACCGCATCTAGTTACCCTATTTTTGTAGAGGATAGAGATATTACAATAAAAGATGACGTGGTTACAATTATTCAGAAGCGAGGATTAATTATACAGCGTATGATATTAGCTATTTATGGCATATTCTTTGAAATATTCTCAGTTATCCTAACTTGTCTCACAATTCAGCGATTAAAGAAATTCACAACAGATCATGAAAAGAAGTTGATAATTGTGACGTCATCGCACACTTTCATCGCTTTCGTTTATATTAATTACGAGCTTGCAATGGTCTTCAAGTTTACTGGCCCATTTTTTCAACTTATTCTTGATTATCACACGACTGTTGGCTATTTGTTTTTGTGTTTTATTTTTTGCACGATTTTGATTGCTGATTCGAGAGTTAGGAAGGATTTTGTGAGCGTGTTTAGGATGAGAAATGAGCATGTTGTGATGGCGGTTTGGAGTTCGGATACTTGAAGTTGTAATTGTGTGTTTGGCTAGAATGAACTTTGAGTTTTATAGTTGTTTTTGTGGAAGTCTAAATCACCTGTCTATAGTTATAGCATTGGAAACTTTGCGAACGGCGGAACAATACTCTGTTTCATGCATCTTCTAGCAGAGATCTGAAACTTCAAAGAACAAAAATATTTATTGTAAAAAAAAGTCAACTTTCATTATGGATAGCAGAATCTTCTAAAGAAGTAAGAGTCTTAGGGAATTTATAAATTAAATGCATTCTTAAAAAACTCATAAAATTCCTCAAATTTTTTTGATGATAAATAGCTAAGTTGATATAACTTAAAAGTGTTGCGAATCTCGATGGCCCATTTCTTTTTCCATATTCAGTTTCGCAATATTTGAATAATGTTTTTGAATAGTTTCGACGAGTTTTCCAAACAATTTTCCGTCCTTCTTCTGATAATTCAATTATTGGATCACAAATTGCAATTGCTTTCAGTAGAATGTATTCGGTACTCGTGAGTTTTTCGCGAATCAGAAATCCCATGACATTTTGAGACGATTTCAAAAATGATTGAGTGCATGAGGAATTTTTGCTGAAAATAGTGGTTTTTTGTAGTTATTATAATTATTGATTAATATTGGTAATCTCACCTTATTTTTCCATCGGTAATTGAGTCAAAAAAATCCATTCTGAAAAAAAACAGGAAAAAATGAAGTAAAATCTAATTTGAATTTTCAAATACTCACGAATCTTGTATATTAATAAACCATCCATCGGGAGTTTTGAAACAATCTGAATTAGTTTGAAATGATGTGAAAGAAACTGTCATTGTTTGAATAATCATTGCAACATGTTTCGATAGAATATCCCGATCACTGTATTTTAACAATTTGAAAAATTCAAATGTTTTCAAGTATTCAATCGCTAACATTATGTCGAGTTTGATCCACTGTTTTCTGTAATCTCTATTTGATTCTTTTTTTACTAGTGTTTCCCATTATGTATACTTACGTGTTTATAGAAATATCTAGAAATTGTTGATTTGAATTGATCAAACAAGCTTTGTTGAGTTGATCTTGTTTTTCTCCGAATTCTCGCAAACTCAAAGGCCAATTTGGCATTGGCTGAAATATCAACATGAATTTGACAAAAAAAAATATTCTGAATATAAAAATAAATATACCTTCAACTTTGAAGCCAAGTTCAGAACACTTGGATCATCTAAAAGCTGCTCGAAACTTGGGAATATTAATGGATTATAGGTCGAATTTCGTAGTTTTATTATTTGAACGTCGAGATGCGATAAGTTCCAAATCAGATAGTCCAAATAACTTGGAGCATTGATCAAAATTTGCAAGTTATTGGAGGGTTGCATTTGTTTAGCTTTTCTTTTGGGTTTTTCTTTCGTTTTTTGAAGAAAGGACATTTCTAACTTGAAAACAGGAAACAGTGAAGAAAAAACCAAAACGTATCTGAGAGTATGAGGCTTAATCCGTATTTTGATAAGGCTGAAACGGCTTCTTTGCATTTCTTTTCTCAGTGCACTTCCTCTTCCTTTTCCTTGCTTTATTCATCTTTTATTCTAATAGTTTAATGATCCTGGTTAGAGAAACGAAAGCAAAAAGGATCTTATCCCGATTATTTTTAGAAAAAAAGTTTCGTCATAAAAAGAAAACACACCTCATCTAAAATCGTGGTTTCCGAAATAAAAATATGTACGCTAACTTTTTAACAGTACAAAAATTGTGAATTTTTCAGTTTTTGTTCTCTAATGGGGTGATTCAATTCGTTTTTTTGACGATTAATTGACAGAAAATCCGAGTCATTTTTGTGCGATTTTTTCACGTTTTTGTCGATTATTTCCATATTTTTTTGCAATTCATTGCATACAAAAATGAGGAATTTCAATACGAAATAGAATTTATTTGACCTTTTTTTCGAAACGTGTTCTAAATTCACTGCTTATTTTTTGAATTCATTTCGAAATGAAAGGAAATTGAGGGAAAATGATTTTTTTTTGTTGATAATTCCAACTCATATAGGTCACGTTTTGAAATATGTATATGTCAAATAAATTCGAATTTTTATGCAATTAATTGCATTTTTTGCCAAGAAATGAAAGCGAGGAATTGACAAAAACGTGAAATTAATCGCCCTAAAAGACTCGATTTTTTTGTCAATTAATTGACAAATTCACGTCGATTAATTCGACTGAATCACCCCATAAAAACTGTGATTTTTCAATTGTTGACCTCTAAAAACTGAAATTCAGATTTTTCCAAAAATTGTACTCTAGTCAGGCACGGCTTGGCCGATGTGTGAAAGAAAAATGCGGTGATTCAGAAGAATATGTTTGGAACATTTTTTAAATCAATTCTCAAAGTTTGAAAAATTCTATTTTAAGGGCAAAATTCATGTTTGACATTCTCAGAGTCTCATTTTCATAGAAAAATTAAACTTTCAGGACTCATTTAATAACATGTTTTCTAAAAAGAAAAGTTAACCATTAATCATTAAAGATTCATAATATTATTGAATCTGTCTGAATCTGAATTCAAAGAATTGTAAATTACCTTTGATTTGTAATACACTTTCAAAGTAAGCGAAGTGTTTCCACATTTATCATTCTCAATTGTTTTGAATCTTAATTTTTTCAGAAAACTTTTCGGGTATATTCAATAACACTAACCATTAAAGGAAAAAGTTACACCTGGCATATCCCTTCATTACCGCAACATTTGGTTTTCTCGATAAAAACTGCGAATTCCAAGATTTCTCAAGAGAAAAGTAATAATTAATTATAAAAAGTTCAAGAACAAGTCTGTCCGAGAAATTGAATTTAAAAATAGTTTTTTGACATAATTTTTCTCGGAAATACCTACACTTTTTGATTTGTGATACATACGAGCAAGATTAGCAGTCAGATGTTTTGGGATATATTTTTCGTCTTTCAATGCGCTATTTGTATTTTCGGAATTTTCTCTCATTGGTTTTATCTGGCAACTTCTGTTCTACGTGGACATTTAACACCACTTGCAAGGTTGGTTAACTGGTAAACTGTAGAAAATTTGATCTTTTAGAATTCATTTATTTTTCCTATCTTTTGGTTATCAATGTATTCTTATTGCATTTCTTGCAACTAGAATTATTTGTTTGATATTTGCTGGAACATATTTCGAAACTTTTGAATGTTTTGAAGCTCGCCTTGATGCTTTAAGTCTTCATCATTTTGGAGAGATTACAGTCACAGTCTTTCATTTTTTCATATCAATTGATAGGTTATACACTTTGAAAAATCCAAATTATAAATTAACCCTGAAAATGTATTGGTCAATTTGTTTGTTTTTTATATTTGCGATGTTAGTCGCCGGATATTATGTTTACTACGGTAGAAGTGAGTTGCAGAATCATTTCAAAATGAAAAATTTATTTTAGCAATGTCTTCTCAGAATTCGATCTATGTTTTAGGATTTTTCAACCTTGCTAATATATTTCTGGAAGTTTATCTTTATTATTTTTCCCAAAAGTTATATCGAAAAACACGTGGCGAAATCTCGTTAGCGGAAAGATATGAAATATTCAGTTCTTTGGAAATAATCAAAAAGTTTCTTCCATCTTCGATTTCTTCTATATTTTTCAAAATTATTATTATTGTTTCAATACAATTTTCTCTAACTTTCACAACATTCGATGCAATTTTCAAATTCTATTTTGCATTCAATATTGTAAGTATTTCTCTGGAATATCATAGTTTTTAATTATAGGTTTTTTTCAGCTTTGGAACCTTGACGCAACTTTGTTTCCATGGTTCTTTATATTTCATCACAAGAAAATCAGAGCTATAATTTTTCCAAGAACGGCACACATTCAAAATGTTGTCGATGTTCAAAATCACCAGAATCATTTTGAAATTCTCAGAAAAGATTGGAACAATTAACTGGATATTTTTTAAGTGATTCTTCTCATAAAAACGATACTTGCTTTTAATTTGTACAAACCACACATCAGAGTTTGATCTAACAAATATATTGAGATTTAGTACAAATCCAGATTATCTTATGTATGTAATCTTCGAGAAAAAATCCGAAACATTTAAATTACGGTAGTCATTAATTCGACGAGCAACTTTCCTTTCTTGAAAAAAAAACAAAGCAATTTATTAACAATATTAATTATCAATACCTAAAACTGAGTCTTCAATTGTCTTTGGGGATTTCTGAACTGCATACATTTTCATAATCGTCATAAATTTTTGTAAACTTTTTTGATGTTGGATAAGTAAATTGATATAACTCAAAAGTTTTACAAATCTTGAAGGACCATTTCGAACTCCGTTCACAATTTGGCAATATTTGAATAATGTTTTTGAATAATTTTGACGTGTTTCGCAAACAATTTTCCGTCCTTCTTCGGATAAATCAAATATTGGATCACAAATTGCAATTGCTTTCAGTAGAATATATTCGGTATTTGTGAGTTTTTCGCGAATTAGAAATCCCATGACATTTTGAGACGATTTCAGATGATTTCGAACACATGAGACAGTTTTTCTGAAATTTTTGAAAGTTCTAAAGAATTTGTTTTTTCTCAAAACTTACTTCTCTTCTCCACGTGTGAATATTTTACACAAGTCGATTCTGAAAAAAATTAGATATGACGTAATTCAGAAACGAAACATGGGCGATTGTTTTTCTCAAATAATTTTCCACCAATTTCTGAATGAGTCAAACAACTCACGTGTTTTTAAAATCGATGAAATATCCATCTGGGGTTCTGAAACAGTCTGAATTGTTCTCGAATGATGTGAATGAAAAAGTCATTGATTGAATAATTACTGTAACGTGTTTAGCAAGAATTATTCGATCACTCAATTTCAAACATTGAAAAAATTCGAAAGTTTTCAGATATTCAATTGATAACATTATGTCGAATTTCATCCAGTGTTTTCTGAAAAAAAAAAGTTTTTTTAAGTTTCTTCAAAAATACCTACGTATTTATTGATTGATCCAGAAGATTCCTATCAGAATTCATAAAAGCGATATTCAGTTTGTGTTGTTTTTCACCATATTCTTGTGGTGTTAATGGCCAACCAGACATCGGCTGAAATTTTCAGTTTTGACAGTTTTAATTGAAATGATTATTGAAAGCTTACCTTGTACATTTCGGCCAAATTTAAAATACTTGGAGCATTCAACAGTTGCTCAAAACAGAGAATATGCAATGGGTTGTAAGTCGAATTTCTTAACTTCAGAATTTTAACATCAAGATGCGATAAGTTCCAGATTGAATAGTCGAATTTAGTAGACGAATTAATTAATATTCGTAAAGGTCCAGCTTTTGTTTGTTTTCTTTTCCGATTTTCTTCCATTTTTTGAAATAGATATTTTTAAAATCAGCAAAACATTAAGTTATAATCATACGCGAGATTCTAGAGCCGGATAACGAAACAAATAGGATGAAAAGTAGATGCTTGAGATTTTCCGGATTATGTTTTGCTCTTACTATCATCTAACTTCTGGAAGTTGTTTTTTTTTCTTCAAATTCTGATGCTCTAGAGTGAGCATATGAAATACGCTCAAATTCCTATTTTCAGAAATTTGAGGTATTTTCGTACCAATATATTTTTCAGACATCACTTGAACTTTTATCCCTAGTGATTTTTTGATAAAATCGTCGTCTGTAGATATAAAATATGAGAACGCAGCCAATAGTAAAATCATTCTCAAATGTTCTGGGATATATTTTTCATTTTTCAATGCGCTCTTTGTATTTTCGGAATTTCTTCTCATTGGTTTTATCTTCTAACATCTGTAATCAACGGACATTTAGCACCATTTGCAAGGTGAGGATACTTCTGCGGGAAAAATAATTAACAAAGTTTCATTTTAGAATCCACCTATTTGTTCAATCTCTCAGTTATCAATGTATTCTCATAGCGTTTATTGCAACTAGAATTATTTGTTTAATTTCAACTGGATCATACTTTGAAACTTTTGAATGTTTTGATGCTCGTCTTCTTGCTTTAAGTCTTCATCATTTTGGAGAAATTACAGTTACAGTCTTTCATTTTTTCATATCAATTGATAGATTATACAGGGTGGTCCAAAATTACCCGCACAAATGTAATTTTAAATATTTTCCACAGAGTGAACATAGATATGATGTCTGGTCTCGAAAATTATTCCCAGATATTGTGTTCATCATTTTAACATAGAATATTGTGATATAATTCGGTCCTAGGGTAGTTGGAATATCGGGAATGAATTTCAGAACTTCGCATCAGGCACGCTGCTTTTTCTGAATTAATCGAGCTTTCTATACCCATAGGGAGTTTCAAATTATATGTTACCGGTTCAGAATTTCAAGATAACCCCTAGGCATGCTTGATCCTTGACGGAAATGATACACACAATTTTTAACAAGAATAAGGAACTGTAAAGTGAATCCCTCAAAACGAATTTTTCGACTCAAAAACTCAATTTTTATCATTTATCATCCAAATTATAAAATAACTTGGAAAATGTTTCTCATTTTTTCTATCATGATTTTATTCTCAATGTTAGTCGCTGCCTATTATGTGTATTTCGGTAGAAGTGAGTGAGATATAATCTAGACCTTTTCAAATGATTTTATTCCAGTAACATCCTCGGGGAATTCAATATACGTGTTGGCGTTGTTCAATATAGCTAATTTTTATCTCAAAAACTATACAAAATTACACGTGGAGAAATTTCGTTGATTGAAAGATATGAGATTTTCAGCTCATTAGAGATGATCAAGAAGTTTCTGCCTTCCTCGATTTCATGCATTTTGTTCAAAATCATCATAATTGTAACACTGAAATGTGCACAGTTTATAACAACGGTTGATTCACTTTTAAAATTTTACTTCGCTTTCAATGTTGTAAGTTTTTTCCTTCTAGAAGTTATGGCTACAAATATTTTTTCTAGCTTTGGAACCTTGACGCAGCATTGTTTCCGTGGTTTTTTATTGTTCATCACCCAAAAATTCACAAACTACTTTTCAAAAAAAAATCGCAAAATGTTATCAATGTTCAAAGTCAGCAAAAATATTTTGAAAATTTAAAAAAAGCTTGGGAAAATTAAAAGTTAAGTCAAACGTGAATCAGATAACCTAGAAAGACACGTGGAAATAAAGTGAATAAAAAAGACTTGTCAAATCGCAAAGCCTCCATTATTTATCCAATATCTATTTTCTATGATATTTTTGTAAACAGTTGTTTGCTAAGCGAAAACAATTGCAATGATTACAAAGGAACAATTTACCAGAAAGAACAACTCGTCGTACGGTAAAGTGGATGAGGAGAAAGATCAGAAGAAGGTTCCGACAGCAGCAGCGCCGCAATTGGGAGGATCCGCCGAGAAAGTATTGTCGCCGCAAGCATCGGCTGATTCGACACCGGGACAACAACAAAATTCACCACTGGCGCCGCAATTGCCAAATGTGTTTTTGCAAAAACAAGAATCGGCTTGTTTGTTGGTCCCACTGAAGAGCAAGGATAGAGAAAGATCTGTGAGTTCAGGGGTTTTGTGAAAGCCTTTCAAAATATTTTTAAAATTCAGAAAAATCGTTCGCGAAATCGAAGACGAGGAAGAGGAAATGATGATCGAAGTGATGCTGGAGAAAGAAGTATGGATAGAACTGAAGAAGATCAAAGATCATGTGAAGAGACCAGAAATGAGGTACCCCGTCACCTTTCCCTTTCCCTATCAGCATTTTTTCTTACAGCAACCTGAAGATTTCGTGGAGCTTGAGAAGAAGTTGCGAGAACTCGAATTCTATCATGGTTTTTTGCCGCGCGAAGATCTTTCCACAATTCTCAGCAATCGTGGAGACTATCTTTTGCGTGTTTCGGAAGTTCATGAGGAGAAAAGAGTTCGAAGGGAGATTATTCTATCCCTGATCCCTGTTGGAAATGAAAAATCGGCTGAAACAACGAAAGCACCACCACCGAAAAATGTGATTATTAAAAGAAGTGGGAAAGTGTTCTATATTGAACCAGCGAAAACTTTTGAAGATGTTAAAGAACTTCTCAATCATTATAAGAAGAATACGGGAACTTGTAATAATTTGGTATTCCAGTTGAAAAATCCGATGCTTCTTCAACCTTGGGAATTTATGCATTGTGATGTTTTAATTGGAAAAGTTCTTGGAGAAGGTGCATTTGGAAAAGTGACATCAGGAGTGTTGAAGACGAAAAATGGGGAGATGGTTGAGGTGGCTGTGAAAATGACAAAAGGCACGGCGTTTTTGAGTAAGGCGAAGATTCGTGAAATGATGAATGAGGCGAGATTTATTCGCAATTTCAATCATAAAAATGTTGTGAGATTGTATGGTGTGGCACACGATGAACAACCTCTCTATATTCTTCTGGAACTTGTGAAGGGTGGAAGTTTGAAATCGTATTTGGCGAAAAATAAGACTACATTGTCGGAGAAAATGAAACATTGTTTGGGATCGGCGAGAGGAATTGAGTATTTACACCAGAATAAATGCATACATCGAGATATTGCGGCCAGAAATTGTTTGCTCTCTGATGGAATCATCAAGATTACCGATTTTGGATTGTCCAGAACTGGGCCCAGTTATAAATTGAGGGTTAGTTATTTTTTTCAACAAATCATTTTCATTTTTATTGTTAAAACACAAAATTTTCAGACATCTTGCAAACTTCCGATTCGCTGGTTGCCACCCGAAGTTCTCACAACTCTTACTTTCTCCTATGGTTCCGATGTTTATAGTCATGCTGTGATGATTTATGAGATCTTCAGCGATGGTGGTGAACCTTTTGAAAATCAGAGTAATGCAATCGTCAAGTCTGATATCCTGGCTGGAAAATTTTTGCAAATGCCCGCTGCTTGTCCGGAACCTTTGAAAGTTTTGATTTCCACCAAAGTTTTTGTGGAGAATCCGAAAAGAGCTTCGATGACTGAAATTGCGAATGAAATTGAGAAATTGGCGACGCAAATCGAGGAAGGACATGGAAAGTTGAATTTGAAGAAGAATTTTAGAAGCTTGAAAAAGAAGGTATTTTGAATAAAGTTTTTGAGAATGGGTATTTGGAAAAGGAAGTATTTTCAAAGAAGTGTTTTTTCTCAATAGAACCGTTTCATTTTCTGCCTTATCGAACTAAAAAAATCCGATGTTTTTCAAACTTCAACAACAATCAGATAATATGAATAAAAGTCAACAAAAATCAGATAAAATATCCCACGGAGGAATACAGTTTTTTCGTGGGAGATTTAACAACCTTGTACGCTACAAAAAATGTTCACGTTTATGTTAAAAAATTGAGAATATAAAAAAGGTTGCCCAATCTGGATTTTTTGTTAAAAAATGAAAAATGCCCCGCTTATCCAATTTGTATTGTGGTCTGTCCATTTTTGATAAAAATGTGATAAACTTATTCTAAAAAATTTGGGCCTCAAAAATTTTATGGGGAGCTATTTCATATATTAGCCCAAAAAGTTTAGTAAAATCAAAAATCTCTGGACAAATTTTCGAAAATTATAATTATTAACGTACCATTCGACAACAGATGGAAAAAAAAACTTAAAAATCTGTAGTTTGGTGATTTTTATCTCGTACATTATCGCGTAAAAAAAGAAATGCATTTTTCGGTGAAAAAGCCAGTTCAGGTCGCACTTTTAAAATCTTTATTGAATCTTCAAAGATTGTTATAAGAACTACATATTTTTAGATGATTTATCTTCGAATCGAAGAATAGGAACTTTATCCTTGCTTGGTATTCGTTTCATTCATACATTTTATACAAAAAATAAAAAATCAGATACATAACATTATGATATGTTCAAACATTATTTCCATTTCTATCAATACAATCAAAGGAATTTTTATAAATTTTATATCTTCTGAATGTTCGTCCGATTTCATCGCAATACATCAATTTCTCATTATAAACAAATTCAACACGTTTTAGCACATTTTCCACTAATTTTCGACTAAATTCCTCATCTAAATCAGTAAACACGAATTCAGTATGATTTTTTTGCCATCCTGAATTTATTCCGTTTTCATTATCGGTTCGATAATGACGAAGATAGGCGACTTCTGGTTCGATTTGTGGCACAAATTTTTGATCACTATAATGGTGAATAACACGATGATAGTATATTTTTGCCGCCGTATCAGACCGAAAAATTGTTTTTGAACCGAAGAATGACGAATTTGAAGTCAAATGATGTTTAATGAACTGCATATCGTTTTTGGTTTGTGAGGAATTGATATATTTTTCAGGCATTGTTTCGTTCTTTATTACTCGCGCAACAGATAATGTATAATCTGTTGCATTTTTGACAGAATTCAAAAGATCTTCAATTGTAATATTATTTTTCAACACAAGTCTCTCATCAAAATCAGCATTAATAACCCATTTTGAATGAAATTTCGCACGTTGTAAACATTCCTGTAAACACACATCATCATTTTTGTATTTAGAAATATGTTATCTAAATACCTCTTGTTGAACCATATGCATTTGCCAATCTTCTTTTTTATATTCAGTATCCAATTCAGTCAATTCAACTTCTCCTAATCGAATATAGTCATTCAATATTTTCCGATCATATTCATTCATATTGAAAACAGTGAAATAAAAATGCTTGATCCCAATAAGTTTATAATGTTCTATATATTCTGCAATTCCCAACCATTTTGATTCATTTCCATAAATTGGACCAACACATACTGAAATTGCATGAATTGGTTCTGAAAATTTCAAAAATGTTATCTAGAAAAAATAGGTAACCTTCAACCTTTATAGATCCTGAAAATCATTGGAACAGGTTCAGGAATCTCTTTTCCATCTTCTAAATCTAGAGAAATATATTCTGCTCCATATCGTCTTGCACATTGAACAATATTATAAGGATAATATATTGATTTGAATCGTGTATCAGGAATTTCCTTTCGATTACAATCAAAATAGACACAAGTTATATTATCGCTAAAAATGTACATAATTGTTTAAAACCGAGATTTTATTGAATTTTACTTTTCAGAATGTTGAACAGTTGTTGTAACTGCTATATGATTTGGATAAACAAATGAATTAACTAATCGAAGTTGTCCACCTAAAAGTGTATCCATTCTATATTTTGTTAATCCTTCTTTTCCAAATAATCGAATTTTTTTGGAATGTGGAATATCTTCAAGCGTAATACGATTCCAATCATCAATATGGCATTTATCACTAAAGTTTTTTTGAAAATTAAAACAAAAATTGCATGTTTATTTGACTTACTAGGATTTTGCAGGTTTGGGAGACATTGTTAAATAAATATGCATTCCAAACATAAGCATTGCAAGAGAACTGACAGTCAAAGAAATACGATTTTTTTTCGACATGATCATTCGGAAAAAAATGCTCTAGATGTTTTTATATGAGAAAGTATTTGATCAGATATAGGATTGAAAGATCTAATCGGATAGATTGAGAAGCATTTTTGTTTCGAGGTTGTCCTTTGGATGCGGTACATTTGAAATTAGAAATTCAGCAAAAAAAATTAAGATCAAAAGTATTTCTCAATGTTTTGAAAAATGAATGCTCAATTTTCATATGCTTCAATTCACAGAACGAACTTTGCTCACGATCTCATTCCAAAATCAAAATCTACGATGTTCTTTTTCTAGACACTTTTTTTTTTGTTTTCGCGATTTCGCCTGATTTGACGCAAGATGTTCTCAGAAAAAACTATAAGATGTCATTGGTTAATTAGCCACGGGGTTTTTTTGTTGTTTTCAGATTTCCAAAAAAAAGTGAAAAAGTACTCATTATTAAACTAAAACACATAAAAAACAATGACTGCGGATGATATTTTTGCCGGGATTACTGTCAGTTTTGTGAGTTTTTTTGGGATAGCCCGATCTTGTAAATCTGAAACTCTTCCAGCTCGACACCCTTGGTTTCTTCATAAACACTTTGGTGTTGTTTGGATTTTTCCGGATCAAAAAAATGCACGGAATTTTCGGTCTACTTATCGCAAATCAATGCATTTCTCAGTATTTTACAGTTATTGGAAATATTGTTTTCTTTGGTTTTGGGTTGACTTTCGGTGGGTTTTTTCTGGAATTTGAATTTCACACCTCACATTTTCCAGGCCTTGATATAATCTTGCAAAATTCCCGCAACTTTGCCGCCTTTCAAATTCTCTGCATCTGCCTAATCCCGACTCATTGTCTAATCATTTCGTTGAATCGTATGATTGCCGTCCGATTTCCCCTAGCCTATCGGCTGATTTTCACACGACGAACCATTTTTCGCATCATTTTGGCTTCGTGGATTCTTCCTTGCTCATTTTTTATATTTGTGTTTTTTGTCAGGAATTGTGAGATGCTTTTTATGCGATGGGGATGGTATTTCACGGCTGATCAAGGGGTGCGGTTTTGAGAGAAACATGCTGGGGGAAAATTAAAATGTTAAATTTTGCCACGTGTCATTTTGTTCCAGAAATGCAACAATGAAATCAGCGCCTATATCTACTTCTCTCAAATGTTTCTGGCATTCTCAATTACATTTTGCGATTTGATAACAATCCTCACACTCTTCAAATCGCGTGCCAAATTTCTAACCAGTCGCGACACTCGCCGACAACAATTGGGTTTCGCCAAACAGGTCCTCCTACAAGGTCTGATTTTCAATCTCTACATGTTTTGGTACACCAAAGCCGGCGATTTTTTGCCCGGAAAATGCGATGAGTGGAAACAGTTTTTCACGACGACTTTCTCATCGAATTTATTGAATATTATTGATCCGATGATTATTTTGATTTTTAATGGAGAATATCGAATCTGGATGTTTTCTTTGGCCAGTGAAAATGTTCAGAGAGTTGGAATTAGTAGTGTTCATATTAATTCCTTGTTTTAATTTTGATTGAAGAATTTTTCATAAAAGTTTTACAATTGTTTTTAATACAGAAATTTAGCTTTTCTTTTTTTGCAATAAAAACCATCGCGTTTAAGATAATATCTCTCTGAATATTTAATTTTCTGTTTTTCCCAAAATTCAGAAAGTGACGTATGGACTAACAATGTAGGAGGCTTTTTTGATCTACATACAGATTCGAGATCTAGCAATTTGAGGTAATAAATACAAATTGTGTGAAAAAAACCAGAAAACAAAATTTATTCATTTATTTTACAAGCATTTACGATTTCTAAAATTCCACAAAACAATCTCACGATTTCTCGAAACGACCACAAATTTTCGATCAAAAATCAATTGTCTAAAATATTCCTCGATTTCAGGCCAAAAAAGCGAAAGCGAAAAAAAAAACTGATTCATTTTCAACTGGTTGGGATAATTCGATTGCATATTTTCTAGCAAAATGTTATCAAACCGGCGAGCGTCAATGATTCCAACGAGTGACGCAAAATTGACAGTTGTTGATCAATATTCACTGGTTGTTGATAAAAATGTCTGAATTTTCTGTGATTTTGGGGCTTTTTCCAATAATATTTGTACATTAGTGCATAAATAAATATTTTTTAATTTATAAATGATCACAAATCGTCTTCCAAATCGGCCTAACTTTTTCCAATCCTAACGGGCTTAAATGCAAGATCTTTGTCAAATACTCGAATCCGTTTTCATCAAAAAACCTAAATGTTTTTGAATCTTTTTGATAGAATAAATCGTGATAATCGATAAGTTCGCATTTTTCACCGCAATCTTTCAATAATTGTGAATATCTTGCTCGAGCTCCGGAATAATTTGTTAGGTCGATGATTTTTTTCTGAAAAAAAAACAATTTTCTTTTTTTGAAACTCTGTCACGTCATCATTTTTTCTAGGATTTGTATTTTTCAAGATTCCAAAACTCACATCAATTTCCACACGATCCGTATTATTTCTAATATACTGCACTAATTTCACGATTTCATTGTTCTTTACAGTTGGAATTGCATTCAATAAATACATCTTCTTTTTAACAAATTTCAACAATTTTTTTGCTTGATTCCACATTTTTTGATAAACTTCATCATTTTCAAAAGATAAACTTTCATTAAAATTCTCCCCGTATGAAATATGTCGAGTTAGATGAAATAAATAATCGGGTTTCATTTTCTGAACTTGTTGTTCAGTTATATCAATATCTTCTTGTTTACATTTCCATTCACGGGATAAACGAAACGGTTCGCAAGCTGCAAAAATTTTGATGACATTGGCACAAGTATTATATTATTCACCTGTATTCGACCCAATAACCATTGTATTCATTTTATTTTTGCATTCTTGATAAAATAGATTTCCATGATTTTTTGTCCAACTATTTCCAATCAATAATATCTTATATGGATTTTGCGGGTCTAATCCAGTATTGTTACAATATTTTTTAGCAACTGCTTGAGAACATGTTTTTACAGCTAGATTTTTGATGTCATTAGTATCCCATTCACCATTTTGTTTTTCAACGTCGTCCAAACTTATCGAAAATTTATCGTCACCCTGTGTAAATTTTAGATGATCTGATATTGATTCACGGTTCAAAACTAATAAGTTAGCAACAATTAGAAGAATCGATAAAAGGAGAACTCTAGAGTTATCCAATTTGATATACCATTTTTCGAAAATATTATAAACTAATATTGAAATGAGAATAGAGGCAACCAAACAGCAAATTAGTAGAAGCTCATTCTGTTCACCGTAAAGTTTCCAATAGGAATAAATGGGCCAATGAATTAGATATAGGGAATATGAAATATCTCCGGTGTAAACAAGAGTTTTATTTGAGAGTAGATATTGATCTCTAGTTGATGATAGGATTACAATTCCAGTTAGTAAGGTGATAAGCGGTCTGGAAAATCCATAATTAATTTAATTTTTAAAATTTCCGATCGAGTGAATTTTTATTTAAAAAATCCACGTGGCAAATCCTTTTTCTTTTCCGAAAAAATTTACTGTTTTTTTTAAAGGAAAAATCAACTTTAAAAATTCTCTTGTTATTTTGAACACGATTTTTTTTGCAGTTTATACAAAAATTTGTAGGTTGAAATATCAACTCAAAAGTTTAGCAATTTTCTCGAGTGCCTGGCCTAGCTGCCGTGCGTTCCATGCGAGCCGTCGCTGGCCTAGGTTAGACGGTTACCTATTTTGCTTTTTTAAAGTTTACCTTGAAATTTGCGCAGTAAATGGGATCGGAAAGAATATCACGATAATGTTGAATAATATAATTGAAGGTAAAATCCAACTCCATTTTTCAATTTGATAGTTTTTCTCTTTTTCAGGCTCCTGTTTTTCACAATCCTCGCTGTTCGATAACTGATATTTATTAGAATATTTTTGGCTCAAATTATAGGTTATCATTCCTAAAAATAATACTAGAATTTGAAAAAAATCTGATTCCAGAAACCAACCGATCATAAATTGCCAAATCCTCGCAAAAACATTGAAAAATGCAAAATTCTTCGGAAGTGTAAAAAAATACCACAAACTGCTCAACAAAATAGCATAAAACGAAACATTCCGAAATGGCATAAAAAACAGGAAAGGTGCAATCAAATAAAATTGAATTTCAACCGAAAGTGACCAAGTATGTGTGAAAAGATCCACAGAATTCGCAAGTTTTTCAAAATAATTCTCTTCATCACTTTTCATTTGGTTTGATATAAATATAATAGCATTTTGAGCCGAAGATTCATTGATTCCTTGAATTGTTTTATCCGGAAAATAGAAATAAAGAAATATTAGAGAGATGAAGATAACAAGTTGATAAAGTGGAAGAATTCTGCGAAATCGTCGAGAATAGAAAATGAATAAAACTTGAAATTTCGAATCATTCTTGGATTTTGTTAATAACATGCACATCAAAAATCCAGACAATACAAAGAATCTGAAATATTTTAAAGAACTGAATCATGAAAAAAAGTTCGACGCAACAATCCTCAAAATTACTATCAAAAACATGTTGAAAGTTTTTTTTCAAAAACCTTACAGTAACCTGAGTAATGCTGTCACATCCTAAAATTTTTCCATTCCACAGGCCCTATTTTTAACTCACTGATCGACTCCCAAAAATCCATTCGGAAAAATATCTGGAAAAAAATGAAAACCCAAAACTGCAAGAATGGCCAATCCACGAATTCCTTGTAGATCAAAACGTTTGAATTTTGTCATGTCTAGTATACTGTGCGTATTGTCTGAACAAAGAATAAATATGTATTTATATTCGGAAAAATATCAGATTTTTGACAGAAAATACCCGATTTTCTGGAAACAGGAAATCAAGTTTCTCTGGATGTTTCTTTGATTGGATCTGTATACAGTCATCAATATTATCATCTGTGGTTCTCAATTTTTTTTATTTTCTTCTCATAAGACAGACAAAAAGCGAAAACAATTTTCAGTTCGGAACAATTATTTTCTACAGATATACATCGCAAATCGTAAATCTTCGTGAATCTAGAAAACACATCATGATAATTTCCTACACCAGATCAACTATGCTAGATTAAATTCACTATAATAAACATATATAAATAGCTCGTAGATCTTAATGAACAGAAAATGCCTCAATATTCACCACTACTGTCTTCTAAAGATTTAAAACGATTTTCAAATATGAAATCGTCACTGTTTTTGTACATATTTTTCACCGCGGTTTTATGTCTTGCATATATTTTTGTTTCACGTCCGGAGCAGATGGTTCAAGAACTAACGAAAGTGGTTGAAATGACTCCTTCTGCTTCTATTGAAAATTTGTCAGTGGAGCCAAAAAAAGAGCCAGCAGCAGTTCAAAAATTCACTGAAAAAAAAGTTGAAAAAATGGCTTATCGAGGAGAATTAAGTTCGATGGATGGAATTGGATACAATTTTGAGAATATTGATTTGTCGCCTTTGCCAAAGTTCCACGAAATTGAGAATTTTCCAGATTGCAATTTATCATTTGATAAATTAAAACCGAAAACAAGTCCTGAGAAATTATTAAAAGGATTTCATGATTGTGTTGATCCAATATTCGAAAATCAACTGAATAAATTGAATGCCACTGATTTTTCATACAAAATCTGTAGTGCCATCGAAAAATGCGATCATATTTCGGAACTTCAAAATGTTGCTATTGAAGAGTTCAAGAATGATCATGAAACCAAGTGGGGAATTTTGCCGAATTGTGTGAGTTTTTTAAAATTGAGATGTATTTTGTAGACCGGGTACTGTAATTTAATGTAGGAGATTACTTTGTAGTTTGTTTCTAGCTAGATTTCAATTTGCAGTTTTAGTACTGTAGTCTTGTAGTTAGAGGTTTTTAGTCCCACTGAATCCATAAAATTTTACGGGTATTCAAAAATTGCATGGGGAAATTATTGCGAAATGAAAAAATGTTGTTCAGAAAGAGGAAAATATGATGGTAACATTGGGAATCGGACATGATGTGAAAGCTGAAGTTCTGCTTCATCGAACTCTTCCGAACACTAAATTCTACGGGGCTGATCCAATAATCGAGCCAAATCTTCAACTTTACTCAACTTTCGGAAAGTTTTTCCCATTTGCCCTTGGAAATCAAGCAGGGATGAATAGATTCCGTGTTTTACCAAATCAAAATCAGAAAACAAGAAAATACACATATCAAGATGTAACTACAATTGAGCTAACATATTTTCTTAAAGATATTGCAAATTTAACGCAAATTGATTTTCTATGGATTGATATTGAGGGAGGAGAATTGACATTTTTGAATTTTTTGAATAAAGGAAAACAATTGGATCAAGCTGGAATCACGATTTGTCAATTTAATATTGAGGTAAGGTTCAAGGTTCTATAAAATTTATCTCACACAAAAATTAACTTTTTCAGCTTCACCCTGTTTTTTTTGACAAGGGATATGAGGCTGTATACAATTTTATGAATAAAGTTCTCGGAGAAAATCGATATATTTTTCTGAAACCTATGGAGACTGGAAAAGGAGTTTATCGATTGTTTTTCATTAATGTTGAGGATCAAAAATGTGTTAGGAAATTTTTGCAATGAATTTGAATATTTTTCCTGAAAACAATGAAAGTTTTGATCATTTTTGAAAAGTTTGTTAGTTTCAGGACTTTTTTTAGAACATTCCTAGAAGTCCAGAAGCTTTCCAAAAGACAAGGATGAATTCTAGATGACTTACACATACGCTAATTATGTGTGCATGAATTTTTTGGCATAATGAAGCCAGAACCAAAAAAATCAATAAAGTTTTGACATATGGAAAAATGAGTATTATATATTGTGGATTAAAAGTGAACGATTCGAAATTTGGTCGACCTGACCAACAGGGGTTATATTACTACTGATTCAATGTAAAATTGTAATTGAGCAAATTGGCTCCGCCCATCTTTTTCCGCACAGACATGTGGTTCAGATTTTCAGATTTTCAAAAAGAAAATTGAAAACCCTTTGGCTCAAAGACACACAAATAAAAAGAAAAAAGTCGGGCTATATACATATGTATGTGATTGTAGCCACGGACATCTCGCGAGGCTGGCCACACCCCTGTGGACCCAATTTTTTTCCGAACCCGTTTCGAGTTGGCTCGGTTCAACCATGGCTTGGAATTTTTTGACCCGAATCGCGAACTCAAAATTTTGTTTAAAAAAAAACCAGTTCGAAAATGACTCATGCCAGCTGATGTTTTGTGGAATACACTCGAATTTGGTTGCGAGTCAAAACTATCCCAGATGTTTCAAAAGTCGGTTTTGCCTCGATTTGGAACCCTCGGGCTGAGTAAAGTATTTATTTCAGAACATAACTACTTTTTCATATGATTTGAGCTCCCACAGACATGCTCAAGATTCTTTTTTCGATCAATATTGATATTATGATAGTCTAGATGAGAGTTTTCAAATTAAGCTGATAGGTGTCTAATATGCCTATTATAGGTCTCAAATATGTGTTAAAAAAAACTAAAAAAAAAAACAAGCGAGAACATTGCTGTGGTATGAATAAATTCGTTGGTAAGGGTTCATATGAACACCATTTGATGGTCCATTTCTATCAAAAACATGTTTATGATTAAGTTTTAAAATTTTGAATTTTTTTGATTTTTCAAGTGGAATTTGGGATTTTTTCAATAGGCGCATAATATGTAGTTCTATTATGGGCGTTTTTTTTGATTTCGGAAGGTGTGAAATTGGAAAAAACATTCCAGATGTATCTTTGAGATAAAGTCTGTCTGTGAGAACCCAACGCGCATCTCAAAAGCCTTGACATGAATTTCGTGATTTTTGATGTTCTTTTTACTCTTCTTTTTGGCCAAATTAATCACAACACAAACACGTCAAAATCTTTTCCAATTTTGGTTGTACATTCATAACCTTCAGATAAAATCTGATTTTAGAACGAGACAAAATTGGTACGAACAGAAAACACATCTTACTGTCTATGTTTTTTTTTTTCGGAGAAAAAAATTGAGATGTTTCAAAAAAAATTGAGATGCTTTGGTTTTTATTATTCATCAAGATTATTTATTTCATTGGTACCGTATAAAGTGTCGTCTCCGACACAAGCTGATGACTTCACTCGTCACAGCTAGTTACCCTAATCCCAAAGACTTACTTCTGTAGCTCAGCTTCCACAATATCCTTGCGTCGATTTCCGCGCTAGATCCACAGACCGGTGATGAGTCATCTCCTCGATAGACTGACGTCTCTTCCCTCGGACCTTGCATCCCACCAAATGGGCGTGGTCACAGAGAGGCTTACTTATATTACACCCTTTGCTATTGGCTGCGCCACACTCCCGGGGAAACGCGAAAAATGGCACCTTGCCTATTGAAGCATCGCTCATTTGGTTTTCACATCCATTTTTAGACGTTTACTCCATAATGGATCATAAGTAATTTGAATCATTCTAACAAAACTTCAGTCACATTCGGAATTTCATTTCAACTTTCATATACATGGGAATTGTTCTATCAATTCTTCATTTTGCTGCTTATCTAGATATTTTCTAATAATCAATTGATTGTTGGACTTAGGCTTCGGTTTTACTTATTTTTCTTTTCCTTTTTTTTTAAATCAGTTACCAATTGGTTATTTAATTCTTCTTCTATATTTTTTAATTCTTCTTTTTCTATTTATAATTTCTTTAACTTATACTTAATTTAATCCTAATTTAATGTTTTTTTTTTTTTTTAGTTTCTCTCAGTCAAATTTTTAGTTCATATCAAAATTACTTTTAATATTTACTCAAAATCTTTTTTAAGTTTTTACAAAATTTATGTTTTTTTTTTTAAATTTTAAAATTGAATTCTTCTATTTTTCTAGTTTCATTACTTTAGTCCTTTTCTTAAGCTCAAGTTACAAATATTACAACAACAAAAAAATAGTTTTGTAGAAAACACTCAACTATATTCTTATTTTATTATCTGAAAATTGAAAACTTCCAATTTTCAAACTCTAAATTTTGGTGATATTAAACTAGAATTTTATATACTCTTAATGATCCTCTAATTCTCTACTTTTCAAACAGCAATTTAAAATTATTTCGATTTTTTTTTTCTAATTTACGCATTTATTCTATAACTTATCTTCAAAATAGTTCTTTTATTTATTTATTTATTTTTTTAATAACTTATCAAATAAATTTTCAGATATGTACTATTTATTTTAAGGAAAACCTCTAATCTGCAGTTTCATATTATCTAGTTGTTCCAAAAAATTTAATTATTTTATTTCACTTACAAAAATTGTTAATTTTTCAAAAAAAATTTACTTTTATCTTTCAAATTCCAAAACTTTGTAGTTTTTTTTTTAAATTAACTTTAACTTTAATTAATTTTTTTTTTAACTTAAATTTTCTGTTTTATCATTACATAATTCATAACTATTTTCCTACCTTTCAATTTTTTCCGATGGTTGTGAACTTAATTTCAAAACAAATAATAATAATTGAATTTCAAAATTTCCGATAGGAAAATTTGTGTTCAAATAATTCATTCATTTTATTCAATTTTGTTCAACTTTTAAACAAAAAAAAGGTTTTTTTTTAGACTATTTTTTCTAATTTTTCGAAGATGAACTTTCTAAATTTTCTGACCCCTTTATTTCTGTGGGTATGTATTTTTATATGAGTGTCTGGTTATTATTTTCACATCTGGTATTTTTTGCGATGACCTATCTCTTTGACTAGTCTACTCTATATAACTTCTGACAGTTTTATACATAGGCTCTTTTATGATATGCTCATGTGGTTGACCTTTTTGTTTAAAACATTTTCTATTTTCTATGTAATTTGAGTATTTTATTACCCCACGAGTAATATATCTTTCAAAATTTTTTCTTTTGAGTAAACAAAACTTTGACCTCAAAATTGTATTATTTGAGAAAATTAAAATAATGTTCTTACTGTACACTTTTCAAATGAGAATACATACACGTATTAAAACTCTATACATTTTTCATATAAAAACTGATTCATCTTGTGAATTTTCTTTCAAATATGGATTTAAAATATAGATTGATAATAACTTTACATTTCATAGAATCAGACTATATCTACCTCTCCCACATTCAAAAATATGAGAAAAATTAAGAATCAAACTTATTATAGAAACATAACTAATAATTTTTCTTAGAGATTAATAACTAAAAGTTGGATTATTATAAATTATTGACTTACAATATGTAATTAAATATTTAGTTCTGATTGAACTTTCATTATTATTATTATTATTATATGCCTCTTTAGGGCGCCTCTTTAGGGCTCGCTTTGCGATATATTCTTTCTATGCCTCTTTGGGGCGCCTCTTTAGGTCTCGCTTTGCGATATATTCTTTCTATGCCTCTTTGGGGCGCCTCTTTAGGGCTCGCTTTGCGATATATTCTTTCTATGCCTCTTTGGGGCGCCTCTTTAGGGCTCGCTTTGCGATATATTCTTTCTATGCCTCTTTGGGGCGCCTCTTTAGGGCTCGCTTTGCGATATATTCTTTCTATGCCTCTTTGGGGCGCCTCTTTAGGGCTCGCTGTGCGATATATACATATATTTTTTTTTTCAATTCATGCCGAAGCGATTTCTTGTCTTACGACGATTCTTGTCTTTCGACGATTCTTGTCTTTCGACGATGTTCCGGTGCTCTAGAAACACACAAGAACTTTCCCAGGGGCCCAAAAATATCCCAAAAAGCTCCTCAAATGAAGAGCCCACGTTCGTACTCCTGCCACAAGCACTAGCGCGGTGACTTACCTGACTACTGTTTGGGAGAACTGGTAGTCGTCTTTTTCGTAATAACTAGTTGCCCGAGAACTGTTAAGACTCGGTCCGATGCACCAAATGTCGTCTCCGACACAAGCTGATGACTTCACTCGTCACAGCTAGTTACCCTAATCCCAAAGACTTACTTCTGTAGCTCAGCTTCCACAATATCCTTGCGTCGATTTCCGCGCTAGATCCACAGACCGGTGATGAGTCATCTCCTCGATAGACTGACGTCTCTTCCCTCGGACCTTGCATCCCACCAAATGGGCGTGGTCACAGAGAGGCTTACTTATATTACACCCTTTGCTATTGGCTGCGCCACATAAAGTCTTGAATATTTGCGTTTTCTAACTTCATTGTATTATTTCTGTAAATGGATTTTCAAATGGAAAATTTAGAACTATTATTATGTTTGGTTTGTCAAAAACCATCAAATGGTATGCATTTTGGAGCAGTTACTTGTCGAGCATGTGCTGCATTTTTCAGGTAATGTAAATTTTCAGACAACTTCAATAATTCTAATTTTCAGACGAACTATTGTATTCAATACCCAATATGAATGTTTGAAAGGAAATAATAATTGTATTGTTGATAATAGAAAAAAATATGTATGTAAATCATGTAGATTTTCAAAATGTCTAAAAGTTGGAATGACATCTGAAAGTAAGTTTTTTTTTCTAAAATTTCAAGTATAAAATTGAATATTTGTTTTCACAGAAGTTAAACTAAATTATGATCCAATTTTATCAATGAGAGAATTATTTGATGATTATTCAGAAGATTCAACTACGAGTTCAACACCAAGTTATTCAAATTCCGAAAAAGAAGATGATGATTTTGTATTCAATTTTGCACCAAAATCTTCAAACAAAACGATTGCAATTATCGATTTTTCAGATGTAACAAAACAAATCGAATATATATTTGATTCTAATGAAGAAAAATATCATGCTCTAGATTTTCAAAGAAATCAAATAATAATTGAAATTAATCAAATGGAAATATTTGACATGATAAATCTATTGAAAAATGAAATCATTCCAAAATGGACTCGTTGGATTAATTCTCATTCTTTATTAAAATCAATCGATAAACAACAAAAATTACAAATAATTCGAAATTCATGGAATATTTTACATACTTTTGAAAGATTATACAATACATCCAAGTATGACGGATTTTCAAAATCAAATGGAATTTTAGTTTCTGATGGTTTATTATGGATTTGTGGCAGAAGTTATTACAATATATCAAGTATTTCCGAAATGACAAATAAATATTTTTCAAAGTAAGTTCTGATTTGTTTCAAAATCTTCAACTAAAAAGTATTCAATTGTAGATTATTCGATCCGTATCTTCAAAGATTCATTGATGAAATTGGTAAAAAGTTATATGAACTCAAATTAGCTGATGAAGAATTAAAATTTTGTTTAATTCAATTATTAGGATATGACACAACTGATTTAACAGATAAAACTATTGAAATTATTGAAGAATTAAAAGATCAAGTTGCTAATGAGATGCATTATTTTTATTCAAATGATTTTAATTTAACTAATTATTCATGTCGATTGATTAGATTATTGAATATTGTGAAAAATATGAAGGTAACACTCAGAATTCATAATGTCAAACTGAAAATGAAAAAAATTACAATTTCAGAAAATTACAAACGAGAAAAATAAAATCAAAGAGTTATTCTACATTTTCGATATTTTTCATGCCGACATTTCAGATTATTATTTTTTTGATATTTTTTAAATATTTTATTGAACAAAACATTTTTTAATTTGTTTTTATTACGTTTCGAAGTTGCCATGAATGAACCTTTTTTTTGATTTTTTTTTCTAAATTAAAAAATGAAAAACCAACTTGAGAAAATGAAAAAAGTTTGATGTCTGTTTAAAGTTTGAGAACAAGATTTTATCGGAAAAATGTTCGCACTTGCTTCACAGCGATGGAAATAAGGAACTATTTGAAGGTTCAAGTTTTAGAAAAACTTGTTAGAACTTTTTAAAACTTTTTTGTTAGAACTTTTTTTTAAAGTTGTTAGAAATTGTCTCAAAGTACTAACAACCTTTAGAAACAACACATGCCTAATTCAAATTTCAAAAAAAAAAGAAATATTATTTCTCCCGACCTCAACGTTTTCAAAATATTCGAAAACTTCCTTTCAAAAGCATCCTCGATTCAAATGCAAATCAGTTTAAAAAGTTTCGAACTCTACAGAACTCCCTCCGACTAAAACTTCACTACTAAATCGAACCCAAAAAAGAACTAACCTTTGAAATTTCGATCGTTCCTCCATCATCTCTTCGCTCAAAATTGCTTCATGTTTTCCAACAAAAATCATCTCGAATATTTTCATCTGCGACTAATCTGAAAAATATTTTCAATTTAATGAAACTTTTGGTTGTGGATCAATTCATCTGAAGAAAAAATGAATTTCGCGACATTTTTTGTCGCGAAATTGCAATTCGCGAAACGACACGAAATTAATAAAATAAAAGAGGAAATTCTTTTTTCGTGTGTTGGGTCTCGCAGCGATTACGTGTCCCTTTAATGTTTCTCCTTTATTTTTGTGTTTATTTCGTGTCGTTTCACGAATTGCAATTTCGCGACAAAAAATGTCGCGAAATTCATTTTTCGTCAAATGAATTGATCCATTGGTTTTTTATTGATTCAAAACACTTCTACTTCTACGGTTTTCTTGGATTTTTCAGCAATTTTTAATTCATGTTTCACATTGTTGCGCCCGAAAAACAGTGATTTATTAAAATAATCTGTGATTTCTCAAAATACTCACTTTTTGGCTGAAAATCGATGAAATTTCGCATTTCTCCGTCGAAAACATGATCGAAACAGTTGGAAGAAGGATTGCCAACATCAATTTACTGAAAAATATATGAATTTATCGTTGAAAAGTGCTAAACAAGCAAAAACACCGGAAAAAAACAAATAAAATAAACAGCGCGCGAAACCCGACCTACGACACTCCGATTTCTTTTTGCCTGTTTTTTAGTACGACACTCCGTTTGTGCGCTTGCCTGTTTTTTTTATTTTATTTGTGCAAACAATTGTTTTTTCCGGTGTTTTTGCTTTTTTAGCACTTTTCAACGATAAATTCATATATTTTTCAGTAAATTGATGTTGGCAATCCTTCTTCCAACTGTTTCGATCATGTTTTCGACGGAGAAATGCGAAATTTCATCGATTTTCAGCCAAAAAGTGAGTATTTTGAGAAATCACAGATTATTTTAATAAATCACTGTTTTTCGGGCGCAACAATGTGAAACATGAATTAAAAATTGCTGAAAAATCCAAGAAAACCGTAGAAGTAGAAGTGTTTTGAATCAATAAAAAAAACAACCAAAAGTTTCATTATGGGGTGATTCAGTCGAATTAATCGACGTGAATTTGTCAATTAATTGACAAAAAATCCGAGTCTTTTAGGACGATTAATTTCACGTTTTTGTCAATTCCTCGCTTTCATTTCTTGGCAAAAAATGCGATTAATTGCATAAAAAATATAATTTATTTGACCTATATTTCAAAACGTGACCTATATGAGTTGGAATTATCAACAAAAAAATCATCTTCCTTCAATTTACTTTCATTTCGAAATGAATTAAAAAAACAACCAGAGAATTTAGAACACGTTTCGAAAAAGAGGTCAAATAAATTCTATTTCATATTGCAATTCCTCATTTTTGAATGCAATGAATTGCAAAAAAATATGGAAATAATCGACAAAAACGTGAAAAAAATCGCACAAAAATGACTCGGATTTTCTGTCAATTAATCGTCAAAAAAACGAATTGAATCACCCCATTAAATTGAAAATATTTTTCAGATTAGTCGCAGATGAATATATTCGAGATGATTTTTGGTGGAAAACATGAAGCAATACATCAATTTTGAACGATGAGATGATCGAGGAACGATCGAAATTTCAAAGGTTAGTTCTTTTTTTTGGGTAGATTTAGTAGTGAAGTTTTAGTCGGAGGGAGTTCTGTAGAGTTCGAAATTTTATCAACTGATACCTTGAACCAAACCTTGAAAGATTTTAGGCTTAAAATGATTGAAATTCATTTGTTGAGCATTTATAGAGTACTGTCTAAAGAGTCAACTAGTCAATGTTCTGATGTGAGCATTTTTTTTTTTGGTAAAAAAAATACGAAAAGGCACTTTTCATAAATTGTTGACAAAATATTGGAAAAAAAAACACTTTATATAAAAAATAATTTACGTCAAGAAAAATCAGTTATTTTTTCTAGTTACTAGAGTATGTTTTTTCATTGTCGCTCATAAAATAATAATAGGTTGGAACTTCTTTGCGAGATTCTGTAAATAAATTCAAATTATGTTTCTGATCTTGATGTGTTTTATTCTTTTTAGATTTCTAGAAAAGTTTTGTTCATAAAAAATGTAAGACCAACATTAATTCAAGATTATATTTCAATCCAAAAATGTTGAATTTTGACCTAAAAATTCTTGTTTTCATATGTTTTAGTGAAATTCCATCAATGTCTACAAATGCTGTCTATTTTGAAAAATATTTAAATGATAAATTAAACTATGTTTGTTTTTTTCTACTTGGGCTATTCAGCGACTTTCTCAGAAAACGGGAAAAATGCTGAGAAAAGTATTTTCTCAACCGTTTTCCTATTTTCTCAGTCTTCCTGAATAAGTTTTCTCAAAGCCACATAAAGTCATCTTACTTCCTTCCCTAGCATAACAATGTTCTTGTTCATCAATTGAAGGAATCTCAATATCATATAAATACTTGATCCGTTTCAAAATATTTCGCGTCAAATCTCTAGAAATCCATGGTGCAATAGAAGTTTGAATAAATGGACCATATTTCACCATTCTTGGGACTGATTTTGGGAAAAGTTTGTGAAACGAGTTTCGATAATGTCGAATAGCCGCGATTCGATGATTCACAATTGATATTTTTGATTCATCATAAACTGCTGGAGGATGATGGATTGACATCATAGCAATTCTATCAGGTCGAATTATACATTTAGGTTGCAAATAGGTATCAGGTTTTGAAGATGAGTTTGTGAATTTCCGAAAAATCATTTCTTCTTCCAATTGACTGTCATTTATATATTTTTCTGGAGAAAGTTGATCTTTTATTATCCAATCAATTGAAAAATGAAGTGTGGAAACATTTGGAGTTGTTTGGCTGAAATTAGAATTTCTATTTTTGTTCTTGAGAACTTCAACTAACTCAAGAAGATCAACAATTCGTAGTTCGGGATATCTTTTCATTTCAATTCTTTCATCAATGTCTATAAATGCTGTCCATTTTGAAAAATATTTACTACGGAAGTGGCAGTCCTGAAATTATATACTTATTTGAGATGAAACTATTTTATGAATCGAAGCCCACATTTATTTGTACTCTATGCCACATAAAATCAGCTCTCCAATAATGATCGTGAACCTGAATTAGTTCAACTTCCCCAGTTCTAACATAATCATCGAGAAGAATTCTATCATAATTTGAAACATTTCTCACATAAATATGGAAAAATGTTGCACCTTGAAGTTTATGATATTCAATAAAATCAACTATTTGTAAAAATTTTGGCTCATCTCCATAAAGTGGTGCCAAACATACAGTTAAAAAATGTGGAGGTTCTGAAAAACAAAAATCTGGGATGTGATGTTTTTAGACATGAAAAAAGTATATTGGTTTTCTTTTCCTGGAATTGGATTACTGTAGTATTGACTGCACATATTTGATACTCAGTTAAGGGTGAATTGACTGCGTACTTAAGACCTAAAATTCAAACCTACTTTTAAAATCTCTTCTTATTATTTTGATAGGAAATTCGGCTTCATCTTCCAATTTTTCTGTAATAGAAATATATTCAGCGCCTTTCCGACGACCACAAAAAACTGTGGACTGTGGAAAATGTTTTGATACGAAATGTTTTCCTATCAATTCTCTCATTTTGCAATCATAGTAACGACAGAAGACAACATCACTAGAAAAATTATAATTAAAATGTATTTCAGTTTTTCAAAAAAAAAACTTACGAAAAGTTTCTTTCAGACGTTAAAGTAACACCAATATGATCAGAATACGCAAAAGCTGAAAAAGGACTCGGTGTTTTGTTGAACAATATATTTTTCTTCGCAACACTCATATTCATCAATGAATTGTGATAAATTTCATTTGGAATAGTATTAGTTTCAACTTGATTCCAGTCTTGGATCTGACATATGTTTCTGAAAAATATACAAATCAGATTTTCTTCGAGTAATATTTTTTTGGAAACTCACGAGTCATAATAATCCTCTTTGTGAATTTGATCAGAATTTCCATTCAAGAACTGTTTATATGGTTGAACAGCAAGAAAATAATCAACCGAGTTTTGCCCTCCATGATTATCAATAACATTTCCCAAAAAAGATTGTTTTTCATTTGGATTTTTCTTAAAACATTGCCAAGCTATTATAAAAATAAGTGAAGTTAGCAATAATACTGAAAATCGTCGTTTATTTTGAGCCATTTAGAATCTTTATTATTCTTACAATATTTTAGATATTTATAGTATTGGCTTAATCTTGATGTGTTTTGTTCTTTTCATTCCGATTAGATTTCAATAGATAGTATAAACATTCAATTTTTTTTCAAGTTGTGAATCGTCCCCATGAAATACTGTGTGTTGTATATGTTATTTCAGGACGTCTTTTTCTCCAAATTGATGAAATATATTTGCGATATTCGGTCACAACAATCATTAAAATTAGACTGTCCAATGAAGGAAATAACATTTTTTATAAGCTTCTGATATTCTTCTTATTTTGAAAATATCGAGAAATATGTATTAATATTGAATTTAAAAGCAATGTGAAGAAAACACATGAAATGATACAATTTCCGATATATAAGATGTCTAAGAATTCAGAAGTCTCCAAAATTTTTGGAAAAAAGCATAATGTTGAAAATTTTATTACAAAATTAAATTAGTTTCCTGATATTTCCGTCTCGATTTTTTGTAGAACAATTTTGACATCGGTACTAACTAAGATGCTTGAACGTGGTATTTTCATTTTTCAATTACATTCAATTTTAAAAATTCAAGTTTCATAATGAAATGAAATAAATTTTGAGGTCACGCTGATAATTCGCAAGCATATTTTCGAAGCCCAAATGTAGCGAATAGACCGATGATAAAATCGTTACAATTTTTGTTTTTTTCTTGTTTTGATTAGGAAAAACTTCACGTTTTTTTTTGGAAAATGCAATAATTTTTTATATGAAAATCACTACATTTTTTGAAAAAAATTTATTGACAAAAATAGTTCCAGTTTTAAGATGTTCAATACTTTTGTCGATCTCCGAATTGTCTGTGGTGTACACAGCAAACACCATGGTGCAGAATATACAATTGGCAATCGAGGACTTTGAAAAATATTTGAGTTACCACAGAATTCATTTTGAATCATCATCTGCGATGATCTAAATGGACATGTTGGCGACTCATCCAGAGGTTATAGATGCCACGGTAGAAAAGGTTCTCGAATTCGGAGAGAAGAGTATCTCTCGGAGAAATCGGAGAGAAGGAATCAACGCGATTTCGCGGAGATATTTGGCCAGAAAATCGCAGAAACCTCGCGCGTAATTCCCTGAGTTGTTCATTTTTTATTACTGGATTGCTTGTGGTTTGAACAATCACAAGAAACATCGAGTTGCACGCATAAACAAAAGGTTAGAGCAAAGAAATCCAGAATCGCAGAACCATTCGAAGGTTGAGATATAGATCATCTATTCCCGACTCTCAATCTCCCCTTTTTTTTTTCTTTCTTTTTTTCCCCATCTCACTACCACTTGCTTGCATGATTCTTCATTTTCATTTTTTTTTGCCCTTTGCATTTTACTCTTTTTTTTTTAATCCCAATTATCACCTTCTTGTCGAATACTTGCCTAATCTCAAAGTTTTTACTCTTGATGTTTTTCATTTTCACACGTTTGCCTTTCCGCAGCGTAAATAAAAATTAAATTAAATTAAATTAAAATTAAATCTAATATTTGTATCGTCCAAGATGTTTTGAAGACTTTTTGAGAATTAGAATTATGAGAAGTGTATTCAAGAAAACAGAAGTTCCAGTAAAAAAAAGAATTGTTTTATTTTTTTGATATTACATAAAAAGGTATTTAGAAAACTCGTACAGTTAAAATACAAAAATAAGGGATGTAATATTTTATCGACCCTGAAAATCAAATATACTATTATTAAAAATAAATTTCTGTACACAATATTCGTTTCCATAATTAAAAAGATACATGCGATGATGGCCAACTAGCAAATGATTCAGAATTGCGTATTTTCGATCTTCAACAATTTTTTGAATGAAATGTTTAAATTGTACAAAATGTTTGTCATTTTGAGCTAGATGAATCTAAAAATGGTGTAGATTATGAACTTCTAGAAAAACATTTAAAAATTCATGTACCTCAATATTGAATTGGCAAATGGTAATTTGATTTTGATCCAATTGTCCATTTTTATAAAAATATTCTAACAAATCGTACTCTGCGTATTCATTATCCAACCAAAGATTTTCAATGGTGGAAATTTTCAGAATATTTTTGAAAAAATAAATCAAATCAATATGAAACACATTAAAGTTCTGATATGTATTATTTAATAAAACACTAGCTGTTGAATATCCATCTGATGCACCAATTGCTAATGGAAAATACAGACCGATTTTTGAATACAATTCATAATTATCCATGAAAATTGGATCAGCCCCAAAGAATTTTGTCATTCGAGACACATTTCTGTATGCTGATTCGGCTGTGATGTCTTTTCCAATTCCAATTGTCACAAAATTTCCTTTTGCTGATTTATAATCAATGTTTCTCAACGGTAAAATTGAAAATTTATCCTCGTCGCCATTTTGGAATTTCTTAATATTCAGTGATCTTGGAGCACCTATCAGCTGTTCACATTCTTTAAAACTCGCTTCTGCTGAGTTCCAGAACTAAATGATACTTTTTGAAGAGTTTTTCAATCTTTTATACAAAACTTACATCTTTCGGCGCCAATTTGAAATCATAATTCAGAACCGCACAATTGTGCCATTTTTCGAAAATCGGCAACATTTTTGCTCTTGAATTATTCTTGGCAATATTATACATTGGAACATTCAGCACCATAAAAAGGGTAGGAATCAACATTATGACTGAAATGACCATTTTCTTTCCCATTTTTAGCTAGAAAATTGACAAGCTGAGTGAAAACAATGATATTGTGTTTGAAAAAACTTCATTTTATATGGCAGAAATTCGAAAAAAATTTGTCAGCTGTTCGATCTCTTGATCGATAAGATTTAAGCGACACAATCTTCGAGGAAAAAAATGTGTTCTCATTTTTTTTGTGTTGAATAGTTGCCAGAAATCAGCCCTGATTTAAAGAGGTAGTCATTCTCCGAAGGAAGATTAGCTGAATAGGAGTTTACACTCAAACATTTATTTTTGGGTGTCTCAGATCAAGTTTATGCTAGTTTATAGTTAGATGAAAATAGTGAAACACAATTGCGGACTTCCTTTCTCACGTAGAAGGACAACTCCTTTATCAAAATTTTATCATGAAAGTATGAAATTAAAATTTTCAGAAGGTTCAAAAAAGATGTTTTTTGATATCTGGGGATATTTCAATTTTTGAGTTGAAACTGGGTGTGTGCGGAAATTCAGGGTTCTAACCAACCTTCCGAAATCATCATTTCATACGGTGCTCCAAAAATCCCTGATCATAGCTTGTATGAAACAATTGTTATCATGATGTGTTTTCTAGATGCATTTCAAAGATTTACGATTTGCGATGTATATCTGTAGAAAATAATTGTTCCGAACTGAAAATTGTTTTCGCTTTTTGTCTGTCTTATGAGAAGAAAATAAAAAAAATTGAAAATCACAGATGATAATATTGATGACTGTATACAGATCAGATCAAAGAAACACCCAGAGAAACTTGATTTCCTGTTTTTCATAAAACTTATCAGCAGTGTTTCAATAGAACCAGGGTGACAAATTATCAATAGGAATAAAACGTTATTTCTGGGGTATTCAATTCTTTTAAAAACATTTTCATCCTGGTCCAATTAAAAAAAACCTTCAAAATCGGCTCCGATCAACTGAACCTGTACCCGTGTCTAATAAAGTTCGCCCGGCCCTCGCCGGTGAACTCTTACATTCGCCCGGCGAACCTCCACTTTCGCTTGGCGAACCTTATCTGCGCGGGCGAAGGTTCGCTGGGCCTGGCGAACTTCTTTTTTTTGTATGAAAAATGGTTATGTAACCTTTAATCCTCCGATTCGTCTCACATCACCTCTTGTAATATTTTCATCTCGACCAGTGTGCGTTTTTTTTGCTGAAAATCAGGTTACCTTTGTGTTTCTTTTTTTCGAATTTTCTCTGCTCCTTTCATATCAATTTTCGTCCGATTTTTTTTGCTGAAATACCACATTGAATTCATGAATAACGTAAACAAAAAGAGACCGTCAAGCCTGGGATCTAGCATCTCATAATGCTCTAAAACCACACTAGCACATAATACTAACCGCTTTTTCTTGTTCTATTTCCAGAGGCACGGGTTTTTATGACATTGGTTAATTTGATACTGCAAGGTTTTTCTAAAACTTAAAAAACACCTTCAAATAGTTCCTTATTTCCATCGCTGCGAAGCAAGTGCGAACATTTTTCCGATAAAATATTGTTTTCAAACTTCAAACAGGCATCAAATCATTTTTTCATTTTCTCAAGTTGGTTTTTCTGTTTTTCATTTAGAAAAAATCAAAAAAAAGGTTCATTCAAGGCAACTTCGAAACGAAATATAAACAAATTAAAAAATGTTATGTTCAATAAAATAATTAAAAAATATCAAAAAAATAATAATCTGAAATGTCGGCATGAAAAATATCGAAAATGTAGAATAACTCTTTGATTTTATTTTTCTCGTTTGTAATTTTCTGAAATTGTAATTTTTTTCATTTTCAGTTTGACAATATGAATTCTGAGTGTTACCTTCATATTTTTCACAATATTCAATAATCTAATCAATCGACATGAATAATTAGTTAAATTAAAATCATTTGAATAAAAATAATGCATCTCATTAGCAACTTGATCTTTTAATTCTTCAATAATTTCAATAGTTTTATCTGTTAAATCAGTTGTGTCATATCCTAACAATTGAATTAAACAAAATTTTAACTCTTCATCAGCTAATTTGAGTTCATATAACTTTTTACCAATTTCATCATGAAATCTTTGAAGATACGGATCGAATAATCTACAATTGAATACTTTTTAGTTTAAGATTTTGAAATAAATCAGAACTTACTTTGAAAAATATTTATTGGTCATTTCGGAAATACTTGATATATTGTAATAACTTCTGCCACAAATCCATAATAAACCATCAGAAACCAAAATTCCATTTGATTTTGAAAATCCGTCATACTTGGATGTAATGTATAATCTTTCAAAAGTATGTAAAATATTCCATGAATTTCGAATTATTTGTAATTTTTGTTGTTTATTGATTGATTTTAATAAAGAATGAGAATTAATCCAACGAGTCCATTTTGGAATGATTTCATTTTTCATTAGATTTATCATGTCAAATATTTCCATTTGATTAATTTCAATTATTATTGGATTTCTTTGAAAATCTAGAGCATGATTTTTTTCTTCATTAGAATCAAATATATATTCGATTTGTTTTGTTACATCTGAAAAATCGATAATTGCAATCGTTTTGTTTGAAGATTTTGGTGCAAAATTGAATACAAAATCATCATCTTCTTTTTCGGAATTTGAATAACTTGGTGATGAACTCGTAGTTGAATCTTCTGAATAATCATCAAATAATTCTCTCATTGATAAAATTGGATCATAATTTAGTTTAACTTCTGTGAAAACAAATATTCAATTATATACTTGAAATTTTAGAAAAAAACCTTACTTTCAGATGTCATTCCAACTTTTAGACATTTTGAAAATCTACATGATTTACATACATATTTTTTTCTATTATCAACAATACAATTATTATTCCCTTTCAAACATTCATATTGGGTATTGAATACAATAGTTCGTCTGAAAATTAGAATTATTGAAGTTGTCTGAAAATTTACATTACCTGAAAAATGCAGCACATGCTCGACAAGTAACAGCTCCAAAATGCATACCATTTGATGGTTTTTGACAAACCAAACATAATAGTTCTAAATTTTCCATTTGAAAATCCATTTACAGAAACAATACAATGAAATTGGAAAACGCAAATATTCAAGACTTTATACGGTACCAATGAAATAAATAATCTTGATGAATAATCAAAAACCAAAGCATCTCAATTTTTTTTTGAAACATCTCAATTTTTTTCTCCGAAAAAAAAACATAGACAGTAAGATGTGTTTTCTGTTCGTACAAATTTTGTCTCGTTCTAAAATCAGATTTGATCTGAATGTTATGTATGTACAACGAAAATTGGAAAAGATCTTTACGTACTTATTTTTGATTAATTTAGCCACAAAGAAGAGTAAAAAGAACATCAAAAATCACGAAATTCATGTCAAGGCTTTTTTGTGCGCGTTGGGTTCTAACAGACTTTATTTATCTCGAAGATACATCTGAAGTGTTATTTCCATTCTCACACCTTCCGAAATAAAATAAAACGCCCATAATAGAACTACATATTATGCGCCTATCGAAAAAATTTCAAATTTCACTTGAAAAAACAAAAAAATTCAAAATTTCAAAACTGAATCATAAACATGTTTTTGATAGAAATGGTGTTCATATTTCTTTCTATTTGTGTGTCTTTTGAGCCAAAGGGTTTTCAATTTTCTTTTTGAAAATCTGAAAATTTGAACCACGTGTCTGTGCGGAAAAAGATGGGCGGAGCCAATTTGATTACAATTTTACATCGAATCGGTAGTAATATGACCACTGTTGGTCAGGTCGACCAAATTTCGAATCGTTCACTTTTAATTCACAATATATAATACTCATTTTTTCCACATATCAAAACTTTATTGAATTTTTTGGTTCTGGCTTTATTATGCCCAACAGTTCATGCACACGTAATTAGCGTATGTGTAAGTTATCCAGAATCCATCCTTGTCTTTTGGAAAGCTTCTGGACTTCTAGGAATGTTCTTTAAAAAAAAGTCGTGAAAGTAACACACTTTTCAAAAATGATCAAAATTTATTTGTTTTCCGGAAAAATATTCAAATTCATTGCAAAAATTTCCTAACACATTTTTGATCCTCAACATTAATGAAAAACAATCGATAAACTCCTTTTCCAGTTTCCATTGGTTTCAGAAAAATATATCGATTTTCTCCGAGAACTTGATTCATAAAATTGTACACAGCCTCATATCCCTTGTCAAAAAAAACAGGATGAAGCTGAAAAATGTTAATTTTTTTGTGAGATAAATTTTATAGAACCTTGAACCTTACCTCAATATTAAATTGACAAATCGTGATTCCAGCTTGATCCAATTGTTTTCCTTTATTCAAAAAATTCAAAAATGTCAATTCTCCTCCCTCAATATCAATCCATAGAAAATCAATTTGTGTTAAATTTGCAATATCTTTGAGAAAATATGTTAGCTCAACTGTAGTTACATCTTGATATGTGTATTTCCTTGTTTTCTGATTTTGATTTGGTAAAACACGGAATCTATTCATTCCTGCTTGATTTCCAAGAGCAAATGGGAAAAACTTTCCGAAAGTTGAGTAAAGTTGAAGATTTGGCTCGATTATTGGATCAGCCCCGTAGAATTTAGTGTTCGGAAGAGTTCGATGAAGCAGAACTTCAGCTTTCACATCATGTCCGATTCCCAATGTTACCATCATATTTTCCTCTTTCTGAACAACATTGTTTTCATTTCGCATTAAATTCCCAAATGTGGTGCCAAGTTTTTGAAAAACCGAAAAATTTTATGGATTCAGTGAGACTAAAAAACTCGAACTACAAGACTACAGTACTAAAACTGCAAATTGAAATCTAGCTAGAAACAAACTACAAAGTAATGTCCTACATTAAATTACAGTACCCGGTCTACAAACTACATCTCAATTTTAAAAAACTCACACAATTCGGCAAAATTCCCCACTTGGTTTCATGATCATTCTTGAACTCTTCAATAGCAACATTTTGAAGCTCCGAAATATGATCGCATTTTTCGATGGCACTACAGATTTTGTATGAAAAATGAGTGGCATTCAATTTATTCAGTTGATTTTCGAATATTGGATCAACACAATCATGAAATCCTTTCAATAATTTCTCAGGACTTGTTTTCGGTTTCAATTTATCAAATGATAAATTGCAATCTGGAAAATTCTCAAATTCGTGGAACTTTGGCAAAGGCGACAGATCAATATTCTCAAAATTGTATCCAATTCCATCCATCGAACTTAATTCTCCTCGATAAGCCATTTTTTCAACTTTTTTTTCAGTGAATTTTTGAACTGCTGCTGCCTCTTTTTTTGGCTCCACTGACAAATTTTCAATAGAAGCAGAAGGTGTCATTTCAACCACTTTCGTTATTTCTTGAACCACCTGCTCCGGACGTGAAACAAAAATATAGGCAAGACATAAAACCGCTGTGAAAAATATATACAAAAACAGTGACGATTTCATATTTGAAAATCGTTTTATATCTTTAGAAGACAGTAGTGGTGAATATTGAGGCATTTTCTGTTCATAAAGATCTACGAGCTCTTTATATATGTTTATTATAGTGAATTTAATCTAGCATACTTGATCTGGTGTAGAAAGTTATCATGATGTGTTTTCTAGATTCACAAAGATTTGCGATGTATATCTGTAGAAAATAATTGTTTCGAACTGAAAATTGTTTTCGCTTTTTGTCTGTCTTATGAAAAGAAAATAAAAAATTTGAGAATCACAGATGATAATATTCATGACTGCATACAGATCCGATCAAAGAAACATCCAGAGAAACTTGATTTTCTGTTTCCAGAAAATCTGGTATTTTTCCGAATATAAATCTACAAAGTTGCAATCTAGAAATCATTCATAATAAAATGAGAATACTAATTGTGATATTTTTAGTATTTTTTAATGAAATTTTTGCTGAACAACTTGAAATTCGAAAATATTTCAAATGCTTTAATCTCTACCAAAACTTAGATTTTCTTGATATTTGTGGTAAAAACACAAGAATCTACAGAACTAGACAAAGGTCGTTAAATGCTTATACTTCATCAGCAAAAAATGTATGGTTTTTTGACTTGAATCTTGATATTCCTATAAACACTCTTCTAAATTCTGATCAGTTTTCAAAAATTATGAAGAATGCAATTATCGACGAAGTGAACATTTTGGAGTTGGGTGATCTTGACACACTTTTTGTTCACAAAAATGTGTGCATTTTCACTTTGGATTTGGATTTTTGGCCAGAAATCGAGGAATATGTTAGACAATTGATTTTTGATAGAAAATTTGTGGTCGTTTCGAGAAATCGTGAGATTGTTTTGTGGAATTTTAGAAATCGTAAATGCTTGTAAAATAAATGAATAAATTTTGTTTTGTGAATTTTATTAAGGAAAAATAGTTCACACAATAGGGACGATTCACGAATGAAAAAAATGTAAAAAAAAATGTTTTTTTTACATTGAAAGATCAATTCACGAAAGGTAAAAAAATGTCGAAAAAACATCTCGGGAAAAATACGGCACCTTTTTAGCACCGAGGCGAGAGCATTTCCCGCCTTGGCGCCCCAGGATGTCGCTTTCAGAAGTTTGTGCTGATTTTTCCTAAAATAAAAAAGTTGAAATTTCTGGCGATATTTCGAAAAAGTTCATAAAATGAGCTAAAATAGGGTTCACGTGGCTTATTTTCATCAAATATATTTTTAAAAAACCGACAACAATTGGGTTTCGCCAAACATGTCCTCCTACAGGGTCTGATTTTCAATCTCTACATGTTTTGGTACACGAAAGCCGGCGATTTTTTGCCCGGAAAATGCGATGAGTGGAAACAGTTTTTCACGACGACTTTCTCGTCAAATTTGTTGAATATTATTGATCCGATGATTATTTTAATTTTTAATGGGGAATATCGAATTTGGATGTTTTCTTTGGCCAGTGAAAATGTTCAGAGAGTTGGAATTAGTAGTGTTCATATTAAGAGAGACTTTTTGTAAGAACGTAAATAAAACTGGGGTGGTCTGTACAAGAAAAGTGATATTCTCTGATTTGGCCAAACTTTTTTTTGTTTGAAAGGTATGATACTTGCGGGTTTTATGCGCACGGTAGGACCTTATATAAAAAATTGGTTCACGGTGTATAGGTCGATGTTTGAATTTTGGTCTTGTTTTTCAAAAAATCGTAACTAGGCTCAAAGTTAATATTTTTCGACGATCAAAAAATGATTTTTTCTCCATTTTTCATTCCGAAGAAGCTGGAATTAACGAAAATTGGGTGAGGTTTCGTCCTGACTTTTTCCGAAAAAAATTTTCCAAAAAAATTTTTTTTTTAATTTGGGAGTCAAGAGCCCAGAAAATAAGTGTTTTTAAAAGATTCTTCATGCAATTTTACGTATTTTCGAACAATAAAATCGAAAATTCTCAGTACCCCCCGTTTTCAAAAAAATCACTTTGAGATGCCCATACTTTTCTGTATTTTTGGAGAAAAAACACAGTTAACATTTTTCAAACGTTCTTTTTTTGGGTCCACTTTTTCATTTGTTACATTTTCTGATCGATTACCATGACTTAGAACCGTTCTAAATAGATTTAAACTTCAAAAAAGCCGAAAAACCACATAAAATTATACTAAAAATATGCCAAAAAAGATTTTTTTTGAAATAGATGGTACAAATGGCTAGAAATTGCTCAATTCTGAATTTAAATCATTTTTAAAGACGATTTACATGATTTCTACCATTCAAACAATCACAACATCAATTTTAGAGTGTCAACATGAACATTTCAATTTTTTCGTTATTTCACACTTTTTTGTAATCAATTCCGTACGATTTTCTAAACTGTATTTCAAGTATATGAGTGTTTAAAATATTGTGAATAACTATTAAAAAACGTTATTTCAATGTTTCAGACAGTTTGTAGTCGTTTCAGAATTTTTACTAGTCAAAAAAGTATGTTCATTTTTTGAAAAATGCATATTTTAGGTTTTTGAGGCATCCAGGGACATAGAATCTAGATAAATGATCAGAACTGTTTTGAAACAAACATGAACGATTAGAAAAAGTTAAAACTCAACATTTTATCACGAATCAATGCGCTGAAATCAATTATTCAACCTTTCAAGATGAGAAAATAAGTGAACATTTTAAAGTAATTTTTTTGAAAACGGGGGGTACTGAGAATTTCTGATTTTATTGTTCGAAAATACGTAAAATTGCATGGAGAATTTTTTAAAAACACTTATTTTCTGGGCTCTTGACTCCCAAATTAAAAAAAAATTTTTTTTTGAAAACTTTTTTTGGAAAAAGTCAGGACGAAATCTCACCCAATTTTCGTTAATTCCAGCTTCTCCGGAATGAAAAATGGAGAAAAATCATTTTTTGATCGTCGAAAAATATTGACTTTAAGCCTAGTTACGATTTTTTCGAAAATAAGACCAAAATTCAAACATTGACCTATACACCTTGAACCAATTTTTTATATAAGGTCCTACTGTGCGCACAAAACACCCAAACATCATACCTTTCAAATAAAAAAAAATTTGGCTCATTCTAAATTTTCGATCCATTTTGTTGTACAGCTAGATTTACGTTCTTACAAAAAGTCTCTCTTAATTCCTTGTTTTAATTTTGGTTGAAGAACTTTCCATAAAATTTCTCATATAAAACTGTCTACAAAATACAGTTTTCCAAAAAACTACAAAAAATCAGCACTTCATTTTCCCAAGACCGCATAGCATTTCGTGGTCTCTGGCCGTTTTCTCTGCGTCTCTCATCTGACCTTCTCTTATCTATGTGTTTTTTGGCAAACATTTGAAAATATATATAAACACCAAGGTTTTGTCATCATTTTCTATTCAATTATTTCTCTTTGAAGTATCTCATTTCCAATGGTATTCCCTCGATCTGTTTTGGTGACTGGTGCAAATCGAGGAATCGGCCTAGGCCTAGTTCAACAATTTTTAAAACATCCTGAAGTTCAGACAGTTATTGCAACTGCACGAGATGTTTCTAAAGCAGAAGCGTTGAATGCAATCAAAGATCCACGACTTCATGTTCTGCCATTAATTGTGACTTGCGATAAATCAATTGATAATTTGGTAAAAGAAGTTGAGAATATCGTTGGTGAACAAGGTTTGAATTTATTGGTCAATAATGCTGGAATTGCTGTAAATTATAGCACAAAGGGAGTGAGTTTTTGGAAAGAGTAGATTTTTATGAAGCCTTTCTCATCACAAACCCAACATTTCCAGGAAATTTCCCGAGCCAAACTTCACGAACAACTCGATGTCAATTCCATCAGCGTGGTCCTAGTTTCTCAAAAATTCTTACCACTTTTACAAAAAGGCGGCGCAAAGAGCACAGCTCCAGACTTCACTGTCGGAAAATCCGCCATTCTCACAATTTCCAGTGGATTGGGATCGATTGGAGAGAATACAACAGGATCAGGATTTTTCCAAGCATTGGCCTATAGAATGAGCAAGGTTAATTAATTAGAGTGGAATAATTAGCTGAATAATTAATTGATTTCAGAGCGCTGTGAATCAATTCAATCGAACAATTGCTGTAGATTTGGAATCTGATGGAGTTTTGGCTGTTGCATTTTGTCCAGGATGGGTTCAAACTGATATGGGATCTGCTAAAGCTGAGCTGACCGTCGAGCAATCAACTTCAGCTTTAGTGGACAGTTTCAGTAAATTGACCAAAGAACATAATGGTGGATATTTCAGAAGAGATTTGGTGGTTCTTCCATTTTAGATCAAATTTGTATTGTAGAAATAAAGATTTTTGAAAAAAGCCTTTTTTTGGTTGGACGGGAATGTTTCTTTAAAAATCTGAAAACTGGGTTCTCTTGAATTTTTCAAATTAATTTCCATCAAGTTTCTGTTAATTTACCATGAGGCCATTTTCGTGGTCTCTGACCAAATAATTTCTCATTCTGCGTCTCTCTTATCTTGGCAAACATTTATAAACATACAAAATTGTCATCATTTTCATACTTCGAAGATTTCTAGTGTAGAAATGGTATTCCCTCGATCTGTTTTGGTGACTGGTGCAAATCGTGGAATCGGATTAGGATTAGTTCAACAATTTTTAAAACATCCTGAAGTTGAAATAATTATTGCAACTGCACGGGATGTTTCTAAAGCAACGGAATTGAATACAATCAAAGATCCACGACTTCATATTCTGCCATTGACTGTGACTTGCGATAAATCAATTGATAATTTAGTTGAAGAAGTCGTGAAAATAGTTGGTGAACAAGGTTTGAATTTATTGGTCAATAATGCTGGAATTGCTGTCAATTATGGTACTAAAGTGGTCAGTTTAGAAATGGTGTTTTTTGAATTTCAGCGGAATTCAAACAAAAAAAAATTTTTCAGGAAATTTCCCGAGCCAAACTTCACGAACAACTCGATGTTAATTCTATCAGCGTGGTCCTAGTTTCTCAAAAATTCTTACCACTTTTACAAAAAGGCGGTGCCAAAAGCACAGCTCCTGATTTCACTGTCGGAAAATCCGCCATTCTCACAATTTCCAGTGGATTAGGATCAATTGGAGCAAATGCAATAGGATCCAAAACAATTATCGGATTCCAATCATTAGCCTATAGAATGAGCAAGGTAATTAGTTAATTAATTGTGAAATTGCTTAAATTCGTGTGATTCCAGAGCGCTGTGAATCAATTCAATCGAACAATTGCTGTGGATTTGGAATCTGATGGTGTTTTGGCTGTTGCATTTTGTCCCGGATGGGTGCAAACTGATTTGGGATCCGCAAAAGCTGAACTCACCGTGGAACAATCAACTTCAGCTTTGGTTGACAGTTTCAGTAAATTGAACAAAGAACATAATGGTGGATTTTTAAATAGAAAATTGGAAGTCATTCCATTTTAAAATTACAATTTTTCGGGATAAAGTTTTTTATTGCATTTAATTTTTTGTCTGGTGCAAGGTCATAGATTCAAAGTTCACTTGGTTTCGTGGTTTGTTACTTTGGATGGTATTTCAAAATTCGTGGTATCTGACCAAGACGTTTCTCTCATTCTGCGTCTCTCCTATCTGGGCAAACATTTGCGAAACATTTATAAACAAGAAAAATTTGTCATCATTTTCATATTTCCAAGATTTCTATTGTAGAAATGGTATTCCCTCGATCTGTTTTGGTGACCGGTGCAAATCGTGGAATTGGTCTAGGATTAGTTCAACAATTTTTGAAACATTCTGAAGTTCAAATAATTATTGCAACTGCACGGGATGTTTCTAAAGCAACGGAATTGAATGCAATCAAAGATCCACGACTTCATGTTCTGCCATTAATTGTGACTTGCGACAAATCAATTGATATTTTGGTAAAAGAAGTCGAGAAAATCGTTGGTGAACAAGGTTTGAATTTATTGGTTAATAATGCTGGAATTTTGTCAAAATATACCACAAAATCGGTGAGTATTGATAAACTAATGGTGCCTAGACAATATCATGAATATCCAGGAACCATCTCGCGCCATTCTTCAAGAACAGATCAATGTCAATTCTATCAGCGTAGTCCTTGTTTCTCAAAAATTCTTGCCACTTTTACAAAAAGGCGCCGGTAAGAGCACAGCTCCAGATTTCACTGTCGGAAAATCAGCGATTGTCACAATTTCAAGCCGTCTGGGATCGATTGGTTTAAATGTTGAAGGATCCGGATGGTTTGAAGGTTTGGCTTATAGAATGAGCAAGGTAATTAGACCAATTAGGTAATTGGAAAATCAACTAATTTCAGAGCGCTGTGAATCAATTCAATCGAACAATTGCTGTGGATTTGGAGGCTGATGGAATATTGGCTGTTGCTTTCTGTCCCGGATGGGTTCAAACTGATTTGGGAACATCCAACGCTTTGTTAACCGTGGGGCAGTCAGCTTCAGCTTTGGTGAATAGTTTCAGTAAATTGACCAAGGAACATAATGGTGGATATTTTACTAGAGAGCTTGAAGTTATCCCATTCTAGACTTACATTCAATAAAGATTTTTCTGTGAATTTACATTTGAAAAAACATTTTTACTCTAGAAGTTTCAGATCGAAACTCGACTATGAACAAAGTTTTCAGAATGAGAACTTCAGAGCACATCTGAACCAAATCACTCTGAAACTTCTAAAAAACAAAGCAATTAAATGAAAAAAATGTTTTATTTCATTTTTTTAGAGATCATTCAATGTTTATTTTATTGTTGAGTTGGTTGATTTGGTCCAAATCCAGCAGATCGTTTTCCATAATAAGAATATGCTGATGGATATCCATAACCATAATAACTTCCAACATATCCATTGTATGCTCCATAAGCTGATCCATAATAAGATGATGGATAATAACTTGAATAAGCAGCTCCAGCATAATATTGAGCTGATGTTTCTTCAACAATAAATGCGCAGATGATCAAGATTGAAGCGAGGATAACGAATTTCGAGTTCATTTTTAGATACTTCAAAAAAAGTTTTGAATGTGACTAACTGAAATTTTTCAAGGTTTTATAGGTGGTTTTGTTGACAGTCGGCGGCAGGGTGAAATGTTTGCTGAAATAAAAAAATCCTACTATTAAAAAAATTAAAGTTCGAGCAGCAAACTATAAACAAACAAGTTCATGTTCGCAACTCTTTGATTTGACAGGTAATAATAGCGCAATTGAGTGAAAGAGCAAACAATTGAGACCTATAAAAGTTCCAAAATTTTTGCAGTTAGTCACATTCAAAACTTTTTTGAAGTATCTAAAAATGAACTCAAAATTCGTTATCCTCGCCTCAATCTTGATCATCTGCGCATTTATTGTTGAAGAAACATCAGCTCAATATTATGCTGGAGCTGCTTATTCAAGTTATTACCCATCATCGTACTACGGAGCTTATGGAGCATACAATGGATATGCTGGAAGTTATTATGGTTACGGATATCCATCAGCATATTCTTATTATGGAAAACGATCTGCTGGATTTGGACCAAATCAACCAACTCAACAATAATTTCCATTTACCTCTTGCCGAAAACAAAATAAAACATTGTATTTTAATCCTCCTTGCTTTTATCTAGATTGTGTTATTTTCAGACTTTAAAACTACAAATACTTATCTGGTGGATTAGAACTGATAATGTTAATCCGACGAGTTTCTAGAAACTTCCATTTCTTTTTTGGAAATCTCACGAATATCTGGGAAGTAGTAGGGATTAGTGGATTGTGCCTTACAGCGCTGACATAGAAATTATTGTAGACACACCAAACTGAGGTCAAGTAGTGTTTCCTTGACTCAAAGATTTCTGGGAAGCAGCTAAACGTTTGGAACACCAAATTTATGTCAAGCAGTGCCTCCTAGACATTCCTTGCCTTCAAAAACCCACAAAAATAAACAAAATTATTTTATTAACAATATATAAATAGATAAATAATGTCAAGTTTGGAAAGTTCAACAAACTTTAGAGAAAAAAAAAGATCAAGATTATATAAGTTTTGCCCCAAAATATTATTTCTTGGGATGGGAGGTGCTTGAGTAGAGTATTTCGATTTTGATCGACTTAAATGAGTGTATTGTTTTGAACTTCTCAAGAGATAGAAAAAGTAAAACATGGTATTTAAGGGGATCAGAACAGACTGACTTTTATTTAGGTGGTTTTAGAGGAGGATGGTTTTCAAGTGCTACAAATAATCTACCAATTAATAATTAATTAATTACATAAGATGGTCTCAATGATTGTCCAAAACTTCGGCTAACTTCTCTGGATGTTTCTCGAAGTAATGCTGAAGAACCATACGAATTGCTGGATCTCTCAGATTTGGATGCTCTTCTTTGAAATTACGAATATAGTCGTCTTTAGATTTTTCAGGCCAGCGAATCGCAACATCGATTGCAAAACGAGTCAGAAGCTCCAGTTCTTTCTTGGGGTCCTGCAGAATGTTATTGAGTCGCGCAATCTGATTGGGAGGTTCATTGTTCGGCATGCAAATCGCATCAATATCATAGATGTTCAGACTCCGACCTCTTTTGATCTTCCAGAAGACGCTGATCGAAATCTCAGGCTTTGGTGTTGTTTTGTAAGCCTTGCAGAGATTCTCGATCTTTTTGAAGATCTCATCATTCGACTCGCTGAAATTCGAAATAATAATTTCTCTAAATTTTTGAGAAAAAACTCACCGAGACTTTGAAGATGTAGCTAATGCCACCAAAAAGGTGGCGAGTAGCATGAAGCGTTTCTTCATAGAAGAAAAATGAGAAAATGAAACTAGTGAGCCGTGCACTTTTATAGCAGTGATTAACTAGGCTCCGCCCACAGATTTTGCTCTTTTTTTTTTGAAAGCGAGGGGGAAGATCAGGGAACTCAAAGGGGTTTTGGGATTACGGCTAAGCTGAGTCTGGACTAAGCTGGGCTTGTGGCTCATATAGATCTTCTAGGCTTAGGCTTGAGACCTGGCCTAGATTTTCTGGCCTAGTTTTGAGGCTAGACAGGCCTAGCTAACCTCCAATGATTTTTGCTCGGCGGAGCCAGAGCTCTATGAGTTCATATTCAGCAAAATGTCAGAGTTTTCAAAACTCAAAAATCACCTGCTGCAAAAATTGATTTTTCGCCCCAAAATTTTTTTTTTTGCTTTTTTCAAACATAATATTTTTCCTCAGAGCTCTGTGAGATTTTATTTCGAAAAATCCAGATTTTTTTCTTTTCTTCAGCGAATAGTTCAAACTACAAATAAATTGTATGTTTGAACAAAATAAGATAAGATACGGTTGCCTAGGAGACCGCAGCTCAAACGCGGAGCACACAAAAAATCTTGAAAAAAAATTCAAGAGTTCAAAAAAAATTTTGCAATCTAAAAAGATTCGAATTTCCTGGAAAAAAGTCAGAAAAGAAATGAATCAAAAAAAAATATTTATTTTTTACATTTACAAAAAAAAATCACCATCCACCAACTTGTCCGCCTGCAAATTGATTATTGAATCCACTTTGACTGGCACTTTGTTGACTGGAGAACGATTGTGATTGTCCGAATGAGGAGCCTTGGGAGAATCCACCTCCTCCAAAACCACCGCCTCCGCCATAAGGAATTGGACCTGGAAATGTTAAAATTCATAATTTTCATGTGGCTGTGAGAATTTTGAGATCAAACATTGATATTTTTGATGAGGCACCAGAAATGCGTCAGCATAACCTTGCTGGCACATTTTCGGTGCATCTCAGAAATTCAGGGTAACAAATTGATTGTGTTGATCGTTGACGCGAAACTCGTAGCTACTAGAAATGCGTCAGTATAGATGCTTGCGTGTTTCCGGTGCGCGGTGTCAAAAAAATCGGATTTTTTTGTAGATCACCAGATAAAACTTCCCAATGAAAATTAGAATATTCTCAAAATGTCTCACTAAAAATCCAAAATTCCCGAGAGACCCTCGATGATTAACAAAAATAGTCATCAACTAAAAATTTCGGCCAACTCGATTATTTTACTCACAAACATTACTTGTGATGGAAGACTTTATGGAGTTATTGATCGCCCTTTTCTGCGCATATTTTGTATTCTGCTTGCTGATCTGCTTATTTCCCTGTATGCAATATTTTCACATGCGACGGAATGAGGCAAGAATTGGAAGTTTGGACATGGATTTTGGACAAATTCAACCAATTGTTGTGAATAAAAAAGCGCAGAATGCTACTATTTGAGAGAAAATGTAAATTGCTTTTTTTGTTCGGAAAATAAATGTGTTGTTTTATGTATTAAAACTCATTTTCACCCAGAAGCTATGACGTGGCACTTCCTCCGTCACAAACTCCAAAATGTTTCGTCGATTCATCAAATTTTTGTCACTTTTTGGCGAACTTTGACTTACTATTTTTCAATGCACTTTCTCACAAAAATATACAGTGCGTTTCACAATGATAGGTTCACCCCCCAGAATGATGAAATTGACGAAATCGTGAGTTGTAAAAGCAAGTTGAGTTAAAAATCGAAAAGAACGTACAAAATTATGTATGTAAACTCATTTTCATAAAAAAATACCGAAAGCTGAGAAAATTTTTGACCGAAGTTCAAAAATTGCGAAAATTTAGCGTTTCATAATGATAGGTTCACCTAACTCAAACTGGTTCTATTTTTGAAGAAACGGGGAATTTGACTAGAAATCACTTCGAAATCAACAAAAGAGAGCATTTGCGTTCACTTGCAATTTTCACAATCGAATTTCATCGATTCTAAGGTCTGCACTGATGTTTCCAGTAAGAGACATCTGGAAATTAGGCCTTTGTTCATTTTTTTCCACATTTCTCGAAATTTTATCATCAGATTTTTCTGAAAACATCTTTTTTTGTCTATTTGAACCTGATTACACAGAATTTCAACTTTTTTTCGAAGTTTTGACATGATTCTGACATTACTGGATTTCCGATGTTCATCTTGAACTTCAGATCTAGAACATCAGGAACATCAAAATCAAAATTTTATTGATGGAATTCGTTCCCAGCATCGTCAAAATAGTTGATAAAGACATAATTGATGGTTTCGAATGGTCTCCTAACTCATATCGTGAGTTGATTCGGGTGAACACTAAAAGTTGTGTTTTTACAGTGTTAAAAAATGCTGATTCTTGTGATTTGGAAAATAAATAGATACTAAGCAATCCAAACAAGTGTTTCGGAAAAGATTGAACATGACATATGATTTTGACGATGCTGGGAACGAATTCCATCAATAAAATTTTGATTTTGATATTCCTGATGTTCTAGATCTGAAGTTCAAGATGAACATCGGAAATCCAGTAATGTCAGAATCATGTCAAAACTTCGAAAAAAAGTTGAAATTCTGTGTAATCAGGTTCAAATAGACAAAAAAAGATGTTTTCAGAAAAATCTGATGATAAAATTTCGAGAAATGTGGAAAAAAATGAACAAAGGCCTAATTTCCAGATGTCTCTTACTGGAAACATCAGTGCAGACCTTAGAATCGATGAAATTCGATTGTGAAAATTGCAAGTGAACGCAAATGCTCTCTTTTGTTGATTTCGAAGTGATTTCTAGTCAAATTCCCCGTTTCTTCAAAAATAGAACCAGTTTGAGTTAGGTGAACCTATCATTATGAAACGCTAAATTTTCGCAATTTTTGAACTTCGGTCAAAAATTTTCTCAGCTTTCGGTATTTTTTTATGAAAATGAGTTTACATACATAATTTTGTACGTTCTTTTCGATTTTTAACTCAACTTGCTTTTACAACTCACGATTTCGTCAATTTCATCATTCTGGGGGTGAACCTATCATTGTGAAACGCACTGTAGTAAAAAAACCGGATTTTCATCGATAAGACGACAAAAAAACACCCATTTTCAGAGCGATATAAAATCGCATCTGAAATTCAAGTTTTAGTACAGATTTCCAAAAATGAAATTCCTCCTATCATCACTTCTAGTTCTAGCCCTAATTTCGGAGTTGGCCCAAGCTTGACCAGGTTACGGTGCTCCTGGTGGATTTGTCGGTGGCCCGGGATTCGTTGGCGGAGGCCCAGGCTTTGGACCTGGAATTGGTGGAGGCTATGGTGCAGGTGGTGGCGGGTTCCAGAATTCGGGAAGCAATTGGGGACGATCGAGTTCGTTCAAAGAATCCGAATCGCAAAGTTCGAGTGGATTTAACAACAATTTCGGGTCTGGTGGACAATTTGGCGGTGGTGGATGGGGAAGAAAATAATTTGTATTTTTGTGAATAAAGATTTTATTGAATTGAAAATTTTGTGAGATTGCCACGTCATAGCTCAAAAAAGAAAGTGCAACAAAAATGTAGCTATGAATAAGACTTAAAATTTTAGATGATGAACTTTTTAGTCATCAAAAATTAGATGAGAAGTTCGGAGAAACTTTCAAATTCAAGTTGAACTTGAAATTTTGAAAAAATTCAAAAATTAGAAAAAAAATGAAAACTTCATTTTTTTTTTCCAAAAACTGAAACTGAACTGATTTCAAAATTTCAAAAATATTTCTGATATACAGGAAAATCTGAATGGAATTTCAGAAAGTAAAGCCTAGATCTCATGGATAAGTCTAGACTTTGAATCCTAAGGGCTAAGTAGGAGCCAAGCCTGAAAAGCCTGAATCACTGCTATCAGGCCTAGCAAAATGTATTTTTGTTAATTTTTCAGAGGCTATCCTATACCAGGTTCAGTGTAAGCATCTTAGGCCTAACATTATGTCGGGCCTACACTGCTCCACAAAAAGATAACCTCACCCCTCATTTTTCAAAAAAAGCGAAAATTTGAATTTTTTGAAAAAAGTTTGTTTTTGAAAAACATGTCAAATTCGGATACTAATTCATCCCTGAAAACAAATTTCAGATTTGGTAAGCGCTGAAAAAATTGAGAATTTTCAAAAAAGCCGATTTGCCAATCCACATAATGATAACCTCACCCCATGTTTTTTGACGAATTCGGACTTTTTAGTCGGAGTTAGTCACCCAAAATGTGTTAATCTATGGTTGGTGAGTTTTTAATCTTAAAAACCCAGTGCCACGTTTTCAACAAGTTGTGAGCATCAGATTTGGAGCATTGCGATGTAAAGAGCATTTTTCAAACATTTTATACAGATATTGCTATTTTTTCATTTTTTTTTAATGTTTGACGTTAAAGACGATCCAAATGATCTGTTTTAAGCTCATTATGTTAAAAAAATTGGAAAAAAATTGAAAAAAAAAGAAGAAAACGATCGAGATGCGAATTTTGAATTTCGCGCTGATTGAATATTTGGAGCACCCACGACGTAAACTTTGGAAAATTACTGTTTTTTTTGTTTTTCAAATTGTTTTCTAATGATCAATACTTTTCTAACATCTCACATCAAATTTTCATCCAAAATGCCGCGAGGAAAGCCTCTCTCTGATTTTGAAAAAGGGCAAATCACAGCCAAAAAAGATCAACGACTTTCAAATCGACAAATCGCAAGCTCAGACGACCAGGACATTTTCCGGTGCCATAATTTAGCGGATCGTTAACATAATTATTGATAACTCGTGGACTACGGCCTAAATCTCTTGCGATTTGTCGATTTGAAAGTCGTTGATCTTTTTGGCTGTGATTTGCCCTTTTTCAAAATCAGAGAGAGGCTTTCCTCGCGGCATTTTGGATGAAAATTTGATGTGAGATGTTAGAAAAGTATTGATCATTAGAAAACAATTTGAAAAACAAAAAAAACAGTAATTTTCCAAAGTTTACGTCGTGGGTGCTCCAAATATTCAATCAGCGCGAAATTCAAAATTCGCATCTCGATCGTTTTCTTCTTTTTTTTTCAATTTTTTCCAATTTTTTTTAACATAATGAGCTTAAAACAGATCATTTGGATCGTCTTTAACGTCAAACATTGAAAAAAAAATGAAAAAATAGCAATATCTGTATAAAATGTTTGAAAAATGCTCTTTACATCGCAATGCTCCAAATCTGATGCTCACAACTTGTTGAAAACGTGGCACTGGGTTTTTTTAAGATTAAAAACTCACCAACCATAGATTAACACATTTTGGGTGACTAACTCCGACTAAAAAGTCCGAATTCGTCAAAAAACATGGGGTGAGGTTATCATTATGTGGATTGGCAAATCGGCTTTTTTTGAAAATTCTCATTTTTTTTCAGCGCTTACCAAATCTGAAATTTGTTTTCAGGGATGAATTAGTATCCGAATTTGACATGTTTTTCAAAAACAAACTTTTTTCAAAAAATTCAAATTTTCGCTTTTTTTTGAAAAATGAGGGGTGAGGTTATCTTTTTGTGGAGCAGTGTAGTTGTAATCCTAACTCAGAACCCAAGCTTGAATTCATTTCTTCTACTGATCGTAGGTTCAGATTTTCAGCCTAGTCCTGAGCCTAAGCCCAAAAATCAGCTGAACTCCAAACTACATCCAAAAAGTACACCCCCCTCCCAAAGTACACACACTCACCTCCCCCAAATCCACCCGGCGCTCCATAACCCGGTCGCGCTTCGAGGCCACAAATCAACACGATGACCAAGAATCCGGCGAACTTCGAAAACATAATGATGATGTTGTCTGTATGACTTGTGCTAACTCACTTTTATACGAGCGTCGAAAAATTACACAAAAAACTGGTCATTTTTGATTTGAGACAAAAAACACATATAGATTTGATTCTCAATTTTCAAATTCACTGCAATTCGTCAAAAACTGATAAGAATCGGAGTATTTAAAATCAGGTCTGATCAACTTTACATCGCAAAAAAATATAAAATTTTAGAGATGAGATTTCTAATTGTATTACTCCTAATTTCAATTGGTGCAGCTTGGGCTGGTTACGGAGCACCATTCGGTGGCGGATTTGGCGGTGGACCTTATGGTGGATTTGGCGGCGGGCCTGGTTTTGGTGGCGGCGGTTTCCAACAATCGGGAAGCAATTGGGGAAGATCCAGTTCGTTTAAACAATCTGTATCGCAAAGTTCCAGCGGTTTCAATAATAATTTCGGATCTTCTGGACAATTTGGTGGATGGGGTCGGAAATAATTCCAATTTTCTTTCTCTAACTGTATCTAATTTATCTATGAATGATTGATTTATCGTTGTTTTTTTGGAAAAATAGACCAAAGATATTGGAGAACTTGATTTTTTTTTTGAAAAAAAAATATGACGTGGATTTTCAGATGATTTTTGATCTCGAAATTGCTCATAGTAGCTTGTTTTTTATCGTCAGTTGATTTAATCTCCATCACAGGGGTTTTTTCACTACCGAGAATTAATCACGTACAAAACATTATATCTGACGACAAAAAACCTCCGCAAACAGCGCGCTACGTGGCCGACAAAAAAAAACAATAGCGTGTGGCCGGCCTCGCGAGATGTCGGTCGCTGCAAACACACATATAGCCCGACTTTTTTCTTTTTATTTGTGTGTCTTTTGAGCCAAAGGGTTTTCAATTTTCTTTTTGAAAATCTGAAAACCTAAGCTCCGCCCACATGTCTGTGCGGAAAAGATGGGCGGAGCCAAATTGCTCGATTACAATTTTACATTGACTCGGTAGTGAAAAAACCCCTGTGATCCATAGAAAATTCAATATTCCGAAATTTTGAATTTTTTATTTGAAATTTTTGAAACCTATTTTTCGGGGGTTTGCTTTTTTTCGAAAAAATTGTATTATATTTCAGAAGGTATTTCACACTTCAAAGTATTTACACTTTATTAAATAGAATTTGGTCGAAATGCAATAAAAATGTACCCGTTCACAATAAAATAAACATCAAATCGTCGATTAAACCGCAAAACATTTCTCAATAAACTTCGACATTTTCATTCCAACATACGGTGATTTTCCGGCTATCGAGTGTTGTTCATTCGGATAAACCATCAAATCGAAATCGATTCCTTTCGTTTGCAATTCCTCGATCAACACTGCACTATTCTGGAAATGCACATTATCATCCAAAAGGCCGTGCATTAATAGGAGTCGAGTTTTTTTGAAGTTGTCCAGATTTTTCGTGACATCCGTGTAGCATTTCATTGTGCTATTTCCCATATATCTTTCAGTGTATGTTGCATCTGAAAAAATTTTGGATTTTTTTGTGATACTCCAAAAATAACTCACCATAAAACTTGAAATTCGTTACCGGCGCCACCGAAATCGCACACTTGAAAAACTCCTCCTTCGCCTCTTCAACCATCGCCAACGACATAAAACCACCATAACTCCATCCACTAACAGCAACTCGAGTAGAGTCTAGTTGATGATGTTGCTCCAAAACCTTTTCGATGACTGCAATCTGATCTTCAACCTCAAATTTGCCAAGTTCTCCATAAATCGGTGATCGATATTTCCAACCGCGTCCTCCAGTTCCTCTTCCATCAATTCTCAATAATGCAACTTGTTGATTGATCGAAATCATTTCTTCAAATCCAAAATTATTGGTTTCCATTACTTTTTGATCATTCGGCCCCGCGTAGACATAAACCAGAACTGGAAGTTTGACTCGTTCGTGTTTGGCCGATTGTGGAAGCGACAATTTATACAATCCTTCGAAACCATTTTCAAGGTCCACAGATCCGAAGATATTTGTTGGCATTCCGGATTCATTGTAGCGTTTTTCGTATTCTTCATCGCGATATGTTTCGACGTCTGGAAAATATGTGGATGGCAAAAATAATGAAATAATATGTACAACAGAGTACCGCAAGATTTTGTTTTGTTTCGAAACAAGGCGAAACATGAAACTGAACTTTCTTATAAGTGTCACTGATTTTAATGAATTTCGAAACAAAAATAGCACCACTCAAAAAAAATTCACAACACTTCACAAATAAAAAATGATCAGACAATGAAAAAGATCGAATTAGAAAAATATTAAAAACGTGACACGGTGCAGGTGTGACGTGTTTTCGATGCAAAACATTTTCAAAAAATGAAATGCTTCACGTGTTTTTTCATAACACATTTAATTTCTCGAAATGTGTCACACCAAAAAAGAGTGACACAAAAAAATGTTTCACGTTTTGAAAAAATTAATTGTGTGACACATTAAAATGTGTCACACAATTTTTGTATGACACATTCAATTTTTAAAAATGTTTCATTGGTTTTCAACGAAACAAATCTGATCAGCTGTTTTGTTTCGCCACATTTTACCATTTTCTCTATTAGAGAATTTGATAGAAAAAGCGACCTGGAAGGGAATTTGAACACATTTTGAAAGGATTAGTTTGTGAAGATATTATTTCACTTTTGAGAACTTATGAAATGGACCCGAAAAGTCGGACCAAGTCAGATTTTTTGAAAAAAAAACTGACAAGGAAACCTTTCGAAACCGCCAAAAAATTGATAATTTTATCCAGCAAACCTCACCCAATACCTGATATTCCAGGTGGGCAATTTTTTTCTCGGAAAACCTAACCTTGTAAGTGGACAAAAAATCTAAGGGCTTTCAAGGCCAGCCTCAGTCGGGAGAAACATTTTCACTAGGTGGGTAATTTTGAAAAATGAACCCAGGTGGGCAATTTTCCAGCCACTGCTCCAGGTTCTTGGGTGAGGTTTGTTTTTCCAGAAACCTAAAGTTCTCCACAAAATCTTAGCCTCACCGCCAATTTTTTCAAAAATTAGGAAATTTGATTTTATGTGGAAAATAAAAATATTTTTCAAAAAAAAAATCAAGTTTTCATTTCAGCCTCATTTTCATCTGAAATTTGAAGTAGGGTAAATTTATGTATCACCTTTTGACACATTTTGGCTATACCAACTTTTTCAGAAAAAATCAAATTTCCGAATTTTTGAAAATTTTGGCGGTGAGGCTAATTTTGTGGATGACTGTAGGTTTCTGGATAAAATTATCAATTTTTTGGCGGTTCCGAAAGGTTTCCTTGTCAGTTTTTTTTCAAAAAATCTGACTTGGTCCGACTTTTCGGGTCCATTTCATAAGTTCTCAAAAGTGAAATAATATCTTCACAAACTAATCCTTTCAAAATGTGTTCAAATTCCCTTCCAGGTCGCTTTTTCTATCAAATTCTCTAATAGAGAAAATGGTAAAATGTGGCGAAACAAAACAGCTGATCAGATTTGTTTCGTTGAAAACCAATGAAACATTTTTAAAAATTGAATGTGTCATACAAAAATTGTGTGACACATTTTAATGTGTCACACAATTAATTTTTTCAAAACGTGAAACATTTTTTTGTGTCACTCTTTTTTGGTGTGACACATTTCGAGAAATTAAATGTGTTATGAAAAAACACGTGAAGCATTTCATTTTTTGAAAATGTTTTGCATCGAAAACACGTCACACCTGCACCGTGTCACGTTTTTAATATTTTTCTAATTCGATCTTTTTCATTGTCTGATCATTTTTAATCGTGACACTCGTTGAAAAAACAAAAAGTGACTCAGATAGAAAGTAAAAAAAATGAAATTTTGTAAAATGTTCTGCTGAAACCAAGTGAAACTGTTTCACAAAAATGTTTCGTTGCGGTACTCTGATGTACAACATTCGGTTTTTTTTCGAGTAATCACGAAATTTCACGATTTTCAACGAGAACATAAAATATGAAAAAATAGAGAAAGACAAGGCAAAGACAGAAATAAAGAATAGAATTGTAAAATTCAACATCTAATTGCAAAATATGAGCGAAAAACCAAAAATCATGTTTTTTTGGTGTTTGGAGAAAAGTTTTCTAGGTTTTTCTTTTTGCAATCTCTATTCTCCTAAATTTGCTATTCTTTGCTGCAAAGATTGTTAAATTTGGTTAAGTATGAAGGATTTTAGCATTTTTTGTGAAAAAACAAAAAATGTTTTTGAGGTTTGAAAAAATTCACAAACTTTCGTGTTGTCTGGCGTCTCTCTTGCGTATTTCTATCTCTCATTCTCTCTCTTTATCTCTTCGTCTCTTCTAGACACAACACTCTCTCGTTTATTTTTTTCAATTCGGTTTTTTTTCGAGTAATCAGGAAATTTCACGATTTTCATTGAGAACATCATATATGAGAAGATAGAGAAAGATAAGGAAAAGGCAGAAAATTGAAAATGGGATTGAAAAATTTAACATTAGAAGTTTTTTTTTTCGAAAGAACTGCAACTAAAAATTCGGAACGTTGGAAAAAGCTGTTTCAAATATTTTTACCGAAAAAAAGGCCTTAAGGCCATTAAGGGAGCACGGATGTTCGCTACGAGACCATGTTGAGTAAAAAAAATATAGTTTTTAAAGTTGACAGTCAAATGAAAATCAATATCCACATGTCAAAATTACTACTTCAAATTTTCGAATTATTCAAAATTCATATGCACTTTTCCAAAAACTCACAACTTTCCCACTCATCATTTCCCCTCGAAATCGTCACAATTTTAGTCGCTCCCGGTCCTTTACACATCACTTTAGCGCTTCGGAAATCGGCTGACAATTTGGTGGCGGTTCTTGAGCAACTCTCTATTTTACAACTGACGCATTTCGGTGTGGATTTGGTGCCAAGTTGGAGAATGAAGGTGTGAATTTGGCGTGGTGTTGGAGCAGCGGCGGTGAAAGATCTGATAAGTTTGCTTTGGAGTTGATTGAGGACTGTTTTTGTAAAACTCACATCTCTCCTCGTTGCTCATTAAAATCGACAATTTTACTCACATCAAACTCATCCAAATTCTCAAAATCAACCCGTGGATTCGTCGCCGTCAAATCAATACTAGCAATATGTTGATAAGCATTTCCTTTCAAATCATGTGGCAAAATGAAATAAAGTCGATTGTTATGAATGACCATTCCCTCAAAATCATCATGCACCGCCCATCTTTGCTCTTTATATTTGTATTCGAATTTGAGGCGACAAGTTGATGATTGAAAATCGCAAAGGGTTATTGAGATTTTATTTTGGATTCGGTTAGAAAATACGGCGACTAAAACTTGTTCACCATTTTGTTCGAGCCATTTGACAGCATACAAATAGTGATAATCTCTGAAAAAACATCATCTGATCTCAAATCTCAAGCAAACAAAAACTCACAAGCTATCCTTCAGCTGCAAATCCAAATGCTTCACCAATTCCGAACTCTTATCCCAAATCGACAATGTATATTTCGGCAAATTCTTCTCAAAAGTCTTTGGATACGCCAAAAACGTGGTAATTGGATAGTTATTCTCCTTGTTGTACGATTTTAAGCTAACATTTCGTGTCATATGATTATCATAGGAGGCAAAAGCTAGATAATTGCCATTTTTCGACCACCAAAGTGCCACATTTGATCCGAAAATCTCTTCAGTGTATACCCAATCAAAAATCCCTTGAACTAGATGATCGTTTTCCAGATCGACTCGAATCGCACTTGATGATTCGGGAGAAGATAGATAGTAGAGTTTGTCATGTTCAACAAACGCCTGGAAAAATACGTTTCACAAATTTCTGATATTTTTTGGGTGTTATTTGAATGCAGTTATGATTTATCTGACGGTTTTACTAAAATTATCACAAAATTATCAAAAATTTTATCGACTGTATGAGATTTTTGATTGGAATTTATTACTGCAAATTTCTTGCTTAATTTTAGCGCCAAAACCTCCCCCAAAATCCTCACCAAATCATTTTGCCCCTTCTTTGTATTCATTTGAATCGCCTGAATCGAACTATCCTCTTTCTGAACACCAATCGGATAGCTGAACGTTGTCTCAACGTTTTGAATCTTCACACGATACGTCACATTTTCCGGATTCAATCCGGGATTCTCCGATTTTTCGCGTATCAAAATCCATTTGTCATCGCTGGAAGGAATGAGATCGGCAAGATTTTCGCGAGCAAAAATCAGTCGATGTGTATGATTTTCGAGGACCTCAATTCCCTCGTAGGTTTGGGTTGTGATCTCGCCTTTGGAGTTGATTTCGATCTCGTTGAATGGGAAGCGGAGGAGACCGAAATCCGATGGTGATAGTTTTTTGGGTGAGAGGGCTTTGCTGCCAGTCACTGAAAACGCGAACTTTTTGTCTATTTTTTTTAGATTTAGATCTTGAAAATCAATTTTGAATTCAGAAACCCACATCGATTTTTCGCGCTAAAATGTTTTGAAATTCAAAAAAACTCACACGGCGTAAATAGCACAAGTGCCACAAAAATCAGCAGACAAATCATGACAATAACAAACAGTGCGGTGCCGATTCCTTTCCAATCTCGCTCCTGAGCTCCGCCCACGCCGAGTTCCTGCAAATCTAGATTTTAGCGGGAGGCAAAAAGGAACAATTGATTTTATTCTAATTTTTCATCAATTGTGAAAATCAGGACGAACGGGAAGAAAAATATTCAAATTATGAGAATCTTTTCATTTTTCCTTTGATTTTATACCCTTTTCTCTTCAAAAGGAAGAAAAAATGTTATTTTATTCAAACCAACTTTTTTCTCGACTGAAACTGGCAAAATCATTGTTACTTTGTTGAAATTCAGAAATGATTGAAAAAATATTTTTTGATGACTTTTTTTTTGTTGCAAAAAAATGAAAAGAAAAAATGGGTCACGTTTTCGAATTTTCTGAATTTTTCAGAAAACTTTTTTTATTCAAATTGTTCAAAAATTTTCAAGTCGTAAATTTTGAAATTTTTCAAGTTCTCTGTATAAAAATTAATTTTAGGTGAACTTTCAAATGTTGAAATGAGTGCGAAAATTTTGCTTCGAAAAAAATGTGGTATAAAATTCAAATCCAAATTTTCGAACATGAAATTTCAAGGTTCACTAATTTTCCCTGGCAAAAAAACTTCCCGGAACTTTTTTCTTCAAAAATATCTTTCTCCCAAAAATTATTTGCTTTTCTGATTAATATGAACACTAATTTTACATTCTTCATCGCCCGAAATTCATTATTTTTTTCCGAAAAAAAAAACAAAACAAAACAGCAGAGAAAAAACAACAACAACAACAATACAACACAAAAAAGACCAGTTCCAGTTCATCAGAAAATTTTTTCTCAAAAAAAAAAATGAAAAATTGTTTTCCAAAAACAACAATTTTGATGAAGCTTTTATAGTGTTCAGGAATTTCTTTCGGGGCTGAGAAGAAATATTGCGATTTGATAAGAATTTTTCAGCGAAACAGAGAAAAAAATGTTCCAGATCATGTGGGAGTATTTTTTCACGTGGATTTTTCAAAAGAAATTTGAATTTACAGTGGGATTCTGAATTTTCAGATATCATTTTGCCACGTGGATTTTTTTTAGAAACCTTTCACAAACCTCATCGTATCCATCGAGAAGATCCTCGGCCGTCATAGATTTTTGATTATTGTTGTTATTATTATTTTCTCCACCACTGCTTTTGCGAGATTTGCTGCTATTCTGAAAATGAAAAAAAATGAAATGGCCGATTCATATGAATAAAAAATTGTTGTGTGAAAAATTGTTGGGTTAGTCTGTGCGGATTTTTTTTGGATGCGGCGCGGAAAAGTGGGCGTGGCTTCGGGGTTTCGAATTGCAGCTCTTGAGCTGAGCAATAGAACAAAAAATCAAATTTAGACCACGCCCACAAAACCATGCGGTACTATTAGAAAATTACAAGAGTTTCTTGCGGCGCAGAAAAATGGGCGTGGCTTAAAAATATCAAAACACACCCGTTTTTGTTTGATCCTGGAGCAAAAATGTAGCGAAACAACTCAAAAAGTGTTATGAATAATAAAAATGGTGCAAAAAATGTGAGTTAGCCTATATATATATCTATATTATTTTATACCTTTCTCATTTTCATCTATTTATATATTATATCTGACAAAAAATCTGGAATAGTTTAATAATGAAATCTGGGCATTTTTTTGGAGAACAAAATGTCAATGAAATAAAAATAATAATAAAACAACAAAATACACATTGATGTGTAAAGAGCCGGAAAAACGAGACCGAAACTTTCTTTTTTTTGCTTGAAAGAGAAAGAGATTTAGAGAAAAACATATCTTTTATCAGAGGGTCCCAGCAACGAAAAAAAAATAAAATATGGCGTTTTCTCACAAATTATTCACAGAAATAGCTACTTCTCAAGTAGGACCCCTAAAAGCTTCTTCACTAGATCCAATTACAGACATATACTTTTTATTTATGTTTTTTTAGCGAGTATTGAGAAAAATTAGAAAACATTTGACACGTGGATTTTTATTCACAATCAGAAACCTTCTCCAAAAAAAAATAAAAATTTTTTGTTGCCAGAAATAACTAGACTATTCAAAGCAAAGTTCCGAAAAAAACTTTTAAATCAAATTTTGGCGCGGCGAAAAAAGTTCACTTGGAACTAATTTTTGAGCTCTTTGCTCTGCTCACAAAAAAAACGTGGATTTTCTAGTTGGAAAAATAACCCAAAACCTCAAAAAAACTTTTTGTTTTTTCCAGCTCATTGAATAATTACAGCCAGATGAGAACCGCAGGCTTTCATTTTTTGACGACAAAAAGGAACGGAAAATTGGTTTTTTTTTTGAAAACCTATTTTTTAAGGTTGAAAATAGGATTTTGAAAAATGGGGAAAGTTTGAAGGGTTTTTTGGCCAAAAAAATCTTAAATTCCAAATTTTCGCGAGAAACAAAATAACTCTTTTAAAAATCCATCAAAACAATTTCCAGGATCACAGAAAAAAACGGCTCTTTATATCAATTTCTCCGAAATCTCACGTCACAAAAAAATTGATTGACATTTTTGTTCCAAAAAAATAGAGAGATAAAAGATCATCTCAAAATTTTCCAAAAAAATTCCATCTCTACCAGAAAAAACCCATAAAACTTGTTTTTCCTCATTTTTAAGGCTTGAGCTAAGCGTTTAGGAATAAATTAAAATCCTCAATTTTCTTCAGAATAAAAAAAAAAGTCTTCTGGGGGAAAAAGAGAGAAGCAGCAAAAAAGTTTGCTCCAATTAAGTAAAACGCTCCTCGAACTAATTGCTCATGTTAGTTTTTTTTTCGAAAAAAAAAACGAAAAACTGACCTGCTCAAAGAATTGAGTTACACACATTTTTACAGATCGCGAAAAAATTTTGTTTGAAAATTTTTTGGCGCCAAAAAATGCACATACTTGAGCTAATTCTACTTGATCGTTGGTGTTTGGAATTTTTTTTTGAAAAAAAAATTCTGAGAAAAAATGTGGTTTTTTGGAGTCCGGAAAAAGTACATTTTGAGAAACTAAAAAGTTGGCGATAAAATCCACGTGTCAAAATTTTAAAAAAATTTTCAGAACGAAAATGAGAAAGAAAATTTCCGGAAATTTAATTAATTTTTTTCTATATCTGATTAAACTTTGACAAAACCTAGTTATGACGTGGCACTCCCAAACAAAAAAAAAATCCAAAATTTCTCATTTCGACTTACCCTAACTCCACTAACCACAAACATCACAAGGAACTAGAATTCGAAAAGAATTGAATGAAAAAACACACAAAATTGTCTAGGAATTTTATTTTAAATTAATTTTTTTCATAAATTTATAAATAAATGAGCTCGCGCAGAGCAAAAAAAATGGGATGAGGTATGGGAAAATGTTAGAGACGCAGAGAGGTTAGAGATAGAAAATAAATTGGTCACGATGATCTGAAATTAATTTTTTCCACATGGCAAGACAGTTGAATTCTGAAGCCTGTAAGCCAGATAAAAATGCACAGGGAAAAATTTTCCAGCACAAAATATTCCAATCAATCCAAAACCCCTCCAAAATCCCGCTTCCTTCCAGTCCTTTCAACAAAAAAACAATTTCGCAATTCAGACAAGATCAATTGGAAATTCTCTCTCTCTCCCGCCAACAAAAATCCCGCTTTTCAAATTGTCGAAAATCCCAGCTAAATGAACACATATACCAAACATTATCTAATAAATCCATCTTATTGTTTTTCCTCATCTTCAGCATTTCTCCTCACTTTCTATTAATTTTCCCCTTCTTTCTCTTGCCTCAAATCATTTTTGTATTTGTTTGGAAAACACTAGAGGAGAGAAAAAACAGTTATGCGAATATTATTCCTATTTTTATTGCTATGTGGTTTGGTGGAATGTTTGGTGAAACCAATTTGGAAGACACCAGTTTCAGAGCCGAATCCAACTCAAAACATCGAGGTGACTCCGGATAAAGAGCATGCAAATTTGACAAAGGTTAGTGGGCTTATAGGGAGAATTGAAACTTATCCCAACTCCCCCTCTTTATTTTCCAGCGCGCTCAGCCAAACTACTACACTCGACCAGAGCAAGTTCCTGTGCCAGACTACCGCGGGGCTCGTCAACGTCTCCCCGGCCCTCAACCTATCCCAGGTTCCGGATTTTTCCGACCTTTTGCTTGGGTCGGTCCACAACCTCGTCCTGGCAGTCCACAAACCACTTATTATAATCAAGTGCCCAATAAATCGCCCTCGTTCCCTCTTCCACCACTTCCCCCTAATTGGCAACAATATCCAGTGCAAATGATTTGGATTCCAGACGCACCTGGAATTCAGTCGCCACCAAATGTCGGCTCACCCCAGCGGCCTCCCGTTTACGGGCAATACGGACCGCCTCCTGCAACCCGGTCGCCTTCTCGACCCTCTGTGAATCCTTCCAGCTACACAGGAACACCAGTGCATTCACCTTCCGCTCAGCCAACCGAAGAAGGTTATGGTGACACCAAGATTCCGGATTCTTATCGTGGTGTAGATTTGATGACTGTGAAACCATATGGTGGTGTGGAGCCTTTGAAATACACTGGCTACCCTACACAAGGTCCACATAATCCATACGGATCTCCAAATGTTGCGACATACGGGCCATCAAGTTATGCAACTCAACAACCACAAAACCCATATGGCTCTCCTAATGTTGCCACCTACGGACCATCGAGCATAGCAACACAAAGACCACAAAATCACTATGGTTCACCAAATGTAGCAACCCATGGACCATCAAGTTTGTCAACACAGGGACCAGAAAACACGTATGGAACTTCACCAAACGCCTATGAATCACCAACTTATCCACCATCAAACCAGCCAAATCCCTATGAATCTCCATCAGTTGCCACCTACCCTCCTCAATCACCCGAGCCTCGTCCAGCTCCCGGACCTTTTCCAACACCATCGGAAACCATCTCTCCTCCTCCTGCTTCTCAACCAAAGAATCCAACAATCCGTCCAGGTCCTCAAGAATACGCCACTCCGAAATCCACTCTTCCATACGATGCCGATGAAACATCGGAAATTCCCGATGACTTGACAACTTCGAAGAATTCACCAATTTTCGAGATGTCGACGAATCCGTTCGATGGAAGTTCGTCAAAAACAGTGCCACCAGTGTATTTGGGACCAGACGAAGAGACTGATGATATCAGCGATACCACAAAGAAGTGAGTAATGGGCTTTCATCATTCCCCAAATCATCTATTATTTTTCCAGCTCTTCACCTCCTCCTACCACTTCTTCATCGTCTTCTGAAGACGAAGACATGCTCAAAGCATTCTACCCTCGTCCAGCAAATGAGCAAGGTTATCAACCACCAGGCCACCAACCGGACACTCATATCAATGTGAATTTCAAGAAGCCCAAAGGGTGTACAGGCGAAATTTGTCATGGTGTAGATACAGATAAGGTAACCTTTTTTTAAATCAATTTTGACGACCTTTATAAAATTTTTTTCAGATCTCGTTATATAAACCTGATCGTAATGATGAGGGATCCGGCCCAACTTTGGTGATCAGCAATGCGGCAAAAGATGATGCTAGCCGAGCTGGCTACCGACCCGCGCAACCACCCGTCGTGAATCCATATATCCCGCCAAATCCTCAACCAATTAACCCGGACGATTACAATACACCATACACCAATCCACCTTATCATCCATTCCCGGAACTGCGAGAATATACTCCAAGCAAAAATGTTCCCGAGTATACTACCCAACAAACCACCGTGTTTCCATCAAGCAAGATCTTTGAGGAGGAATCGACAACAGCGGAACCATTCAGCCCCACCGCCCAAACAGTTCCCTACACCACAACTCCCGCGCCACCTCCAGAAAACCCGCCACCAAAACCACCAGCGAAATACGATGAGGGAGAAGATCATCCAGAATACGTTCCACCCGCGATTGCTCATATGACACCGTCCACTCCAGCTGGCAAAAATCCACCAACATTTATCCCGCTTCATCCGGAAACATCTACTAATAATCCGACGGAGAGAAATAGCGTAGAGACGCAGACACCAGCCACGGTAACTCGAAAGATTCCCGAGTTCCCGGTGAAACCATCTCCTGGCACTGCGCCACCTCAGATTTTGACTACACCAATTGTTTCGACTGATGTGGTGACGGAAGCTTACACAGCATCAACTGAAATTGTGACCGAAGCTCCTACAACATCTGAAGCCTATACTACCCCAGAAGTCACTGAAGCCCCAACAACATCAGCTCCAGAATTCACTGAAGTTTCTATTGATCGTGAGACGACGGCTTCAGATGTTCTATCCACCACAACAACAGTACCATCAACAGATTCCGGATATGTGACTTCTACAATTTCTTTGTCTACAACAACTTCAAGACCAATTCCAACATCAAGATCTGAATGGGTGTATAGTACAGATCAACAACCATCATCATCACCATCACCGCCAAGAATCAATAATCCATATGCGCCACCAGAAGGTGCGCCAAGGGTGCCAAATCGAGTTATTGGTGAGTTACCAATTTTTATTCCACGAAAAAAAACCTCTCAAAACTTCAGGCAAACCTCGAATTCTCTGCAAGGAAGATGGAATCAGTTTCGAAGTCAAAACAATTCTACCATTCACCGGTGAAATCTTTGCGAATGATCGAAAAAGAATCGAAGAGTGTCAACAATCTTACACAGATGAGCCGAGTCCCAAAATCTTCTTGCCTTTTGATAAATGCGGTGTGAAAAATATTGGAGATCAAATCAATAGTCGCGCACAATATCACATGCAAGTTGTGCTAATTGTAGATCAAGGAAATGGAACAAACACTCTACAATCTTTCATGGCTCAATGTGTTCATCAGAAGGTCAATTATAACAAGCAGATTCTTCCAAAACGAATCGAGGAAGCCTTGGAAGAACTCAAATTAATACCTGCCAAACTAGAACAAAAGGCAAGTATGCCAAGTGTACAAATGCAAATTGTAGTCGACGAAGGACATCATAAACTAGGGCAGGAAGTGATGGCCGCCGATATTGGAATGCCTTTAGCTCTCAAATGGAGCCTAGTTCCAGAATCTGATGCATATGGAATGCATGTGAGAAATTGTAAGGTCGTGGATGCTGTGGGAAAAATTGATCATACTTTGATCGATGAGCAAGGTTGCTCTGCTGATCTTCAAATCATCGATCATCCACATTACGACACTTATCATGATACGGCTTCTGCGCATATGTGGGCATTCAAAGTTCCGGATATGGCATCTCTTCAGATCAAATGTGATATCTTGATTTGTTCAAATATCAAGTCAAGTGTTAGTAATACAACCAGTTGCGAGGATATTCCATCGGTAGGGTTTTTTTTTGGCTAGGTTTACTTTTTTGAGAAAAAAATCTACCTACGAAAATCAGAATAGATAAGATCTTACCGGAAGTTAGATAAAATCTAATTTTTTTTTGGGGAAAGCGAATGAACGGGATGATTTTTGAGTTAAAATTGGAAGAGGGTATTTTGGCTAACTTGCATTTTTTACTTATTCTGAATCCCTGGACCTCCCAAAAAACAAAAAACCCACCAAAAATAGATCCAATAACATTTTCATCTTCATGTTGCCAAATAAAATTGATAAACTGGGTTTCAACATTTATGGGAGGCCAAAAATTCGTAAAATGCTGACGATTCAAAATATTATCTTTCAATATTGTTGAAAATCAGAAATGGGGAAGAAATTAAATGTTTTTTTTGAAACTGAGAAAAAAAGTAGAAAGTTCACGTTCACGTTTTTATAGAAAAAAAAATCAAAATTTTTAAATTCCTGATTTTCAGCCCCCATTTTGCGCTGACGTCGTAACCTCCCCACCAAATTCAATTCTATCCGACGCAAGTTCCTATGTCAAACCTCGAAGATCCTACTCCGCCCAAACTTCAACACAAAGTGTAAGAACCAGTATTTGTCTATCGCAAAATTGTAAACCCGCGCAAAATGTGGATGATTTGCGAGTTTGTATAAATACCCAACTGGCCACAATTTCCACCGGATTCTCGCTGGCATTTTTGATGTTTGCGATATCTTTTCAAGTTATTGCAAGATCAAAATTCTCCTAATAACTTATTTTGTGCAATTTTTCTGTCATAATTAACTAATTAATAAATTATATCATCTTTTCTTATGTAACAAGATAATGTTGAGAGAAAACCTGATTTGCGCGATGAACAAGTTTTGGGTTTTTTTTGCTATAAACTTTTTTGGGATGAGATAATAGAAATATCTAGTCTTCCTGTTTTTTTTTCAAAAAAAAAACACAGATCAAAAAAAGTTTTGGCAAGTTTTTCGAGTTCGGAAGGAAAGTCTGGTATCAATGTGACGTTTTTTGAAGGAAAACTTGGATTTTCAGATTTTCTTAGCCCATCCTTCAGAAATTTCATTAAAAATCATATAAGAACTCACTTTGTCCGATCCGGTGAAACCTTCATCACATCAAATTGCATTTTTTCTGAAATTGATCGACCGAATCACACCATTTCCTTCTTTGTCCAATTATTGGTGCATCTTTTACCGCTTCAACACTGAAATATACAAATTTCAGCATAAACCATTGTAATTCTCCCTTATAAAAAGCGAAATCAATGAAAATTTGGCGTCACATCACAAAAATAGAAAGTGTATGGAATTTATTTTTACAACGACACTCCGCTTACCCGCTGTTTAGCGCAACACGAGAATATTTCATTTTTCGTTTTTTTCGCTGGGTTTTCAGGTTTCCGGGGAAAACCAGTGGATTTCAGTCAAAAATTGAGTTTTTAGATGTTTTACATGGCTAAAATCATCGCTTCCAACGGAAAATCCGAGGATTATCGAAGAAAGGTGGGTTTTTCTAGAGAAATACTGTTTCAATTGAAATTTACATGAAAAATTCAAATTTTCGGATTTTCAGCTCGAAATATTGATGGACAAATGAATTTCAATGTCAATAATGTGGAAAACTTGGAGGATTGAGGATTTATCAAGGATTTTGATTGGGATTCTCGAATTTTCGATGATTTTTGTGTGATTTGTGAGTTTTTTTGGGGAGGGATTTCGAAAAATATGAAAAATTATGAGAAAAATTTTTAAAAATTGAAAAAAGTTAGGCTAACTTATCAAAATCTAAACCCAAAAATACGTGCAAAACGAAAAAAAAAGAAAACTCAGCATCCCCTGGCGTATACTCTCAGCATCCCCTGGCGTATACTTTTTGCACGATAGCGTACGCTTTCCCTACACTCTTTCTACGCTTTTCGTACACTTTCCACTTTTCGCGAGTGTAGCTACATTGTAGGACCGCGTTGCAATCGCGTTGCGTTGCGGCTATTATTTTATTTTTGTTTTCTATTTTCTTTTTGGCCTAAAATTCTTTTCAAAACGTCTAAAGTAGATGAAATGATAGTTGAATTTCATCCAAATGGATTCTAGAAGTTGAGTATGATAATTGAAGCGATTAGAAATCTTTTTTGTCAAAAGAAGTATCGTTTTTTCAAGAAAAATCTTGGAATAATTTTGAAAAATACGGAATTTTCTTCAATGAGACTTTGAGAATCAGAGTTAATCGATAGTTATCAGTCTTCTTATTCTCGTTATTATTGTTTTTACACCTGAATGAGTTTGAAACTTGTTGAATTACAGATCACCACCCGAAAAACTCCTGGAACTTGCATCATCGTGGCAGCAAAAAGGAAAGAGAAGCTTCTCCGGAGGTCTCCTCAAGCTCGAGGAAATGATTTTGAAGGTGAGTATATATAAATTAAATACTTGGAAGACTAGGATTTCGGAACCCTACTGGCCAATCGCCTGTCAAACATAACTGAAAGTTGGCTGATAAATTCTTGGATCTTGCTACATCTAATAGCTCGAGCTACATCTTATAACTATGATAAGTAGCAGGTCTGCAAATAGAACTGACGACCAACTTTCAATAAACTAGTAACTATTAGGCATTTAGCTCAGGGAAGATAGCCTATACAACCTCGCTTTTTTCTGCATGATTATTATGAGTCTTGAGCATCTAGAAAATATCTAGAAAACTGAACATCATCCCATTTTTCAGGTTGACACCTGACACCTACGCCGAATGCTAACACCGGGACAACTCACAGGATATCCAATCAGCGTCAAAATCAACGCCAAGATGCTCTACTATCCGACTTCTACTCCTCAACCTCGACTTCAACCACTCAACACACCCTCAACAACCAACACATTCAAAAAATCTTCGAAAAAATTAAATTTCTAACTTTTTTTTATTATGTTTTCATGATTTTTGTTATATTATTGATTTTGTGTTTTAAAAGTATATTGATACATAAATAATTTGTTATATTTTCATGTTTAAACCTTCCCTAATTCGCAGCGCAAAAACGAAAAAAATCGATTCGAAAATATGTGTACGCTTTTCGTTCAAAAAAGGAAAAGTGTAGGATCTTTGTAGACGTTTTTGCAGCTTGTGCGTACGGTCTTTGTAGCGTGCGTCATACAACAATGTAGCTACACTTTTCGTTCGCAATAGTGTACGCCAGGACTCAGCATCTCCTGGCGTACACTATTGCGAACGAAAAGTGTAGCTACATTGTTGTATGACGCACGCTACAAAGACCGTACGCACAAGCTGCAAAAACGTCTACAAAGATCCTACACTTTTCCTTTTTTGAACGAAAAGCGTACACATATTTTCGAATCGATTTTTTTCGTTTTTGCGCTGCGAATTAGGGAAGGTTTAAACATGAAAATATAACAAATTATTTATGTATCAATATACTTTTAAAACACAAAATCAATAATATAACAAAAATCATGAAAACATAATAAAAAAAAGTTAGAAATTTAATTTTTTCGAAGATTTTTTGAATGTGTTGGTTGTTGAGGGTGTGTTGAGTGGTTGAAGTCGAGGTTGAGGAGTAGAAGTCGGATAGTAGAGCATCTTGGCGTTGATTTTGACGCTGATTGGATATCCTGTGAGTTGTCCCGGTGTTAGCATTCGGCGTAGGTGTCAGGTGTCAACCTGAAGAATGGGATGATGTTCAGTTTTCTAGATATTTTCTAGATGCTCAAGACTCATAATAATCATGCAGAAAAAAGCGAGGTTGTATAGGCTATCTTCCCTGAGCTAAATGCCTAATAGTTACTAGTTTATTGAAAGTTGGTCGTCAGTTCTATTTGCAGACCTGCTACTTATCATAGTTATAAGATGTAGCTCGAGCTATTAGATGTAGCAAGATCCAAGAATTTATCAGCCAACTTTCAGTTATGTTTGACAGGCGATTGGCCAGTAGGGTTCCGAAATCCTAGTCTTCCAAGTATTTAATTTATATATACTCACCTTCAAAATCATTTCCTCGAGCTTGAGGAGACCTCCGGAGAAGCTTCTCTTTCCTTTTTGCTGCCACGATGATGCAAGTTCCAGGAGTTTTTCGGGTGGTGATCTGAAATTCAACAAGTTTCAAACTCATTCAGGTGTAAAAACAATAATAACGAGAACAAGAAGACTGATAACTATCGATTAACTCTGATTCTCAAAGTCTCATTGAAGAAATTTCCGTATTTTTCAAAATTATTCCAAGATTTTTCTTGAAAAAACGATACTTCTTTTGACAAAAAAGATTTCTAATCGCTTCAATTATCATACTCAACTTCTAGAATCCATTTGGATGAAATTCAACTATCATTTCATCTACTTTAGACGTTTTGAAAAGAATTTTAGGCCAAAAAGAAAATAGAAAACAAAAATAAAATAATAGCCGCAACGCAACGCGATTGCAACGCGGTCCTACAATGTAGCTACACTCGCGAAAAGTGGAAAGTGTACGAAAAGCGTAGAAAGAGTGTAGGGAAAGCGTACGCTATCGTGCAAAAAGTATACGCCAGGGGATGCTGAGGAGATGCTGAGAAATTTGAAATGATTGTGTGCATTTGTGCGTCGCCGTGTTTGCACTTTTTGTTCTTGTTTGAGTTTTTTGTCAAGTTTCAGAAAATTCTTGAATTTTGCTGTTTAAGGCAAACAGTTGACACCTGTAAACTACAGAAAAAAGACACCACTATTAATTAAAATCATTTATATACAAAACACAGTTAAAGCATAAAAAATGATACGCAAAATAATTGTCATAATATTTTTTCTCTTTTTCTTGAATTACATTGAAAAGTGAATTGTTTACACCAATGGATACGAGGCCTTGGTGGCGACTCCACAATGATTGTTCTTGTTACGAGCGATACGAATGTATCCTTCTTCTCCCCATCCATTTCCCCACGAATTCTTGACCAACCAATAATCTCCGTGTTCTGGATCAGTTCCATAACCAACCAACAAAACACCGTGGTCAAGTTCTTCTGATGAGCATTCTTCATCATAATAGACTCCCTTCTTGTAAAGTTGGAAGCTTCTGTGTCCAGCATCAATAGCGATCGAGATTGGTCCTTGAGTGGCAACAGCGATCTTGAGTTTGTCCTCATCTCCTTCTGGCAAATCAGTGAATCCCTTGTCATCAGCTCCAACGCTCTTCTTATTGAAGTGACATTTCATGTCTCTTCCTTTGTATGGATAACTATCTTCGGTATCAACACCATGGTTATCCTTGATATATTCGAAAGCATTATCCATAAGTCCACCGTTACATCCATTGTTTCCATATTTGGTTGAGCAATCGACCAAGTTTTGTTCAGAAAGGCTGACAAGTTTTCCGAGTTTGCGAGCGTGTTGTCCTTCGAGAGCTCCGGTGGCTGAGAATGCCCAGCACGATCCGCACATTCCTTGGTTCTTAACATCGGTGACTAATCCGTCCTTACGCCAATCGACCTCGTCTGGGACTTGGACATTGAATGGAGTCAAGAAGGTGGTGGCGTTAGATTGACGGCGATCGCTGAAGAGACGACGGTAACCATTGAGCTTGCGGTATTGGGCGAATGGCTGGAAATGAAGAATTGAGAATTGGTACAGGTTAGGAAGAGTCAGATAATCTGGGGCTTATTCTAGCTCACCAAATCCTGAACATTTTTTTTCAAAAATTGGATATGGGTCACATGATTTTGTCAGTTGTTTTGCCAGACACCTGACGGTCATTATTATTATTTTTTTCTTCGGAACAAAGATAAACAGAGGAAGAGATCAAATGACTATGAGTAATGATTCAGGTTGACTCAAGGAGCTTTAACTTTGACTATGAATTGGAAATCCTACAGTAAGCCTTAGAGGATTCTCAACAAGTAATATCTGGATCTGAAACCTAGGCTTCCATCCTCCGAGGCCTCAAAATCCCACCCAAAAATCCTACTCACCAAGTCTGACAAGTCATTCAATCCCATTTCGAAAGTCTTTCTACCCAAACGATGTTCACGATTATGGTTATCGATGTGGATAACATTTTTCACAAAAGCTTCCATATAAGTTTGTTCCTCAGATTCGGAATATTCCTTGTCTAAAAAATTTCTAATTATTTTATATCTAAGTTCTAAGATAGGCTAACTCACCAAATTCATCTTTGAAATCATCCCATTTCTCAATGGCCGATTCAATTTGTCTGGAAAGTGATCCAGCCGAAGCCAAGGCCACTAAAAGAGCCAAAAGTGCATAGGTTCTAGTCATTCTGCAAAAATTTCAGAATGAATGCGAAAAGATAACGGGGGACCCTGTTTTATGTGAAAAAGTGGGCGGAGCTTTTGAAGGGGGAGGGGCTGTTGGTCAGTTGACATTTGATAAGAAGAATAATAATGATATTTTGGAGAGATAGATAGATAGATGAATGAATTTTTTGGAGAGGGATGATTTGAGAAAAAGCTGATGTAATGGGTGGGGAATAAAGTGCCGGGGTACTTTTGTGAGAATTGTCAGCTGAGGTGATGATTTTTTTTCTTGCCGGTTATCTAGAAGTGGGATAAAAAAATTATGAGGTCGTAAAATAGTTTTTGGTTGACAGGCAGGTGATTTTTCTGAAAGAGATAAGGAGCGTCGAGAGTTAACCTGGGAAATTATAAATGTCTTTCTGGAATATTCTAGAAGCTTCTAGAAATTACTTCCAGAACATTCTAGACTAGAATGTTCTAGAAGTTTCTAGAAAATTATCTGAAGAACGATTCGAGAAAGTTCTAGAATTTTGATTTTTTGTCATTTGATAAATATTTTAGAGATGTTAAAATTTCACAATATTTCTGAACTTGTTTTGAAAAGTCATCTGATTTGTTGGATTTCAACAAAAAACCCAATTTCTCAAATTTGAAATATTCTTGATCTCCACAGCTAAAAATCAGAAAAATTTAAACTCTCTGATAAATCCAGAACCCTTTTCTAAAACACTAAGTTCTCAATTTACGTTTGAAGTTCCTAATAATATTGAGAATCTTCAGCAAAATTTTCAAATGCTCCTCCAATTTTCAGATTCCTTTCTAACACTTTGATCTACAAGTGCTTTCATTTCCTCACAAAATCAAACACCAAAAAACAAAACATCCAAAATTTTCCTCTTTCCATCAGAAAACATACACTTTTATCATTCCACTAAACCTATTTTTGTATAATCATGCTTATTTTTACCCTTCTCTCAACAAAACTCAAAAAATATTCGATTTCCACAGAGTTGTGTAGTTATCTTGATTGACCTGGGACATCTTATCAATAAATATTTTATCAAAATATTCGGTGTGTACTGTTTACTTTCAAGTGCTATTATAAACTTTTTTATTTATTATTCTATATATTTTAATATCATAAAACAATAGAGAGAATGGTCTAGAAACATCTAGAAAGGATCAAAGTACATACAAAAAAGAGATAAGAAAAGTTTAATAAAAATTTATTAAATTTCCGCAGAAAATCTCATTTTTATCATTGTTTGTCAAAATCAAAAATCAAACAAGTCTGCTGTTTCGAGTTACTGTAACTAGACTTCCTTGTCGTTTTTTTTTCGATAAAATTTGGGGAGATAAATGTGCCAAGCTGGAAATTGAGCCTTGAAATGAGATGAGTACAAAGAGCATTATTCCGTTGCCTGAAAAAGTTATCTGAATTTTTTCTGGGGAACCTGGATTTTTTAGGTTTCAAAAATTAAATTATGGGATTTTTCAAAAGGCATTTTGCTGACAATGTGTAAAAAATGAAAAAAAAGGAAGGCTGGCCTAAAACCCTAAATATTATTCAAGTGGCCATTGAAAAGTCCAGCCATTATAAAATTCATATATATTTTTTCAACTCACCCATCATTGAAAACTTAATGGTAACCAAAACACAAATCAAAAGCGTAGGCAAAATACCAAAAAGAAAATAGGTGGCAAACTGATAGACCAAAGTTAGTGTAAATACTCGATGAGTTTTCAAAGTTTGAGCCGAGATCATTTTCTTGATATCCCTCAAAATCGAAAAACACACAACAACACAACAACTTCCTGAAATCCCCGCGGAAAATCCGAAAACATTTCTAATAATCATCGGAACAAACATCTCAACTCTCGTTATATCCACAAAAAACATATTAGAACATGGAAATTTTCGATGGTCCGCAAGTTTTGGTAGATGCTGACAATAAGAAAAACCAATTAATGAAAAAGCAAAGAGACTTAGGCTAAATGAATATTTCGTAGAGGTATAGGATAATTTGCAAATTCCGATTAACAATTTGTGATTTGCATTAAATCGTAGCTTTAGAACTTGCTCAAATTTTGTATAAGTTATAGAAACCATAATGAAAAATATGAATAGCATTGAGTAATTGAAAAAAGTTGCGATGATACAAACATCAAAATTTTTGAGTCCAGTCACAAGATATCCAGAAAATGGGAAGACTATAACCGGTGCTGTGATTTCAGTCAAAACAAAGAGGAAAATAATATTAATCACAATTTGTCTAGAAAAATGAATTCTCAACGAGTTCATTTTCCAGTTCAAAAACAATCCATAAATCGAAATTGCATAAATCGGAAGATTCAAAACTGGTGAGAATCTATAGATCAAATATAAAACAGCTGGATTTTCGATTGTACAAACATTCATTTTTTTGTTCCTAATCTAAGATCAGAAATGAATAGTGAAAAATTACGACAAAATAGTAATTGCTGATGTGCATGATGAGCGGTTTGTGAAGATTTTTTGTTTTCTGCCGAAAAATCGATAGATGCGGGGAATTATGTGGATCAAATTGCTGACGGTTCCTTGGAGGGAGATTAGGATGAGCAATGGGAGACCGTTGGCTGAAGAAATGAAGTTTTTAAAGTTGGAAGCTGAAGTTTTGCCACGTCAAATTCAAACAGTATTTTTTTGCCAGTTTGCAAAATTTTATTTCCTGTTTTTTAAATAAAAAATCATTTTTCTGATTTTTTTAAATTATATTTTTATTCTAAAGAGTATCTAGTCTGCTGTTTCAAAATAATTACTGGGTTGATTCAGAAATCTTTGATTTTTTCAAATTTTGCTAGATTAAAAAAAAGTGCAATCAATCTCCCGAATTCCACAGCGAAAATTTTTGAACAAAAATTCTCACCATGCAATTCCACTTCCACCACAAAAAGCACTGAAACAACTCCAATTGGCACAATAATAAATGCGACATAAACCGCAGCTTGATACAAAATCACAATCGAAAAACTCTTTTGCATAGCCAGTGTCTGAATCGACACAATATTCCTTGATTCATACATTATCAGCAGACATAAAATCATACTGAAAATGGCGGTAACTGAACACGAAGCCGCAAAAAATATCGACGCAACAAATGATAATAAAATCTGCCATCTCTTATAATCCGCCACAAACATTTGAGGACAACAAACTATTAGTGTCCCATATTTTTCATAAGCATAATTATGAATATCTCTAAGCTCTGACTCGAGGCTAAGCGCTGGCAGGATTCCCAAAACAGCAATAATGAATGAGAGATAGCATAACTTGAATAGAATTTTGGTGATTTTTATAGGTTTATCGTATTTTTTTGAGATTCGGAAGAGCGAGAGTGATAGAAGTTGATGATTGATTAGCCGCATTATAGCTAGAGCTAAGATTGCTAGGCTCTGAGTTATGAGAACTATTGGAAGAGCAGCATTAAGGTTGAGAATTGCGAATAAGCCTGTTGAAAAATACCCAGCAATTGGTGGAATTAATATTGGGCAGACTAGAATTGTTAAAATAAAAATGAAGATGTAGTTTCTGCAACAAAAAAAAAGATCTGGATCATATTTTTCAACAAAAAAGTTGCTATTTTAATTTCAGGTGTCAGGTTAACCTATGATTAGTTTTTAAAAATATGTACGAAATAAGTGAAAATGAATCATTGTGACTTGTGAGAGATGTTTGATTTTTTGGAGGAATTTTCGTCGCGAAATGATTTTTGAGAAAAATGGGAAATATATTTCAATTTGGAAATGTTTTTTTCTAAAATGCCACGTGGCAACGTTCCTAAAAATTTTTTAAAGTTTCATTCCAGAAATTCTGATAAAAATAAGTTCAGAAACTCGTCGTACACTGAAATTCCACGTGGAAAAAAACGACAAAGAAAATGTTAGTTCAGAGATAATTTTCTGAATTTTTGATAATCTCAAATTTTCTGGCAACCCTAGAAATGTTTTCCAGAAATCCTAGAAAACTTTCCATAAATCCCTAGAAAAGCACAAAAACCACTTACAGTATAATCAACCGGATATATTGCGCCTTGACCAAAATAATTCCCTGCGAAAAATTTAGGCATAACAAAACCAGAGCCAGCAAATACACTGGTAAGCTAAACACCGAAGAGAATCGAAAAAATAAATATAATTTCGAATCCGCCAGAAATGTTGTATCACAATTCATAGTGTCGGCTAAAAAATATCTGAAAAAATAAAGCCTTGAGCTAGCAAACTTTATAATTTATAATTATACGTATGATCAAATATCATTCTCGAATTAGCCGATTTTATTTTCATGAAAAAACGAAATATTGTTTTTCTCATCAATTTCGAATTATTCACACTTTCAGCTTTGATTTTTAATTTTCGAAATTTAGAAAATCAGGTAGGTAGGTGGGCTAAAATTATTTTTATACAAATTAGCAAACATTTATTTTTAGTTTCGAGAAAAAACAAAAGTTCAGTTAAAACGTAGATGTTGCCTGAATCACCGCAAAAACTTGAACTGCTGGTTGCGAATTTGAAACATCAAGATTTTCCGAAACATCGGTGACTCTTCCAATTCTATAAGTTTTTGGCATACAGGAATTGAAATGTTGGATTAGGAAAGATCGGACAAATCGATGGGCAAATATGAAAATCAGGATTGAGATTGTTCCATGGTGGGTGATCAGGAATAGGAGAACATAAGAGACTAAATTATATAATTTTTTGACATCACTAAAACCAGAAACTCACCGAAATTTGAGCTCACTGCATATAAAATAATGCTCATCAACATAACAAAAACCACATAAACCCCAACATGAGCAATCTTCAAAACTAGAAATCCCTTCTGAATTCGCCACACTTTTTTCGAGATTCGAAGTTTGCAAGTGCTAAACATCTCAAATGTCGTCTTGATTTTCAAAATCGCGTATAAAATGAAGAGGAAAAACAGGAGAATTGTAGATGTTGAGATTAGAATAACTCTCCAAGATTGTGCATCCATTATAAAGAATATTGGACATTCCACACCGAATTTCTGATTATTTTTGATATTTTTGAGCGGCTCTTGCTCTCCATGAAATTGTGTTAGTGTTAAAGTCGACCAAGTTGAGAGCATAATAAAAATGTAAACAAGATACTGGACTTTTTGAATTATCGCGAACTTTGTTTGATATTTCTCGCGCAGTGATTCAGCGTACTTCTGGATTATCATACAACGTTCATTGATGAGAAGCAGAAGGGTTAACATTATCACTGGAACAACATTATTGATTTTTTTGAAATATATTCTGGTTGGAAAATTGAAGCTTTGTGGGAAAGTACAAATGTTTTTCTCACACTAAAATTATAGAGAGTTCGAGTACAAAATCTGTGAAATTGCTCTCAAAATAATTTGGTTTGATTCAAGATCACAATTCTAACCAGTTTACCAAAAGATTAATTTTCAAGGGTTTTTTTTTTTGAAAAGGTTCTTGGTCAAAAATTAATTACGGTTCAAATTTTGATATTTTTTCAAATTCCAAATACGTCACCTTGTCCTTTTTCTTTTCTAAATTTGAAATTTGTTATTCAAAACAAAAAGTGTTGGATAATTATGATAACTACAAAAATCAGTCAGGCAATAAAAAAATATATATATATAACTTTTCTAATAACAAATTTTAGTCTGAACAATCTTTGATACCTATTTTTTTCTCCAAAACTCACTCAAATTCGCAAAAATGCTCAAAACCACCGGCCAAGCCATATTCACAAAATTCAAGATCTGCAAAAATCCCATCGTCTGATACCCGAAAATTGGCATTCTTAGAATTGGTGACATTCCTGAGCCGAGTAATAATGTGGCGCAGAGTTGTGCCAGAAGGTACCACGAATATTGACGTCGACATGCTTTTAGATGCCCGCTAGATTGGTAGAAGAGCAGAAAATAGGCGAAGATGTGAAGGAGCAATGTCAAAATTGGAGAATATCGGAGAATCCCGAAAATTCCAGAATTCTCCTTCTCAATCTCGCAAGCGGTAGCCATTGCACAGAAAAAAAATTAAAGTAAAGTGAAAAATATTTATTTATGTATAATAGATATGAGTTAGCGGAAATTGATGAATGTAACTCAATTTCCTGTCAAAAAATTTTTTCCCACGGAATACACTTGGTCGAGATCTTTTGGGATTCAAAAAGTTGTGGTTCGTGCTGTCGAATGACTCGATTGAATTTTGCCGGGATTTTTGACGAAATTGTAGGGGATTTTGAAGATGCGCTTGACTGAAACTGAAAATTTAATGCATATTAGGAAAGGGATTCGGGTTTGACTTACAACTGTTATATGCGTTGGAGGTATAGGGGAAGACTATTGTTAGCAATAGAATTGTGATGACTCCCTGGTGAGCCATCAGAATGATCGCTGCGTAGATGTGATCTGAATTTGTTAAATTTTAATTAGTTAGGTGAATTTTAATTAGCTAAGTTCATGTTGAACTTACGATTCCGAAGAACTCCAAAAAGTTGTAAAATCAGGCAAATCGTTGGAGGGGAAAATAGAAACAGTGAATGAGAAATCACTTGAACAGTGAAACTTATCATAAGTCCTTTCCTGGTTTGTAAAGTTTTCGCGGAACTTGTTTTTTTGTTGGTCGATAATACAATTATACTAACTATTGACATGAAAACTATAATAATGAAGAGTAATATGATTCCGATGCCTGCTAGAAGATTGGGAATTATTGTTTGCCACATTGAAACGTCGATGATTGCAAAGTCATCGCAGAAGATTATTGAATTATTGTGCTTCTGAAATTATTTTGTTTGAGTTTTTTGGATGAGAATTAAAAAAAACCCAAACTCACCGCAAAAGCATTGGCCTTAATCTCGACCACATAAGGCGTCGACAAAAAAACCAGCAAAATACTAGAGCCACAAGTTAATGTGATAATTATCGCGATAACCATTGCTACACTACTACCAGTGATAAGTCTAGAATTTTTATTCAAAGTGATCGAGCTGACAACAGTTTTGAGTCTAGCGTAGAATGTATGAACAATTGTGAGGAATACGGTGAAAATGATCCATACCCACGCAATCCAGGCATAGATTGCGTTGATGTTCCAGGTTCTCATTATCCCACCAATTTGGAAACCGAAAAGTGGAAGATATCCAATAGGTCGATAGTAAATTGCAATATAAAAATGTAATACGAAATTCCAGAACTGATGATTTAGAATAGCTAGATGATTTTCATTGACTTTGAGAATCATAAGATCTAATGCGACTAGGAAAAAGAATAGATAAATCCAAATCGAAATCCATGGTGAGATGTCCATTATCCAATGATAGGAAATTGAATAGTCGATCTCACAAGCCATTTGGTATACCAATCAAGAATAAATGTAGGAAAAAATAACTTGTTATTGTTATGAGCTTGTTTGGTGTACTGACTTGATGTGATTGACCTTTTTATTTGGTTGGTAAGAATTGGAATTTTCTAGATTCTGGGAAATGAAAGTTTTTTGTTGAGATTCCAAAAATTTAAAAATGAAACTTTTGCACGCAAAGTTTTGTCTAGCTAAAGCTCACGTCATATTTTTCCGAAGTTTTAAAATTTTTTTGAAAAATAATCAAAGTTCACGATCCTGTCCTGATATTTGAGAAAAATTGGTGTTCACATGTTTTTTTGAACCTTCCTGTTACTTTGAGCGCTGCTGATTCATCACACCTAGACAAAAAAAACCTCGTGTGAGTAAACATTGAGCCCAGCAGCAGCTTGCTCATTTCATTCCTCATTTTCTTCCAAATTCTATCTCAAAAATGGCTCTGGAAAATGCGAAGGAAATTGTTGAGACTGACAACGATCGAATTGTTATGGTGATTTTGTTGATCTTCTTTCCGGTGAGAAATTCTCAAAGATATAATAAGTTCATTAATTTTCAATTAATTCCAGCCTCTTGCTGTTATCATGAAATGTAGAAGTTGCAATTGCTGGGTGGTTCTTTGCTTGGTACTTTACACATTTTTCATTTTGCCTGCTTATGTGATGGGTGTTTGGTTTTGTTTTGTTCGCGGAAGAAAACACGAGAATCGATATATCTACACTCAAACGTCCGTTTAGTTAGTCATTGTGTAAATAAAACAAAAGCTGAAGAATTTTATTTTGTCTCGAAATAAAAGTTTATTATTCAAAATTCATCAAGTGTTGTTTTCTCACAAGGAATGGTTTTCAATGTTCCCCCAAGGAAAAAATCGAGAGTATATGGAATGTTGAGGGTTCCCGTGGGTAAGAAAAACCCTAACGGGAATAAGGAGAAAAATGCCTTATTCTCGAGAAAAAATGTATTTTAGGTCGATTTTTACACCATTTTTTGATTTTTAGAGCATCTGTAACTCGATTTTGAATCTATTTCATGAATTTTTGAGTCGTGGAAGTTGTTCAGAATGGTCGATTACGTGTTTGTGAAACTTTTTATCAAAAAATTAGACATTTTTTGAAATTTGGTTTTTTTAGTCGGGGTTTTTCTGATCAAATGGTCACCAAAAAACACAAAAAATAATTTTTTCCATTTTCAAATGAACGGAACTTGAAAAATTTATGACGGTCAACAGACGTAATTTGGTCCGTAGAATCCAAAAATCATAATCTCGATTCACACAAACTTCTCCTTCACAACGAAAACGTTGATTTTCTATGAATTTTTCAAACTGAATTTTTGATTTAGTGGACTTTTGGGACCAAAATTATTTTATTCCTAATTTTAGTCGGAGTAATACTAAAGTACGCCGTTTGCGCTACAAATGGATTTTTAGACTGACATTTTTCATTAATTTTGAAAAAAGATTCGATTTTTCTAAAAAATTTCATCGCAAAAATCAATAACACCAAAATTTTCTAAAACAAGGCATTTTTCTCCTTATTCCCATTAGGGTTTTTCTTACCCATGGGAACCCTCAACATTCCACATACTCTCGATTTTTTCCTTGGGGGAACATTGAAAACCTTTCCTTGTCAGACCATAGGTGATATGCAAAACTACATTTTCAAATAACCAAAGTTTATACTTCACAAATTTGGCCGACCATTTTCAACAATTGGATCTATTTGAATTGAAGATCTTTCAAAAATCGGAAATAAAACCCCAATAATCAAATATCGTAGATTTTCCCTTGATGCTATGTAAGACATGGAAATAACAAAAGGAAGCAGGTGATTGAAAATATCAAACACAGTTTTGATAATTTTAAAAGTTTTGTTAGTGATCTCAACTTTATTGAGAAAAAGAATAATAATGAATGTTTGTAAAAATGATAGAATAATTTGATGAATCGCCAAAGGCATATATTGATAGATAAAAAATATAGAATCTTTGCGATCAGTCAGAGTTGCGATGAGTTTATATATATGCAAATATATAAGCATAGAAGTTGTTGTAATTATACATTGGAAAATAATTTGCAAAATAACTGGAAGGTTGTTCTCCACATCACAGAAATAAGCCATTATGTTAAAAAAAGAACATCTGTCTGCAAAACAATATGCGGTGTCCGGACCAAATCAAAAAAAAAAATAACATGCGATTTTTATCAATAGGGCGCACTTCCATTTCTACTTTTATTTTCTTGTTTTTGTTTGTCGAAAAAAAAACGTTTCGTTCGCGTATTTTTTGTTGTTTTTCATGAATTTGAAAGAAATTTGTTGTTGAATTCATATTTACCTCTTCTCCTAATACAACTAACATAATTTCAGTTGATTTTCGATTAATCGATTCTTGATTTTTCTCACTTTTGATGTAATTTATATGTATTTTGCTATTTTTTACATTACAGGAAAATTGTGGACATATCGATACAATTGTTGGAGCGAATTTTGGTTGAAATATTTCGAATTTCGAGGAAAATGAGAGGAAACGTGAGTTTTTCTGGGGTTCTGAGGTTTATGTAAATTATCGCACGACTTAAAGTTTTATTATGAATTTTCTTACATTTTAATTGAAATTTGATCTTAATTATCAAATTTCGTCGTAAAACTGTAGTGTGATTAAAAATTACATGCATGAAAATAAAATGGTTACTTACTGTTCAAATCAAAAACAACAAACAGGGCGACGATAAATAAAATGAGATAAACTTTCAAATATTTTCCGGAAATAAGAAATACAAATTTTCGGTTATAGATAAATATTATACGCTGTATTGCAACAAAAAATGATAGAACTTTGAAAATGATATTTATCATGTCAAGAAAATATCTATAATTGAGACAAGTCAAGTATACGTATAAAATCATGATTATGTCATCATTTCCAAGAATTACGAGTACATCAAGAACTGTACTTATTGTATTATTTATTATCAAAATTGTACAGATATAATAAATATAATTGAAATCGACTATCGATTTTCTACCCTCTTCAACTTCTGTTCGATATTTATATACAGCAAAAACTGTGAAAAAAGTTAAAGATATGATATCAATTGGGACTATCAGTGGAAGATATAAATCAAGTCCAATACGCTCAACAGCTTCCATTAAAAATAAGTGTGGAGTAAGTATGATGAGCAGGTGAATAAAAAAGTTTTTCTACAATAGGCTCCACATAAATTTGAGGAATCGGTAATATTTTGAGAGATGTTATCTCCCAGGCATGACAGTCTTCTTTTTGAAAATTTCTTGTGTCAGAATTGGTCAAGTGGTTAGATCTTTTGGACGTTCGGTATGATTTTCGGAAAGAATCGGCAAAAATGTCCAAAAAGAGTTATACTCTTTTTGATCACGAGTTTGACACGCATACAAAGTCAGGTGAAAAAGTAAACGTTTATATAGAAACCATCAAAAATCACAAAAAAATTACAAATTTTGTTGAACATAAACTCCAACTTGAGTCGAAGATCTTTCAAAAAATGGAAATACAACTCCAACAATCAAGTATCGTAAATTTTCGCGGGACGCGATATATGACATAGAAATAACAAATGGAAGTGAATGATTGAAAATATCAAATACAATTGTGATGAAAATTTCACATTCATTAGAAATGTCGAATTGACAAATGGATAAAAGCATAATGATCAATTGGAATGTTGAAAATATCATTTGATGAAATGCGAGGGGCATAAATTGATAAATATAAAAAATCTCATCTTTTCGATCAGTCAGAGTTTTGATAAGTTTATAAATATGTAAGTAGATCAGAAAAGAGGCTATAGATATTATAAACTGTAGAACTATTTGAATAGCAAATGGAAGAATTGTTTCAATTTTACAACGTTGAGGTATCATACTTTTATATGTGCAGGTATCTACAAATATCACTACAATCTCCATATTTCTCAATTTTTACTCACGATCTCCATTGAAAAGATATACTATCAGAACCCCATAAAAAATTAGTAAATAAACTTTCAAAAATTTTCCTGTGATGAGAAAAATATATTTTTGATGATAAATGAAAATGATACGCTGCACAGCGACTAAAAATACTAAAAATTTGAAGATTAAATTAATCGAGTCAATCAAATAAACAAAACTAAAATAAAATAAAATAAGTTTTAATCCAAATAGAAATGTAAATACATTAAACTCTGTAACATTGAGTAGAATATCAAAAATTGTATTTGTTGTATTATTGATTATCAAAACTGTGCAGAAAAAGTAGATGTTTTTGAATTCAGCTGTCGATTTCTTGAGATTCTCTTCAACTTCTTTTCGAATTTCATACATCAAAAAAATGGTGAAAAAAATTAGAGAAACTATATCAATAGGAATAATTATTGGTAGAAAAACATTAAGTAACAATTCATCTTTTTCTCGATAATCTCGATAATCTGTTGAATTCATCGTGTTCAGATGTGTTGAATTACAACTGAAATCTAAAACAGGTGAAAAAAGTAAAGTTTATTATTTATCATTTGATTTTGATAATTTTCCAAACAAACCTCAACAAAAAATAAATTATAAATTTTGTTGAAATTCAACTCCCACTTGACTTTTTGAAGATCTGTCAAAAATTGGAACTACGACTCCAACAATCAAGTATCGTAAATTTTCACGTGAAGCTATGTAAGACATGGAAATAACAATTGGAAGCAAATGATTGGAAATATCATAGAAAATTATGATAAATCTTTCCAAATTAATAGAACTTTCGATATCGTAAAAACTTAAAAACATGGTAACCATTTGAAAACTCGAAAGAATCATTTGATGTATTGCGAGTGGCATAAATTGATAAATATAGAATATTTCATCTTTCCTATCAGTCAAAGTTATGATAAGTTTATAAATGTGTAAGTAGATCACCAAAGACGCATTAGATATGAAAAATTGCAAAATTATTTGGATCATGAATGGTAGATATTCATCGATTTCACATTTTGGGTCTATCATACTGTAAGCGGCACACAAAACTACAAAAATAATTTTTCTCTTATTTTTTTCTAAATAATCTTCACTCACGTTTCCCTTTAAGCAAATAAATTATTAAAGCCCCATAAAAAATCGATAAATATATTTTAAGACTTTTTCCGGTGATCAGAAACATATACTTCTTATGATAAATAAAAATAATACGCTGTACAGCGACTAGAAATAATAGAAACTTGAAGATCAAATGTATAAAGTTACAAAATATAACCCCATTAAAAATAAATACGAAAACTCTTAAACTAAAAATTTGTACGTTAAAATCTCTGATTTTAAGTAAAATATCAAAAAGTGTGCATAATATATTATATATCATCAAAATTGTGCAGAAAAAGTAGATGTTATTCAAATCGGTCATCGATTTTTTGCGATCCTCCTCGGCTTCTTTCCGGAATTTAAAGACTACGAAAATTGTGAAAAATATTATTGAGATAATATCAATCGGAATAATTATTGGTAAACAAAGAGTGAGTATAAATATATCATCTTGGTTTTCATCATCTGTTGAATTCATATAGCGTGATGTTGAATCACGACTGAAGTCAATAAAGACAGGTGAAAAAGTTAATTTTTTGGAAAACCTAGAAAACATTTGATAATGGTATTTCCAAAAAAATATAGGGAAATAATTCGAAAATTTCGAATATAGTTTTGATGCAATTACCCAAAAAAAAATACAAATCGTGAAAATCAGGTGAAAACTAAACTAAATTGACCACTACAAAATGAAGAATGTAGTTTTTGTGTTAGCAAATATGATAAGACTTGTATAAATAAAGATGGATGTTCTAATGATTGTCTCATAACAAGAAAATGTTATTAATATTAATTCTTACCACAATTCTGGCAATTCTAATCGTTCGACATTATCAAAAAGTCAAAAAATTGCCACCTGGACCATTTTCTTTGCCATTAATTGGAAATTCTCCACAAATTGTTTATCAATTATGGAAGACTGGAGGAGTTGTTCCAATGTTGGACAGTTTTCGCAAAGAGCATGGAAATGTTTTCACCCTCTGGTTCGGACCACTTCCTCACGTGAGTATTGTGGATTATGAAACGGCTTATGATACTTTTGTCAAGCATGGGAGTCGATATGCTGATCGGATGATTCCTGAACTTTTGGCTATGGGTAGAGGTGAGTTTGGGGAATTTTTGTTAAATAAAATGATTTTAATTTGTTTTAGGGAACACCGGAGTCTTATTTTCCAATGGTGAAACCTGGCAAGAAATGAGACGATTTATCCTAACTACTTTTCGAAATATTGGAGTTGGCAAAGATGGAATGGAGGAGAGAATCTTGGAGGAAATCGATATCAGATTCAAAGAGATCGACGAAATAGCTATCGATGGAAAAACCACGCTAAATTCCAAGGATTTCTTTGATCTGACAATTGGCAGTGTTATCAATACAATTTTGATTGGAAAACGTTATCAAGGAGAAAGCAAACCATTTTTCTTTGAATTGCGCGCACTTCTTGAAGCATCTATGGAAGTTTTTGCTCCAGCTGATTTGACAGTACCACTATGGTTCTTGAAGTATTTCTTCCCTAGAAGATATAATTTGATCAAAAAAGTAAATGATAATTTATTTGAGTATGTTGGCAAAGAAGCTAAGGAACGCCTAGAAGATGAGAACAAATTTATTGATCCTGAAAATCCTCAAGATTTGGTGGACGCGTTTATTTTGAAAATTAGAGCTGATAATGGGGCGAACATATACACTTTGACGAATTTGCAAATGATTTTGATGGATTTATGGATAGCAGGACAGGAGACCACTTCAACAACTTTGATTGCTGGATTCAATCAACTTATGCACAATCCTGAGATTATGACAAAAGTTCGCAAAGAGGTCAGGAATATTACCAGTGATGGAAGTCGCCCTCTTCTCTATAGTGATCGTGGGGACACACCATATCTCAATGCAGTTGTCGCAGAAATCCAGCGCTTCGCTTCAGTTCTCAATGTCAATTTCTGGCGAATCAATCACGAGTTAGTCGAAGTCGCTGGTTATCAAGTTGATGGTGGAACTATGATTGGTGCACAAATTGGCGGTCTTCATGTTAATGATGAGATTTTTGGAGATATCACCAAGTTCAACCCGGATAGATTTTATAAAAACGAAAAGCTTATCAATCAATTAATCTCGTTTGGTGTGGGTAAACGAAGTTGTGTTGGTGAAGCATTGGCGAAACAGGAACTCTATATGGTTACTGGAAATTTGATTTTGAGATATAATATAAGTCCGGCTGATGGGAAATTGCCGTCATTGGAAGAGGGAAGACCATTTAGTGCTTCGAAAAGACCAATTCCTTCGAATTTGGTTTTTGAAAGAGTTGCAAAATAAATACATAGCATAAAATGTAAGATAATTGTGTTTTCATGAAATGAATCAAATTTTTATTTATCAAAAGTCAAACAAAAATTCTGAAACGTCATAAGTATTAGCTAACCCTCCGAATCCTGAATGGATCAGGCGGTTCGATTTTCATTCCTCTGAATCGATTCGGCGGAACGGCTCGCGTATAAACTATCTCGCTCCGATGTTTTTGAATGAATCTAGGCCGTGTGAGATCTTCTTGATCTCGAATTTTATATGGTGAAGGTGGCAGGACTTTGGGAATCTTCTGAAGTCCTCTTGTTTTTGAAATGTTCACTGGCTTATTCAGAATCTTCACTGGGATGTGATGAATCTTCGAAGTCTTGGAGACATGTCGAGTCCTGATTGGGTTTTGATCTTTGGTAAGATCTACGGTTCTTTCAATTCTTTGAGAATTGTCGATGTCTATGATGACGTGGATCTTGTTAAGCTTTGACTTAGATTTTTTAGGCTTCTTGGGCTTAGCTTTCTTCTTTCTCGATCTCTTTGATGGAACAATCATTTCCTTTTGAACTTCTAAACTCTCCAAAAATCCTGGATCTTCCGGTAAAATGAATGAATCATAAGATGTTCCAAGTGGCTGATGTGTAATTGCTTCAGGATCATTTCGAGCATCGAGATCTAGTTCAGATTCAGGTTCGGGAGTCAGAGAAAGAGGCGTCCAATCATCTGAAAAAAAACAATTTTTTTTGAATAAAAAATAAATTATTTTTTGTCAGACGTGACCAATTTTTTTCCACGTCACATAATTTTCAAAAAAAAATATTTTGAATCTGAGCATTTCTAGATTTCTAGTTCACAAGAAATAGGTAATCTTCAAACAAAAATAGCTCACCTCCACAAATTTTTCCAGGTCCACAAAATTGCTCATCAATATCGCTTCCCCATTCATCATGCTCAAACATCTGCGGCTCCTCGATTTTATTCCTCGAAAACCTGGCGCCCATAATTAGTACAACTCCAAAATGTATAGAACATGTGAGTTTCTATTTTCCGGGCGGCTCCTAGCAACAAGTGACCATTCGAAATTCATTAGCCCCTCTTCCTACTAGTGCCAGCTCAAAAGATCCAGCACAAAACAAAATAAAAGAGTGAAGCCTGAATTTGATATCAGGCGCAAAAAATAGGTTCTCGGAAAGAAATGACATTTTTTGTGACAATCAGCAGACTTTTTACACCTACCACTTAATTGAAAAATAACATTATGTGAACCAAATCACTTTGTTTTTGATCAACAAGATTTTTTTCATTCATTTTTGGTTTTTGTTTCCATTTTTGTCAGAAACATCGGATTTTGTTATAATTTTTATCACAGACTTTTTTAATAAGCACTTTTAGGTTTTAAATGTTAAAAAAAATAAAGTGAACAAACAAGAGTCATTTAGTCTACATAAGTTTGAAAAAGTTTTGAACGATCAAATATTTTTATTCAAAGTGATTACTTCTAATACCCAGGTAGCACCATTGCTCCACCCTTCATAATATTCACTGTTGCCACCTCTTTAGGATTATTCGCCCAATAAGTTCCACCATCTTTTTGTGTCGCATTCTTAAGGGTCAACACATTATTCGTTGAATTGTAGGTAGTTTTGGCAGCATTAGCGACTTTCTTTTTTGTCGAAATATTCTCCCAAAATCCACACTTGGCCGCATTTTTCCCAGTGCACACTCTATAAACTTGCTTAACCGTGCCGATTTTTCTTCGATACGCCGCGTTTTTTCCAAGATTCACTTCGACGTTATCACCGACCATTCCATAAACATTTGGTGTTCCGATTGCACCATCCACATAAGTGAAATAAGTTAGGATAACTAGGAATAGAGGAAAAACACAACGCATGAGATGTGAGTGACTGAATGTGAGTTACAGTAAATCTATCGATCTTTATAGGGAGGATAATAAGGTTTTAATGATGTGCGAATGAATCAAAACAAAACAGAATGTGTTCATTATTTTCTGGTGATTGAATCTATGTTTTGATCAGAAAGTGAACAAGCTGAATTGGAAAAATACAACAAACTACCTCACTGAATTTAGTAAAGTAACCACACGGTTTTTGTGATTTTAAAATAGATTCTTTTCCTTCCAAAGAATTCTGAAACGGATTAGGGATTACAAAAAAATCACAAGTTTTGTCTGTTTCATAAGAACATTGATCGCTGAAAATTAAAATTGATTCTAGATTTTGGCCCTAATTTCCAATAACTTCAATTTTCTTTGCGAAAAACACTAAAATCAAAAAATGAACCAATTTATTCAATCACTTTCTACCTGGCATCATTCCAGATCCACCCTTCATAATATTCACATTAGCCACCTCATTCGCATTATTCGCCCAATAAGTTCCGCTATCTTTCAGCGTGACTTTTTTCATTGTTAAAGCATTGTTTGTCGAGTTATAAGTAGTCTTTGCAGCATTGGCGACCTTCTTCTTTGTCTTGATATTCTCCCAGAACCCACATTTTGCCGCGTTTTTTCCAGTGCACACTCTATAGACTTGTTTGACGGTTCCGATCTTTCGTCGATATTGCCCATTTTTACCAAGATTGATTTCGATGTCCTGACCAACGACTCCTTGGACCCATGGGGTTAGAATCTCACAATTTAGAAAAGTTATAGAAGTTGCGATAACTAGGAAAAGGAATAGGTGGAAACGCATTTGTGCAAAATAAAATAGATCTATCGATCTTTATAGGATCGTTTTTATGAGGGGATTATGTTTTTAATGATGCATCAACCAAAACATCGAATGTTCATTATTTATTTTCAGTGTGGAGTTTGGTTGGAAAAATTCATTTTTCAAAAAAAAAAGTTGATTTACAGTTCAACCTAATGTAATATGCAAAAATGTATAATTAGTAGCAACTATCCCCCAATAAATTCCATCATCTCTTTTCGTCACATTGCTCAATGTTAAGATATAGGAGTTATACGAAGTGTTGGCAGCATTTGCCACTTTCTTCTTTCTCGAAATATTTTCCCAATATCCGCAATTCGCTGTGTTTTTCTCGTTGCAAACTCTGTAGACTTGCTTGACTGTTCCGATTTGTCGACGGTATTGTTTGTTTTTACCGAGGTCCAGAGCAATGTTATCTCCGATCTGTATTGATTCAATCATGATTTCCAACGTGAAGTTATGAAGAAAATGTTACCTTTGCATAGACATCAGATCTTAGACTTTCGACATATTTAATTGAGATAGAAATGGCAATGAAGAATAAGATTACTTCGGTGCGCATTTTTTTTTCAAAGTTATGGACAGAAAATTTTATTTATGTATTGGTTTGATGAGGATTAAATGGGTTTGTTATTTTTCACAAAGATCAAACTATAAAAAAAACTTCATTCACATTTTTCAAAAAATTGAAATTATTTCCCTAGTAATCCAGGTTCTGAAACCATCAGATAAGTAACATCATTCACATCGTTTGTCCAATAAGTTCCAGCGTCTTTCAAAGTAACCTTCTTAATTGTTAAAATGTTGCCAGTCGAGTTGAATGTGGTTTTGGAAGCATTCGCGACCTTCTTTTTAGTCTTTATATTTTCCCAATATCCACATTTCGCTGCATTTTTCCCGTTGCAAACTCTATAGACCTGCTTGACTTTTCCGATTAGTCTACGATATTGAGCACTTTTCCCGAGCTCAAGGTCCACGTTATCACCGATCTGAATACAGTTGATTCCGAAATTATCAAGAAGAGGATTTAAGACCTACCCATCCGTAAGAATACGCTACTTTAGTCTCACAATCAGTTGTGCCGATAAAAATCGTGAATAAAAATATGAGAATGAAAAATACACGCATTCAGAGAACAATTTTTGTGAAACTGAATGTGAGATGAAATGTTCAAAGTGGGGTTGGAACATTTTTAGGGGGGATTATGAGAATAAAAAGTATACATATATTTTTATTGGTATTTGTAAAGTAAAGTAAAGTACAAAAATCAAAATACACAGCAACAATTGATTCATTCAGGAGGAAAGTGGGATACCGTTTGGCATAATATGCAAAATCTTTGCCTCATTTATATCATCTGACCAATAAGTTCCACCTTCATTCATTGAGACATTCACCATGGTTAAAATAAAAGTATTCAAGTCAACAGTCGTCTTCGAGGCATCCACAATTTTCTTCTTTGTCTCAATGTCTTCCCAATAACCACAAGCTTCCACATTTGTCCCGGTGCAAACTGTGTAGATTTGCTCGCCAAAATTGTTAGGTTTTCGATGGTATTGCTCACTTTCGCCGAGACCTATCGAGGCATTCTCGTATTGATTCACATAGATAACTTGAGGTTTGGCATTCTTTTCCCGAGTGGAAGTGATAGAAATTGCGAAAACTCGAAATATAATTCCGAGAAATGGAGAGGTAACCATTTTATGTTACATATGAGGATTATTTGAACTGGGGGTTTTTTATTGTTTTTTGGTTGAACTAAACTACACATAAAACATCAGCATTCAAAAATTCATAGAGCGTTCGGGGTTTCATAATTTCATGAGTTTACACTCCTAACAGCAACATATTTTCTTTTGGGGGAACTAGAGAAGCATTGAAAGTTGTTTTGATTTTTCAGCTGAACAAGGCTAGAAACAGTGACAATTTTCATTTTTTGAAGTGTGAAATCTTTCCATAAACATAAACACTATAATAAAATTTATCATTGAAATAGTTTCCCGAGTCGCCTTCTGTAATATTTCGAAGAACCAAGTATGTCTTGTCTTTTTTCACCGTCACTGGAGCTTTAGCCACCTTCTTCTTGCTCTGAAATAATACTCTTGTCAAAGAAAATTACACTTTAAAGTTAGGCTACCTTGGTATTCTCCCAATAGCCACAAGTCTTCTTGTTGGTCCCATTGCAAACTCGATAAACTTGAAGAGGTTTGTCGGTTCCGACCGATCTTTTGAGATTTGTGGAGTTTCCGATGTAGATTTTTGCGTTATCGCCTCCCTGGGAAATTTCGAATTGGCTAAACTAGTGGTCAGAAAATTTAGGCCTAAAAGATTAATTGAATTTGAGAAAATTGCCGAAATTGAATTGGTTTTTATAATATAAATATATCAGTTAGCTGAAGTTTGATGTTCTATTTTTGTTTTTGAAAAATAGAGATTTTTTTAGGGTATAGATTTTTTTTTCAAATCCCCCAATGAAAATTAGGAAGCGACAAGTCTAGCTGTACCAAATTTCAAGCTCGGCCCAATTTAGCCTAACTCACCATAAAGACCAACGTGGGCACGTCAGATAAAAATGTCAAAAATAAAGTCAGATAAAACTGTCAAGGGAAGTTTTGAAGTAGATCAAAAATCGGACTAGTAATAACAATTAACGTTTTTATTGTATTCCTTCTCTATAATTATAAATTAACATGCATTTTAAGATTATTTCGAAGGTCTATAAAGTGGCATAACTGTGATTGATTGATCATATCCAGTTTGTTTATTGAAATAATCACCCGAATCAGCTGCGGTGATATTTTTGAGCACTAGATAAACTTTGTCTTTTTTGGCGGTTTTCGGAGCATTCGCCACTTTTTTCTTGGTCTTTGTGTTTTCCCAATAGCCACAGGTTTTGGAGTTTTTTCCATTGCAAACTCGGAAAACTTGGACCGGTTTGCCGGATAGACTTCTTCGGAGATTCGTGGCATTTCCGATGTATAATGACATATCACCGCCTTCCTAGAAAAAAAAATAGATTTTTTCTAGTTAGAATGAAATTATGTTTGTTTTTGTGAACTTTGTGAATACTCAAGGGGAGTTTTTTAGTTTTCAGTTATTCCCGGGTTCATCTTTTTTGTACCGTCTAAGCCCCAATCCTTCAATTAACTCACCATAAAAAGCAAATAAGCCATTGAGACCGAAATCATCATTGCAAAAACCAAAGCAACTTTCATCATCACACTTTACAAAATAAAACAATCTGCAACACTGTAGGTTTGTAAATACATCCCCCCCCCCCTAGATAATCTTCTTGGTTCAAACAAGCGATCAAATGATTAACACTTTATTTCACAATTCATAAATCAATCAGTAATTGGTGGAAAAACTTGAACTGATAAATAGACTTCGCCATTGTAGTAACTTCCACTATCAGCTTCTGTGACATTTTTAAGAATCAGATTTCCGTCGCCCTTGTTTACTGTGACTGGAGCGTTTGCGACTTTTTTCTTGGTCTAAAAAGCATCCAAAAATGTTAGGCTAATTAGTTAGACTAACTAACCTCTGTATTCTCCCAATAGCCACAATTTGTCTTCTTTTTCCCAACACAAATTCGATAAACTTGAATAGGTTGGTGAGCTTCGAGAGTTCTCTTGAGTTCATTCGAACCTCCAATCGCAAGCTTTGCATCTGCTCCTGTTTCAAATGTGTAAACCGGGACAGAGGCGAAAGTCAAGCAAGCGAATGAAATCAGAATTGTTAGTAGTATCTTGATCATTTTTGAGAAGGTTAAGATTGTTTTGAAACAAATAAAAAACTTTTTATAGTACATACACCGCCCTAAGATACAGTTCAGATATTGAACACGGAAGTTTTGCAGATAACAAATTCTTATCTTTTTCTAGGTCTCGAACATTTTCAAAGGGGTTGAAGATGTTTTACGGGAAGAAACTATTGATTAATTTCAGACAAGAAACTAAAACTTTATTTAACAAATCAATAAACTTCAACAAATTATGAAGCTGGGGGTGGAACATACGGTGCCATAACTTGAACTTGAAAATAAATTCCATCCCCATTATAATAGTTTCCTGAATCTGCAGTAGTCACATTTCGAAGAACTATGTATCCCTCGCCCTTCTTTCTGGTCACTGGAGCCTTCACAACCTTTTTCTTGTTCTGAAATTCTATAATTAGTATAAGCCCGCCTGAAATGTTACCTTGGTATTCTCCCAATAGCCACAAGTCTTCTTATTGTTCCCATTGCAAAGTCGATAGACTTGAATAGGTTTGTTGATCCCAACAGATCTTTTGAGATTTTTCGATGTTCCCACCCAGATTTCGGCATTTTCCCCCTCCATAAACATCAAATAGGGAACATCGGCCAGAATTAAACTAGAGCAAAAATATAAAACAGTTAAAAATAATATGATTTTGGTCATGTTGCGATCAAATGATTATTGTTTTATTTTTGAATAGAATAAAATTGTGTGAAACAAAAAACTTTTGAAAATACAACCCCCAAAGATTATCCCTCTAGTTCAAATGTTCAATGCGGAAGTTCTATTCAAATCAACAAAAAACTTTATTACCAAGAATTATTCAAAACATCAATAGAAAGATAGATTCCATTATCATTGTAGTAGACTCCAGAATCAGCGGTTGTGATATTCCGAAGAACTAGGTATACTTTCTCTTTCTTCACAGTCTTTGGAGCTTTCGCCACTTTTTTCTTGTTCTGGAAATTGAGAGGATTGAATACGTTTCAACAAAATATTGATTAACAGGAGTACTCCTGATAAAATGATATTAGTGTTTATGTATAAGTTTTATTGTTAGAATTTTTCTGACCGTGATTAAAAATGAAAAATCAATAGTTTGTTAGAGCGCACTTCCTCCACTCACTTTTGTATTCTCCCAGAATCCACATGTCTTCTTATTATTCCCATTGCAAACTCTATAGACTTGAATAGGCTTGTCGATCCCAACAGATCTTTTGAGATTCTTCGATGTTCCGATGTAGATCTTGGCGTTCTGACCGGGCTCAAAATAATATCTAGGCATACTCGAGGCTTCTAGAAAACCCAGAAAGCATAGAAATATTACTAGAAGTTTCATAGTGAATAGGATGAAATTGAAATGAAATGAATTTTCACACTTCCCCCGTAAAAAAATAAATAAATAAATAATCCCTCGTGGTTTTTGCAACAATAAAATATTGAAAGATCAAAAGTTTTTTTTTTCAGTGAAGTAAATGTCATGTACCGTAACCCAGACAATATTCAAAAAATGCGAAAATGATTGGATTTCGAAGAATGGAACTTGTTATGAGGATTCGTGTTGCACTTCATTTGAGGTTGGTTGAAGTTTTTATTGATTTGGAAATTTTGAAACGTATAATTTTTGACAAAAAAAAACATTGAATTTTCCAGACCGCTACTTCCTGGTACTACCGCCTCGCTCAATTCTCTCACATCTTCTTCAGCACTCTTGCCATTCACATCATCCCAATCTACCTGAAAATCTACGCTAAAAAACACATGCTCTCCCACAATATCCGTATTTTCGTCAACATCACATTATTTTTCATATTCGTCCATTCCATCGATATGATCGCAATCCATGTCTACCACATCTATCAAAGTTTTTTGGCGCGTGAAGAAGATCCGTGTTTTGTCCGGGTTCGTGTGGATTTTTGTGCACCAATGAGGAATGTTTTTGGATTTTGTTTGTTGGCATTGGGTGCCACGCAATTTGCGATTTATATCGATCGATTGATTTGCATTTTTTATTCGGAGTTTTATTTGAAACATCAGAAAATTGTTCTGGCTGTGTTGGTTTGGCTAATCGTGAGTCGTCAACTCCAAAAAATTGCACATTATCTGATTCAGATCCTAGTCCCATTCCTCCTGATCTTGTGGGTTTTCCGAAATCAAGATTCCCAATCCTATCTGCTATCCTGCATCAACATCCCAAAAGCCTCAATTCGAGATATGACTTATGGAACAGCTGGAATATTTCCAGTCAATGTTTGTGCATTTTTCCTATCAATTTTTCTTTTCCGAATGTTTCGGAAACGAGAAAAAGGTTCAAGGTTTTATATGTCACGGCATTTCAAAGATGTGATAGATGTGCAATCTTCTGAGTTTTTGTTTAAACTTACCGCAACTCAAGGATTGTTTATCGTGCTTTATCCAATTTGCTCGTTTGTTCAAAGGATTTGGTTGTATAATGATTTCAAAAGATCAGTGCATTTGACATTTGCCACGTTGTCTTATGTGAGTTGGTGGAATTGCGGAGTGTTGTTGATTGTTTTTTTTTCTCTTTAGATTTTCAGCATCTATTGTTTTGTTATCCCATTAGTCATGATTCAATATGTGCGAGGCTCTCAAAAACTCAAAAAAGATCGGATTTTTCGCCACGTCACCTTGAAATCTATAGGCTCCGAAGGAGCTGATAATTATTTTAATAGTTTGAAAAACCAGTGGGGCTAGCCAAGGCCTTGATTATTTTATTATGAAAAATAAAATTCTTATTTGCCATGTGTTGTTCTTTGCGTCGACTTCGGGTAACCTATCAATAAGAACATAGCCCTCTATAATTAGAGGCGAAGAGAACTTTCGATTTTTTTTGTTGGCGAAAATAAAAAATGCTGCTCGAAATCTGGTTGTATTATGGATGTGCGGGAATTATTTTGATGATTGGATTATTGATTATTTTTTCCAAGTCTAAAAAATTTAGCTATTCGTTTTATCGATTGGTTCAATGGGATATTATTTTGGTGAGAGATGGTTTTGGGGGGAAATCTGGCAGGTTAAGCAACGTGGACACCGGTTAGTTCCGGGTTCAAGACCAGGCTCAAGCTCCAGCCTAAATCTATATCTAACCTAGGCCCATTCACAGGCCTCACTCTTAATTTTCAGAACCTAATATCCTACCTCAACACCTGGGTAACCCGATTATCGATGAACCCCAACACCGGTCATCTAATGCTCCCTCTCTACCGCAACTATCATTTCATTTTTGTCCTAACCATGTTCCTCAATCTCTATTTTCTACACATTCAAAGTGGAAGTGTGATCTTACTATGTGTTCACAGATTTTCCACAACAAAATACGAGAGTTCGAGTGTTTTCTGGAGAAAGAATTATTTGTTGATCTACATGGGATTGTTGATCTATTCGTTTGTGTTGACCTATCCAGTTTTGCATTTTAATATTTTGAGTGCGTTGAAGTATAATGAAGTTAAGCAGAAATTCGTTTTGGATGTTCAAGAAGATGATGTTCCGATGGTTGGCTTCAAAATCGTCATCGCAGCCTCAACTTTCAGTTATTCATTCTTGATCTTCATTATCGGAATTGTAACCTTAATTCAACTTCGACAGAGATTATCTGGACTTCAAAGATCTTCGGCTACATTTCGACGTATGACTTTGATGACTCTAATTATCACAATTAATTATAATATGTTAATTATTTGGGAGATTATTTGCGGTGCGATTTTTCCTGATATGTCGAATGAGCAAAGTGTGGCGATGCTTATGACGTGTTCTGATGTGGTACCTAGATAGCAGAATCTAGATAGGGTCAAGCATAAGTTTTTTCCAGGGCACCTTCTCAATTCCCATTGTGCTTCTTTTGTTTGACAAAAACCTTCATGAACTGATTTTTCACTATTCCAAAAATGTGTCGAAAAGTAGAATGACTTCAATTGTTGTGAGCCAATCTAAATTGTAAATCTAGATTTTTGTTCTGTAAATAAAAAATTTCAATTATTTTTCTGCGTCGTTTGAGGAAATTGTTTTTACATAGGTAGAAATCATAAATGTGTCTAGCTGAAAAGTATTCCGCTGAAAAAATTTCATCCAAACTCTTGATTATTCCTGGTAGGTTCTTTCAACCAAACATTACTTTTTTTAATTAAAAAAAAAATAAAGTTTTAGAAAAAAAAATAAAATTAAAGTTTGTTGGAGAACTTTACCGCATAATTATAGACCACAAATTTCAGTTTCTCGAAAATTTTCAGTTTTCAGAATTAGTAGTGTTTATCACGCGAAAATTAGATTATTTACAGTAACCCTAGGCTTACGTGACTCATTTTCAAACTAGAGATTTTTAATTAATTATTTTTTGTTGTGTAATTGTGCAAAAACGTGTATTTTCAAGTCAAAACACAAATTTTGGAAAAAAAACTTCTGAAAATTTTTCTATGGCCAAAATTTCATGTAAGTTTTGAGAAAATACTGTGAACTTCTAGTTTCCAAAAAAAGAAAGATTCAGGGATACTGTAACTTTTGAGCTCAAAAAAAAATATATTTTTGTTACTCTCAAATTCGTGCAATTTTTAAAAAACTACATGTGATCAAGAATCCAGGTGATTATTTTTCATTCAGAATGTGATATATTTTTGCGTAGATTCTTTGGAGCAAAAAATGACTCTAACCGATTTTTCGAACTTCTGCTCCTGTTCTTATAATTGCCTTGTTTACCAGATTTTAGAAAAATGTCAATCACGCGATTGACTCAATCCTTTCTTGCTCAAATTTTTGAATGCTTATAGATTCGTTGAAACATCGATTTATGGAAGATCCATTATGTACCGTAACCCCGTCAATTTTTCAAACTTGCTCAAATGATAGCATTTCGAAGAATGGAACTTGTTTTGAGGATTCGTGTTGCACTTCAGTTTTGGTTGGTTATTTTTTGAAACGTATAAATTCCTGGATTTTTTTGCAGACCGCCACTTCCTGGTATTATCGATTGGCCCAATTTTCTCACATATTTTTCAGTGCTCTCGGAATTTTCGTAATTCTGATCTACCTAAAATCCTACTCAAAAACCCTAATTCTAAGCTTCAATATTCGTGTCTTCGTAAACTTTGTCATTTTTCTAATTATAATTCATTCGATCGATATGATTGTTATACATGTGAGTTCTGGGTTTTTTCAAAAATTTCTCCAATTTTTTTCAGGTGTACCATTTATTCCAGTCCTTCCGAATTCCTTTAACAAATCCATGTTTTGTTCGAGTTCGTGTCAGTTTCTGTGCTCCTTTTAGAAATTTCTATAGTTTTTCATTACTCGCCTTGGCTGTCACTCAATATTCGATATATATTGATCGATTGATTTGCATTTTTTGGTCGAGTTATTCGAAGTATCATAGATGGGTTTTGGTGATTCTTGTGGGGCATATTGTGAGTTTCACGTAAAAATTTTGTTTTTTAAATTCCCTGATTATTTTTTTCCAGATTTTCATCACAACCTATGCGATCATCTGGATCTTCCGTGAAGAAGATTCCGACTCATTTCTCCTATCCTGTCTAAACATCCCACTAGCCTCAATGGAAGATCTCGTCTCAGTCACCGCCTTTCTATTTCCCGTTAATATTCTCTGTTTTTTCCTATCCATTCTAATCTTCCGAATTTTTCAAAAACGTCAAAAAGACAGTCGATTCAATATGAAAGCGCATTTCAAAGATGTTATCGATGTTCAATCTTCTGAATTTTTATATCATTTGACTGGAACGCAGGCGATTTTTATTGTGGTTTATCCGGTTTTATCGATTACTATGAGGGTTTTTTATTATGATACACCGAGACCTTTGCATTTAACGTTTGCCACACTTTCTTATGTGAGTAATTGCGGAGTGTCGTAGGGATTTCGGACCAGAGATTTTGCAGATCTTCAGCATCTACAGTTTTGTTGTCCCTCTTCAATTAATCATCTACGCCTATAAATCGCATAAAATCAAAAAAGATCGGATTTTCAGTCATGTCAAGATGAAATCTGTTGGGACTGAAGGAGCGGATAATTATTTTAATAGCTTAAGAAATCAATGGGGTTGACAAGAAAAATAAATATTTTATTGTGACCAAGATTCACGAAGTCGGTGTAAACATATCATAAAGATTTCTAGGAAGAGTGTAGATATTGAGTAGACTCTTGATCTCTAGATATTCCTGGAATTTTCTGCTGTAGCGATGAATCGACGGGAGAAGTGTCAAAATTTTGCCCAATCGAAGAGCTGGATCGTCTTGAACTTTTCTCGAAGTATAATAGTATAGAAGATCGCGAATCAGTGAGTTCCTGGATTTCAACGCGGCTTCACTACTTCCAGCATCGATTTCAGCATCAGTTTCCAGCAATAACATCGAGATCAAGAAGAGGAATTCGTAGATATCGACTTTTTCGGCCATCAGTGGAAATGTTATGCTATTTTTCATCATTCCGAATTGATTGTGGAAAATTGAGGAGGCTTGATCTTTGGTGAATTTTTCATATTCACCATTGTAATAGCTTTCGAAATTGAGGAGATCTATGAAGTCGCCAGATGGCATTATCATTATGTCGGGTTTATCTGGAAGAATTTAATTAGAACTTAAAAATTATTTTTAAAAAATTTGTATGTAACTCACCATTAATATAGCTCAAGTAGGAGCTCTCAATCAACGTGAACGGCAAGAAGAAATTCTTGAACATTGCTCTTTTCGCATCCGGTGGACACGTGGCATATCCAGGAAAACTTTTGCACAAAAACGTATAAACAATACTCATCTCGTTGGCAAACAGATCCTTGATTTGCTCCCAACAAATCGCCTTGGGAATCTGATTATCCTTCCGGTTGTGCACCGTTTTCCTCGATTCCTCCAGTTGTTTGTAGGCCTGGAAAATGCGGTCCAGCACTGGTTCGGGCTTGGGCGTTTCAGCCGCATCGTCGTGCGAATTCTGAATGTTTCGGAGGGCTTCGCGTTTGCCGAGTTGATCGCGTTTCTGTTGAACTGCCGACGTTTTCATGCCGACTGACAGGCATTTTCCGTAGCGACATGAGCGACACATATTTCGAATGTCTGGAAGTTTAATGATTGCGTTTTTGAAACCAGCCTAAGGTTACTGTAGCTTTGTATCTACAGTATTAATTTGATCTACGGTATTTTTTAGCACTCACAGTTTGTCTACAATAAACTTTAAGTTTGAGAATCTAAAAATCCCACACAAATTCCACGTCATGACAATTTTCGCGCCAGAATCTATGTACAGTACCCCCAAAACTCACTGCTCAAAATATAGCACTGACTGTTCTTCGCACAACTATGTTTCTTGTTCAACTGAACTGTCCGACGAAAAAATGCAGCACACGCTCTGCAAAAAAAAAGTGGGCGTGGCTTTTTGGGATTTGGATTTGGATTTAGTTTCCGAAAATGTATGAAAAATAGGGCGGGGCTTACCGACAGGCAGGTGCTCCAAAATGCAAACCATCCGCTGACTCGTGACAAACTTTACATGAGAGTTTGATATCGGATGTGGAAGTGGGTGAATTGTGGATTTTCATGCTGAAAAAACACCTGTTATGAGAAAAAAATTGGATTTTTCGTAGTGATCAAAAAAACAAGAGATCAAAGAACACAGATTTGGAAAAAAAGCGAAATAATGGCGAGAGGAAATTGGGGTAAATTACATTTTTTGAGCGAGGATTGAGTACGTAGTTTTGGAGTTTTTGTAGTGATCTGAAAGTGGAAGCCTGGATTCTCAAGGCAGATTTGAAAAGGCCTAGATTTTTTAAGGAGGAATAAATTTCAGAAAATTGAGATTTTTCAGAAGCCTGGATTTTTCTATGATTTTGAAACCTCAAATTTTTTTTGTGGGTCCAGAGACGTGAACTTCAAAGATCAGTGATCTAGATCTAGAACTTTGAAACTAGAATTCGGGCACACTATAATTTATAATTTCTGAAAATTTTCTAAAGTCTGAAAAATCAAATACTCAAGACACAAAAAACACAAGAAATCAGATTATTCATGTTTTTTCTGAACACTACAAGATACAAGACATTATTACTAATAAAACTCATATATCTAGGCTCCATAAACTACATAAAAATCAAACAGCTAAAAAATATTCACATTTTGGCACAAAAGCTACACAAGTGTTCAGAAAACATAAAAATGTTTTGTTTTGTGTTTTTGAAATGGATTTTGAAGAGAAAAATACGGAAACTACAAAAAAAAACATCTGCTAAAATAGTTTGGTCAGAAGTTTTGATTTTACTGATGTTTGTGAATTTGGGAGGGTCTGGATAAAACTTTAAACAAAAAAAATATTCATCCGATTTCTGATTTTAAAATGATGGCTGAACAAATATTTAAAGAACTTTATCTAGCAAAAACAGTTAGAAATTTTGGCAAGATTATTATCTCAAAAAACACCGAACAAGTACAGTAATTCAAACTCTACAGTACTTCATAAACATTATTCTAAAGCTACAAAGAACACCATAATTTCTTGATTCGAAGTTCTACAGTAACCTAGAGCGAAAAATGACCAAAAATAAACATAGATTTCTGAACTAGCCAAATCTACAGTAGCCCAGCAATTTTTGATCTCAAAAATTTATCAGCAAACAATATCTAATCAAACTTCTTGATAGTCTTCTTTTTTGTTTACAAATATCAGAAATCACAATTTTTTGTGATTTTTTAGACAGAAAATGTTCACAGAAAATGAAGAAAACCAGAGTTATTTATGCTAAAAAACCAGCAGAATGAACAAAAACAAACTCAACTTGCCCTATCGAAAACAGGAAAAGCCGAAAATATTTTTATGTAAGTCAAAAACACTACAGTAATCAATAGATCTATTTACAAAGATGAAAATAACTTTTTTTTTTTTGGTTATCAAAAAGAGAAAAAAAACAAATAAAATGATTAAAAAATTGGGTACAAAATGTGAATTGAATTGTGTATGTTGTAGTTGAACGAGAAAAAAAAGTGTCGATTTTCGATTTTGTTTTTGTCACGTTCACTCTCAAAACATTGTTATTTTTTGATTGGAAAAAAGTGATACTAGAGAAAAACAATATGAAAATGACGAAAACAAAAATAAAAGGACATGAGACAGATATTAAAGGTAATCAGAAGAAGAAAAACGGGAATTCCACGTGGCAATTTTAATAATCAATTTTTGACGCCGAAAAAAATGTTCTAGATATTTTTTCCCTTTTATTAAAATATTTTGAAAACAATTTTCAGCTGTAGATTTCTTTTTTTGGCACTGAAAAATGATTTTTGGAACTGGAAAATCCAAGAATTCACGTAAAAAAATCTCAAATTTCTATATTCCAAAGCGAAAACCCAAAAAAAATCAAAAAATCAAGGAAATTTTATAAAATGAAATTCCAAACGTTCAAGATAATTATCTCATTTTCACATAATTATTTTTTTCTCATGTTTTTTTTAAAGTAAAAAATAGCTCCTATTTCCAGCTGTAAATTAACTTCCTACAAGTCAAAGTTTCAAAAAATCGGCGCAAAAAATCAAATCTTACGTGATTTTCTCAAAAAAAAAGTTTTCAGCTGTTACTTCCAACGAGTCAGAAACTCAACAAAAAAAATCAAAATTGAAAATAAAATTTCTATAAAAATTCAAAAATTTTGCGAATCAAACATCAAGGCGAATTTCCAAAACGTTCAAGATCATTATCTATTTTTCCACATACAGTAACTAGTTAGTTAAACTATTATTTTTTCAAAATTGGAATAAGAAAACTGATTTCGATCTGTAGGTTTCCTACAAATTAAATTTTAAAAAACCTTGATTTTTTTCAATCTCAAAATTTCAAAGTTTTCTCAAACACAAAAAAACTTGTGAAAATAACAAAATTCTATCAGAAAACATCTAACATCACAAAAAACGTGACACTTTCAATTGATTTTTTTTCGTTTCCCACAAAAAAATCAGCTTAAAATTTGAATAAAAAATAACAAAACCAAACTTTCAGTCAAAAAATTATTTAGAAAATAAAAATTTGCAGATAAAAGGAACTATTTGGAGAAACAGTCACTCTAAATAAATAGGCAAAGACCTAAAAAAATCGGAAAAACTGTAGTCGACTACAAAGAAACAGGCGAGAGATTGAGAGAAGAAGAGAGGGCAGAGAAGCAGAGAAAAAAGAAGAAAAAGAAGAAGAGAAGATCATTGAACATGACGTTTTTGTACACAGAAAATAGTATAAATAGGAGATGCATCATACTAACTACAAAAAATGCGTAAATTTTTCAAACGCCTTTAAAGGCGCACATGATTTTGGGTCTCGCAGCGATAATATTTTCAAAATTCAGTGAAAATTTATATAGAAAAAGGCACGATAAGCAATAAAGTTAATAATATTTTCAAAGTACAATAGAATACATGTAGGTGAAAAAAACGGTTAGCAAAATGTGTGTTTCTTTTAGGTTTAGCAAAGAATTAGGTGGCGGGAAATTAGAAAATTTGAATTTTTTTGGGGGGAAAAGGAAAGAATGGAGATATGAAGAGATTTGAGAGGAAATCGCAAAGAAAAAAAAGATTTCAGAAAAAAATTGGGAATTTATAAAATTGTGCATTTTCTCTTGTTTCCACCTTCGGAACGAGTTGAGCGAAGTGTGTCAGTGTTGCGTTTTGGAGTTGAAGCCGATGGAGCGGTGACCTGGAATTAAATTTTGAAAAAAAAAGTTTTGGAGGCTTGGAACTAGAAAGTTTTAGGATTTTCTGAACAAAACATATCTCTGAAATATTAAATTTTCAGTTCAAAATTTAAAATTTGAATTTTTTTCAACATTTGAAACAGTGAAAAATAATAAAAAATTTTCAAATCCATCAAATTTGGTGTCAAAAAATCGGAAATTTTCCCCAAAAAAACCCACATCTTCCGCGACTTGTTGAACATTTTCAGCAGTTTTGGCAGCAGTCGATTCAACAGATTTCTGCAAAAAATCACAATTTCCTCCGATTTTCTCCTAGTTTTCATCGTGGAATCAAAAAATCTTCCCATTTCACACGCAAACACACAAATCAATCAGCTAAACACAAGACAAATAAGCCTAAGCCTAAAAAAATTTAAGGGCCTGGAATTAACACAAAAATCTCGGGGAGTGTGTCAAAACTCAACCTTTGCGGCTTCCAAAATCGCTTCATTTGTCAATTTTTCGGCAATTTGTTGGGCAAACTGTAGATTTTCAGGGGTCTTGTTTTGGATTAGGTAAAAGAAAATTAAATTGGGGTTAGAAAAATATTTTAGAATTTTTTTTAGATAGAGTTACAACATCTAGTGTAAAAAACACCATGCTCAAAAATAGGGGGCCTAAGTCTAAGCCTAAATTTCAGGCATACATGGCACTGCTCTCAAATCTGTGAGGGGGAGATCATGACATTTGGAAAAAATTTTCGAGGGGGGGATCATGACATTACATACAAAAACCTACATTTTTTCAAAGTGAAATCGGTACGCTAGAAAAAAATTGGGTTTTTGCATGTGGTCATTTTTGACTTTTTTCAGGTTCGGTAATTTGGAAACTAGTTCTTTAGGAATATCGAATGTAGAGAACGAGCGAAGAATTCGACGGATATCTTTCATCGGCTAATTATTCTTATTTTATTTCTAAAGTTCTCAATTATATTTTTCTATATCCTTCTAAAATAAAAAATGCGTTTATTGTAGTAAGTTCATCTCAGAAATTTTTACAAATTTTTCTGAACAATTACATAATAATAATAATCATATCCAATGCGTTATTTATTTGATAATCAAATTGAAATCCAAAAATATTGAATTACAAAACAAAAGAAAAAAAAATGAATTCCACCGAGAATTCGATCCAAAAACCCTCTGATTATTAGGCGCGATCTCTACCGACTTGACCACGAGGCTACTTATTTTCACACGTTTATTTTTAAGTGATAAATAAGGGATAGAAGGGGAGAGAAAATGAAAAAGAGAAGGAGAAGCGGAAAAAAATCATAAAATTTTTGAAAAATTCCCATTTTTTATCGAATTTCGCCGATTTTGTTATATGTTTCGATTGTATAAGTAACTTAAGGATGGTAGAAAGGAATGTCTGTCGAAATTATCTAAAAAGATGGTTTATTTCTTGAGATATGATCCCCCCAAAATGACATAGCAAAACGGCTTCGATTTTGGGGGGATCATATCTCAAGAAATAAACCATCTTTTTAGATAATTTCGACAGACATTCCTTTCTACCATCCTTAAGTTACTTATACAATCGAAACATATAACAAAATCGGCGAAATTCGATAAAAAATGGGAATTTTTCAAAAATTTTATGATTTTTTTCCGCTTCTCCTTCTCTTTTTCATTTTCTCTCCCCTTCTATCCCTTATTTATCACTTAAAAATAAACGTGTGAAAATAAGTAGCCTCGTGGTCAAGTCGGTAGAGATCGCGCCTAATAATCAGAGGGTTTTTGGATCGAATTCTCGGTGGAATTCATTTTTTTTCTTTTGTTTTGTAATTCAATATTTTTGGATTTCAATTTGATTATCAAATAAATAACGCATTGGATATGATTATTATTATTATGTAATTGTTCAGAAAAATTTGTAAAAATTTCTGAGATGAACTTACTACAATAAGCGCATTTTTTATTTTAGAAGGATATAGAAAAATATAATTGAGAATTTTAGAAATAAAATAAGAAATAAGAAACAATGGATGATATCCGTCGAATTCTTCGCCCTTTCTCTACATCCGATATTAAAAGCGCTAGTTTCCAAATTATCGAACCTGAAAGAATATGTCAAAAATGAAACCCCCCCCCCTCTCCTGGATATTTTTCATTTTTTTCACCATTTATTTTTTCAAATTTTTGACAAAAAAAATTGAGGGGGGGATCATGACATTTCAAAATTTTGGGAAGGGGGGGATCATGACATGGAGGGTCTGTTGGGCAAAGATGCCATGTATGATTTCAGGTCTAAAAATTCACAGTTTCTCATATAGAAAATCTTGAAAATCTAAAAAATTCAGGGAAAATTTGAATTTTCAAAAAGAATTTTTTTGATTTGAAAAAGAAACTCAGAAAATCTCAAGTTAGCCTAATTTCTGGGGGGCACAATATTCCACTCCAAAATCGTCGATTCCACAGCAAAACCAATTCAAAAACCAAGCCGTGCTTCAAACCGAAAAACCACATAATGCATTCTCTCCACCCACCTCATGCTCATTTTCTTTTTCACCAATTTCAGGTGCCGCCAATTCTTCTTCTTCTTCTTGCACCAAAATTTGTGGCGATGTGGTCGATTTCTCGGGTGTCGCGTAGAAAAACTCGCGCTTCTTCTCCAAATTCGCCGCCGCTCTTTCGCCCAATTTCTGATTTTTTTTTGCGATTTTTCAATAAATTTTCGGATACAAAATCAAAAAAAGAAAAGAAGTACACACAAAAAATGATTAACAAGGATTTTGGGAGGAAAAAAAATCGGAGAAAAGCAGCAACAAGCACATTTAAAGGGACATAGCACAGAAAGGCGGGAAAAATCACAGGACAACTTGTTTTGGGCGGGAAAAAAAACAACACAGGGTTAGTATTGTACATAAGCAGGCTGGAGAAAAATGTTAGAAGATTTTCGAATTTTTAGCTTTGCCATAGGGGAGCCGGAGGAAAATGCACATTTTTTGAGCAGAATTGCTCAGCTTATTGTACAGCATGTCGGGCAGGGAGAAGAAGAATTTTGACCTACCTCGACTTCTTGGACTTTTGAGGCAACACTGGCGGCAGTTTCGCGGGTGGATTTCTGGAATGGAAATTTTTTAAAGAGATTTTTGGAGCTCAAACCGAATTCCCTAATTTCAGTAAAAATTTCGTCTGAAAATGTTGGAATTTAATTAAATTCTTTGTTGGATGAAAATTTAATTAAAAAACATTTTTTGGTTCGAAAAATTCATCCCAGTCAGGTTTTTTTTTAGATTAAATTTTTCTTTTTTTTTCTATGTTAAAATGAGCAATGCTCCAAATTTCCCACTAATTTTGAAATATAACATGAGCAATGTCCCAAAAATATTATTCCAAACCTCAACACTTTCAGCTCCCGATTTCACAGCCTCCTTGACATCTGACGCAGTTTCAGCAGCGGATTTCTGGAAAAAAAAACAAATTCCTGGTAGAATTTAGGATAACTCGAATCCCCCTGTTTTTCTCTGGTTGAAAATGAAACAATATTTTTTTCGCGTACAGAAAAAAATGCAAATTTTTTCATAATCGCATTATTTTTTCCAGGAAAGGAAAAAAAACAAGTTTTCGATGTTCGGGGAGAAAAAAAAAATGAAATACCTCAGCTCCATGAATAAAATCAGAAGCAGCGGCTCCGAAATCGTGAACTTTGTGCTCGGCGGCTTCAACAGTGTGTGAAACGGAATCGGCGATGGTGTTGACAGCGGAAGTGGCAGAGTCCTGAAGGGTTGAAAATTTTTGAGATTTTTCGACAGAGGTTCTCAATTTTTTTTAGTCAAAAAAATTTCCCAAAACCAAAGTCACACTAACATTCACATATTGTGCAGCATCTCCAATCGAGCTCGCCACATTTTCCAATTTCTCTTCAGCGTTGTGCGCAATCTCTTTGACCTCATCCAAAATTGTGTGTTTTTCCTCCTAAAAATCATTAGTTCACAGAAAATTCTAACAAATCTAAATATTACTTGAGCTGTTTCAACGGCAGTTGTGCCAGCGTGATGAACTTTTTCGAAAGTTTCGCCAACTTCATCGGCCACGTTGTCAGCGACTTCCTGAATAACACAAAATGTTAGGAACAGCAAAAAAAGAATATTTTTGTAAAAAAAAACCAAAAAAATTTACCTTGGCAGCATTTCCGGCATCACTGGCAGCGTTTTTGGCACTGTCAAAAGCTCCGCTTACAGCATCGCTGGCTTTTCCAGCAAGACCTTTAGCTCCGTCGACAGCGCTGTTCGCAGCATCTCCAGCTGCATCTGCTGCATTGTGAGCGGCTTCTGAAGTGGCATCAGCTGCATTTCCAGCTGCGTTTTTCGCACTGTCATAGGCTCCAGACACGGCATCTCCAGCTTGATGAGCCAAATCCTTGGCTCCATCGACAGCGCTGTTTGCAGCGTTGCTGGCAGCATCTGCTGCATTGTGAGCGGCTTCTGAAGTGGCATCTGCTGCATTTCCAGCGGCTTCTTTTGCACTGTCGAAGGCTCCAGTCACAGCATCCTCAGCTTTTCCAGCGAGATTCTTAGCCCCATCAACAGCGTTGTTAGCTGCATTTCCAGCGGCATCCGCAGCGTTGTGAGCGGCTTCTGAAGTGGCGTCAACTGCATTTCTAGCGGCATCCTTTGCACTGTCATAGGCTCCCGAAACAGCATCTCCAGCTTGGTGAGCAAGATCCTAGAAAAATCGATATTTGGTTTCGAAAATCAGAAATTCTTTGAAAAACTTTTTATGTACATTCAAGGTCATCTTTTCAGCAGAAAAAAAGTGAAAATTTTACTTTTTTTCTCATTGTTTGGCTGACGAGCTGAGCTGTTTTTAGCGCAGAAATAATAGAAAATGAAGATTTTTCCATTAAAAAATGCGCTAAAACGTGACCGAGAAACCCGCCAGCTCAGAAAAAAAAAATTAAGATCTCATTTCTGATTCTATTTATCTACCTTTGCTCCGTCAACAACACTATTAGCAGCATCTCCAGCCGCATCTGCTGCATTATGAGCGGCTTCTGAAGTAGCATGAACTGCATTTCCAGCGGCTTCCTTAGCACTGTCGTAGGCTCCAGTTACTGCATCTCCAGCTTGATGAGCGAGGTCCTGAAATTTCATTTTTGCAAAAAAAAAAGTTTGCAAAATAAAAAACAACAAGCGGAAATGATTGTTTTCATTTTTCTCGTGTTTTCTTTTTTTTTTCCAAAAAACATGAACCGGAAGCGAAACTTTTGAATCATAAATATATACCTTTGCTCCATCAACAGCACTATTGGCTGCATTTCCAGCCGCATCTGCAGCATTGTGAGCAGCTTCTGAAGTGGCATCAGCTGCGTTTCCAGCGGCGGTTTTGGCACTATCGTAGGCTCCGCTAACAGCATCTCCGGCTTGATGAGCCAAATCTTTGGCTCCATCAACAGCGCTGTTTGCAGCGTTGCTGGCAGCATCTGCTGCATTGTGAGCGGCTTCTGATGTGGCATCAGCTGCATTTCCAGCTGCTTCTTTAGCACTGTCATATGCTCCGGACACGGCGTCTCCAGCTTGATGAGCGAGGTCCTGCAAAAATATTTGAAGGGATAATTTCTTGCAAAACCAAAAAAACTGTCACTCACCTTAGCTCCATCAGCTGCATTGTGAGCGGCTTCTGAAGTGGCATCAGCTGCATTTCCAGCGGCTTCTTTTGCACTGTCATAAGCTCCAGTTACAGCATCTCCAGCTTTTCCAGCGAGATCCTGGAAACATGTATTTCAGATAAGCGTTGCGTGTGCGTAGCGGTTTTTAGAACCGCGTAAGATTTTTTTTTTGAATTTCAAATTGAAAACTTGGATATTCTTTTGAGAAAAAAATGTTTTCGTGGGTGTTTTTTTGAGGATCAAATTTCAAAGTTCCCATAGACTTTTTAAATTTCAGAAAAAAAAAGAAAATTACACCGTGACCTCTTTAAACCCCTACCTTTGCTCCATCGACAGCACTATTAGCAGCATCTCCAGCCGCATCTGCTGCATTATGAGCAGCTTCTGAAGTGGCATCTGCTGCATCCCCAGCGGCTTCCTTAGCACTATCAAAAGCTCCCGAAACCTTATCTCCAGCTTTGTGAGCCAAATCCTTCGCGCCTTCAGCCGCATCGCTAACCGCATCGCCTGCCTTATGTGCCAAATTCTTGGCACCATCCAACGCATCGTGCGCAGCGTTCGATGTGGCGTCCGCAACATTGTGCGCTGCGTCGGAAACCGCGTCAGCCGCACTGTTTACGCTATCCTTGATTTGATTCAACAAACTCATCTCTTGTACTGGCTGCAAAACATGAAAATATTTTTCATTTTTTTTCCGGGCGGGAATTGTTTCAACGCTATTAAAAATGCATGAGAATCCATCTATGAATAGTGTATTTTTTAGGAGAAAAGAATGCGAAATCAATATAGGCTAAAAGGAAGGTTCGAGGTCCGGAAAAATCTAATTTTCTTCTTCCACTTTTTTTGGGGGGAATAACTTTATATAAGTAATGGGAGAAAATCCATCAAAGTACATTGATAAAATGTGACATTTTTCGATGGAATTTTTGAAAAAATGAAAAGAGAAAAAGAGAAGGACGCGATCACAACAACAAGTTGTTTTGGTTGGACAGGAGAACGTTTTTTTTTCGTTTTGAAAATAAAAGAAAGAAACAGAAAAATTGGGGGGAAAGCGAGAGAAAAAAAGCAAAAAGGGGTGGAGGCTCGAGTTAGACTAAATGTCACAAAAAAAAACAACATAACATTGGAATTTTTATGGTTTTTTCTATATGTTTAGGGGTGAGCGCTTATCTAATCAGCTAATTGTTTCGAAAATGATGAAACAAACAAAAAACGAGGAAAATAAAGGAAATTTTAATTTGTTCGAAAAAAAATGAGCGGGGTTACGGTATTCAAGGCGCACATACAAAGATGTTCGGGTCTCGAGAAGACCGCTCTTTATTTTGTGTGTTTGAAAATTGAATTTTTTTATTTAATTTTTTTTCAAAAAAGTTTTCTGAGGCATTGGGATAGACAAAGAACAAAATAAAAAGTAACATGTGTCGAAATGGAGTAGGCGAGGCAGATGACTAACAAAACACTTTTTTCCGAGAAGCGGGGACCTTTCAAAACCAAACCGGTATCTCAAAAAAAGAAAGAAAAAAAAACAAATTAGGGACCACAAGCAGAAGGTTTTAAAAGTCGTTTTTCTTCAATTTCCGCCAAGAAAAAAGGCAGAAAAAAAACGAGAGAAGATGAAATTGATTGGGCAAAAAGCCAATAATTAATGGGGTGTGGAAGCAGAAGACAAAACGAACCTGCTGCTCGGCGGCGAAAACCTCTTCAGGCGATGGTGGGGGTGTAGCGTGGCGAGATGATGTCTGTTCAGCAATTTCAGAAGTCACTTCTTGTTCAGCACCGGAAAGAACTTCGTCGATCAATGTGCGCGAAATATCATTGAGCGCATTTTCCGTTTCACTGGTCATTTCGGCGACCTGCAAATATTTCGAAATTCTGATTTCTTGAAACATTGAACATTTATTTCTACTTAAATGAAAACAAAATTCTTTTTGGATATAAACACGAATGTGTTTGTTGACTTTGCGCTTTCGCAAAAGTGGTGGATCAACAAAAGGTTTCTATCTACTTTGTTGTATCTTTTTGTGAGCGGAGGTGGGATTTTTCAACTTGAAACAATGCGCTATTTGACGCTGATCCTTTTGATATCCCAAACTACACTGTTTTAGTGGAAGTTGGGCCATGAAAAGTAAAGTTTTTTGTAAAAATACAGTTGGAACACGAGGTTTTGTGTGTGGGTCTCGCAGCGCACAAATTCTAAAATTTATTTTTTTTTTTTTAGCATTTTTTCGCAAAAGATTTCTGGGTGTAAAATCGGGTTTCTCTGTATAATATTCATATCAATCGATAGAAAATCATTGGGGTTATTAAACGCAAAGCATTTTTCGAAAAATTCTAGCTATTTCACCGAGAAAGGTAAGTATTTATTTTCGAAATTGTTCAATTAGGCTGATGAAACTCACATTCAAAGTGATAACCGGTGGCGATGGTGATCTTGACATCTTTACGAGGCTACTGCAAAATGAAACGAAAAAAATTGCAACTTTTGCGATAAGAGAAATGAGTCAAGAGCACAAAAAAAATGAACGAACGGCAAAAAAGAAGTGTTCGTTCAAATCAAATCAATATAAGAAGATAAATCTGCACAGAGCAAAATGTATTCGAGGCGAGAGAAAAGAGGAGCAGAGGAATATAACCATAACCACATGTTATTGTGTGGAGCAACACGGCGATTTGTGTGCACTTTATCCCTCCCTCCCTCTCGATTTTATCTAGATAGTCGTTCAGAAACGGGAGAGAGAGGGTCATTTGAGACGCGAAACACACCAAATGACAAACTTTTACGAAAAATTATGAGCACTTTTCGAACAAGAAAAAAAGAAGAAGAATGTTGGTGAAACACAACAAATGTGCGAAAATAAAATGATGATGGGCAAAAAAACGGGGATGAGTCAGATTCTGAGTCTCCGGGAACTGTATGATGTCTCGTCAGCACGGGGTGGAGCAAACTGTTTCGGGGGGCCCGGGGGTCACTAGGTTTCTGGGTTTCGAAGTTGCGAAATTTCTCGCTGGTATGGAATCTCCGTCTCGCGCACTCCGGTCTCTCTAAAGACTGTACTATATCTTCTCTGGGTCTCTAGCACCGCCATTTTCTATCTGACCGTCTGGCTACTCTTCGTCTCTTAAAATTTCTCACTGTCTCGCACTATGTTTTCTCTGCGTCTCTCGACTCTCCAAAATTAATATTTTTAAAACCACAAAAAAATAATAATAGAAAAAAAGCCCGAGACATTCGATCAATCTAAATTTTATGCGATTTTTTGTCTCAAAAAATCATAAAAATAATTTTTTGTTGGATTGTGTGGAAAAAAAGAAACTCTTTACACAGAAAAAACTAAGGGTGACTAACCAATTAGCCAAATATTACACACACACCAATTGGTGTAAAAGTACACATTTTCGATTATGTTTTATAAAAAAGTACAGTATGTCTGCGAGGAATTTTGTGTAACATGACATTTTTGTTGTGCAATGATATTTTCTGCAAAAAAAAATCTGTGTTTCAAAATTTAATTGGCACCGTTTTTTGTGCACTTTTCCCATTTTTTTTTGAGGGGGGAAGAGGGAAAAAATGAAAAATATGCACATTTTTCGGAACCACTACTATACAAATAATAATACATGTTCCTTTTTGCATAGACAGGTGAAAAAATTTATATAACCCGGGTACATGAAATTCTATTTTACATTTTACATCAAAATGCGCAAAGAGATGTTTTATTTGGGAATTGGGAGGAGTTCTGGAATTTTCTGAATTTCTCAAGAATTTTTGAAAATTTGGAAAATCGCATCTATAATTTATCTTGTTTTTGTTTTCAATATAAATTATAAGGACACTTTTCCAATTTCAAAAATTCACCGATTTTTATTTGAAATATTTCCCAATCCCCATCAAAAATACCCCTCAATCAAAGCAATTATGTCAATTTTTTGGTATTTTCCATTTTGTTCTTCGCCTCCGCACTAATTCGCTCATAAGTTTCCAGCATTTTTTGTCGAACTTTTTCGGAAAATTCGGGAACATCTTCCAAAGTCAATCCTTCGGTCGGAATCGGTTCCATAACTTCGATCACAATTTCGCCATTCGTTTTGAAATATTTGCCAGGTTTCGAATAAAATGGTCGATAATCGGAGAAAACAATGGGAATTATTGGAAGTTGAGCGCGGATTGCTATATTGAATGCGCCTTTTTTGAATGGCATCAGGCCTCCAGCTCGGTTTCGCGTTCCTTCTGGGAAGATCCAGAGCTGAAAAATTGTATTTGAAGAAATCTTTACATCGCTTCAAGGCCTTTTTCTTTTCTCGAAATGTCGGCTTTTTCAAAAACTCCTTTGATGAAACTTTTTTGTTTTTCTTTACAAAAAAGTTTCATCAAAAAGAATTTTATTTCGAAATAGTTCTATATCTATTTTTTTTTTTGAGAACATGAAATATTTTTGTAAAAGAGGGGGAATTGAGGGGGTTTTGGAAATCAAAACATCTTGAATTTTTGTAGGAGAAAAAAACCCCGAAATATTTACGTTTCAAAATTGGCGTTAAGAATTTTTCAAAATTTAGAAATTTCGATGGATTTTGTACTTCGGCAAAAATATGAAATAAAAGCGGGAAAAAAATTTTGAGCCAAAAAATCAATTTTTAACGCGAAAATTAAACATTTTGCAAGAATTCAGACTTTTTTTATTTCAGGGACATTTAGAAATCAAATCTAGATAATCTCTAATCTAGAGTAGATTTGATGATTTTTATTCTGAAAATTTGAAAAATTTTTGATCAGAAAAACATTTTTTTTAAGCTCCACATCAAGAAATTTGTAATTTCCAGATAAAAATGTGTGAGAATCTCGATTTTTCGAAATATTTCATCCTCACCTTCAAATCCCTCTTCTTCATCTCGCTAACACAATAATCCACAGATTGCATAGCTTTATCCCGATTTGTTCGATCGATGAAAATTGTGCAAGCCTGGAAGATATCGATTTTTTCGTCGATCTTCAAATTTAGACTTAAATAGACTTACCAACATTGACGCAAAATTGAAAAACGGTACGTATGCCAACAATTTTTTCATCATCACAACACATCGATGTGGCCAAACTGAGCACATTGCCAAAATGTCTAAAGAGCTCTGCAAAAAAAAATGTTTAGGTACTTGGAAAATCCCCCAAAAATTTGCAATTTTTGTCGATCAAAAGTACACACAACAATTACAATTATTTTGTTCAGGGGCTGTGTTGTAAAAAGTCGCATTTTGTCCAACAAAAAACTTTTTTGGTGGTGAAAAAAGTTAATTATGATGGAAAATGTCACGTATTTGCCAATTTTGATCAACAAAACATGATGTTTTTGAAACCGAAAACGATTTTTTTTTAAATTTATATTTTTGATGCGAAATGTTGAATATTTTTCAATATAGAATCATCTTTCAAAGTTTGATTAAGTGTCGATTTTTAGGTCTAAAACCTGAGAACCTGGCATTTTTCGATCCTAAAATAGCCTAGTTTTCGGCCTGAAAATTTATGTTTTTAAGCTGAAAATTGAGATCTTTGGAGCGCAAAGAAACCCAGATTTTTTATTCAGAAATGATAAATAGAAAGCCTAGGAAAGGCACACCTCGGCCAAGCCGTGGCTGACCAGAGTACAATTTTTGGAAAAATCTGAATTTCAGTTTTTAGAGGTCAAAAATTGAAAAATCACAATTTTTAGAGGACAAAAACTGAAAAATTCACAATTTTTGTACTGTAAAAAGTTAGCGTACAATTTTTTATTGTGGAAGCCACGATTTTGGCCGAGGTGTGAGGAAAGGTCTAGTTCAAACCTGAAAAACTGGGATTTTTCGACCCTAAAAGGCCTAGTTTTCGGCCTGAAATTCAAGAGGTTTTGAGCCCAAAGAAGCCTAGACTTTTCCTATTGAGTTTTGATGGACATGAAAATCTTTCAAGACTATAATAAAGTCTTGTTTTCGGCCTGAACCTTTTTGAGAAGTGTTCAGCTTGATAAAGCCTTTTTTTGGGCTGGAATTTCGAGGTTCTTGAGCCTGAAAACTACAGTTTTCGGCCTGAAAAGACCTATGTTGTGGTCTGAAAACCTGAATTTTTCAAGGCTTTTTAGGCCTGACATTTTTAGATTTTTAAGCCCAAAGAAACTTAGATATTCCAGCCAGGCTTATTTACAATCAGGCTCTCAAAATCCATAATTCAGGTTCAAAAATTAGTTTTATTTCGAAACCGAAAATTCCCGTAGAAATTCGAAATCATGAAATGCCACGTCATAGGTTAAAAGCTCACCTGATGATTACAAATCACCACAGCCGATCCTTCAATTTGTCCACCCTCATAATTATGAACTGTCGTATGCACACCACTCCATTTACACCAATAATAAAAACCCTCAAAAACATGATCGGCGCCACGTGTTTTTAGCCACGATGGAATCATTGTAACACAACAAACCATTCCGTGTAATAAAATTGTGAAGTAGAAAAATGAGATTCTCGAATAATAGTTGAAATCTGCTGATACATTGTAGAGAACTAGGAGAAATCCCAGAAAAAATAGGAGAATTGCTAGCCAAAGATCCATCTGAAAATTGATTGATTTTGAGAGAGAGAGAGACTATTTTCAGGTGGAACGAAGCGATGCAAAATGTGACAGAAAATCAGTTTTCGGTGAAGGGCAAATGACCTGTTATCGTACGAAAATTTGATGGAAATTGATAAAATTGGTCAATTTGTAGCCTATAATGATGATTTTTATGAAAATTCCTGAGGATTATTTTTTGAAGATTAGTTGAGGATCTTCATGTTTTATTGAATTTCACTCTTAAAATATATTTTTCAAAAATTTAAAAATTTTTGAGTCTAAAATACCCCCACAACTTTACAATGTGTAATTGTTGGAGGAAAGACCACCCGATGATGGGAAAAGTTTTTTGATTGATAGATAAGCGAAAAAAAAATAACTGGGGCAATATTTATCGTATTGGAAACTGAGTTTAGGTTCGAAAAATTCTAAAATCTAAGGAATTTCTCGTTATTCTCAGAAATTCCGATTTTAACAAGGTTTCCAGTGTTCCGCAAGGAAAATACGTTGATCTAATGGTCCCTGACATTCTCCCCCACTTTCTGAACATAAAACCCCCGGAAACCCACAATTTTTCCCGAAAAGCCCGTGACGACCAAAAAAAAAGAAATAAAATAATCGGGGGACTAGGTTTTGCGCGGAGAGAAAAAGTTCTTCCATTTTTTATTTTCGTTGAAAATATTTTTAAATTTGCAAAATTCTAGATTTCTTTCTGGAAATCCTGTTTTATGCTTGTGATAACGCTATTTTGTAGATTTTTTTAATGAAAAATGGGGGTCTTCAGGCTGAGAATCAGAAAAATGTTTGATTTTAGGTGAAATACGGATTAGGTTTAGTTGTTAGCAACTAGGTTCTTGGGCTCAGACTTCTGAATTCAAAGCCGGAGTTTACATATAAGTTTACCATTTAGAACTTAATGCCTAGCCCCAAACTTAGGCTTATGTTTATCAATTTAAGGTTAAGCCTAGGATTATGCTTTAAAACTTCAAGCTTCAGCCTAATCTTGGGCTTGGAATCTCGACTTAGGCTTAATCATTCCCTAGACTACCAAATTCTGTTTCCTCCAAATTTCAAAAAAAAAACAATAATCAAAAAATACGACCGCACGTCGAAAAAAAAAACAAAAAATGTCTCCTTTTATCTCTCCGTCTCTACCATCCTATATTCTCTCTCTAACCGTCTGCTTCTCTCTTTTCTTCAAAACTTTCAAGTATTGTTGATTTTTACACAACCAAAAATTTGTACATTGTTCCCTGTATTTTTTGGAATAAAAAAGCAGGAGGAGAAAACGGAATTTGATTAGGCAAAAATGTGTGGGAAAATATGGAAAATTGTGAATTATTTAGGAAAAAAGAGAATAATAATTAGCACATGATGTACTTTTTTCAAAAAACGAAGAAAATCAAATGATTGGAAAAAATAGAAGAAGAGATAGATGAAATGTACTTTTTCAAATGAAAAATCACTAGAAAATAGCGGAGGAGGAGGGAAAAATTGGACTTTTTGGGGCCTCTGTTTAGATTTAGGCCTAGACTTGAAGATGAGCCTAAATGCAGGCTTATGAACTTAGATCTGGCATCTTTAAATTCGATTTTTCGAATTTTGAAATTTTTATAATTACGTGGCAATTCAAAATTAGAAATGGCTCTTTTTTTTTAAATCCAAACGTGACTAATTTTTCCACGTGAATTCTGTGTTGGTTTTGAGCATTTCTAATTTTTCCAATTTTCGAAACTCCGCATCTGTCCTGAAAATGTAATTTTTTGGGGAACACAAAAATCCTTGCGCAATTTTCTAAAGTAACATTTTCTCAAGGTTTTTCTCGCATTATAAGATTTTACAACTTGAAGGTTGCAAGTAGTAAAATTGGAAATTTTTTAGCAAAAAAACGATATTCATGTTAATCCCTACTAACATAAACACACCTTTTCCCTCTACATTTTTTGTGCTCAAAAGAGCACATTTTTTTGTTGTTATAATTCGATGTATTTATGCATCACATGATGATTTTTCTCTTCTTTTTGTTGATGAAAAATAAGTGGAGAAACGTTATTTTTGAACACAAAAATCTACGACCGATGTTGATCAATTAGCTGCTGCTTATCTGATGTACTTTTATAAAGTTTATTTGATGAATCTATTTTTTTCTCGATCTGTGGTTTTTCTGTCGATTTTTCTAGATAATGTCTAGCTTATTTTTTAAAATTTTGACACTTTTAAATTTCCAGACTTTTCCGTTTTTTGAGGCCGAATCTAGAATAAGGGACAATTGTTAAGCCTGAAAAATGTAGGCTCCAACCTATGAAGTCTAATCCAGAGCCTAATAAAATTCAAGCTAGACAAAAATCCAAATTTTCCAACCCCATCACAAAAATACTAGTTACACGGTTTGTCCCCGTAGACGAAAAATAAATGTATTTGTTTTGTATCGTTTGTCGTATTTCTCGCGCGGGCGGGCGAAAAAGTAAGTAGACCCCCCGGCGAAGAAAATGATGAAAAGCGAGAAAATAGTGGATGGATGATGAGCTTTTGAGTTTGTATGTAAACAATTTATGTCTCGCGTTCCGTTCCGTTTTCGATGAAATATTTTGGATGTTTCAATGATCTTTTGATTTACATAAGTTTTGGAATTGAGATGGGGCCATTTGAAAAGAATATTGCAGCTGTTGAAAAATTGGAATAAAGTGACCTTGAATAGGTTAAGAATAAAGATCTCGAACCTTGAAAATTTTTAAACTCAATTTTGGAAAATCTGAAAAATCTGAAAAAATCTAGCAAGATACGTTATCTTACTTTTACAATTTCTGATGACAGAAAACTGAACCTTGGCTTTAAAATTAGAAGTTTCCGATCTAGAAGTTTTCATCTGTTGTTTCCAAATCTTCAAATATCATTTTTAGAATTCTGATAACTTCTTTAGAATAACTATAACTCGAAAATCTTGGACCATTAAAGCTCTCAAATTGAGTTGTGGAATTTTATATTTCCACAAAGTTTCAGACTGATTATTTGCAATCATAGTTTCATCATTTTTTTTCGAAATTTCCAAATTTCCCACGAAAATCAAAAGTACATCCTAATTTTTGCACTATATTTTTCTCACCACAATTAGACTATAGTCATGACGTGGTGGCAAAATTTTGTTTTATTATAAGCCACGTCATAACTTGTAGGAACCCCGAAATTTGTCCATTATTCATCCATACGTCTTGAGTAAAATTCAATTAAAAACTGACAGGCAGGCATTTTTTTTGTTGGAAACTGACATCATTTGAAAAGGGGCGTGGTCTAATATGCAAGCACCGCACGGTTTTTTCTCAATAACATTTTGCTGTGCACTTTTATTTTGCGAACAATAGAATGTGGAAAAACTAGGAAGCTCATCAATTTTTCAAGCTCCAACCAAAAAAATCCCCGTTTTTTTTTGGTTTTTTGGCAATCTTCCAATTAGTGGGCGGAGCTTGTATATTCTCTAGTTTGAAATGTTTTTTTTGTCATTTTTTCTCCGGCTTACTTACTTACTCACACTAACTATATTTCTATTATAGTATTTTTGTCGATTTGTCGTCAAGTTTTTGCTGTAAGTTCAGTTAGCCTAACTTCTTCTTTTAAGCTCCTTGAGAAAAAAGTAGAGTCTAGTTTGGTTTTTGATTAGTTGTGGAGTGAGAGAGCATCTTTATTTTTGCTCGAAGATCTTTTTTTGCTCTGCGAGCAACAACAAAAACATTGATTTTTGTGTGTTAGTAGGAGTAGTAAAGAGTGTTGCACATTATTTTCGGATTAGGGTTATGACGTGCCGAAAATTTGAGGAGGGAAGGTTAGGACAATTTTTGAATTTGAGCCTGAAAATTCCGAAACAATTTTAGAAAATCTGACACGTGGCAAAACTTCAAGGTCACCAATTTGTTATTCAAAAACACCAGGTGCAAAATATTTGGCCCAAAAAATATATCATTCGAAATTCCACGTGGCGATTTTCCTGGCGGTGCCACGTAGCTCGCCACGAAATTCAGGATCTCTGAAATTGTTGATCCCCACTGTCTATGTGTTTTTCCAGAATTTCCATGTTTTTTGTGGTGTTTTTTTTCGTGCTTCCTTCAAAAAGGGACTTTTTTCTTCGTCTTCACCGCCCTCGTTTTTTTTTCGCTTCTTCCTTTTTTTTGCTCCTCGTCTTTTTTTTTGCTCATTTTTTTGTGAGCTCGCGTCGAGCTGGCTCGTTTTTTTTCAGCCAGCATTTTTTGCTGCTAATTTGTCGAAAACCCGCCGCCACGGCTCCTCTCATAAATCAAAATTATATTGTGATAAATGAGTCTCGAGGGACAAAGTTTGTTGGGTTGTTTTTGGAGAGGAGCGGTGGTTTTTGAGGCTTAGCTTTTTGGTGGGAATATTATGGAAATATTTGAAGTGAAGTCGGAACTTGATCTAATCATTGATTTTCTGAAAGTTCTAATTCTAGAAAATTCTGAAGATCTAGCCGATATGGAATTTCAGAATCTAGAGATTCAGGAAATTCTAAAGTCCAAGAGTTCTAGATTTTCTGAATCGAGTTTTGAGATTCATAAAATTTTCGACGTCAGATTAGAACTTCTAGAATTTTCTTGATTTTAGGAATTTCTACCTGCCCAGACTAGAGTCTAGTTTATCTTTTTTACTTCTAGAATTTTCTAGAAGATGAGAATGACACAATGATTCCACGTTACCTGCTCTTTACCAGGCTAGAGTCTAGTTTCCCCTGTCTTCTAGAAGTTTCTAGTGGATGAGAATGACAAATCGATTCCGCGTTACCTGCCTAGACTAGAATATAGTCTACGTTTTTTTCAGAATGATTCTTCACCTGGAAATCCATGGAAATCCACAATTTTGGAATTGATTTTTTCCTTATCAGAATTGAGAAAAGAAGGGTTGAGGGAGATCCGGAAGACAGAAAATTGCTTATAAATCTTCTAATTCCGCTCAAAATGACGTTTCTCCATATTTTTCTCGATTTTCCCAGGAAAGACAATAAACTTTTGATTCAAAAACTATTACTACTTGAAAAATTATCAACTACTTCTAAAAATGTAGTTTGAGCATGTTTCCTTCGGTTTCGGCTTCAAAAACACATTTTTTGTGAAAAAAACACAAAAAAAGAAATTTTTTTGCGAAAATACTGTAGCGACACGTGAAATTGTGCAATGAGAAAATGCATAGTGAAAAATTTGCTGTGTAGACTAGACTATAGTCTACGTTTTTTTCAGAATGATTCTTCACCTGGAAATCCATGGAAATCCACAATTTTGGAATTATTTTTTCCTTACAAAAAAAAGTCATAAAAATAATGGCAAGCAATTTCGCAATCTCCGTTCCTTTTTCCCTTTTCGAGAAAAAACTGTTGCAAAACAATATACCAACCAGATCACATGTATTTTCTTGTTTTTCATTTCCTTCCCTTTTGTTACACCTTTTCTTGCCCAACAAACAACAAAACAACATAAAGTTTCGAATAACCATTGGCTGAAACACATTTGTCTGTGTCTCTTATCTCTCGCCTGGCAAATTTCCAATTTTTGGGCTGTCTCTTCTCTATCGACTTCCAGTTTTTTTTGCTGGTTTCAAAATGAACATCTGTTTTCTTCTCGAGAAAAAAAACGAAGATTTTGTCTTTTCTAGATAAATAAACAAATATTTGTTGTCATTTTTCTTCCCACCCGGAGCCAAGAAGAAATCGGATACTTCGTTTTTCCTGCTTTTCTTTCTTTTTTTTGCGCAGGCCCAAGTGATTTTTGGGAAAGGAATGGGGGGGGTTCCCAAAAATACATTGAGGGCCCAAATATAAGCCAACAAACAGCGATTTGTCTATCTATCTATCTATTTGTTTATTGAGCCGAGAGCGAGAAAAACGCAAATTTTGTCTTGTTGTTTTTTTTTGCATGTGCACACTTTTTTTTTCGACACGTCATTTGGAGCTGGTTTTTTTTCATTTGTAGCGAGGTGTGACGTGGGATCTGGGTGGGGTAGGATTATAGAATTTTAGGAGTTGCTAGAGGGTTTTAGAAATTTCCAGAAGTTCGTTAGCTTTTGGAATTGTTCTTGAAATATGCCACGTGGCACTTTGAACTTGATCCCGAATTCAGAATCACATTAATTTCAATTTGCCACGTGGCAGAACTTGAAATTCAAAAAAAATCTGACTAGAACTTTGAAATTATTATTTAGCACGTGGCATTTCTTTCTGAAAAAAACATTTTGCTAGATGCCACGTGGAATTTTGAACTTTTCCGATTAAAAAAATTTTATGACCGAGGTCAAAAATATACAATTTTTTAAGTGCCACGTGGCAAAACCCCCAGATTTTCCCGGGGACCCTTGAAATCCAAGCCGCTTTTCCCCCTTCTCAAAAATGTTTTGCCACATATGCCACCCCAATTATTCATTCTCGATAATCCAGGTCAATGTTCCTTTAATGACCAACCCTTCGGACGAGAAAAAAAAATTTTTCTCACTGATCAACAAAAAAATCGATTTTCCTTGGGCAATCCATCGCAAAAATGCACTCTATTTTGTGTGTATGTTTTTTTTCCATCCATCGTTTTTTCGCTGCTGGCATCGGTCCAACTCGTGATCCATTGGGGTTGGTTGGTTGGTTGGATGCGTGCCAATAATTTCCCACTTTTTCTCTGCCAACACTCTCCACTCTCTCGTCGCACTCTCTCTTCTCCCCCCTACCACCATTTTCCATTCTTCATTCATGTTGACATTTTTCGGGGCCTCCCCACCTTCTTTTGTAAAATAAAATTATTTTCATTTTATTTCGACTTTCTCTCCTAAAATTCTCTATTTCACACGTCTTGGCCTGGACGCAGGCCAGATCTGGGCCCAACTCAAATTGATTTTTTTTCCAGGAATGTTGCGCTATTGAGTGCGATCGAAATTCGTCAACATCACACTCACACAAATCACACCAAGCAAACAATTTTACGGGTAAACGCCGGGCTATACCAACTCAAAAACAAAAATGGTTAGCCGTTTGGTAAAGGCGATGGGCGCATTGTCGCAGGCTGATGATGGTGAGTTTTTGTGCGAAGGGGCGCGTTTGCCCTCTTAGGCTTAAGTATGGACATAAGCCTAAGTCAGGTCGCTTAGACTGGGCTTTTGCCTTGGCCTTGGCTTAAGTCGCCTAGACTGGGCTTTAGCCTTGGCTAAGCATAGACTTCCCAACCTTCCCCTAACAAGCATTTTTTCCAGAGGAGATCAAAGAGCAACGTCGCAAAAGCGCCCGGCTCAGCAATCGCCGTCAAAATCACAACAACTCCTCCACCAACGACATCAAATCCGACGAGATTCGCATCCACGACTCTGGCACCGAATCCGACGAGGAGGAGATGGAATCGATTCATCGACAACAATTGGCCCATTTAGGTGAGTGAATGTTGAGGAGGTTGTTAACCAGCCGAGGGTAATAATAACATAATAATAATTACCTACACCCAACTACTCGAATGAATTTTCGAAAATGTTCGAGTATGCCAGAGAAGTAAGTGGTAGTGTGTGTGTAGTGTGTATCCGTTTTGACACTCACAACACATGAAGTAGACGAGGAGAAGGGCAAAAATCCATAATTTTATGAGACTTGTGGCCGGAGATCAAAGCGGTTAGGCCAAGCCTGCAATCCTAGGTAGATCAATTCAAGCTTCTCGTGTAGTTCAGACCTGAGATCAGGATAGATCTAGGCTTGACAAATTAGGTTTGTTCCTGTTGATCCACCTAACAGTTTGGATTAGGCTCATCAACAAAAGGTAGATCTAGGCTTGTCAAGGCGTATCTGATGAGGCTTGATTTAGGTCTGCCCGTGATAATGTACACAGGGAAAGTCAGGCAGACGTGCGGCAGGTGTGCTGCAGGTAACTTTGGCTGGCATGACCCAGGTCATGCCAGCCGAAATAACCTGCCGTACCACAGCCTGATTTTTCCTGTGTACCTAATCCTACCTACGGATTTTGAGGTGGCTAGGGCTTAGCCGGGATTATTCCCAGGTGCTCGGTTTACCCTTTAGAAACCGGCTCTAGAATTTTAAAAATCAGGCCGAACTTTAATCACCCAAGCCCTCTCCTTCCTATCTCAATGATTTTTTTCCAGAACATCTTTCAACCTGGGCATCATACGATCAATTCTTGTCCGGCGGCAGTCCACCGGCGCTCTCCGCCACTCCACCAATCCCAAGAGATGTTGATACGGAAAGGTACGTTTTTTCAGTGTGTGTGCTCCAGAGATCGCGCGGGGCCCTCTTTTATCTCGCCTCAAAATCATCTCATTTATTATGGGAGGCCCACTGAAAAGCACAAAAAAGGCGCTCGATTGCACACTCATTCTCACACACACACAAAAAAGTGTGTGTTGCTTTTTTCTTTTTATCGGCGCCGCGCATCTTCTTCGTCTTTCGTTGTTGTTGGCTTCTTCTTCTTCTTCTTATAGTTTTGCACACAAGAAAATATTGAGGGGTCCCGTCATGGTCCCATCACGACCACGGGCGGTTTGTGGCCGCCGCCGGTCCCCCGAATAGTAAACATTTCTATTTTGTTGTATATAAATTTTTGGGGGGAGGCACAAGATTGATTTATAAATAGTGTGGTGAAATGTATATGTGTGAGTGTGTATGAAGTGAGAATTTTTATGGGCGCCCCGAGGAGACAAAGGCCCTTTGTGCACATGAAATGTTGAAAGGGAGGGGCTGAATGATTTAGGAAGCTGGGTGGCCCGGGGAAGATGGGCTAGAGGACTCCCAAAGGTGATCAAGTCCAGGCTTGACGAATCTGAGAAAATCCAGCTCGGTATATCTTTGGCCTGAAAATCTGAAGTTCCAGACTGTCAAGGAGGTCGATAAAATTCTAAGACTTCTGTCTGAAAGTTCTCCACCCGATAGGCTTATGGGATCTAGAACTCCAACATCGAGTCTTGGTAAGATGGATGCCCTAAAGTATAGAATAATCAAATTAAGGTTTTAGCTCTGGAAATCTTCCACAATAATTAGCCTTTCTATAAATCATAGTTAGGCTGTGATAACCAAGATTCTCAGCCCCAACCCCCAGATCCCAAATTCTCTACGGCTCAAAAGTTCAAGAGTTCCCCTCCCAATGTTTCGCTGTGCCTCTGCCCATTTCTTGTAACTCGATAGCTGTGCCTCTCTTCCGAAACCATGTCTCACTAGATTGTGTTGTTTGATCGGCCAACTCTCACAAAACTGCACTTTTGCCTGGCTGCGCCGAAAAAAGTCATAAAAATAAAACAAAATTTATAACCAGAATTGGTTTGTTTTATGTCTGTGTTTTCTTGATTTTCCTTGAAAATGTTCAATGTTTTTTAAGGGGAAATCGAGAAACAAATCATCATCTTTTTTCATAAGACGAAACGAAACTAAACTAAAAACAACTTGAAATAGCAACACACACACATACACATACATATAATACACAGTGTGTTGAGAGAAAAGAATGAGAGAGAGAGTTAGACGTACAAATCATGGCTATGCTTAAGCATTGGCCTCGTGTTAGAGACGCAGCGTAGGATGGCCGGCTGTCTCTCGGGTTTTTTCTTTCTTTTCTATGAGTGTTTGTGTGTTGTGAGTGTGTGGAATGGAAAGGAAAGGAGAAAATGAAGGCGGTTTTTTCTCGTTTTGCCGTGATGGGGGCAACACAATTTTTTTCTTCAGTTTGAAAATTTTGGGCCGAGAGGTCGGCCTGGACACTTGTGAAAATCTGAGGGAGAATGGGCAGAGTTGAGGGAAGTTATGGGAGGTTTTGTAAGGTTTTCGAGGATTTTAGGAATTCGGGTGACTTTTGGACTTATTTTCAATCCGAAAAATAAGAAACTTGGAAGAGAACCGAAATGGCCTAAAAACCAAGACTACAGTAGACTTCGCAAAATTTTGGAGTCCATTTGAAAAATAAAACGCGAAATTTACATGCTGGCTATGGAATGACAATAGGTGTTAGATTCACAGCTTCAAGGCATAGAAAGTTCGATTTCAGAAGTTTGAGCCCGAAAACAAGAGTCTAGGCACATGATTTTCAATCAATATTTCTCATATTTTTCAGCCTCCAAATTCTGAGAAATAGTTTTGTCACTATTTTTAGGAAATGAATTTTCTGCTCTGAAAAAAAATGATTATGTTATGCTCACAATTTCCAAGAACTCAAATTGTCAGAAAAAAAAGAGTTGTGTTTTGCTGTGAGCGCTGAAATTCTAATTAACTGCAATTTTTTGTAGGCTATAAATATTATTTTGGAAAAATGATATAGGGAACTTTTGAGCCGATCCTAACCCAAACCTAGCCCAAGTATTTCTTTCCAGTTTCTCAAGCTGGGACAGTTTCGGTCGCGAGAGTGGTATCATGACTGGGGACAACGATTCGGATACGGACGGCGCCGCAACTCCAACTCCATTGCGTCGCCGCATTCCACGTGGCGCCGACGATGACGCGTCAAGCATTGGTGGCGAGAAACGTCGCCACAGTATGACGATGAACGATCATCCGATCGCGTGGCGTTTGAGAAGTTTTACAACTGGTGAGTTTGAGAGGATTACTGTGGTTTTTTTGGAGAGGAAAGAATTCAATTATAAGTGATTTCCGGCAGGAAATTGCATTTGTGGGTTTGGTTTTTTGTTTAATTTTTGTTGAGTTTGATTCTATAAGCGGAACTCTAGAAGCCTAGCGTATTTTCGAGAAGCTTTAAAAGTTCTAAGGGACCTTTCTATGTATTTTTGTCTCAAAACAAAATTGCAGAACCCGTTCGCCCGGTCAAAATCGCTGCTCGCCGAGCCCCGGTTTTCGTCCTCATCAATCGTCCACCAGCACCACAACCACAAATGGGTAAGTATAGTAAGTGCAAATGTCATATATATATATATTTGCGCCATATTGTTTTTGTTTTGCTCATACTGCTGCTGGTTTTTCGACTACGATAATGGGTTTTTTGTTTTGTTTTGTCCTAAAATTGTGAAAACGGATAGAAAATGGGGGAAAGGGAAGAGAAAACATGTGGAAATATGAGAATGGGTTTGAAATAAGTGCGTCGTCGTTTTTTTGTGTGTGTTATGACGTGGCAAAGTGAGTGCTAACGACTTTTGGTTTTATGATATGTTTTTGTGGTTTTGAATTGCCACGTCATAGGTTGGGTCAGTTAGCTGAACGCTGAAACTGAAGCTGAAGTTTAGGCCATTTTTAGTCTAGACAACAAATTGTTCTAGCGGGAATTTTTATTGACGAATAAGCAATTAAAATTCCAATTATTTTTATTTTCTGTGGTAGATCAAGAACAAATCTATGGAGAATGGGAATTCGCAGATTTGGGGAACAGGGAATTCAGGGAGACGCATTTTTAAGATGTCTCCGAGTAGAATAGATAATTTTCATAAGGTTGTCAAAAATTCAAATTTTTTTCCTAATACATTTCTTGTAGCCTATAAAAAATAAACTTTTTCCCTAATTTTCTAATCGAAAATTTCTCTGGCCAAAGTTCAAGTGACCTCGAAATTAAGTAAGAAAAAAAATCATGTTTGAACCAAAAAAATTTAGGAACCTGTTACTTTTTCATGAAATTTTCCTACCATAAAATTGGCAATAAAAATTTGGCTTCTAGGCTTAGACTTCTGTGCTTATTCTAAATATTCAAGGATTTTTTCCAAAATCAAATATACAGTAAAAACGAAAACAAGTTTATTTCCAGACTTCAAAAATCCAAATCAAATGATCAATTTTCAGACTTCATCAACGCGGACGTCGAAATAACATCGCCCGAATTGATTCCGGCGCCAGCGCCAAAACGCAATCGCCGCAACAGCCATCGTCCATCGTTGGATTTCGAAAAAATGGTCGAAAATCGCATCGATGTTGCTGAATCGAATTGCTAAACATCTCAAGCGATTATTTATTTTTTCTCCTTTTCTTCTTCTTCGCCAAAGACAAAATCATCGATTTCTCGAAATCTCGAAACTGGGTTTTGCTCAATTAATCCCCCAACAAAAACCACCAAAAAAGTATCTCGATTCGTCAATCTTCTGTTTTAACTTTTCTATTTTTCTCTTGTAAATTACGTGTAGTTTTCTCTGTTTTCTAAAGCTTTACATGTTTCTTTTTCCCATCGATTTACTTCCAAAAATTTCCCACCAATGTCGAGATTTCGCCCAATCGAAATTGTTTTTTCTCCTGAATTTTTTAAACAACTTGTTACCTCTTCGCATTTTTGTCGTCCTTGATCTTTTCTCTCTCGCTATCTATTTAGAGTACCTTAAACATACATAGTGACCAAACAACTGAGAGCTTGTGCTCATCTGAAAATATTATTTGAAAATCCAGGAAACCCATTCGTGAGTCTTAGCAAAAACCAAAACAAAAAAATTGGAAAAATAACCACGAAAAGTACAAAAAGAGCTAGTTTTTTCTTCTCGTATCATAATCATTTTGTTATTATTTCACCTATTATAACTTTGTGATTTTTTTATTTTGAAACTTTTTCATTTCTCAGCCCCATTTTTCCGAGTGTCAAATTGACCTTAACCCAAAAACACACAAATAATTTTTACTTGTTGCATAAATAAAAATGTTGTAGTTGTTGAATTCAATGTTGCTAAAATTTCAGAATAATTTAGATAAAGTAGTACAAAAATACATAAATTAGAATTTCGAAAAAAAAAACATCTGGTAAACATGAAAACAAATTGCAAAAAATAGAGGTTTTTGACTTAGAGGACGACAATTTGCCACGTGGAATTTTTGCACCAAAAAAATCGCTTTGAAAAATTTACTACGGAAACTTTTCAAATGAAAAGTGTCACTCTGAATCTCAAATCCACATGGAAAGTCAAAAATTCAGAAACCTTCAAACTTCCAACAGCTCAAAAATTCCACGTGGCTTTCTTCTCCTCCCTCCAAGTCAAAATCCCTAATTTTCTCCCTCAAACGTTCCTTTGGGCATTTTCAGCAGCGCCTCATAATCAATATCTCCGTCCATTGTCATCGGCACACTTTTCGACGCTGTTCCCGAGCCAACAATTTTTCCGAGTGCCATTTGAGCCAATCCGAATTTATCGTAATCATAGCTACTCACACCGCTAGAAAATTGGCGAATTGAAAGGGAATTTGAGGAGAAAAAAAATAAGAAAGCGTGAAAATTTGACACATTTATGACTGTTAATACATAAATTAATAAATATTCATATTACACATAGAAAAATAGACCTGATTTAGACTTGAGTCTGAACCTAAAGCCTAAACCAAAAGCCTAGAAAAAACAAACACCGTGTTCTACAAATTGCTATCAAGCCATTCTTGACCCACCACCATTCGAGGCTTCGTTGAAGCGATTTGTGTGCTGAACATAGATTTTGTGAAAAATATTTGGGACATTGGACAAAGTTAGTGTAAGTTTAGATCGCCCCAAGCCTTGAAAATTTAATTTTGGCGAAAAAAACAAATTTTTAGGTCCTGGAACGATCTTGAAAAATTTGAATTTTTGGGACAAGATTTGTTTTGTTAGTGGTTTGTGAATGAAAAATCGTAAAAATATGAATTTCTTTTGCCACGTGGCTCAAAAATTTCGATATTTTCTCAAATTTTTTGTTAGATTTGCTGGGACAAGTGTTAGTTTAGTGCGATTTTTGATCAGCTAATTTCTGTTTCCGAAAAAGAAAAAATTACCTGGTCAACCACCACATAATCAATGGTTGTGTAATGACAACAAATCCCAAAAGTAGCAATTTTCGTTTTCGACCTCCGTCATCACCATAATGTGAAGAATTGTCGAATACAAAGTGGGAGACTGTTCGGAGCTAGAAATATTGCCATTTTTCAGGGGACGATGAAAATTTGGTCAATTTTTGAAAAAGAAAAAAAACTCACCAAAAACAAAACCAAGGCTAAAGATGAGTAGGCAAGTGTGAAATAGTAGAATGTTTTGTCTCCAACCATAAACATCAGCAGGCAGACGATCATGCTGGAAAATTTTGAGTGATGAGGTTTGAAAATAAAACGATTCTTGGCGTTTTCACGAACTTCTGAATATTTTCTCAAAAACTAGTGAAATTTTCAGGGTAAGTTGAACATTTTGAATTTGAAAGTCAAAAATTACTTTAATGAAATAGACAACCTTTTGTGTGGTGTTTGCAGACTTTTTTCTTTTTTTGCGAAAAAAATAATTTTTGTGATGGATGTTGGTTTTTGACTATCGTAGCACATCAGAAATCATGTTTGTTGATATTTTTGTGAGTTTTCATAAACTTTTCATAGTTTTCATGTTCATTTTCAGGAAAAATCGCTGATTTCCAATTTCCGAAGGATATTCGATGGGAATTCAAAATTCAAGCAGATTCTTATATTTGGTGAGGTTTTTGTTAATTTTCAATGATATCTGCTAGTTATTCTTTGCAAAATCTATTTTTTTTTCGACAAACGAAAAAAAAGTAAAACAACGAGACTCCGCGTGACACTGCGCTCACACTTTCCCGGCCATTTTTTTATTTTCAAACGAGGGGTTTTTTTTTTAAATTTTTTTCTTTTGCTCCAAAAAAGTTTTAGAGAAGGTTTTGAAAGTTCTCTCTTTGCAGATGTGTTAAAAATTGTATGAAGAACGTAATTTTGGCCTGTTTTGAACCGTATAGCTTAAAAGTTGTCTATTTCTTTAAAATGAGCGTATAACTATTCCAAATTTTCCCCCAAAAACTCACTGTGTAAACTTATAGGTACTATACGCCAAACTATGCCAAACACTCAACGTCGCCGAAATATTCATAATATATTTACTAATAAATATCACAATGTTCTCCAAAATCACCCAAATGAACGCGTTACTCGTCAATATTCCCAAAACCTCTGGCGAAAACCGTCCCTGTGTTCCTAAAACAAAACCCGACACCAACACATAGGTCAAAAATGCCATGAGAGGAATATAGAGATCCGGTGCATTCACATCTTCTTTGGCTGGATAAGGTTCGGAAGATCCGCTGAATTTGAGACTCCAATCACGATGGAAAAATGGGAAGAAGAGAATGCCCAATTTTTTGCCAACGTATGCATTGTCTACGGAGAAATAGTATTTGAGATTGAAGGTTCCGAGATATTTGGTGAGTTTTTCTTTTTGTTGTTCGGCAAATTGTCCACCGAATTGTTTGGCGGCCGAAAGCATTGGGTCAGACATGAATTGTTGAGGTTGGAATGATCCGTAGGCTGAAATATTTAATAGTTTTTTCTTGTATTATCGAAATTTTGTTATTATCAAAGGTTTTTGATCATTGTTAGATGATTTTCTTTAAAAAAATTAACAACTTTTCTTTCTTTTTCATTTTTGCTCAGAAATCTATAGAAACAGAAATCGAATGGTACATGAAACATTCAAATTTTCTGATTTTCAGCTCGAAATATTGATGAACAATTGGATTAAAATGTCAATAACGTGGAAAACTTGGAGAATTGAGGATTTATCAAGGATTTTCGATTCTTTTTGTATGATTGGAGAAATAGAAGCGATTGGTGAGTTTTTTAGGGAGGGATTTCAGAAAAATTGAAAAAATCGATAAAAAATCGGTAAAATTTGAAAAATATATGACATGAATTGTTGAGGTTAGGATGATCCGTAGGCTGAAACATTTTATAGGTTTTGTTGGAGTTTTATCGAAATTCTGTTCTTTTAAAATATTTTCGATCATTTTTAGATGGTTTTCTTCAAAAATTAATAACTTTTCTACAATTTTTATTTTTGCAAGAAAATATCAAATTATTGATGAAAATGGGTTTGCTTTTTGAGTTTTCTGAACATAATTTTCACGATTTTTAAGCTTTGCTATTCATGTTTTACCCAAAAATTTCAAAAAACTTACGATTTTGCTGTTGATTTTGTTGTCCTTGTTGTTGTTGCGAATAATCGGGTTGCATGTATCCGGAATATTGATTTTGTTGTTGCGGAACTTGCTGTGAATATCCGGATTGTTGTTGTGGAGCCGCAGGTTGAGAATACCCATAATTCGTGCTGAAAACCCATAAAATTTCATTTCCTCTCAAAAAATCTCCTACTTACTCATAATTTTGTTGTTGCGCTGGTTGCGTATATCCGGTATTCCATTGTTCCGTATTCCAATCGTTTCCCCACTCGTTTGACATCCTAAAACCCCGGAAAACTTGAAGAAACTGTGTAAAAACAAAAAAATAAAAATAATGTTGGTGAATTTGTGCAAACACCGCGCTGTGTGCACACACCACACTTGACGACAATTCGTTATATTTTTTACGAGGACCTCGGAATTACGGTGTTTTTCAGAAAAAAGTGGTCACTGAGACATTGTTAATTGCCTAATTTCTGGTATTTGGAAGGGAAAATGGGGAAATGTATAGGGCTTCCGAAAAAAATCCAATTTGCCTCATACTTTGCAGTAGGAAGTTCATATTTCCTTGTCACCTCTCCGGAATATGTCATTATTTTTCGTTTTATTCGCCGGAAAGTTGGGTTTATTTTTTATTTTGAGGAATATATTGGGTTCCTCTTTTACTTGAAAAATTGTAGTTTTCAATTATTTTTCGAGAAATTTCTTGTTGTTTTCAAGAATAATTTTCTATATTTTTTATTTTTGAATTTCACTCGTAAAAAAAATATCAGGAGTTTTGAAATTTCAAAAAAAGCACACAGCTCATTTTTGAACTCTGGTCATCTTAAGAAAATTGCAATTTTTATGAGGTCCCTCGACAAAATTGGCAATAAAATTCTGAAATTGTATTTTTTGTGTGAAATTTCAGTGGAAACTTAGAATTCTCTATTTCTCATTTCTAATACGAAAATTAGAATTTATTTTTTCCACGTGGAATTTTCAAAGTTTCTAAAAGTAGCGAGCTCTTTTTTAACTCAAATTCAATTTTCCAAAATTTTTAAGCTTCAATAAATCGACCTGAACCTCAAATGCACCCAAAAATTCCCATCCTCCCCCCCCCCCATTTTTTGTGTGTCTCCTGCAAAAATCCTCAACTTTTTCGTGTGTGTGATCAAAAAGGAAGTTTTCCATATTTTTATTTATTTTTTTTTTCGCCGTGTGTCCTGAAAAAACGGCGAAAAAAACTACATTTTTTTCGAGAATTCCCCAGGGCAACTCAATCACCTTCTTCCTGTTGGTTTTGGAAAATGATGTTGAAATGAGATAAACTACGCCGAAGGAGTACTGTAGGTGGATTGGAGTCAAGTGTTTTTCTATTTTTTTTTGCTATAGTGTTTTGACTTTGACTACTCCGAGAGAAGTACACAAGATTATCCAATTTCATTCTTTCTTCTCTTTGTTTTGTTTTTGAGGTCTTCTTTTTATTTTTTATAGCTGAAGTGTTCGGAATTTTAGCTATGGGAAGAATTCTGGGAAGAAATTATAGTTGTGTTTCAATGAATTTCAAAAAGTTCATAGAACCTGTGATTATAGCGAACTACAGAATAGTATAGACTTGAAAATTCAGCATCAAGTTTCAGAATAAATTTTGGCTTAAAAAACTGAAAATCTGAAACGTAATCATAGAAAATCAAAAAAAATCCTAAATTTTGAGATTTTCCCACGTCATCGTCCCAACCAGAATCTCCTAATCCAACCAACCAAAACCCAAAATACACCAATTTTATTTCATCTTCTTATCCTCTTCTTTTTTGGCAAGGGTCCCTCTTGTTTTTGTGCCTATTTATTCAATTATTTTTTTTTTGAGAATGCGTTTTTTTCTGACAAAATTTTTTGCTGGTTGAGATTTTTATCGATTTTCTCATTTCGAAAATATTTTTGTTGAATTGTTTTTTTTATTCCAATTTTTCTCACATGTGAAAAAAAAACCTAGTGAAATTGAATTTCCAGTTCATATTTCTGTGTGCCCGTTCTCACTTTTTGCCTCGTTTTTTTTTGTGTTGTTTTTTTTTCGAAAAAAAAATAAAAATAAGGCTAGGCAAAAAAAACAAATAAAAAGTTTTGTTGGGTACTTAAAAAAATTAGTTTTATTTTATTTTCTTCCGGGAAAAAGTTCGGATTTTTACTGTCAAGATTGCCAAAAAAAATCAGTGATTTATGATGGCCAAATTTGATCTATGTGTTAGTTTTTAGTCAGAAGTGAAAAATCTCGTGTTTACTAGACAAAAATTAATTTCAGGTTTGTTTGAAACCTGAAATTATCTTTCGTAGGTATTGGAGGAAGTGAGTAAGAATTCAGATTCATTTTGGTGCTGACAAACTACGGTAGATCAGAGAGCGATGAAAAATTCGGATTTTTTCATTTTTTCAAATTTTTCGAGTAATTTTGCCATGTGGATTTTCATCACCAGAAATATTTGAATAAAAAAGTTCTTTCGAAAAGCTTACGTGAATTTTCAGAAATGTTTTCAGATTTCCGGGAAAAATTGATGATCATGTTCAGACTAAACACTTTTTTTTCATTTCTAAAATTTTAGGAATAGAAGTTCACAAATTCCAATTTCAATTTTTCGCGCCTAACAAATTCGCAAAAAGTTGCAAGTTGTCAAAACTCCATCAAAATGCTCACACTTTGTGTCCGAAATTTTCTTTTTGCTGTATGTTTTTCTAAACTTCAGACTCAACTTTAAACTCAACTCATCTCAATTATTTTTCCTATCTCTTTCGCTTCGAAAAAATCCTGCCACCTGCTCACACAAAATTTCAGGGCTCATTTTTCACACCCTTCGTGAAAAATGAGCCACTTCTATTTTATTTTTATTTTTATCATCAAGCCACAGAAAATTTTATTGTTGTTTTTCTTGATTTTCATCTAGCTAGCTAGGTATACTGTAATTTCAGCCCAGACCAGGTGATTAGGATTCTCTTCAACAAAATTTGGAATTTTTGCTGACTTGGCTATTTTTGAACGAAAATTTGGAAATTTTTTGATTGAGTTGTGTTCCCAGTGGACGCTTTTTGCGAAAAAAAATTTCGGAACATTTTCCCAGAAATATTTCCGGCCGGTAGATCAAAGTTTTGAGCTACTTACAGTATCTCGAAGAGAAACCTGAAACTTTTTGATTTCTCAAAAAAGTATCAGATTTCTTTTCGAGTAAAAAAGTTTGAGTTTTGCTCAGAAATTTTGAAACATTTGAATCTAGAAATAAATAAATGCATAAAAATTTAATTTCTGATTCATAATTTCTGACCGAAAAATGTAAATATAAATTTATTCACCATATCTCCAAGACACTCACAAAAAAGCCAAGACCAGGTTCGAAAAATTAGAATTTTTAATGAGAAAAACAACTTCTTCCTTTTCTTCTGAATACTTTCTAGTCTCATTTTTATGATCATTTCAGACGCCAAAATATCATACCGTATTTGTGTTTTGATCCGCCAGCCTATCAAATTTCATACCTAGAAAAACCCACCTGGCTAGAGCTAGAAAAATATAATTTGAAACCCGAGCCTTTTCTCACACCATCTTCTCTTCTCAAAAACTTCCTGGACTACTGTAGCTCTAAGCTTTGGCTCCCAGATTAATCAAGTTACGCTAACTCAGGTCAACAACGGCAAAATCGAATTTCAAACCACTTTCCCTAATTTGCACTTATTTTTTTATTCCAATTCCAATTCATCCTATTCAAAAAAAAATATCCTCCATTTTTTTTTGCACATAATATTTACCACACTTTTTTCTTTTCCAACTATTCTAAAATATAATAAAGACGAAGAAATAAGGATGAATATTACATTCTTTTTTTGGGTTTGTCTGGAAAAAATGCATTTTTTCCGAGTATTTTTCTACTGGGGTGGGTTTACATCATCTTTTTTGTTTCGATGGATTCAAATTTTCTAGAGTAGTAGTTTTTTGTTGTCGCTTTTTTGATGATGACGGAGTTAGATATGAGTCATGTTTTTCTAGGTTTTGAGAGAGGCGAGAGAAACTAGACAGTGTTAGAGAAGTTAGAGAGAGGCAGAGACGCAGAGAAGCTATATGACTAGTGATAGTGTGGTTTTGAGAGACGCCAAGAAGCTAGACAACTAGAGAACACATGATTTTGAGAGACCACGAAATCAATATTTTACTAGTTTCAGCAAATAGTTTCTAGAGAACACATTCACCCCTGAATACTCACATTTCTGCATTTTTGTAGTCTCTAATCCCCAGCTTTTTACGTCATATTTAAAATTTCCAATTTTCTAAAAATGAAATATGCATTTTAATTTTCTTTTCATTTTTTCTTTCCATCAAAACAAAATCAAAAGGTCACGCAATATTTCAAAAATTTTGTCCCTTCTCATCAAAAATGTCACCTTTCTTTTCTCTTCACACAAAAAATTGCGCCCAGATCTTTTTGAGATGACATCTGAATAATTCACCTCTTCTCTTTCGCGGTCAAAAATTCTTCATAGAGAATTTTTGATGATCGTGGCTTTTTGGCCTCACTTTTCATCTGTTGATTCGTACTTTACTCACAACACAAGAGTTTAGCCTAACTCAAGTTTTGAGTATTATTTTTGTAGTCGATGGGAATTTTGTTGACGTGAAAAATAATAGGGTAAAAAATGAGCGAAATCCTCATTTTGCTCTTTTTTGTTTATCATGTCTGTCTGGGTTTTTGTGTATTTTAGGTTTGGCTTTGGTGTTAGACTTGAGCCCTTATTTTTTTTTCTCCCTGACTTAACCTAAGTCCCCACGCTTCTCGAAAATAACAAGATCATAGACAAAGGCCTGAAAATTCCCAGAATTTCGGACAGATGTTTTCTTTTATGCTCCACCTTCCCCGTTCTAGAATAACATCATTAATCATAACACATTCGTCGTTTTTTTGTTGATTTTTAATCCGATTTTTGTTCGTCTTCTTGATCCGATCGTCATTTCTCACTTTCAGCCAAGAAATGAACGAAACTGAAAATGAAACAATGTGCTCAAAATCAGAAGGTTATGATTCTACTAGATATGCGTTGATTGTTTATTGTGGAACTCCGATTGCCATTGCTGGAGTGATCTGTAACTGGATTCTTTTTGTAAGTCCTGAAAAAACTTGAACCTTAGCCTAAAACCTTAGTTTTGCAGCGCTTGTTCATGAAGTCCAAATCAATGAAATCACCCACATTCTACCTCCTGATTCTAGCAATTTTAGGTAAGACAAACCTAGCCCAGGCTCAGAATTCAAATCTGAAACTGTTCAGATCTTCTTATGGATCTTCTCTACATCCCATTCTTTACTGTCGATGCTTTGGCAATTGCGGATGACAATCAATTTTTATACCATCTTTGGCACTATTACGCAATGTTTGTGTTTGGTTTGAGCAAATTGAGTGAGTTTTTTCTGGAATTCTGAATTTTTTGTGGAAAAAAAGAAGATTAGGCTAATAGGATAATCTAGAAATCTTGTTTGAAAATCCAGATTTTCTAACAAAATTTGTGGATACTGGGAATATCTGGTTTAAACTTGAAACTCGAAAATTTTTGATAAATATTCCTAGAGAATTTAGAAAAAGTTCAGATTTGCCAGAACTCAAAAAATACGTGTTCCATGTGGCAAACCAAGTTTCATTATTTTTATGATAACTATAGAATTTCAGTTAAAAAACTCTGAAATCCAAACTTATCAGATCTCACCCCTCTTCCAAGTATTCTGAATCCCAAACCCTCCATTTTTTCCAGTTCAATTCGCATCAACCTACGTCATCCTCTGCGCAACAATCGAACGTTTCATCGTTGTCGCCGAAATCGCATCCCTCGATTTCCTTATCTCATCAACAGGCAGATTTGCAACCATCACATCAACATTCATAATGGCTCTCATCCTACGAATCCCCGGATTTTTCGAATATCGAATAGTCTACCAACCAGAATGCCCCGTCTACGAGTGCTATAATTACGAACCAATTTTGGCGAGCTGGCAGCATTATAAGGTGTATAATTTCTATGTTATGAATGTTCTACAGATCTTTGTGCCATTCGCATTATTATTGATTATCAATATCTCAATCGTTATTGTCACAAAACGTAGATTAACGGGGATTGGTTGGGCGGTCACAACATTCATTGATATGCCAAAAGTCAGTGAGATGATTCGAAAAGAATCGCTAAACTCAAATCAGCGTCGGAGAGATGAATTGAGATATGCAACATGGACAATGGTCTCTATAGCCACAACATATTTGTGCTGTTCCTCGTTATCACTATTCATTGGAGTTCTGGAAAATGTCACGCCAGAAAATGAGCTTCTATACACTGAGGATGGATCAAGCACGGTGTTTTATACATTGGCTACTGATACTGTGAGCATTTTGGTTGCTGTGAATAGTCTTTTGCGGATATTCGTCTACATGCTGTGCAGCCCTAACTTCCGGTAAGTCGAGGAGTAACCTCGATATAAATAAAATTATTGCCTTCAGAACCGAATTGCTCACTGAATACCCAATATTCCGATGTGTTTGCTGCTGCTCAAAAACCGAAGAATCGGCCAAGAAAATCAAAGAGGATCGCAAATTATTTATCGGCTATCAAAATCTGATCATGGGTCCAAGAGTCGATATGCTATAAATAAATACACTTTTTTTTGTACATTCAATATTTATTTGGTCACATTTTTCTTGACGGGTAAAATACATAAACTTGTAATAAATGCTACTATTTTTATAATAATCCAATTGAACTTTGTTTGTATTAACTTGCCATTTCGCGAGACGCGAGAAAAACTTGAGTCAATAAAGAAGAACTATAAAAGCGCGCAGATTTTCAGTTACTCACATTCAAAACTTTTTTGAAGTATCTAAAAATGAACTCGAAATTCGTAATCCTCGCCTCAATCTTGATCATCTGCGCATTTATTGTTGAAGAAACATCAGCTCAATATTATGCTGGAGCTGCTTATTCAAGTTATTACCCATCATCTTATTATGGATCAGCTTATGGAACATACAATGGATATGCTGGAAGTTATTATGGTTACGGATATCCATCAGCTTATTCTTATTATGGAAAACGATCTGCTGGATTTGGACCAAGTCAAGGAAATCCTCAATAAAATAAAAATTGAATGATCTCTAAAAATGAAATAAAACATTTTTTCATTTAATTGTGTTGTTTTGTTTTTTTGAAGTTTCAGAATTTTTCTTTGAGACTTCCATTCTGGCTGAGATCTGTTTTTGAAATTGCCGAATTGAAATTCGGAATAGCAACTGATTTGCTTCGAATGAAACAGCTGATTATTAACCGCAAACATTAAACTCACTTAGGAAAAAAAAATAAAATCAACATTTTAATTTTATTGTCAGTTTTCTTCAGAATTCTAGAACTTTCTTTATTTCCAAAGTTCATCTCATTTCTTTTCCCATATCCAATTCTCAATTCCTTCTCCAAAATGATGTGAGAAATTATAAAGTGATCAATATTTCATGAGATCTTCTCTTCTTTTCAATTAAATATTCAGCGTTCTTCAATGGACAAGGAAAAATATTTTGGATCAAATATTTCTCTTAAAATTTTCAACTTCCTTTAGTCCAAAAATTTCTGTAGGACTACTGTAGCTCAAAAATGCACAATTTGTAGGATTTTTGAGGTTCCAAGGTTACTGTAGCTCACAAATTCACAATTTTTAGGAAAATAGATCATAATCCATAAATTTACATCGGGAAAATTCTGGTAGATCAAATTTTGGCACTAAAAAATTACTGTAACTCAAAAAATCAGCATTTTTGAATCCCAAGGTTTTTCTGTCCATAATAAGACAGAAAGTTGAACATTTTTTCAAATCAGAAATAAAAACAAAATTTCAAAAAAAAAGTTTATTTCAAATGTTCAGGCAAGATGTAGTTAAGGTTTATTGTTGAGTTGGTTGATTTGGTCCAAATCCAGCAGATCGTTTTCCATAATAAGAATAAGCTGATGGATATCCGTAACCATAATAACTTCCAGCATATCCATTGTATGCTCCATAAGCTGATCCATAATAAGATGATGGATAATAATTTGAATAAGCAGCTCCAGCATAATATTGAGCTGATGTTTCTTCAACAATAAATGCGCAGATGATCAAGATTGAGGCGAGGATAATGAATTTCGAGTTCATTTTCAAATTGACTTTGAATGTGAGTAACTGAAATTTTTCAAACTTTTATAGGTCTCAATTGTTTGCTCTTTCACTCGATTGCGCTATTATTACCTGTCAAATCAAAGAGTTGCGAACATGAACTTGTTTGTTCATAGTTTGCTCGAACTTTAATTTTTTAAATTTTTTTTTATTTCAGCAAACATTTCACCCTGCCGCCGACTGTCAATAAAGCCACCTATAAAAACCTTAAAAATTTTGCAGTTTCTCACATTCAAAACTTTTTTGAAATATTTAAAAATGAACTCAAAATTCGTTATCCTCGCCTCAATCTTGATCATCTGCGCATTTATTGTTGAAGAAACATCAGCTCAATATTATGCTGGAGCTGCTTATTCAAGTTATTATCCATCATCTTATTATGGATCAGCTTATGGAGCATACAATGGATATGCTGGAAGTTATTATGGTTACGGATATCCATCAGCATATTCTTATTATGGAAAACGATCTGCTGGATTTGGACCAAATCAACCAACTCAACAATAATTTCTACCTCTTGCCGAAAACAAAATACACTTTTTTTTTGAATAAATGTATCAAATTCAGAAGCATTTGAAAAATTAGATAGAATAATTATTTATTTCTAGCAATCAAGTTAGTCGTTTTTCTTTTTCGAAAGATTAATTCTAAATAAAAACTTTTCCAAAACAAATCTAAAAATTCTATAAGAAATATACAAAACAACTAACAAAACAGCACAAATGATGGCAAAAATATCAATAAGATAATATTCAACAATTGACAAATGTCTTCCATAATTATCCAAACTTGGTAATTTTCCAAACTTTGCTGCAAAATTAACATGCTTGATTAGAACTTCACGTGGATTTGTCGGAAGATTGTTCAATTTCTCAGCTAATGCTTCCGCATTCTTCTTATAAATTGGATCATTCAACACTTTTTTGATTGTTTTTCCAATCATTTCAGAATCATCAAGGAGTTCCTTTTCCAATATTTCGACTCCTCCGTGTCTGTGAAGCATTGCTGCATTTCTGTTTTGATCTGCGAAAAGTGGAATCATAACACATGGTTTTCCCAAAAGTGATAATTCCCATGTACTCGCCAAACCACCGTGTGTTACAAATACATTCAAACGTGGGTCAGCTGAAAATATACCTTGAAATTAATTAAAGCCTTTTTGTGTTACCTAAAAGTTCGTTTTGTGGTAGCCATTCTCCCAAATAAACATTTTTCAAATGATCAGCTAGTGTATCTTTTTCATTTTCATATTTCCAGATAAATGTTACATCTGGCATCGAAGCAAAAACATTTAAGATTGATTGTCTAAAAATCTCAATCAGAAATTTCAATTCATTTTTCAAAAATCATACTTGTAATCATCTGGCATGTGCATACTTTTCGCGTTTGATCCAAAAGAAATAAACACATTTTTCTTTCGAATATTCAAAATCTTGTCCCATTTTTCAGGCAATTTCATTTCTCCACGTTTCGTGTTCACTGATATTCCACCGATTGGTATGATCTTGTCGAAAGTTGGCGCAGGAAAATCCAAAATTGAAATTTGATTTGTGAATACGAATGAGGCTTCTGGTAGAACATCACGCCAAGATCGACTAATGTTCACCGTCTTCCGAGCCAAGTCGAATTCATAGTCTCCAATATACGAAAAGAAATAACCTCCTGCAAAAAATCGTGATCTAACACGGCACAAACCAATAAAACCAACCTCCCGCAGCTTGAAGTGTATTCAAAAGTCTCTCCTTCATGGTCATTTTTTCACTGAAACCCGACATAACTCCAGGAACATAACTCGAAGCCATTGGTTGACCCAACGCTGCACTTGCATGATCATAACGACTTGAGGCTAAAACCGCAACATGTGCTCGTATATTGACAGCTTCAAAGAAAGCATAAGCACAAAGATCGAAGGGTTCAGCAATTGCCAAATCGTATTTTTCATTTTTGATTTGATTCAAGAGTTCGGTAGATTGAAGCACTTCTGAAAATGATTCCATTGGGTACAGAAAGACAATAATGAACCAACTTTTACATTGTCCCCCAAAAACACTAGCCATTTCCCCAGCTTTTTCGATCATTTTCATTGGATTTGTATTATCATCTTTCCACATATTTTTCTGAAACTCTTTCATTTGTTCTCCAAAATTTGCAACGCTTTCGTCCGGCTCAACAAAAATGAATTGCTTGGTTTTTTTGGTTCCATATTTTCCGCGCTCATTTGTATCGATTATTGGCATTAAAATTGTCTGGAATAATTCAATATGAGCTTTGATAATTGGAAAATTGCAACACTCACCACATTATTCCCAGACTCGGTCAAAACATCAGCAACACTTCCCAACATTTTCACATGACTATGACCCATCAAATTCGAATACACCAGAATTTTATAACTACATACTTGTAGAAATACTATGGCTGAGAAATATAGAATCGTTGTTAACCTCATGGTTTTATTAAACTTGATTGTGAGTTCAAAATCTTACCTCTATTTATATATATTTGTTTTATCAAGAAAAAAAAAGTTGGGAGGAGTTATGGTCGTTGAACTTTCGATTTTTGTTGTGCTTTGTGTTTTCGTCAGATATAGACATCTAGGGTTTCTAGATGTCGTTTTTGTATTAAATTACTTCAAATTGTTAAGTTCTCTATGAATCTCTATCTTGAAAAAATCTCTGAAAATCGGATTTTGCAGAATTTTCCATAAGAAAATATTGAAAAAACAGTGTCTTGTGCCTGTGGTCTGTGAACAAACAATCACACGAAAAAAGAGAAATGATAAGAAAACGTAGTTTTTGTGACATCAATCATGATGTAAATCGTGAAGAAAATCTCTAGTTTTAACTTCAACAAGAAATTTCAGTGTGATTAATTTTTTTGCGCATTATTAAAATTTCTAACTAATTCCAACAAAACATTTATTCAATAAGTGTACTGCAAAAACAATGGCTCATCATTTACAGCAAGTCCATTATTATCAGCTTGCGCAAAATCTTCCGAACTTGCAATTTGTTGCGATGAATCATAGTATTGTCCAGCAATTATTTGAATCAAGAAAAATGTTAGAAAAATTCTGAAACTGTTTATTAGTTTTAGAATAAAATTTGTTAAAAAACCTACATCAAATATTGCATTTTTTTTGGAAAATGAAAAAAAAAATTAGTGTATCATTTTTTAAATACATTTCTAACTCAAATATTTGCACAAAAACCATTGAAACAAGAATTTGTTATTTTGATTGCTCATATTAGCTAAAACCCCATTTGATTTTTGACCCCAAAAAATCACATCTTTTGATCTCCCGAAAATCTAGATTATTTTCAGCCCCATAAAACTTTTCAAAAAAAAATCCACTAACAACACAAAAATCAGACACATTTCAACCCATCTCCCCAGAGACATTTTTTTTTGCTCCGACAATTTTTTCTTTTTTGCTTTTTTATTTCGCTTTTTTCTCGTGATTTTTTTCCGGAAAAAATGAAAGTGTTGAAAAGATAGAATTTATGTTTTAACATGTTTTTTGATGTTTTTTATGTTGATCTTTTTTTAAAATTAAAAATGCCATGTTTTAATATGAGCAATCACATTGTTCTATTATGAGCAATAACATATTTCATGAGAAAAACAATCACCTAATTCTTAATTTTTTAATATGAGCAATGAACATTTTTCTCCTGATGAAAAGTGTTGAAAAGATATCTCATCTCATTTTTTATGTCGACCTTTTTCCTTCAAAAAAAACATAGAAAATAAAAAGAGCATTATTTTCAAATGAGCTTGACTCTCTTTTTTTTGCTCATATAATCGTCCATTTCCCTCTGACTTCTCCTTGACAATGAGAAAAATGTGGATCTTTTTCAGAATTTTTCAAAAAAGTAGATCTAAATTTCAGAAAATGTCCCTTGGGACCCGACCCCATCTTTCGATTTTTTCCCCCGTTTTTTTCTCAGAAAAAATCTAGTACCTTTTCACATTCTTCAAGTGTTCAAAAACCTTCTACCCACCTTTTTCTCCATCTTTTTTACGGGAAAAACCAACCAACACACACAAAAAAGTAAAGCGCTTAAAAATTCAGACGATTGATGAGGTGTCCTTTTTTGACTTGCCTCGCCTTCTTTTTGGTGGCCTCTCCCACTTTTTTCCGCTCTTTAGAAATTTATAGAACATTTTTTCTCTCATTTTCTAGATCTAGAAATATTTGTGGGGCGAATGTTTGGTTGAGCAGCGATGTTTACGCATTTTGATGCAGTGGCAAAGCCGAAAGCTAAGGAGAAACCAAAAATTAGGTGAGTCGTGGTTTTTTAAAATAAAATTTGTGATAAAAAGCACGTGGCTTTCCAGATTTTCAAATAAAAAAATTGCAAAATTCAAAAATTGCCACGTAGATGTTCCAGAATTAGTCTTCATTTCCAATTATTTCCAGAGAACACGCCATCGAAAAGCCACCATCAATTCAAACTCCTCAAACCCTTTGTGTCAAAATATTCCCTCCCTTCGCTGAATTTATAGATTTTGGCGGGGCCTCAAAACACACTATCACAAATTGTAGCTCATGTCGGATAGTTTTCAAAATCAAGTGTAGTGATAACGCAGTTTTCAAGGTAGGTTGAGAATTTTTGAATATTGCCACGTAATAAAATTTGAAAATCAAAATTCGGATCTCAAACATCTATGCTATATTTTGAAGAGTATATTGCTTCACCAAGATCCAGAATTCTCCAAAATTCCAGGTTTCCCCAGTGCACGCTTTTCTCGATCAAGCCGCCTCTACCGAGCTTCAAATCCTCCGCAAAGAGGGACCACCCAAACAAGACAAACTAATAATTGTGCTGAAGGAGGCCAAAAAATCCGACAAAGATGCCAAACTCTCATTCGAATCCGATCTAACCACCGTGAAACATGTCATTCCATTACTAACGGTCAGTTGACTGACCAATTAACCTACCATTTCTGAACTTTTGAAAATCCTTGGTTTTTAGCGTATTGTCGAGGAGTTCTGAGTTCTTTATTATGTTTGTGTATTATATGTGTGTGTCTAAAATTATCAGCGATATAAATGTGTTATTTTTCGTTGGAGATTTTTTGAAATGAGATTTTGTAAGTTATTTTTTATAAAAATTCTTGCAGAGTTGTTGGGGACCCTGCTCAAAATCCCTGAAAAATAACATTTTCCAAAATTTGTTTTTCAAAAACAATTTTATTTTCTTTCTCCAACACAAAGTGCACATCGTCGGCATTTTCAGTTTTGGGAACTTTTAAGGCTCACAATCCACGTGGCAACTATATTCTCACAATCAGTATTAGAAACTTGATCTACGTCAAAACCAAGAACCAAACAAATTATATGTTTTCATTTCCCCTTTCTCCGGAAATTATATAAATAAATTTTCGGACAAAAAAATAGTCGAGCTAAAATGTCTCCAGACATCTCTGACATCATTAATTCATACATTTGTCATTTTTGTCTTGACCAAAAAACTACAAATTTTCGTTTTCTCAATTTTTTGTCTCGTTTTCTCATAAGCACGTCATTTGATTGGGTTGTCTAAAAATCTACAAAAACATAATTTGAGTTTCAGAATTACAGATTAAAATTCAGAAGCTGCTCAGAATGAAAAAGAGATTTTTGAACATTCTGGAAAATCCACTGCGCAGGTGATATAAAGAATAGAGTTTGCTCAATTTTTCCGAGCCAAGATCTTGAGTCATATTATTAACCCAGATTATCGAATTTTTAAGAACGTCTCAGAAAAAACTTTATTTAGGTTACTAAAAACTACAAGAATAATTTAAGTTTCAGAATTACAGAAATAATTTTTTTAAATTACAAAATTTGAAGAATTGTCAGAAGGTCCTCCAGTTCATCCTGATTGTGTCGAAAATGTGTGTTCAGGATTTGTTTTTGTTCCACTTTTGGTAAATCCCACATTCTTGACCTATAAAAAGTTTTCTGATTAACGTTTTTTTCTCTCAAAAAAATACAAGACTTACACAAAGTTGTCAACAAAATTGATAGTTGTATATTTTGGAAAATCCACTGCAAAATCGCTGGCAGTTCTCAAAAGCAGGTGAAAATAATGTGGGTCGCACAAATATTGGAGTTTGCTCAATTTTGCAGAGTCTTGATTTGAGGCCATATTTTTGGAGATGCACAATTTATCCATGTCCATATCTGAATCCATGTTCTCAAGGATTGTTGAGTTTTCCGCAAAATGTCCCTGGTTTACAGCCAACCCACGGTCCGCGCAAAATTCAGCGATTTTGTGATAAGTCACGCCATTTTCTTGAGCACGGCACAATTTTGGAATGTGATTTTTGTGGCATTCGACAAAAGCAACAAGGGAGAATAGGAAAAACAGGAGCATTTTTGTTTACGAAAAAATGTGGATATGAAAGTGCTGAGCTGAGCTGTCTAGTCTGGCGACTTAAAAGACTCCGCCCACTTTCAGTATTAAAAATAATCCGCTTTCAGCTGCTATGGTGAAGAGAACAAGTTAAAAATAAATAACGTTTTATCGTAAGTTAGTTCAACTTGAATGACACACTTTTATGTTTGAATTGACCTTGATAAAACGGTTTGAAACGATTGCAAAAAAAAATGCAAAAATGTCTGCAGGAAGTGGGATTCGAACCCACGCACCCATACGAGTACCAGAACACCCATGCGACCTCGAACTTGAGGCAAGCGAATAGCTTGAGTCTGGCGCCTTAGACCGCTCGGCCATCCCTGCATGTTTCAAGCGCATCCGAAATTGCTATCATATTTTTCATGTCTGATTTTTCGTGTTATCATAATACAATATGGGCGCTCTATGGAACACGAATTCGGTCCAAAAAAATTTCTGAGAAAAAGTACAAAAAATCTTCAATGAAAAATATGTATGAAATTCCATGAATAAATCAAACAACTCTTCTACATATTTTTCAAAATTTTTCCCTTACCATAAGAAATACATGCCCCATCGGCTTTACAAGTCCCCTCATTCAAAAATGCTCAAAACATTTCCGACATTTTTTTCAAATTAAATAAAAAATGTGCTTACGTGTACTAATTCTTAAATAAAAAACGAGAATTCTGAGAAAAAAAGAACGTGCCCTGAATAACGTGTTCTAGATGACGTGTTCGAGAATGCAAAAAAAAAAATTTTGTTCATATCACTCATTTATTTTTCCAATCGAAATAGAAAACGGTGGCTTTCTAATCTATTTTTTCTGTCTAATAAATATTCTATCCAAAAACCAGTGAGAACTGACAGGATTTTTGAAGAAAGCTGAATGAAGCGGTTAGCAAGGTGTGGTTTCATGAATGGGTACTTAGGCAACATTTTTTATTTGTTTTTCAGTTTTTTTAACAAAAATTATCATTGATAAAAAATAAAAATTATGTAACAAAAAGGAAATTTTTGTTCAATTTTTTCTGCAAATCCCAACAATTTCAGTCCAAGAAATTCCATTATTCCTCCTCAAACACGAAAAAAAAATAAAAAAATGTTTTCTAGGTACGGTACAATTCAAAGGAACATTAAAAACTGCAACTGCGTCTTGACACACAACACACAAAAAATTCAAAACTTGCCCGCGAATTTTTATTTTTTCTACGCGCCAACCAAAAAATCGATTATTTCTCCATTTCTTTTTTTTGCGTCGCCCAAGATGACGTTTTTTTGGCATTTCTACACGAAACATGATGAAAGATAAGTTTTTTTTTGGGATTTTAGCCCCATTTCCTTTCGAATTCATCCAAAACACTCCCCAAAACCCATTCCGAGCAGTTCTATTAGTCTTTCGCTCGGAGTTAGTACAGCGCTCGATAAATTTCGAGCGCTTTAGTCATTGCCACTACCAGGAACCTCGGTAGGGACACAATTTTTCACGAAATTGTGGACCGCGGAATACCGCCTGGATTTGACTGGAAAGCAGAGATGAGCAAGGCCTGAGGTTCAAATATATAGAACTGCTCTTTAGCCACCGATTTGGGTGGAATGGGAGAACGGGACCTTCTTTTGGACTTTGCTTTGAGCAAAGGAATTTGATTCGAAATTGGGGCATTTGGGGAAATTCAATCTGGACCTCTGCTAATTCATGTTTTTTCATTCAATCTGCTTGCCGGAAAAAAATGTTTGATGGACAACTGCAAATTGGATTGTTGATCGTCTAGCGTTGAAGAACACCAAATCACATGGAAATTATTGAGGATTATCGATTTGTTGAGCATGAAGCAATTTCAATCAAACAATTGAATGAGGGAGCAATCTGGTGCATGTGCTCTTCTAACAACAAATTGAAGAGTTGGAATGGTGTCAAATGTATGGAAAAAAGTAATCAAAATATGCTCTCATCAATTTTGTCAACAATCTGGATTGAATATTTACGCTAACCAACACGAGAAGAGTTTTCGATTTTTGGCTGAAACCGTTTTTGATTGGGAACAAAAGAACGCAAGCTGTTGAGCGTGAGTTTTTGAATTTTTGAAGTTCAAAGCTCCTACACGCACTTCAACATTTGAGAAAAATATAATTATCATTTCAGCCGTCCTTGCTTGATTGTTTGATGTTTTTCGACAAGTTCAACACTCGTTTTTTCCAATTTATCGATCATTTATTGGATTTTTGGTGTTAGCAGGAGTTTGAGATATTTTTTCGATATTATTCCACAAATTTTGAAAAATGACTGGAAATACATTTGTTGTTGATTGTATTTTGAACAAGCTGGGACTCTACAATGCTCGCAATTTGATTGATATATATGAGAAAAGTAAGTTGATTAAATTCAAGGTTTTCCTGATTAAAATCTTGAAAACTCTTGATTTTATCAGGTTTCATTTGAATTTCAACGGGGTTTCAATGAAAATTTGGAATTTTCAGGTGACTTCTGCAATAAACATCGTCAGGATTATCGGACAATTTTCGTTTGACTGACGCGAAAACAATTGCCAATTTCTTCGGAATTTTCAATGCTCACAACAATTTTGTGCTGTCTACAACTTGTGAGTGAAATATGTGAGCGTCTCTCGGAAATTGACACAATTCAGAGAATTCATGAATTGTTTTAGTGAATAGTTATTATCTTCAAAATTCTTTCCGATTTTTTGAATCTCCAAAGTACATTGAAAAAAAAAACCCGAAGTCTCACGATATTCTCGATTTTCCAAGATTTTTGTAAAATAACGGGGTTTTCTGAAATAGTCATGTAATTTTGTTGGTTTTTTGAATATCAGCAAAATATAGGAAAAAAAATACTTTTTCAACATTATTTTCAGAAAATTAATTATTTTTTGCTGAATTCTCAGAAAAAGGAGTTTTTTTCTAAAAAAAAAAATCCCTCGAATTTTGCAGATTCGTCTACGAAACCAATTCAGTCAACGGAGTTAGAGAATTGCTCGAAATTCTTGGCTCAATCATCAATGGCTTTGCGCTCCCCTTGAAAAATGAGCACAAAGTGTTACTGGTCAAAGTGTTTCTAACACTTCAAAAACCGAAATTTTTATCATTGTATCATGCATAATTGGCCTCGAGAAGGACTCTTTGAGCAATCGAGCAACGTTGTTCCAGTTTTGATCTTGAAATTAGTAAGTTTTGATTCAAAACTTTTTGAAAACTGACATGCATTTCTGAAATTTTAATTTGAAGCTGATAAAATTTCTATTTTTCTTGATTTTCTTTGGCAAAATCTTTAAAAATTGTTAATGTTATCAGTTCCAAATTGAAATTTCAGCGGAGATGCGGAAGCTATGCCCAATTTTTGAATTTTTAGAGAAAAGCTTTAAATTTTTCAACCTTTTTTTCAGATCAAAATCAACAATTTGAAGTGATTGATCAACAATTCGAAGTGATCGACCAAAAATTGAATAAGTTGTTGGTAAGTTTTTGAATTTTTATTCAAAAACGATGAATTTTTGATTAATTAATTAATTGAACCTTTTTTTCAGATCAAAATCAACAATTCGAAGTGATTGATCAACAATTCGAAGTGATCGACCAAAAATTGAATAAGTTGTTGGTAAGTTGTTGGTAAGTTTTTGAATTTTTATGAAAACTGGCATGAATTTCTGGAATTTTAATTTGAAACTGATAAAATTTCTATTTTTCTTGATTTTTTCTTGAAAATCTTGAAAAATGGATGATTTTATCAGTTCCAAATAGAAATTTCAGCGGAGATGCGGGAGCTATGCCCAATTTTTGAATTTTTATTCAAAAACTTTAAATTTTGATTAATTAATTAATTGAACCTTTTTTCAGATCAAAATCAACAATTCAAATGATCGAGCAACAATTGATCTCGTTATTGGTAAGTTTTTGAATTTTTATGAAAACTTTCATGAATTTCTGGAATTTTAATTTGAAACTAATAAAATTTTTATTTTTCTTGATTTTTTAATTGAAAATCTTGGAAAATGGGTGATTTTATCAGTTACAAATTGAAATTTCAGCGGAGATGCGGAAGCTATGCCCAATTTTTGAATTTTTATTCAAAAACTTTAAATTTTGAATAATAAATTAATTGAACCTTTTTTTCAGCACAATTTCAACAACTCTTATTGGTTCCATTCAATTCTTCAAAGATTTTCGAATTTTGATTCAAAAATTGGTAAGTTTTTATAACTGACATGAAATTCTGAATTTTAATTTGAAACTGATAAAATTTCTATTTTTCTTGATTTTTTAATTGAAAATCTTGGAAAATGGGTGATTTTATCAGTTCCAAATTGAAATTTCAGCGGAGATGCGGAAGCTATGCCCAATTTTTGAATTTTTATTCAAAAACTTTAAATTTTGATAAATTAATTAATTGAACCTTTTTTCAGATCAAAATCAACAATTCAAATGATCGAGCAACAATTGATCTCGTTATTGGTAAGTTTTTGAATTTTTATGAAAACTGGCATGAATTTCTGGAATTTTAATTTGAAACTGATAAAATTTTTATTTTTCTTGATTTTTTTCTTGAAAATCTTGAAAAATTGTTAATTTTATCAGTTCCAAATAGAAATTTCAGCGGAGATGCGGAAGCTATGCCCAATTTTTGAATTTTTATTCAAAAACTTTAAATTTTGATTAGTTAATTAATTGAACCTTTTTTTCAGATCAAAATCAACAATTCAAATGATCGAGCAACAATTGATCTCGTTATTGGTAAGTTTTTGAATTTTTATGAAAACTTTCATGAATTTCTGGAATTTTAATTTGAAACTAATAAAATTTTTATTTTTCTTGATTTTTTTCTTGAAAATCTTGAAAAATTGTTAATTTTATCAGTTCCAAATTGAAATTTCAGCGGAGATGCGGAAGCTATGCCCAATTTTTGAATTTTTATTCAAAAACTATGAATTTTTGATAAATTAATTAATTGAACCTTTTTTCAGATCAAAATCAACAATTCAAATGATCGAGCAACAATTGATCTCGTTATTGGTAAGTTTTTGAATTTTTATGAAAACTTTCATGAATTTCTGGAATTTTAATTTGAAACTAATAAAATTTTTATTTTTCTTGATTTTCTTTGTGAAAATCTTGAAAAATAGTTGATTTTATCAGTTCCAAATTGAAATTTCAGCGGAGATGCGGAAGCTATGCCCAATTTTTGAATTTTTAGAGAAAAGCTTTAAATTTTTCAACCTTTTTTTCAGATCAAAATCAACAATTTGAAGTGATTGATCAACAATTCGAAGTGATCGACCAAAAATTGAATAAGTTGTTGGTAAGTTTTTGAATTTTTATTCAAAAACGATGAATTTTTGATTAATTAATTAATTGAACCTTTTTTTCAGATCAAAATCAACAATTCGAAGTGATCGACCAAAAATTGAATAAGTTGTTGGTAAGTTGTTGGTAAGTTTTTGAATTTTTATGAAAACTGGCATGAATTTCTGGAATTTTAATTTGAAACTGATAAAATTTCTATTTTTCTTGATTTTTTTCTTGAAAATCTTGAAAAATGGATGATTTTATCAGTTCCAAATAGAAATTTCAGCGGAGATGCGGGAGCTATGCCCAATTTTTGAATTTTTATTCAAAAACTTTAAATTTTGATTAATTAATTAATTGAACCTTTTTTCAGATCAAAATCAACAATTCAAATGATCGAGCAACAATTGATCTCGTTATTGGTAAGTTTTTGAATTTTTATGAAAACTTTCATGAATTTCTGGAATTTTAATTTGAAACTAATAAAATTTTTATTTTTCTTGATTTTTTTCTTGAAAATCTTGAAAAATTGTTAATTTTATCAGTTCCAAATAGAAATTTCAGCGGAGATGCGGAAGCTATGCCCAATTTTTGATTTCTGATGGAAACTTTACATTTTTCGGAACGATTTCTGTCAATTTACCACGGATATTTAGCAGTTTGTCATTTTCCACAATTCAATTTACTGTATTTTGTAGTATTTATTTATTCCTACTTTTTGCTTAAAAGCCAAAAAGTAGAAAATTACTGTATTTTTTTCTATAAGTCATTGCATAAAAGCCAATGACTTTTAGTTTTGTTTTTCCTGTAGAATACAGTAATCACTAACTGCAGCAATCAGGGTACTGTGGATTTCGTGTCTACAATAAGATTACTGTAGTTTTTGTTTACTTTTATCGATTACTGTGAGAATCTATGCAAAACTACAGTGATCACCGTTTCATTAAGTCGAGATTTTCGGAGGCCGTGTTTCAAAGAAGAGCTACCGTTATTTTTGGATGAATCCAGATAGTTCTACAGTTTTTTTAACACAGATTTTCAGCCAAAAAGTAGTTTTTTTCAAAACAAAAACGAACAGAAATTTGAGCTGATTACTGTAGTTTTGCATAGAGTTACAGTGTTCCACGTGGCAGTTCTCAGAAATGCACGTAGTTTTATAGATTTATATCTATTTCAAACGCGATATGTTTTTTGTTGCATTCAAAAATAGTTTATCCTAAATTACATCATTTTCGCGACCCGCTACATCCAGGTAACAAAAAAATAAGTATAGGATAAACTATTTTTGGAGACAATAAAAAGCGTATCACATATGACCAGATGCGATTCTGAAAGGAATTGGTGCGATTCATGGTTTTTCCTCAAAAAATTGCATCCAATTCCTCCAAAATCCAAAATGGTTGATGTTATCAGTTCCAAATTCGAGTTTCAGCGGAGATGCGGAAACTATGCCCAATTTTTGAATTTTTTGAGAAAAATTATTGCATTTATAAACGAACGGGACCTGGACAAATATTCAGTTACCAAAATTTTTACTAGTCTCGCTAAAACGCCGAGACTTGTACGTTTCGCAGATTTGGTAAGTAATTCTTCTAATCTACAGTAATCTGGCATTGTTTAGGAAATGTGGGAATTACTGTAGATCATTGAGTGATGATCACTTATTGTCCAAATTTTTCTGCCGAATTCGTCAAAAACTTTTTTTGTCCGTCTTCTGTCTTCAAATTTTGCCTGATTTTTGTTCATTTTACACACACCCCCAACCAGTTCTCAAAAAAATTATAAAAACAACCAAAAAATTTCCTTTTTTTAACTTACACACAAAAATGCGTCACTTTTTCCTATCGCTAATTTTTCTACTCTTTGTCTTTTCGACAATCTCCGGCAAAGTTTTACAACAGGTTTTTTTTGGCGGGCTGAAGTTATCATAAGTCATGAATGTTTTTTGTAGGAAACAAATGAAGAGTCAGGGATATTGCGGGCGAAAAGACAATGGGGGCCACCTGGTGGAGGTTGGGGTGGGCCTGGAAGAGGTTGGGGTGGTGGCCCGGGCCGTGGATGGGGAGGCGGACCACCGAATCGTGGATGGGGCCAGCAACAGAATCAGAATCAATTCAATCAATTCAACCGGCAAAATAATGCGCAAGCCCAGCAGAAACAATATAATGTAAGTTAACTTTTCACCTACTTAGCCTAACTTTTTTGCTTCTTTTCACCCGCTTCTTCTAGTGTCAAACCGAAGGAATCGATATTCTCGGCTTGCCAATCTCAGCTTTTGAATGTCAAAATTCGGGAAAATCAGCGCAGATGAGCTCGCAACAAAGTGGACAACAACAGAGTGGAATCAGCAATTTGATGCAAGGGTTTATGGGATAGGCCTGGGATAGGCTTAGGCCTAGTCCAGGTGTAGGCTTGGGCCCCTAGGCCCTCCTCTTGTTTTTGTTTTTCTGCTTACCTGATCTCTTGTTGAGCCATGAATAAATAATATTTATTTTTGTTGCAGTGCTTTTTTGCTTGGGATTTTGGGGTACTGTAGATCTTGGAAAACTCTGATTTCTAAATTTACTGTAGATTTTTAATCCGAAATAGTCTATCAAAAACCCAGATTACTGTATTTTGTAGTACAAAAAAAAACATTTTGGAATACTGTAGTTCAGTTTTTGATTACAGTAGTTTCTCACATATCGAGGGAATTTTTACGAAATCTCTAGTATCTAAATTTTATTATTGAGGTATACTGTAGATCAGAAAAAAATATTTTCTTCCAAAATTCTGGTAGATCAAAAGATGAAGCCTACCGTAGCCCGATTTTTCCAGTGCCAAACTCAAGGAATCAACATAGTCGGTCTGCCCATCTCCAGTTTCGCCTGTCAGAATTCAGGATCAAGCGCAAGAAGTTCTCAACAAGCAAGTGGAGCCCAACAAAGTGGCCTTCAAAATATGATCAGCGGATTTATGGGATAATTTTTCTCGTGAACTGCATTAGCGATAAAGTTGATCTCATTTTTTGTATTCAATTGATGTGTTTATTATTCAAACTTAGAAATTATTATCTATCTACATACATAAATATATAACATTTTTGAGATCTCTGGGGCTTTTGAACAGGTGTTAAGGGTCTTAAGAACCTTAAGGTTATTAACAAAATTTCTTATCAATTATGGTGGTCGAATCATCGGACATTCTAAGTCGAATAGTTCCATAACCATGAGCACCTTGGAAATTCTGATAAAATTTCCAAGATCGTTGACCTTCGTAAGTTCTTGTGGAATTTGTGCTGCTTGTGATTTGAGCCTTGAATTCGGCCAAGTAGAATTCGCCTTTCCTAAAAACATGGGATTTTTTGAAACGTAAATTTTCCGGCGGCTAAACTCACACATGACTATGATAATGATAAAACTGCACATCGCTTTTCTCAACCTCTCCAAAACATCCAATACTTTCCACAATTTGTTCAAAATCCTTCCATGCTTTTTCTATAAACTTATCCTGCGCAGAACCTTCAAAAGTTGTTTTATTCAATTGTTTCATACAGAAGCAATTAATATTGTTCAGAAGTTCGCAAGTTGAGTTGACTGGATATAGCTCATTTGTTGGTGATGGGACTTTAAAAAGAAAATTCTTGAATAAGTTTCCTTAACTCATAATTCATGACTTACTTGAGGGATCTATCAAACTCTCCACAAGATTATCCATTCTTTCTGTAGTCATAAGCCTTTCAGTATTTGCCAACACAATGTGTCGTTTTGCCCCGAGTTTCAGCCGAATTTCATCGCAATATCGAATCGCAAAAGTTGGATTTACCTCATCTTCATCATCTGTTGGATAGGGGTTGAAGCTTTTCACAATTACCGTCGTCCGTTTACCCAAACGGTTTAGGAAAAATCTTTGAAGAGTTTTTTTGAGATTTTCATCGATTATGTTTCTTCTGGGGCCATATGGTGAGATATAAAAGTTAGAAAACGTTTTCATGTTTTTTGCCATCGCATTGAATCGGAGGAACAGATTGAGTTCTTGATCTGCGAGCTTCTGAAAGTTATAAACATGATATTTATGTGGAAAAAATGCAAAAAATGTCTGCAGGAAGTGGGATTCGAACCCACGCACCCATACGAGTACCAGAACACCCATGCGACCTCGAACTTGAGGCAAGCGAATAGCTTGAGTCTGGCGCCTTAGACCGCTCGGCCATCCCTGCATGCACAGGCAGTTCGCAAGTTGCCCGTAACCGACCCGTTACGGACCGTTTCGATGTTTTCGCACAACAACCCGTCACGGTTTGTACAACGGGTGCGAAACTGGTGATCGACCGGAGTCCGACCGGTTCAAAACGGAAGTTTTAGATTTTTGCCTAGGAACTAAATAAAGTCAACCAAGTTTTCATGAATCATTTATGTGGGTACAAAATATAAAAACAATTATTTTTCCTTGGTGTTGTCGTAGTTTTGGCGTGACGCGGAGTCATTGGGTAGTTGAAGTCGAGCTGTTTGGAGGACGGCGGAAGACATCTGTAAAATAGTAATTAGTGATGAAAATCAATTTTTAAAAACTGATTAAGAACAAATACTGATGAATGGGGAGAAATGAAAACGCTTTTCACGCAAAAATAGCGCTTTTTTTCTTAAAAGGTGGAAGAAAAGAACATTTCTCTCAGATATAAAAACTCGAGTAGTCGATTTTCGTTTCTCTTTCAACTAATGATACACAAATAATGTGATCGGGTGAGCTTCGTGTGGTAAATTTTAGACGGCTGAGAATTTCAACGAAATCTCATTTTTAGGGAAAATTCTTAATTTTGAGATAAAACTGAAACGTGTTATACTAGAAAAAAAAACCACTATTTCGGCCAAGCTGTATGCTAATGCTATCGTAAGTGAGGGTTTTTGACAACGTGTCCTAAGTTCCTTATATTCTAAAAGACAGTTTCAGTTGGATAAAAATTAAAAACTCAGAAAAATATGTGTTTAGAAACACTCATAGGTATATGTGAGTTTTTTAAACACGCGAGTTTTAGAAACACTTACCAGTGAATCGTTCCCATTGTGTCGAATAAATTTCCAATCTGCCAACATCCACGTCTATTTGTCGAATCATTCGGCGATCGAAAATTATATTCCGAATCCGTATCGTAGTGCAGACTTGTCTCTTGAGAGCACAGACGACATCCATCGCGGTGACAGTGTTTCCCTTGACGTGTTCACAGTAGCACAGTAGGTGACAGCGCTCCGAAAAACTTTCTCAAGGAAAACCTTGAGATCTCCACGAGTCTCTTCGTATCAATCTGGAGATACGTTGGACTCCTCCTCTGCGAGCCAATCTTTGGATAGCCGGCTTCGTGTTTCCTTGGATGTTGTTACGAAGCACTTCATGATGGCGTTTGCCTCCTCCGTCGCCGAGTCATATTCCTCCCTTTCCACGTCCAGGCATACTTCCATTTAGGTGGTGAGCAAAATAGAGCTGAAAACAGTTTTCTATTATTAATCGTTTTATTTTCTGAAACTGACCTGGCATTATAGGAAATGTCAGCAATTCGTGGCGAACGAACCATTTTCGAAAGGCAATCTGAAAAACTGATGTTTTGCGGAAAATGTAGAGCGAAGAAACAAAACATGAGTAATTTGTTAAGATAAAAACAAAAAGAGCTAATCTAAAAATAAAATCCATACACGGTTTTAAAACAAACCAAACTCTAAAGCGTACTAGAAAACAGAAAATCCCTTACAAATCTGATTTTTCAACATTTCATGAAAACTTTCCGCTAAATCACATCCCAAAACAGTTGAAATCACTATTTACACTCATCTAAGACCCTATTTCCAGTTAATAACTCGAAAAAAACCCCGGAAAAACACGAAAAACTGAAGAAAAACATGAAAATAGGAGAAAGAAAACACATTTTCGAAATGAAAACAAAAAGAAAAAACGTTGACGCTTGTCATTTTTTCGAGACCCAGCACACAAATTGTGTTTGTGCACCTTGAAACTACAGTACTTTTTTCTTTTTTTAAGAGACGTTTTTTGTAAGAGCGAAAATGTTTGCTACGCATCTCGGACAAAAAATTTTAGGTCTTCAAATGGGCTGAATTTTTTTTATTTGACAGCTACAGTACCCAGGACAAAATTCCACACAAAATTTTGACCTAAAAAAATTTCGGGAGTACTGTATGCGCCTTTGAATGCACACAGTCAAATTTCTTAGATCAGTCGGAACTTATGTTAAAGTTAAGCTTTTTTCATGATTAAAAAAGCAAAAATGATTGTTTTTACGAGAGAAAAACGATGGAAGCGTCGAAAAATCATGAAAGTGAACGTGGAAAATTTTTTTGAAAAATCGATTTTTTCACTTCCTTTAGGAAAATTTTTCGCCCATCCAGACCGCAACCATTCGATTCCTCGTGCGATTTTACCTATATTTCGATAATAAAATCAAAAAATCATGTCGACCCCGGTAGTCTTTTTTACAACCGAAAACTTCCCATAAGCGCGCGCACATACACACATTTGTGTGTCATTAAACTCACAAGAGCGCATTGAAATTTGTTTTTTGTATCTTATTTCTTTTTAAATATCGATAGATAACATTTTATACCAAATATATGTCCAAGAACCCTATATTCTATGAGAAATTATAGCTCAAACATAATTATTTCCAACAATTTAGAACAATTTTAGAGAATTTTTTGACTTGTGGTCTAAAAAAAAAGTTATGCTTATCAATTTTAATTTTTGGTGGTATATAGAGTAGCTTCCATGTGTATACCACGCTAAATGTATAATTCTCCTGTTTTCTGATAAAATATACGGCGTTTGGAAATATGTATAAGTCTCAACGAATTACAGAAAAATCTATAACTAAAATGACATGATTTCTATACATTTTTTTTGGAAAAAGTCGAATTTTTCACGTTTCTCGAAAAAATATTATTAAAAACATCGAAAATCGAACAGATATCATCTCGAAAGTTGAAAAAAGTTTGTCCAGGGATGAAATCAACCACACAAACTTGTATTTCTTACAGCGAAAAGAACACTTCACTCATACGTTCAGAATTTATCCAAAAACATTGTTATTGTCACACTGTGATCTTAAATTATGATTTTTTCGTAATTTAGTTTATTTTCAGATGAAAAAAAGTTTCTCGCTCTTTTATGTGTATTTATGTGTGCGCACACATGTGTGTGTAGGTGCGCGCGCTTATGGGAAGTTTTCGGTTGTAAAAAAGACTACCGGGGTCGACATGATTTTTTGATTTTATTATCGAAATATAGGTAAAATCGCACGAGGAATCGAATGGTTGCGGTCTGGATGGGCGAAAAATGTTCCTAAAGGAAGTGAAAAAATCGATTTTTCAAAAAAAATTTCCACGTTCATTTTCATGATTTTTCGACGCTTCCATCGTTTTCCTCTCGTAAAAACAATCATACTTGCTTTTTTAATCATGAAAAAAGCTTAACTTTAACATAAGTTCCGACTGATCTAAGAAATTTGACTGTGTGCATTCAAAGGCGCATACAGTACCCCCGAAATTTTTTTAGGTCAAAATTTTGTGTGGAATTTTGTCCTGAGTACTGTAGCTGTCAAATAAAAAATTCAGCCCATTTGAAAATTTTGACTTTTTTTTGTCCGACAGCTTTTTCACTTTTACAAATAACGTCTCTTAATTTGTTTGCTTTTTGAAAAAGTAAGAGTTTTGGGCGTTAAATTTGTATTTCCGATGAAATAAAACGTGGATTGTTTGAAAATGAGAATATCAAGAAAATTAAAGATTATTGATGCATTTTTGGTTGTTCCAAGTGTTGATTTATGAATACATGAATAAAAAAAATTGAACATCCAAACTCGGCTCTAATTGAAGTTGTAAAAAACCAAAAAATATATAGTTAATCGGTTTTGATCACTAAAATCACTGATGAAACGTTTATGCTTAATATAATCCTTGTTTTCAAGCGAATTTCGTCTAACCAGTTTTTCACCGTTTTTGGACCCGTTGACTAAAAGTTGAGTTTCGACACCAATGTTCATTTCCATTCTTACGATACAGATATATAGAAAATTCGATGCGAAAACCTTTGTAGGTACTTTTTGACAAAAAAGAATCATCATTTAGCTAGAACCAACTCACAGGAGCTGACCGGTTCTTCATCCGTTTTCGACCAGTTGAGCTAGAAACTGGCACCTTGGTCAAAAGTCTGAAAAACTGACGAACTTGATGCGAAATGAGTTTCTAATGCTTCTCAAGGTCATGAAAGATCATTTGGTGCTAGGACTTATTCTAAATCCGAACCAGTTTGCTTCCGGTTTTTCACCAGTTCGACTGAAAACAGGAATCTCCGATATTTCGACTGAAAATAGTCAAAATGTGTGCGAACATGTTCTAAACACTTTCAGATAGTCTTTATATTCCAAATTGATTTTATAAATCCTAAAATTTGAAACCGATTTTAAGCCAGTTTTGGACCAGTCGCTTTTCAACGGGCTCAAAACTGGTATGAAACTGGCCAACGGTCCGTAACGGGCCGGTTACGGGCAACTTGCGATCTGCCTGTGTGTTTTAGGCGCGCCCGAAATTGCTATCATATTTTTCATGTCTGATTTTTAGTGGCAGTATGGGCGCTCTATAGAAGAATTCCACTTGTTTTTTTGATGGCAAAAGGGCAACATTCAAAAGTACATCAGTCTTATCAAATATCTTTATGACTTATGTGCAGGTTACTGTAGTTTAGAGTGGAAAAGGGAATTTTTTAGATTAATATTTATTGTCAAACATACAGTAATCTCGAGAAATTTTCTGTAGATCAAAAAATAGTCTAGGGTACTGTAGTTGAATGTCAATGAAATTTTATCGTTAGTTAGTTCAACTTGAACACACTTTTTTCTGTGATCCCTCATGTTTTGGCGAGAAAAACCCCAACTTACCGTTCCGTCTTCAAAGCATCCTTCCACTTCCCAATCCGTCACATTCTCCTTATAATTCTCCTTCAAAAAATCAAAATACTCTGCAAAATCCGAGTTTTCATAAACACGATATCCATTTTCGGTGGCAAATCTTCGCAATTTGAAATTGGCCTGATCTTCAGTTTCCATGCCTAGTTGCTCTCCCGAAAACAACAGTTTGAAAAACAAAAAGTTGCGCTTCATAAAAGTATTGGATTCCGTGAAAGTTCGACTGAATATTTTATAGCTCATACGTGGAATGTGCAATGTGGTGATTGAGCAGGTATTATTCTCCCAAGGCTCTTCCTGAAAACAAACATTTTTGTAGATAAATAGGCTAATTTAGGCATAGTCTAACTCACCTCATCTCCAATAATCAAAGCTAAATTCTGAAAAGGCTTTCGATAAATAATATTGTCATAATTCTTACAAATCACTTCAAATCTCGCAAACGGAATTGTGTAATTTGTAAACATCGTGAGTTCGGTTAGAGTTCCCTCATCTCCCATTTTCTGATAATAACAATCGAAATCCTCTGTTCCGAGAAATTCATTTGCAGTGTCTTGGAGTTGGATTTGACCATTCATGTGTTGAATTACAAGAAGTTCGTCTTTTTTCTTGGAGCATTGCGATCTGAAAGATTCTGGAGAATTTTTGAATGTCGAAAAATAAACCCGAAACATATACGTTTCAGGTAAAAATCTCACTTAAAATCATAAGCATGATAATCACCAACATCACTACTATCCAAAAAAATATAGGGAATTTTGCAACTATTCGCCATCATCTCAACAATATCCCGATGCGTATAAACCTTTGTATATTGCGGTTTATAAGCCAACTGATAACTTTTGATAACTTCCAATTGAGCCTCACCGATTCCGATAACTCGAAGAGACATATAAACAATGAGAGCTGTTACGATTGCGAAGACTACTGTGGCAACATACATCTGAAATGCAGTTAGAGGTTTTGGAGAGAAAAAATGGTGAAGACTAAATTCAAAAATGAAAGTTATTAGACCTTGGAGATCAGAATATAGAAACCGAGAAAAAAATTAGGCAAAGTTAAGATGAATCTAAAATTCTACAGAAACACCTTTATATTCCTACAAAAATTTTGAACCTATTCAAGAACCACTGTGCCCACCCACATTGTATTCTTGGTTTATCGAATCCAGAAAAAAAATGAGGATTTTATGATGAGGAATAGAAATAATTAACGAATGAAACAAAATGAGGGCTAAGATCGGATTTGTACATTGGAAAAGAGAGGAGAAGGAAACCAGAAAACCAGTTTCTAAAGAAAGGTGATTTTTTGTTTCATTCATTCACTCATTCAATTCAATTCCACTATCATTATGTCATGTGGCGAATATTCGGCTAGCTTATCTGAAGTGAGAAGAAAATACGGATCCTGATGCTTGGAGAGAAAGTGTTCTGTAGTTTCGTGTTTTATTAATCACATTTTTGCGTGGATGAGAGAAAATAAATCGCATCAACAATCAGTTTTCTTTGCATTTGATCAAGAACTTTATCATAAATGAATGGTGACGGGCTTGTTACGTATTTTCAGTTTTCTTGTTTTTGAGATTTGAGGATTTCATGGTTGAATACACAAAATAGGATATAGTTATGACGTGGCAAACTTATTAGCAAATGCCATTTTTTTGAAGATGAATTAGAGACCTTTTTCAATTGGAAGAACCTGATTCCCTTTGAACTGAAATATTGGATGTAGTTATAAAATGTTCAGAACTTTTTTTTAGAAAGTTTAACATGAGCAACTTTTAATTCATAGAACATTTTCAAATGCCACGTGGAATTCATACGTATAAATTTTCCTGACCAACATTTTTCGAAATGAAATTTATTCCGCTTTTTTGAAGTTTGATATGAGCAACAGTTTTTATAACAACATTTTAAGACGCCACGTGCAATTTCTAGAACTTTTCATTAAATTTAACATGAGCATCAATTTTTCAAAGAAAATTCCCAGATACTACGTGATATTTCTAGAACTTTATATAAAGTTTAACATGAGCAATGGGTAATTTTCCATTGCAAATAAACCGTGGAAAAATTCTAGACAAAAATTCATTCAGAACTCGTGTGCAAAGCTGAAAACTTTCACTAAAAAAACCAAATACAAATTATTTCCAGAAAAACAACAGAAATTTCAACTCTATATAAAAATCCTGTATTTTTCCTGGAAGATTTTTTATTTAAAGTCCTCAAAATTTCTAGTTTTCTCTCACATTGCACTTTATTCTTATTCCAACTTACGCAATCTTCCTCCGGTGGCAAACTGGATTTCTCAATTCTCCGATTTTTCCGTTCACTGAACATTTATATCTAAAACTATCTCTAATTTGATCAAGTGGTGTTGTTGTAAAAATAAGATCTCAACAAAAAAAAAACGTTTATTATTTCGGGTAATCACAATAGTCAAGATTATAGTTCATAAAATCGCCATCAAAGATGTAAATATGAGCAAAAGGAGACTTCCACCAAGATCCTTTCATACAAAATTGTGATTCAGCTTGATCGCAAACTTTATAACTTCCAATTGCCATATGACTTGGATAGAAGATCTCGATTCCATTGTGAATTGCTTGTGGCAATATTTCCGAGACTCTCAAAGGCATATCAGGTATCAAATCACCATCGCGAACAACTCGATAATGCTTGCGAACGTGCTGGTTCAACAGTTCCACAAATGTTTCATCGCCTGCTCGAGGACCACTCCAACTATACAAATCAACATTCCTATCAGGATACATTCGTGCAAGATGTAAACTAAAAACCGTGGCCAATGAGCCACCCAAAGAGTGTCCACAAGAAATGAAATCATAGTTAGGATACTTGGTAGCCACCTGGTTTATAAATACATCAAAACCACTGTTCAAAATAGTGTTGTAAGAATTCAGATAATATCCAACAATTTTTCCGCCAAGCGGGAAAGGTTCAAGCCAGTTTAACATGAACACAAAATATTGCATTAGAAGTTGTCTCCAATGATTGGTGCTTCTGAAGCCGGCAACAATATGTTTCAAATCGTGATTAACTAGGATTATATAGCCGAGGGACCAGCTATCCATAGTTTCATTGACTTCAACTTCGCGGATCAAAGTGAAATTGTCGCGAAGATTCAAAAGGCACGACATGGGCTGAAAAAAATTTTTCACCACCAATTTCTGAAATTTCCCATAAGAAAATAGACATACCGCTCCAACAGGACTTGTTGATGCCACCCGATTTGCTGCATGAATATAATATAGAATAACTTCGCGATTCAGCGTCTCATTAAATCCCGAACTCGCCTCTTGAATATTCAACGGACAGTTCACTCTATGAACCACCGAATATTTTGGATCACACATATACATCGATGGAACACACGTTCCATTTCCATCAAAACACCATCGACATTTCATAGAGTTGTCGATTTGTCCAGCGCATCCTTCACAATTTGAGAATTGTGAGCATTCTAGATTTTCAGCAAAAATTGTTGGGGGAAAACAAAAAACTAGAACAAGAATAATAAGATTTTGATAAAGCATGAGTGAATAAAATAATTAGTAAATGAGCAAGTTGAGAGGAATGAGCAAGCAGACAGGTGAAAAAAAAAGTTTTTTACTCATTTTTTGAGCAACTAGGAAAACACAGCACACTGGGAGAACATGTGAAAAATGTGGCGAAACGAAACTTTTCCCCAGAAATTTTCTGAACCATTGCCACGTTTATAGAAATTTGGGGGATCCCAGTTACCAAAAATTCATATAAATTTATAGTTTTCGAAATTTTTATTTTTAAAATTTTCAAACTTCCTAAAGCTTGATCTCCCTCATATTTTTCATGTTATTCATCAACCGCAGTTTCTATATATTTTCCCTTACAAATTCGATCAAAAATTCTATGAATATATTCAAATTCAACACGCGATACCTTTTTTCTACTGCATACATCTTCTTATTTATGCCATAAATCCTTTTGAAAATGGTGAGTTATATATTTTTTCAATAAAAATGTCATCTAATAAAAATTTAGTTTGGCTGGATTCATGAAAGTTTTCGACAATTGGTGACAAGAAAATATGGAAAAGATATTTGGGAGAAAATTGTGTTAGTTTCTTTCCTTCATATAAATTCTACTGATTCTGAATACATAATTTGTAGATCTTTGGCAAAATTCGAGCTTGGAACTGAAAATGAAATTGCTCATTATTACAATGATGAAGAAACATTACGAATTGTTGATGCGATGGCAAATGTAATTGGAATACCAGTTGAAGAAATATGGGAAGCTTATGGTGGTTTTTTGATTCAATTTACTATGGAAACTGGGTGGGATGAATTACTTCGAGCAATGGCTGCTGATTTAGAGGTTCGATGAATCATAGATCAAATAATTACTATAAATTCAAATATTCAGGGATTTTTGGACTCTCTCGATTCATTGCATTATTTTATTGATCACGTTGTATACAAAACAAAATTACGTGGTCCATCTTTTCGATGTGATGTTCAACAAGATGGCACACTTTTACTGCACTATTATTCCAAAAGAAGTGGATTATATCCTATTGTAAAAGGTGAAAGCATTCTTATTATTTTTATCAAACCACATAAGAAATTATAGGTGTTGTTCGAGAAGTTGCGCGTCGAATTTATGATACTGAAGTGGTTATGAGAGTTCAAGAAAGAAAACAAGAACATTTAGATGCATATGTAACAGAACATGTTGTTTTTGTTATAACTCAAGTTGAACATCAAAACAGTGTTCAGAAATCAATGTCGTCAAAATCTGATTCATTGGTTGATTTATCTTCGGGAATTTATGATATTTCTCCAGCAGATTTTGCACAAGCATTTCCTTATCATATATGTTTTGATCCCGATCTTTTACTTGAACATTGTGGAAATTTCATTAAAAAGACATTTCCAGATGCAATAATTCATGAAACTCCAATAACAGAAATGCTCGAACTTGTTCATCCAGAAATTCCATTTTCCTACGAATCAATCAAATCATTTAAAAATAGTCTCTTTATTTTTCGATTAAAAGGAAGTGGAAGTAATTCATCTGGTGAAGATCGATCTATTTTATTGAAAGGTTCAATGGTTTTTATTGATGAAGGAAAATATATACTTTATATGTGTTCTGTGAATGTAACAACAGTTCGAGAATTGATTGATCGTGGAATTCATATATCAGATATGCAAAGACATGATGGAACAAGAGATCTTATTATGTTGAATCAAAGTAGAATGAGTCAAGTTGAATTGAAGTTTGTGACATACTGTATTTCTTTAAAAAATTATATTTTCTCAGTCGAACTTTGGAAGAAACTACAAAGACATTGAAAAAAATGGCACAGGAATTAGAAATCGAGAAACGAAAAACTGATGATCTTCTTTGTGAACTAATGCCAGCTTCAGTTGCAGACAGTTTAAGAAGTGGACAACCATCAGATGCGAGTAAGTTCATTTAGATGAAATATGTATATGATATAAATTATAAAAAATTACAGAAGAGTTTGCCGATTGCACTCTTCTTTTCACAGATATTGTAACATTTACAAACATCTGTGCTTTATGTACTCCATATGATGTTGTTTCTCTTCTAAATGATTTGTATCTTCGTTTTGATCGTTTAGTTGGATTGGTTAGTTATTGTCTTTTTTGGCTCTAAATCAATTACATTTTTCAGCACGATGCTTACAAAGTAGAAACAATTGGAGATGCTTATATGATTGTTGGTGGAGTTCCAGAACATTGTGATAATCATGCTGAAAGAGTTTTGAATATCTCAATCGGAATGTTAATGGAATCAAAACTTGTTCTCTCTCCAATCACTCATAAACCAATCAAAATACGTCTTGGAATTCATAGTGGATCGGTTGTAGCTGGAGTTGTTGGAATCAAAATGCCACGATATTGTCTATTTGGAGACACTGTGAATGTGGCAAATAAAATGGAATCTTGTGGAGTTATGTGTAAAATACATATAAGTGAAACAGCAAAAGCAAATGGATTGAAATCGAATAAAAGTTATGTATTCATTGATCGAGGAAACACTGAGATTCGTGGAAAAGGATTTATGTATACATATTTTTTAGAAAGAAATGATCGAATTAGTGTTTGGGAATTGTGTGCAAGACCAAGATGTTCGTTTTTTTTCAGAATAATTATTAAATGTTTTTTTTTACTTTTCAGCGAGTGAACAAACAATTGATGGTTATATGGAATTACACGATCAATCAATTTATCAAGAAAATGCTGAAGAAACAGAAGGAAACGCTCCAGTAAATGGATCGAGTGTAGATCCAGCAAGTCATCATATTCGATCTCCAACTTGTACTATTGTTTGAAAATCGATATATATTTTGCTCTTTCCCTAAAAATATAAAGTTTGGATGACAAAATTCAACCGCTAACCTAGCAATTATCAATTATTTTTCAGTTGTGAATTGTCATCCTTACCTTCATTCCCCAACTAATTTCTTTTTATACATTTTTTATTTTTCTCGATAAAATAATAATTTCAATAATTATGTATTAGTTTTTTTCTTCAGAACTTTGTCAGAATGCTTCCTGATCTTGTGTATCGCAGCAACGACTATTGGACCCGATCGAACAGTGATGTTGCAGCTGCTAGCTTAGCTGCCGCTCCATGTGTGGCTAGTCTCATCTTGTTGCTCTTCGCAGCTCGTGGCGTCAGAAAAATCGTAAAATCTCCTTACGGAACTCTTTGCAAACATCAAATGGCTACTCGAGCACTTTCTTCTTTGGTGATTGCGAGTTTCTATTTCGCTGTTATGCTGTAAGTATCCAAGGCATGTAATCCATTACAGGGTGACCCAAAAAAACTGAAACAAACTTCGCTCAATAAAACCTATTCCGCAATTTTTAAACTGAACATTCTGATCATGAATTATACATTCCAATACCATTAGCTAAATAACTGTTAAATTTGTTTTTGAAATTCACGTGTTTCACGTGATCCGCACTAGGGAAAAGAGTGAAATTGAAAACGTTGTTTGGACGCACCTCTTCAGAAATTGCAAACTTTGAGTTTCAGTGTCTTTAACTCTCTTCGGAGCTTTCAGATATCTTATATGTTTCATGAATCAAATAGAGCAACTCTAGAGGAGCATTTTTCACTATACTTTTCTTAACTTTCGTTTCGAATTACATATTTTACGAGTGGTTTTGTGAAACCGGTCGAATTTTTCCGTTTTCATGAAATTTTGATCTCTGACTGGCACCAAAATCAAAACTTCGACTATTCATCTTCCATCTTTGATTTATTAGAGCCCTATCATTGTTTTAATGTAGAGCTATGAGATGCCAAAACTTTTCAACGCAAAAAATTCGAAAAAACTGAAAATGTGCTTTTTGGAAATTGATTTTCCAATTTTCAGTGGTCTTTTAAATCAGAAGTTGTGAACTTCGTTTAAGTTCAATGGAAGATATGTTTTGTATAAAATTGAGTACTAGGGTTGTACTTAGTCCACCGAAGGCATTTAATGAATAATTTTCAAAATTACGTCTGAACTGGACCCGACTTTGCATTTATGACATGCGTCTTTTTGACCGTTTTTTTAATCCTAGATTTTCACGTCCTGCTCACGTCAAAAAGAATATATAACAAAATCATCTTGGATTTAGCTTTTAGGAGGTCTTAGATAACCCATGAGTAAGTCATATTATATTTTTCAATCCTGCTCCCAAGTAAAATTCAAAAAAACTTTGTTTCATTTTTTTTGGGTCACCCTGTAATATTAATTCACAGTAACATTGAATCTATTCTCAATTGCTCTCAAATCTTCGGCCACGTTTTCAAAATACTCCAATTGATAAATACACTTTCGTACGTAACAACTTGTTTTGAAAGACACATTTGCATCGTATATCCAAATTATCATAAATGCCTTCTTACAACTAATCTTCTTCGCATTTATCTTGGCTTAAGTTGGATTTTTTCAGCCGTCTATACATTGTTTTTCAGTTTTTGTGGGTTTTTTTGCTATTAGATCTTGCTATTCAAATACATCATGACCAGGTTGAACCATAAACTTCCAGATCAATGCGACTACCAATTTTATTACTATGGATGGGTTTTTACCGACACCAACTGCCCCAATTTCCTCTTTGCCCCATTTGTGTGGATTCAAATTATTATTGGTGTCATCGCCTTTTACCTCAATTCCAGAACTTTATATGTGATTAAAAATAACAAGGTATGTATATAGACTTCTAACTCGAAAAAACCAAAATTGTTCCTATTCAGAAAATCTTTGAAAATGCCGACCCGCTCACTCTTAAACGCGAAATCAATTTTTCCAAACTTGTCGCCGCCCAAGGACTTGTTTTCATGATTTTTGGAATTCTCTACCTTCTTGCCAATCAATTTTTTGCAAATGATTTGGGAGAATGGGGAATTTTTTGGACCTTCACGTTCTCTTACAGTATCTTACATCTTGTAGACAGGTATTGAAATAGAACTTGTTCAGAAAAACAAAAAAAAAATGTTTTTTTTTCAGCGCGATCATGATTTTCTACAACTATGATCTTATGACTTGGATCAAACCAAAAAATAACAAAATTTTTGTTTTTATTGTAACTCCGCCAAGCACCGATGAGTGAACTCTTCTAAATTTATCTTCATTTTTTTTGGAAAATTTAAAATTGTGTTATTGAGTTATGACAAGCCATTGATTTTAGGCCTAAATTTCATTTTTGAATAAATGAACGTTATGAACAAAAAACACGTGATCTAACCACTTGACCATTTCTGACACAAGAAATGACTGTAGCTCGAAGAAAATTTTGACGTGAGAAAAAGTTACGCCTAGGAGTACAAATTGTGAAGTTTAATGAGAAATAGATTATAAAAGAAAAAAATAAATTTAAAACAAAATTGGAAATCGCGTGCACAAAACTATGAAAAAATAATGTACCTATGAAATATTTTATAGTTTGTTTTTTCAATAAAATCTGGAAGCTGATCCTATACCATCAAGTGTAATTCAACGCTTCATCTAATCATTTAAACATAGTAATTTATAAACAACTTTCCTTTAACATCAATAGTAATTACAGGGTGACCCAAAAAAAATGAAACAAAGTTTTTTTGAATTTTACTTGGGAGCAGGATTGAAAAATATAATATGACTTACTCATGGGTTATCTAAGACCTCCTAAAAGCTAAATCCAAGATGATTTTGTTATATATTCTTTTTGACGTGAGCAGGACGTGAAAATCTAGGATTAAAAAAACGGTCAAAAAGACGCATGTCATAAATGCAAAGTCGGGTCCAGTTCAGACGTAATTTTGAAAATTATTCATTAAATGCCTTCGGTGGACTAAGTACAACCCTAGTACTCAATTTTATACAAAACATATCTTCCATTGAACTTAAACGAAGTTCACAACTTCTGATTTAAAAGACCACTGAAAATTGGAAAATCAATTTCCAAAAAGCACATTTTCAGTTTTTTCGAATTTTTTTGCGTTGAAAAGTTTTGGCATCTCATAGCTCTACATTAAAACAATGATAGGGCTCTAATAAATCAAAGATGGAAGATGAATAGTCGAAGTTTTGATTTTGGTGCCAGTCAGAGATCAAAATTTCATGAAAACGGAAAAATTCGACCGGTTTCACAAAACCACTCGTAAAATATGTAATTCGAAACGAAAGTTAAGAAAAGTATAGTGAAAAATGCTCCTCTAGAGTTGCTCTATTTGATTCATGAAACATATAAGATATCTGAAAGCTCCGAAGAGAGTTAAAGACACTGAAACTCAAAGTTTGCAATTTCTGAAGAGGTGCGTCCAAACAACGTTTTCAATTTCACTCTTTTCCCTAGTGCGGATCACGTGAAACACGTGAATTTCAAAAACAAATTTAACAGTTATTTAGCTAATGGTATTGGAATGTATAATTCATGATCAGAATGTTCAGTTTAAAAATTGCGGAATAGGTTTTATTGAGCGAAGTTTGTTTCAGTTTTTTTGGGTCACCCTGTATGAATTAAAAATTTTACCCAATATTTTTCAATAAAACTCTAATCTCACCTGTTAGTTTTGTCCCCCCCCCCCTTGAACCTCAAAATAAACTAACTTGACTGGCCCGTTCCGTGAAAAGTTGTTGATCTCTTTGAATGTCCTGTCCAAACGAAACATCTTCTTCTTCGGAAGCCTGAAACTTCTACATTCTTTTTCTCAAAATCTTCGCCTATTCTTAAACTTACATCAGAAAATGACAATTGTGGATTTTATGGGACCGCTGCATTCTGTGACGGTTGTCTCTGAAAAAAATAAGAACATTAAAAAATGTACCGAATCACCCCATTAATAACACTTTCTGCGCTGAAAAAACCAGAAAAATAATACAGTTCGAAAAAAAACGTTCAATCAATAAATAGTTTCTTTTCAAATAAAAAACATGTATATTCATATCTCTCACTCTCTAACCCTCTCTCCATTTCCCACACTCTCTCATCTACCCTGCAAAAAAACAATAAAATAAATACGATAAACAACGCGCACGCGGAGTATCGTTGTTTTTCTTTAATTTTTTTTGCACGGCATTTATATTTTTTGCTTTTTTTTCTGGTTTTTGAGTGGTTTTTTCAGCGTAGAAAAAGTTGTTAATGGGTTGATTTCGTAAATTTTTTAATTTTCTTATTTTTTTCAGAGACAACCGTCACAGAATGCAGCGGTCCCATAAAATTCACAATTGCCATTTTCTGATGTAAGTTTCAGAATAGGCGAAAATTTCGAGAAAAAGAATGTAGAAGTTTCAGGCTTCCGAACAAGAAGATGTTTCGTTTGGACAGGACATTCGAAGAGATCAACAACTTCCCGCGGAACGGGCCAGTCAAGTTAGTTTATTTTGAGGTTTGGGGGGAGGGGGGGGAACAAAACTAACAGGTGAGATTAGAGTTTTATTGAAAAATATTGGGTAAAGTTTTTTATTCATAATTACTATTGATGTTAAAGGAAAGTTGTTTATAAATTACTATGTTAAAATGATTAGATGAAGCTTTGAATTACACTTGATGGTATAGGATCAGCTTCCAGATTTTATTGAAAAACAAACTATGAAATATTTCATAGGTAGATTAATTTTTTCATACTTTTATGCGCGCGATTTCCAGTTTTTTTTTGAATTTATTTTTTAGTTTGTTTTGAATTTATAGGATTTGTAAAGCTAGAAAACTTTCGTTTTTTTTTTCATTTATTTCAGATTTATGCCAGATTCCTGCTGAATTCCCAAAATTAGAAATCACGAGAATTTGAAGAAAAGTTTTTAGAAATTTGAGATTTAGATACTATTTATTTTAAGAAAATCTGAATTCCTATATCCAACAATAATCTCAAATGCCACGTGACAACCTAAAGTTGACGATTCTGATACCGAATTGCCACGGAGCCTCAATCTTTTCGACAACAGAAAAACAAGAAAGCGAAAATATTTTATTCACTTATTCACATGTTCTTTTTAATCGATTTACTTCACTTTTTGACAAAACTTCTCCAAACTTTCATCTTGCACATATTCGAATTGCACATCATTTACCAGCGAGGAACAGGTCAGGATGAGAAAACATAGAAAAAAAAACTGATTTTTTGCAGGTGTCGAGGTCTTTTTATAGCCATAAAATTGGACCACGCGAAAAAAATTAGGTCACGTTTTTTTTTTCAAAAATCATTTCTGTCTCTTTATTTTTGCAGTAAATATTTTTCGCAGGATGTTTTCGCATGGCTGAAACTTGGCTGAAAACAAATATTAGAATGATGACCTAAAGTTATTTTTCTTTCTGTTTTCTTGAGATGCGAATTACAGGCTTCTACGTAGCAATTTTAAAAATTCTTGGAATTTTGGATAAAAAACAAACCCTAAAATTTCTCGATCACTTTTTCGATTTGCCACGTGGCATCTGAAATTTATCGAAACTATCAGTTCCTCTTTTAATTTTCAGAATTTATTCCAAAACAAAATTCTAGTCGCACTTTTTCATCATCACCCAATTATAGCCTACAAGTTTTATTTGTTTCCTGGACTTTTTAAGAAAATGAACCAATTTTAATTTTCCATTTTAAATTCACAACAGAGTTAATGCTCTAAAAATTTTACGCTTATTAAAAAATTCGAGCTTGTGAATGGCACACTAAAGTTCACTAGATCAGTTTTATTTTTGTTTTTCACACATTCTCTAAAATAATTTTTATCACGTTTTCCCCAGAGCCCTCCCCAATTAGCTCACATACACTACATTTAACAATTTCATTCTACACAGTCTCTCGAAATGTTCTCCGAACTTGTTTATCAAAGTGCCGATGAATATATCCAAACTTGGGAGGATATTCTAGCAAGTGCTCTCGTCGTTATCTCGTGCCTCATTGGATTGCTCATGGTAATCTTAGCAATTTATGGATGCATCAAAATCCCGTCTATGAGAATCTCACCTTTCGGATATTTGACCAAACATCAATTGATTTCTCAAGGCTTGGCTGCGATTAATAGTGGAAGTTTTTTCCTTGCGGTTTTATTGGATTTCAAAGTTGTGATTTATCATTCGAACATTTTTGGTCTCTTCATAACAATCCTCCTTCCAAGTATATTGCTCATCTATTTTGCGATATCTCTTAACAGATTCCTAGCTCTAGCAACCCCGATTTACTATTCTACACTCTTCGGTATAAAGACTAGAAAATTCTACATTTTGTTCGCCTGGATCACTCCAATCATCTACATGTCAATTCTATTTATTCAATGTAAGTGTCTAAAAATTTATTCCCCAACATATTTATTGCAGATGATTGCTCTTACAAGTTCTATCACTATGGTTGGATTTTTATCGAGAAGCCTAGCGAAATCTGTGGTGCTAAACTCTCCTACCAAATGGTTATCTCACAGGGTCTTCTTTGCCTTACCATGCTTTTTCTGGATTGTGCAACTATTGTGATGTTGGTGTTTTTCAAGGTGAGCAGAGAACTGTTGAGTAGAGCTACTGAACAACAAGGAAATTATGATTAGAAGAAGTGCAGTGATGCATTGTAGATGTGTTTTGCTCGCGATTTTGGGTGATCACTGGAATATGAAGATCAGACACCGCGACGCAACCCAACTAAATTTTTCTAGGACAGAATCGTCAAATCCAAAAGCCCAATAATCCGCAGACGAGAAATCAACTTTGCCCAACAAGTCATAATCCAAGGTTTTGTTTTCACAATGCACGCATTTTGGTACATCTATGGAAATCAATGGATCCCAGGAACATCGGAAAATTGGCGCATTTTCTGGACATCAACTTTTTCTTCAAATTTGCTACATATTTTTGATTGGTAAGGTTGTATTTGTGATGAACTATCAGAACATTTTTTCAGCGGAATAATCTTCATCTTTAATTCGGAATTTTCAAATTGGATTCGAAATTTGAAGCGAAAATCGAGAGTTGTTAGTATTACCGTAAATCATTCATAAACTTGTTTTTTCATAGAAAAAAATTTAATATTTTTTAAAAATCATCATAAATATTGCGGTTTCAAAAATATGTTCCTTGTCTTGCGTTCAAAGAAAAACACCAAAGTCTCGGCGACAGTCAAAAGTGTCGCTCCAACATACAACCCAATAGTTCCACCGATTTCGGCCAACAACAAGAACATGTTGTAGGATTTTTCCTGAATAATGGTTTCTTGTTTGAAGTGAGCAAAGTAGAATTTGATGTGGAGTAGATTGACGACGTCGTATTGATGGGATGGCGAGTAGGATTGAGCCATTTGGAGTTGATTGCGTAGTCGCGACAGCCATTCGCCACGGAGGAAACGGTTTTTCTGAGAGAAGAAATTGGGATGAACTAGACTCTATTTGAGATAATATATAATAACTATGTATTCTCCAGGGAGCAGGGTTGATTAATTTGAAGCTGAGTGATAATTTGTGGCAACAAAGACCAACATCAGTTTTGGAATCACCCCTGAATTGAAAATTCAAAAAATCATACCTTCAACCTTGGCCCATCCTCATGAAGCTCCCGCAAACATTCCGAAGTATTTTCAAACTTCATATTCCACGAATCATCCACAGTAACCCCGGTCAGCGAGCTAAACAGTTTCCTTGATTTCGAAACAGACGTGAAGATTTTCGAAAGTTCCTCAGCAATCTCTGGAATATCAGTGACCATCGATTTTCGAAGTTTCAACATCTCCTCAATCTCCAAAAGATCTTTCCCACCATCGCGATAATTTTGCTCGAAATCTTTGAGATCTATCTCAAAGTTTTTCCAGTCAAACATCTTCACCCTGGATTTCATAAAAGCCAATCGGCTCGTGATTTTGCGCAAGCCTTCCATATATGATTTTATAAGTTGGGTCGATGGATGAAGCTTGGTGTGAACAAAAGAGGCTTCGAGCAGAGGTGTATATCGATTTTTAAAAATTGCACGGCAATCTGGAGCAATCTCTTCAACTCTTTCTAAATTGTCATACATTTTGGTGACACATTCCTTAACCTCCTTGATTAGCGGTGAAGCTGCAAACTTTTTTTTTCTTTTTGGGGGATAAAATTCAGAAAGCTTACCCAACTCCAACACAGTTCTTCTCGTACTCTCATGCATCATAGACAATCGATAATTGAAATTCCTGCGTCCTAGAGAGTTCTCAATCTCCGCCAATTGTATCAAGGAAAACGAGGCGAGTGTCATATTGACTTCAGGGATCGGAAATTCGATTAGATTTCCTAGAGCGTCAAGGTTGAAGCCAAGGCAAGTTGCGGTAATGTTCAGCTCGCGGGCCAGAGATTGTTGAAGGTATCTAAAAAACGTGGAATTTTCATTTTTGTTTTACAAGAAAATATGATTTTTCTAGCGCAGCATAGCTCCAAACCCACGTGCTAATCCTCTCCCAAATCGGCTCGTGTGCATTAAACTGATTAATCATACTCTCATAAGATTTCCCATCGTGAGACAAACAATGAACCTCATTCGAAATCATAGTTTTATTCTTCGAACTTCCAAAAATCATTGAAGCTTCCTCAACGAAATTCTGAAGATCGTCCGCCAAAAGTTGCACATTTTTCACCAGCGGAATAATACGATTTGGCATAACTTCGAGAGCTTTTTGATATTCACCAACACGTTTTTCTTTGGTGTCTTCCCAGTCACTTGGAAGAAGAGAGATTATTTCGCTGGGATTCTGAAATTATTTTAGAAATTTCAGAAGAAATCTTGAGAAAAACTCACCAATTTTCCACCGAAGACAATTGATGAATAGGTTATTTCCTCACAATCATCTGGACAAATTTGATCATCGATTTGAGGTCGGATATTCTGGAGAAAAAATTCCAGAATCACATGCATTTTAGATAACTCACCATTTTCTCATGAACACATTCCATTTCTTGCCGGAGGGTACATTTTTTCCGATATTTCCCCGATTTCTTGCCATTCTTTTTCCCCGTTTTTGTCGTCGAGTTATCCGAAATTCCAGAAACCCAGTCTGGATCTTTCATGATTTCTCGATAAATCGGATTTCGAATCGGAATGCAGCCACATGCTTTTTCGATTTCTTTGACGGTCACGGACCATTCGCAAGCGGATTTTGAGTATTCTTGTGCGCTGGAAAAGCAATTGAGGATCAAAATCGTCTTGAGTTCAAGCTCACCTAAAAGATTCCATTTTTGTACTTCCACAAGTCGTCTCATATCTCTGCAATTTTCTAACTTCATTCACAGGAATCGTCACAATTTTTCCGGCTTCCAAATGAATTCCTTCAGAATAATGTGACAGCGAGCTAGCCCCATCATAAATCGATAAAATCACTCCGGGCTCAAAAACTGTGCCCGGAACTATGTCGTGCACTTCGAGATTCAAAACTAATGATAGCGTGGTTTCTGGCCCCGGCCGGAGAATTGTTTTGTTTGGGGAAACTGAATAGCAGAGACCGTTGGGTGTGTACATTGGTCGAATTTCGTCTTGACATGAGCCGGATTTTCCGAATTCACAGCTCACGAAAAGATCATCAGCAGATTGGAAGGAGTTACGGTAAATTGAGAGGATGTCAACGTCATTAAATTTGTCGAGTTCATCAAATTTTGACGAATTTTGGGAGTTCTGGAAAATTAATTGGTTTTTTTGTTCTCAAAGTGGCAAATATTTTTACCGGATCATTCAGCACATTACACATTGCTCTCAATAATTCAGGATTCTGACTAGCCACTGCCGATGCTTTCATCTGCATCTTATTACAAACTCCAATCGTCGGAAAATACATATTCGAAAGTGTATCATAAGTTCTTCGAGTACTCAACGGGTTTTTGATAAAATAATATGTTATCCGCTCAAAAACCTGATACACAGTTAGACCTATGAAGAAGATCAAAACACACGCCCAAAGAATTCTGAAAAAAATATGAAATTTGAGAATTTAGCGGAAGTCTACACCATTTTTTTGCAAAACGTACCGAAACCAGGTTTTATATCTTGTGTGCAAATACCGGAAGCCTAACATTGAAGTGTCTTCGGCGAACTGATTTACAGCTGTGGAATCCTGATCTTCACCATTTGACATGTGATTATTGTTGTTCTCTTCGATGAATTGCTCTATTTTTATCTGCAAAAAAAAACTTTTTTTAAACACAGAGCTGAATGCTTCTGAGAATTCGAAATTTAAATATTTTTTTCTTAACAGAACGAAATTGGTCCACGTGAAAAATCAGATTTTCTCCGATTTCAACACAGGATGTTTGTTTTGCGGTGGATGTTGATCTGTGTTGAGAAATTGCAAGAGAAATCAAAGATTGCTGGATGACTGGGATTTTTTTTGAAAGGTGAAAAATTGGCACAAAAACTCCATGTTAATTTTTCTTCGAAAAAAATCTTGAAAAAAATTCTTTGTGAGCTTCAAAGTTTGTGTTCTCACGTGGTAGAAGTTTTGAAACTGGTAGATCAAAAACATCCACGTGGAATTCTGAATTTTCGGTTTAAAAAATCGATATGGCAAAAATTGTTTTAAAATTTTTGAGGCTCAAAAGGTTTCCAAGTTTGGAACCCCAGGTCTGAAAAATCCAGGTGGCATTAATTTCATATCTAATTTTCTCTCAGATTTTTAAGATTAGGGTATCCACGTGGTTTTTCAAAACTCAAATTTCAAAACTCAACTCCAGATATTTTGAATCATTATAAAAACCTTTCTGAAATATCAAGAATTTCCTTAACATCCCTAAATATAAAACCCCGCTTACCTTAATTGGTGACGTGGCACTTGCACATCCATCAATATCTTCAGATCTTCGTTTCCTCGGCATTTTTTAAAAAATTTTCGAAAATTCAAAAGTCCACCAAAAATCTTCTCCGAATGAATAAAATGAAAAGAAACAGAAAAATCTGCTTTTTTCTCTGAATGAAAGAAAACCGATCGGAAGTATTTTCATTACACGGGATTTAAAATGGCCCACATTTTTTCGAAACAAAAAAATTTCGAGACGTGCACTTTTGAAATGCAAACAACAAAATTTTTAAAATTTCAAAAAAAAAAGAAAAATACGTGGATTCGTGACGTGAGATCTTATCTAAAAATGGGAATAAAAGGGCGGTTTTTGGTCAGAAAATTCATAAATCTCTACTTGGAGTCTACTAACTAACAACTTGGTAAGTCGGGGGAAATTGGGATACTGTAGGTGACCCAGAGGGTACGGTAGATCAATCAATAAATTTTCAGAAACTCGTACTAACAAAATATGGGAAATCAACTAGTCCGCCCACCAGCTGTTAAACGCGACAAACCAAATCACGCCTCACAAAAATGGTCGATGAAAAAAGCGGGAAAAGGCATCGACACTTCGAATAAGTTGCCAAACGTGGCGCCACGTCGACAATGTCTCGTCAGATTGTTGAAACAAAATCGCATTCATGACTATTTGCAATTGGAAAAGGAGTTTATTCTGCGACAAAATCAATTGAAACCGATGCAAGTGCAAAAGAGGAATGAGCAAAAGATGGTGCAACAATTGAGAGGAACACCAACCAGTTTGGCGAGAATTCATGAGCTTTTTGATGATGAAAAGGTGCGTCCCCTTCCTTTTCTGCTTTTTCGCCCGCGCTATTCTTATTTGAGAAAAGAGTGAGAGGAAAATGTGGCCGCGTGGCCTAATGGATAAGGCACCAGACTTCGAATCTGGGGATTGTAGGTTCGAGTCCTGCCGTGGTCGAAATTTTTTGCATTTTTTTCTCGCTCTTTGAAAATTAGGGTTTTCCATAGGAAAGAAGTAGCGCTACTACTAGTAGAAAAACAATTGTTTCCATACTTTTTTTCTGTTGTTGGCGTTAATTGTCACGTAAAATGTTTTATTTTGGAAATTTTTGGTAGAAAACATTTCTGAAAAACAACTCTCAAGAAGCCTCCACGTGGAAAATTTTGATATCATACTTTCTCAATTTTAGTTCAGCATCCATAATACGGTGAAATTCCAGCCTGAAGCTTCTGAAAAGCTGAAAATTGATCAAAGGCGCACCGGTTTTCTCGGAAATATCTTGACGCGACTGTTTTTTCGTGTAGTTCTCGCGGACAAATTCAAAAAATTATTTTTTTTTGCGTGCGCGAAAGTCGTTTTTCTGACCTAAATCCAGAGATTTCCAGGATTTTTTTTTGTAAATGAGATGCATGGGCTTCTAAGGCATCTGAAATAGTTAGTCTTACCACGAAAACTCTAGCTTCTGGCTTAAAAATAGGCTTTTTATCGAAAATTCCAATTCTCCCTCAAATTTGACTGAAATCAATGTTTTTTTCAGCATGCTGTGGTCGTTGTCGAAGGTTCAAAACGCGAATGGTACGTGCCGATTCTATCAATCGTCGACAAGGATTTGCTTCGTCTCAACGCGTTGGTAATGGTGAAAACTGGTGGAATGTTTAAAACTGTCCCCTCAGCGATTGTGGGAGTTCTCGACGACAAAATTGATAGCAATGCGATGGGTCACAAAGTCGAAAAAGCTCCCAAAGAGTCTTTTGACGACATCGGAGGTTGTGAATCGCAAATTCAAGAAATCAAGGAGTCTGTTGAACTTCCACTAACTCATCCAGAATATTATGAAGAGATGGGAATCACCGCCCCAAAAGGTGTGATTCTCTATGGTGAACCGGGAACCGGAAAAACATTGCTGGCAAAAGCTGTAGCCAATTCAACAAGTGCCACGTTTATCCGTGCAACTGGTGCGGATTTGGTGCAAAAGAATTCGGGAGAAGGTGCGAAATTAGTGCGACAATTATTCCAGATGGCCAAAGACAATGCACCGTCTATTGTTTTTATCGATGAAATTGATGCGGTTGGAACGAAACGATTTGATACGTCATCACGAGGAGAGCAAGAAGTTCAACGAACTTTGTTGGAGTTGTTGAATCAATTGGATGGATTTGAGAGTCGTGGAGATGTTAAAGTCATTATGGCCACAAATCGAATTGATTCGTTGGACCCCGCTTTGATTCGACCAGGACGTATTGATCGTAAGATTGAGTTTGCCAAACCGGATGAGAAGACGAGACAGAAGATTTTTGGAGTGAGTCTAGGGAACCTGGGTATTCGAAAATCCAAAACATTTTTCTTGCAGATTCACACATCTGGAATGACGCTCGAAAAATCGATAACCTACGAATCGGTCATGGCCAAAGAAAAATCGATTAGCGGTGCTGAAATCAAGGCGGTTTGTACCGAAGCTGGAATGTTGGCACTACGTGGACAACGAAAATGTGTGGGAAAAGATGATTTTGAGCGAGCCGTCAAATCGGTTTTGTTGTCGAAAAAGGCTGGAGCACCCGAAACGTTTTATGGATAGGCTTTTTGTCTTTTTTCTTGGTGTATTGATATGAAATTTTTCATTCGCGTGAACAATACGAGCTGAGAAAATTTTGTGTTTCAAAAATTGTTAACTCTCTCGTATCATAAAATCATAGCTAAAGATTCTTCCAAAAAGTTGGTTGATCTCAATCAGTGCCTCATCTCAATCAGTGCAAAATAAGGGTCGATTCGTATTTTACACCTAATTACTTTTCGATAAAAAAATCGAAATTTTTCTATCAAATAGCTTGTATATTCTGTAATTATGAAATACCTTTGTTTTACAGTTTTTTTTTGTGTTGAAAGCTTCTGATCCCTATAGATACCAAACAAGATAGCACTTTAAAAAAGTTGCGAACCAAAGACCAATCTTATTTCGCAAAAAGCCTTGTGTGATCAATGTTCAGATAAAATATTCGAACGAAGATATAATCTTTTGAAATATTTCGCTCAATTTTACGAGAGAAAAAAAAAGTAGTTTCTCAGGTGACATGAAAGAGATTCGTGTTTTGGAAAAAAAAAAATCTAGATTAAAAGTGACATGAAAAATCTACCGCAAAGAATAATTCGAAAAGGATTTCAGACTGTAATCAGACAAATGTGACCATTCTGTAGAACTTTGCAACAACATCAATACATCTCATTTATTCAAAAATACCCATATTTTTGTTTACATTCATCATCTTTGATGTTCAGCAAAAGAACACCGTTTTTCGATGTTTTGAAAATTACAAAATTGTTTGGCAAATTTTTCGGAAGTTTTCCTGTAAGAATAATTTGGCAAACCGTGGTTTTCTCAATTTTTTCAACAATTTCCAAGCCATTTTCTGCACTGTTCCACATAAAGTCGATGAATTTAGCGCCAAGAATTCCATTAAAAAAATAATTAATATCCACTTTTGGAACAGTTGAGAAACCTGCTTCCGACGAAACTTCAAATGCAAAAAAGTGAGATGATTTTTCAGATTTTTGGGAAATATTTGGATCGGCGATGAAAAAATAAGTATTTGGTAGAATCTGAATGTTTTTGTTCACAATTGTTTTTAAAAATCCAGAATAGAATTACCTTTCTTAATTGTTCCAGATTCTTCAAACTTCCCAAGCTCACAAAAATATTCATCTGTGTCACATTATTTTTTGGTAGAATTAGCCAATTTTCATCAAATTTTATCGGATTTTCATCAAGTTCGGGAAATTCCAAATTGTTTAATTGATCTATTCCAACGGCTTGAGCATCGAATTTCCGCTCAACATATGAAAACGCATTGATCGTAATAAACAATTTAAAAACTAGGAAAATGAACATAATGTTTTGAAATATTAGAAGAAAATTGGTGTTTATATATGAAATGATGAGTGTGCGATTTTTTTTTTGAAAAGATCGGAGATATCGAAAAAAAATCAAGATAAAGGATACATTTATTTAGAACAATTCTGAAAATCCGTGTTGTGTTCAAATTTTGAGACAAAAGTTATGCGAACACAGAAAAATGTGAATTAATTTCAAATGAGCTCTTCACCTGAACACGGAACTGTTTCATGTTTGAACCGAAGTATACCAAAACGGTTGGGTGCTTTGTCAACATTCAAAAAAGGAACAACTTGCAAGTTATTAACCTTATTTTGCTGATTAAATTTTAAGAAATTATTCTAGACTTTTCTTTCCGTGTCTAGTTTGAACGAAGAGTTTTTCTAGTGTAAAGACTCGTTTTTTCATTAGACTTTGTGCGACGATGTGAGGATCTGCTGATGAGAAAACAACGAGGGAATAAATAGAAAGATCGGAATTCAGATAATTGTTTCATGACGTGCTGTGTTTGTGTGAACATGGTAAACTATTTTTTTTTGGAAGTTTCTATCGCTCAGGTTATGAAAACACTTTGGGTTTCATGTGGTTTCGGGGTGCTCGGAATGGTGATATCAGCTTCTACAATTCGAAGCTAAAGCTTCAAGTTGAAGTTTCCGATCATCAGTAAATTTTCAAAATTACTGACTCGTGTTCTCGTTCTCAAAAATCGTAATCTACCCGCATTATTTTTTTATTTTTAGTCGGTTTTAAGTGCTGAAAGTCTAGACAATACCCAGCCAGCAATACAAAAGATATATATGTGAGATAAAAGATCCGCGAGTTTTTTTGTTTATAACACATTTCACAGATTTGTGAAATCTGATACATCACACATGTCTGAAATAAAATCGCTTAAATGATTCCGTTCAATTGTATTTTCGATTTTATGAATGGAAAATATTCGTGTTTTGAAGAAAATCTAGATTAGAAGTATTATAAAAAGAAATGTACAGTACATTTCTCAAAACATAAAATATTTCAAAAATGATTTCCAAGTTGTCTAAATTCTACTACATAATTTTGATAGCTATAATTCTCTTTCTTTATCTCATTTTTCCCAAAACTGATGAGATTTTTACAAAAGAATCCTATCCTTCAATAGAAAATGTGACTGCAACTCAAAATGCTCTTCAAAAATTGAAAGACTGCTATAATTCAAAAGTATTTCAATTTTCTAACAATTCTGAAGATATTTGGAATAATCTGGAGTTTATTGTGTATTTTTGTGATTATTTTGAGAATTTCGATCTTCGTCCACTGAAGAATAATGATGAGATAAAATGGATTGTTTCGCCGAAGAATATGGATGATAATTTGACTATGGTTACTTTGGGAATTGCGAAAGATATTACTGCAGAGTCAAAGTTACAAAATGTGAGTTATTAGAAATTTTGAACGAAAAATAAAACTTCAAACTTTTTGTGAAAAAAACTAGGCTCATTCTGTGGTTAGTTCAATTAACTCCACATTTTCATATACATGAATATTTTCTTTTAGCTTCTTCCTCAAACTGATTTCTTCGGTGCAGATCCTTCAAATATGTCAAAAGTATACTCCCAAATTGGAGAGCATTTTCAAATTGGAGTCTCTGGAAAAAGTGGCCTCAAAAGTACCCGAATTTATGGAGATAGTTAGTCCCGCTTATAAACGGTTTTGAAAAAAAAATCAATTAATATTTGCAGAAAGAATAATGGAGACACAGGTGGAAAATGTGAATTTTGTGGAGTTTCTTGATAAATATGTGAAGCGAAAAATTGTGCATTTTTTGTGGATTGATATTGAAGGAGGAGAGTTTGAAATTATGGAAATGCTACATAAACATGAAGAAATTGACACAAATAATATAACGATTTGTCAAATTAATTTTGAGGTTTGTTTTCCTTTTTTCACTTCACAATTCAAAATTTTCCAATTCATTTCAGATTCATCAAAAAGTGATGAAATCCCTCCAAAATGAGACTGAAAAATTTGCAACTTTTCTTCACAAAATCATCAGGGATGAAAAATATATAATTGTTAAGGCGTTTAACATTAGACATAGGAATTTTGTGCGAATTTTCCTAGTTAATATTGAAGATTCAGAGTGTCGTAGGTTATTTATTGATTGATTTTTTGATCTGTTACCTGAACATTTCTATTTTGAAACAAGAATTGGAATTAAACCTTTTTCAATTTTGAGTTTTATTCGCAAAGATCAGCGTGATGAAGAAAAAGAATCCACAGCGAAAAACAATTATTTTTTAGATTCTGAAAAAAATGTTTGATTTGGTGAACGGTGATTTTTAAAATAACCGAAAAACAACAAATTTGACCATTGAAAAAAAAATCTGTGCCAAAAAAAGGAGCTTCGATAGAGCACATTTTTTCCATCTCTACAGAACAAAAAATCATACATCAAAAATATGATAGCAATTCTGGGCGAGCAAAAACCATGCAGGGATGGCCGAGCGGTCTAAGGCGCCAGACTCAAGCTATTCGCTTGCCTCAAGTTCGAGGTCGCATGGGTGTTCTGGTACTCGTATGGGTGCGTGGGTTCGAATCCCACTTCCTGCAGACATTTTTTGCATTTTTTTTAACAATGAAATATTTTACGATCTGCGAAATTAGATATCCGCAAAACCGTTGTTGTTATGTTATCAAGGTCAATTGAAAATTGAATCAAATCAAATGAAATGAATGTGGTGGGACAAAATAAATAAGGAGAGAGAAAAGAAAGAGAAATTATTGTGTGTCATTCAATCAACTTACGATAAATTTTCCACAATTTTGTAGTACTTTTTGGCAATTTATGTGTTTGTATTTTCTTGTTTTTTTTTTCAAATCGATTTCTTTGGGGTCGTAATTCTAGAAAAATTCAGTGAAAACCTATAATTCTACCCCTGAAACAGTATAACTTATAATTTCGATTGATTTTCCTATTTATTCTATAATTTTTGTCTACGTAATAATTCGATTAGAATTTTTTTGAAAATAACTTGTTTTTTTGTTGGTAGTAAATAGTAATAGGAGTATATCTTTTGGGGTTAGGTTAGACACAAAAAATTTCGACGAAATATGTCGAATTTGATTTCACTTATCATTTGATTTAGGATTTTTTTTTTTGCTTTGTTTTGTTTTTGATGTTTGTGAGAACGGGAACTTGTTCCTTTTTGGGAGACATTTACATTTTTTACTTGTTTGGAAAAAAATTAGGGAGTTTCACTTGACTATTCGGAACTGAGATTTCTAGGCTTTGAAATATTTCCTCTGCTGAAAAATGTTTTTGTTAGTGAAATTTAATCTTCAGCCAATTTTCAATTAATCTGATTTTTTTTCTAGAAATATTGTGGTTATTTTACTTCTAAAATTGTAATTTTTTGCTTCAAAAATATTCGAATTTATTGCAAAACGTAATTTTTCAGGGAAAAATATAAGAGGGTTGAGAGAGAAAAATCTGAAAATGCTGAAATTGAAGATAGAAAAAATTTAAAATATTAGTCAAAAACTCACAATTTTCAGCACGAAAATCCCAACCAAAACTAAATCATGACAATCTCATACGATGAGGAATTCTCCTCATTGATGCTCCGATGGCGAGGTTCAATTTGGAAAGCTGTTCTTCAAGATCTCATCGGATTCTATGTCTTGTATTATATTGTTTTGACGTCGCAATACTATTTATTGGATGAACAAGGGAAAGAATATTTTACGGGGTGGATTACGTGGTGTGAAACTGGGTGCGGCTATATTCCACTGTCGTTTTTGTTGGGTTTCTTCGTTTCGGTTATTGTCTCAAGATGGTGAGGAGGGGAGGGGTTTGGAAAAATAGGGTCAGAAATTCGGAAAGAAACTTGAAAACTAGAAATCCTTGTTCAAATACATTTTGAAATGAAATTCTGAACTGTGAGCTTATGAATTAATTTACATAGGCTCACAATTCGATTTTCAAAATTCTGACTTGGAGTTCAGAAATTTAAAGTCACTTAGTTTTTTATCTAGAATTTTTTTTCCTCAAACTTTTTATTTCTGAAACCCAAAGTCAGTTTCCAGATTTCTTATCAAAATCTTTTTTTTTCTGCCCAAAATCATAAAATCGAACTTCAAGGTCAACATTTGTTACCAATTTGTATTTAGTACATACATACTTGAAATCATTTTTCACACTAATTTTGCTAACGAATTCGCTGATCTGGTTGAAGACAGATAAACCTATCCCGAACACGTGGCCTAGAAAACCAAATTTCTTCCAGGTGGGAACAATTTAATTGGATCTCATGGCCCGACAAACTCATGCTTATGGTAGCCGCCTGTCTTCCGGGCAACGAAAATTTGGCTGTTCGCCAAACAATTGCTCGATGGAGCACACTTCAAGCCGCAATCGCTTGGGCTGGAATTTCAGTTCGCACACTGAAAAGATTTCCAACTGAACGACACATGGTTGCTGCGAAAATTATGACCGAAGAGGAATATGATTTGTATATGAGTACAGATGCTCCGCAGGGAAAATGGTTTGTGCCAACAATTTGGATTATTAATTTGATCAAAAAGCAGAAACAGGAGGGAAAGATTGATTCGGTACAGATGGACATGTTATTGAAGATGGTGAGTTAATTTTGAGAACAAATAAGACTAGGGATACAAATTGATGTGTGGATTAACAGAAAATTTGAGATTTTCTATATCTTATAAGCTAACCTCAGGCTTCTGAAAATACTTCTGATATCATTATACAAATCTTGTATTCTGGAAATTCTGTTTAACCCCAAATTATAAGTATAGTCTAGTATTGGATTGTTTTTCTGACATGAGATATATAACCTTGAAAAAAACATATTGGTTTAATTGGAATTTGATATGATTAGTGAAATCGGGTACAAATTATTCGGTTTTGAAAAAAGTGGAATACTGTGAAATAAAACTATTCTGTTTAACCCCAATAATCATAACTTTTAGCCTAGAAGACTAAGCCCGGAAGCTTGAGCCTAGAACCCTCTTTTATCCATCCAACCGCCTAATTTTTCTTCAGGTCTACAGTTACCGTGATGGATTCGCTATGCTCTTTGTCTACGATTGGATAAAAATCCCACTTGTCTACACCCAGGTCGTTGCCATCGCCACCTATGGATACTTTTTCATCTGTCTGATCGGTCGTCAACCAAAACTCGATCAAAAATCAATGGAAAAAGAGATCACAATTTTATTCCCAATCTTCACCACATTCCAAATGCTCTTTTATTTGGGTTGGTTGAAAGTCGGACAATATTTGATGAATCCATTCGGTGAAGATGATGATGATTTTGGTAAGCATTTTTTGGGGTTTTTCTGCAAAACTTCTACCGAATTTCCTGTTTGGGGCGGTGTAGGAAACAGCGAAAAAATTTGAAGGTTATTTGTTTTCAATGTTAGCGGCGGGAAGTTGATAAGTTAGAAGAACACATTGATTGTTGGTTAATTTTTTGATTGTAATCATGTTATTTTATTATGTGTATGTGTTTTGTTGTTTGACTGCTCGAAGATTGAATTAATTTTTCACATCGTTTTTGAAATAATTTCACTTCATCATATTTTGAAACGTATAATTTTTGTATTCTCTGGAAACTCAGGAATCTGAACTTACTTAAGATGGAATAAAATTTAGGTAGAGTTTTTGTCTGAGAACTTGAACATTTTGTAGGAAGTTTTAAAAACTTCGCAAGACTCTAAAAATATCCCAAAAGTCCTCCGGAACTTTTCTTCAACCACAATCCTTTCAATATTACAGAGCTCAACTATGTTCTTGACCGTAATACCGCCGTCGCCCACATGATGGCTACCGAACTTGCCGATCAACTTCCAAGCATCGGTGCTCCATCACTCCCCACAATCCCACACACCCGTGCTTCATTCAAAATCCAAGATGTGATTCCGAAATCTCATCTAGCTGGATTTGAACTAACTGAGGGTGATATGAAATTGATCAAACCCGAAGATTTTGCCGAACAGGAAAAATTGCTGGAAGAAGAAAGACAGGCAAATCGCCAAAGACTTGGGTCATTGGTAAGATCTATGGATCGCAAAAATCGACGAACCACCAGTGATGATTAATTGAGTGACTCATTGACTAATTAATTAATTTTCTAATTAATAAAACATCTAGTAGTTTATTGATGAAATTCTTCTAGAAGAGTTACAAGAACTCTTTAAATACCTATACTATCAGAAGATGATTGGGCCTAAACTTAGGCTAACTAAATTCAGGGTCCAAAACGTAGGGATGACAATCTCTTACGATGAGGAATTCTCCTCATTGATGCTCAGATGGCGAGGTTCAATTTGGAAAGCTGTGCTGAAAGATCTCATCGGTTTCTATATTCTCTACTATATTGTCTTGGCAGCACAGTATTATTTTTTGGACGAACCGGGAAAGGAGTATTTTAGTGGGTGGATTGCGTGGTGTGAAATTGGATCGACATATATTCCGCTGTCGTTTTCACTGGGTTTCTTCGTTTCGGTGATTGTGGCAAGATGGTGGGTTTTTTGGGAGGAGACAGATGTGAAATTCCAATACACTTTTGTGATTATATGGTTTTAATAAAATTACAATCAGAAGTCACCAAGTACCCCTTAACCTAGCCTCCCAGCAAATCTCCCTACATATTTCCAGGTGGGAACAATTTAATTGGATCTCCTGGCCCGACAAACTCATGCTCATGGTGGCCGCCTGCATCCCGGGCGAAGAAAATTTGATAGTTCGTCAAACAATTGCTCGCTGGAGCACACTTCAAGCCGCAATCGCTTGGGCTGGAATTTCAGTTCGCACACTGAAAAGATTTCCAACTGAACGACACATGGTTGCTGCAAAAATTATGACCGAAGAGGAATATGATTTGTATATGAATTTGGACGCTCCTCAAGGAAAGTGGTTTGTTCCAACCATTTGGATTATTAATTTGATTAAGCAACAATTGAAGAAGGGTGTTATTGATTCGGTGCAAATGGAGATGCTATTGAAGCATGTGAGTTCAGAAGATTCCTTTCCAACCTCCTAATTTTCCTTCAGGTCTACAGTTACCGTGATGGATTCGCTATGCTCTTTGTCTACGATTGGATCAAAGTTCCACTTGTCTACACCCAGGTCGTTGCCATCGCCACGTATGGCTACTTCTTTATTTGTTTAATCGGTCGTCAACCAAAACTCGATCAAAAATCAATGGAAAAAGAGATTGCTATTCTCTTCCCAATCTTCACCACCTTTCAAATGCTCTTCTATATTGGTTGGTTAAAAGTCGGACAATATTTGATGAATCCATTCGGTGAAGATGATGATGACTTCGAACTGAACTACGTCATCGATCGTAACACAGCTGTTGCTCATATGATGGCTACAGAACTGGCTGATCAACTTCCAAGCATTGATCAACCAATGTACCCAACAATTCCTCATACCAGAGCCTCTTTCAAAATCCAGGATGTGATTCCGAAATCACACTTGGCTGGATTTGAACTAACTGAACATGATATGAAATTGATTAAACCTGAAGATTTGGAAGAACATGAGAAGTTACTAGAAGAGACGAGAGCTGCGAATCGCAATCGATTAGGAACATTGGTTAGAGCTATGGACAGGAAAAGTGAATAATTCTGGATTTCCTTGACAGGGAAACGGGGAAGGTACAAATTATGATTATGATTAATAAATTGTTTTTCAAGAAAAAGTAAATATATATTAATGTACATGTTATTTGTGATTTTCGTAGTTAAAAACGTTGTCAAAAATTTGAACACAGACAACCTGAGGTTTCAATTTTTCGCTTCATCAATTTTTCTCCTTTTTGTCATTTTCTCATAGATTAGTTTTTCTGGTCTAAACAAAAAACTAATTTTGTCAAGAAAGAAAGAAAGATCAGAAAAATCAAATTTATTTGATTATTTTTCACATCCGGCTGAAAATGGTGAATGTTCAGCTTGTCTATACTATACTTTATGTTACAACTTCGTTTTTAGTCTATTTTTTGACAATGTTCATGATTTTCAAATTTTGGAAAGAGTTTAATAGCTCGTTTTTCAGGATTTATGTTTTTAACTTTTTCGTGGTGAGTTGAAGAAAAATTTTACAAAAGGCCTACTTTTTTTCTCATTCAAAATTTTTAGAATACTACAACCTATATTTCTTCATTATTTTTAAGTCGAATCGCATCTTTTACCTGTAAAAGTGATTGTCTATTCTCATCCTGGTTCGAAAATCAGAGCCCGGAAAACCCGGGAAATTTTCCGCTCCCAACTATTTACACCATATCTATTAGTTGCATGTTTATACAATATTCAATGATTATAATCATATCGATTAATCGTTTGACCGTTATTTTCATGTGCAAAAATGTTGAAGAGGTTTTGAATTTTCGAATTTCGCCCTAAAATCACACCTTTTCCCAGATTTGGAATACCCGTCTTCTACCATTAATCTACATAGTTATCCCATTACTACCACTTAGCCTAACTTATCCATTCTTCACACACGGTGCCTATTTCGCCTATGTCAATTATTCCGATTCATATTTAGCCACAAGTCTAGCGAATCGTGACCAAATATTCGGATATGTTGTGCTTTTGATGTTTTTCAGCACACTTATTTCAGCGGTTTTGAATTTCGTTAGTTTTTCTCGCCTCAAAAAAATGCAGCTTCAAAGTTCGACGAAAAACGGCGAGAAAAATATGCTTTACATCAGTTTTGTATACTTCATCATACAAAGTATGGCGCTCATCAATTTTGTGAGTTTTTTTGAAAGTATTAATTCTGAAGTCACATTTAAAAAACAGATTCTATTGATTGTTTATATCACCCCGGAGAACACGAATTCTACATCAATTAAAATTATTTATATGAGTTTGGATTTCACCTATGATTTGATAACTTTAAATGCTCCCTGGACTCTGATAATTTTCTCCGCAAAAACTCGGAAGTATTTGAGGAGGCTTTTTGGGCACCAAAATTTGGCGAAAACTTCAATTTTTGTTTCGAAAGTTGGAAACACCACGATTACTTAAGAAATAAAAATGTGTTGAACTGTTCGTAGACTATAATTAATTATTCAAACTTTAGAATCGTGAAGTTCACATTAATAACAGGTTGTTTGATAGGCTATCATTTGAAACTCAAGTTTGAGAACAATTTCCTCATTTTTCGAAAAACAATGTTAAACTTTATCATTTTTGAGAATGTTTGGATTAACGGAGCTTATAAAATAATCTTCTTTGTTATTAGTATAGCCGCTATACGTTTATTCATAGATACTCCGGAAGATGAAAAAAAATCTCTTATTTATCCAATATATAAACAAATATTTTTCATAATTATGTTGACAATAATTATGTGTTCGTATTGCATAATCTTCGTGTGTATACTACACAACATAATCATTCCAATTTTTGGAGATCTATGGATGATGCGTATCTATGAATTGTATGTTATAAGCATTCGATACAATCGTCCTCTCAGAATTCAATAACGGGAACTTTAAAGTAATAATTTTTCAGAACAGTACTTGTGACTTTTTTATTCATTCCAAATACAGAGTCTCTCAACATATTTCTATTATTAATCGCTATCCAGCGCTTCATTATAATTTTTGACTTTCAATCAATTCAAAAATTCGTCGTTGGAAAATGGTTGAAGTTTTGGATATGCGTTGCATATATTTATATATTTGTTGGAATGATCTACTTCAAGCGTTACTTTGGGGAGTATGTCACACCGTGTTATTTGGCCCGAATCGTTTTAGATAGTCATGAATATAAAGATAGCGCGTTTCTCTTGCTGATCGACATTGTGCTCATTCCAATAATTTCAATCATTTTTCATATTACTATTTTCATTGGGATTCGTAGGAATAAACATATTTATTCAGCAACTCGGTTGAAAACTGAAACATCAATCTTGATTCAGAATATTCCACCCGTTTTTTACACTATTGTAATTGAGTTTGAAACGAAGATTTAAATCAAAAATTTTTTAATACTTTCAGCCAAAATTCTTAACAATGTTAATTTTAAAATCAAATACTGGTTTTTCGCAAAACAACGCAACCTTTCTATATTTCACGACTGGAATTATTTGCGATGGTTCTTGTGATAATATGAGTATGATATGTGCGACGTATTTGATTATGAATATTTCAAGATACAAATTTGTTGCAAAATTAAGGGAAGCACGTTCATCACAAGTTGCCCCAACAACTCAAAACTAAATTGTTTTTTTGCTCAATCACTTGTAAAACTATTTATTTCTTTTTTATTTATTTGTTCATTCACACATGATTCATAATACCTTGCTTATGACTTGTATATTCGACACTCTGCACAAAATCGACACAATTGTTTTGATCTTTTTTCGGACTCTTGTGTCAACTTTCTTTTTAATGTAATATGTTTGTGTAAGAAGCTATATAAAGTGGGAAAATGTGTTGAGCTGACATTTCATCTTGAAAATACGTATTCTGATGTGTCCAAAGACCAGTCTATTGATCTTTTTGGGATACTTGGCTTTGTGCCAAGCCCAAATGTACACAATTGAATCAGTTGAAGATGCTTCATTGATCTGTGCTGCCAATGAGACCTTCAGTGATTGCTACAACCCGTGTACTGAAGCAACATGTTCAAAAATGGATTCCGATGATTCGTGCTCTATGATGTGTATGCAAGGATGTATGTGTGAACAGGGATTTATGAGGAATGATCAAGGAGATTGTGTTCTAACGAAAGATTGTGGTGGTGTTGGTCAGCTAGTTGGTGAGAGTTGGGGTAATTTCAGAGTACACGAAAAGACAACCCAGAACTACAGGTGTATTTGTGTTAATTTATTGCATAGTGAAATCGTGTACTGTGTGATCGTGAATTCGTGTATAGTCTTTTTGTTTACAATATTTACAAGCTGTCCAATCGGGACACGAGGGCGTATATGCAATATATTCGTGTAAAGTGTATTAGTTAACTCTTCACACATTTGCCTCATTCTCACGTCATTTTGCCCCAGGAACCAATTTTCAAGCGTGTTCAGAGTCATAGAGTTTTCGTGTACAGGTGTATTTGTATAGTATCCGTGGAAACTTCCTGTAAACCATACAACTCACAGATTTTTCAGCAAAATCAAGCCCAGTTCGTTGCAATTGCCCAAGTGGCTATGTTTGCGTGATCCAATCTGGAAAATCCACTTGTGTCAAACCCATAACTCTCACCTGTCGAAATGTTGTGTGTAGATCAGGAACATGTGCGATGGTTAGACCAGTTGGATGTAATAGATCGAATTGTGCCGCCCAAACAACCTGTGTGCAATCAAACCGTGAGCTGGAATTAAAAATTTGATTTTCTTTGAATACCTCGATTTTCAGCTTGTAATCGTACACGATGTCCTGCTAGAAAAGAATGTGTTCTGAAACGTGTTACATGTAGAAACTCACAAAAATGGTAGGTTAAATCTCGGTGATTTGGTTTTTACAGTAACACTGACTGGTTTTTTACAGTAACTCAATAGTCGCCGAATGTGTCGCGAAAAAGGGTGGAAAACAATCTCCAATGAAAATGACAAAATGTCCGATGAACGAAAAAATGGTAGCATGCAAAAATGCGTGTGCGGAAGAAGTTTGCAATCAAAAGGGAAAATATATGTGTACTGAAGAGTGTCCGGGCAGCGGTTGTGTTTGTATCGAGGGATTCTATAGACATCCGAATGGGATGTGTGTCAATCAACAAGTTTGTGATGCAATGAAAATGAACTGAACTTTTCCTGTAAATTTTTCTGTCAATTAATGAAAATGTGCAATATTGATATGAATTTGATGAAAACAAAAATTCTAAAAAAAAACCTCGGCCAAAATCGTGGTTTCCAAAAAAAATGTACGCTAACTTTTTTTTACAGTATAACTGTGAATTTTTCAGTTTTTGACTTCTAAAAACTGAAATCAAGATTTTTTCGAAATTGTTCTCTGGTCAGCCATGGATCGACCGTGGTGTGATGCGGTCTCGAACCCGCGACCTCTAAAACCGGGCTGTAAAAATTAATAAACCACCTACTCAATTTTCCCACTATTTTTGATAATTATCAACTAACAGCTAAACATTTTCCTAATTTATGCCAATAAAAATCACTATTCAAGACCATGTTTCAAATTGTATTCTCCCCGAATTCTCAGCCTTCGTTACCCAATCATTTGGCTGTCCGCCAATTTCCTGTTCTATCTCTTGGATCGCTGCCAGCACAGCTTTTGGCATATCACCAGCACTTCCAGCAATATAAATCGATCCATTTTGATTCAAAATTTGCCAAACTTTCGCGGCGTTCTTCAGAATTTGATGTTGGACATAGATTTTGCGTCCTTGGTTTTCGGGATTTCGACTGAAGGCGGTGATGACTTCGATGTTTTGCATGGTTTTCCAATCGTCGGCAAAATAATTGTCGAGGTTTGGACCGCGACAACCGAAGAAGAGAAGGGAAGTGGATGGAGAAGGTTGGCTGGAAAAATATTTTAAACAGGACTTTTTTCGAAATGATTTTTTTTCCTGAAATTGGGGTGTTATAATTTCTCAAAAATATTAATTGTTTCGTGCTTATCCTTATCCTGAAAAAATTCGATAATTTTCAACTTTCTTCAAAATTGGGAGATGCGAAAATTATAGATTTTGTCAAAAAAAACATGAAGGTTTTGAGATTTGAAAAATTGAGAAATAATTTTTTTTTTGGAAAATTTCTGATCTTGAAATGCCACGTCACGGGGGCACGTAGCATTTGAAAAAAATTTGGAGAAATTTTGAGATTTTTCAAAACTGGAAATTATGACATTTTTTTCAGATTTTTCAATGTTAAACCCCAAAAATCCTACCTCAACTCCCTCTCCCCCAAAAAACTTCTAAACGGCGCTACTCCGGTCCCAGGTCCAATACATATCACCGGAGTCTCCGGGCCAACAAATTTGAAAGTTCCAGCCCGAACTCGACACAAAACTCGATCTCCTTTGGACAATCTGGATATAAATGTGCTACATAATCCAAGTCTTGGTGTAGACATTCGAGATTTATATTCAACTTTGGCCACAATCAAATGAATTTGGCCTCCTGGACTTTTGGGACTAGATGCAATACTAAAAGCTCTCGGGCGAATTGAAGTAAACAGCTCGAAAAATTGATCAAAATTCAATTTCAGCTTCTTCGCCGTCGCTGGAAAATCCCTCAAAGTTTCAGCGGTAGTCCTTCGACATCTTGTAGAATAATCTAGCAAATCATCCAAACCTTGCGGACTTGCCAACTCAAAAAGACGTTCTTTTTCCATTGAATCAGTTGATAAATATCCAAGAATTTCGAAAAATGAGCGTTTCGGAATTTGGTGCAAATCGAAATATTTCTGCAGACAAATCCGAAGTGTTGTGATTTTTCCGAAAATTGAAAATTGCGGCGGTTTTGAGAATTTATCGTTTTGCACAACTCGTCGCTTTTTGTCCAAATCCTCATTTGTCAAGCCTAGTGCTTCGATTGCAATTTGTACGGTTTCTTCGGGATTTTCAGGTCGGACCATTAGAACATCACCAGGATTGTAGGGAAGGTCTGGAAAGAAACATTGGATAAAAAGAATAACTAGGAGCCGTGCCCCTAGGCGAAACAGTCAGAAAATCCTCAAAATTTCTAAATTTTGAAGAAAAACCAATTTTTCGCAGCATCACCCCATTAATAACATTTTCCGCGCTGAAAAAAACCAGAAAAATGATTCAGTTCGAAAAAAAAAACGTTCAATCAATAATTTCTTTTCAAATAAAAAACATCTCTCTCTCTCTCTCTCTCTCTAACCCTCTCTCTATTTCCCACACTCTCTCATCTACCCTGCAAAAAAACAGCAAAATAAACACGCTAAACAATGGGCACGCGGAGTATCGTTGTTTTTTTAATTTTTATTTTGCACGACATTTTTATTTTTTTGTTTTTTTTCTGGTTTTTGAGTGGGTTTTTTCAGCGCAGAAAAAGTTATTGATTTGGTACATTTTTTAATTTTCTTATTTTTTTCAGAGACAACCGTCACAGAATGCAGGGATCCCATAAAATCTACAATTGTCATTTTCTGATGTAAGTTTAAGAATAGGCGAAGATTTTGAGAAAAATAATGTAGAAGTTTCAGGTTTCCGAAGAAGAAGATGTTTCGTTCGGACAGGACATTCAAAAAGATCAACAACTTTTCACGGAACGGGCCAGTCAAGTTAGTTTATTTTGAGGTTTGGGGGGAAGAACAAAACTAACAGATGAGATTTGAGCTTCATTTGAAAATATTGGGTAAAGTTTTTAATTCATAATTATTATTGATGTTAGAGTAAAGTTGTTTATAAATTACAATGTTTAAATGATTAGATGAAGCTTTGAATTACACTTGATGGTATAGAATCAGCTTCCAAATTTTATTGAAAAACAAACTATGAAATATTTCATAGGTAGATTAATTTTGAAATCAATTTGTTTTAAATTCAATTTTTTGCTTTTATAATCTATGTCTCATTAAACTTCACAAATTCTATTCCCAGACGTAACTTTTTTAAAAGAAATCTTTTTTTCTCACGTCAATATTTTCTTCGATCGGGATTTTATTAAAACTTCAGAAACTCCTACCTGATGCGAATTTCACTAATCTCGTCTCTTGAAAATGCTCATCCGCGGTGACTCTCAGATTCTCCAGAACTTCTAAATTTTGATATTCGCTCTCTTCTTCAACCTCATCTTCATTTTTTCCCTCAAAATCCTCCACAAATCGATACTTAGGCTCGATTTTGATATCAAAACTCGGCTCCTGGAGCATCCCATCAAATAGATTCATCTCATAAATCTTCGACCATAGCTCAGTTTTCCAGGGAATTAGCGCACCATCGATTCCAATCTCGTGTTGATCATCAGCCAAACCTAGGTCGAGCATCATTTTTGCTCCCAATTGAATCAGCCTGCGATATAACTTTTTGCTGGCGAAATTGTATTTTTGATATGAGGAATCACCGAGTCCCAAAACACCAACTTTCAGCTGCAAAATCAATCAAATTTCGAAATTTAATTAATTTCCTACTTTTTTCGCAAACAAAAACCAACATTTTCGAGGAAATCCTTGGGTAGCGATTTTCTCAGAAGTTGACGCCAAAAATGTCGCATATTCGGTGGCATTTCACCTTGCCCGGTTGTCGAAACCACAAATATCACAATTGTTTCATCAACTAGATCCTGCAAATTTCGAAATAAAAAATCAGAAGAAAATGGAAAAATTCAACTTACACTAAATTCGTACTCGTCTAGTCCGTAAATTCTTGCCGGGACATTACGGAGAAGCGCTTCGCGACGCAGCGATTCTGCGGTATCTTGCGCACAACCCGTCTCGCTTCCATAAACCAGTAAAATCGACATTTTCCGCTAAAAAACACGAAATAAAAATTGTTTTTACGGTGGCCTAGAAAACGTGTCGGTTTCTAGGCCATATTTATAAGTTCTTCCATTTTTCAAACAAGTTAGCGGAACTTCCCGGATTCCTGGATAAAAACCAAATGTTTCAAAGATTTCGTCATGCGAGAAAAAAAAACTAAAAATCACACACTTTTCGTGAGCCAAACAGATGATGCACAAAAAAGTTGGAGACCCAAAAAAAATTGAAGAAAGCAAATACTTTCTGCTGCTGTAATAAAATGTATAGCTGAAATTTTTGAACTTCTCTTTGTATTTTGGTTCATGAAAAGAAAACTTTTCGGTTTTTTTTTTCAAAAAACCACACCCTTTCTTAACTTTTCTCAATTGGAAGAAAAAGAGAAGAAAGGCGTGAAAATGATATGATTTTTTTGATTGATTCATTTTTTCTTGGGGTTTTTTTCTAGATTTTTCTGAAAGTTTAGGCCTAAGCCAGACCTAAGCCTAAGTTTAGTCCTAATATCATGTTTCGTGCCGTGGGAACTCCGAAAGTGCAGTTTTATTTGTTTAGCGTCAGCACTTTTTGAAATCCGATCCGAACACATTTCCAAATTTGCTCAGCTTTCTGGTTTTCGATGAATTTTAATTTTCGAGTATACTAGAAACGCTGTTTTTAGTACTATTAGTGGTTTCGGGTTATTTTTGTGTTTTTGCTTGAGAAATACACGTGGTATTTTCCTAATAAATTTTTTGACGTCAGAAAATCCACGTGGAATTTTATTGAAACAAAAAAAAAACTATTCAGAAAATCCACGTGGCATTTTTCAAATATGATTTTGTAGATCAAAAATTTCGCAGATTTTTTTGTCCATTTTTAAAAGTTCAAAAGATCAAACTTTGATGCTCCAAAAACAATCGAATTATTTTTGGGCGCGGAAAGAGCGCAAAAAATGATGCCAATTTTTTTCAAAAATACAGATCCACCTGCACTTTTTTTTATTACAAAAGCAAACGCAGATGCAACATTTTGTCCTTTTGAATAGACAAAAAACTGCAGGTGTCACTCAAAAATTCGACATTTTCTAATTATCAACAAGATAAATTTATGTTTTATGTTTCGAAAAAAATCACATTTTTTGTGCTTATGCCGTTCGTTTTTCGTGATATAATATTTACATATTCTCATCTTTTGCTGGTCGCCAAGAAAAAGTTGTTGCATTTTTGCTGCGCGCGCCAAAAATTATTTTCGTGGGCAAATAATGAGGTCGCTTCTCTTTTGATTTTAAATTAAATTTTTTTGGAAAAACAAAAGGAGCATTTTTTTCTTCTTGGTCCATTTTTTTCTTTATGAGCCCTGCGACTTTTGAAAATCGTCGAGTTCTATTATTTTCCAAAAACCGTTATCACTTTAATGTTATTCCCTTGTGAGGTGTAGAAAATGAGAAAAAATAAAATAAAATTCTTATCTCTCGAAATTTTCTGCTGATTTTTAGTGTTCTTTTTTTGCAACAGGAAAAAAATTGGAACATTTTTTTTCAACACAAGATAAGATGAGCCACAAAAACTCATTAGATGATCACAGTTGTTTTTTTTTGCTTGCTTTCTCGGACAGCTGAACGATTTTTCTTTTTTTTTCCCACTATTCCTAGTTTTTCTTATACATATAATTCTTCTGTTATATACGTATAGTTAGCAGATGTTGCGATCGACAAAATACCATTTTTCGGCCGTCCAAAATTCCGAATTTATTTTTGAGATCAATTTTGAGGGGGAGATCGGATTTCTTTTTATCTTTGAGGAATTTTTGAGGCGTGGTTTTCATTTCGAAAAAAATATATGTTTTTGATAAGGAATTTTTAGAAGAATTTCATTTCTCTGAAATTCTTTCTAGAATCATCATTTCGAAATTTGGTAGGTCGGAGATTCAAAAAACCAGCCAAAAAATTACCCGAAAAATATACGTTTCAAAATTTTTAAGAAATTTATTTGCATCTTGTTGTTCGTTAAAAGAATTCCCATCAATGGTTCAATTTCACATTGAATTTCCAAAGGAGAAATAATAAGTACCGTAAGTTACAGTAATCCGGAGTAGATCAATGCTATTTTTTGATTACTGTAGATAAAATATATAAGTAATCAGGAAACCGGTAAGATCCGAAATTTTAGCTGTATGAAATTTGGACATGGTAGATCAGAGTTAAGGATTTTAAAATTTCAAAATCTGAAGATAAAATTTGAGGTCCGATTGTTTTCACATTTAAAAATTCTCATGTCAGGCAACTCCAGTTCCAAATTTCTAGGGTCCCGATTCTGATTCGTAAGATTTTTGGATTTTTTGAAGCAGTATTGAATTGTTGAAGTTCCTCAAGCTTAAATTCAACTTTTGTCACGTCCCAAAATTTGGCCTAAATTTCAATTTAGTCGCCCCAAAAATCGCAATGTTTCTTGATGTCATTTCTTCTCGTGCCATCTCAAATTTCGTTTCGGAAAATAAATAAATATCGTCGATCTCGCGCCACCAAAAAAAATTCTTCTTATTTTTTTCTGATGCTTCTTCTTCTTCTCTTCTCTTCATTTGTCTTTTCTCATTCATTCTTGCGAAAACGAACACAAATAAACTCGCGCGCGCCCACAAAAATTTTTGTTTCGTTTGCGCAACAAAGAAGTGCTAGTGCACTTTTTTCTCGGCGCCTTCTTTTTTTGATACAAAAAGGTTTTGGTTTCCCAAGGTTTTTCATCGTTTTATCTATGAGAAAATGAGTCCCTTTTGAATTTGGAAACGTATAAAAGCCGGGCAAAAAGTTCAGTTTCGTATCCTTTCTGGTTCTGACATTCTCTTTCGACCCCCACCTAGTTTTGTAATGTGTTCACTTTCCATTTTTGCGCCCTCTTCTCGATCTTCCCGGAAAGTCGTCATTGTTTTTCGAGCTGAGTTTCCACTTGACAATGTTTTTTGATACACTGATATTTCATATTTTGGTGTTTGTTTTGGTTGGTGATCATTAGGACAACTACTGGTGCAAAAAAATGTGTAATAAATTTTTGTCTGCACAAGTTTTGTGTAAATTTTTAATTGGGCCCAAAAGGTTTGGATTACTGTAGGGAGCATTTTTTTTGAAAGTGGAAAAAATTGACGAAGATTTTTTAATGTCCAGAGCTAGGGTTACTGTAGACCGAAATGAAAATTAAATTCCAATTTGGCCTGAAATATGAGGCTACTGTAGGTCACACAATCTCTCACAAGAGTTGTACTGTAAGTGTAGATTAAATGAAGAGTACTGTAGCTCAACTCTTTCCGATTCCCGTTTGAGAAAAATCCCGGTTTGTTTAATGATTAAGAAAATTTCGCAAGAATTTCTTCCCACTCAAAATTTTCCGATGAAAATACACTACAATATTTTCCATTTTTTCGAGTTTTGATATTGTTGGAAGGAATTTTGGAAAATTCCCTGACCGTACCAAATTTTCAAGTTACGGTAATTTTTACGCGCCTACATTATAGAAAACTGTACAGTGTCTATTTGAATATCCAATTTTCAATTTAGAAGTAAGAAAATTATGGAGGAAACATTTCCCTAATAAAAATACGTTTCAATTATTTTTCTAATAATAATTTTTGATGCGGGCTTTGATAGTCCTTTTAAATTCATTCTAAAAAATTAATTCCACAAACTACCTAATTGTTAACATAAGTTTCTAGTTAAACTTTTGTAGTCACCCGTTCCACTTTCACTATAATTTCTTTTTCTCATTTCCTAATTTATGTATGTATTTCATTTTTTATGTGATATCAAATTATATTTATTTATTATTTTTATTATATTCCATTTTTTATCGATGTTCATGTTTTTTTTCCATTAACTTTACGATTTTTCCTGTATTCAGGAAGGAAAAATGTTCATTACATCAAAGAACCAAACTTTTTTTGTTCTTTTGAAGAAAAATTCCCTAGGGATTTCTTGGTGTTCTCAACTTTAATTACTGGAATGGAAGAATTTTTTATTTGAAATTGTATTCAGAGAGGTTCAAAAATTTTCATGAATTAAAAAAAACCTTCAGATTTTCAGAAATAAACCTAATTTTCAGAATTTTAATTTTTCAGCGCTGAAAATCCACGTGGCAAACGTGTCCACGGGACACACTCTTTTTTATATCTAGAAAATATCTCACCAAAATTAATTCCATGCTCAAAAATTGCTCATGACTTTTTCCCACTCAACTTTACACCTTCTCACACAAAACGTAATACATAAATATGCACAATATTTGCTCAAGCTCCTTTTCTCATCATCGTCATTTCAATTCGCGCATTGTTCGCGCATCCCAAAAATTATCATGATGAAACAAACAAAACACATCTCTCTCTCTTTCAAATTCAAAAATAAACAAAAATAAACCAACACCCAAAAACGGGAGCATCCCTCCTCCCACCAATACTATTTGCACTTTCTCCTTCGAATTCACATTTTTCACATATGAATTTTAAAATTCAAACATTTTGCAGATGATCAGATGCGGATCAAGTGGCCAACAATTCTATTGATTGCCTTAATCACCCTCGTCTTTTTGCTTTTTAATATTTATGGAGTTTTGGAGATTTTGAGGTTTTTTAGGAGTCAGGAGCAAAAAAAGGTTTTAGGTGAGAAATTTTGAAGCTTAAAATTTACAGCCAAAAGTTGTAGATCAAGGAAAAAATCTAAAAAACTTCCTTCCAGAATTCCAACACCGCAATCGTCTTTCAACAACTTCTACATCCGCACCAGATCCACCTCCACCCGAACTTGTCACATTCCCAAGTTCAACATCGAGGTCTCATCATCATCACAAACATCACAAAACTAATCATATCAGTAGGCAACATGTTGTTCAGCAAACAACTCAGGAACCTGAACCGGTGACCGAAACTTCCACGAGTACTACAACTAGAATACATATCACAACTCCTAGATATCAAGTGGCTACCGAGGTGGCGGTTCCAGTTATTGAGCGAATCAAGATTCCAGCATCGTCTAGTTATCGGGAGCCGTATCGTTATCATCAGGAGCATAAGCATAATCGCACTCATATTGAGGTTCATAGACATGTAGATTCTACCACAACAGTTGGAACTACAACCAGCACAACTGTTGGAACTACAACCAGCAGATCTCATCATCATCATCATCACCACCGTCACAATCATCATATGACATCTAATACCGAGGTGACTACTCGAAGAACTCCCACGCAGAGATATCCCTCTCTGGAACACACCCAAAGAGTTCCTACTCAGCGTCCAACTCCACCGAGATACCCAACCCGGGAATACCCGCCACCTTACCGAGCTGAAGTTCAACATCGCCCACATTCCCAACATCCCACAAATCATCCACCTCGCCCAACCGATGGATATTGGAGATACCCGCAAGGATCAATTCGGGCTGGATTATCTCGCCAAGATCCAACAACAACATCCACTTTGCCATCCACAACAAATAGGATTCTTGATGAAAATGACATCGAGTACGATCCAATCAGTTTTGAAGTGGGGGGAGATGATCAAGATGAAGATCAGGAAGAGACAACTACTGAAAGATCTACCACAACCACCGAAAAGATCACAACCACAACAACAGAATGGGCGGGTAGACGAAGACAGCCAGAGCCAACCACGACACCGGGAAATGCAGCAGAGTGAGTTGTTGAGTCGGGGAAGAGGGGATTCCACGTGGGGGGAAATGCATGGAATTTTTATACAAAATTTCAAAATTCGATGAAAATTGAAAAAAAAAAACTAGCTAAAACTAGATTCTCTGAAAAATTTTGCGAATGGAAATAAATTTTTTTGAAAAATTTTAATTCAAGACTGAAAAATAAAAATGTGTTATTTTAAAAATTATAAATTACAAAAAATCTTCAGAAAAAAATCTTCAGAAAACCAAAATTTCGAAAAATCAATAAAATAAATCTGCTAAAGTGCGGGAAGGTGGAGTGTTGTTAGTAGTACTCTATTTTTGATTAATTTCTATTTTTAAATTAAATTTAAATAAATTTAAATGAGAATTTTTGTTTTTTTTTAGTAGAAAGAATTTTGTATTTGGACTGTTCCAAGCCTTGAAAATTTTGCCACGTGTAAACTTTAATCTAGATTATATTTTTCAATTTCTGAATTTTCTCCAGACGCAACGTCACAATCGTAACCGGACTTCTCAACATTGGCCGCGGAGATTGGGACCAATATCGTCGCCCGCTCACCAAATATCATGAATTCATGGAGAATCTGCTTTCCCTCCAGAACAATCTTGTCGTTTTCACAGATGACTCGAGTTACGATTTTGTCGAGAAATATCGCGCAAAACTCGGTTTGGCACACATGACACGTGTTCATAAGATCTCAATTCAAGAACTTCCACTCTACGGGTATTATAATGAGGCTAAACGGATTATTGATAATGAACTCGGAAATGCCACATTCTATGAGTGAGTTTTTTTTATTTGATCTTGTAGAAAGACAAAAATCATGTTTTTTCCGCAGACTTTTTGCTGACAGCGATATGAAAACTCATCCAGAAGCCAAAAGTGCAGAATACAACATTGTCGTCAATTCAAAAACTCACTTTTTGCAAAATGTAACTCTCGAAAACCCCTTCCAAACTGATCATTTCATTTGGCTTGATGCTGGTTACGGTCATGGAAATCAAAGTGTATTTCCGTATAATAATATTTGGCGGCCAAAGTTTGTAGATGGCAAAGTTTCACTGATCAAATTGACACCGCATTATGATAAGTTGACCAATTATGGATTGCACAATTTGTATCGGAGGAATTGGGCGGTGTTGAGTGGTGGATTTATTGCCGGGGATAAACAGTGAGTAGATTTGGGAAAAACGCATCTCAAACTTCAATAGCTCTAAAACTTAAAACCTAGTCAGCACACTGTGATACCTAGAAAACCTGATAGTCCACGTCTAGAGCACCATTCTGACTAGGAGCCTTTTCTCGAGACTCAACAAGACCTCTACTTATTTTTTCCAGCTCAATCGAACAACTCCACTCCATAATCCACCGTCGCTTCATCCGTCTAATCTACCAAAACTACGTGGACGACGATCAAACTCTTTTGGTTCTAGCTGTCAATGCTCATCCCCACCTTTTCAATATTGTCAACGGCGATTGGTTTGATGCGTTCAAACTTTTCAGCGTTGATGCTGAATCGCAACTTGGTTAGGTTGCACAATTTTTTATTTGAAATTTTAATTGATTTACTGGTTTATTTTTGATTGAGATTTTTGTGTTGTGAATTTTGCTTTAAAATTTGTATGTTTTTTATTTTTGATTATTATATTTGACATAAAGAAATTTTGCAAGAAAAGAAATTTCCGGATTTTCGGAAAATTATGTTTCTGATACCATCCTTGATAAAATCTACAATTTCTCTCGCATTCGCACCTTATTTCAATAAATGACTAAAATACATTTGAAAGCCGGTTTTGACCAAAATAAATACACAAAACATTCATTTACAAATTCCTGATTTAACTAAATACGGTTTCGTTGAACGCTGTAGAGATATTGGAATATTATCACAAGTCACATTATGTTTCTCAAAAACATAACCAAGAATTTGAATCACATTCTCCCGCAACTTTTCCACGTATTTCTCACGTAAAGTCACATGAATAAACTTTGTTTTCTGCTTTATCAAAGTTTCAATAAAATTCGACCATAAAAATTTGGGAGAAATCGTTCGATAATGATTCAAAAACGCAACATTCTTTGGGACCACTATAGTTTTATATCCAGGCTCCAAACCATAGGACCAATGTAAAAGTATGGCATCAACTTTATCCGGCCTGACCATAACTTTTGGTGATCCATAAGTTGGCTCATGTGTCAAATTATAATTGATTGCTTGAATATCATTTGAAACCTCTTGAATATTATTGTAGTTTTCTAAAGATTCCTTGAATTTCGCAATTCTTCTCATTGAAAATATTAGTTCAGCTGTTTTATCTCCAAGACTTTCAATGTATTTTAAAATAGGCATTTTTGTTGGAATCAAAAATTCATCATGATCAATATTCAATAGCCATTTAGAATGTTGTCTTGCTCGATAAAAACACTCATGAATCTGAACCATATGTCTCATCATAGCTGCATTTGTATATTCTGTATTTATCATTGACACTTCAGCAAAACCACTTCTCTCATATTCATTCAATACTATTCTAGTCATTTCATCGATCTCAAACACCGAAAAATAGAACATATTTGCTCCAATCAATTTGTGATGCTCGACAAATTCTGCAATCTGCATCCACTTTGCATCCAACCCATATATTTGCCCACCACAAACTCCTAATTCATTTGGCGGGTTTTTAAAAAGTCTATGAATGAATGGAATCGGCACTTGTGGTTGTTCATTTTCAGCCAAACTCAGAGAAATAAAACTGGCTCCAGCTTTTCGTAGACAATGAACTGAGGTAAGTGGGAAGAAGAATGATTTGTACATTGAACCTGGGATCTCAACTCGATTGCAATCAAAATATCGACAAAAAACTGGGGTTCTAAATAAAACAACTTTTGTTTTTTTATTCAAATTAAATTTTGGTAGAGACTTACCCTAACTGTGGTTTGTCTGTCCGTTGTCTGGAAGTTGTCACAACTATTTCATTTTCATATAGAAATGCCGAAATTAGACGAAGCTCTCCATCATTCAAGCCTTCCTAAAAACAGAGGTTCAGAAATCCAGTAAATTTTGAATATAGGCTTCGGTCTAAGCTTAGTCCAGTCCCAACTCACACTTTTTGTTACTCCATGTTCTGTAAGTAATTTGAGCTTCGCAATACGTGGAATTTCCCAAGTTGTTTTGTTATTCCAAGACTCAACTCGACATTTTGAAAAATCTTTTTTCTCGTGAATGAAAACATCATCAACGTAAACAACTTTATCCGTGAGCAATTCCGAAGATTCAGCTTTTTGGTTATTAAAATAATCAAAAGTGAAAATGAAAATAATGAGAGCTGTGGGTAAAAATATATATTTGTAGGAATACATTTGAAAGAAAACCGGTGAGAATAATTTTTAAATTTTCTTGAAAATTTATTTCTGACCTCCCATCAGATAAAAGCATTTTTCTGTTCATTGAAACAACATCGGGATTGATGTTGATGTTGTTGAAATCTCGTTTTACGGAAAAGACAAGAGGAAATAGATTCTATATTGGATAATGTTCGAAACAATTGATCGATTATTTTTTAATCAACTTTGGTTTCATAGCTCCATTTCAGAATAATTTTTGGGAGAAATAGAGTTTCACATAATGATAATCGATTTACTAAAAGTCCATCAATAAAAAACATTTTTTCAAAAAATTTTGAATTTTTCTATTTCTCAGCCACAGCAAATTTTTTTCTACGTGACCTCAAATAAAAAAATCATTGCAGAATGTGTTTTTCACGCGGCACACACATCTGGGCGGAGCCTAATAAAATCCTGTTTTTACTCGTTTTTTGAGGATTTGAACCCGAATTTCAGGGAAAAGTTGATTTTTCACTATCAGAATTGAGAAAAGAAGGGTTGAGGGAGATCCGGAAGACAGAAAATTGCTTATAAATCTTCTAATTCCGCTCAAAATGACGTTTCTCCATATTTTTCTCGATTTTCCCAGGAAAGACAATAAACTTTTGATTCAAAAAACTATTACTACTTGAAAAATTATCAACTACTTCTAAAAATGTAGTTTGAGCATGTTTCCTTCGGTTTCGGCTTCAAAAACACATTTTTTGTGAAAAAAAACACAAAAAAAGAAATTTTTTTGCGAAAATACTGTAGCGACACGTGAAATTGTGCAATGAGAAAATGCATAGTGAAAAATTTGCTGTGTCAGCTGAAAATTCATGAAAATTCATCCCTGCTCATTCTTTTTTCCAAAATCAAAATTTTTTGAAGTGTTGAGTAAAAAAGGTTCCCTTGTCAAAAATAAATACCCGATAATCTATTATTTTCATCCTTCTTCTTTGTATCTTCAAATAGCAACAATCTGATAAATTATTTAATAAAGAGAACAGAAGATCTCAATTTTCGATAAAAATTTCATTTATTCTAGTTTCAAATGATGGTAGTCGCGAGAATTATACCAATTTTCCTACTTATTCTAATTCTGTTGACAATAATATTTTTCCGCATATTGAATTCAATTGATAATTCGGGAAAAATCGATGATCGATCGATAATTCTGAAATATTTCGAGGAATTTCAGAAAGACGGTAACACATGGCAGAGGAATACTACTCCCCAACCAAAAAATAATTTTGATTATTTTGTGAGTTTTTTCTTTCTTAACACTCGGCGACATCTATTCTGGAATTCCAGAAAAATTTAAATTCCTACAACTACTCAACAGCTGCTGTAAAGTGTAATTCAACTAATAATGTTGATCCAAAATTATTGAGAGGAATCAAGAATAATCATGGAAGATGTGAAGTTGTTATGTTGGTTCGATTTTGGCATCAACCCGACATTCTTTGGTTTAATTACGAGAATGTTATGAAAATGTGCGATGAAGAAAGTGGTGTTAGAGATATTCAGATTTTCCCGTTTGTCTCAAATTTAGGGAAAGAAGAGAATGATATGAAATATTGGGTTGCTCTTCCAAAATGCGTGAGTTTGGGGACCTGCTAGAAAATATATAAACTCAAAAAAATCTTCAGCAAATCGACTCCAACTTCCTTATAAAAATTGGCGGAGACTCCGATAAATCGCCCGAAGAATCATTGAAAATCTACATCCCTGACTTGCAGATTGAATATATTCCCAAAAATCCTGAAAACTTCACAGACATTCTATCAGAAATCAAAGAGAAATCAAATTCAAATTCGTCCATTATTATTGATATGTTATGGATTTCACATGATTCGAATATTGAAGTTCTCGAACTTTTGATGGACAAGACAATCGAGAAAATGAATATTGTTTTTTGTCAGATAAATTTAGAAATTAGCAAGGAAGATGCTGAAGTATTTGAAAGGTTTTTGCGTAGTTTTTTTGCGCGATTGAATTATATTGGACTTAGGCCAAGTTCGACAAGAAAATCTACTTATCGAAGCGGATATTTTCAAAATATTAATGATCATCGATGTATTCAAAAACTTTTTTATATAAATTTTTCTGTAAAAAAGGACATAAATTGAAATTATTAAAACGTGAAAACGTTTCCACGTGAAAAAAATTGACAAAAATAATCATTTTTCATTTTTTCATCGCTTGGAAATGGAGAGCAATATGGCGATTTGAAAAATTAAAAAAAAAAGTGAGTATTCTTCAAAAAAAATAATTTTTATAAAATGGGATACGGTTTAAAGGAACATGCAACTTTTTGTTTGTGTCTCGCGGCGATCTCTCGCGCGTAGCATTTTTTTGAAAGTTGCATTCAAAATATTTTTTTCTCGTTCAATTGCACAGCCGCTCAAATACATTGAGAGAGTAGAAATGCTGGGTAAAAACTGGTGCGCCCATTTACACGGTCCCTAGGGTAACGTATGAAAACGTGAAAATAGCATCAAAATCAGCTCATCGAGATCTAGGCGACTATGTTTTACTCACTTCGTATAACTACCTAGGAAAAAAGTTAGCTTCCAAGCGAGACCAAATAAAAAATAAAACTCATGTTCCTTTAAACACCGTATGAAAATTAACGTGTTTTCCTGGAATAACTAGGGTAACTCGACAAGTAAAAATAAGGTGAATACACCATTTAATTCCTCGTTTCATAACGAGTATTAAGATATAAGTAACTTGATTCCTAATGGCTTCTAGAAAAAGCAGATTTTCAGTTACGGTTTTGATGTATTAAAAAATCGGTGCGCCCATTTTGGAGAACTTCCCGGTATCGATAGCAGAACTTGAATATATCAAAAAATTCGTCTTTTCGTGAACTATGCGACTATGTTTTGCGTGTTAAGTTTTCTTAGCAGTTGAGCGCGTTAAAGACGCACAAAACGAAAAAAATCATTTTTCAGCGAAAAAGTTGTGCATTGTGACAGTGCGGTGTGTGCACAGTTCGCCAACCGTACTCCACCCAAACATTTCTACTCTCAAACGGGTGTGTCAAACACTTTTGAAAAACTGTTTTTCAGCTGGAAATCGTATAAAATGCTGGAATTACCGTCGATAATATTGAAATTGAAGTTTGGTGAGTTGTCTTTGGGGTTTGTGGGAAGTTTTCCATAGAAAAATCAATGACTTCCAAGAAGATTTTGTGTAAATACATGATTTTTTCTTGAAAATCAATCAATTTTATTTATTTTTCTTATATTTTCAGATCGAAAAAATGGATTGCGATGTGGTATTTTGCGACAAATCGACTTTTGAACGATTTTTTGATATTGTGAGTTTTTTTGGGCAGAATATTGTGAAAAAAATTACGAGGCGCCACATAAAAAATCCCATAACCACCTAAAATTAATAATAGGATTTTGAAGAAAAATCGCTCCTTTTTGGCGCCGAAATCTAGTCTATTCATATCTATTTTTTTTATCTCATCTCCTCCTATTAAAAAAATGATGAAATAATTTTTGCTTTATTTCTCGAGCTATTCTGGAAGAGGGGAAAATCAATGTCTCTTCTTCTTTGAATTTTTCTCTCCTGGCGGACGGAGCTCAGGAAAAAGAGCCATGTATAGTGATTAGATGGGCGGTCTCTCCTCCCTATTTTTTTCAACAACACAACATGTCCTGGAATAAGACGAAGATGGAGGAGGAAAATTATTATTATATATAAGATTTAGAAGAAAAATGTGCAGAGAACATCTTTCTGGAAATACTTTTTTTTAATTTCGCAAGGGATTATTTTTGTAAATTTTAGGCCTTAGGCTTAGGCTAAAACTTTTAAGAAGCTTATCAAATAGGAGCTTCATAATTTTAGGCTTACAAATAGGCTTAGGCTTATCCAAATAACTAGGCTTAGGCTTCAAGAATCTGAAATTAAAACGTTAGGCTATTTCGGAATGTGGTTTGTTGAATTTTGAGCTTTTGGGTACTGTAGGCTTTTTTCAGAACGTTTTTTGGAAATTCATTAATTTTTGCGCTCCGAAAGATTTTGATGTTTCTAATATGATCTTTGAATCTGATTTTTGGACGTAACTAATTAGGACAGCTGATTTTTTTTTCAAATTTTTTTTGTAAATCGAAATTTTTGGCCCACAATCCTGATAACCATAAATTTATTTTTTCAAAAAAAAGTCCAACTTCCCAATTCCATTTGTTGTTATTGACAATCACTAATTTTCGTGTGTGAGCTAGGAAAAATTCATTTTCGAAGCACTTTTTTGGTGCTCAAAGTGCCATTGATCAGTGAAGTTCTTTTGAAACACCGTGAATAAGTCTTGATTAGATTTTTTCGGAGGGAAAATAGAGGTTAATTGAGGGAGAAAGGTACGTAGGATAGTTGGGTAGTTGGAAGAGCTTAGGTTAACTACTTTGAGCTAATGTTAGGCTTATCAGAAAATCTAGATTTAGGCTTTTTTTAATGTTCAGGCCTATAATCTGAACGGTTAGACTTGTTAGGCTTATCATAAAATCTAGGTTTCCCTAAATCTTAGGCTTAGGCTTATCCCAACTTTTAGGCTTATCAAAAAGCTAATGGCTATCTAAAACTTTCAAAAATTGATCTTGATCAGCGAGAATTCCAGTAAACCTAACCTAGGCAAGCTAATTAGGTTAAACTTAGCCTAAATCACTTTTGAGCTTTCAAAAAGTGCTCTATTTCTCTGACAAATTCAAGATAAATAGAGATAAAAAGTGCAGATAGATAGATAGATAGGCTAAGAAAGCCTGCGCTCGCGTATAAAAAAATTATATATTTTTCGCTCCCCCCCTTATACACATTCATATTCATATTTTTTTTTGCCACACACTGGTTGAGGCTATAGAAAATATATATCCGAGACTTTGGCTAGTATCTATTGATTATTATTTTTTTTTCTGTTGTGTGTGTTTTCCTGATTACTTACTTTGGCTTTTTCTCACGTTTTGTTTTTGGTTGTTTTTTTTCTGGCTGCGCTGGCTGCGGTTTTTTTTGAGCTGGAACTTTATTGGAGCAGCTGAAGTTGTGAGCAAAGATCATTTGGCACGATTCCCAGTTCTTTTTTTTCTCTGATAATTATAGTTTTGCCAGATATTTTTTGGCAAGCTAGTGATTTTTACCTGATAAAAAATTACGAACGGATTTTTTTTTCTTAGCTCTAGATTTAGATTTGGAGTTAGATTAAGGATAAGGCTTAGGCTCAAAAAACCTAGGCTTAGGTTCTGGCTTAGGCTTAGAACTTGGCTTTAGGTTAGCCTTGGTCTTGATAATCATGTTAGCCCTAATTTTTTATATGTCAACATTTTTTGAAAACCTTGGCTAGATTCAAATTTTCTTTTGATCCAGAACCCATTTTTTATTTGTTTCGGAATTTTTTCGAGACTTTTTTGAGCTGCAGGTGAAATTTCAAATCAAAATTTGTATCTTTGGCAAAATTCCAAAGTTCAAATTTCACCTGGAAACCTAGAGTTTCAGCTGTCCAAATTTTGGCAAGAATTCAAATTTTGACTCATAATCCAAATGTGTTATTTTCTGATTCACCGTCTCTCAATTATCCACGTCACATCCTGGGCGGATTTTTCTCGCAATAAAAAAATTTTCAAAAAAAAAAAACAACTCGATGAAACAAGATATGTGCAGATAATAAATCCGTTAATCCGCCGGCCGCCCGAAAAAATTTGAATTTTTCGAGAAATTGAATAGACATATAGATTCTGGCTCTCCGGAATAGAAGAAAATTATAATTAGTGTGAGAAACTTGGCAGTTTTTCTCTACATTTTCTCTACTTTTTTTTTCAAAAAAAAAAGTATCTATGAATAAATCATAACTATAGTTATTAGCACTTTACTCTTCTTCTTCTTCGTTTTTGCTTTGGTGGAGGAATTTCTAATTTCCGGCCCTGCGCTTTTTATTATTACTTACTCACTCACTCACAATCCCCGTTTTTCGACCGACTGAAATCACTTTTTGTGTGTTTTATTCTGCTGTTTTTTTTCCAGAGAACTAGTAAAAGACATGGCTTTTCACAGAATCAAATAGAGCGAATAATGGTAAATAGAGTGAGTTTCTGTTGTTTTTTGCGAAAGGGGGAATTAGGAAAAGTACGAGAACATTTTGGGAGCGGGGAATTGGGGAAATTTTGGTTTAGAAAAAATGGGAATTTTTACATGATAGTCTAATTTATGGAAATTTGAGCTCAAGAATTTGTTTTGGATAAATTCTGGCCTGGACTGTTTTTGAAGAGATTTTGAAGGGCCCAAAAAATCGTACCAAAGTATTTTGGGTTTCTGAAATTCACATTCAGGGCCTGAATCAGAATATTTTCAAAAGGGGACCCTGAAATTTGAAATTTTTAGGATTTAATAAGCTTTCAAACAAAGTTCTGAAAAGTGTTTATTTATTTTAAAAACACGCGGCATTTTTTGAAAAAATGCGCAAAATATTTTCAGATCAAAAATAAGCCACGTGGCATTCCTAGCCCCACAAAATTTTGGATTTTTTTCGGACGCAATTTTTCCTGAATCAATTTTTTGAATTTTTATCACAAATTGAAATTTCTCAGAAGTTGATGAAGCCAATTTTTCACAAGAAAAAAATTCTGAAAGTTAAAACTGAAAATTTTCTAAAAATCAATGAATCATTCTGAAAAATTTTCTGAAAAAAATCTTCTGTCAAGAATTTTATAAGCTTTAAAAAAAGACACGTGGCATTTTTTGATTTCGAAAAAAATGCGAAATATTTTCAGATCAAAAATAAGCCACATGGCATTTCTGAAAAATTTTGAATTTTTATTCCAACCCACTTTTTTCTTGTGAACTAAATTTAGAAAACATTTTATCACTGCTTGAAATTTCTCAAAAATTAATAAAGCCAATTTTTCACAAGAAAAACATTTCTAAAAATTAAAACTAAAATTTTCCGAAAATCAATGAATCATTCTGAAAAATAATTTTTGAACAAAATCTATAAGTTTATTGATCTTGAAAAAGCTCAAAACTTCTAGAAAAAAATCAATAAATTCAAAAAATCATTAAATCCCCCTTCCATCTCCAAATTCTAAACTCAAACTTTCATGGTTTTGCAGTTGATATGCCATCTGTCCAACAACAACAATCTTCGTTAAGAAACGGTGCAAGGCGCGGAAATAAAAAAGGTCAGTTTTGTTTCGGGAATCAAAAAAAATGTCTGAACATGCTCATTTTCCCTCCCAATTTTTTTGAACGATTCGCCATTTAGCCAACAAAAAATTGCATTAAATTTGGGTTCGGCTTATTTTTAGCTAGCTTTTGCCGTTTTTCGAACTAAGCCAAGCTAGACACAAATTGAAATCACTAAAGATTTTCCTTGATTAAAAATTCTGGAAGTTTGTATATGTTTGGTTTTTTTTTGACAAAAACAAATATGTTTTCAGAAGAATTTTTGATTATTTGTGTTTTTTCCAGCATTTTTTTCTTTTTTTGCTTGGAAAATTGAATTTTTTGAGATCCTGCGTAAATTTCTTCCCTGTAATTTGATCGGATTTTTTTCTGTTTGACAGAGAAAATTTTATTTATTGTTTTCATATTTGAAATTTGACACTTTTTTTTCGAGATTTACACATACTTGTAGGTTTTTTTCTGGCGCGCGTGAAGTATCAGAGATCAATTGCCACGTCATGACTCATTTTTTCCTGTGATTTTCTCTAGATAAGATTTATTAGTATTGTTTTTTTGAACACAGGTATTTTTTGAGCAGAATACAAAAAAAAATCACATGTAAAAATATATAGGAGGATACGAAAAACATTTGGATTTTTTTTGGCTGCCAAGGAGTGGTTGCTTGACAAGCCTTTTGATGAATAGGGGATGGCACTAGAGGAATCTCCCCTCAAGCAGTCGGCACTAGACGATTCTATTCTCAAGGCTTCTCACAAGTAGCCAGTTCTTGTCTCATGTTTTTTTTAGAATTCAGGACGAATTTTTGTAGATCAAACATTTTGCGTCCAAAATTTTGGGCTCAAACTAATTTTGATACCAAATTCAAAAATTCTTCAGAAAAATGATAAATGTGTTGTTTTTCTGTCTTTCTTTCTGTTTTTTTTTCAGAAAAAAATATCTGTCTAATTTTTTTGTGTTTTCCCCCCTATTTTCAATTCATTTCCTCTCAATATTTCCATTTTTCCCTCTCATTTTTCCGACATGTAAAAAATATATCAAAGATATATCTTTGCCTTTTTGCTGCGCGGCAAAAATTATAGTTTTCTTTCATATTTTTTTCGCTTTTCTGTGTCGGTTGCTATGGAAAGTTTAGGTTTCAAATTTTCAACCAAAAAATTCGAAAAAGTGGGTCAATTTTCATTGCCCAAAATGTCCCCACGCCGTGAGCACAGAAATTTTGCTCATTTCAATTTTGAGAGAAGCGAGTTAGCCGAATTCCGTCTGATATATTAAAGTCATCTTGTCATCCATCTATCCCTCCTCTTTTTTTTCGCGCACTTCAAATTCGAACAACTTTTCGTTTTCACATCAGCTTCTCCTTTTTCTGCTTCTTCTCAAATTTGAAGTGTTAGTAGTTTTTTTTTTCATTTTATTTTATTTGGATTTATGGATTAAGGAAGTTTGTGATTTTTGCAATTTTGCTCTAGTGAAAATTTTGGGTTGTTTGAGAGAAATACACGGGATTTTGAGAGCTCCTGGAGAAGAACACGAAGCCACGTGGATTTTTAGCAATAAAATTTGGATTGGAAAATGTGATAGTGCTCTGATTTTTTCTGAATTTTGAAATTTAGGTTTTTCAATATTTCGCCACGTGGATTTTTGAGCCCCAAAATACATTAAATCTTTCACCTTTGGCTAAATTTTGCGATCTTTTCTGCTCCTAAAAGTGAATTAATTGGTGGTTTGACAATTTGCTAGCTCAATGATCTTGAACTATGAACCCTTTTGAGATGGCCACGTGGCTTTTTTGGCCCGAAAATTTTGAATTTTTCCACGTGGAATTAGATATCAATTTTTTATCCGTCACAAATTTTTCTTTGGAAATTGGTTTCTAAAATTCTGTAGTCTAGATCTCTGATTTGCCTCTTTACAGAAAATTGAGCTTGAATTTTGTTTTGTAAATTTTGTAGATAAAACCACGTGGCCGAGTTTTTCAGCCCGAAATTCTTGAAAAAAAATTAGTTCCAAAATCAGAATCATTCGGGAAATTCCAAATTTTCCCAATTTTTCGTCAATGCTTTATTTTCGCCTCAAAAAATTCCCGTCTTCCAATTAACATCATCTTTTTTCTCTCCCATTTTTGCTCATTTTCCAGCTCCAAACATTTCTTTTTCTTCTTCTTGCTTTTTTTGTAACAATTACGAATTACGTTTTTATTCGTTTTTTTTTCAATTCCAGTTTTCTCCCCCCTGCTCTAATTTCCTGCTTGCTATTTTTGCTTCTCCAAAAAAATCGACAACTTTTTTCTCGGTGCCTAGTTTGACCCCTTTGGAAAAAAGTTCGTTAATTTTTAACGACCTGCTTTGCTTGTTTTTTTCTATTTTTCTAGCCACTATTTTTGAAATCTGTGCAGAAAAAAATCTGTTTTTTTTTCGGAAAAAAACGGAAAATTGCTCGACGATTATTATTATTTGGTTAAATAGTAGTAGTTCGGCACGGGAAAACTTTTTTTTCAAAATATTTTTTTGAAAAAAAGTGGCGGCGGCGGCGGTGTGGAAAGGTGCACACACACAGGGAATGACGAGATTTCTGAATGAGCAACAGCAGAAGAACTGGTGTCTCGCAAACTTCGGCTTTTTTATTCAATCGGAGAGATAAACCTAGTAGGTTTTTGTGAGGAGAAATTGGGATTTTTCGGGTCTGAACCGGATGAGCCCAGGAAATTTCGAAAAAAAGGAAAATTTGTGATTTTTTGAGTCTAAATATGGCTAGGCTTCGAAATCCCGTAAAATCTTGAAAATTTGGAATTTTTCAAGCCTAATCTTAGTTGGAAAAATTCAATTTTTTGAGTTAGAATTAGGCTTGTGTTAAAAACGTCATTAAGTGAGTGAAATTCTGATTTCAAGCCTAAAATTCAAAATTTCTAATTATAGATCTGAAATTGTTTTTCAAAATATTTCAGTAAAATTTGTGGATTTTTTTAGCCTGAAAAAAATTTCTTGAAAAGTTTCTATCAAAAATTTTGTGATGTTTTGAATCTAATTTTGGCTAGACTTGAAGTCCTGAAGAGTTTTTTTTTAAATAAAAGTAATCCCAGAAAAATTTGACCCTGAACGATTTTTCAGAATATGAAAATTTAAAAATCAAAATTTTCTGACGACAATTTTTGTTTTTCCCAAAAAAGTTCACTCAAACTTTTTCAAAACTGTTATTTTTCATTTTATGGCTACCACAAAAAATTCAATAAAATTTTAGAATCCCTGAAAATCCCCCACTAATTTTTTTAAAAATCCAACAAATATTTTTATAGGACACGGTCGAGGTGAATCTCTGCACCACGCTGCAGTTGTCGAAGTTGGAGCCATGGTTCTTCAAAATATGTTTAGGTAAGTTGGATTGCTCATATTAAAGAACAACTTCTGAAATTTGCTCATATTAATCTGACAAAGACAATTCAAATAGGTTTTGTACCAGATTTTTGGAGAATAAGATCTTTTCGTGACCAAAATGCATTCTGAAATTTGGAAAATACTGAAAAATTTTTACAAACATTGCTCATATCAATCTTATAGTTGATTAACATGAGCAATGACTAAAAATAACCACATTGCTCATATTACTCCCAAGCCTATCTAATTTTGCAGTGCTCTCTCCTTCCTACACTACCGAAAAGATGATGATTTTGTCGACCGTCTCTCCTATTTCTACACTTCCTCATTTCTAATAATGATGGCAGTTTTGGTGAGTTTCAAACAATTTGGTGGTCGACCTCTCGAATGTTGGGTTCCTGCACAATTCACCGCTTCCTGGGAAGCTTATACAGAAATGTATTGTTGGGCACAAAATACGTATTGGGTTCCAATGGATCAAGATATTCCGGAAAATGTTAGTGATCGAGAATATCGACAGATTTCATATTATCAATGGGTCCCATTTTTCTTGCTTCTTCAAGCATTTCTATATTATATCCCTTGTTTGATGTGGCGATTGATGAGTGATAAAAGTGGAATACGATTGAATGATATTGTACAAATGGCGACGGAAAAAGAGAATATTGAACCAGATTATAGGATACGAACTATTGAAAGTTTATCTAGGCATATTGAAAGTGCACTGAGGTAAGCTGGATTTTGGGGAAGGTTTGGGGATGTTGTCATGAGATGAAAATGTTTTTTGCCAAAAAATCTCAGGCGAATCATTTCAAATTGCCCTAATTTTGTTTTGAAAAATTTTTGAAACGTATTTTTTAGGCTGAAAATATACATAGTGGAAAGAATTTCAAGAAAAAACACTCATTTTTTCTGTTTCTAGACTTTGAGAACTCTTCCACCAGTTTTTGGCCAAAAATCTCGTTTTCTGGATTATTTCACATCAAAATTTATGATTTCCCGTCGAAAAAAAATTCCACGAAATTCAAATTCCACGAAAGCAACAAAAAATCAGCTGATATCAGATTCTGATCACAAAAGCATTTCAAAATATCCAAATTTTATTTCGAAAATTTTTGGAACGTATTTTTCCGGGCAGAAAATATACCGAAAGAAATTTATAGCCATTTTTTGCTGTTTCATAAAATTGAATTTTAGAAACGTTCCGGTTTTTAGCCAGCTTATCATCATTTTTTTCGAATTTTCGCACCAAAAATCCTCAAATGTTTTCAGATACCAACACACGGCAACATCTCGAACCCAATACACACTTCATCGAGTTTTCAAATGTTTCAACATGCGATATTATGAAAGTTATGTGACTGGAATGTATCTCGCCACAAAAATAATGTATGTTGGAAATATTCTGACAAATTTGGTGTTGGTCAATAAATTTCTCGAAACTGATGAATATTCGATTTATGGATTGGGAGTTTTGAGAGATTTGTTGTTTGGAAGAACTTGGATCGAGTCGGGCAATTTTCCGAGGGTCACTTTGGTGAGTTTTTTGGCGGGATATTGCCTTGTTAATTTTTGACAAAATTATTTTCAATAAAACATTCTGAAATCTTTTGAGCTCAAGAATCCACTGAAAAATGAAACCGAATAAATTCGAATTTTTTTCAAAAATCAAAACTTCAAATATTACTATTTTTGTTTCACAATTTCGCTAAAATCTAAAAATTTTGAGCTAAAATTTTGGCTGCAGATAACAAAAAAAATAAAAATTTGAGATATTTGATGCAATTTTATTTTTTCAATTTTGAAAAATCCAAATTTTTGAGTACAAATTTTATCTCAAGATTTGATGGGTTTTAAGTCAGAACTTTTGAAAAATTATCGAAAAAATCCTCTCTCTCCCACAAAATCCTTCAGAAAACCCCCCAATTTTTTGCAGTGCGATTTCGAAGTTCGAGTTCTTGGCAACAATCAACGCCATAGTGTTCAATGCGTTTTAGTCATCAATATTTTCAACGAAAAAATATTTATTCTAATTTGGTTATGGTTTACACTTTTATTTGTCGCATCCACATTGGATATGTTGTATTGGTTTAGTATATCAATGTTTCATAGGTCTGTTTTTTTTGGAGGGAAATTTGAATTTTTGAAAAAAATTTGGATCATTTTTTTTTCATGATAATCTGAGAATTTTTAGCAGTTTTGAACCTAGGCAAGACTTCAGTTTTTCAATTTGAATTCTAAAAAGTTTGTCAAGATATTACACCTACACAATTGTCTCTGGCTCACAACCAAGGCATGCTCCAAAAATAAAAAAAAATTGACTTCAGGGACCGATTCCGTTTCGTGCTCCGCCATCTCGAACTCACTTCCGATCCCGACAAACCCGAATTATTTCGAAAAGAAAAACGAAAACAAGTCGAACATTTCCTGCGAACCTATCTGAAAGTCGACGGAGTTCTTGTGTTAAGAATGATTGCACTACATGCTGGTGTCATGTTTTGTACTGAAATAACCGATGCGTTGTGGAAACGATATTTGAGTCAACATCCGGAGAATTTGATTGATGATGATTCGTCGCTGATCACTTTTGCTAGGTGAGATTTTTGGGGTGGCAAAATGTGAAGAATGAGATTTTGGGTATTCTAGAAAACTGGAATTCTAAATGTTTTCATTCCGAAATCATTTAACTCTGAAAATTTTCACAGTTTTTTGAGAATTCATTTTTTTTACAAAATTAAAATTCTGATTCCACGTGGATGTTGCGTCCTAGAAATTCGTTAAATCTATATTTCTTGAAAAATTCTTGAAAAAATTTGAGGTTTTTGTGTTTCGAATAAATTTGTAAATAAAAATTCAGAACCTGAAAATCCACGTGGCACGATTTCTTTTCAAAATCTGAAATTTTGAAAAACAAAAAATCTTTCTTTTTCTAGCTGTAATCGAATTCGCAAGGAAATTCAGAATTTTCACATTTTTAATCGAAAAATCCATGAAAATCAGAATTTTCGCGAAAATGTTCCCCTCAATTTCCAGAGCCCAATCAATTCGCCGAAAACGAAACGACAGCAGCAACTCAGACGGTCAAAATCATCAACGACTCGGTCGAATTCTATCACATCGATCCACCGGCGGAAGTTTTCGACTCAATCGAACACAATCCACAAATCGAAGTTTGAACACCGAGAAAGGAGTTGTTGGTGGCGAGAAGGGTGGTGGAGGTGCGGCTGGAGCACAAACTACTGCAAATACGCCGAGCACACCGCCGACATTACCGAAGTGGGTTTTTTTAGGATGGGAAATTTTGAAACCAAAATTTGAAGCCTCATTTTGGGGTTAAATATTATTATAGAAAGATTTTTGAGCTATTTCTGAAAAATCTCATTTCCTCTTGTCCCTCTAAAATTCAAATTTCTGCACCAAAAATAGTGATGACGTGATTTATTTTGCCCTACAGTAATCCAGATAATATTTTCTACAGTAACTAATTATTTTTAGCACCAGAAATCTACAGTAATGCAAAATTCAAATTTTAAAATCAAGTGTCATTTTTTTAACTGTGCCAGACTTGCAGAAATCTCCCAAGCCTTCACAAAATCATTTCCCTTCAAAATTTTCCCCGGAAAATCTGAAATTTCCAGCTCTCGATTCGGCAAAATCAAACCTCGTCGAGCTGTTGTCACCATCAACAATTCATCCGATTCCACGTCAACAACACCAATCGCAGCGCCAACATCGGATTCAATTCAAGACCTGAGTCGAGCTGAAAATATCCCGCTAGCTGTCTGAAATTATTGACATTATCGATTTTTCAAATTTCCTAAACACATCTTCAAAATTACGAGTATTTTACAATTTCGCCCAATTTTTTTAATTTTTTTTGAATTTTGTTCTGTTCACCCAAATGATTATAATGAGACGAGGTTTATTTTTTTTTTTGAAAATTTAATTTTTGGAATTTTTTATGCATTCAATTTTGATCCCCTCAATTTTTCGCTATGATACACACTTTTTCTTGTTACCAATTTTCAAGGATTCATTTTTTCTCAATTTTTCAAATCGATTTTTATGGTCCAAATTTTATATGATTTTTTATGCGAAATGAAATTTATGATTTTTTTTGCGTGGACTTTTCTCACTTAAAATTTTTTCATTTCGAAAAACTCACAAAATTTTGAAAAACTAGGCACGCTTTTCTAACATAGAACTCACCTTTTCTTCAGAAAATCCGAAAAAAAATCCAATGTTCTCAAACACGTGCCAATCTCAACTCAGTTTTTGTTGACGAGATAAATATTGGCGCAACAAAACAGGGTGAGATTTACACGGGTTCCGGTGGGAAATTTAAAAAAAATATATAGAAAATAGAAAAATCGTCGCAAAACGATGACTGTTTAGACATTCCGTCTTCTTTCAACAAAACAAAAATGGGGCGTTACGAATATTTCTTATTTATTATAAAATAAAATACAAATAGTACCAGCCAGGCATGATGTTTTTATTATGACTAATAGTACAACCAAAAATGCACACCTTGTAGGGCAAATAGAAGAAAGCATGAAGAAAAGGACGCCAAAAAAAGAGGATTAAAACACTTTTCAAGTGATAAGTATTGATTTTTCTGACTATCTATCAGAAAAACATGGGGAAAATATTGGAGAAAACCAGGAACAATTCAAATTTCAAAATACGAATGTCTAGCTTTCACCGAATTCAAACAAGAAAAACTTCCAGCATAAGAATCTGAACTATTGTGTTCAACATAATTCTCGTGCTTTAGCTCTGGTCAAACAGTTTGCGCAAAGGAACAATTTGTGATGCGAACTCGATCATAACAATCTGGTCTGATACGTATTTCGAACCACATTTTTCCATCTCTGAAAACATAGGTTTTCAACCTTGCCGAGAACTTGGATTTCGAATTTTTCCGGAAAACGCGCGAAACATAAAACTATAAATGCAATTTCGCTCTAGCAAACAATTTGACGTTGTGAGACCCAATTACTGTGTTCCTTTAAAGGTGGAGTCCGAGCAAAAAATAAATTTTTTAACCAATGTTTGAGAAGCTTCCAGAAAAAATCCTTCGAGGATTGTACTAATTAGAACATGCTCTTTCAAATGAGCACAACTTAATTTTTGCTCGGACTCCACCTTTAAAATTACCGTAGTTTAGTTTAGTTTTTTTCAGTTTTCAAGCGCTCAATTAGTAGATTGATCTGGTTTTTTCCTAGAAAAATCATGAAGATTCATAATTATGTTTCATCGAAATAATGAGGTTTTGGTACCAAATCCACAGGTTTTTTTCAAAAAATGAAAAAAAAAATTGATAAAAATCAAAAAAGTCACGTATTTTTCCCCCAAAAAAATCAATTTTCTGATAACTCTCATTTCCGAATTTCCGTTGCTTCCAAAAATGTGAGTTTTTCAAAAATTATTGGCCATTTTTGATCGCCCGCTAATTTCCTGCTCTTTTGTTCTTTTTCACTAGATTTTTTCCGATCAAACTACATTCTTTTTGAATTTCTTTCAAAGTACACATTTCTTCTTTTCATTTCCTTTTTTTCTTTTTTCCGATAAGCATCATTCGTTCATTAAAATTTCTCTTAATTATTATGAAATTTTTTGAAAGAAACAAAATATTTTCTAGATTACTGTAGCTCGCAACAAACTGTGCATCGGTGTTTGCACACATCAAAAAATACTTTCATTTTTTCCCGCAAAAAAAAACTGTTGTTCTCTCTTTTTCAACCTTTTCTCACCTGAAAATCACATGAAAAAGCAAGAAAAAAAAAACAAATCGCGTCAAGACCAAGACCACTGACCCCTATTTATTTTTGTTTCTCCCAACATCTGCTCTTCTCTGCGCTCTCTCACTATCTCGCTCTATTTTTGCGGGGCTACGCGCTCTCCTATGCTGCCCTTCTTTTTTCACAACAAATCCATTCGATTTCGTCATACCTTTTAGTTTTTCTGTTCATTTTTCATTTCAATTCAGACAAAAAAATGAAAAAAAGCATATTGATTTTTGTCGCTTGATAAAAAATTGTTATCTTTTGTATACCACTTTTTTGTTAGTTACATTATAAATAAACCAAATTCGACCTTTCTCTAGAAAAACAGCGGTTTCGCCCGTAGATTTTGCCGCGCAAACGCTTCACGATTGCATCCTTTTCGATTTTTGGAACACCTGCGGATCAAGGTTAGAGGGTTTTTAAGGGATATTGGCATTTTTCGAAGAAGACAGAGTTCTGATCATGATCCTGTTGTCAAAAAAACTTCGTGATCAGATAATTCATTCAAAATTTCGGAGAAACTGGAAAAATGGCGATTTTTTCGAATTTTTCATGGGATTTTCACAAAAAAACTACTTGTTTTGTAGATTTTTACCTGCTGATGACGATTCTGTTTCTCAAAAGCTACTAAGCTCAGCTTTGAATATGAGTTATGACGTGGAGCGAGTTCACAAGGCTATAACTACCCCCAAAAATGGTTAATTAGCCTTATGAAACGTCGAACTTTTCCACGTCATAACTCATGTTCAGAAAAGTTGTTTTTGACAATCGGAATGTTATCAGAAGGTTGAAATTTCCGTTCAAGAAGACGGAAAAATCGCAAATTATCAAGGATTTTCGAACAAATTTCAATAGTTTCACATTGCAGAGGTCCCCCCGATTCCGGTAGTTTCGGCGCAACGAAGCAGCAGCTCGGACGAGTTGAGAGTTTGGCGGATAACACGAAGCGGTCTGGTTGAAGTTGCCGCAAATACAATGGGCGCATTTTTGGACAAACCGAAGACGGAGAAGAGCAGCGAAAATGGCGAGGGAAATGTGAGCGAATTAATCGAAGGGGGATTAAAGAGGGGCTTTTTGAGCGGGGGAAAATTGAGAAAAATTTGATTTTTTTCATTAAAGGAAAATGACGAAATTATCATCAAAGACCTGTGATTTTCGAAAAATCTGTTTTCAGGGCATAAAATTCGGCGTTTCGTCGATGCAAGGATGGAGAATTGGAATGGAGGATGCGCATATTACTGAGGTAAATCAAATTTGAAAGTTGGCCACGAGAATTTTGGTGTTGTCAGTGGTTTTTTCGAAGTCTTCAAATTTCCCGCTAAAATTTCCACGTGTCATTTGCGCCAGGAGATCTGATTTAAAATTAGTATTATAAACCCAACACCAAACACCAAAAATTGGTATTTCGAAATCCAGGAAAAGAAAAAATATTTATATGGCGTCATCTTTTTTCTCACGACCGAAAAAAATGAGATGAAATTTTGTGATTTATGACTGAAAGGAACAAAAATTGCTGACCTGTGAAGAAAAAATTAAAAATTTGAAAGGAGTTATTTTTTGAGCTGCATCTGGGTCAACTTCAGACTCTTAACACACCTCGGCCAATGCCAATCCGTTGTAGGCTAGAAGAAAAAATTTGAAAAATATATAAATTTCAGCTTCTCAGAGGTCCAAAAACTGAAAATTCACGGTAATCACACTCTTTATGTAGCGAATTTTCTGAAATGATCAAAAATTCCCATTTTCTCTACCGAAAATACTGAAAACATCCCCAATTTTCCAGACAAAAATGGCCGAACACGCGCCGTTCGATTCCTGGTCATTTTTCGCCGTCTTCGACGGACACGCCGGTTCACAAATCGCCGAACAAGCCTCAAAACAGATTGTGAAAAATCTGCTGGCCACCGAACAATTCACCGAGCTCACCAAATTGATGGAAGACGCGAATTGTGGCGGAGAGCTGACGCCGAAAGCGCTGGAATTAATCGAGCACGGATTGGTGAAGGGATTTATGGCATTTGATGAGAGCAGCAAATCGGATGATAGTGTGGTATGGAGGATTTGCGGGAGAGATGGGATTTGTGGGAAATTGAGATTTTTGATATAAAGATGATAAGAATGAGTGGAAAAAGCTTGAAAGCCATGAATTTTGACCAAATTATATAGAAAAGGTCGCATTTCGATTTTAAAAAAGTCCTGAATTCAAAAAATGGCTGAAAATTATTCAATTTTTAAAAACTTCGGAATTCTTGAGCTTAAAAAAATGACGATTTTCAGAGTAAAATTTTCGCGTTTTTTTGGCCAAGAAGAAAGACTAAAACCTGTCTGAAAATCCCATGTTTGTTCAAAATTGACCTGAAAATTCCTAATTTTAGTGCTGAAAATTTGTCCGAAAATCTCACATGCTTAACTTTGTCAGAAACTGAAAAAATTCCATTTTTTCAAAAAATTGTTCACCGTTGAGCATTTTTTTTGTTAAACCCAAGTAATTAAAATTCCTCAAATTTTTAACCCTAATTATCACTCTACCTGTCAAATGACCACTTAGTTTTATCTAAAAAGTTCAAAAACCCTTTTGTCATCATTTTTTTTCATTTGGTAGAAAATTGTTATGAAATAAGTATGGTTTTTGATAATTATTATTTGTATTTTCTCCACTCGAGAAACAACAAAAAAGTTTTTTTTTCTGGTTTCGAAATATTTTTTTTTGTTTGCTGAAACATGAAAATGATGAATCATGGCTGAAAATGAGGGGAAAATTGACAAAAAACCGGCCCGGAAATTGAATGAGGAATGCGAAAATTGGGAATTTTTGACGCCGAAGTTCGAGAAGTAGGAAATTTTTAGTGTCATTTTTGACTGCCTCAAAAATTGGAAAGTTAGGAGAAATATGTATTTTGACGCCTTGACAAATTTACTTTGATAATAAGCTTTTAAAAATTACCCAAAAATTAATTTAACCCTAAAAGTTAGCGTAAAATCACTAGGAAAATTACCCTAGAATTTGCTCAAAATCCCTTATTTTTTCCAGAACAAAAGTGGTTGCACAGCAGTATGTGCCATCGTCACACCATCTCACATAATAATCGGAAACCTCGGTGATTCACGTGCCATGATTGCACAAAAACAATCGGCTGTGTTTGGCACACAGGATCATAAACCATATTTGGAAAAGGAGAAAAAACGTATAGAAGAGGCTGGTGGAAGTGTTTTGGTGCAACGAATTAATGGAAGTTTGGCGGTTAGCAGGTGAGCGTTTTGGGCCAAAATCCATTAGAATTTGACCTGAAGAAAATAGGTTTCAAAAAATTAATGTCATAGTTTTTGGTTTTGAAAATTTTGATTCGTTATCCTCAAATGGTGTTATGAATGTAAAAATCAAATAAATTTGAAAAATTCACCCGATTTTTGCAGAGCATTTGGCGACTACGACTACAAAAATCATCCACTTTTATCAGCCGAAAAACAATTGGTGTCAGCCGAACCCGATGTGTATGTTCGAGAGCGAAATCACGAATCGGACGAGTTTTTGATATTGGCTTGCGATGGAATATTCGATGTGATTGATAATCATGAATTGGCACAATTTGTGAGAGGAAGATTGAATGTACATACGAATTTGGAACAGGTTCGAATTTTTTGGGGGGAATGAACGAAGATTTTTGAACCGAGAAATTCGAAAAACTTTTCTGAAAATCTGAATTTTCTAGTTTTTTTTTGAGATTTTTATTGATTTTTTAAAACTGAGATTTCGAAAACTGAAAATTTGTAAAGTCCACGTTGCAAAATGTGAATTTCAAAAAATATCTTTTTAAATTCAAATTTTCAGTAGAAATCTGAAATTTAACCTGGATTTTCCGAGAAAAAAAAATTGAATTTTGAATTCTAAAGTTCAGAAAAAAATTGAATTTTGAATTCTAAAATTCTGAAAAAAAAATTGAATTTTAAATTCTAAATAAATCCTCATTTCTGAAAAAATTTTTTCCAGGTCTGCGATGATGTTTTGGACGAATGTTTGACGAAAGGAAGTCGTGACAATATGACAATGATTGTTGTGTTATTTCCCTCTGCTCCATCAATTGATCCAGTTCGACAAGCTATCGAAACACAATGGGTTGAAGAGGTTAAAAAGGTTATACATGGTGAGTTGGTTTTGGGTGGGATATTTGGAACTGAAAATCATAAAAAAAAGGTTTGAAACATAAGAATTTTTGAAAATTTCCAGCTAGAAATTGGGAAAATTAATTATTTTGAGCCAAAAAATTTAGCTTAAAAATTATTTTATCTATCAAAAATTATCGAGGTTGAACTGTAATTGTTCCATATTCCCTCCAAATCCCCATATTTCTCCAGAAATCGCTGAAGAAACCACCGCCGCCGAAGATTATCATCCAGAAGATCAAGTAAATGTGAAAAGTATCGCCGATCGAATCGAGATCAGCGGAAAAACGCCGATTCCAAACGGTGTGCCAACTCACACCATCTACACCCTAATTGCTCAGGTTTTGACAAGTAGACAAATTAAGCACATTTAGGGCCCTTTTCAGGCCTACAAATGGCCCAAAAAGGCCTATTTATTTTTACCCCCTTGATTGATTGAAATTCAGGTTTTTTTATCGCCCCCAAAAATTTTCTGAATTTTTCCTGTGCCAAAAATTTTTGTTTTATCGTTCCCCCCGAAAAATTATTGATTTTTTTTATCTACACGCACTTTTTTTAAATCATTATTTATACTTGAAAATACGGATTTTTCTTTTTTTTTTGGATTAAATTTATTTTTATGAGAATCTTCGGAGCATTGAGAAAAATGGGGAAAATTCTCTAGTTATCGAGAGAATTGGGCATTTTGGTATGATGTAATGAGTTTATTTTGGGTGTGTTTTGCTAGACTGACGGGTCCCACAGGATCATACCAACAATGCACTATCAATACGCCTCTTTTAGAACTTTTTCTGATTTGTACCGATTTTTTCATAGAAAAATTTTGATTCAAAACATTTTCTTTAAAAAATGCATTGGAACTCACTCGTTGATTTGATTCAAAAAACAGCTGCAGTTGTTTCAATATTCCTAAACTGCTCAGGGAACGCCAGGCGAAATCAGCGGACGAATTTAAGCTAATTAGGCGCTGAGCCGCGTCGAATTAGCTTTTTTGAAAAGCTGTTTCAGCCTATTGTCGCTTGTTTTCGCTTGGTTTGCGCTTTGCAGTTAAGCGTATTGGGAATTTTAGATGGCGAATTTCGCTTATATTACGCTTGGTCAAAATTTAGGTTGCCAGAATGAGGAATATTTATGTTGAAAAAATGAAAGTAATCAATAACAATAAAAGATTTAAAATAAAAAGAAAAGAAATAGGAAAAAAGAATGAATGGATACAATGAAAATCGAAAAATTACTAAATTAGATATTTTCCCCATCATTGTTAACTTTGATCGTTGACTGGGCATGTCGATTTTGCATTATGAGCCGCCCAAGCGTTTTCATCCAGTTTCGCGAAATGATTTTCCTGTAAAATTTTGAATTTTAAAAACAACGAATTTTCCTTGGGTTTTTCTTACTTATGGGAATTCTATAATTTTTAGAAATATTTTTGGAATGAAATTTCATAGGAAACCCCTAATTACAATTAATTAATTAATTAATTAATGTATATGTTTTCAAAAAAAGCACTTTTCGGCCAAATTTCCCAGCTTGAAAATTTATGAATTTTTTTCTAAATTTGACACAATTTTGTAGTTATTCTTTGAATCCGAAAATATAAGAGCCGTTGAAGAGAGAACCAAACTACAGTAGGCCTGGTCGGCTCTTGATATTTTGTATTGAAAGAAAAATTTTCATCAAAAGGGTCACAAAAATTACATACCTCAAATATCGTCGTCGGTTCAACAACTACAACACACTTCAAAACGTCTACTTTCCTACATTTTCTGATTTGAACGCGGCGGCCCTGAAATTTTTTTTTAATTTTGACATTCAGATGCTCAAACTCACATACATTTGTATTCGAAACCCTCAAAAAATGCATCTCATGTTTGAAAACAAATTGGGACGAAAATCCTGAAAACACAGTAATCTTATTGTTAGGTAAAAATATGAAAGAACCCACCGATACAATTTATACGAGCGATTGTATTCCTCCACGACGATATCGACGATAACCTTAACAAGAAATTTCAGGAAATAGGTTGGAAATAAGCTGAAAAAGCTCTAAAATAGGAAAACTCGAAAAACAAAAATAAATTTCGAAATTTTATTGACAAAGCGCTCTCCCAGCAAAAGACTGACGTTTTTCAAGTAAGCTGATTCCGCCAACTTCAGCCTGACTGAAAGACGCTGGAGTGAATCAAGCGAAAACCTAACGAAAACAAGCGTATTCTAGCGTATTTTAGGCGGTTCGCTTATAACAAGCTGCTTCAGCCATGCCTGCGCTTAGGCAAGCGATTCGCCCAGATTTCGCCTCGTTTTCCCTGAGTGTTTTCTAACTTATCTCATCATTTTTAAATCCCCAAAACAACTTGGAGCATACAAATATTTGATGATTTATATCGCATGGTTCGAAATTGTTTATTCAATTTTGGATTTTGCCATTGCTCCAATCATGTTTTCCGATGGTTCGATTCTAGTTGTGATGGTTCACACAAAATATTCACCAATTCCAAGTTGGATTCTATTAATGTTAACCGGATGTTATTGTTTCTGTTTTGGAGCATCTATGGGAATGTTTGCGTTACATTTCATATATCGTTATTTTGTATCAACAGGTTCGAAATATTTGAAAACTTTTAATGGATATCGAATTATATATTGGATGATGATACCTGTGATTTATGGACTTATTTGGGGTTTTATTTGTTATTTTGTTTTTTCACCATCGGATGAAATCAATCGAATGTTGAAAAATAAACTTATGATAACTTTTGGTTGGGAAATCGAAGATATTGTCTACCTCGGTCCTTATTTCCATCAACTTCAACCCGATGGATCATATGTTATTGATTTAACAGCAGTTGTTGGTGTTGCAGGTAACTGGATTATTATATTCTCATCACTTTGTGCAATTTTATATTTTGCAATCAAATGTTATTGGAAAATTAGTCGATTGATGAAAATGAAACAAAATAATGATTCGAATAATTTGAAAAATCTTCAATCACAATTGTTTAATGCTTTGGTTACTCAAACAGTTATTCCGGTTATTTTGATGCATTTTCCACTTACAACAATTCTGATATTCGCAGTTCTCAATAAAGATTTGGGAACTTTGAGTGGAATATCATCGATTACAATTGCATTATTTCCTGCTTTGGATCCACTTCCATCAATGTTTATTATCAAAAATTATCGAACTACTATTTTTGGATATTTTAAAATCACAAAAGTTAAAAGTGCTTCCGTTCCTCTGAATTGAAGTTTATATTTATTGTGGTAAAAAAATAAAATTTTTCTTCATTTTCTTCTGTTGAAAAAAAATGTGTCAGTTGCAGGAATTGACATTTTTCGATTAAAATATTATGAAAAATGAGATTATTTTGAAAACTTTAATTTTACTTTGGAAAAAACGTGTTTTATTCTGAATTTTTTTGAATCCACGTGGCAAAATGTTCAAAAGTTTTTCCAAAATTAAAATTTTCCAGCAAAAAACCATGAGACTGGCTCTAATTCTCTCACTAGTCTCCTCAATTCAAATTTTCCAACAATCGGCGCTCGAAAAATCGGATTTCTCGTCGATTTTTGAATTTTCATTGGCTTCCGCCGCTTTTCCAATCGGCAAATTCATTGCCACGTGTATTTTATCGATTGATTTCGGGGGAGCCGGAAACCACGTGGATTTACACGCCAAATTGGATCAATGCGCGAAATTATTGATTTTTGGAGCATTTGTGATGATTTGTCCGATGTGAGTTTGAAATTTTTTTTAATGCCTACCTACAGTACTTCTGAAGCTACAGTAACCCGAAAAATAATAACATTTTTGGAAACTTTTCAAAAGACCTAGTAGAATAACACTACAGAAAACTTTTTTGAATAAAAATTTCAAAAGTTGTAATTTTTAAATTTTACTTTGTACTACAGTACTTCTACAGTACCTCCCTCTCTCTCTACAGTATATTTTTCCAGCTTCCCATTTCTCTCAACTCTTCTCGGTCGTTTTCTCATCGGTTTTTCAGCTGGAAACGGTTTCATCTGTGCACCGGCAGTTCTTCATCTCTCAATCCCCGAAAATCTTCGTCCACCAAATTTCCTATTTCTAGCCGCCGCATTTTCTTTCGGCACATTTCTAGCTAGTTTGTTGGACTTTTTACAACTCTCTAAATACGTGGCCGCTGGTTTTACCGTACTCTCCGGGATACTGTACCTGATTCTGAGGCCTGCAAAATTCGATCAAATCTTTGGGCCTGATTCGGAAGATTCTGTTGCAGGAAGAAAATCAGAACATCCGATTTTATTTATAGTTATCTTGATGATTTTGAACGTCTCAATTGGTGTTCCAATCATCCAAACCTACAGTACTCTAATTTTCGAGTATTTTCAAATTTCTGAAACTCGCGCCAAAATCTTATCGCTGATCTACCCAATTCTACAATTTATTCCAATTTTTGTCTCAACTGAAATGTTGAGTTTTTCTCGAAAATCGTTGATTTTGGGTGGATATTATTTGGCGTTGATGGCCCAATTTTTTATTATGATCACTTCGGAATATACGTTGATGCCGGACGAACATCGAGAATTGGCCATGTGCATTTTGGTAATGATTTTAGCGTGCGCGTTTACGGTGCCGTGTAATACTGGGTTGTGTATGATTTTTGGTGAGTTTTGGGGAGGGATACTGTAGTTTTTGATCTATCGATATTCCGAATTCGCAAACTTTTTGGAGTTCTATTTTTTCCAGAACAATTCGATGGTCCCAATTTGAAAGCAGCCAGTCGTTCTCGTTGTATCATGTGGTTCCTTTCCTCAATTTCCACTCTAACTTTCGCCAAATCCCTTTTCTCTTTGGGTTTTGCACTATCTTTTATGCCCTATTTTCTAGTGTCCGCCATTTGCTTTTTGATTTTGATCCACATTTTTCCAGAGTCGAAAAATGAGTTGAATGAAGAGGATTTGCCGGGAGTTTTGTTGTGAGAATAAAGATTTTTTGGTGTTTTTTCGCGTTTTTTTTTGTAAAAGGGCGTGGTATTTTATAGCTGCATGTTTCACAAGGGTAAAAATGTGTTGTGGATCATTCAGATGTTTTTCGGATCTTTGCAATTCTGGGTGTCAACAAAACAACAAATTGCAAAAATTAAGAAGTTTTTACTCAAACTCCAAACTCTAAACTGCTCCAAATTTGTGGAATGCTTTGACTACTGAATCGTAATCACCATGATCCCAAATTTCATCTCAAAATCATTTGGAAAACTCATAACTTCAAATTTTTTGGTTTTCTTTCCGATTATTTTTTTTCTTATCCTATTTTGTTGAGATTTTTGAACACATCGAAACACAAACAAAATTCCAGTATTCATTAATGATTTGAACCATAAAATCCACCAAATCAATAAGCGCAATCTTTGCTTTATCCCTCCCTGAAATCCTGAATCCCCGAAAATGTCAGCTGCTCGTCTCTCTGCACTCTCTCCAATCTCCACACTCTTTCACTTTCTCGAAAATCTTCTTTTTCGTTGTTTTCCACAAACTTTTTATCATTTTCACAACCATGAACTCTCACCTCCTCTTTTTCTACTATTTTTCAATTTTCTCGATTTTTTTGGTTTTTTCGACGCCGTTGAGTTCGAATTCGGTTGAAACATCGGAATTTTCGACTGAAGTTCCAGATTTCAATTTTTGAAAATGCGGAGAAATCTGAGAATGAAGTTGAGGTTGAAAATCAGATTTCCACGACGACAACGACTACAGAACATCCAACTTTTACAGGTTAGAGATTTTGGAAAAAAAGGTTTTTGTAGCTCGGGATACTGTAGTTGCCTGAAAATTTTGCAGTTCCGGGTTACTGTAGTAGTTCAGTGTGCTAAAGTTTGGAAACCGAAATTATTTTTGTAAATAGTTCGGAATACTGTATCTTCGAGTTACCGTTTTTCTTTGCAGGCCAAGTTTCTGTAATTCTTTAATTTTGCAGTTCGATTACTGTAAGTAAACTCGAACTGCAAAAAAGTAGTATCACTTTATGAATTCCGAATCACTTCTTACAATCAGGTTGATTACGGTAGGTCTAAAAATCAACAGTACCCCGAACTGCAAAATTTCCTTCGATGTTTTGATGACTAACTTGTTTACCCTTTTTTTCCGAAATACGTCATCAAAAGAAAAAAAGAGGTATCTTTTTCCACTTTTTCTTTTTCTCTAGAACAAAAAAAAAACACAAGCACATGATAAAATTTTATTGAGCCTTTGATTTTTCGAGGGATCAAACATTTAGCTTAACTCTTAGGGTTCGAATCCAGCTTCACCTCAAATTTTGAACCGCTAACTTGATATTTCCAGTAGATGTCCTAGATGCGCCAATCGAAAGAATCGAAATTCGTCTGATGGATGAGAACATCACAAATTCCAATCAGAATCTAGAATCATCAACAACATCCACAACAACATCTTCACCATCGCAAGAAGATCAACATCCCGAATCTCCACCACCAACAGATCCGGTAACTGAAGTTCCTCTTTATAAAAAAGCTGAATATGTTGTGCAAACACAATCCACCCCAGGACCCACACCTCTCGAATATTCGTATTCATATTTGCCGACCGAGTACTCAGCAGAAGTTATGAGAACTTCTGAGCCGATTGTGGTTGGAGAGCAGGAGGGATATTTTTCGACGGTGCCGTCGAATCACGAGGTGGGATTTTGTTTGGGAAAAAAATTTTACTTCAAAAATATCGGAGAATTTTCAAAAAGAAAAAAAGCCTTCCGCAACTGTTTCTTTACAGATCCAAGCCAAGGCCTGGATTTCGCACGCTCCTCCAGTCGTCCCACAATTCGATGGGGACATTGATGAAGATGATTTGCCACCTCAGCCAGAGCAGCAAACGGTGAGCTATAGACATCAGAGAACCTGAGCCCAAAATTATCTAATTTCAGAATTCTGATGAAGCAGATGAGCCTGAGGAAGAATGTCTGGCGAATAAAGAGCATCTGAGCCCAGAAGTAATTTCTAGGCTCCAAGAAGAAACTGCAAATTTATACAAATTGGTTCGAAAACGAAACGAGCTGCAAAAATTGCACTGTCAACCAAATGAAAATCAGGTGCCAGATCGGGAAATGGATCAAAATTGTATTACATGGAGATCGGAAAAACTGGTCTATTATTATAAATTGATGCGAAAGACTTATTGTCGAGTTGATCAGTGGCCTAATCCGTCAAAAGTTAAGAAAACTTATGGAGAATATTTGAATTTGTTCGGAACTTTTTATGCTTTTCAAAAATAAGCTGCATGTTTTTTTGGATTTTTTACGGGTTGCACATAAATATTTTTTGATTCACATTTTTATGCTTTATGACACCTTGGCATTGCACCAGTTTCGTGATTTCGAAACATACAATCTGGATCAGCTGCAGCTGCAGGTTCCGGGACAGGTTCACCAAGAGAAATCGCAGCCAACATTAGAAAAATTGTAGAGAAGAAGAACTTGAACATCTATCAAAGCTTAATGAAAAATTCAGGTCTGGCTATTCTTTTATTGTTGAAAATTCTCTCATGGTCTATAAACTTGTCCAGACTTGTCTGGAAAAGTTCAAAAAATTAGAAATATTCTGCAGAAATTCAAATATGCAAATCCACGTGGCAGAGCTTAGAGAACACGCCCTTCCGCTACGACGAAGAGAATTTGTGAAGTAAGACATAGATTATAAAAGAAAAAATAAAACAAACTGGAAATCGCTTGCATAAAACTATGAAAAAATTAATCTACCTATGAATCATTTCATAGCTCAAATCTCACCTGTTAGTTTTGTTCCTCCCCCCCCCCCCCCCAAACCTCAAAATAAACTAACTTGACTGGCCCGTTCCGTGAAAAGTTGTTGATTTCTTTGAATGTCTTGTCCAAACGAAACATCTTCTTCTTCGGAAGCCTGAAACTTCTACATTCTTTTTCTCAAAATCTTCGTCTTTTTTTAAACTTACATTAGAAAATGCATTTGGGGATTTTATGGGATCCCTGCATTCTGTGACGGTTGTTTCTGAAAAAAAAAGAAAATTAAAAAATGTACCAAATCACCACATTAATAACACTTTCTGCGCTGAAAAAAACAGAAAAATGATTCAGTTCGAAAAAAAAACGTTCAATCAATAATTTCTTTTCAAATAAAAAACATCTCTCTCTCTCTAACCCTCTCTCCATTTCCCACTCTCTCTTATCTACCCTGCAAAAAACAAACAAAATAAACACGCTAAACAACGTGCACGCGGAGTATCGTTGTTTTTCTTTTATTTTTTTTTTGCACGACATTTTTATTTTTTTGTTTTTTTTCTGGTTTTTCAGTGGTTTTTTTCAGCGTAGAAAATGTTATTAATGTGGTGATTTGGTACATTTTTTTATTTTCTTATTTTTTCAGAGACAACAGTCACAGAATGCAGCGGTCCTATAAAATCCACAATTGTTATTTTCTGATGTAAGTTTCAGAATAGGCGAAAATTTTGAGAAAAAGAATATAGAAATTTCAGGCTTCCGAAGAAGAAGATATTTCGTTTGGACAGGACATTCGAAGAGATCAACAACTTCTCACGGAACAGGCCAGTCAAGTTAGTTTATTTTGAGGTTTTGGGGGGGACAAAACTAACAGGTGAGATTAGAGTTTTATTGAAAAATATTGGGTAAATGTTTTTCCTCGAAAACACAGACAACACAATGTCAAATTTTCTCAAAAAAAAATGGCGAGAGCTTAGTTGCGAAAAATAGGTTTTTCTTCAAAATTTAGAATTTTTGAGGATTTTCTGACTGTTTCGCCTAGGGACACCGCCCCTAGTAAAAATATCAAAATCGAAATGAGATTGATCAGAAAATTTATTATAACTTTTTTCTTTTTCCCCAAATGTTTTTAGTTTGGTTAGTTTCACGTTGAAATCAATAATTTCATGGGCGTGTCTATCTGCAATTCTTACAACTTATAATTAAGTATTCATATAAGTTTTCAAGAACAATTTTCCACGAGTCCAACAAAATGTCGTTTGTTTTCACTGGTGATAGACATAATTTTGAACCTCCTCCTAACTTAGTAGCAACTGGAAGTTGGCAAGATTCGAGCGAATCATATTGGCAAGTTTTTCTGTTTCCTCTGATTTCATTTATCAATCTGATCTCTCAAATGTGCTCTATTGTTTTTCTGATATTCAAAAAAGATAACAGCACAAGTTTCCATAAAATATTCGGGTTTCTTAATTTTATACTTATTCTAAAATCAGTTGCAAATCTGGCTTCGAATCGATTTTGCTATGAGATAGGATACTACTGTTATAAATATACAATTATCGAATATTATTTGATTTTTGATTTCACTTTGGAAATCATCAAAGTTGCTCTCTGGCTCGCATTAATTTGTCAACAATATATTTATTTCACTGATGTCAAACTTTTCGGCTCAATTTTCAAAACAAAAGTCTATATGATTTTTCTAGCTTTGATTTGTCTCTTCAGCTTTGTTTTCACATTCGCCAGAATTTCGGAGAACGAAATTGAACGTGGATATTTTCCCGGTTATTGGTTCATTGATTATTCTCCAAATCCTAATCGATTTCTTGAGAGAATTATTTATATTTTCCCAATATTCACAGTTTTCATGTGTATTTTCACCGCATATAAAATGGAAAAATCTGAAAATCGTCAGCAAGAAGTATCATTTATCAGTATGCTATTTGCTGTCCTTATTCATTTGATTGTACTATTTTATGTTGAAATAATCAAAGAGCGTGACAATTTGTACATAAGAATTTACTACATTCTTATCCAGACTCCAGAAATTCTTTGTAGTTTGCTCTTCATGATTAGTAACTTGAAATGAATGAATGAATGATTTGTTAAGCTTGTGACAAAAAACCTATAATTAAATTTCGAAATGGCAGAATTTCAGTAGATCAAGTACACAAAGTACGCGAATATTTTTCGAATTCGTAAGCTTCAACAAAGTGAAAAATTTCTGGCGATAAATGTAAAAGCTCATCATAAAAATTTCATCGTCAATTTTTCTATTTTTTCTCAATCAAAAATACGATTCGTCAACAATTGCATAAATTTCCAATAATTTTTACAAGCACTCAATTGAAATCGCCCAATTTCCTCATGAAAATATCCCTTCGGCTCTACATTGAATAGCACAATCTCTTTGATAAAATCTCCAGTGCTCAGCCTGAATGTCTGTTTTTGCATGATTTCGAGCAAATCATCGTGACGATGCTCGTCGAGCTCCACAATGTCCATTTTTGAGTGGAAAATTTCGTGTGAGTCGAGGCTTGTGATGTTGGAAGAGTTGAGATATGTTAGAATTGTTTCTGAAATTAATTTCAGATGTTGAGCTGAGAGATTTGAGATTTTGCTCTATTCGGATCTTCCAAATCTAGAAATTTTAGAAAAACTCACTGTGAACTGTTGTTATAACACTACTTGACATCGCATTCATTTTTCCAAAAAGTGTTCGATTTTGTCGGATTTCTGTGCCTGCAAACATCACTGGAATTGAAGTGCTCACATTGCAAAGAACCTTCGGAAGATCAGTAAGGATCTGTTGGAAGCTGGAAAATTTCAGATTTTTGAGGTGGAAATTTGGGAGAAGCTGAAATCACCTCGTCTCATTCTCCACCTCAAAACTATTCAACCTCACATGCAAATACGAAACGTTATGCAAAAATTTGACAAACTGCGGATCGACTTTCGTCAAATTCTGTTGAATTTGCACAACTTGTTGAACCACCGTCGGATTTTGAACCAAAACCGCAAAAAAGGCGGATTTCGTTGCGAATGTGAAATTGATAAGACAAAATGATGATATAAGTATTGAAAATAATAGCATGTTGATATAAATAAGTGTGATTTTTTGATGTGAAATGAGACGGGGCAGCTGACTAATCCATCATCTGATCATTCTCTGATGCAATTTGACCTTGGGAAAATTGTGTTTTTCACGTGGAACATTTCAAGCTGTCTGGTGGAGCGGATTTGCATCAAAATCCCGGGAACTTCAATAATTAATTAATTTAAAATAATGATTTGTATGCAGTGTTAAATGGAGCGCAGTTCAAAAATGACTTCGAAAATCAGCAACGCGATTCCCATCTTTGCTACAGATAATCAAACTTTTTGTGTAATTTCGATAAGGCTTATAATTATAGATTATACAAAAGGAAGAGAAGAAGCCATGACAAAGGAGCATGGTTAATGTAAAAATGCTGAGAGCTGAAAAAAGAGCTATGATGTGGAAAAAATTGGCCTATTACCTTGCACATAAATCTCCAAAAACATCAATAAACTATTGAGAACCACTGGCACCACAACAACTATAATTGGTATAAGAGTTTGTAAAATCAACGAGAACACAGTGTGCAACTGCATTTTTCTAGTCTCCTCCGATAAGTTGAGCGATTTCTTCCTGAGGAAATGAATTGTGGAGCAGGTAAAATAGAGTAATTGTGCCATGATGAGAATTATATCAAAGCCAACTAGAGAGACTGCAAAGGTGATTCGAGTTGTGATGATATGAGTTTGAGGAGCGAAAAAACGAGGTGGCATGTATGGATATCTTTCGAGTATTCCAAATCTTCATCAATGTTCTCCATGTATATTGGGCAAAGTATCAGACATTCGAAAAGAAGATTCGCTAGATAGTAAATAGTTTTGTATCTTCTGTTAGGATTCTGATGAACTATACAATCGTAACGATCTTTGAAAAGAACTAGGATACTGAGCGCAATCCCTGTAAGGATTCTAGGGTTATGACAGAAATCATTGATTTTAATCTTCTTAAAAGAAGAATAAAAAACTTACAAACATAGTTAGCTTGTATTAAATAAGCCTGCACCTTATAACTCACACCAAAATCTTCAAACCATCCTAGAAATGCTATTGCTGTTGTGGGGATAAACATCATAGGCTTGATCAAAAAATTATGAACATCCATCGAAATCAGACAACATTGGAGAAGAATAAGGATTTTTTAACTCTTTGTGCTTTCGCAAAAGTTTTGAAAATGATTAGGAATAAAGTGTATATTCCAAAAATCAAGGATAATATCGAAAACATCGAGGTTATTATATCAAATTGCAACTCATACCAATTTTCGGCATCGGAATAGAGGGTTAGATTACGGAACAACATTTTTTGCTGTTTCAAAACACAAAAAAAATGATGTTAGAAAAGTTGGCTGAAGGTAATTACATATAGAATAGAAGGCTGCCTATTACATCGAAAATCTATGAGTTCAAATGATCATTTTTCTTTCTTTTTAAAGTGAATGTGGAATACTGTTAACATGAATTTGATTCTTGTGACAGCAAATCAAATTTTTTGTGTATTCTCGATAAGGTTGATAATTATAGATAATGCAGAGTGTTGAAGTTAATCCATGGCTGAGGAGAACAATTAATGTGAAAATGTTGACGGCTGGGAAAAAGGCATAAGAAAAAGAGAGAGAGTTATGGCATTACCTTGTACATAAATCCCCAAAAACATCAAAACACTGTTGAAAATCACGGGAACTCCTAACGCAACTATTGGTATAAGAGTTTGTAAGATAAGCGAAATTTCTGTTCGCAGCTGCATTTTCCTAGTTTCCACTGATAGATTTTGCGATTTTTTGCGGAGGAAATGGATTGTTGAGCAGGTAAAATAGAGCAACTGTGAGTTAATTAGGAAAATCACGAAAGTTGCCAGACTACCTGCAAGCGCGATTTGAGTTGTGACGATATGAGTTTGTGAGGCGAAAAATCGTGGAGGCATCAAGGGATGTTGAGAAATGATTTTGGATTTTTCCAGATCTTCGTCGATTTTTTCCACATAGGGTGGGATGATGACTAAGCAACAGAAGCTAAGATTTGCAAAATAATAGATTGTTTTATATTTTCTGTTGGGATTTTGATGAACTATACAATCATAGCGATCTTTAAAGAGAAATAGAATACTAAGCGCGATCCCTGTAATGTGTCTGATTGTGAGATTTATAACAAAAACCTTTCAAAAGAAACCTACAAACATAGTGAACTTGTAGCAAATAAGCCTGCACCTTATAACTCACACCAAATTCCTCAAACCATCCATAAAATGCAACCGCAGTGGTAGGAAAAAACATAAAAGGTTTGATCAGAAATACGTGAACATCCATTGAAATTAGACATCCTTGAAGAAGAATCAGAAATTTCCGGATTCTCTTTGTTTTCACAGCAGTTTTTTTAATAATTAGAAAAATTGTGTAGATTCCAAGTATCAATGATAAAAATGAGAAAATCGATGTGATTATATCGTACTGAAATTCATACCAATTTTCAGCATCCGAATATAGGGTTAGGTTACGAAACATCATATTCAATGGTGGGTTTCAAAATAATTTGAGACAGATTTTTAGAAAAAAATAATTATAGATTGCAAAGAATGCATATTGACATTTTCTGCTGAAAGAGACCTTTGAAAACTTCAAAAACATAGGGCAAACAAACTAAACTTTATTTCTAACAAAAACTACAAACTATACAAGTTTCTGACTACAAAAATCTCTCCAAAATGGCCGCAGAAATTCCAAACCATAAGGTGTGAAATGATTTCCACCAGACATGTATGCAAAACCATTATCATCATAATATCTGAATGTTTTTGTGCCATTTGGATGAAATAGATCATAATAATCAATGAGTTCACATTTTGATCCACAATCTTTTACTAATTGTTTGTACCGTTTTGATGCTCCCAAATACTCCTCATATTGTACAAACATATGTTTCTGTGAGAAAAAAATGAGAACCGGGTGTGCTCCGCTTCATAAACTTACATCAATATCATCCCTCGATCTATTATTCCTTATATCATCTGACAGTCTTTCAACAGCACCCAAATTCACTTGGGGCACTGAGTTCAGAATAAATAGCTTGCGCTTGATACTTTTCAGAAAACGTCTAGTTTGATTCAGAATAGATTGATAAATTGGATCATTCCTAAAATCATCGGTATAATTATTTCCGATGTTGATTGCAGATGTTATATGAAACGCGTAATCCGGTTTGAATTCTTCCAAATGTTCTTCAATGTTCGCCAAGAATTCGGGGCATTTCAGGAATTTTGTGGGAAATTTGTAGAGAGGCTCACAACCTGAAATTAGACATTTTTGAAAATTGCAAAGTCAAAGTTTTGAAACTTCTTACTAATTATCAAAAACAATTAGAATTTGAAAAAAAAACTTACCACCAAGTGAACCTCTCAAAAATTCCTTCACCCTTGGACCACACTCTTCATACATAATTCTTGCATGATTAACTGTCCAACTATTTCCAAAAGACATCATTCTCAATTTATTGTTCTGATTTAATCCATCATATGAGCACCATCCTCCAGTATTCCCGTCACACTTGAATTTCAAGTTTTTCAAATCCATCACATCCCAAAGATGATTCAACCTCTTTGCATCTTCAAATGTTCCATTACCCAGTAATTGTTTTATATTATTATTATTATCTGGATCTTTTGATAATAACATCTGATAATTCTGATAATTGAGTATCCCGAGATTTAGAAGAAATAGGGAAACAGTCAAAATAAATAAAACCATATTTGATTGTTTTGTATACCATTTCTCAAAATTATGATAGATTAAAATTGAAAGAATCACAGAGAGCAATAGAAATATGAGAATATGATTATTTGGCATTTTAGATATTTTGAAATATGAAAAAATTGGCCAATGAATCAAATATAAGGAATATGAAATATCACCAATATAAGTTAGGATTTTATTTGATAAAAATATATCATCGCCTTTTGAAAATATCAGAATTATTCCAGTTGTTATTGTGACTAATGGCCTGAATTTAGTTTATTATAATTTGGATCAAAAGATATTTTTAGCTTAAATATTTTTCAGAATTTTGAATAGATTTTGAAATATCTACATAATTTTAGAAATCAACATTTTCCTGAATCCACAGATTTTTTTCGGCAAAAACTTTTAAGGGTAGATCAAAAATATTTTTCTGTAAATCTCTAGTCCCGCCCACAAGAAAATTTTTTTGTACTGACCTTGCAATAACAGCCAAAACTATTTTCGGAAAAAATATAATCAATACCATTGATAGAATTAGTGCCCTCATTAGAAATTCACAATCATATTTTTTATTTTCAAAATGTTTTTCTTGTTCTAATATTAATTGTTGTTTTTCCAGTTCATTCGATTTTAATTCATATTTTTCTGATATTCTTTGAGTAATAATGAAAGCAATCATACCAATTAGAAATTGCCAAATTCTTGCGAAAACATTAAAAAAAGCAATATCCGATGGCAAAATATAAAAATATATCAAACTCAAAATTGATAAAATTGTCAATGATAAATTTCTAAATGGCATCAAAAATAAGAAAGGAACAATAAAATAAAATTGAATTTCAACAGAAAGCGACCAAGTATGTGTAAATATATCAATTGCCATATTTAGCTTCTCAAAATAATCATCTTCCAAAGTTTTCACTTGATTTGTAATGAAAATTATAGCGCGTTTTGCTGATGTTATGTTAACTTCAATTGTTGTATCAGGAAATATTAAATATAATGCAATTAATGAAATTAGGATAATTAATTGATATAATGGTAAGATTCTTTTGAATCGACGAATATAGAAATTTGTGATCATTTCGAAGTTTGGAAGTTTTTCGGTCTTTCTTAATAACATACACATCAGAAAACCGGATAGCACAAAAAATCTGAAAAATGTTCTGGATTTTGAGAACTATCAGAATTATCTGATTCAGAAATTTGGACCAAGCATAAATATGTAATTCAGATTGCCAAAACTTACTGATCAACCCCCAAATAACCATTTGGAAAATAATTTGGAAAGAAATGAAAAGCTAAAACCGCTAAAATTGCGATTCCTCGAATTCCTTGTAAATTCAATAATTTTGTTGCCGACATATTGAATCAGAATTCCAAATTTCAAGTTTCAAAATTGTATGTTCTCTGTTTATATATAATTGTCTTTTGATTCCGATATCATCAAAACTATATTCGATTTTTCGCGGATAAAAAGCTTGTTTTTGGATAGCGCACATGTTGAAGCCCTAGATACCATGCTAGATAAAAAGAGTCCGTAAAGAAAAACATATTCTTGATGAATACTTGAATAAATAGGTGGAGAGAAAAAAATCGAATCGTATTACAGTATGCTTTCTTCTGATCCTGCAATTCGTTAAACAATTTTGTGACTTGGAATATACAATAGTAGTTTGTGAAATTTGAGATTAAAGGTGGATGAGACTACAAAAATGTTTTATCTGGAAGGTTAGGTTAACTTGAGAATGGTAAGAAATTTTGGTGGTGTTCAGAAATGAAGGGGTTACACATCATGTCAAAGAGCAATCTGTGAGAGTGATGGAGACGCAGAGAAATTCTCCAATTTGAAAAGAGACTGACTGCCACGTAGTTCACGTTTTTATTAAAAATTTTAATCATCTTTTTTTCAATGCAAAAAATTAGATTTTCACGTGGAAATGTCTGCGTCTCGCTCACTCTCGCCAATTGCCACTTTTCATTGAGCTGACATGTTGTGGGGTTTGGGAAAACAAAATCTTCTATTGAATTTTCCAAGAATTTATAAGATTTTAAATATAATTCTTGTGCGAGGAGTTCAAAAAATCACACTAGACTTTCTGAATTTTGCCCCATCATGCCGAAATTGAAAATTTTTTTTCGAGGTCACCCGTTTTGGTCACTTTCGAGTCGAAAATCAAGATATTTGATGTTTTTCATTCTAATCTTCTCTCTCTCTCTCTTTTCTCAATTTTATAAGGATATGTGCTTTAACTAAGCCTAATGTAAGCTTTGAGCTGTAGAAAAGTTTAAGATTTTTTGAAGTTGAAAAAATATTTTTGGGTCCCAAAAATTTCGACCCCCAGAAACTTTTGTTAGAAATTTTTGTATATAAACTCTCTTTGGCCTTTTTCATAACCCACCAGGACCTACAACTTCGGCATAGTAACACCTTTTTTCCAGGGTAATATTGGAAACCATTCCATGTTAGTTAAACTCCACCTAATTGTAAGGAAAATTTCTTCTCTTTTTTAGAAAACGTTACCTTTTTGTTTATCTAAAATCCTCTATTTTCAAACAGAGGCGAATGTCTTTTTTTATCGCAATCCTATCGTATTTTGTATTGTGCTAAAAATACAAATTGAGAACAAGTGACCGATTTCAATCTTTTTTGGCCACATTTTTTCCGCTTTTAATCTTCGACGCGATCAGTTGTATTTCGTGTGGAGTCAGAAAAATCGAAAGAAATATTGCGAACTTTGTAAATGTCATCAGAAAAATAGGGAAAATGTGAAGAGTCTGGAATTGTGGTCAAAAAAGGACAGATCTCAACTTTTAGTTAGTATATCAAATGAAATCAGTCTCATTTCTGGCCCAAAAAAATGAAATGTTTACAGAAATTTCTTTTTGTGATTCTTACAAAAAAAGATTTTTTTTTTCAAATTTGCTAAATTTATAGAACATTTGTTCTCAAGGATCCTTCTCATTAAAATTCTCGAAAAAAACTGGAAAGCTATTTTAAACTCACTCATTTTCAAATTAAAATTGATTAATTAACTTAAATTACACTACATTACATAGTTTTGAATGGTCAACCTATGCAAACATTTTTCAATATGAGAAATGAGAATCAGAAAATGGATCTAGTAGAAAAGAAAATAATTACATAGTTTGCTTTTCTGAAAACTCAAAATCTAGAAGTTTTTTATTTTAAAAATGAGAAGAGCGAGAGACACATTTTTCTGAAATATGTATGTGTTTCAAAAAAGGCTGCGCTTTTATACAAAAAAAACTGATAGAAATCGTTGATTTTTTGAATATAAATACTTACAATCAGAAAACCAATCGTTCAAATCTACCCAAAGTGTTCAAAAAATCAGATTTTTGTTCAAAACGGGGAAACCTTTCTATGTAAGAATAGTTTAAAACAAAGTACAACAATCAAATTTTAGAGAAAATTGGAGCTGTATGCCTAATCTAGAAAGGTTACTTTTTAAAAACATTACTAAAAAAATGAGAATGAACTTTTAATTTTCACTTCATTATAGAAAATGTGAAAGATTTTTGACGGAGATAAAAATTTGTTGATTGGCATCTTTTGCAAAAAAAAATTGAAGGTTGGTCAGAGTTTGTAATTTCTAACATGGAACTCTAATTTGATCAACATTTAGAAAATTTTCATACTTTCCATGTGGAATCCAGATTCTGGATCTTGCAGCGCATGTGAAAAGGGTACGCGTTTTCCGATTGGCAACAGCTTGTAGATCAAAAAAATTGAAATTCTAGCGGTTTTTGTCATTGGCAAAAAATTATGTTTTTACCCTTGTTCACATTTCGCAACTCAAAATGTATATCCAATCCGATTTTCTCCACATAAAATCAAATTTTTCGTATATCTCCGGTAAGGCCGATGAATATAAATGATACAAATTGATGAGAAAAAGCCATGACTTAGGATAACTGCAGCTGTAGCAATATCAAAAACTGCAAAGAAAATTGTTATGACGTGGCAAACCGAAGCTCTATTTACCCTTTGCATAGCTCTCCAGGAAAAAGAAAAATCCGCTGAGAATCACTGGAACTCCAAGAATCAAAATTGGTACAACAGTTTGTAAAATAAGGGAGAAAATTGTGTGCAACTGCATTTTCCTAGTCTCATCGGATAAATGCGATGATTTTTCGCGGAGAAACCAGATTGTATAGCTGGTAAAATAGAGCATTTGCACAATTATCAACAAGATTTCAAAGCAAATTAGGCTAACTGCCAGGGTGGGATTATCCGTGACCACATGGGTTTGAGAGGCAAAAAATCTGGGAGGCATGAAAGGATATTGTTCAAAGATTTTCGACTTTTCCAAATCATTATCAATGTTTGGAATGTAACTTGGGAGCAGAATCAAGCAGCCAAAAATGAGATTTGCTAGATAATAAATGATTTTGTAGTGGAGTTTGACGTTCTGAACAACTATGAAATCGTAGCGATCTTTGAAGATTATTAGAATGCATAGGGATATCACTGCAAATTAGTTTTGTAAAAAAAAATTCTTTTTTGAAAAAAAAACATTTTTTGAATAAATCTTTTTAATAAAGAAGATTCCAAAAATCTCAGAATTTCGCCAGGTGGCAAAACCAACCCATAAAAAAAAGAACTCACACACAAAATGCACTTGTATCAAATAAGCCTGCACCTTATAACTCACACCAAACTCCTCAAACCAGCCAAAAAATGCCACGGCCGCTGTTGGCACAAAAATCATTGATTTTATCAAAAAATTATGCAAATCCATAGAAATCAGACAAATTTGAAGAAGAAGCAGACATTTTTGAACTCTTTTAGTGTTTGTGGAAGATTTGAAGAGGATTAGAAATATTGTGTAGATTCCAAAGATCAAGGATAGAGTTGGAAAAATCGAGGTGATTAGGTCGTATTGATATTCGAACCAATTTTCAGCGTCAGAGCGGAGGGTTAGGTTTCGATATAGCATTTTTTCTTCACGAAAAAATGAGTTTTCAAATGAGTGAACTGATTATAGATTATTCAGGTAATAATTTTGGAAAAAAATAGCATTATGTTTTTCTGCTGTTCAAAAAATATAAGTACGTGATTTTTGAGTGATCAAATTAATTCTCCGAAAATACTTATGACAGGTGTAAAAAATAATTGTTTTTTGGTTTTGAATTCAGAGCTCAAGCTAGAAACTTTTCAAAAAAAATTTATTTTAAAATAAATTTATTATATACAGGAATGGTTCCTAATTGTGCCATGGATGACGTCATCGATCAATTTTTCGAAAAAAAACTTACAATTGTTATTTAATTATTTTTTTGAATTAAGTGTACTCCAAAGATGTTAATCAAAAGAATTACAATTGGATTCATTCCAAATTTCAACTTTTTTGATCGAAAAATGACATTTCGGAAAAAAAGGGGCAACAATCAAAAATGTCCAAAAGTTCGAAATCCAAAAAAAGGGGATCAGGGTGTCCCCGTTGAAAAATCCAGCTTCCATCGAGACACCATCCAATGGGGATTTTATTAAAAAGGTAGATCTAACAAAAACTACAAATTATACAAGTTTCTTACTGTGCTCAAAAAAGAAAATTCAAAATTCCCACACATCTGGAAGAAGAAAAAAGGCCTAGGAACCGACTCGGCCAATTTATTTATTTTCCTTAAAAATCGAAAGAAATGTATGGTTTCAAATCAGTTTTTGACGAAGTTTACGATTTGAGAGTGAGTTTAATTATTTTTCTTTTTTTTTCATATATAAAAATACGTTATTTTCAGTTTAAATCACGATTTAAATGCTGTTATTGCGAGAAAAGTCATCTTTTTTCCAAAGATATTACAGTGATGTCGAGTGGAAGACGTGAAGCATTGCGAAATTGGGTGGATATTCTGGGTGGTACATTTCAAAAAAATATAATTGGATTGAAACAAATCACGATATGTAGAAGCCATTTCAAAGAGACATGGACAAATAATCGACCGCTTGATTTATTGCCTTTTGCCGATTTGGGAAGACCTGATGTTATTCAAGAAGATCAGTATATGAAAATGAAAATGAAATCGGAATGTGTGAGTTTTTTTCTTGAGAAAAATTTCATAAATCTGTCGAATTTTCAGGGTCACTTATCTCACAAATGCGCATATTGCGGAAAAGTCAATAAATTGATGCAAATGACAACTGTTCCAACAAATGAATTTGTTTTCAATAAATGGGTTGCAATATTAGGAGACGAATTCAGGAAAAATGTGGAGAATTGTGAGAGAAACATCTCAGCGATTTGTAGAACTCATTTTGATGTGCAATTTCGACAACGACCACCATCATTGTTGCCAAAATCAATGGAAACGCCAGAAAAACAGGAAAAAAGTGTGAAAATCGAGGAGAAAGAGAAAAAAGATGAGCCAAATATGTTGCAATGTTGTTATTGTTCAGAAATTCGAAATAATTTGACGGAAATGATTCAAACTCCAAAAGATACAAAAGGTTTATTGAGATGGTCCGATATTCTTGGACCGATATTTTATGGGAATTATATGAAGAGAAAGAATCGATATATTTGTGTGGAACATTTGAAAAAGGGATCAAAACGAATTTTCAATGATGAAATTATGGAGGAATTTAGGCAGAAAGAGAGTTTGAAAGAAAAGGAGAAGGATTTGATTCCAAATATTATGAAAAAAGAAATTGAAGTTGAGGAGAAGCCTGGAATTGAGAAGATTTTGATTGAAAAAGATTGGGAGGAAGAAGTAAAACCAATGAAATTCGAGAAAATCAAACAAGAAATTCGGAATTATAAGGTGACCGGTTTTGTAGTTACATCGTGAGTTTGTACAATCTCGGGGTGCTGTCGGCGGCGATTCGGCGACGTTGCCGACCCTTTTTTCGGCAACGTCGCCGGCAGCCCCGCGGCAGTAGTAAATAAGAAATTGTATAGTCAACTAACCTTTTCAATCAGTTTTCCTATTTTTTTTCGAATTCTTCAATTTTCTACGATGAAATCCAACGAAACCATCAATCCCTTGCTTGATACATGCTGAAATATAGTAATATTCATGATTAACTCACTGAAAATAGCAGAAAAACACAATTTAGGCCAGAAAAAAAAAACAAAAATTTCGAAACTTCTTGATTGTGCAGAATTGCGTCGCAGTGTTTTACATGTTGGCAACGTTGCCTTCTGTCGCCGGGAGCAAGAATTGGAATTAAACATCTGGCGACAAAAAGCAACGTTGCTGCTTCTTGTGGCAACGTCGCCAGGTGTTGCTGCTTTTTTGGCAACGTCGCCTTGGTGTTGCCAAACGTGGCAACGCCGCCGAATCGCCGCCGGCAGCATCCCGAGATGTTCTGTTTTTGGTTTTTTTATTTAAAGGTAGTTTTGTTTTAGTTTGATGAATAGTTGAGTTTAAAATTCTTTTTCTTGATTGTCTGGAAATCATAAAATGATTTTCCCATGGGTACAGCTTTTTTTTCCAAAAACCCATTTCCCAAAATATTTTTAGTTTGGTTAGTTTCACGTTGAAATCAATAATTTCATAGGCGTGTCTATCTACAATTCTTACAACTTATAATTATTCATATAAGTTTTCAAGAACAATTTTCCACAAGTCCAACAAAATGTCGTTTGTTTTCACTGGTTATAAAGATAATTTTGATCCTCCTCCTAACCTAGTAGCAATTGCAAGTTTGGAAGGTTCGAGCGAATCATATTGGCAAGTTTTTCTGCTTCCTCTGATTTCATTTATCAATCTGATCTCTCAAATGTGCTCTATTGTTTTTCTGATCTTCAAAAAAGATAGCAGCACAAGTTTCCATAAAATATTCGGGTTTCTTAACTTTATTCTTATTCTCAAATCAGTTGCAAATCTGGCTTCAAATCGATTTTGCTATGAGATAGGCTACTATTGTTATAAATATACAATTATCGAATATTATTTGATTCTCGTCCATTTTCAAGAGTTGGCTCATCATCATCTATTTCCTCATCCGATGTCAATTCAGCGAGTTCTTCTGCTGTTTTCTTAATTCGACGAGGCATAAGTTGGGAGAGGGGTTTCGGATCGTAAAGGCCATTTTTGATTAAATAAATAATTCGATCCACTGGACCGATAAATTCATCTCTATCGAGTTGTTGGGGATTTAAAAAAATTGACTATTTCAATAATTGCTCAAAAAAAACAGTTAAAAACCTTACCGCAAGCACAACCGTAATTTGATTGATATGAGTAAATAAAGTGTAGATATGTTTCAGCCGGAATGTCTTGTGTCGCCACAACAATGACAAAACAGCCATTTTCCCTCATCAATCGACAATTTGCGTGCTCAGGACAGTGGTTTATAAAATAAACAAACTGAGTTGGTGTATGCGCCCATAACCATTCCCTGCTGCTCAATTGAATACTGTAATCTGTTGGTTGTTTGAATTTTTCGGGTGAGTGTTTGTCACAAATCAATCCATCATACAATCCAATAACCTCTCCTTTTTTGATATCTCCCACTGCAAACAATCCAGTTTTGAGAGTGTCGTTTTCCCACTTTTTTTCAATGGGAGCAGTGTAATTCCATCGTTTGCACAATGCGATCATCCACGATTCATTAGTTCTTTCTTTGGGTGGAATTTTGGCAATATCTTTGCGAAAATATGACACATCTCGAAAATGTCTTGTCGATGATTTCCAGGGAATATATGTTGGCTTTCTGGTTGGTCGAACCATTTTGTTTTCGATTAAAAGTGGGGTAGGCAATTCGAACTTGCCAAAAACCTGGAAGTGGAGCTGGCTACCCCACTTTTTATCGTTTTCAAAATTCTGTTGAATAAAAATAGGTCACGCTCACGTATTCTCCTGATTCATACATTTTTCCAGTGTGACTTCATAACATTCAAATTTCGAAAAAATAAAACGTGATCTTTATTTTTTAACAGTGTTAAAATTTGTTTGGCTCACAAAAACCCACAAAAATGAATTTTCACGTGAACTTTTGAAATTATTCAAAATTGCGTGGAATTTTGTCATTTCTCATAATAATTTTCTCATCAAAAACCTCTGTAAGATTTTAAATTTTTGTTTCAAAAAAAAAAATATTTCGGCAAATTTTTTGATCTACTTTTTCCCTCGGTCTTTTATTTTTCTGTGAAGTTCAAAAATTCATTTCCATTTCATTTTTTATCCAATTTTTCACGTTAAATTTTCAGATTGCCTCAAAATTCAACAAATGCCCCACGTCATAGCTCAAAACTCCTCGGATGTTCGAATTTTCCAATTAACAGAAATGTGAGTTCACGGGATTTTTTAAATGGTTTTTTGCCACGTCATAGCTCAAAGTATTGCGAATTCTCTAGCTCATTTTGAAAAACGCCCCACCAGTCGAAAAAATTCCATGCATTTTTTCGTTTTTTTTTTCGAATTCGAATTTACATATATTTTCTTCTTGTTTTTCTTGGTTCCTCGTTCATTTTTCTTCATTTTTTTATATTTCTCAAAAAAAAAAAATAGCTGGGCCCCTCTCAAAAATCCCTTAAAAATCCAATTTGTCTGTGTGTGTGAAAAATGAGGTCATATTTTTTATATATGTATATAGATAGATATCTCATTTTTTCATGTGAAACGCAAAAAGGCAAAAAATTGGGTGGTGTGAAAGAAGAAGATGACTAATTTTTGACGACATTTTTGCTCTAGCCCCAGGCCAAAAACGCAAAAATACTACGCATCTTTTTTTAGAGTAAAAGGCGGCCAAAAATTATTATGTGACTCTCGATGAGCTTTTTTTTCACGCATAACTTAAAACAATTTATTATTTCCAGTTTTTCTAGTCGGCGATTTCTTTTTTTTTCATTTTTTGATTTCATCAGGAGATTTTAGAAAGTACTGTATTTTTGAAAAAAAAAAAACTCCGTTCCAAAATTTTATTTCGAAAATTTTACGGATTTTTTTGTTCTGACATATTTTTAGGGGACTGTAGTACTGTAAAAATCTTATTATAATCTTCTTCCTCTCTGAAACTTTGGTATTCCAGGTTCTGAAAAAGTACTTTTGAACTAGAGTGAATTTCAGAAACTTTAGTTTCCAAATTTCTGAAATTTAAATCAAAAGAAATCACGTGGCACTTGTTTTCCAAAAAAAAATGGTAGATTAAAAATTTTGCCAAAATTTTTGAAAAAAAAGTTCAAAAAACGTTATTTCCCGCGTCCTTTTGTCTTTCACTTTTGGTTTTCCGTCCAGTTTTTTCTTCTTTTTAGGCAGTCGGACACAAATCAAAAAAGAAAAAGGACATCAAAAAGTTTGATGTGTGAGAAGAACAAGCTAAGCAAGAAGTGAAAAATTCAATTTTTCTCCAGCTTTTCCTTCTTCTTCTTCCTGACTTCTTCTTCTTGACACTGACAAAAATTTCATCCATTTCATTTCTATGTTTTTATTCGTATTTTATTTTCTCGTCGAGAAAAGTGTCCATCAATTTGTTTTTAGGTTAGAGGCCCCCTTGAAATTGTCTGGTGCACTTTTTTGAAGTTGAAGTTTATTTTCGGTAAACTTCGGACATATTTATTTTTCATCGGGTTTCAGATTTTTTGCTCAAAAATTAAATGCCAGATGTTTTGAGAAATTTCCAGATTTTCTGAGTTTTCAGGAAAAAATTTGAGCTACAGTAGTTCATTTGTGCCACGTGGATTTTTTATGAAATTTTCAGATTTTGTCACGTGGATTTTCCTTGTTAATCTTGAAAACAGATCCACGTGGCATTTTTCGCGTCAAAATACAGTAATCCTAAACTTCTAACAAAATTTTGAATGTTTTGGAATTTAGTTTACAGTAATCCAGCTAATTTGAAAGGACATGTAGCTTTAAAAAGTGATTCGCTACAGTATCTCGAATTTAAAGGTGCATTATATTTGTATCCTACAGTATCCAAAAAGGTTAAAGGAAGTTCCAAAAAAAATCAGTGGTTTCTAGTAATCCTTGAAATTTGACGGAACTAGTATTTTCCACGATAGCCTTAAATTAAGATCTCTAACTTCAAAGGTACAAACCTACAGTAACCCAAAAACTCTCATTGTCAAAACCAATTTTTCGTTTTTTTTTTCAATCTCGCGCTCAAAATATTCCCCAGACTATTTTTTCTGATTTTTCCAACCCCAAAAAATATGTCAATCCAAAATATCCGCCTACCCAAAAAAAAACGAAGCAAAAATACATTTTTTTTTTTCTGTTCAAGCTTCTTCTTCTTCTTCTCACATCAATTTTTGTTTTGTTTTTTCTCAATTTTATAGCACAAAAAAAGTCAGAAAGTAGGAGAGAGAAAAGAGTAAGTAATCAAATTCAGATGGTCCATTTCATTTCTTTTTCGTCGTCATTTTTTTTTCTGTTTTTAGTTTTTGAGTGGGTGCTGAAATTATTGCTGAAAATCTGAAATTCGAGTAGCTCAGTGGTTGTGGTAGCTGCTGTCAATCTCATGGTCACAGGTTCAAATCCCGGTGTCGTCTTTTTTCGTTTCTCATTTGGATTGCAGCTGGGACTTTTGTGAAAAATTGCCTGGGGGGTTTATTTACTGAAATTTTCTGAAATCTGAAACAAATCAGAATCTTGCCACGTGGAATTCTGGAGCCAGAAGATTTTTTGAAGAGACGATGCTGAAAATCTCTATAGCCCGGGATCAAATCTGAAATTCTGAGAACCAATGGTAGTGGTGACTGCTGTCAATCTTCGGTTCGATGGAATTTTTCTGAAAATTTCAAAAATCTGGCTGAAAAACAGCCTAGGGCTATAATTTCCAAATCGAAACTGAAATTGAAATTGAAATTGAAAAAAACAAATTATTTTGTTTTGTTGACCTTTTTGTTTATGCAGTCGGTTTTTTTTTTTTAAAAAAAAAGTTGAAAATTGCTCATTTTTGCTCAACAAGTGTTCTCAAATATCAATTTTTCTTTTTTTTTCTGAAGAAACAAGAAGTTTTGTGTAGTTGTCGGAGAAAAATGAAGAAAAGCACAAGTTTCAGATTTCATGTGCCAATTTTCTCTTGAGAGGAAGTTTCTTTTTGATTTATTTAATATAATCCTAACTTCTTCATGAAGATTTTGCCACGTGGCATTTGCCCAAAACAATTCTCCACATGTTTTTTTCCAATTCCAACCCTCAAATTATCTCAAAAACCATCTCCCCCTCCTCCTCATCATCACATAAAATTACGAACCGAACTCGCGTTTTTTAGTCGGAAAATTTTCGCAATTTTGTGTGGGTCTCAGCCGGCTCGCGGAGCATTTTAATTTTCTCCGTAAAAAAATGATTTGAAAAAAGTTTTTCTCGGGGGAATTTCGTGAACATTGGTCTTCTGAACAATTATGATTTTTTGTTCTTTTTCCTGGTTGCGATATATCCATTACAAATTGTTTAGCCTGAATTTGAGATTCAGATTTTTCAGCTGGAAATTTCTAGGCTTCAGGCTTTATTTTTAGTCCACCTTGAAAATCAATTCCTATCTTATCCAAGGCCCACTAATTTTTGCCACGTGGATTTTCCAAGTCTATTCTGAAATTCCTGTTTTCCATAGTCCCTGGGGAATATTCAATTTTTCATTTCGAAAAAAAAACAACGAAAACAATTGAAATAGGTTAGATGTGCAGTACTTGTTATGCCCTTCTGATTTTATTTTCTTCTCTTTTTTATTTCATTTTTCACTACAGCTCCTCTTCTCTCATTTATTATTTTTTATGGATGTGTTTTTTTTCTAGGTCTTGAATTACAGTAACCCGTAGGTGGAATGAGAAGCGAAATTTTTGGGGAACAGATGTTCAGTTAGGTTGGTCACATAATTTTTCTAGGCTTGAGTTCGGGCTTCAAATAACTACGCCTAAACGTTCATCGAATAAATTCAGGTCAGGACCAGTTGAAACTTGTTCAAAAACCAAATTTTCAGAGATGTCTGAACATTTTCTGAAAATAACTCAAATCACTTGGGACTTTTTTGAACTTTTTTCTAATTTTGGAAAAATCTGCAAATTGTTCCTTGTTAATCTGAACTTTTCAAATTTTTCTAGCAGAAATTATTGAATTTTTTTCTCTGAAGATGACACTTTTTTTCAAAATTCTAGTCTAGTCTTAAAAAACGTTCCAGACAGAGTTTCAGATATCTGAAACTTGTGTAGTTCTTATTTTCCTTCCCACCTAAAAAAAGGGCACAAAAACAAGGGTACTATAGTTTTTGCGTCATTTTTTTCTGAAAGAAAACACTTGACTTTCAATCAAGAAAAAATCTCGAATTTTTTGTTTTTTTTTTTTTGAGAGAGAGAGAGAGAGAGAGAAAAATATCTGAAATTCAGCATCAGAGAATAAAATAATCAATCCAATTTTTGTCGCGACTAACTAACCTAATAAATTTTGTGTTGCGTAGATTTTTTTGATGATGATGATGAAAAATCTAGTCTTTGTTTTTTGAAGATTTTTTTGTTCGACACGTGGAATTTTTGCGTTATTCAAAAAAAATTTCATTTCTGAAAATAATCCAAAAAAATTCGAAATTTTCCTGGTTTTGTTTTTCGAAGATGTTTTTTTTTCAAAAATATTTTTTCCAGACACACACTTTCATATTTTTGTTGGTTCCGATGAATCGCCTGAATCCGAATTCATATTATTTTTTGTCGAAGGCGTAAATAATAGTTTTTGTGTGTTTGCTGTGTCGAAATTTTGTTTGGATTTTATTTTTTGCTCTCCAATTTTTCATTGTGCTTCATTGATCATCAACATATCGAAAATATTCGGATTTGCATATTATTTTTTGGAATTTTATTTTAGACAAGGTGAGTTTTGGGAAAAATTTAGGGAGATTTCTCATCTTACTGTAGTTTCGGTGAACTTCCTGATCTTTAATATTTGAGGCCAAAAAAATTGAAAATAATTTTTCAATTATACTAAAAAATAAATGAAAATGTTTATAATTGCTATCTTCAATTACACTTTATTTTCCTGCATTTTTTGTAGCATATAAAAAGTGAATGTTAAAATTTTGCCACCACAAAATGTTTCAACTTTTCAGATGGTTTGCGATATGGGAAGTGTGAACTATACGGGTCCCGAATGGCTGGAAAACTCGATTGCCGAAATTGATGTGACCTATTCGAAAATTCATCCATATGTTTCGGTGGTTCTGTGTCTAGCAGGTTGGTTTTTTCCGGCGAAGAAATTTGTGTGCCACGTGGAGATTTTTTTTGAAATGTTTTTTGGGACCCGGAAACTATTAAAAATTATAAGGATTTTGAATGAGTTATTTCCTGTTTTCTTTGGAACTTTATTTTGGTTGTTGGGAAAAAAGTTCAAAAAAAAGGAGGGATTGAGGATTTTGAGATTAAAAATCCACGTGGCAGAACTTTTAGTTAGGCTCAGACTCAGGAGTGTCAAAAAACATAGGCCTATGTTTAGGCTAATTAAAAATATAGGTTGAAAAAAATATAGGCTTGACAAATATTTCAGGCTTGGTAAAAAACCTAGGCGTGTGTTGTTCTCTAGTTAAAAAGTTATAGGCCCATCCTCAGGCTTGTCAAAAAAAATGTCAGTTAAATAAAAACAATTAATTTTGCAGGCACCGTAATGAACATCATAACAGTAGTTGTGCTAACTCGCCCAACAATGCGCTCTGCCGTCAATTCGCTGCTCTGCGCAATTGCTCTTTGCGACATTCAAGTGATGACATCGAATTTGGTTTTCGTCACACATTTTTTACTTTTTGCCGGGTACAGGTTTGTTCCAGATTTCCTGCATGATTCTCCGCTTTTTTTTGCCTTTTGCCTTTTTTCTCACAATTTTTATCCCAAAATTTTTGAGTGACACCAAGTGAGTTTTTATATGCTTCTCCTATCATTGTGAATTCTTCTAACTTCTACCTTTTGGTTTTTTTTTTGAATTGCACTCCATCTTTTTTTGTGTTCTTATTTGGATAGGTTTTTTCAGTTAGTTAGCTAGCATAAGATTTAGAACGTTTTTTAGTTACTTTTTCGGTTTTTTTAATGGGGGTGGAGTTTTATGGCGGATTTTTTGCCACGTGGAATTGTATCCGAAAATCCACGTCATTTTGAATCTAAATAAGCCTAAGGTTACTGTAGATTTTTTATCTACAGTATTTTGAAATCCACCCACAAAATAAACTCTACCTCCTATTTTCTACCCATCCACAATTCTCCATAACCCTCCCGAAATTTCCAGATGTGATCCCACGGACTACAACATTTATTGGGCCTATTTTCTCTACTATCATTCTCAAACTACCGTAATCTTTCATGCCACATCAATTTGGCTTACTGTACTTTTGGCGCAGATTCGTGTGTTTTCGATTCGTCGTGCGACTTCTGTGGGTGGCGAATCGGTCACAAATCAAACTACGATAGTTATTGCTGGCGCAACTTTTGTTGTAGTGAATATGTTGAATATTCCGAATTTTATGACTTTCAGGGTGAGTTGGGTACTGTAGGAGGTACTGTAGAATTCTCTGGATTGTAAAGGTTCAACTTCATTTTTCTAACAATAAATAAATTGTTTTTTCCCGAGAAATTTCTGCAAAATTCCAAATGTTTCCAGATAATCGATGCCGACTCAAATACCTGGTTCCAAAATTGTGGCGAACTGAATTATACGGTCAAAATTTATCTGGTCACCGCCTCAGAACATTGTGATTTATTGAAAGTTAGTGGGGATTCTGAACATTTCTGATGAAATTTCAAAAAAACCCAGCAAAAATACGTTTCACAGTTTTTAGAAATTTTTACGATTCACAGAAAAATTGATGAATTTCCACCCCAGAATCATGTGCAGAAAATCAAGGTCCTCAAACCTCAATTCCTTTTTCTAGATCGCTTATTGGACCAATGGAATATTATTCAAAGTTGTTCCTTGTCTCCTCCTCACATTCTCCATCGTCGCCCTTGTTTCAATAATTCGTGATGTCTCACAACGTCGCAAGAACTTAGCGCAAGTCATGAATAAGAAACGTATGCCACGTGATCACACAACCCCGATGTTGGTCGCAGTTTTATCGATTTTTCTGTTCGCCGAATTGCCGCAAGGACTTTTGCATGTTTTGAATGCGATTTTCACGGCTGAAAGTTTTCACGACAAGATTTATGCGCATTTGGGAGATACTATGGATTTTTTGTCGTTGATTAATTCGGCGGTGAATTTTATCATTTATTGTGCGATGAGCCGGAAGTTTCGATGTGTATTTATTCAGATTTTCTTGGCTTGCTTGCCCCAAAGTGTTATCAGGTCAGTGTGGGGTTTGAAGGAGAAAAGGGCTTGAGATTTGAGAATTTTTAATTTTTCTATAGGACAGTTTTGATTTTCCCAGATTTCCGAAACTTTAAGAATTTCAGCCTTGATCAAAAATCCACGTGGAATATTTAGAGAATATTCAAAATCAGAATTTTTGAATAAGAATTTGCCAAATTTTTCAAATTTCAAAAATGTTGAAATCCACGTGGCAGATTCAGACGATGCAAAAACGAAAATTTTCACAGAATGAGATTTTTGCCACGTGGATATTTCGAAATGTAATTTTCAGACTTTCAAAACTTGAAAAAATTCACAGGCAAAATTATTTCTCAAAAATCCCAAATCTCCAAATTATTGTTCTTCAGAAAATACGCAATGGAAGCGTTTGTCGAAGGCGATTTCTCTCGAATGCGACCCACCGATTTGACTCGAACCGAACAACTTGCACTAACTTCACATCGAGTGTCAGCGAGTTCAGTGTTGTTGCCGCCGTCCAGAAATAACGAGCAACCGAGAATGTATTCGGGAAATTTGTTGACTGCTGGTGGGTGGACTAGAATTTTATGAGCCCCTCGTAAATTCCGAACCCCATGCTCATTTTCAGACGGAGCAATCTACAACTCGTCAACTCCTCGAACTTCAGTCGACATGATTCGCAAAGAATCCGAAGTCAGCAGTGTTGTCGAATTTCAGCTGGCTGTTCCAACAACTCTGAAAATCACTCAAGAAAAGCCGAACATTCTGAATCGAATTCTGAAATTGTTCCGACAATCTGATGATTCTTTTCATACAAGTAGTCCACAAAGACGATTGAAATTGATGCAATGCGAGACAAGTGCGCTCTATTGATAATTTATTTTTGAAATTGAATTTTGACGGGTTTTTTGAATTTTTGATCTTTTTGTATGCTTTTTTTGAAAAGATATATTTTCAAATAAAGCTTTTTACGCCAAAACGTTGGAAATCCACGTGGAAATTCTTCCCAAAAAAAGCTTTCACTGGACAGCAAAGACTACTGTAGTTAGATTTTTGAGCTCTGAAAAGTCACAAGTTTTTCAACCCATAATTATAGTTAAGACGCGTTGAAACATTGGTATCAAGAATATAACATGAGCAACACTCTATAATTATTTTTTGTCTCGAATTTTCTGCCTACACTCTAGTTTCGACAATCAAAAATGGACATATTGATTATTGTTTGGATTGTTTATGGTGTAATTTCGGTATTGCTCATGTTATGTTTTATCGTGGTTTTTGGCGCGAATAAGAGATTTGATAATTCGTTTTATCGTGTGGTGCAGTGCGATCAAATCATGGTAAGATTTATAGAAAATTGTAGATCAAACAATTTTACGACCGAGATATGTAGAGGCATTTGATATCACCCCACAAACTTTCATACAGAACCTCTGCTGCTACCTCAATTCCTGGATCCATCGTCTCGCTCAACGTCCACAAACTGGCTACCTCCTTCAAAATTTCCCACCAATCATTTTCACCATCACCGCCTACACAACCTTCTTTTTCTTCCAAACCCAAAGCGCCAGTATTATTCTACTCTGTTTCTACCGTTACAGTCTTCTGAAATTTGAAAATGCCAACAAGTTCTGGAAAAAATGGTGTATTTTGGTGTACTTCGGGGTGATTTTATTATACTCCATAGTTTTAATGCTACCAATTTTTGCTGCATTTCACCCGCTGGTTTATGATGGAGCAGTGGGATTTTTCGTCGATGCACCGGAATTCGCGGAGTATCGTTATACCTACGGTGCATATTTGTGGTTTTGCTGTGTGACATATTTCATAATTATCATAACTCTGGGTTTGCGCACAGTTTTCGAGCTGCGCAAACGATTTGCACAACATCAGAATGACTCCAGAACTCGGGATGTGCTTATGAGAATTACGATAATTGTGGCAATTAATACTGTGGTTTATATGTTGATTATTTGGTGGATGCTTACTATTGGCATTTTTGTGCCGGATATTGATCGGGTTTTGCAGAATGAATTGGTGATGACAGTTTCGGATACGGTGGGTTTTGTTTGGTTTTCTCTATAGCCTTCTCTAATCGTCTAGTTGTCTAGAACCTCTCCAAATATCTTTATAATTTATTAATTATATATATATATATATATTTCAGCTCAGCTTCAGTATGCCCTACACTCTACTTTTATGCGATAAAAAAGTGCAAGAAATGATATCGCAAAAAATTCCGATATTCTACAGGAATCCTAGTAGCGTTGTTGCACCAATCTCATAATTATAATTTTGAAAAACAATTTATTCACAAAACCCGTAAAAATTACCCGATATTCAACAATTCCGCACACTAAATCTACACACTAAAAACCAATCTAGTCATTTTCCTTGTCCTCGGTAAAACAGAATGACATCCAACAACAATCATCTGCCAACTCCTCGAATATTTCCAATATTTCGTCTTCGAATCACACGAAACCCGTCTTAAAACCGGGTGATTTCTCAAAATTGGCATACAAAAAGCGCCAATGGTGCCGCGACTCGTTCGACACAAACAAACACTTTCAACCAATATTTTTGGCTCTCGAGTCTCTTCGAAATTCACACGAGATTCCCACGGACACAGTGCTCGTTCCATGAGAGTTTCGCCAAGTTTTGGCGATTTTTCACAGATTTCCGGAGGGTTTTTGGAGTTTGGGAAGCTGGGAGAGTTGTCGATGATTTGTTCGTCGATGTTTTCGTGGGAAGATTGAAGCGAGATTTGCAACCAATCAGCCAAGAGATCGTGCTGGAACAATTTTTTTTCAGGCTAAAAACCACGTGGAAAATAAAATTAATTTGAGATTTCCTAATTTTAATTTTTTTCAAATCCATCCATCAAAATAATGCAAAAAAAGAACTGTGAAAAAAGTCGCAACATTCATTTTTTCATTTAGTTTCCTTCTATTAGATTTCCAGGTCACACATTAAAAACCGCCGAATGAAAAAAAAGAAAAGATAAGAAGACAAATTTCGGAACCAAGTACAGGCAGTGTTTTATTCGGCTTATCTGAAGATGAATCGGGTTACTTTCGCTAACCTTTTTTGTTGCGATGTTTGTACTTTTTTAGAGTTCGTGGAAGTCTTTTTTGAGATGGCCACGTCGAATTTTTTTGAAGATGAAAAATTAAAAAATTGAGATTCCAGAAGCTTAGAGGTTATGAAAAAAAAATTTCGCGCCAAAATAATTAATTTTCAAAGTTTTAAAAATTTTAAGTTTTCCGAGCTGGCTCTTTATTTTCTTCACCAAGAATAATTTTCAAATGAAAAAAAAAACTCACCAAATCCGGCGGCTCCATACAATCATCATTTTTCGAATTCGACGAAAAAACATGGTGCCGTTTGCCAAAAACAGGTTCCAAAAAAATCGATAAAATGACTAAAGCTTGTAGAATTTGTTGCATTTTGAAAGACGGTGTAGAGAATACCCGGGAAAGTAATGGAAATGTGAAGAAAATTTGACCTACTGACCAAAACAGAAGAAAAAAGGGGCGGAAGAGATTTTGGAGAACTTTTCTCGAGTAAAATGATTTATTTTTTTTGTAGGACAAAAAAGTGTGGCGAAAGAAGAGAACATTCCAGAGATTTTCAGGTTTATTTGATATATTTATCCATGAACTTTTTGTGGAATTCCGAGCGAATTGCGTCGTTGATAAATTGAACCTCTTTTTTGCGCTCGTCAAGGCCTGGAAGAATAAAAATTTGAGTTCGGGCGATTTTGATGCAAATGTTATTTTTCCCCTGATAAAATACGTTTCGAACAATTGATATCAACATTTTTGTCACTCGACATTGGTCATTCTTCAAACTCTTTCGTTTACAAAAAAACAAATTTGATTATTTTTTGTTTTCACGTGTTCATTTCATTTTTATCTTTATGGGGCTATACAAGTATTTTCTCAACGCGCTGAGAAAACAGGAGAAATGCGGAGAAAATGTATTTTCTTCACTTTTTTCGTATTTTCTCAGCCTACCTGAATAGGTTTTCTTCGCTTTTCTCAGCGTTGAGAAAATAACTTGAATAGTCCCATTATTTTTTTATTGAAAAACATGAAATGCTGAATATTTTTCTATTGTTTTTTTTTCTCACGTGAAAAAATCATCAAATTTGGTTGTTTCTGAGAATGAGTGGATGTTTTCGTAATTGGTTTCTACCAAAAATCCATACCTTTCGCACAATTCTTAAAAACCACATCATCATCCCATCGTCGTTTCACAGTAAAATCTCCCTTCGATGAAGAGCTCCCAGCTCCCGAATCATTCAACAAAGGGTTTCCCGCCAATATATTGCTCATTCTAGTCTTCTCCTCTTCCTCTTGTAATTTAGCCTCTCTAACTGCTTTTTCTTCAGCTCTTTCCTTCTTGATTTTTTCTAACTCGGCCATGAGAGCCGCTGTATCATCATCATCTGAATCCTCATCTTCCGACGAATTCAACTCATCGACAGCTTCATCTGCGTCAACTGTCGCAGTCGCGGCTTCTGCTGCAATCTGATCCATTCGCTGCTTCTTACTATGCGAGGAACTTGAGCTCGAACTCGCCGAATTCGCATCACGTGCACGTTTTTCACGAGTCGCCTCACGCTCCTTATCCTCAAGTTCACGACGCAAATCACGTTTTCGCAAATCCTCCTCGGTTCCTTGACCGGTTTGACGATATTTCATGGTTTTATGGGAGGGCATATCTTTTGACGAGTATTGCGCAGAAAGTTTGGACAAGTCGCCTTCGCCACGGGCGGTTCCTCCGCGAGCCGGATAAAAGGTGGGACGATGTGCGGTTGTCATCTGAAATTTACAATTTTTTCATTGGAAAATGCATTAAAATGGTGAATTTTTGGGTGAAAACAAGAGAAAAAATAGAAAACGCTTCGAAAAATGCGATCAATAAACAGGGACTAGTTTTGGTTTTCTCTTCCAAAATTAGTTAGTCCCTCTCTGTTTCTTTGAAAAATCGCCGTTTTCCCGGAAAATCCGAGAGGTTTTCCTAATTCTGTGTGATTAACATGAAAAAAGAATATTTGTTGAAGCCTCTGGAAATTCTGAAACCCCTCATGAACCCGGAAATTTTCCGGAAAACTTGAAGAAAAATGATGGACGAGATTTGGTGTGAGGCTAGGCCAGAAGATTTCGAATTTTTAGGCCACCGTTTTTTCTTTTCGTTTTTTCGCACGTTCAAACGTTTTTCAGGGAAAACAGCAAAGTTTTCTTGGGTTTTTTGAAATAAACATGACCCTGAATGATGCAAACACAAGATTTTGTTTCTATAAAGAATTTTTTAAACTTTTTGCGTCATTTCACAAACTTTACAATTCCAATAAAAATTTTCAGACAAATTTGCGATAAAAACCACTCGAAAATGGACGAGCTTCCGGTGCTAAATGGCTTGTGCAAAGACCTCTACGAAAGTGTCGATCCACAAGTTCGCCAACGCGCCGAAATGAACTTGGCAGAACTGTCCGAATCATCAGAATGTCTGCAAAGATGTATGTTGTTATTAGCTCGCGGTGATTATCCCTACGGACCAATGGTAGCAAGCACAACATTAATGAAGATCCTCGGCGCAAAAACAAGTGTCACCTCTTTTCAAAAATTGGAACTCGCCAAATTCCTACTAAATATGCTTGGCCAAGGCGCCCCCACATTTCCATCATATTTAGTCACCTCACTTTGCCAATTATTCGCCAGATTAACCAAACAAGAATGGACCTACACAGTTGTCCCAAATAGTTCCGACTCGAAAATCGAATATCCATTCAGAGAACCTATTGATTCGCTAGTCAAGACGATTTCAATGAAAAATATCTCTGAATCTCAACTCGCTGTGCAACTTTTAACATTACTTGTTGCTGATATGAATAATGCATCCGGTATGGAATCAGTGAATCAACATCGCAAGAATCTCTCGCAGTTTCGCGATGATTTCTTATACACTATTTTCGTCACCTCTGTCGAATTTCTAATGGAACATGCTGAAAGACAACTAGATGATCAAGAATTGGGAATGATGCATTCGATGTTGAATTTGTGTTTGCAGTGTTTGCTTTTTGATTATATTGGAAGTTTGGCCGATGAGACAAGCGAGGATAATTGTAATGTTCAGATTCCAACAGCTTGGAGATCTAGTGAGTCGATTTTCATTGAAAAATCTTGAAAAACCGATTCAATTCCAGGTTTCACTGATGGCAAAATCATTCAATTAATGTTCAAATTATTGCAAAAACTTCCACAAGAATCAAGTGAAAAGGTGATTAGATAATTTTATCGACTTACCCTAACTTATTCGACTATTTCCTAAAATTAAAATTGTTGAAAATGAATGAGAAACAAAAATAAATTGTAAATTTAATCAAATTTTTGGCACGTGAAAAATCCTAATCATTTCAAATTTCATTAATTCCGAGAAATGGGAGTCAAGTGAGTTCGAAACCTAAAAATTACTTTATAAAGAAGGTTCAGCCTTAAAACTAGCTGAAAACTTTATGTAAACTGTATACAAATTTATAATATTACCTTAAGGTCTTCCTAAAATCCTAAATAAAGTCCCTAAAATTCAGGCACACTCCTAAACCCCACATTTTTCCAGATAATGACAATAATCGCCCAATTGGCCAGTATTCGTCGAACACTCTTCAATGGAACCGAAAGGCAAGCCTATGTTCAAAAATTGGTTGAAGGAGTTGTTAGTGTAATTATGAATCCGGATAAATTAAGTGATCAAGGAGCATTTCACGAATTCTGTCGATTAATAGCTCGACTCAAGACAAATTATCAATTGTGTGAATTGATTGCTGTACCATGTTATAGTCATATGTTGAGATTGTTGGCTGAATTTACTGTGCAGAGCTTGAGGGTGAGAGTGGTTGGCGCAAATAATTTTAATAATATGCTTTTCAGATGATGGAATTCTCCGCCAATAGCACTTATTTTCTAATGACATTCTGGCAAAGAATGGTAACATCAGTTCCATATGTCCGTAATAACGATGAACATCTCCTGAATGTTTATTGTCCCGAAATCATGACCGCATTTGTTGAAAGTCGCCTCCAACACGTGGAAAGTGTTGTGAGAGAAGGCGCCGAAAATCCATTAGATGATCAAGGTTCAACACTTCAAATCATGGAACATTTAGCAATTATAAGTCGATGTGAATATGAGAAGACTTGTAAATTATTGACAAATTATTTCGATCAAAACGCGAATATTTGGATGAATGGAAATGAGGGAGATGTGAATAAAGTGATTGCGGAAGGAAGATTGGTTTGGTTGATTACGTTGATTGGTACGGCGGTTTTTGGAAAGACTACTTCGACGACAACTGATGCACATGATAAAATGGATGGGGAATTGATAGCCAGGTGGGGATTTTGGGGAGACAATTTGGAAGTTTTTTAGTGGGAAATGAGATATTTTCAATGGAAACTTTCAGATTTTGACCTGAAATTAGACCTATTTTATATAAAAATTCGGGGTTTCTGCTCCAAAAATGATAAATTTAGACGTGAAATTTTAAATTGAAATAAATTAAAACGAAATTCAGGTCAAAATCTACAAGTTTTCATTGAAAATCGGTCATGTTCCACCATATCAATTTCATACTGAAAACATGAATTTTGACCCGAAAAATATGGATTTGTAAAACTGGAAAACTTTCCAGTTTTACAAATGTTTAAAAAGTTGTTCCAAAAAACAGTATAATTTTCTGTCTGAATATTTTAGAAAATATTCATAATTTTTGAGGGATTTTTAACTGTTCCAAAATTAGGGTAACCGTTATTTTCGAAAAATTCAAATTTTCCACAAAAAATCCCATCAAAATGTTTTCAAAACTTCTCACGATCCTCTTTTCTCCAGATGCATAACCGTCATGAAATACAACGATTCGCGCCTCCAAATGACAAACTCAAACATCCCAATAAATGGAAATATCCGTCTTGAAGTCGCATTCGTTCACATGTTGGAACAATTCCGACGAGCTTATATTATGGATCAGATAACAAGAGCCAGTGCGGTTTATGAAACATTGGCAAGCGAATTGAAAATTAGTGAAGAGGCTGATATGTTGGGAGTTATTGTGCAGAAAATGTGAGAATTGTCTGAAACCTCTGAACCAAATTTGTTGTTTTTTTTTGCAGACTAACAAATCTGAAATATTGGCCAACCAACTCGGATCTACTAGATCTTTCCTTGTCACTTTTGAAAGATTTATCATTAGGATACACGGCTGTTCGAAAATTATTCCGACTTCCAGAAGTTCAGCTTTTATTGAATAATCATACGGTAAGACGACTTTCTTTTAGGTTTAAAATTTACTGGAAAATGTGATAAGAAATTGATTTGTTTTAATCCTGAATTTTGAATTTAGCCCAATTTTTCATTTCAGTCCGAACATTTCGTCTTCCTCGGCCCAACTATCGATTATCAAACAATGAAACAACGAACGACTTTTTATGAAGCGCTTACTCGATTATTAACCACCGATTTTTCGGATGATGAAGAAATGGTTCAACGATTTTTGAGACCATTGACAGGTTTGATTTATTTTCAAAAAAAAAAATTAAAAAATCACCAATTTTTTATCTGAAAAACATAAAAAAATGATGAATTTTGAGCTCATAATTGTTTTCCAGACACAGTCGAAGGAATTTGCAATATAATCTCATCAAATTATCATGGATTCGATGAAGAACACTTGAAAAAAGTGATTGTTGGATTGTGTCGAGATTTGAGAGGTGTTGCCATCGCTTCCACAACCAAGGCTATTTTTCAGATTCTTTTTGAATGGATGTGAGTTTTTTCTGGGAATTTTGAGCCACAATTTTGATTTTTCAATTTTTTGCAACGTGGATTCATCTCCGAATTTTGAATTCACGTGAATTTTGAACACCAAAAAATTTTAAAAGTTGAAAAAAATTTGAATAACCCCAAATAGCACCCGAACAAAAACTACGGGAATCTCATCACCCAGAAATTCGAATATTTTTTGCAGGTACCCAAACGTCTTCAACATCCTCCAATTTGCCGTCGAAAAATGGCCAGAATCTGCTGATGTCACAACGCCGATTCTTCGATTATTATCTGAATTGGTTCAAAATCGACAGCAAAGGCTGAAATTCGAAATGGGCTCGTGTTCGGCGGTTTTGTTGTTCAAAGAAACGTCGAAAATTATCACGATTTATGGTGAGAGTTTTGGAGGTGGAATTTGACCAAAAATGATAATGTTTTTGACCTCAAAATTGATATCCTACGAATTTTTCCACTCAAAAAATCCTTAAAAATATTCCAGGAGATCGTCTTTTATCGCTACCGGAATGCTCGAAAGATCGTGTCTACAAAGATCGCTACAAAAATATTGGCATAATTTTCTTGGTCCTCAAAAATGTATTGATTGGTGCCTATGTTCCATTTGGTGTGCTACGTTTATATGGTGACACGTGTCTTCAAGATGCGCTAACTACATTTGTGAAATTGTTCATCAGTATACCGCAAGTTGATTTCCAGGTAAGGAAGTTTGAAAAAAAAAGTTCGATCTGTTTTCATTTCTCAAATTTTTCAGAGCTACACAAAAATCGCGCAAAACTATTATAATTTACTGGAACACGTTGTTCAAGACAACATGGCTTTCATCACAAATTTATCGATTGAAGTACTGTGCTCAATTTTACGATCAATTCATGCTGGTTTGAATTCTGTTGGTGAGTTTTCAGCCGGTGAAAATTATGAAAATTCTATAATTTTAGCCAAAAAATATCAAAAAAAATTTTTCTTTTTCAGATGCCATTGTCATTACATCGGCTTGCTCTTCACTGGATACAATTTTGAATTATTTGTATAGGCGACTTACGCGAACTTCGCCGCCAACTTCAAAAGTTGGAGTCGAAGCTGAAGGCGATAATATTGTTATGACAATCAAAGAGCATCCGGAAATTTTGGCGGATGTGAGTTAAGAAATTTTGGACTAGAAAATGTGGAAAAGAAAATACGCGATGATTTGAATTTGAAATTTCACATTTTTGCGTTTTGCCACGTGGATTTTTGGTCTTAATTTTCAAAAAATTCAATTTCAATTTCACTAAAATTTAATTTTTTTCAGAAAATTGAATTTTTTATCAAAAACTGAATAAAAATGTTCTGGAAGATTCAAATTTAATTTAATTTCAGATGCTTCAAACCGTCATCACATCAATGATGTTTGGCGAAGTAAAATGTCAATGGAGCCTGTCTCGACCACTTTTAGGCTTGATTTTGATACAAGAAGAAGTATTCAATTCGCTCAAAAATGAGCTAACTCAACAACAGAGTTTTGATCGACAGGCTGATTTTGATACGGTACGACGGTTTTTTGAGCAATGTTGAGAAAAATTAAATAAAAACCCACTGTTCAATTCAATAAACTAGACTATATTTGCAGCTTTTCACGCAATTAATGACTGGCGTCGAATGCAATCTAACCGTCAAAAACAAGGATGTTTTCACACAAAATCTGACGAAATTCCGACGTGATATTGCTGGTGTTTTAAAGGGACAAAGCATTGTGCCGACCACGTCACATTTATCGAATTCCAATCAGGATATGCAATAGAATATTTGATCTACACATTCCTATCCGAATGAAGAGAAATCAGTTTTATATACCGGTTATGTTTGAACTATTTTTTTGTTTGTGTCTTTTTCGTATCTCGTCCCCCATCCTCCCTGTTTCATCATTCCCCCCATATTTGTCATGAAGATTTTGAATTTTTAACGATGGTGTAAACGACGGAGTGACGTTTGAGATTTTTCCGGGGGAAAGGAGATTTCAATTGATATCAAACGAGATACAGATTGTATAGATTCATCAGGTCTACATGTTTTAGGCCTAATTTTCCAAAACCAGATACTTTTATAGTCTTGCAAGGGACCTTGGCTTTGGGCTTGGTCCCGGCCTTGACTTAAATGCCTGCTTTTTAAACGCGGGTGGCAAAGTGCTATAAAAATAAAATGAAATTTCGAAAATAAATTCTAGAATTTATCATAAACGTGACCTACATTGAATTCCGTGGAAAATGTCTAGTCATCCTTCATTTCTCACATGTCAAATTTCTTAGAATTCAGAAGAGCGGCCCAAAAAATAATGAAAGGCTCCTCATTTTGTTATGTATCATTATCAGTGTTATCAATTGTATTAATCATATTAATTTCACCAACTGATCAGGCCAATAATCCATTATGTATTTCGCGTTTGGAAAATGGAAAAGAGAATAATGTGACTTTTGTTTTTGTAGTGGATCGATCGACACCCAAAGAAATTGTGAGTTTTTGGGGAGGAAGTATCTAGGGATATTTTGTAATTCAAATTCATTGTTTTTCAGCTCCCAAAACTATTATATTTGTTGAAACAAATTGGATGTGCAATTCCATCAAGTTTAGAAGAAAGTGACAATTTATTAATATCAGTAATGGATTTATCAAATTATCCAAATAATATTCGAACAAATTTGGCAAGTGGCCAACTTCCACCAGCTCTATTCAACTTCACAACAAAAGCCGAACCAAGAAATTCCAAATTTTGTAATCGTTTCCGTCGTGGAATGTCCGAAATTTTGCAAAATGATCAATTGGGCAAAAATGTGCAATTTGTTGTGCCAATTATTGCAAGTGCTTCGGATTATGCAAATTGTTCGATGATTGATGTTTTCATTGAGGAAGTTCGAAATAGTTCAAGGAAATTGACAGATTTCGGGTTCAATGGGATTTTGGTTAACTCGCAAAAATTGACAGAAATCGAAAAGGATAGGGAGAGCTTCTTTTTGGAGATCAAGGATATTTCGATTATTGATACAACTAGTGAGTTTGGGGATAATGACATTTTGACACTTTTTTTTTGCTTCAAAAAATTCCCTCAAAATCTTTATTTCCAGAAACATCAATGATTTCTGACATGGATCCTGATTATGTTCAAGCCACTGGCGAAATAAACCAGAAAATATTCGATTTTATTGAAAAAGCTATCGGTTTTCGACCGGAGATCTACGATCTTATTGATAATTCAACAACAACAGAAGAACCGGAAACATCTACTGAAGTTATGACTACAACTTCGAAGAAACCAACAACTTCGAGAATTCCCAGCACCTCAACTTCTGAAGCTTCTACCACTCAAGTTTTGACAACTGAAACTTCTACAAAATCAGCAACTGAAATTAAAACATCAAGTTCGACTTCAGTTCCAATAACACCTGTAATCATAGCAAAATCTAATGAAGAACCTCCAACTGAACTCAAAAAATCGAAAGATGAAGAAGATGTATTCAAAGATCATTATTGGCTATTTATAATTATCTTTCTTCTAATTCTCATTATTATTATAGTTTTGCTCCTATTTTTCTGTATTTTCTGCTATCGAAAAAAGGAGAAACAACAAGTGAAATCACCAAAACCGAAATCGAATTCAAAATCAAAATCCAAGTCGACTTCTTTGGAATTGAAAAATAATGAAAAAGAGCCATTGATGACACCAAAATTGACAGAACCTATGATTATTAAAGAACAAGAAGATTTTGGTTTTGAGGAAGAAAATGATGAAGTTGATGAGTGGAATAAGGTTGGTACATTTTTGGATATTTGACCTCACAAAATTAATTTTGGATTTACAATTGTACAAAAACATGAAAGGAGCATTTTTTGATATCCAAAATGTTCATAAATATATTTTGAAACGTATAATTTCCCTCTCCTATCCAAACCTGAATTGTTTTCAGATCAAACCAGGATCGGCTGAAGTTCCAATCACACCATCGCCTGCAAATTTCCCAATAAATCCAAGTTATGAACCGATTGATGTAACTGAACGTCGGAAGATTTGAAGCAACCTAGATTAAAAAATAAAAATGTCCAATTGATTTCTGATCTTTTCCCAAAAAGGTCAATGTATTTTGTTTCCGAAGTTACCGGAACTATCAATAACACACATACACACAAATTTATTTTTTCTCGGAGACCGCGTCGGAAAATGGTTGAGCAAACACAATTCCGCACACCTCAAATCAATCGGTTTTTGTTATTATTTTTCATTTATATTGAGCTACTTTCTAAATGAAGAAATTGAGCGCGCGAGAATTGATTTGGACTCTGATTCTGGTTTTTTGGACTGGAGTTAATGGTGAGCTCGAAACTTCTGTAGAATCCCACATGGATTTTCAAATATGAAGGAATTCCACGGGATCTAGATATCTGAAAAATTGTTCCTTTTTTAAAGAAAATTTTTGAAATTTATTTCTGGTGCTAAAAATTGTATGCTTTTTTCCAAAGCTTCAAGTTTTGTTCCAGAAAATCTGGGAAAAAATTTGAAGGCCACGAAAGGAATTCCACGTGTTTTTTTTTTGCAAAAAAATCTAAAAACTTCCTTTTTCCAGCACAAGTTCCCGATTATTGTCCACCACATCCAATTTACGGAAAAATTCCCGAAGAAGATTGCGCCCAGCCATCTGATCCAAATGATCTACCAAAATCAGGACTCGAAAAATGGTTCACCAAAGAGATGTTTGAGGATCTATTTCCCAAATCAAACATCGGTTTGGGACCTCATCCATGTCTACCGTACTCCTACGAATCTCTAATAATCGCTTCGAGATATTTTCCGGGTTTTGGAAGTTCGGCGCCGAATAAGCAGTTCAAATCGGATGAGCATAAAAAGCGAGATGTTGCCGCGTTTTTTGCGCATGCTTTGCAAGAAACTGGAGAAAATGATGTGTCGGTTTATAAGTGAGTGAGTTTTTTGGGATGAAAAAATGGAATGGTTTATTGGAAAAATTTTTGAAAAAAAAATTAAAAGTTGAAAATGAGAACAAAAGTTTCAAGAATTTTTCACTCATAAAAAATTCCAGATTTTTGAAGTTTAGGGTAACATTCTTGAAAAGCTCCTAAAATGTGGAACTTCTCACCCAAAACTTTTTTGCTCTCATTTTCACATCTCGATTCAAAAAAATCAAAATAATCGGATTAATATATCCAAAATTAACAGCAATAATTGCATAATATCTTCGAACATCTTTTCGATTATCAGAATTCGAATTAATCGCAGATCCCAAAAATTCATTCAAATAATATAAAAATGTAAGAGTTGAGGTGCAAACAAGAAGTAGAATATGAATAAGAAGTCGAATTTCTTGATAAAAATCTTTGTTTTTTCTAGAAACATTGAACACTTTTTTGGTCTTCCAAATGGAATAAATTATTGAAATATACATGAATAAATCCAAAGTTCCGAAAAATATAAAAACCACGATTACTGTCATCGAAAAAAATTTGATTCGAAATCCTGAATTAATCACTGATAATTCATCGGAATTATTGAAAAATGGTAAATCGCCTGGAATTGTTGAAAAACATGGAATATAAATTAGAAATGGGACCAGGAAATGAATTAGAAAAATCTTGCAAAATGACAAATTATTGATATTGTAAGTTATCGATTTTTTCGAGCAAACAGTTTGATATCTTTGAAAAGTCATTAGAAATATTCCGAAAAATCGGATGATGAAAAATATTGGGCCGAATTCGGAGATAAATATTCCAGAGCCATAAATTTGTGAATTGAAAAGTAAATTGTTGCCAAAATGGAGGTAGCGAGCTACGTAAAGGTAGATCACGCAGAGAGCGGTGCAAATATCAGCAATCGCCTGAAATATAAACTTTTCGCCACGTCATAACTATTTTTGAGATTATTTTTGAACTTCAGACATTTGTCATGAATATTTTCAGCAACTTTTTTGATGATTTTTTAATTTGTCTCGTTTATCAGAACCAATTTTTCCAAATTTTCCAAAACTTACCTGTGAAATAACCAATGAATAATATTGACTTTGAAAATGAGTTTTTCGAAAATGACAAATTGAAATATCAAAAAGTAGAAAAACATAAATTGGAAGAATAATCGTTGTTTCTATCAACATCAAATCAATTTGCCAGTAACATGTTAGAAATTGACACATTTTTCTTTGCAAAAAATTATAATCGGAATGAAAATAAATATAACATTCCAAGTATGAATAATAAGAAGAAGAAGAAGAAGTGCATGATCTCGCAGGCTTTGAAAATTAGGTTATATTATTTTTTTTTGAACTCGATGTTTTCTTTGGAAACGTGTTATGAGTGAGTGTGCGATGATCACATTTTTTGTCATCGACTCATGTGGATTTTTTCGATGAAAAGTCACGTTTCACTTGGAAACTCCTAAAAATAGAAACAAAATTGAATTTAGGATTCAAAAAAAGTTCAGAAATCTGATAGAAAGGTGACATTTTTGACGTGGATTTCAAAAAAGTTTTGACATATGGATTTCTACTTTTAAAAAAATTATTCTTGCCACGTGGATCTAAAATTTTTTTTCAAATGTTTTGGACCAAAAAACAATCTATGCAATTCGAAAAACTCTTTGACAACATCAATGTTTTAATTTATAGAAATTTTGAAAGTTTTTTTAGACACGTGGATTTTTCAAAAAATCTGACAAAAATGTTTTCCAGCAACACTGATTTGACTCTCGAACAATCACACGAATGTTTCTACCGTGGTGGATTCTATAATTGGTTCGAAAGAGGTCCGAATTCAACATTTCTCTCTCGCGATTCTCCCGGTTTCAATCCATCAGATGGAAAAAGATGTGCAAGCGAAGAAGCGAGATATTGCAAATCCGATCCGATCACTGATTTTTGGTATCAATGTAATCAAGATATTGATGAGGATGAGAATGGTGTCAAATTCAAGGGTTGCTATTTTGGAAGAGGTGCTTTACAGCTCTCATGGAATTATAATTATGGATTATTCCAACAATTTTTGCTGACTAAAGGGATAAAAGTGGATTTGATTGAGAATCCGAATTTAGTTATAACAAAAATGGATCCACCATTGGCGATGATGGCGTCACTTTGGTTTTATATGACACCTCAACCACCAAAACCTTCGATGCATCAAATTGTTGTTGGAGATTGGAAACCGTCTTCGAAAAATCGACGAGCTGGATTTCAAGGGGCGATTTTTGGCCCAACAAGTTTGATCATAAATAATGAATGTGGCGGAGAAGATAGTGATGAACCTGGTGGACCTGGAGAATCGAGAAGAATCAAGGCTTTCAAGTGGTTTTGCAAATATTTCAAAGTTCCTGTTGGACCTGAAAGAACTTTGAGCTGTAAAGGTTGCGAACATTTTCGAAATTCTTTTAAATTATAATCCTGATATTCCAGGAATGCTTGATGGTTTCGAAGCAATTCAACACATGTATTCGTGGCATCCCGATTGGGGAAATATGTGGCGATCACAGTCTTGCGATTGTGCTCCCGCACCTTACGGCGGACCCCTGCCTTATTATGATCCCAAACTTTATCCACATGAATTTACGAAACAAAATGATCGGAATCGTTTGCGATGTGTTTATAGTATTTATGAGAGTCCGGATACTTTTCGGATAGATGTTGCTAATTCACCGTGTTTGAAGCATCGGCCGAAAATTCGGTTATCTAGGACTGGCTTGAAAAATTAATAATTATAATTATGATATTTTAATTAAATAAGTAATAAATTTTTATTCAAAATGTCCCTAAAACAGTTTTCAATTTTGGAAGTTCTACACGATTAAAAGTTTTCGGAGAGATAAACTTCAATAAAACCATCCGATATGATTTGTGAATTGCGATCATAACAATTGTTGATATCACACCATGAATTGCAATAATTAATGTGATTATATTGTTAAGTGCTTGATTATGATAATTATTCGCAATTGAATAAACAACATAAAAAGCTGGAATGAGCAATATGCCAACTGGTATGAATATTTGCAATTCCATTGATAGAAAAAACATTTTTTGAAGTTGTTTAGTTTGTTTTGACATTCCATTTTGTGTTAGAAAATAATGAAATAACTTGACAACAAAAAATAAATCTTGAAAAAATTGAAATATTATCATTGCGGCTACACATATTACCGTAGTTTGGGTATCTGGTCCAATAACGTAGAATTCTGGATCATCGATTATGTAGGAGGGAATATTTGGGACTATTTTTCTGACGTATTCTTTTGCAAGAACTTGATCGGGTGTGTTATAAACAGCGGGGATGAAAAATAAAAGAGCTATCAAGAAATTGAGGCTCAAATAAATATATCGCTTTATACAATAACTACGAGTTTTCAAGTGATTTTTGACAATTAGTGAATCATATCGATTCTCGAAACACAGTAATATTGAGCAAGCTGTCACACCAAAATTCGTTACACCAAACCAAGTTTGAATGGGATTACTAACACCAAAATATTGCAATAAACCAAAAGCAATTCCACCGAGAGCTGGCACTGTTAAATATGGGATAAGGAGACAGGTTAGGGTGAAATCTAGAAATGCGCCGAAGAAAAATAGAGTTGAGATACACATTTTCACTGGTTTCATTTTGTTTGGTGTTTTTGTTAGAATACAGTATGCGCCGAAAAGATGAATTGGTATCTCGATTGCTACGAGAGCATGAGATGAATAAATTAGGAATTCTGGAGATTCGAAATATGAAAATGTTGTCATTTTTGTTTTGATTAAACAAAGAGCTTTTAGATCAGTTTTTAGCAGACAGCGAAAAAAACAAAAAACATTGGTCTCAAAATTTTTTAATTAATTAATTAATTAAAGGAATGAGACCAACAATTTTTATGTTTAAATATTTAAGAGACAATTTTTCTCCAGAAAAAAAAATATTAAAACTATTTTTGTAGATTGTGAAAAACAGGAAATTGCATTTTTGAAAAGGACACTCGTACAAGTCCACAGAGTTGCAGTGATTTTTGTGACCTGAAGTTTTTTGAGTTTCTCAAAATCCTTGGAACTCTTCTACCAACAAAAATTCATAACAATTCAATATCAACAAAAACAAAACAAAAAACAATAATCAATTTACCATAACTTCCAACTCAAACTTTCCGATGTTTCTTCTTCATTTTCCATTTTTTCTCCAAAATCTTCTCGATTTTCTCAATCGATTCTTTCGCCTTTTCTTGTTCTCCCTCAAATTGCTCATTTTTCTCAATGTCCTTCAAAACTCGAATAATTTTTCGGCTACAAATCTTGGCCGTTGAAAAGGCCGAAAAACATTGAACATCTTTTCCTTTCTGACTTCGCTGATATTTTCGCTCGTTTTCAATGAGCACCAAAAATATTTGCGACAAAAAGTTCTTCTCCCATTTCGTATATCTTTTACTCTAGAAAAAAAAACAAATGTTTTGAGAAAAAGTGTTTGCGAAAAACTTACATTCAAAATGGTGGTAATCCACGTGTGCAATCCTTCACGGAAAAACAGATCGTGTGCAACTGATGGCATTCGCACACAATTTTGAAAGGTTCTCAAAATGAGACCGCGACTTTTTCGATCGGCCCAAAGACTTGAAAATGTTGTCATCAGGAGTTTGATGCCGGCTCTGGAAAATTCGAATTCTGTGTTCGTAAACTATTTTTCCCCAAAAATTCACTCACCGATTCTGTAGAATCTGATAATCCATTGGCTCCAGAACCGCTTCAGAGATCAGCGTCAAAATCCATTCTCGTTCTTGCTTATGATTTTGAGGTGACGAAGAAAACAACAATTTGTAAAATTCGGGAACATTTTCAGCATCAAAAATCGGTTTCATACACAAAAACGCCATAATTTGAGGGTAAACAGGATCTTCGGGATGAAGAATTAGTTTGGAAACTCGGGCAAAGAAGTGCGAAATTACTGAAAAATTACTCGTGATTGTTTAAAATCCGAAAAAATTTGAAAAGTATCTAACTTACAACTCGAAACACGTCGAATTGCCACATCGGTGCTATGCTTGAAAAGTCGAATCAGATATAGAATTATCGATTTTTCATTGAAAATTTCGACTTTCAATTCTTGCAACAAATTTGAGTATTTTTGAAGACAACAATAAGCCAAAGTTCGAATTTCGGGATCTGCAGAAGAAGTTGAAGAAAAGAGGAGAGCCAAGCCGTTTTGTTCAACGAAAAGTTTGCAGGAGAGCTGGAAAAACAGGGAATTTTTATCTAAAAATTATTCCATCATAATCATCCTTACCGCTGAAGCTGGATAAATCAACGAGTTGAACAATCTCAACACAAATTTCACATCATAAATCTTTGCCGAATTTTCATCGCTAACTGGTCTAACATGATATTTGACCGTATTCCAAAGTGTTGCTTCATCAAAATATCCTCTCAAAACTTCATCCGGTGTGATTCTCACATGCAAATTCCCTCCCATTTTCCTCAAACTCTCGTAATTTTTCTCGGCGTTCAAGCCAAAAACCAGTGGATGGAGTTGACCTAAATCGGTGCCATATTTTTCGAGAAGTTCCAGAATTTCGAAAATCAATAAATCCTGGTTGGAGCATGTGCATTTGTAAGAAACAAGAAGATTGGATAGGATTTTTAGATTGATTTTGTCATGAGAATTTGTCTGAAAATTATATGAAAATGGTGATTTTGTGGAAGGGAAACTTACATCATCTTTAAGATCTTTGAGTTGTTTCAGAATTTCAGTCAATTCTTCCTCTTCAGCTGTCCAATCTTCATTTTCCAAAGGTTTTAGGATTTTTGAAATAGTTGGGGTTTCTGGAAATATTTGGTTGAAATTAAAAAAGTTTTTATTGGAAATTAGAATTTCCTGGGTCGGATTTTCAGAATTTAAAATCGCAATTAAATTTTGTGCGCCAATTTAAAAAATTAACAAATTAAAAAAAAAACGTTAACAAAAATAAAAACTCACCAGAATTTTCTCGCTTCCTTTTCCCCATTTTCTGACCTAAATTAAATTTTTATAATTTCAAACCCTCGCTTCATCTGAAAAACCATTCAAAAAAAATTCCAATGATCCCAGGTGGAACATTTCACAATCTCATCAAAAAACACAGTTATGTTCGATATTTTTTATATCATTCTTTAAAAATTATAAGCAAGAAAACATGATTTTACAGAACAGAGGAAAGTGAAAAACACGCACAGAAAGTGAAATATTCAAACATAAAAACCAAATAATTTATCAACAAAATTTTCTCGATTTTTCTGGAAAACCTTCAAGTCTTCAATGCTCAGAACTCAACTTCTCCCCAAAAATCATCTTCAGATTTGTCGGATTCTTCAGCATCTTGCCGGATGTTTTGAGAAGGGGAAGTGAGGTCAATTTCAGAAGGCGAAGTCGTCTGAAAATATTGATTTTTTTCACAATCAACTGGGGAAAAAAATAAATAAAGATTAGCTCACCATAATTCCTTGAAATGCCAATTCAAGCGCATTTTTGTGACGACTGGAACCATCTTCTTCACTGGAAAAAATTAGGGTTTCAATTTGAAAATTAGACCTTGTGACGGCTTTTTCTCAAAAACTCACAATCGAACCAAACTCTTTCTCTTCACCAAAATCGCCGTCGAACCTCCCAAACATAATTGACTAGCCAATCTCAAACTGCTAACTCTTGTCGAATTTGACGAACACAATGTTTTTCGACTATTCGAATTCGATGATAATGGTGGAGTTGGAAAACTTGGCTCATCATTTTTGGGAGTTTTATTTGAGTTAGAAGATGTTGTTGATGAGGAGTAAGTTAGAGCAAATGCAGCGTATGGAATCTCATCATCCGAATCTTCTTCATCCGAAAAATCAATTTCTGGATTCTTTTCTCGTTGGTCATACCAATTGCATAGATTTAGGAGTTCGTCCATTGGTTCACAACCATTTTGATTTTGCTTTTCTTCGCAATTACTGGAAAGCTATTTTTGAGAAAAATAATAAATTTATGAAAATCTTTCAAAATTAAATTTATAGGCAAAATAATCTATTTCAAAGCCTTCGCATTTTAAAACGATTTTTAGCACCAAAACCACCCAAAAAATCCCGTGGCCTAGTAAACCATAAGAATCCTAGGCCATATATCAAAAACTCTTCCACTCACAAAAACGATGCAATATGATTCCACTCTTTCCCGGCTTTGAACAAATAATCCGATGTCGACGCAGTATTCTCATCATCAAATCGAACATTCTATGAAAATTTAAGAATTTAGGCTAACTTCTCTAAACTTTCAAGCTCATTAAGAACATTTTTCAAGGTAATAAACCTATTTTCAGACAAGAATCAATTTAAAAAAGTTACATTTTCAATTTGATTAAAATTTGGCATCCATAGTGAATAAGTTCGTTTAAAAATCAGACTAGTCATTTTTTAGAAAAATATAAAATATGGGAGATTAATAGAAAAATGCCAAATTTTCTAGACACTCTTATCTTTTTGGGTGGTCCGACAGACAGACCAAAAGGTCAAATTGAATGATGTCATCAGAAAAAAAAGAGAAACGGGAGCACTTTATTCAAATATACAAAGACTGGTCAAGGTTCCCTTTATTTAATATGAGTAATTATATTTATTTTGAATGTTTTTATGGATAAATCATTTACTTATTTACTTACTAAAACAAAACTCACTTTTCGTTTTAGGTTCTCTTTTTGTTTATGTTGTTGTTTTGATTGTTGATTGCAAGTGAAATTTGCAGAATTGTGGGCAAATAATAAAAGTGCTTCCGCAACTTCGACCATCTGCAAAATATCTGGAATTTTTGGAGGAAATTTGACTATTTTTCTGAAAATTCATAGAAGATTTTTTCAAATTTCTACGCTTCAAAATTTTTCCAAATGAAAAATTCTCTCAAAAATCTTTTTTTTTATTTTCCATTTTTTAATAAAAATTAAATTTCAAGTTAGGCACTCATATTTCGAGCAAAGCATTTAATGTATTTTTTTTAGCCACACCCATACATGGCATCTCCGCTCATAGCACCCTAAATGTCATGACCTCCCCCTCTTCGAAAATTTCAATTGTCAAGACCCCCCCCTGAAAATTAAAAAAAAATCCATGTATGAAAATTTTCAAAAATTTCGAGCCAAAAATCTCTTTCGCTACATTTTTCAGAAATAACCGTTAATCGCCTTGTATCACTCGATGATTTGGACCAATGAGAACATATTGATGTTTACCAATGACGTTCTGGATGAATACTAATTCTTGATGTGAAGATCATTCGCAAGTTAAATTTTTCTAACACACAAAAAATAGGATTTTTAAAGAAAAGTTAATTTTATTGAAGTTTTTGGTAGTCTACCATAATGAAACTTTGCGTGTTCCTGATGTCTCATATTATTTTTGAGAGGTTGACCAGTAATACATTTTAAAAATTCGGAAAATTTCAAAAATCTAGTGTTCAGATAACTTCAGAGCACGAAAATCACTTATCAGTCATTTCTAGAGGTTCGCAATGCGAAGTACTAGACCTATCACCCCGCAATATAAGTTTAGAACGTGTTAATCACTTATTAATCATTTCTAGAGGTCCAGAACCCAAAATCCCCGATTTATGACCACCCCCCTAAAATCACGATTTTTGCTCCGAATTATGGGGGTGGTCATAACTCAGTTTATTAGGCTCCAAAACTGAGAATAATAGGTAACATTAGTACTAGACATACTAAAACTAGGTTAGCCAAAGATTCATAACGATAGACCACCGAAAACTCAAAAAAAATTAAAACTTTCTGAAAAATCTTATTTTTTTGTGTGTTAAAAATTTGACTCCAGAGTGACCCCCTCCTCAAAACATCGTTTTCATCAAGAATGTCTCAGGAAAACACAACGCGTTTCCAACGGTTCAAATGTGCGAGTGGTACAAGGCGCTTGCATCGCGCAGTAGGGGACAGGTTCGATTCCGATTGGTAGCACACCCTTTTTTTTAAATTTCTTGAAAAAATTGAAAGTTTTTTAGAGATCCAAGAAACAAAATTTTTTTTTCAAATCTTGTTCCATGGATCTCTTTTGGATGATTTTTTTCAAAATGTCATGACCTCCCCCTCGGAAAAAGACCTGAATTGTCATGACCCCCCTCTCCTAATTATGAGAGGGTTTACATATATGGCCACACCTCGGCCAAAATCGTGGTTTCCACAATAAAAAATTGTACGCTAAATTTTGACAGTACAAAAATTATGAATTTTTCAGTTATTGTCCTCTAATAATTGTGATTTTTCTAATTTTTGACCTCTAAAAACTGAAATTCACTCATTTTTCAAAAAGTTGTACTCTGGCCAGCTACGGCTTGGCCGAGGTGTGTTTTTAGCTGAATATCCTCATTTTTCCTGAAAACTCAAAAATAAACGAAATTTCCAGCTTGGTTTAAAAGTTTTTATGAAAATTGAAATAGATTATAAATTAAAATAAATTTAAAAAAAATTAACATCATTTTAATTTTTTTCAAAATTCTTTAAAATTTCATAAATTGTCTTGTGAAACTTTATGTGAAAATTTTGCATTTCCTTAAAAAAACTCACCTTTCTGGATATGAATTGTATTCAATAATGGTTATAAAATAATTTTTATATAATTTTCTTATTTTTGGGGGTTAAAAATATAATCTCTTTTTGCTTCTTCGACTAGAATTTCAGCGACATTCCTCTATATTTTTCGAGGAGGAGATTGTCGACAAATTATTGAAAGCACCTGCAAAAAAATGTACTTTTTCAAAAAATTCATAAGAAAACTCGTCCAAGGCCATCAAAAAAGAGAAGAAGGAGAAAAAAGCGCGCGCGTAAAAAGCAAGCAAAAAGGTGGTTTATATTTGTCTGTCTGGTGTGGTTTCCCGGTTGGTGGCTTTCGATTGGTGTAGTCAGAAAAAAAGAGAACATCGATTTGGTGGTAATGGTGCATATGGTGAAATAAAAGAGAAAGAAAGAAAAAGAGAACGCGTCATTTGTTTGGATTATTACGCTTTTTGTATGTATTATTATTATAGGAATAAAAATAATGTAGGTTTTGAGAAGAATTGTTTTTCAAATAAAAAACAATTGCAAAAAAGGTGTAGCAAGGTCAAATATGCTTTGAATAACTATTATGCTAAATTTTGTTTTTAGGCTTTTCCGATCACGGAAAGAATAAAATACGAATTAAAAAATTTGTTCGAACTTTCTCGGGCAATTTGGCGATTTTTCTCTTGAAATTTTAACCTTCATCCACAACTACATCATATATTATTAGCTTTATTTAGCACTGGAAGTAGAATTTAAAGTATTTGAAAAATATAAAATTTTGCGACATTATTTGTCATAAAATAACAATTTACGAAACGAAACGAAAAAACACAAAAATGAAAAATAAGAATTAAAGGAACATACTTAAAATCGCTACGTGACTCAACAAACGAAAAATGCATTTCTCCTTTATTTTATTTTTTTCATTTGGTAAATATCTAGTTATTTTTGCAGCTAATGGATTAATTAAAATCAACAGATAGTTAATCAACAAATAATTAACTTTAAAAAACTATTGGTGATGCTTCTGGAAGTTTTTGAATATCTCGAACCTATGATAAATTACAGACTAGTTTTGCGACACAGACAGCGTTTGGAAAACCAAGAAAAGGACAGGAAATTGGTACGAGGTTGCGATATTTATAAATAAAAAGTACCACCCCAAGTTAACTTTTTGTTCAAAAATAAACTATACAACTCACCTGACTTTTAGATAACAAAACAAAAATTCAAAGTAATTTTCAAAGTTGATAAAAACACAGTTAATTCAGACATAACTTCTTCATGTTTTTCTTTCAAAATCAAAATTCATTCGGTTGAAATCTATAATAGATCTATTTAAAAATCAAGAAAAGAAGAAGAGGGAAAACAAATAAAGAATACATCAAATTTTGAACACCAGAACTTGCTAAAGAAACTTATTGCTTAAGGGCACTGTTGCGAGCGGCTTCTTGGGCTCTTTTGGCGTCACGGGAGGCGATGTAGGCGGTTTGCTCCTTCTTCACTCCGTCCAACAATTCTTTCAATGCTTTTCCTTCGAGGGCTGATTGGACTGCTGAGTCGACCTGAAACAATCGAGTTTTTATTTGAAAGCAGGCTTCATTTCTTGGTAAAAATTTGCTGATTTTCGAGACTCGGTGTAGTTAACTTCGAAAAACTTGATTATTTCGGTTTAGCTAACCCGACCCAAAGAAAAAGAAAAACGAAATTTTTCGAAAAATCTCATACCTTGGCAGTTTCGAAGCTAGTTGGAAGTTTGGAGACAACATCGGAGTTGGCGAGTTGGAATTTGGTGGCCAATCTGTTGAGTTCTTCTTGGAGGGATTTCTTGACGGCTGGATCGGAGTTGGCCAAATTTCCGGCGTTTTTGGCCAATTCGCGGATCTTGTTGACGAAAGCTTGTTGAACCAAGTCTTGACGGCAAGCCGCGGTCGATGAGAAGGATCTGGCGGCGCGGGCGAACATACCTAAACTTTTCTTTGTGTTAAATTTAAATTTTAAAATCAGAACGACGAATAAAAAATAATTCAAGAGGAGCAAAACAATCCACCTATAAAAAACAATTAAAACAACGAGTAGTAGATAAAATATTTATTTACACGAATAAAATAGAAATTCAATTCAAAAAGGAAGAAAAAACGACTGCTATTTAAGTAGGAGGGAAAATCAATGTAGAGCTCGAGTATACTTCTGAAAATCGGGGCGTTGACTAGTTTAAAAATTGAACCCAGATTCCCTGTTAGATCTACTACTATTTACAAGTTACACTACTTTCAAACAAAATCATAAAATGGGTTTTCCAGGGTGAAAAAAAGAAAAATATTAAAGTGTGCAAAAATACGTGACCGTGTACATTGACCGCACAACAGTGTGTGCAAACACCAACCAACTACCGTATACCAAATGTTATCTTTTATTTTTTTCTTTTGTTTTTTTTGTTTTTTGAGGCGAAATCAATGAAGGAGAAGGAGATACTGAAAACGAATTAGGAATTTAAAATGAAAATCTGATTCTAAATAATAGAAAAAACATAGGGAAGCTCGTAAATAATAGTTTGGTGGAAGAAAAAGCGGGTGGACAAACATACACGTATTTTTGCACTATTCCTGACGGTTTTGGTTAGTACATTTCTGGAAAAAAATGTCTCAATGGTTACTAATTCAAGCAAGCTAGCTGGGTTTCTTCTTCTGAGTTTGAAATTACTTAAATGAAAATTAAAAGCGGGATAGGATTACCTGAACAATCATTCCGAAAAGAACGGAAACAAATACAACTGGAAGAGTTGCAACGTTCAAAATGTTAAGCGAAACTCGTTTTCCGGTAAGGCGTTTCATTTGTGCCAATTTCTGTTGACTCATTGGTGGATAGCGAGAGCTGCAAAATTATATTTTGCTTTCGAATCCTAATTTTCAAATACCTCAACAACGATTCACCAAAGAATCCTCTATGCAAAACAGCTTTTTCGTGTGTGAAAGTATCGAATCCGAATTTTCCGCGATATCTTCCCATTCCGGAAACTCCAACTCCACCAAATGGCAAAGTATCAACAGTCATATGCATCAAAACATCATTCACAGTGATTCCACCACTGCTAGTTTCAGTCACCAATCTTTTAACTTTCGCCTCATTTCGTGTGAAAATATAAGCGGCCAATGGTTTTTCACCATCCGCAATGAATTCCAAGGCTTCCGAAAGATTTTTGACGGTGATAATTGGCAAGACTGGTCCAAAGATCTCATCGTGCATGAAAACATCGGTTTTCTCGACATCGAGAACAGTTGGTGGGATGAAGAGATCAGCGCGATCACGTTCTCCTCCAATCAATTGTGCACCTTTGGTTTCATCGAGAAGTTTGGAAATTCGACTGAAAATTGAGACTAATAAATAAATAGAGGGAGAGTTTCTTACTCGAAGTGTCTTTGATTTATGATTCTGGCATAGTCTTTGCTGGCTTTCACATCATCTCCATAGAATTCTCGCAAATATTTGGTCATCGATTGGATGAACTGCAAATTTTTGAGGGTTCATTTGAAACAGAAATAAATCAGGAAATGGATTTTAGTATTTGATAAGAAAAGTTCACGTTTTGTAATAATTTCGAAATTTGGGCCACGTTTTTTTTTAAATTTTCATTTCCAAATTCCAATTACCTTTGGTTTAACATCACTTTGAACCATAACATAATCGGGTGCCAAACAAGTTTGTCCACAATTCACCCATTTTCCCCAAGCAACTCTTTTCGCTGATAAATCGATATCTGCATCACTTTCAACAATAACCGGACATTTTCCACCGAGTTCCAAAGTCACAGGTGTCAAATGTTTCGCCGCAGCGGCCATAATAATTTTAGCGACTGGTGGGCATCCAGTATATAAAATATGATCGAATCTCTCTTTTAGCAATTCAGTTGTTTCTGGAATTGCTCCAGTAACAATTGAGATGTAATTTGGTTCGAAATATTTTGGAATAAGTTTTTCGAAAGTTGCCGCAACATTTTCAGAGAGTTCTGATGGTTTAACAATTACTGTGTTTCCTGCAGCCAACGCTGGAATTAATGGAAGAACAATCATTGAAACTGGATAGTTCCATGGTGAAACAATCAGGACAACTCCTTTTGGATCTTTTTCGATGACAGGTTTGTCGAGAGCGGTGACGAAGGTTTTCTCGACCTGCAAAATTATGAGTTACACTTGATTTTTTGAGCCGATTGATAATTTTTGTGCATAGTTTGTTCTGATGATTTTTGTTATCGGAAGATTTTTTTTGAAAAAAAAATTGTTTATAAACTAGACAATAGTTTGAGATGATAAAAATTTTTACGAAAAAATTTGAGCCTTAGCCCTTGAATATTTATGGGCAAGTTTTGAAGCAGAGTGTCGCCCCGAAGCAGAACTGAAACAATTGTTCCGTCAAGCTGCTTCAAAGCAAAGCTTGACATCCAAGTTTCAGCCGTTCTAAGATTGAAACTTGCGGTTTGAACACGTGTTTCAAATTCGGTTGTTCATATTTCAGCTGAACATTTACGCTGACCTCTGATTGAAGCTAAAATGTTGACATACTTGCACAAAAAACATTCAAACCCTCTTTAATTTTGTGAGGTTTCATGCATGTCAAGTGTGAAACAACAAGCACTCGAAACCCAAGTATCAAATTAGTGTTTCATGCACAACAAAATTAACACTGTTTCAAAAATTTGTGCATGAAACCGGGTAATGACACAGTTTCGTATTATAAGATTCATGAAACATCACATTTTTATTCTTACTTTTGATGATTAAAAATTGTTAGGATATGCAAAATCAACACAATTTCAGAAAATATCAGAGAAAAACATCACAAAAAACATTTTAAAAAATGTGATGTTTCATGAATCTTATAATACGAAACAGTGTCATTACTCGGTTTCATGCACAAATTTTTGAAACAGTGTTAATTTTGTTGTGCATGAAACACTCTTTTTGATACTCGAGTATAGCAAAGCACTGTTCAAATCTCAACTGTGATTGAAACTGATATTTGGAAGACTGTGAAAAGTGTTTGTGGTATAATCAAAGAACAAACTAATGTGTTTTGTTCAGGATAGGGTAAATCCTAAGTGGGTTTCTACAGAACACTCTACCAACCCGTTTTTGTTAAGAGTGTTAATGACAAAAATCTGTTTAAACTGTGAGCTTGAAACGGTTTTGAAGCAAAATTTTGACACTACCCGGCTTGAGTTTCAAAACAACTGTTTTTGTGCGGAACTCTGTTTTGAAGATTGTAAAAATGTTCCAAAAGTTTCAAGGTTCAACAAAAGAGGTTCCTAAATTTCAGTTTTTAAACTGAAATTTTCTGAAAATTCAGATTTAATTTCTAATGGTAATTTATTAGATTTTTTTTTGAAAATGTTTTTATTTAAAAATCTAAACTCACATGTGTCGCTTTGGCCCAATCATCCAAATTCTTCAAAAAATACTCAATTTCCGAAATACACATCGAAACTTCCAACAAATCAGTCGATTCATGTCTTCTTCTCAAATCCTTCCAAACCGCATCAGTCAATGCCTCTCGATTTTCCTCCAAAAACAATTTGAGTTTTGTAAGTTGTTGTTTGCGAAACTTGACGGATTTCGTTTCTCCGCTACGGAAAAATTTGCGTTGCGTTTCGACGAGTTCGGTGTAGGAAGGCATGGCTGAAAAAATTGAGAAGGGCTAGAGTTTGGGTAGAAATGAATGAGCATAGAAAAATAAAAATAATTGTTATCACGATAGAAAACTTGTGTATGATAAACAAAGATTTTTTGCAGTGTCTAGGAGGTTAGAATAGAACAAAACATTGAAACTTAATTTATCAGTTTGTCTTGTTTTCCACGTGGAAAACAACTAACTAACTAACTAAGTGATTAATTTGAGACAAAAAACAAAATTTGAAAAAAAAAAACAACAATTTTGGTCAATCAAGGTCAATTTACACAGTGATTTTTTATAGGATTTTTTGTTGGGAAAATAGGGAAAATATGAGAAGTTACGAGAAAACAACTTTGTTATTAAGGTATTTTTTTCACAAATGTTCAGGGAGTTAGAGAAAATTGTCATCTTTTTCAAATGTGGTCTATGTTGACCAGAAAAAAAAAACTATTTTTCGGAAGAAAACACTTTGGCCACACTCTAGTCTGGTTCGATAGGAATGTTTGTTCGATTTTTTCTCGGGGAGAGCGAGAGAGAACATTATTTTTGTGAATCACGAGAACAAAATTTGTAGATAAATTTTGAGTTGATTAATGTGAAGTTTAAAATTAACATAAAAAGGTTCTGGATTTCAAACTTATATAGGAATCGAAATTTGAGCATGAAAAATCGAGTTTTCCACGTGGCTTTTGCCTGATATTCAAATTTTTATTGAATTTTTCAGATATAAAATACAGTTTTTGTTTTTCAAAGAGGAATAGAAGTTTTAAAAATTTTCTAAGAATAAATAACTTTTCTACCACAAATTCAAAATTTGCGACGTGGATTCTGGGCCCAAAAATTTTTTTTTTCATTCTCGAAAATCAAACATCAGAATTTTTTATCTCGAAAATAACATACCTTCACTATAGTCTGGTGCTCAAGTTTTTCTTTCAAAAAAATTTAATCACCTAATTCTTTTTCAAAAAAAATGACTTGAATTGTTTCGATTCACGACTATAATGTGGCAGTAAATTTGAAATCAAGAAAAAATTGATGATTTGAAAAATACTAAAATTTCATGGTCAAATGACCTCTAACTTTTTTTCGAACAAAATTTTGAAAACAGAAAAATTCCAGTTTTCTAGACAGTAAATAAATAAGTTGTTTTTTTCTGACGAAAAATAAAAACTGAAATTTTCGGAAAATCAAAAACAATTTTATAGGCTTCGAAAAAACTTCCATGAAAAAGTTCGGAACAAAAAAATCCATTGTTGACCACAAGAAATTTGATATATTTTTTCTAGAAGTTTTTTTCGCAGTAATAATTTTATTTTTTGATATTTTCATTTTTCGGCGAAAAGACAAAAACTGGTTTTTTCGGCTGGTAACTAACGAAATTTTAGGCTTGCAAATAAAATAATTGTTGTTATTTGGGATTTTGGAGTGTTTTTTTGGTAAAGTTGTAGACACTTTTTCTTGCAAAATATAAAAGAAAAAGGCTTGACAATTCGAAGAAAACTAGGTAATTATGGTGAGAAAAATTATTGTTTTTGAAAAAATTTCGGCGGGGAAAAATAGAGTTAGAGGATGTTGTGACGTGGAAATATTTCAGATTCAAACTTTTCTGAAAAAATTTCACTGCCACGTGGATTTTCTGGCGGCCAAAATATTGAATAAAAATTTTCAATTACCAAAAAAACCTCAAACTACAATTTTTCACCTCCTTTTAACCGTCTCACAAAAATCATCATGCACTTTTTTGTTCAAAATTTTGTTTGAAAAAAACATACAATTATCTCACATCATCACATTATGAAACAAAAACAAGTCGAAAAAACATGCACTTTTTTGTCTTTGATCAAATTTTTCAACAGAAAGGGAACTCCAAAAAGGACCGGTTTTGACTCGAAAAAATAAATATTTGAAAATCTCTGACGAAAACAGAATCGAATTATTTTTAGATTTGAACTTGAGAAAAAACTCTATTTTATAGGGTAAAAAATACAGAAATTATCGATTGAAAATTCGCAATTCCAGTCCGATTTTTCACTTTGTTCTTGGCATTTTGAAAACCGGCTGAAGTTCTTCTTCATCTTGATCTTCTGGTTCGACAGCGGTTTCTTGGAAGATTTTTTTGGGTTGCGTTTTTCGATAGGCTTTGTCGATGTACAGCGGATTTTCTTCGGCCTGGAATTAATTTTTGAAAATAAAATGGGATTTTTAAGGAGTTTGGGGTTGGAAATCTGAAAAGTTGTGGGAATTGGAAAATACTTTTTTTGGAAATTCAAAACTTCAGGGTCACACTTTTTTGGCTTCATTATTTTTGTTTCAAAAATCCAACTCACATCTTTAGCATGTTTCAAAATACTAGCTCGAACATCAGTATCTCTCAAAAATTCGGCATTTCTCGCAGTTCCAATTTGTTTCGCCAAATAACTATGCAAACTTCCACCACTTGCCGCAACTCGACCATTTGCGCTTTTTCCATTAATTGGCATATCAGCTGGTTTACGGAATTCGGGACGTAATTTGTTATCTTGCATTCGGAGATATTTTTTGAGTCTCCAAGCTGTGACCTCTTTTTCTTCACCTTCTTCACCACGTGGTTGGAACATTTCGAGACTGAGAGCTGAAAAAACAAGAGTTATGACGTGGCGATTTAGAAGAACATTGAAGAACTCACGTGATAAAACCATATCCTCGCGAACCACTTCAGCCGCTCGATTTCTCTTCAAAGGCTTCGTCACACATGACATAACTCCTCTCGACGAAATACTTTGATCGTAATAAATATGAATAGTTCCATCACTCAACCCGCATAAAATTTGATTTAATCTCGGATGCCAAGTTATTCGATGACAAGAAACTCCAGGATAATCGATTTTATAAACCAAATCAAATGTTTGTGGATCGAAGAACATCAGAGAACCCGGAGTTTCGCGATTTGGTGAAGAAGTTCCGGTAAACACCAGCTCTGCTCGCGGTGAAAATCCACAATCTGTCGATTTGAATCCGTTTTCCAATCCAGTCTTGACTAGAATCGCATTTTTATTATTATCCATGCTCCACATTTTCAAAGTATCATCAAAGCCACGCGACAAAATTCTTCGAGAATCTGGTGAAAATGCAATTGAAGTGATCGATCCATTATGAGCATTTCGTACAAGATAATTAACATTAACATATTGCGAACCGTATTTCCAAGCCTGTATACTTCCATCATCACAACCTGCAGCAATCCATTTTCCATCCGGGGAATATGTGCAAACTTGTGGGCTAACACGTTTTCCGTTTGCTCCCTTAGTTTTGATAACTTTTCGATGTTTATTAATACATTTTGTTATAACTTTATGATCTTCCAAACTCCAAATTCGCAAAGATCCATCATCACTGCAAGATAAGAATTCGCTCTTGTTCAAAGGATTGAATTCGACGCAATTAACTGTGGCGGTATGACCTTTTGTAATGTTAAGATCGACAAGATATTGATCACCACGAACAGTTTCAGACCATTGTTTTCCAGCACGATCTAAAAAATAATTATATACAAAATCAAACTATAACATTTTGAAAATGAAATCGCTCACCAAGCAATCTGATAACTGCTTCACCACTGGCTACAACTAAGGTTTCACCATTTGGTGAAAACGCCATTGAATTGATAATGTGACTTTCAGCAGGTAAGAGTTCTTTATCACATCTCATTGACATGTCCATTTTTTGAAAATCGAATAATTTTACATAATAATCTAGACCGCCTGTGGCAAATCGAACTCCTGCTGGTTCAACTCGCATCGCGCTGATTCCTTGTGTGCCATGCGTGATTTTTGCCTCGCAAGCTGCCGGAATCAATTTTATCGTTGAAACCGCTTCCGATTCATCGAAATCACTATCCCCTTCCTCATCATCCTCTTCCACGTCTTTGCTGCTACTTGGCTCCTCTTTTTTCTGCCCGAAGTTTGGTGGAAGCAATGGCATAAAATCGTCGTCGTCATCGTCGGCTTCAGAAACTGCGGAAGATGAGTTTTCCGAGTGTGAAGGGAAGTTTGTTGATGAGCTTGGAAGTTCGGCGGATTTTGGAGCGTTTTGCAAAGTTTGTTTCATCATTTCGTTGAGGTCGAAAACTCGTGCACGTTTTCCAGCATTTTTTGATGGTGCGTCTGACATTTTCACCTGAAAACTACCACGATTTTTGAAACGAACACTGACAAGGGAAGTGTATAAGGTCCCGGAATAAACTTTTAATGATACTTGGTACACATATAGATTCGAACTCGCTGATCTCGAATTCGTTTTCAAAAATTGCCACAATTGCACCCAAGACGAGTTTTTCACCATCGAAAATGCGCCATATTTCTCATTGTTTCATATGTCAAACATTTGCGGGCAAGAAAAATAACAGCGGATGGCAGAGTGGTTAGCGATCTCGACTTTAAAATTTTAGGTTTCGGGATCGGTCCCGGCCCGTGGCGAACTTTTTTTTCAAATTTTTTTATTTTTTTTTTCAAAATTTTTTCGAAACCTGTAAAGATGCCTACGTACCGACTTTGAATTATAATTTTTTGTCATCATTTTTTTTTCGTTTTTTTAAATTCTCGTTCAAAATGTTACCTTCTGAACAAATTTTGCACTTCGTAATGGGTAATTTCAATGACAATTGTACAATCCCAAGAAAGTATGTCTCCCGCGAGAACTTCAAAAAGTTCCTAACGGAATTATTGATGTTTTGCGTAGTGTGGACATCAACGAAATTATAGTTGAAAACGATGAAATTCTGGAACGAATTGAAGATGATCCACCGGATGAAGGTAACTTGGATAGCTATAAATATGAAAGCTATAAAAATAAATATGAAAGATCGTCTTCAATTCGTTCTTTTTTTTGAAAAAAAAATAAAAAAATTTGAAAAAAAAGTTCGCCACGGGCCGGGACCGATCCCGAAACCTAAAATTTTAAAGTCGAGATCGCTAACCACTCTGCCATCCGCTGTTATTTTTCTTGCCCGCAAATGTTTGACATATGAAACAATGAGAAATATGGCGCATTTTCGATGGTGAAAAACTCGTCTTGGGTGCAATTGTGGCAATTTTTGAAAACGAATTCGAGATCAGCGAGTTCGAATCTATATGTGTACCAAGTCTCATTAAAAGTTTATTCCGGGACCTTATACACTTCCCTTGTGAAAGAAAAACGAACGAAAAAAAAAAGAAAAATTCGAAATCAACAAACAAGCAAACGCGCCCCATCGCTAACTGGCTATTTGCCAGCGGCTCCTCGCGCCAAGACGCCAGCCAACCGTACTCAATGTTGCCTCGTCACCTTTGAATTTTTTTCTCTGCTCCCTCCGCTTTTCAGTTGTTTTTTTGTGGGAAACGTGTAAAAATCAATTTTGGGTCGAATTTCCATAAATTTCACAATTTTTCGATATTGCATGAAATCGCCGACTATTTATTGGCCATCTTAAATGCTGATATCCTTGAAAATTGACCTGCAAACTTGATTTTTTGATATTTTTAGGATTTATCATCTTTTTTCTCCCTTTTTCGTACAGTTCGCGCGTAGAATTTGAGCGTTGCGTCCTTGTTTTCCCACACTCACACACCTGTCTTTTCTTTAACACATTTCTCATTACATTCTGCAAAAAGTTATTGTATTTAGGTAATAGGTGCCTAGTTGCACTTTATATTTATTGCGATGAGTGCTCCACCAGCAGCAGCGGCAACTGCCGGCGATGATGCCACTGATAGAAATGTCGAGATGTGGAAAATTAAGCGACTTATCAAAAGCTTGGAACTTGCTAGAGGGTAAGACTTCAAATTTACGAAAAAAAACCATGACCTAATCCTGATTTTTATAGAAATGGTACATCTATGATTTCATTGATCATTCCACCAAAAGATCAAATTCCAAGAATCCAGAAAATGCTTGCTGATGAATACGGAACTGCTTCGAATATTAAATCTCGAGTCAACAGGCTTTCCGTTTTGGGAGCTATCACTTCTGTACAAGGAAGACTGAAATTGTATAACAAAGTACCACCAAATGGACTTGTCGTGTATTGTGGAACAATTATGACTGATGAAGGAAAAGAAAAGAAAGTGAATATCGATTTTGAACCTTTCAAAGCCATCAACACTTCTTTGTACCTTTGCGACAACAAATTCCACACCGAAGCTTTGCAAGGATTATTGGCTGATGACAACAAGTTCGGTTTCATTATTATGGATGGAAACGGTTGTTTGTTCGGAACACTTCAAGGAAATACTCGTGAAGTTCTTCACAAATTCACTGTCGATTTGCCAAAGAAGCACGGTAGAGGAGGTCAATCTGCTGTTCGTTTCGCACGTCTTCGTAATGAAAAAAGACACAATTACGTAAGAAAAGTAGCTGAAAACGCTGTCGAAATGTTCATCAAAAACGACAAAGTCACCGTCGGAGGTCTCATTTTGGCTGGTAGTGCTGATTTCAAGACTGAACTTGGACAATCTGATATGTTCGATCAAAGACTTCAAGCGAAAATGATCAAAACTGTGGATATCGCTTATGGTGGAGAAAATGGTTTCAATCAAGCTATTGAACTTGCCGCTGATACTTTGGCCAGTGTGAAATTCATCCAAGAAAAGAAGTTGATCGGAGGATATTTCGATGAAATTAGTCAGGATACTGGAAAATATGTATTCGGTGTTAAAGATACATTATCAGCTTTGGAAATGGGAGCCATCGAAACTTTGATTTGCTGGGAAAATTTAGATATTGTTCGATATAAGTTGAGAAATTCAAACAATGAAGATATTTTGTTGAATTTACGACCAGATGAAGAGAAAGACAAATCTCATTTTACTGATAAGGAAACTGGGCAAGATATGGAAATTATTGAAACTATGCCACTTCTTGAATGGTTTGCTAATAATTATAAGGTAATTTTTCGAATGAATTCAATGTTTTCAAACAAAATTTCTGTTTAGAACTTCGGAGCAAGTCTCGAAATTGTCACTGATAAATCGCAAGAAGGAGCTCAATTCGTACGCGGATTCGGAGGAATTGGCGGGCTGCTTCGTTATCGTGTAGATTTGACACATCAAGACTTGGATGACGAGCTTGATAACATTGACCTCGACGATTATTGACCACGGGCGGCAGTGGTTAGCCATTGGGCATATCTTTTTCTTCATTTCTTTTCTCTTTTTTCTATTAAACTAGTTGCTAAAAAATCTTGTTCTTCTAAATCTTCTCACCCTCTTCTCTCTGAAATTTTTGCGCCCATTAGCTTTACCTACTGCCGTTCGTTATTCTCGTCGTCTGTTGTTATCGTAACTCGATCAGTGGACAATGTCCGAAAGTGGTTCAATTGTTTGCTGCCATCGATCTATGATACCGCCTCGTTGACCGATTTGCTCGATGACTTGATGTTATTGAAAAACTCGTTTGCCAACCGGGCACTACTAACTGACTTTAATTTTGTCCGGTGCGAGGTAAATTTTCATTTATAAATATTGGAAAATTATGAAATCTTGATTTTTTTCAAACGTATTTTCTCGTCAATTAGTTCGCTAATTTATTAACGAAATTTCTCCAAAACAAAACTTGAATTTTGATTTTTCGGTAAATAATTACTATTGACCTCTAAATTCTAAGTTAAAAATCAATAGTCTGTGTTTTCTGTGCCCACTTTCTATTTATTTGTTCACGTATTTGTGTCTAGATACACTACAAAGTCGGGCAAAGTACAACACATTTTTTATCATTTATTTTAGTTTCTGATTCCAAATCAAAAAATCGAACGATTTTCCGATAAATCATGAAAATTGTTTCATTTTTACAGGTAAAGGTACGGGTGGCAAACACACTCGATAATTCACTCGGATTTGAACATCAAGCGTTTATCTAGTGTTTTTCAAATAAATCTTTCGGTATTTCTCATTCATCTTTTTTTTGTATTCCCCAATTTTATTTTCTAAATAACTTTCTGGACAAAAATCATTGCTAAAATCCCCATATTTCTCTGTTTTTCTTCTTTTTTTGCAACTGGTGAAATGTTTGTTAATGAATTCTCTTATTTCGTTTTTTTGTGATTTTGGAAAGGTTATCATTCCATTTTTCCGTTTTTTCTTATCGTCGCGAAAATTTCTCTTTGAGTGAGAAAAAAAATAATTTTGCAGAAAAATGGTGGAAAATAATGTTTTAATAATTACGGGAGCCGCTGTCGTTGTTTCAAGTGTTGCTATTCTCTATTTTTTGAATCGAGGAACTGGGAAGAAGGTGAATATTTTAGGGAAGTTTGGGAGATGATTAAAAACAAATTTTGAAGCTAATCCAATATTGTTACAATTCACGAAACTTATGAAAACACAAACTCGATTCGAACAACTGAAAACTGGCTTGAAAAGAGTAATTTTTCGAAGACCAAGTGCAAAAAATCAATTCAACTAACCTATATCAAAAAACCCTCTAAACATAGGCTTCTCATAATTTCGATAAGGTAGATTGAGAAAATTTGATATCTATGAGATTACCAGTTTTTCCACCGTTCTGAGAATAATTATCGATTTTTCGCAGCATCAAAAACGCACATTGCTCGACGAAAATGTGAAATATTCGCTGAAATTGGCTGAGAAAATCGAAGTTAGTCACGATACTCGAAAATTCCGATTTGCTCTCCCGTCAGCTGAACACGTTTTGGGTTTGCCAATTGGACAACACGTTTATTTGAGCGCCAAGGTGAGCGTGGATTTTTGGGTGGGAAATTTTGGAGAAATTACAAGGAGAGCTCACAAAATAACCTATTTTCTCGCCAGAATCCCAAAAACATGCTAATTTTCCCCAGGTCGATGGCAAATTGGTTGTCCGTCCTTACACACCAACATCTTCAGATGAAGATCATGGATTTGTTGAATTGATGATCAAAGTCTACTTCAAAAACGTCAATCCAAAATTCCCAGATGGCGGAAAAATGACACAATATTTGGAATCGCTTCAAATTGGCGATGAGGTATGATTTATTGGTTCAATTTTGAATTTTCCCACGAAACCCCCGATTTTCAGATTGATTTCCGTGGTCCATCTGGTTTAATTGTCTACAAGGGTCATGGTCATTTCGCTGTGAAAGCTGACAAAAAAGCTGAAGCCAAATCGAGACATTTCAATGAGGTTTCGATGATTGCTGGTGGAACTGGTGTTACACCAATGTTGCAGGTTGATTTTTTCACAGAAATTTGAAAAAAAAATTCGCTGACCTGAAAAATCAATTTTTTCTCAGCTTTCTTCTCCAAATTCAAATACCATTCTGAAATCTGAAACTGTATATTTTTCTCAATCAAACTTCCAAATTTTGCTCACCGATTTCTAGAAATTTCCAACTATGCTCCAATCTCAACAATTTACCAATTTTCTACTTTTTAAAAATGAAGAAGTTTTCCGAAATTGATCGGAAAATGTTAAATTGGGTCACGTTTTATTTTACGAACAAAAATTGGTTTTTCTTTCAAATTTTCACCTTTTTGATCACGCCTTGGAAATTTTCTGCCAAAATCAGTTTTTATCCAAATTTTCAATCCAAGTTCAGCTTAGGCCAAAGCCTAAACAAAGCCTGATTGTATCCCGAAAAAAAGCCTAAAGCTTAAAAAATAGATTTTTCAATCAGAGTTTTTTTTTCCAAAAGCCAAATCCAGTCCTAATTAATCCTATTTTTTCCCAGATAATCGCCGCAATTCTCCGCGATCCAACCGACACAACAAAACTCCGTCTTCTCTTCGCCAATCAAACCGAAGAAGACATTTTGTGTCGCCAAGAATTAGATGAACTCGAAAAACAACACCCAGATAGATTCCGTGTTTGGTATACTGTAGATCGACCACCACAAAATTGGAAATATTCCAGCGGATTTATCAATGATGAAATGATCAAGGTAAGCAAATTTTAAGAAAACTTGAAATCCCGAAAAATTTGCACTTTTTTGAAAAAAGTTCTTATTTTTTTTGTTTGGCAGGAAGTTTTGGTGACGGAGAAATTCGGTTGAATGATTTTTGGGCAGTTTTGATGAATTTTTCGGAGGAAATAGAGAGAAAAATAAGAAAAGTCGAAAGATGAAAAAACATTGACAGAGGAAGTCATACATCGCAATCTTCCCCTCTGAACCTCAAAGTGATACACCCTATTTCAAAAAAAAATTCGCGAGTGATACACCCTAATTTTTGTCTGGAAGGCGCAAGTCTTCCATTAAAAAAAATTTTTTTTTTGTTCTCAAAAAAAATTTAAAAATTTTGCAACACCATTGCACTTGGCAGGAATCGATCCAGCGACTTTCAGCGTTATAAGCTCGAGCCCTAACCACTGCGCCAAGCTTCCACTTTTCTTCCCATTCTTCTTTTTTAAAGATATGATTGGTGAGATGAGAGATAGAAAAGAGAAGAGATCATCAGCTTGAAAAAAATTTGCATATTTTCTGTGTGACAATTGTCAAAATAATACTTGAACGAGTAGAAGTTGAAACATGAAACTTGGCACACATAAAATTAAGCGTATTCTGAAGGATATTGAACAATAAAATCGGAGGGGCAGACCCTAGAACTCAAGGTGCACACCCTGTCCACTGAAGAGGCCTTTTTTGACTAGTTTAGGGGACCGGGTATGCACCTCACTTCTGAGTCATTATTTCGTGTAGAACTTTTTAGAACTTTATATTAGAGGAAATTTGCTAACTTTCTATTCAAAAATATTCTAGAAAACCTTACTAAAATGTCATTTCCTTGAGGGGTGAAAATGTGCATTTTTTACAAAAAAAATTTTTTTTATTGAAATTGAAGGAAATTCAAGATTTGATTTTCGTTTGTTCTTTAAATCAAACTACTGACTTAATTTGAGCCACTGAACAACGTGGTGGCCATCAATTTTTGATTTCCTCGATGGTCTCGAGTCGAAGATCGAGAGAAACATCCGAATTCCATCAATGTCAAAATCATACAAAATACATCGCGTTTCGATTCAATAATGATGTTTAGGATAAGGCATGCTCAAAATGAAGTGTTTTATCGGAAATCCAATAATAATATGCCATGAAAATCGATTTTTTGGGTCATAACAATTTTTCTAGATGGTCTCACTGGAACTATCGGAATAGATCTCACAATAAATGAAATTGTAGTATCAGAGTTGGAATTAATAAGCTAAATATATATATATATATATATATTAAGGCATAGGCTGAGTAAACTACTATTTGTGGCAAAATTGAAGTTTTCAAGTTAGTTTTGAAAAAACTGAAAATTTTCAGAATCAGCTTTAATGATCTGAAAGGCCACCACTAAAAAAGTTTCAGAAAATATCTCAGAATTGTATGCACTAGAGACCCAAATAGCTCAAAAAAAATTTGTGCCTGATTTGAAAAAGGTTAAGTGATTATCAGCAAAAATCAAAAGTATCCATCTTTTTGGCAATTGCTGTAACTCGTTTTGGAAAAGTTTCTGGTAGTATTTGAGGCCACCACGTTGTTCAGTGGCTTAAATTAAGTCAGTAGTTTGATTTAAAGAACAAACGAAAATCAAATCTTGAATTTCCTTCAATTTCAAAAAAAATTTTTTTTGTAAAAAATGCACATTTTCACCCCTCAAGGAAATACCATTTTAGTAAGGTTTTCTAGAATATTTTTGAATAGAAAGTTAGCAAATTTCCTCTAATATAAAGTTCTAAAAAGTTCTACACGAAATAATGACTCAGAAGTGAGGTGCATACCCGGTCCCCTAAACTAGTCAAAAAAGGCCTCTTCAGTGGACAGGGTGTGCACCTTGAGTTCTAGGGTCTGCCCCTCCGATTTTATTGTTCAATATCCTTCAGAATACGCTTAATTTTATGTGTGCCAAGTTTCATGTTTCAACTTTTACTCGTTCAAGTATTATTTTGACAATTGTCACACAGAAAATATGCAAATTTTTTCAAGCTGATGATCTCTTCTCTTTTCTATCTCTCATCTCACCAATCATATCTTTAAAAAAGAAGAATGGGAAGAAAAGTGGAAGCTTGGCGCAGTGGTTAGGGCTCGAGCTTATAACGCTGAAAGTCGCTGGATCGATTCCTGCCAAGTGCAATGGTGTTGCAAAATTTTTAAATTTTTTTTTGAGAACAAAAAAATTTTTTTTTAATGGATGGCTTGCGCCTTCCATACAAAAATTGAACCTTAGTGATACACCCCCTCAATTTAAAAAAATTGCAAAGTGATAGACCCTAATGGCCCCTGCAGGGGGAGCGATGCGATCTATGGAGGAAGTTCCACAAAATTTCACCAACAAAGTTCCTATTCAAAAATTTATCGAAAAAAGACAAAACTCTTTCCAGAATATCTATAAACTGAAAAATTCGAAATTTAAATCAAATTCTCTTCTTATTTTCCAGGCCAATCTCTTTGCTCCATCCGACAATTCGGTCGTTTTAATGTGCGGTCCACCACCAATGATCAATTTCGCCTTGACACCAAATTTAGACAAACTCGCCTATGATCCAGCAAATCGCCTTCTCTTCTAATCTTTTTTCTCTTGCATTCTTTCTTTTTCCCGGAAATTTTTAAAATTAGCTGAAGCGGAATCAAATTCAAGTCAATCATAAAATATGTTTATTTTTCTTTTTTTCAACAGATCTCCTAAAAGTTAGGCTAACTGAAAATGCCAAACTTGTTAGCCACAGCTTCCCAAGTCGCAAATTCGCTCTCAAATCTAAAAGCCAAATATATCAAATATTTGGAAAGTTTGTGCAACTCGAATGGCATTGATATTTCCACGCTGAAAAATGAGGGAACCTCACATTTTCTGCTGGAAATGTATTTTGGCGGATTGCCAGTTTTGGTGGGCTTGAAATATTTTTCGAATTTGAAATGTTTGCGATTATTTGGACAACAAATCATTTGCTTGAAACCGCTGGGTGAAATTGCACCAACTTTGGAGGAATTGTGGATTTGTGAGGGAGTGGTGAAGGTGAGCTGTAGATTTTCGGGAACCTTGAGAAATTTGGAGAATTTTGATAGTACATAAATATGACGTGGTTTGGGGGCGAAAATTTGGAGTACTGTAAATTTTGAATTTGTGGGGGAAATCATTTAATTTTGTTAGCTGAAAATAGCTGAATTTAAAAAAAGTTAACGTGAACCACGTCAAAAAATGTGGCATCCAAATCATTTCTGCAAAATTGTTATTTTGAAAATAATTTGAACAAAAAGTAAGTTAACAAAATTCGACCCGGGTTACTGTAGCTAGATTTTAGCGCTAGAATTTTTACTGTATTTCAAGGATTACTGTAGGGTAATTTTGAACGCAAGTTGCCAAACATTTAGGGTTTACTGTAGATCAAATCTTCAAATTGTAGATTACTGTACCTCTGAATTCAATTTTCCATTCAGGACCTAACTGGAATCGAAAACTGCATTCGACTCAAAAAACTATATCTCTATGAAAATTCGATTGAAGATGCTTATCAAATTCAAAATCTCATTTGCCTACAAGTTTTGGATATTTCTGAAAATCGCCTGAAAAATCTGCAATTTTTGCGGAACTTGAAGGATTTGACCAATTTTTCAGCGGCTGGAAATAAAATGAGAGATTCTGGTGAGAAAAAATCATGAAAGAAAATGTTGTGAATCTGAAATTAATTTCAGTAATAATCACAGTTGCCTGGCCGGAAAATATTCAACATTTGGACATTTCGGATAACTCATTTTCATCTTGCAAATCACTTTTTGGTCTCACAATTCTGCATTCTTTGCGAAGTTTACATTTGAATTTGGCGTTTTCGAATATTTCGATGAACTTATTTTTTTCTTGGATTTCGCACAGTTTTCGATTTTTGGAATCGATTGATGATGATAGATTGGCTGAATGTTTTGCTGTTAATTATAGAGTGAGTTATGGGGTACTGTAGGAGAATCTGGATTACTGTAGAACATTTTTCACAATTTTTTATTCAAAAAAAAAACGAAAAACAACAGTTGGAGACAATTAAATAAGTTTCTGAAATCACCCAAAATCAAAATTTAGCTGCCTTCAAATAGAAATATCAAAAACTGTATCTTCTAATGAATTAATTGCTTCGGGAACTGTATAAATTGAATATATTTTGATCAACATTATAAACTTTCGCAAACTTTTTTGATGTGAAATAGCCAAGTTGATATAACTTATAAGTTTGACAAATCTTGAAGGACCATCTCTTTTTCCATATTCAATCGAACAATAATTCAATAATATTTTTGAAAAATTTTGACGATTTTCCCAAATAATGTTTCTTGCTTCTTCTGATAAATCGAAAATTGGATCACAAATTGCTATAGCTTTTAGCAAACTATATTCAATATCGGTGATTTTCTGTTGAACTAAAAATCCCATAATATTTTGAGACGAATTTATAAGCTTCTTAAGGAAAGGCTCATTTTTTCTAAAAAAAAAAATAAATTCAAAAAAGTTTGGAAAATTAGAAACTCACTCTATATTCTTGTTTGTTTTTGAATTGAAGATTTTACATCTGGAAAATCTATTATTTGAGAAGAAAAACAACTATTTAAAAATCTCACGTATTTTTTGAATCAACATAATATCCATCTGGAGATTTGAAACAATCCGATTTATTTTGAAATGATGTAAATGCAATCATCATCGATTGTATAATTATTGTAACATGTTTTGCTAGAATAGTTTTATCATGAAATTTCAAAAATCGGAAAAATTCGAAAGTTTTCAAATATTCAATCGATAATAAAATGTCAAATTTCATCCAAAGTTTTCTGAAAAAAATATCAAAATAAATTTTTGAGATTTCCGAAAACTCACGTCGTTATTGACTTATCTGCAATTATTTGATCTTGCAATTTCGAAAAAGCCTCATTCAGTTTTAGTTGTTGTCCTCTAAATTCTTCCAATGTTAACGGCCAACCTGGCATTGGCTGAAAATAATTTTTTAAAAATTAAACGGTAATATTCATCGTACCTTTGATTTTTGTGCCCAGTGAAGAATACTTGGAGCATCTAAAAGTTGCTCGAATGTTGGGAATATTATTAGATTATAAGTTGAATTTCGAAGTTTCAAAAGTTGAGAATCGAGATAGGATAAGTTGCAAATAATATTCTTACAATGATTTGAAAATTGAATAAGGATTCGTGAATTTTCAGGATCTTCTTTATTTTCCGATCCTTGGGGATGGTTTTTAGAAGCCATTTAATGAATGACAATTTTAATTTTTTTTTTTTGATTTTTGAATCTTAAGAAAAAAAATAAATAAAAAAGTGTGATAGGATAATTTTTCTTGAGGGAATTATTTAAATGAAGTCATAAGATTGGATGATCTGGATTTGGCTGGAATTTAGAAAAAATATTCTTTTCACTACAAAAATTTTGAATTTCTGTTACACTTGGTGGTAAAAATTTTGCAATATTTTTTCCGAACAAAAATCCATAAGTAAAAGCAAGAAACTACGAGATCCATAAACTTTTTCGGTTTTTCAGCCCATGATTGACACAATTTTCGCCGATAAAATTTCTCGAATCGCAAAAATCAATGAGAAAATCACAAAAGATTTGCGACTCGCTGAAAAACATTCGACAAAAATTGAGAATCGATTAGCTTGTTTGGCAGAAGCATTGGCTGTTTTTCGAGATTCGATGCAGACAAAAGATGCGAAAAAAGAGATTGTGAAAAGGGTTCAGGAAATATGTTCGAATAATTCGAAAGCTGTCAAGAGTGTTAAAAGTGAGTTAGAATAAGTACACATTTTGAAACAACTTATTGATTTTTTTGAGTTTTCATGATTTCACTGAAGCTGAAATTCAATATTTCTTCACCTTGCAGCCCGATTACTGTAGTCTTTCTGAACCTGAACTGTATTTATCTTGCAGGAACCTCAACTCACATAAAATATATCCCCAACGTCATCTTCAATTTTCCAGAAAACTACAACACCCTTTGTGAATTCTACCGTAGTTTGGCCAAATACCGTATCGCTTGTGAAATGGAATCTTGTCAAACTTTTGAACTTCGAGATGCGACTGAAGATGAGATTTTGGTATTCACACAAACTTTGAATTATAATTGCTCGATGAAAAATTGTTATGAGGTGAGTGAGGTTTTTTTCATAATTTTCAAGTTTCACCAAATTCTTCTTCCAGATAAATATAAAATCTTGCTCAATTGTGAATGAGATTTCGAAACCTGAAACTGAAAAATTGTTTATTTTGGAGAAAGATGCGAATGATCAACTCTTCGAAAATCGATCGATTTTTCAACTTCTCGACAGATTTTCCCGCGCAAATTATATGTTTTCGAATAATTCGGTGAAAATTATCAGGGATTTCGAGATACTCAAAAAACAATCAAAAGATAAAACTATGGTTTATTTTTTGCCGCTAGTTTTATCAAAAATGTCAAAAGGAGGTGAAGATGGAATCGGAAATTCGAATGAAATTGGATGGAAGGATATTAAATTGTGCGCGATTTTGGCGGTTGAGATTCATCCGGTTGGACAATTGACGACGGATCAATTGAGGTGGGCAATTTTTAGGGAAAAATTGGGATTTGAAGTGACATGTGGATTTGAAGTTTTTAAATTTTGTTAAATTTTTAAGAAATTGAGATTCAAGCTTCGAAGTCCGTCTCAAGTTTCAAGCTCAAAATTTGACAGTTATTTTTATTAAAAGTTTCTAGTTTACTTGATGATTAATATTTGCTCTACAAGTGTGCAAAAACCTCTGAAAATCTCTCTGGTAACAATTCCTAGAAAATTGGTTTCTAGAATTTGGATTTCCCCAGAATTCAATTTTGACGCAATTACCTAACATTTGTATTTTGAGCTCTACATTTTTATATTTCTTTTTCCAAAACAGAACTTTGATCCCTTCCAGAGAGATTCTGCTAGATCTCAAAAATCATCAAAACCATTTGCATTCAAAAAAATGCAATTCAAAAAATCAAAAGCCATATATTTTTCATTTATTTCCGGTTCCTCATACAAAATTTTGTAGTTGATTTATTATTCCGACACGAGATAAAAGCATCTGAAAAACAAGAAAAATCTCATTTCTCATACATCAAAATTTGAGATGGATCTTGTATTCAAATACGGTGGTGTTTTGAATATTCCTGATTATAATTGCTCAGCTTTGCCTGAAAAAGATCGAGTTGGAATGAAAAGGCCGTACCTTGGTACCATTTCAATTGTCTATGGGATCATAGCAACTCTTCTATTCCTCCCATGTCTCAAAGTTTGCCTAACTCCAAATCTCATCAAACTTTCTTGCTATAAAATCATGTTTTTTGTGGGAGTTGTTGATGTTGGAGCCATTTTCATGTGCTCGATTTTAACTGGATGGTTGGCTCTTCATGGGGCCGTATTTTGTAATTACCCGAGGATGATCTATTATTTTGGGGAGTTTGGATTGTGTGCGTGGCTTTGCTCGTGTTTGGCGAATATTTTATTGTTGATCAATAGAATTTTGAATTTCAAAAGTCCTAATTTAGCAGATACTATTTTTGAGGGCCGAAAAACTATTTATCTTCTAACTCTTCCTGTAATCTATGGATTGTATTCAGCGATTTTCACCAGAACTATTTGCTTCAACTCAACTTATTATGCTTGGTTTTTTGATCCATTTATTTTCCCCGATAATCGATATGATTATTCGAATGATTTGCATAGTTTTAATAACTTGGCTGTTGTGATTTGCACTTGTTTTTTGTATATGTATGTTGGATTTATGGTGATTATTCAGTGGGGGAAAAGTGAAGTTCAGAGTTTTTCAAAGAAGGTTGGTTTCCTATAGGAACTTTTTGGATTGTAAAAAAAATATGTTTGTAAAATATCGCCTGTCGAATTCTCACACCCTGAACTTATTTCAGTTTTACTCTAACAGTATAATGTATCAATCTCTAATAATATGTGCTTTGGATCAAATCTCATCGGTAATCTACGTGGCAATGAATTATATGACACTTCCACCAATCACAACTATTATTGCACAATTTTTCTGGCAATCTGCCCACGCTTTTCCAGTCTTCACATATTTGACAATGAATGCGACGATTCGACGTGGATTTTTCAACATTTTCAAACAACAAGCTGAACCTCTTGAATCGGAAAATGCTGGAACTACGACTACACCACATAATGCTATTAATATAATTCAAATGTAGATTTTTTTTTGGATTTAAATAAAATGTGATTTTGTGAGAAAAAAATCTTGGAAAAACCTTGGTGTGGCTTTCGAGCACAAAAATTTAAATTATTTTTGAACAAAAGTTTCAAAATCCACGTGGAATGTTGTTGTCAAAAAGTATTTCGGAATCAGGAATGAAAAATAACTTTACACTCCAAATTAAGGGGTATTTAGATGTTTTGGGCATGAATTTGAGAAACCATAACTCCACGTGTCAAAACTTAGTTTATATCTGGACTTTTAATGTGTTAAATCAGCCTCTTTAAGAATTTTCTATTCTATTCCAGGTTCATGGATAAGTTCGAAGAATCTTGGGCAGAACAACTGAAAAAATTGTCCGATATGAATATTCGATTAGACATCAAAGATGAGAGACGAAATAAATACGAAGAAACAACTGAAGCATCGCTAGAAACAATCAATAATCAGACATCGTAGGTTCTCCTTTTTTGTATTTTTCTGAAAACTGTAAAATTATTCCAGGAAAGTTCGTAAAGTGTCTGACATCACTTCAAACATCAAACTTTTATCCGGTCGAATTTCTGATGAAAAAGTGATATTTGATTGGTTCTCAATTCGAAATCCTCTTGAAATAATGCTCGCATATTTCGATTGTTCTAGAATTCTCAAAGATTCAAATGATCTATCAATGCGGGTTACTGTACTGGATTTATCAGAAATGAAGTTAACAAAACTTGCTGGAATTCAAGAAATGGTTAACGTCCAATTTTTATCGTTGCGCAAAAATAAGCTAACATCGCTTAAAAAATTGAATCGACTTCCACTTCTTAAACTTCTTGATGTTTCTTCGAATCATATTTCGAAACTCGAGAATTTACCAAGTTCGATTATTTATTTGGATGTTTCATCGAATCGATTGCAGAATTTGGCATTTTCTCAAAATTTGGCCAATTGTAGACATTTGAAATTATCGAAAAATCAAATAAAATCGATGAAAGGATTAGAGATTTGTGGAGCTGCGGAGATTTTATTTTTGAATGATAATTTGTTGAAAGATCGAAATGAGATGGAAATTTTGAAAGTAAGTGGGAATAATTAGATGAATTTAGATAATCTGAAACACTACAGTAATCCTATTTTTATATCCTACAGTACTTCTTAAAATTCATTTTCCAGAACATGCCCAAATTAACCCACGTGGATTTGTCACAAAATCCAATAAGTCAAATGGATGGATATAAATCGAAAATTATGCAAAATGCCCAGTTTTTGATATCGCTTGACAGACAATTGGTGAGTTTTCGCGCGAATTTCAAAACTCCACTTTTTTTTTCAGATTCCGGTTGAAGAACGACATATTTCTACATCAAAACAAGCTTCGAGAGGACTGAGTTTGGAACTTATTGATAGAATGTGAGTTATTTTTTCTTCAAAAAAAATTTGAACACTTTTTGCAGATGTCCTGAATGGAAATCCAAACAAGAACTAATGATAGTTGATCAGAAAATCGAGCAAATAATTCTCGAAAAATCGCAACTCGAAGAGTTATCGCATGTTCGACTAATGGATTTATCGAAAAATAAATTGTCAAGTGTCAAAGAAATTCAGACATTGAATATAACAAGTCTGGAATTATCTGAAAATTCGCTGAAAAACATTGCAATTTCGGGAGATTTTGAGGTTTTTCGGAATTTGGAGAATTTGAATATTTCGAATAATTCAATTACAAATACCACTTTGATTCGATTAGGATTGAATTTGTTGGCCAAATTGAAGAATATTGATTTGTCTGTGAACTGTTTGGTAAAGTGAGTGAGATGTTTAGAGAGTGGAAACTTTGGGACCAAAATTGAAGGAAAATAAAAACCACGTGTGAATTTTCAGATTCGACTGCAATTTCTTCGATCTCCCATCTTTGGAATCAATAGATTTGAGTAGTAATAACCTAATCAAAACAATTGTTAGAAGACCATTGAAAAGTGTCACAAATCTATACCTTCAAAATAATCGATTATCAACACTTTCCCCACTTTCCTGCCCGAATTTAGTTGTTCTGAATATTTCGAATAACAAGTTAGCGTCTTGTGCTTCCCTGAAACCACTAACTGAAACGAGAAATTTGCAAATTTTGGATTGCCGCAATAATTCAGTGACTGAGAGAAGAGTTTATGTGGATTTTATAAAATCACAAGTTCCATCAGTTATTCAATTAGATGATGAAAAAATGAATGATGAGATTGAAATGACTAGAAGAAGATTATCGAAAGCTATTGATTTGAATTCGATGTCAAGGAGGAATAGGTAGACATCAGAGATTGAATTTTGGTTTTGAAAAACATTTTTTTGTAGCATGGTAACTTCCTCAATGCTATCCTGGTTTGAAAAACAAGAATCGGAGATGTTGGAAATACCAAGGTCTACCAGTTTTTTGGAAGAGGCACCTAGGAAATCGGGAATTCGTTTGGAACCTATTAAGGGGCGGAAAATCAACGATTCAGAGGGTTTTATGCTTTTTGGCACGAAGATTCAAAGACATTCGAAGAAATAATTGAATTTTGTGATCTGATGTTTTTTAGATTAGTGAAAAAGCTTCTTCACAATTTCCAGATGTGGAAAAAAAAGATTTTATATAAATCAATCTGGATTGAAAAGGTGAATCAAGTTTTTAAAAGTCTCTTATCGTTTTACGCAACTTGAATGAATTCTCTCTCAATCTACACAGATTCAAATACAAAGATAAAGCAGTCACAGGGCTTCGCACTTATTTCTGATCGAATCGAAACGTTTTAGAATATCAAAAAATCATGCGAATATTACTAGTTTTAATTTATTGTATTTTGGCATTTGTTATTATAACAATTTATAAAATGATGAATCAAACATCAGAAAACAATTCATATCTCGATTTCTATGGAGAAACTTTGGATCTTCGAAGAGATTTTGAAAAAGCGGATAATCAATCATTGATAATTGTCATAACACCAACATATTATAGACTTACACAATTACCTGATATGACAAGGTGAGCAAAATATTACGTTGACTTTTTGAAAAACTAGAATTTTGAGAATGGCGAATACTTTGATGCATGTCAAAAATCTTCATTGGATTGTGATTGAAGATGGAGAAAAGAAAAATGAAAATATTGAAAGTTTATTGAAAAGATCTAATATTTCAAATTCATATTTCACGTTTAAAACTAAACCAGGATATCCAAGTAAGTTTTGAGTTTCCAATTATTTTTTAACAAAACAAAAATTAGAACGAGGTTGGTATCAAAGATCAATGGCTTTGACATTGCTTCGGAGAACTGAGTTCAATAATACAAATGCAGTTGTGTTTTTTGGAGATGATGATAATTCTTATGATATTCGCTTGTTTACCGAATATATCAGAAATGTTAAGAAACTTGGAATGTGGGCGGTTGGTAAGTTCATTTTTTCAATTTTTAAAACTATTTTAAAGTTCACCAAAATTTTTAGGACATGCTGGTGGTGGAATTGCTGCCAACCTTAATGTAGTAAAAGGAAAAGTGATTGATTTCGATGTTTCTTGGGGAGAATGGCGAAAATTTGGTATAGATATGGCTGGATTTGCAATTCATCTTGATTTTGTTCTCAAAACGGATGCAATTTTTCATGGAAAAATATGTGGACGGCGTACACCGGAAACTTGTTTATTAGAAGAAATGCATTTTTCGAGAGATGATATTGAACCATTTGGTTATGAAACAAATGTATGTAAAAATTAGTTTTCAAAAAATGTTATCCGAAATTTTACAGGGAGCGCGGGAAATCTATGTTTGGCACACTCAAACTATTCAACCATCAATTCTATCAAAAAATAAAACGATAATCCGGAAAATTACAGATTATTTTCAAATTTAATGAATATTTTACAAAGATAGTTTCAAATGAAGACGGTTGAAAAATCGCAGATTGTGGAAAAATATTCTCCAGGGAGATCAAAAGTTCAACGATTATTTCAATTAATTGTACATTGTTAGAAAAGAAAACAGGAAAATGTTCTTATAAAAATTGCATGAATGATGAAAAATTGAGATATCGAAATCGTATTTTGTATGGATTGAACAAAAAAATTTTGGAATTATCTGGGGAATTTTGTAAATACCAAATTCTCAAATTGGAAAAAAATTTAAACACATTTTATATACAATTGTCTGATTTTTTGAACAAACAAAGGTTAATCTTTATTTGGAAAATTTTTCAAAACAATTTCTGTAGCAGAAAAACCAAACTAGAAAAAATAGTTGTAAATCTTTAATTTTCAGAATTCTCCACAACATTTTCAACCCTAAAACCTTCGAATTCCCCAAATTTCTCCTCACAAAAAAACCCAAAAAAGAAAGTAAAACTACAAGACTCCGCCTGCTGCCTGGTGTGTGCAGTGGAGCACACTTGCAACATAAGCATTTTTCCAAAAAACAATTTTTTTCAGCGTTTTTTTGTTTGCCGCGTGGCAACTCAGCTTTTAAATGTAGGTTTTTTTTTAAATTTCGAGTTAAATTTGCCAATATTTGAAAACAATTCAAAATTTCCCTTTCTATCTCGATTACATTTTAATCTCTGATTCACACAAAAACTTTTTCTGCTTTGTTTTTTTTTGCGAAAAAAAACTGAAAAGTACTACTGGTGAGTACTTTTGCAATAAAACAAACAGCAGTTTTTATCGATTGAGTACTTTTCACATCTTTTATTGTTGTTTTTAGAGAATGATATGAAGGGTGTTTTGTTTGGCGCGTTGGTTTTTGTCACCTCGCTTCTCGGCGCGATTTTTCTGCTTTTCCCGTTCATTCCCCTAGCATTTTTGGCACCAAAATTATGGCGAGAAGTGGCAGATCGATTGGTGGGATATTGGTTGACTTTTCCATGTGTAAGTTGTTTTGGGGAGGTTTCAATTGATCACATTCGATCATTTACAAAATAATTTTGCAAATAAAAATTGCAGAGCTTGGTAGAATGGGTGTTTGGTGTGAAATTCCGTGTGACTGGCGATTTGATAGATCGAAATTCTCCAGCCATTTTCATAATGAATCATCGAACTCGTCTAGATTGGCTTTTCCTATGGAACGCTCTTTATAAAATGGATCCATGGCTTCTGACAACCGAAAAGATTACCCTGAAATCACCGTTGAGAAATATACCAGGCGCGGGTTGGGCGATGAGTTGTGGTAGTTATATTTTTCTGAATCGCAATTTCGAGAACGATCAGCCGAATATGACGAGGATTATTAAATATTTTGTGGAGACCAAGAAGAATTATCAGGTAATGAATGATTTTTTGCGGAAATTTTTTGACTAAAATTATCTCCGAAAAATTTAAAATTCAGAAGTTTATTCAAAAAATTATCTCAAAATTCAAAAAGCACAATTTTTTTACATTATCAAGTTCATAAAATCCATTTTTTCATATCTAACCTCTTTCAGATTCTATTATTCCCCGAAGGAACTGACAAATCCGACTGGGCCAACGAGCGAAGCCACAATTTTGCCGAAAAAAACGGGCTCACCAAATTCGACTATGTTTTGCACCCACGAACCACCGGGTTTTCGATTTTTGGTGGATTTGATGAAAAACGAAAAATATTTGAAAAATATCTATGATCTCACAATTGCGTATGAAGGCGAAATTGTGCAAACTGAAATCGATTTGATGAAAAACGGAAAATTTCCCGAAAAAGTGCATTTGGATGTGAAGAAATATGATATTGAGGATTTGAATAAGGAAATTGAGGAACCCGAAAAATGGTTGACTAAATTATGGAATTTGAAAGAGACTAGATTGAGGAGGTTTTATGAGCAAAAGGAGCATGTTTTGGAGCCAAGTGGCAAGAGATTTGTATGGCCGGTGAGTTGATTTGGGGTAAAATTATGAATTTTTTCTTTCAAGCCAGAAAATAATTAAAAAAAAGAAAAGAAGAAATGAAATTGTGAAATATTTCTATTTTTCTATAGGAAAATGTATGATTTCGTAATTTTTTGGTCACATGTTTTCTTTGGAAAAATTCCAAAATTTATTTCAGATGTTTCAAAATCTTAGCTTAATTGCAGGCAACCTGAACATCTGAAAATTTCAGAATTTTCAGTCAAAAATTCAAAAGTTTCACAATTTTTCCCCTCTCAACATGTTTTGTAAACAAAAAAGTCATCGCTGCGAAAATTTCCCAATTTTTTTCATAAACAAAAGTAATTTTGAATGTTTTTCTTTCCTAATTTTCATTCAAAAATCTCAATTTTATTTCAGGAAACCACATCTGGTCTAGGCTACACAATAGCATTTTCATTCTGGTGTCTAACATCAATTTTTTGGATTTATACCATATATTCTTCATTTTGGGTCAAGGTTAGTTCATTTTTTGATTGAAAATATGTCAAAAATCATGAATTTTCACCCAGAAATCTCAATTTTTTCCAGATTTACTCACTTTTTGCCATAATTTTCTACACGAGTTGTCTGAAATTCACAAATGGAGCCGAATTTTTGTTCCTCAATTTGTTTGATAAATCAAAATTGCATGGTTTTTTCTAGTCATTTTTATTTCTATTTATGTATTTCCAATTTTATTTATTGTTTCTGCGAAGAAATTTTTGAAAAAAAAAGTTTTTTGTTGGTTTTTCTTTGGTTAATTGTTATCAAGGTGATAAGTGACCTTTGAGATATCTTATTTCAACAATTTTTGTCTGGTTTTTTGGGCCAGAATTTTAGGTTTTAGGGGGAAAATTGGGAGTTTTCGGGCCTGATTTGGCCACGTGGCAATCAATTTTTGACCTAAAAAATTATAGAAAATCCGCCACGTGGAATTTTTCACCTTTGATTTTTAATGTGAATATCTGAAATACTTCGACTTACCCTAACTATCTTCAAATTCCTTCACTTACAGAATGAGCTCATTAAACGAGCCTCCAGTGCTCGGAGCCGGACAACCGATCACAACTCGACTAAAAGGATGGGCATTTGTGGCCGGCATGTTATTTTCCGCATTTTTTGGCGTAATTTATATTGTCACCCCATTATTGGTGCTGATTTGGTGGAAACCGTTGGTTTTTCGACAATTTTTAGATAGATTGGTCGGAATTTGGACGACGATGCCTGGGGTGAGACTATTTTTAGCGCAATTGTATTTTTTGTATTCGAAAAATTTCACTGTTTCAAAAAAATAACGAACGTTTTGGCTATTTTTTTAAATCTATTCGAACAAAGTTATATTTATTCATGAATTCAAAAAAAAATTCCAATTTCCAGGCTCTAATGACTTATTTATTCGGAGCATCCATCAAAATTCGCGGCGATTTTATTGATCATAATGAGCCGGGATTAATTATAATGAATCATCGAACACGTCTTGATTGGCTATTTTTCTGGATGGCTCTTTATAAAATGGATCCTTGGCTATGTACAACTGAAAAAATCAGTCTGAAAGGAATATTGAAATATGTTCCTGGTGCTGGTTGGGCAATGCAAGCTGCTTGTTATATTTTCCTGGATCGAAGTTTTGATAGTGATAAAAGTAAATTGGATAAGATTTTGGAATATTATGCAGCGGTTGGGTATAAATATCAGGTAGGAGAGGAATTATTTTTTTCTTAAAAAAATTCTACCGTATTTTCAGCTTCTGCTCTTCCCCGAAGGAACTGATAAATGTCCAAAAGCCACCGAAAGAAGCAGATTGTATGCGGAAAAAACTGGATTGATTCATTATGATTATGTTCTTCATCCAAGAGTCACCGGTTTTGTGCACATTGTGCAAAATATGAGAAAACGTGAGAGTGTAAACAACGGAGTGTTGTTGTAAAATATATATTTTTTCCAGATAATAATATCAAATTTATTTATGATGTTACAATTGGTTTTGGCGATGCAATTGTTCAATCAGAAGTTGATATTGCGGCTCATGGAGTTTGTCCAAAAGAAGTGTATTATCAAGTGAGAAAAATTGATATTTCAAATATTCCGGAAAATGATGAAGAACTTGGAAAATGGCTTATCGATTTATGGGCGAAAAAAGAGCATAAATTACGGAAGTTTTATGAAATGCCACGAAATTTGAGGAATTTTGATAATACGATTGATGGAAATGAATATGAAATGGATGATAATTCTGAAAAAGCATTGAAATGTTTAGTAGGATTTTGGATTTTTACGACGATTTTCTGGATTTTTATGTTTTTCGAAAGCGCGATCATGTTTTGGTGGGCCGTTTTGGCGATTATCTTCTATGTCACGGTGTATTATATTTATGGAGGTTTGGAATTTTTGACGATTGATGTTTTTAACAAACAAATGGGATATGGTTTGGTGACACAGGGTGCTCCCGTTGAAACTACTACGGATTCTATTTAATTTTTCTGTGTTTCCTGGTGAAATTCTCTTTTCTTACTCGCTTTTCTCTTGTCGAATGAATGTCATCATAATAATTGTATTTTTAATAAAAATGAAGAGTGTTTTGAAATTTTTTGGCTGGTTTATTGATTTTTTTTCAAAAAAGTAATAATTCCAAAAAATAGCTTTCAAAAATATTTTTGAAAACGTGAAAAATGACGTGTCCCACAACAGAAAAAACGTCATCAAAATGTGTCATTTAGGATTTATGGACTTCTCGAAACTGCCCGAATATATTCAATTTCAGGAGAAAAGTGAGTTTTGCTGAAAATTGACTGAAATTCACGAGTTTCCTATAAATATTCGTATTTCTATGTGTAAACGTAGTTCAGTTATATAAAATGCATAGTTTTCCCAAATTTCAGTTCGCGAGTTTTCATGGAAATGCGAAAATTCAGCAAAAACCATATTTTTATTCAAAAGTTTTGAACACAAAACATGTGTTCAAAAAAATAAACACCAAACACACCCGTTCAAACAATGAAAAAATTAGAAATTTCGTTTATTCACACTGCGCCACAATTTTCAAAGGAATTTGATAACCAAATAGAAAAAGTAAATATACCATTAGAATCAGCGCATCGAGATCTGTGTGAAACTACGCATTTCGAAATTTTTAGGGTCCTGCGAAGAAAGTTAGCAATCGCGACAAGACCCAACGCATAAAATTTATTTTGCTCCTTTAATACTGTAGTGCGAAATATAACGGCGAACAGAGAGAATTAGACAAAAGTGTTTGCACAGTTTTTTGTTTCGTTTTACAGTAGAAAACACTCATTGCGTGGCTTGAACGGGTGTGCAAAAAAATTGAAAAAAAAGCAGACTTGAAATTTTTTCCGCATCGGTGCGAGACCCAAATTCAAAAACGTGTGTTCCTTCACCGAACAACAGTGAGAATTCATGTTTTCTTTTACTGCAGACGCACGTCAAAAAACAGCGCGGCTCATTTTGGCTTATTGATCGATAAAATGTGAATTTATCGAGGAATTGTTCCAGTGAGTTGGTACACCCAGGGAAATTTGGAAATATTGATAGATATTGTTTTTTTCAGAGATGTTTGATGGAAATTGTCGAGGAAATCAGTATTTCGAAGAAGTTTATGATTCAAAGAGCAGATTGGATGGTTTTTTGAAACTTTGCATGAAAAAAAAATGGATACTTCACAAAAAAAATGGATACTTGACACTATTTTCCGGTATTTGGCTCATGAACTCGTGGGACTGAGAATTTCAAGGCTGTGTAAGTTCTTTGGGGTCAAAAATTTCCACGTGAAAAACTATTTCGAGACCGAATTTCTAACCTAGCTTACCAAGTTTTCACCAACTTGTCATATAATTAATCAAATTAATTAGTTCCTCTTTTTCTTTTTTCATCTAAACCGCTCTTTCATTGTAACTTTTTGGTTGAGCTGTCAAAAATACTTACATACATGTGTTCTTTTTTATTTTTACTACCTACTTACTTGCTTATTATACTAGAAACAGAACAGCTGACTATTCTGAAGCTGTTACTTTTTTTGTGGTTTTTTAGTTGAGTTGAGTTTTATTGATGAGGTTTACAAGGGATTTTCTATTGGAAGATTTCCATCAAAATTTTGTCGCCCTCCTCCAAAAATTCTTTCAACTTGATAATAACAATAAGCTATCTCGTTTTTCCCACGACACGAGAAGATAAAACAAAAAATAATCACTTTATCCTGTCATTCCAAATTACTGTCAAAAAATGTTGGTTTGCAAGTTTTTTCTTTGCATTCTGTTCTAATTTTTTCCTACTCCCACTATGTTCTTCAAAAAATGCATCTTTTTTAATTAAAAAATGAAAAAAAAAGATGAACTTTTGTTTGTTTTTGATATTATCGATAAATATGAATGAGAAATTTGTTCTCTTCTTTTTACAAAATGAATTTTTATGTAAAATTTTTTTATTTTTAGGTCAAATTTTGAATTGTAAATTTTTATTTTTATTATTGGTAGGAGGTACTTCAAAATTATTATATATATATAATTTTAACACCTCGTAAACTTTTATCTTTTTCGTTTTTTTTTCAACTTGAAATGTATAGTTATCGTAAATCTATTTTCCTCCTCCTCCCTCACTTATTTTCAAATAGTTTTTGGCACTGCGCCAATAATGCCGCCGCCCTCTGTTTTTCTCTACACTCTCTCGTTTCGCCGTACTCTCTCGCTGATTTTTGTCTACTTTTTTCGCCTTGGTGACGCTTTCTTCTTCTTTTTCGTTTTGAGATTACTTGAGTTTTTTATTGAGGTGTTCGGATTTTTCTCATTTTGAGCCGTACAGTCTTCCTGTTACGAAATGTTTATTTATCAAAAATCAAGGAGTCAAATTAGCCAATCCAAAAGGACGTGATATGACAATTTTTGATTCTTTGATATTTATCGAAACTTCCTTTTTCTTCTTGATTTTTCCGATGCAAAATAGTGTTTTTCGAAAATTCCGATGTGTTAGAATCATTGATAATGTTGAACTTGTCCCGTAAATTCCGAAAGAAAGGATGAAAAAATTATTTGCTGCTATAGAAATAATTGTTAGATATTTTCTAGTTTTGAAAGTATTTTACTCAACAAAAAAACTAACCTTGATTGTATGTTTCGTTTATACAAAGATATGCTACGTATATCAATGGTAAAGCAAGTAAAATTGCTGGAACCATGATTTGTACGCAAATTGCGAGGAAAAATGATTTTTGCATTTTTCTGGTGCTCAAACTTATGCTTAGATTGCTCTTTTTATATAAGTTATAGTAATTTAAAGTTGCAAGAAATAGGATTTCCATTGCAACTGTAGTTGAACAAATTGTTGATCTTATTATAATATCAAATGGTTCACTGGTCAAAACATCGATTCGCATTGATTTTATATAGTTTGGAAGATTAGGAAGGGTTCGATAGACTTCTTCGAGGGCTTCTGGTTGATTGGGGACTTTTTGGATGATATATATTGAAAAGATAATTGCTAAAGTGTAGTGTAGAATGTAGAAGGAAAGTTGGATATGGTGTGAATATTGGGAACGGGATGTAAGTTGGAAGTAGCGATTGGCTAGGATACAGATTATTGAACAGGCAAGACCTGGAAGGATTTGCGGTTTCTAATTTAAAAAACAATTGAATGTTTTGCCAACTTCTCATTTCAAATTTCAAAGGAAATTTTCAACCAACTTTGAGTTACTGGATAAGTTTCAGTCTCAAACTATCCGAAATTAAGATCTCGCAAACTCACTAAATAATAGAAAGAGGCTAGCGAGAAAATGAAGTATGAAGTTTACATTTGAAAGTAAACCGAGTGAAATCCCACTGAAAGTTGGTATCAAAAGAAAGGGAATTGAGAGAAAGCATATTCCAATATCATAGATTAGACACCAAAAACATGAGAAAAATAGCACTATTTTGGCGCTACGAATAGCCGATGGAATTTTGCATAAAATACAATAAATTCCGAAACAATGAATTGGAACTGCTATTAGAATTATTATGTGGAATGTTTGGATTAGAAATTGAGGAGTATGAAAATAGGAAAGCGACTCCATTGTTATCTATATTCTATATTGAGAATTTGCGAGCTGATGTTTTTGGTTTCATCAGACGGAAATTGAATTGGGTGTTGGGTTGGGTTAATCAACAAAATTTTTAGCATGAAAAATTTGAGTTTCTACTACTAAGAATTTGAGATGAGTAGACATTCTAATTTTGATTATTTGAAGACTCACTCAGTAACAAAAATAAACCAACAACCATATGAATTTCGATTTTCAAATTTGATGCCCAACCCAAAGTTGCTCCACTGAATGTTGGTATTAAAATAAATGGAATTGAGAGAAAACCTTGCGCGATATCATAAATTAGACACCACAAACAAGACAAGAATAACACGATTTTTGCACTACGAACAGCTGATGAGATTTTGAATAAAATACAGTAGAAACCGAAGAAATGTGTAGGAATAGCAATAAGAGTTATTGTACGAGAGGATAGGGCTAGGAATCGAGGAGTATGGAGATAGGAAGGTGGATTTATTTGAGGTGGACATGATTCTTCCATTCTTGTCTGTTGTAGGGGGAAATGAGATGAAGTGACTAGTTTTTTTTTGTTTTTGGCTAATTAGTAATTAAGATAAGTCATGCTTTTGTTATATGAAAAGTTTTGATTTTTCCACAGAATCAGCATGTGAAATCTGCAATTTTTGCCACATCATAAGTAGACCAGCCTAAGGTTGAATTTACCACGTCCATCTAATTTCTCATGTTAGCTATCTTATTCTTCTAATGTTATTCCCATAGTATATGTAATTGTGTTCATCCTTCTTCTCATTTCATCTTTTGCATTTCATTCTGATTCCAAAATGTTATATAATACGTTTCAAATGTCGTCTTTTTGTTCTTTTTTTCGTTTTGAATGACAACAGACAGATGTAACATGTTCTTTCTCTAATCACCCTCTCATTTTTAAATCATCTCTAGCTTCTTCAACCTGGTGTACACCTTGTTAACAGGTGGGTGAGAAATTTGGGGGCGCTCGATGTTTCTTGGCACTCCTCCAATTCACACTCGATTTTGTTTACCAAAAGAATTAACGAAACTAGAATCCGGAACACTTAGCCTAAGTTTCTCCGTTTTTTTCTATTTTCCTTATCACTAATTTTTAAGTGATTTTTTTCCAGCCAAACGAAAACCTCTTTCAAAGTTTTTTTTCTGTTTGAAAAACAAAAAACTTTCAATTTCTAATTTTCTTATCGATTTTTAGTTCTTTTTTGCCTTATTTATTTTGTCCTTTTTCATGTTCCGATTGAAACTGATTAGCTACTTTTTGGCGTTAATTTGATAACATTTGGAAATTGTAGCTTTTTATTGATTTTGTTTGGTGGTATGGAAAATAGGGAGATTTTAGGAATTTTTTTCTGAAAAATTTTATTTTTGAATTTTTTTATTTTTGCTCCAGAAATAAATATGCGATTTTTAATTTCGAAAATTAACCTATTTCAAACTTTTTATTTGCTCCAGGCGGTTTTCAAAAATTAAAAAAAAATTGAATAATTCCGAAAATATTGGGTCCGATATCCTGGAACTCAAAATTTACAGTTCCAACTGGAATTCCAGGTTTTGGGTGAGGTCGGCTAAATTCTAGTTCTAGCAGCAGTCAGAATTACATTACCTGAAAATTCACTGATTTGAAAATTTATAACTGAATTTTTCGAAGAAGCTCGATAAAATTTCTGAAATTTTTCAAAGATCTAATTGGTCCTAAAGTTTCACACAGCCAATTCATCTAAAAACTTTCTTTTCCAAAAAAATTGATGTTGATTCGAAAAGCCATAAAAACGGATTAGATGTTTTGTTGTTGTCTGTTTATAATCTAAAAATGTCAATTTTCCAATTCGTTCATTCATTCCTTCATTTTCAACATAATATATACTTGTGATGGTAATAAACGCGAACGAAAAAAAAGTTTTACGACCATTTTTTGGCCAATCTTTTCTCGTTTTTTTCTCATTTCATTTCACCACCCATTTTTGTCTTGTTGATTGCGGACAGTTTTATTTTATTCTTGTTGAGTAGAGAAAAATGAAAAGGGAGATTTATTTACGACTGAAATTTGTGACTTTATTGAGGGTGAAAAAGTACAGTATTGTTGCTTTTTGACCTACCGTAGTGAAATGGGATACTGTACTGTTTTTCATTTGGGGGAGAACAGTTTTCGAATCTTGATCTTTTTTTTTGAGATTTTGGGCTTCAATTCGTAGCTCAGGTTTTTGGCTCATAAATATTGATTTTCCAAATTTTAAAAAGCGACGCTAAAATTTGAACCGCCTCATTTAAAAAAAATATTTAGAATTTGAAAATAAGTGTTGTCACGTGGATTTTTGGCCATCTTTAATCTACAGTAGCCTGACCTAATCCACGTAACCTCTTGTCTCACAAAAACACGTCGTTTTGCACCTGGTCAGCTTTTTAACACGTGGCATATAAATGTCTCCTCTGCGCCGCCAAAATCCCACCATCTTCACGAATCTTTCCATTTTATGTCCCAATTTTCTTTGCGCCATCTGGGGGACATCTGGATGACCCCTTGAGGCTACTGTAGTTTTTGTTTTTTTTTTCTCGCTGACCACCGTCATTTTTTCTCATGATCGTAAAATATTTGAATATTTATTTTCGCGCCAATTTTTTCTCTCTGTTCACTAGTTTTTCTCTCTCTCTCTCTATCAAAAAGTGAACATTTTTTTCTGCAAATCTGCACTTTTTTTGGCAACTGTCCAATGTTCTGTGTTGCGTTGTTGCGAAATCGATTTTTTATTATTTTACACAAATTTTTTGGCCAAACATTTTTTCCCGCAATTTTTTTTGCGAAGAAAAGTGTGAAAATCCAATCAATCATAATCCGCCTAATAAAATAATGATAAAATTAGTCAGATTTTTTGAAATTCAATATTTTTGCAACACATTTTTGCCGACAAATGTTGTTTTTCTTTCGCTGTTTTTCTTCTCGATTGGTCATTTTTCTTTACACTTTTTTTTGTGTTGTCTTCTATGATTGAATGATTGGACCCTGAGAATTATTTAGATGTATAGTTTTTTTGGTTTGACCTGGATTTTTTTCGGGTTCGATTTGAAGAATTGATCGGCGGTTTTTTTTTAGTATTTTCCAAGCTTAATGATTTTTCTGATACCTTTTGGTGTCCTTTGATTCTTAAAAAAATTTTTTTTTCAAAATTTCGTAATCTCAAAAAATCTGCAACTACAATTTCAATCTTTTCCGGAGTTTTTTAGTAGCTATCGATTTTTTTTCCAGAGAAAAAACTTTAAATTTATAATTTATAAGACTCTTGTTAATTTCACCCTAAAATCTCCTTTCAAAACTTTTTTTCTGTTTTTTTTTTCGAATCTTATGATCTCATAGATACGTTTTTATCTTTTTCACTCTGAAAATTCCATTTTCAATCTTTTCACTCTGAAATTTCATATTTTTTCAGACACAACCATCTCAATTATTCAATCAATCTCCACCCTACACCCTCAATTTTTCAAATTGATTCTTCTATATTGAAAATAGAAGAATCTAAAAGAAAATGTGTATTGATTGTTAATTGATTGATTTCGAACACCACTAACATCTGACAATATATTCCACGACTATAATATTCCACAAAAATCATCTGAAAATGGAATCTCAAATGATGGAAAGTGAATTCGAGTGTCCCGAAATTGAATATGAACCATTCAAAATGCCGAAGAAAATGGTGAGTTTTTTGAGGGCAAAGAAGAGGGAAAAAAATGAGAAATCCCATAAAATTTGATTTGAACACAAAAATAATATTTGTTTTTCATGAATCTGTCAAAAAATTTGCGCCTATGCGCACGCGAGAAGACAATTTTTTGTTCAAATAATCATTTTATCTCTTTTCTCGTTTTTTTTGAAACAGTGGATTTTTGAAGATATTTTTGATCAAAGTTGTCTGAAAATTAGAAAAAACATAGAACTATTTATAGTTTTTGAGATGAATATCAGGGTTAGAACAGTTTCAGTAAATTGTTTGAAACAGTGAATATTTTTGATGTCTTTCATTTGAATATTCAAAAACAAATACTGTTTTTTTTTGAAACAGTTCAGTTTTGGAAGATGATTTTGAGAATTACAAAAAATTAATTTCCCAGATTTTTCTGAAATTTTTACTTGAATATTTTTTTCTGAAAAATTGCAATTTGTTAGTCAGTTTTTAACTTTTCATTTTGTCTATTCTCCGTTTCATCCAAGATATAAATATCATTTCTCACAATTGTCAAAAAAAAATTTTTGAAACAGTGAATTTTCGAGATTTGTTTTGAAACAGTTGAGCTTTGCAAATTTATGTTGTTGAAATTCAACAGTTTTCAATCTATAAAATTTACTGTTTTAAAATTTTCCTATCTGAGAAAATTTGAAAACTCAGATATTTTAGAATCACTGGTACCAAAAGGTTTCTCTTGAAGTTTCTTTTTTTTCAATTTTATTCATCTACTGTTCCAAAAAGTTTATTATAATTTATTCCTGACATAAATCTACAGTAGTCCTAGCCAGCCGCAATAACATTTTTGTTTTCAACGATTAGATTGAATTCCGAGATAAACACCATTTTTGGAACACTTTTTTTCAAACATTTCTCAACAAGGTCATTTTTTGTGTTATGCAGAAAAAACTTTTTTTTTTCTCACACTTTGTAAGAGAAAATGTGTGCCCAAACCCTAACTAAACACATAGTTTTTGTTGTTATTTTTTTGCGGGTCTATTATTCATTCAATGTATTTTACCTGCCTGCCTCTCAGTCACAAACAATAATATAAATGGGAGAAAATATGCACATTTGAGTGTTTTTCTAGGCTCTTCCTACTTGACAGAAAGAAGAACAATGGAGATTTTCTTTCTCTCTTTTTAGTCAAGTACGGACAAATTTACTACTCTATTACTATTAGTTGTTGATTTTTTGACTCTGATTGCGATTTCGCGGGTTTTTTGGCACCAAGAACTGTATTTTATCGTCACGGTCTGAATTTTTTCCTTTTTCCAAATCTCATTTTATTTTCAGAGTGGCGAGCTGGACGTGTTTTTGGACCATTGCGCATCGCTTTACAATCTCATTTTGGACACGTTGCACAATTTGACGCCAAAGGTTAGTTTCTCTGGGATTTTTTTGGAAGAGATTTGGGAAAAAATCTGGAAGTCTCTGGGTCTCTGAAAGTATAGTTATCTCTGGTGTTTTAGTTTCTATGTGTCTGTTGAAAATTTAGGATCTCTAACTATCTACATGTTGTCTGTGCCTCTGTATATCTGGATATCTCTAATTTTTTGTGACTGTAACTTCTCTGCGACTCCTAAAGACTTTAGGCTAATGCTCTCTAGTTTATATCTGATTTCTCTGGATCTCGTCAATTTCAATTATCTCTAATCAAATTATCCATTTTTTGACAATCATTTTGTCACGTGGCTTTTCTGCTCTCAACCCTTGATCACTATTTTTCAGTTCGTCGAAATGTTGAAATTGACACGTGGATTTTATAAAAAACCAGAATTTCACACGTGGATTTTCAGCTTGACATTTTTCCTCTGAAACATATGTTTTCCAGAAATAATTGAAAGTCCATAATTTTCAACACTAGAAAATTCAAGCTGTCAATTTTCAGCCAAAATTCCTATATTCAATATTCCAGACAAAAAAAAACTTTCCTGCTTCACTACGTCTCTCACAAATTTACATGATCTCCTTATTTTCTCTGCGTCTCTCTCCCTCTCTTTGTCTATTTCCGATTTTCCAAAAATTCCTGCAAAGTAGAAAAAAACGTCGTAAATAACACCATTCTCCTTAAACTTTTTACCTACCTTTGCCTATAATAGTATATTTTTTATGACCAGTTGTTACATTTTATGGCTAGTATACTTATGTGTGTTTTTCTCACTTTTTGATACAAATCACTTTTGTGTTGAGATAAACAAAATTCGTTATTTTTGTTGAAAAATGGAAGAAAAATAGTGCATTTTGGTGATTAATGAGTTTATTTTGTTCTGATGACACAAAAATCGTAAAGTTGTCCTAACATTTGTTGAAACATCGTTTATCACTTTTTTTTTTCATTCGGAACCTGGTTCTCAATTTTTTTCGACATATTTTCTCTCCCAAAAGATAGAATGAGCTCAGTAATTGGAGCCAAGTGTAATTAGAGAACAACCCCACAAAGTTTATTATTATTTTTATTTATTTGTTGGTTTTGTAAGGGGTTGGGATAACTTGTTGAGGTTTATGCTCTTTTTCGATACCCAGGGGATTTTTGACAGCTTTTTTGGATGGTCAGAAAGATTTTTTTCTTTGAGTTAAGATCAAGTTTTTGGATGTTTCGGCAAAGAAATTTTTATGATGTAAAAAAATTCTCTGGATTTTTCAAATGAGAATTTTGATCTCTGAAATTCCACAAGAAAAACCTTTTCTGATCATTTTTCAAAAAATTTGGAGCTCTAGAAATATTCAATAGATATGCTAGGGATCGAAAATCTATGTGTCTAAAATTGTATACAACCGAATTTCGACTGACTAAAATCTCTACGCGTTCATCCTGAATTTTTTTTTTCAAAAAAAAATCCTAGATTCCTGTATTTTCCTCTCTCGAGTCTTTCTTCCATTTCTTCCCTGTCCGATTCCAAAAATTCTTACCAATTTCTAAAAGTTTTTGCTCGAAAACAACAAGCTCATCCCTTTTTCTATTGTTCTTGCGTAAACAATCTCCTTCTTCTTCTTCTTCCTTCTGCTCACATATTTCTTGCTCTTTTCTCGTTTTCACCAGATATAAGTACTCAAGTGCTCGAAACATATACTACCTTACAGTGTTAGATATGTGTATATTGTTTTACGCAATGTATATATTTGTGTGTGAAGAAGAAGAAAAAGAGAGAGAGCAAAGAAAAAGTAGCATTTTGGAATCATGGCGTGTGTGTGTTAATCTTTTTTGCACTCTCTCTATTCTCTTTTGGAAATTATGCTCTTGCGCGAACTTTTTTCGTGAGCAGAAGGTGAAAATGAATGGAGTATTGTTTTTGATTTTTGGGTTTGGGTGACTTTTTGGATTTGAAATTCTGAAACTTTTTTCTCTCAAAAAATCTAGAAACATTGAATTATCATGAGTTATGCAATCTAGTCTCTTGAAATTTCTGAGTTTAGGTTTTTGAATTTGGAAGCTGGAAAATTAGCTGAATTTGCAAATTGGTTCCCGATTCGACAAATTTAGGCTGATAAAATTGAATTGACCGACACCCAACACGCGGCATTTTTTTTGATATTCCTTATCTGCTCCAATCTTTTGTCCATCAAATTTTGTTCCGTTTTGCTCATTTTTCTGTTACACTCACCTATGTATCTTCCTATTAGAATGTTTTATTATTGTTGTTTGAGTGACCCCTTCTTCATCTTCATCTTCTTCTTCTTTCTCATTCACACTCATTAATTTTGATAAGAAATTGACTCGATTGTCACAATATTTGTAGTGTAATTTTTTGCGTTGAGATGTGAGTTTGTTGTGGCGGCTCGATTTTTGAAACAGAAAATCAGGAAATTATAGGTTTCAAAAATTTTGGATTCTTTCGAATTTTGATTATTTTCTTGATTTATTTTTTTTGCGTTTTAACTAAAAACATTGGATTTCAGAAGTTGATTTTTGGATCAAATCTACTTTTTTAGCACTTTAAATTTTGAATTTTGTATTTCTTCTTAATAATTTTGCCACGTGGTCCACAATTTTCTCCGAGATTTTCCACAAAAATCTCATAAATCATCAATTTTTCTGAACTTCTTACGCTTGTCAAAAAATCTGTTTCCATATGTTATTTTCTCAACCCAAAAAAAAACATCTGAAAAACTGGGTTATCTCAATTTATCACCTTTTTTCTTGGTTATTGTTATTATTTTTTGTTCCTATCGGCCTTCCTTTTCTTTTTTTTTTTTGACATTAAATTCTTGTGACACATTATAGATCAGATGCGAATTGTACGATTTGGTAATATATTTTCTGGATTTATAGTATTTTTAGGTTCCGCGTACTTTTTTTCAATGAAAATTAGTTTTTTTCCCGAATATTTTTCACTAAAAATACGAAAAAAAATGAAACAAAAGAGTTGAGTTGAATAGCAAAATGTATACATATTTTTTATTATCATTTTCTTATTATTTTTATATGTTATTTTATTATACAAATAATAATAATAAATAACTTGAGCCAAAGGAAAAATGTATCAGATGTTTTAGAGGCTGCGACTGACTGGGTTGCTCATTTTAGACATCTGGTGGGGTTATATCTTTTTTGCTGTGTCTGTTTTCTGTTTCCCATTTATTTTTGTTATATATGTTTGTTTTGGTAATTAGGAATATATTAGTTGAGATTCTTTTTTGTTTCTTTTTTTCATTAGGGTTTCTAATGGTGTAGTTCTCTTGGAAGAATTTTTGAAAAATCATGGTTTCATTCTGCAGAATTTTGAAATTTTTTGTGCAAGTCAGCCGATTTTTGAATGCTCAGTGGATTTATATTACATCAGCTAATCGATTTTTAATTAAAATTCAAAAATTATACGTATTTTTTGAAACAGTGAAAAATTTCTCAAAATTTTTTTTTCTAGATTAAGCAAAAATAATTTTTGTTACTACTTTTTCTCCGAAACAGTGAGAAAATGTTCTTCAAAATTTTTTGCTTGACAAACCTCTTCATCAAGAAATAGAATTTTGATGAATTTTTGATCAAACCGCTTTTTTCTCTCCGATAAAAGTAAAGTTTTTCGGGATTTTTGCCTAGAAACTTGTTTTTACTTACCCCGATTATAATAACAATACATTTAAATTCGTAAGTATTTCCGCTTGATTTAACACCTTTTTTTCACGATTTTTCTTGTCACTTTTTAGTGTTCTTCAAATCTGCTTTCATTTTAGTTTAGTGTTAGCGGAAGTTGGTTTTTATTCCTTTTTTATTAGCCCAAATCATCCTTTGAAATTTGAAACTATATAAAATAGTATAATTTATTTTTAAATTTTTCTTCGAGAAAAAATTACACTTTCTTTTGTTTTTTGTTGAAAAAAATGTGTTGCGATATTTTTTAGTTGCATATGGTGGCATTTTGAAAGTTTCATTTTAAAAATTACGACCGATTCAGATTTTATTGAAATTTGGAACAAAAATTCAGATCAGAGTTTTTTCATACTGTTTTCTCTGCTCCTCACTTCCTCTTACACTCTCTTGCTCTTTATTCTCATAAATTATTCCAAGTGTTAATTGAAAGCTTCTCCTTTTTTCTTTTTTTTCCCGGGGTTCCATTTATTTTTCTGTCATCAATCCTTTTAATGAGAATAAATCATTGTTGGATTAATTAGGCAGAACAAAAGGGAGCCTTTGAGCTGGATTTCTTAAGTGGGTTGTGGTCCTCTCTTTTTTCTTCTTCTTCTTCTTTCTATTTTTCCTATTTTCATTGTGATTTGTTTATTTTATTCTCTTTAATCCCATTCATTTCTATAATATTTTGGTTTCATTTTCACTTTTTATTTCAAAAAGTGAAATACACTTTTCAAAAAAATAACTTTGAAAATTAATCTATCTGGTTATGAGATTAAAAAGTTGTGTTTTTTTTTCGAAATTCCCATAAAAATTGAGCGTTTTTCAGACAATATCATGTGAATTTCTGGAGGAAATGACATCGAAATTGGAATTGTCGGCAAAACAAATTGTTGAACAACAGCCGGAATGCGAGAATTTGGTGAGTGGTTTTTTTTTTTGGACTTGGGCTTTCTTTGGGCTGAGAATTTGGAAATTTGAGGAAACCTGGGTAGAATTTCAAATTTCGAACCCGAATAAATTTGGTTGGATTTTTTGAATAAAAAATTTACTGTTTCAAAAAATGGGGTTATAATTTTCAGTGTATTAATTTTTATTCCATCGAACCTGATACATTTAGAGCAAAAGTTCTGAAAATTTCATCTGAAAATTGAACACCAACAAAAATCTTTCAACCAGAAAATTTGAATTTTCTAGCTCAAAAACTCTTCTTCTCCTTTTTCTTCTTCAAAAAATAATAAAATATATTTTTTGAAATTCGAACCAAAAAAGCACCAATATTATTTTTCTACAGGTTCTCCTCCGGCTGAACACAATTTGCTCAGCAATGGAACAACTTCGAGTTGTCCAAACACATCAAAATAATATCACAAATTTTTGTGGCGGCGGAAGTGGAACTGGATCAACCAAGAATTCGTGTACTGAAAGTGATGTTGAAAGTTTGCGTGAGTTTTTTTTTCGAAATATCTAAAATAAAATTGTTGGCCTAAAAATAAATAAATTTCTCACGAAAATTATTTTTGATCTACCCGCTAAACAATCACATTTTCTTGATCGAAGTTGAAAAAAAATCGATTTCTAAAAATTATTAGGGCTGATTCACGAACGAAAAAAAATGTTAAAAAATGTTTTTTTAACATTGAAATATCAATTCACGAAAAGTCAAAAAATGTCGAAAAAACATTGTAGGTCAAAATTAGTTTTTCGAGTTTTTCAGCCAAAAATGATGACAAATCAATATTTTTCAACCTTCTGGAGTAATTTCTGATGAAAATAAGCTTCGAGAACCCTATTTTGCTTTATTTTATGAATTTATTCGAAATTCATCAAAATTTAAAATTTTTTTATTTTACGAAAAATCAGCAAAAACTTCTGGAAAGTGAATTCCAAGGTCAATTTTCATCAGAAATCACTCCAGAAGCTTAAAAAATATTGATTTGTCATCATTTTTGGCTGAAAAACTCTAAAAACTAATTTTGACCTACAATGTTTTTTCGACATTTTTTGACTTTTCGTGAATTGATCTTTCAATGTTAAAAAAACATTTTTAACATTTTTTTCGTTCGTGAATCAGCCCTATTCGATCAAATGTTCTATTTCTAGTAATTGCTCGCGTAATTAATTAATTAATCAATCAATCAGATAATTAACTTATTAATAATGTTGTCTCGAGCTCGGTCTCATAGAAATAATATAGAGATTTTGAAAAATTTGAGAATTGAGGAAAATGTGAAAAGTGAGTTTTGTCCCAAATCACTTCCCGAAAAATCTGGAATTCTTTTCAGCAGCTTCTTTGGCTTCTTCACCAATCGATGAAATGCGCTCTTGGTTGCATCGAATTGAGAAAAAATTGGCGGAAAATGAGGCGAGATTGAGAATGGAGACGAATTTGCACAAGATTTTGGTGGATCAACAGGTGAGGGGATTTTTTGAGGGCAGGGAAATCTGGATTTTTTAAACACACTATAGTCTAGTTTTGAAATTTTTTTCATAAATTGTGAAAAATTTTTTATTTGAGAATTTTAGAGATGATTTTGAATTCAAAATTTTAGGATTCACATGTTTTCAAATATTTCTCCAGAATCTTAAGAGTTCCCTAATTTCCAAAATTTTCTTAATTTTTACGGTTTCTAAAATACTCTTCCATAAGAACAACCATAAATTTTCCAAACATATCCGGAAACTTTCACTTTTTTTCCTCTCAATCATTTTTTTCCTCCAAAACTCTTCAACCCAAAAACCCGAAATTTTCCCACGATACATTAAATTGAGTGTTTTTCTTTGAAAACCACCAGGAAGGCCACTTAAAAATGACAAATAACCGACATGAGACTTTTTTGGCGGTGCTTCGTCGCCCTTAGCCCTTTTTGGGTGGTCACATATTTCATCTGTCACCCAATTCGTGACTTTTTTCTTGCCATTTTCATGGCGTGTTTCTCTTGGTTTTTTTGATGGAAGTAGTTCAGTATCTAGTCTTTTTTGTTCGGATTTTCTAGAAACGTTCCAAATTCAAGATTTTCCAAGAAAATTTTGAATCGTATTTTTTCTTGGTTACTATAATTTGTCACAATCTAATTTTCCAATCAGAAAATAAAGTCAAATTTTGGATAATCTCACACCTATTACCTCTATAATCCTCTTATTTTCATTTCTCTCAAGACCAGGTGTTAATTGAGTATTCCACGCATGTCTTCTACTACTTCTTTGATGTCCTCTACTCTTTTTCATTTTCTAGACACCAGCGGGTGTCAATTCACCCATCCGTATAATTATTATTTATATTTTCATTCTACCTTTGGTGGTTGTGTGTGTTTTTTCAGTTTGTATGGCCTTGGCTGTTTTGTTATTCTATTATTCTTGTACCACATTTTGGAGGTTACTGTAGGGCCCGGAGGATCTGAGGATTCAGATTCTTGTCAGGTCTCCATTTTAGTCCAAATTTACCTGGCTGAACTGGAAATGGTCCTGGAATTAGTCTAGTTTTTTTTTAATTTGAATTCAATTTCTAGAAAGCTTTTTCAGTTTTTCTCATTTCAGCCTAATTTTAATTGATGGACATTTTGAGAATTTTATATGAGCCTGAAATCAGCTTTACGAAGTCTTCAAAAAATAATTTCAGATTTCAGCTGAGTCTAGAATAAAACCTCATATTTTTTCTGCCTAAAAATTTTTCAGGCTGAAATTTTTCTAGGATGATTTTCTGACATGCCCAACTATGCCTAAAACCAACCTGACCTAATTATTTCCGATTTATTTCCTTCCTCAACAAATGTTATTTTATCATCTTTATTTTTTCCACTTGTCAATCGAAAAATGTACATACAACAACTAGTAAAAGTAGTATATCAAATATACGTTTCTACTTTTTTCGCTCATTTTTCTCCAACTCATTCTCTCAATATCACACACTCTCTCGTCGATAAATGTTTGTATACAAGAAGAAATTGTGTAGTGTATTTGATTATAATAATATTATTATTCTTATAATATCTCTATCTCACTTATATTAGGAGGCAAAGAGGGATACTGTATAGATTTCAAGTGTAATTTGATTTTATCATTCCATCTCGATGTTGCATCGTGACATTTAGGCCGAGGCTCTTTTTTAGGCGTACATTAGGATTTTATAATTTACACTACTACTTGATCTTTTATGTTGAAACAAGACAAAAGTTTTTGTGTTTTTTTTCCGCATCGAAAAGCAGCTCATGTTTCTCGTTTGTCCTTTCGTTTTTTTCATTATTATTAGTTTTTTCTCGTCTATTGTTTGACTTTTTTTGACGGCGACTAGATACTATTATATACTTTTGGTGGGATTTTTTGAAATTTAGAAAAAATTTACTGTTTCAAAAAATTCTGATATTTTTTCCTCAATTATTGAAATTCCGGTCTTTTATCAACATTCAAAATAAATGTGTCGATACAGAAATTTAAAAAAAATCATTGAAAAGTTTGAAATTTTGTCTGCTCCTTCAAATATTTCTATGAACTTTTACACAGGAAAATTATCAGATTTTTCAAAACTTAAATAAAGTCCTTGAAATTCTGATTCTATGTGCCAATTTTTAGGATAAAAAATTTCCCAATTCTTCAAAAATTGTTTCAAAATTTTTTTACTGTTTAAAAAAATTATCTTATTTTTCCAAAAAGGTGAAAAATCGATCTTGAGGTTGAAACGATCGATTAGTAAAATTTTTGGAAATATCGAAACATTTTCAAATTTGTGTTTCAAAAATTACAATTTCCTGATCAAAGAATTTCGAATCTCTTCCGCACTGTAGTAATCCATCATTTCCTATTCTTATTTTTTCCCGTTTTTTTCGATCTATTCACTTTTTTTATCCCTCTTCCTGTAGTATTAATATTATATTGTTTTGTTGTTTTTTTTTTCTCGCCGCACAACAAATACATACACAATCTGTTATTTGTTTTATGAAACATTTCTATAGGTCAACAATTCTTTTTTTTTTGAAAAAAACGAATTGTGAAAAAAAGTTTAAAGCTTTTTTCTTTTTTTTTACGTGTGAAGTACCTTGTTGGTTCAAACAAAAAATACATATAATTTGAACGAGATATAAAAGTACACCACTTGTTTTATACGTATATGTATTCCCATTCATTTTTTCTGCCTCTATGATTCACCGTTCTTTTTTTTTGGCGCCACATTTGGTGTGTCTCCTTAACTCGTCATATTATATTCGTCTCTTTTTTTGGCGTCCTGCTTTTTTGTGGAGAAGAACATTTGAACTTTTCCCGGATTTTTTGTTTTTTTTTTTGAGATACAGTTCAATTTTTTTATTAAAAGGTTTTGAGCTAAAAAAATTCAGACTTTGGCGAGAAGAATTTTTTTTTCAAATTAGAGGACTCCAAAAATAAGCTTCAAAATTTTCAGATTCAAATTCAGTACTGTAGTTTAGAAAAATTATAAATTTCAAATATTTTTTAGTACATGATAATGGTTTTTTGTCACTTTTCAAGAATTCATAATAATTCTATTTTTCAACCTTTGGAAATATTCAGATTTCTATGATCCTGAAGAAAACACTTTGGATACTGACTACAGTATCCAATTTTTTCAACTTTTTCTCATACAGACTTTTTTTTTTCGTAATATTTTTTTTGTGAGAAAATCAAATCGTTCTCCCCCTCCCCGTTCCATTTTTTCTCATTTAATCGTAATAAAAAGTGCAACTTGTCAGAAAAAAATGAGCGTTCCACTTTTTTTTCATAAACATTCTCCATTCGCACTCAATCACAATCGATAGTATAGTTTTGGTTTTTTCTACGATAAGACCTGTCCCTAATTTTTTTGACTATTTTTTATTTCACTCAAAATGAAATAACAACAAAAAGTGAAACTTTATGAGTTTGTTTTTTTGCAGAATCTTCAACTGGAAATTCAACGCGACGGGCAGTTTATTGTCAATCATTTGAACAGAGAGTTACGGTATGTTGGGAATTTTTTGATCTACCAAAAACTACCGTATTTTTGCAGTGATCGAAACGCGATTTTGGGATTTGCTGACGAGAAAAAGAAGAATACAATTGATGCGTTGACCAGAAAATGGCACACAATATTTTTGAATAGTTTATCGTTGGTTTGTCGAATTGAGGAACTTATTAATTATAAGGTTAGTTACAGTAATATGCTCGGCGATTTGGATTATTGTAGATTAATTCGGATGCAGCATTTTTAACAGATTGCATTGTGTTTTCGAAATTTTTAAGGAAGCATTTTGAAACGTAGATTTTTGGGGATTGGGTTTTTCCGAAGGGATATTGATAGAAGATGATCTTACAGTTTGGGTTACTGTAACTATTACAGTAATCCTTGATTTATCCACCTTTCTCTGCGCTTCTTCTCTCTTCTCTAGCTTTTCCCGAATTCACACATGTGTTCGTCATTAATGTGTTATTTTGGCGCCAAAAAACTTGTTTTCCCTCCCATTTTTCGCCTCATTTTGTACGGGTGCTAATTAATGGAACTTTTTTGTTGTAAATTTCCCTGCGCGCGTCAAAAACCAAACTACTTTTTTCTTCTTCTTCTCTGATTTTCACTAATTACTCACTTTTTCAAAACAAGAATAACATTGAAAATTCATGAAGGACATGTCGTTTTTCATTTTGCTTTTAGTTCAAGGTTGAAAATTTTTGGAATTTTTGATTTACCGCATTTTTTCCCTCGTGGCTCAGATGGTTAGCGCATCAATTAGTAATTTATACAGATGAGTTCGAGCTCCGCCCCCTGCTTTTTTTTTGCTTTTCTCGAACATCTAAACTATCAATCATGAGAAAAATGGGTGTTTATTTTTGTTTTGATAGAAAAATGTGTGTAATAATGTGCTTTTTTTACGAGACAACTTTCACTTTTCATTTTTTTTCGCACACATTTTTTTCGCGATGAAAAACCGTTTATGTAAATTATGCCACCCAGACTTTGACTAGAAATTTTGTTCGATTTTTTGTCTCCTGGTCTGCATAGTCGTAAATTTTTGAGGTGTAATGTAGAGCAAATTGAGAAATTTTGACTAACAGCTGCTTCTATCTTTTGCAAAAAGTTTCATAATTTTATTTATTATTATTATTATTTTTACATTTTTCATGTTTCTTCGTGTTCTTCGAAATATCTGTCTGATTTTGTACGATTTTTGCGCGCACTCTGACAAAACGAATAGATGAGATCATAAATATTGTATATTTTACGACTTTTTTAGTGTTGGTCTTCGTTTCTTCGTGTGGTTTTCGTTGTTACTTTTGTGAAATTGTGTATATGTTATGATTTTATTGGGTTTTTCTCCAAAGTGTGACTGGTTTTGAATAGGTGATGCTGATTGACAACAATTTAAGTCTAGGCGCGGTTTCTTTGTAGATAGTGGACTCTAGGGGCAGTTGCTTGGCGAGGTTGGACTCTAGGCGTTGATCCTTGAGGAGTGGTTGAAGGCTTTAGGTGTGATTTCTTGCAGAATATTGTTACCAAGCAGAGGTTTTCCTGGATAAAAAATTTCCTAGTACTTTGTTTTACCTTTCCATTTCCTCCCAACCTTCCCTCTTTTTTCGCTTGAAAATTCCGATGATTTATTTACTCACATTACCGCCATTTTTTTCACTAATGGGATTTTTCTTATCAAAGTTTTTTTTAATTTACAAAAACTACTATATTTTCTGTAGTTTGATTTTTCTACACGAATCTTATTTTGAATCTCATTTAAAATTCAAATTTCTCTGGGGACCACCTGTAAATAAGGTAGATCAAGAGTATATATACCCTATAATTAATTGGTGCATATTTAATTTGTTATTGCTGGTAAATATCCGGAAGAGCTTTCTTTCTGCGCGGCTTTTTTCTCATTATTTTTGTTAGCTTTCCTTTTTTGTTTGAACTAACTGTCAGTTTTGGCTCGCGCACTATTTTTTGTGGTCAGCTTTTTCTCGACAAAAAACTCTCGATGATTATTGATTCCTTGTTCATGAATTTTTGTTTAGTTTATCATCATCATTCACACAGTTTTTTTGCTCGATTTTTTTCAATATATACAAAAATGTATTATGTTTCGTTTCGCTCTCAAACACAAATATTTGATTTTTATTTGTCCTGTTTGCCGAAAGTTTTAGTAAGAGGTGAATAACGTGTAATTTAGTTGATGTTTTAACTTGTTTGGAAGAGAATTTTGCATTGAGAGCGAGTGGATTTGAGTCAGGTGAGTAGGATTAGGTTTGGCTGAGAGCTGGAATTTCCAAATCTGAAAATAATTATCAGATTTTCAGAAGTACTTCAATTTTTAGATTATCAGAACTCGATTTTCTGGGCTTTACGAGGCTTATTGTTGAGAATTTAAAAATTCACCAATTTCAAAATCTCGCTTTGTTAGAACCGTGCTTTCTAATTTCAAAATAGATTTTTCACATTTTTCGCGCACCTAATTTTCATTTCAAAATTTAATGTGAAATGTCCCTGAACAATAATAACAATAATTGTTTTTACTATTATTTGTATGTATGTATATTTACCCCTCTCCTCCTTTTCCCTTTTAACCTACCTACCAACCTACTCATTTCAATTCACAATTCAATCCAATTTTAATTTGCACAGTTGCATAAATGTGTAAATAAATAGCTTCCCCGCAGGTTTTTCGTGTCACGCATCTCTCTGTTTTTTGACACCATAAGGTTTGGTTGTAAATGAGAGAGGAAGAGCTCAATTGTTGTTTGCTTTTGGGTCAGGATGTGTATGTATTTTATTACCATTGTTATTGGAGGTGCATGCAGACTTGAGCTTGATTTTTTTGGGTTTCCTGGGCTGTTTGGGATTGCTCATATTAGGGTTAAGCCTAAAGAATATCACACGATTTTTTTTGTTTAATCTCTTGGTGAATTCCCGATTCTTATAATTAGATGCATCCAAACTTCCTCTAACTCTTTGATCTTTTGCAGACCGCGTCTGACGATTGTGACAGTGATCCGGATCTTGCTGCACCGCCCATCAAAAGATCACGTGTCAAATCTGCTCCAGCAACACCATCAGAATCGCAAGACGAAGACGAAGACACACTTCCATTTGCCGAAGACGAATACGAATCGATAAATATGTTGGAGGGTTCGAATTCCTCGTCATCTGCGGCGATTTCGCCGAGTTCTTCGGCTCCGATTCAGCGAAAATGGGATAGTGTACAACAGGATATTGGGTATTCGAGTGGCGAGAATTCGATTCATGAGACTATGATGATTCCGAAGACACCGGTTGCTGTTGTGACTGGCAAATGCAAAAATTTGTGAGTTTTTTTTTGGAAGCTGACAAGGGAAGTGCATAAGGGTAGGTGTTGAACTTTTTGTGCAATTTGGTACACATATAGATTCGAACCTGCTGATCTTGAATCTGTTTTCAAAAATTGCCACAAGTGCACCCAAATGGTGTTTTGCGCCATCAAAAAATCACAATTTTTTTCTTCGTTTCATATATCAAACATTTGCAACGAGGAAAAACAGGAGCGCGTAGCCGAGTGGTAAACACGCACGTCTCTTAAATTTTAGGTCATGGGTTCGATCCCGCTTCAAGGCAAACTTTTTTTCAATTTTTTTTCAAATCCCTTTATGATAACTTGTCAAAACACGTTATAATATTTATGATAACTGGTCGCAAATGTTTTGATTTGGAAAAAAATTAGTGAATGTTGCGTTCAAAAGGCAGATGACTTTTATTTTGAAACAAAAAAAACCAATAAGAATGGAATAAAAATGGAACTGAAAAATGTTCTGAATTTTTTTAATTGTTATGTTTCCATAATTTTGTTTTTTGTTTTCATAAATGGATTTGCAAAAAAAAATGAAAAAAAAAAAGTTTGCCTCGGAGCGGGATCGATCCCATAACCTAAAATTTCAAAGACGTGAATGTTTACCACTCGGCTACGCGCTCCTGTTTTTCCTGCCTGCAAATGTCTGATATATGAAACGAGGAAAAAATGGTGAATTTTCGATGGCGCCAAACTGCTTTTGGGTGCACTTGTGGCAATTTTTGAAAACGAATTCGAGATCAGCGGGTTCGAATCTATATGTGTACTAAATTGCAAAAAAAGTTCAACACCTAACCTTATGCACTTCCCTTGTGAGAGGGATGAGGAAAAAACAAATTGAAAAACTTAAAATTATCCAAAAAAAAATGTTGACTGCTTCAAAATTGTCACATAAATTTCCGAATTTTCTGGAAAAAATAATTCAGAAGTCCCTTTCTTTTGGTGTTATAAAATTCTGGTTTTTGGACCTACAGTATCTCCCGTTCACCAAACAGATTTGCACTTTTTCGCAAAATTTTCCCCTATTTTTTGACATACATCTGGAATCGTACTAGTTGTCGCAACATGTGTTAACTCCTCGCGGTCTATATATATTTTATGATTTTGACTTGTCCGTCATTTTATTTCATTTTTTTCTATTCTTTGTTCGAACTAAGGAAATCAGAATTTTTTGATTTATTTTTTTTGGAAAAATGTTGAGCAAGTTTGAAAAGAGGTGAGATGTGGTTGAAACGTTTAGGTTTGGACTAAGTTTAGGCTTAAGATCAGGCCAGGTTTGATCCTAGAATTGATTCTAGAAACTATAAGTCTTTCACAACTTCAGGCGTCCCAATATTGAACCCAAAAATTTCCAATATCCAAAACAAGACCAATTATCTTCAAATCTGTCAAATTATAAAACTTTCAAGTTTTTTTCTAAATTTTTTGACCTTGAAAGTATTTTTCTCTGTTTTTTTCTCTCACTCCTACCACAAAATGAGAAGAATTTGTAGTTGTTTTGAGGGCGAACATTTTTAAACTACTAGGCAATTTTTGAAATTTGATATGCCTGCTGTCTTGACTGACCCATCACAAGATTTATTATCATCATCATCACTTTTATTATGTTATTTTCCAGAACTCCGGAGAATTCGGAAATGCGAAGAAAACGGATTGAATGCTCGCCGGTCAAGGCGTTTTATAGAACTGTGCAATTGGAAGATATGTCGGATTTGGAAGTTAGCAAGGTTGGTTTGGCATTTGAGTTTGGGTTTTTGGGCACATATATTGACTAGGGTGTTTTAAACGAAATTAATTGTTATTCAAAATTTCAAAAAAAAAAATCCAAAAATTTTTTAAATAGGATAAATCCAAACTTTTACTAGGATTTTCAACACCAAAACAAATTTCTGAAAACCTGAAATATGTACGTTTCAAACTTGGAAATATTAAATGATATGTTGAATATTTTGAATTCTACAAAAAACTATGCAAAAGTTTATTAGAATATTCGCAGTAAAATTAAATTCCCCTGAAATTTCCAGGCTATAAATCATGACGTGGAAGATGAGCCAAATTTATCGGATTCAATGTATGTCAACCATGATCTATCCTTCAACAACACTCAAAATATTTCGAATTTATCGGAATTTGATGAGGTTATGGCATTGTACGATGATTCAATGTTGCCGACTGATTTGGCACAAATGTCTGAAAGTTTTAACACGAAATGGCGTGAAATTCATCATCGAGACTATCATAAATCGAGACGAAGTTTGACAACAACAACAACTATTGAAAAGGTATATAGATTATATTTTGGGGGCAAATAAGAAAAAGGGGGGGGGTGACAGGTTGATTAATTGGAGGGCTAATATTGGAAGGGGAGAAGGTGGATAGATTTATCTATCTTTTTTTTGTATTTTTGGTGGATAGTTTTTTTCTAATTTCTAAAATGGAAACGATTTTTGAAGAGAAGGTGAATTTTTGGGTGTTCAGAGAATTTAGAAAATTATTGAAACCAAAGGTTATTCTTCCCGACCCCAAACTAAGCTAAGCCTCTCAATTTCTTTTTTTTCAGAGCTCTTGTGATGCCTCGTCCGAAGATTCATCAGAAGGTTCGGTTCAAGATGATGAACATGATGACCATCAAGATCTGATGAATATGTCATTCAACTCAGTTTTTGAGAACTCATCAACGTCACCACTCAAAAGACAAAGATCTGGAAGAGGTTTGAAGAGTTCGACATTCCTTCTCAACACCATCGACATGAATGGATCGATATATTCAACAAAATCCGAATCGCCGTGTGTTGCCGCCACATCTGAAAAACGAATGTCGTTGACGCGTCGCAAGTTGCGTGTCAGACGTATGCCACGTAGTATGAGCGATGGCGAACAACTCGGAATATTCTCGTCGAATTCCGATGGTCTTGTCAAGATTCAGATTTCGCCACCAAGATCGACGACTCAATTATTGAGACAATTGGATGATGATTTGCAACACAGTCAACAGCAACAAGATGAGGGAAGTAGCAGTGATAATCAACAATCGGATTCGGGACAACAACAAGCATATGAGTGGGATGAGTATAATGTGAGTTTTATCGGCAATTTTTGACTGCATCTTAAGCCTAAAGCTCTAACTATGTATATGTAGTCCCCATTTTGAAATTTGTACTGTTATCCAGAAATTTTGCACAGTTTCCAAGAATTTTGATATATTCTGCGTCTCTTTTTCTTTTTTTCTATCTCGCATTCATTTTTCCCAAACAATTTGTTGGAAACTGTCAATATTTGATAATCTACTTTTTCCCGTATTTTTTACAAACACAAAACACAACATTTTTATCACTTTATTTAGTAGTTCTTCTTTTTTGGATGCCCATAAAATCTCACCTTTTGTCTATTTCAAACCATGGCAACATATTGATTTTCTCTTTGAAACGTATTTTGTTTTTGGTCCTCTCCGCCCTCCTTGCTGACCTGAAATAAGGTGTAATTAAAAGAGGTTTTGCCCCCTGCCAGCCAGGTGTTCACGATTATTAATTCGCGCATGTTATTCATTAGTTTATTTGCTTATTTACACCCTACTTTTTCACCAGAGAAATAGATAGAAAATATTGGTTTTAGACGCTAATTTTATGTTTTTCAGCCGCCAGAAAAAGACGATTCGAATTGCGTTGATCCGGCTGACGTCACTAACAACACTAGCATGGAATTCTCGCAAATCGATGAAGATTTTTCGGAGCATTTTGGAAATTGCTCAATGATGAGATTGGTTGAAGAATCGAAAAGTAATTTGAGAATTGTGAAAGCTGCGTTGGAAGATGAAAAGAATTTGGAGGAACAATTGGCGAATTTTGAATTGATTGCCAGAATTAACTTGAAACAACTCAGAATGCAAAAACAATCGAGAGATCCACAAATATATGAGTTGGCTGAAGAATGGGAGAAGATTCATGAAACGGTTTCTAATCCATTTTTGCGGATTATGCAACAAGTCAAAAAGTTTGCGTCGACACTTCAAGAAGTTGATACAATTGCTGCATTTAATGATTTTCAAAATATTGAGAATCGCGAAGATGTTACAAAAGCGTTGGAAAATTGTCGAATTATTGAAAGACGTCTGAGTTTGGAAAAGAGAACAATTGGGAAATTTGATTGAGTCGCAAGTATTCAAGAAAGTTGGGCGACAAATATCGGCGGAATTTGGAATGGTTACAGAAGGATATGATGAGGCGATTAGAAGAATTGGAGGAATGAGTGAATCATTGGCAGCAGTGAAAAGAGATTGGGATGAAATGCATGGAAAGAATGAGATGATTAGGTGAGGGGAGCTTGGATTTTGAGAGATTTCATAACTCATTATTTTCCAGAAACACAATTGTTCAAATAGAATCGCAATTGAAAGACGGAAAATTGGACACAAAAATGATATCGGATGAAATGGAATTATGCCAAGAAAGAATGGATAATTTGGAAACAATGTGCAATTTTTTGACTGATTCTCTTGTTTCACTCAAACAGGATAATCGATCAGAAAATTTGCCGGATTTTAAGAAGGATTTGTCGATTTATAGTATTGCTTTGAAGACATTGAAAGATCGGTTAGTGTTTTGGAAAATTTGTGAAAAATATGAGCAACGCCTAGAAGTTTTTTTTCCAAAATGAAAATTCGAACTGCATAAATTACAATGTTTTTCGAGCTGCAAATAATTTCCTTGTGTAGTTTGAACTACTGTATTCCGAACTCCTAAACACAGTTATCTTTAGAAACAGTTTTTTCTAACCAAAATTTTTGAAAAACAAATAATTAGTCACTTTTTTTTTCCTTTTTCCCGACAGTTTATTGTTTATAATATTATTTATAACAATTTTACATTTTGTACAGTTTTTCCTCTTTTTTCTTTTTTCTCCCCCAAAATAAATCTATTTTTCCAGACTTGGTGAAATTGATCGAATTCCAACACCACCTCTAATGCCTGAAACAATTTCAACTCAAACATCTGACGAAATCTCTGATCAAACATCGACGGAAAATATGGAAGTTTCGCAAGTTGTTCAAGAAACTATTGGATCATCGAGAACTATCAAGATCCTATTTGCACTGTCTTTTATTTTTGCATTGGCCGCAATTTGTTATTATCACATTTTCTCGAAACATTTTGGACCACATTTGGAGTATGTTAAAGGACCACCACCATTTTAAACCTAAACCTACTTATTTTTTTTGTTGAATCTACCCAAAAAATCTTTTTTCATATAATCTCGAACCCGGGTTCCACCAAAAAAAAACATCATTTTTATTTTTTTTTCTCTCCCAAATTATTTATTGCCGCTTTATACCAGGTATTTTATGCCATTTTTTGTGACCCTTTTTTTTATTTTACCAAAAATTATATTTTTTTCCTTACTCATTCGGTGACTGTAAATAAGAATATTTTTGACTTTTTTTTTTGAAATTTTATCTGTTATTATGAAATTGATGAGAATTAATGAAGTTTTTTTTGAAGAAAGTTTGCGAAAAATTGAGAATATACTCATTTCTGAACTACAGAAAAATTACATTTTTGTTCTGTTTTTTTAATTTTTACCATTATCTTGGTATTTTCGCATCGGAAATTATCAAGAGATTCGAGAACTTCTTGTTTTTTTTTGTTCTCTATCTATTTTTATCATTGTTTTTTGTTCAATCTGTGAAATCTCTCAAATGTTCTACCCTCATTTTTTTCAATATATCGGATTCATTGGATCTCAAATCACCAACTCAATTCTAATTTATCTGATAGTTAGTCAAGCCAACACAACACTGGGCAACTACCGTTATATAATGTTGGTCTTTGCATTTTACAATATAATTTTCTCGTGGATTGAGATAATTGTTCAACCAATTCTTTATTCAACTCCTTCCACTTTTATAGTTATTATGGATCAAGATTTTGATTTTCTCAATCGAGAAAATGGATTTTATTTTGTTGCAACGTTCTGTTCATCTTGTTGTCTTAGCATAACTCTTTTAGCTACTCATTTCTTTTATCGATATTTGATTGTTTGTAAATTCAATTACTTGAGATATTTTGACAATGCTAAACTTTTTATTATTTTTTCCATCAGTAATTATAACTATTTTATGGTATTTATGTATAATTATTGGAATGCGACAAAATGATGAAAAAGATAGGGTTTTTCATGGAAAAGTTTATGAGGCGTTTGAAATTGATTTGAGAAAATATTCATATGTGGGAACACTTTATTGGAAACTTCAAGATAATTCGGAAATCATTTGGGATTTAGTTGAAGTTTATTGCTCATTGACGTGTATTGCTATCATTGTAAGCGCCCAAAATAAATGAAAATCTTGATCAAGTTTTTTTAGATAACTTGCACTCTGATTTGTATATTTTGTGCATTTTCAATATATTTTGAAGTGTTCCAAAAATCCAGAAGTGAACAGGTTCAGAGAATGGAGAAACAAATTTTATCAGCCTTAATTTTCCAAACGCTCGCACCATTTTTATTGATGTACACACCAATTGGACTTGTTCTATCACTTCCGATGTTTGATATTCATTTGGGAAGTTTAGCGAGTATTGTGTCAGCAACAACTTCGATTTATCCGATGTTTGAACCGATGTTTGCCATGTTTTTTATCAGCGATTTCAGGGAGAGTTGAGATTTGGGCGAAGATGAACAATTTAATTTTTTGTAATTTGAAAATTGAAGATCGAATCAAAGATTTTCTATAAATCTGAACTTCCTTGTTTTCAGTCATGTTTTGCTTTATATCAAAATGAAACTGGTAAGTTTACAAAAAAATTACATCCAAAACTCCCACATCTTTGTACTTAGATTCTTTTGATTTTGTTGTCAACTGTCTGTATCGTCTTCTCAATCCCACCGTGCTGGAATCAACATTGTCCACACCATCAACAATGTCGTAGAAATCAATGTTATCCAAGAAAAACATGTGGATTTGGTTTAGATGCAGGATGTGGATATCAGCAAGTTTGTAATAATTATTATTGTTACGATTTGGAAGAGATTCAACTTGGCTAATTTCACCTGAAAAAGAAAAAAACTGAATTCAGAATTATAAAAGTTTTGAACTTGCAAAAAAATTTCAATCGTTTCCAAAAAACATTCAACGCTTTATTTTTTGAAAAAAATTCAATAAACAACAGTGGGAGCAATTGAAATATTCTTCTTGTGATCCGATTTTTTCTGTAAAGTGAATAATGCAAATAGAAATTTCCGATAAGGTATATGAATAAATATCATAACAATTGTAGCCAACATTCCGTGTATTCCAATCAGAAACATTATCAAATTATTGATCACTGCAAAAATGAATCTTTCCGATATATTTCAATTTTTCACTGTACATTGATTGAAATATTTGAAAATCATCGCAAAAGTTAGATAACTAAATGGAACAAACACGAATACAAATGGAACGAAAATTTGTAATAATAATTTTCTGAAAAACTTTTTTTGAAGAATATAAGTAGAGTTGGACAGCGTTTCTCGACGTTTCTCCAATATATAATGAGTCATTAAAAAATAGAAGAACAATTGGAAAGAATTCATAGAATAAATGAAACCAACAAGTGCGGCGAGTAAAGTGGTATCAATTGTGAGACACATAAAATTTGGATTATTTTTGAATTTATCGTAAACGCAGGAAAGTTCATTCTATAAAAAAATTATTTATGAATGAATCATTCTCAAGGGAATCCGAACATTTCTGAAATAATTTCTCGAATATTCATCATCCGGTTTATTTATAAAAACTGGTATCAAAAATGTGAAAGCCCAAATATATTGAAACAAATATAAAATGACACGACAATTGAAGCGTTTTTGGGAATAAGTCAAATAAGCCATTTTGTGAAAACGATTCTCAAAAAATATGACAATTGATAAAATGACAGCTGAAACTCGAAGAAATTAAACTTGATTGTTTGAATTTTTTTAAATTTTACTACGAGGATCCCCAAAAATCTCTCACTTGTTGAAGCTGTTACACCGATATAAAGTTGAATCCAAGTTGGAACTCCAAAATAATTCAGAATTCCAATTGAATACCCACAAAAGTACGGTAAAAATATTACTGGAATAGCAAGATCTCCAAAAATTGAATCTGATAAAAAACAACTGATATGCAAAAGAAGCATGCTAAATTTGATAGACGTCATTTCTTTTGGTGTTATCTTGATTATACAATAGAATCCGAAAATTTGAATTGGAAGTCCGATGGTTGAGAAAATATGACTCAAAATAAAATAGATTGAATCATTTGCAAGAAAAACATCGTGATATTCGCACATTAAAAACGTAAAGAAACAATTTTTCAACAGCTGAAGCAAAATCCATTTTCAGACGATAATTGAATTCTTAGAAATCATTCATCCAATTTTTTGCTTTCATTGGTTTCGAAAAAAAATGAGCAAAGTTCTTTCGGCTATATATTTGACGATAATTTTCTTGGGACACAACTTGAAAGTTAATCAATTCAATACTTTGTCAGGAATTTGGAGGAATAAATGTATAACTAATTTTGAAAATAACAAGGGTTTACGATTTAAAAATTATTAGTTGAAATCCAACACTTTTCCCCTCTAGTTTCAATATATATTTTTCCAGCAATTTTTTTAAAAATTAACAGAGAATTTTTGCAAAACGTTCCTTGTGAATCTTGCAAAAATTGTCCAAGAATGCAAAAATCAAAAATTAATTCGCAGATCGAATTAAAATTATTCTATAAAGCTCCAAACCCTCGCTGTGTTTCTCATTCTTTTCTTTCTGAAATGAAGCTCGTAAGTTTTTCAAGACTTTGAAGTTATGCAAACTTTAAAATTTTCCAGCAAATTCTTTTCGTTTTGTTGTCAACTTTGCTCATCGGATTCTCTGATGCGCAAAGAATCCGTTGTTATCGAAGATGTCCTCCAGATACCATCTGTTACCATTATCAATGTAATCCTATTATCAATCGTGGTTAAAACAATTGTTTTTCTCAAGTGACGAAATAAATCTGCAATTTTTATTTTGTTTTTTTTTATTTAAAAAGTCTAATCTTGAATTGAAAATTGGTTGTATATCTTGTTATTATTAACATAACTCGAGAAAAATTAACACAACTTATAAAAACTGACTTATAAAAAGCGAAATCACTGAAAATTTGGCGTCACATTAAGTGTTTCGATATGGGTAAACACCACAAACGACACTCCGCTTGCCCGCTGTTTAGCGCAACACCAAAATATTTTCATTTTTTGTTTTTTTTCGCTGGGTTTTCAGGTTTCCGGGGAAAATCAGTGGATTTCAGTCAAAAATTGTATTTTTAGATGTTCTACAAGGCTGAAATCATCGCTTTCAACGGAAAATCCGAGGATTATCGAAAGAAAGGTGCGTTTTTTCCAGAGAAACACTGTTTCGATTGAAATTTTTGAGTTTTCAGGGTCAAAATGATGTGAGGACTTGGAGGATTTCGGAATTCTCAAAGATTTTGATTGAGATTTTCGAATTTTTGATGATTTTTCTGTAATTTGAGAAATAGAAGCGATTGGTGAGTTTTTTGGGGAGGGATTTCGGAAAAATTGAATAAATAAAAGCGATAAAAATATATGAAAATTATGAAAAAAATCTTTAAAAATTGAAAAAAGTTAGGCTATCTTATCAAAATCTAGGCCCAAAAATCTAGTCACCCTTATAAAAAACGAAGAGATTTGTTAAATTCACGTTAAAGTCTGCGTCTCCCTCGAAAAAAATGCGGTGTTTTTGTTCTGCATTAAAACATTGTATTTGATTTATAGCTAATTAGGAATGAGTTTTATTTTTTTCCACAATGAAATTTCTAATCTTCTCAAAAATCAAGCTGGAAGCTGATTTTTAAATTCATAAATCCTAGACCCGCAAATATGAAGAGTGTAGATCGCGCGGGATTTCAACATTTTTTCGTTGTTCTATATCGATTGGCAGCCCACACGAACATTTCAAGAAAAACATTTTTGAAATGAAATTTTTGTTTTGTCGAAAAAAAGTGTTCACGTGTTTATTTCAAGAATAAAAAATACTCGAAAAAATTCACGCCAGTTCTGATTTTTTATCTCTCAGAGATTCGCTGGCCAGCTGGTCACTAGGTGGTGCCGACTGCCCATCTGAAATTGACACGGACAACCACATCGCCCGTATTTTTTGCGAGACGACGTGGTCGCGAGGTGGTTCAGTTCATGCAGACCACCTCGCCCAGGTTGTCCAGCTCGACCCGACCTCGCGTCCAGTTCGTCTCGCTTAAGAGAAAAAAGTCCAAAAAACTTGTGAATCCGAGCATTCTAGAAGAAATTGGTTCATTTTCTGTTTTTTCGGAGTACTAGAAACCTTAGGAAGTGAAAAAAACAGTAAAAATGCACTATTTTGAGTACAAATCCCCGTCTTGCTAGCTTTCCAGGATTTCAAACACACAGGCCACGTCTCCGGAAAACTCAAGGCGACCTGGTGGCCGAATCAAATTCAGCTCGTTTTGAACTTACCGGCCACCTGGTCCTGATCTAGTGGCGAGCTGGCCAGCGAATCTCTGAGCTTGGACGCTCATTTCTCGAAATATTTTATTTTGTATTCGGCCTGTCTTCAATGAGAGCTCTAAATTAAACGTGAGAGAGATATTATTTTTCTTCCTATGATCCAGAAAAATTCCAGATCGCGAGAGTTTTCGTATATTGAGTGGGCCGAAGTTTGTTTGTCACTCCAAGTTCAATGCGGATTGATTTGACACAAAAAACAAAATGTATTCGAGGATTTGGTTTTTATACAACTGCAAATCATGTCAGGTCAGTTTAATTGGGTTTGGGGTTTGGTTTTGGGTGAGAGAAAACACAGTGAATTGTGTTAGATTATATCAGGTAAGTATGGGGTATATTTGTATAACGTATAATTGAGACGAGATATGCAGTCTCAGTTGCTCACAAGCTTGAACTTGTAGAAAAAGTGGAAAATCTTTTAAAATGTTATTTTTTTTTTCATTTTTTCTATTATTTCTATAGTTTTTTTTATATTCCACACACGAAAGGCTCAGGCAGATAAAATACGTCAATGTTTTACATCATGGCGCATTTGTGGTGCATGCACATCCTCTTCAGGATGACTGAACCATTTTTCAAATGCCTCGTTATTTTTCTTTTTTTTTTTTTTAAATTATTTTTAGTTTTGTTTTAATATCTGACATTCCTATTTGTTCTCAACTACTTAGCTCTTCAACTTCTATCGGAAAAAAGATTATTCAATTGGTTATCATAATTTTTTGATAATTAAATTAAAAAGTTTGTATTTTTTCTAGTGTTGAAAAACAAGGAAATTGTTGCGAGAAGTGTGGTACGTGATCAATTTTCGGTAGTAAAAATCCACTGAATAATTCAAAAAGGAACAGTCGAGTTGATGCCAATGGGAGGATTTGAACAGATAACCCACTGACTCCGGACCAATTCCATGAACACTGATTTTATCGTTTCATATATATACCCCTATAAAACCTAGCAACCGACATTTCACTGGTAAAGTGGAAAAAAATGATTGCGAAATTAGTGAAGTGAATAGACAAACAGAAACTATTTCGCAATTAATTTACTCTTTTTACCAGTGAAATGTCGGTCGCTAAGCTTTATAAGTGTATATATATGAAAATGAAAAAATAAGTTTTCATGGAATTGGTCCGGAGTCAGTGGGTTATCTGATCAAAACCCTCCCATTGGCATCAACTCGACCTTTCCTTTTTGAATTTTTAAAAAAATCCCACATCATAAAGCTTCAAATTACATTTTTTGTTGATTTTCAATTTTTTTTCAAGTCCCTGACAAACTAGACTCTACTTTATCCAGCCAAAATCCACCTGCAAAACACATTTTTAGAGAAAAAATCAAACAACTTTATTTCACAAGTGTCATTTTTCTCGGATTTTCAGATGTGAATCGACTCTGAGTTGTTGTAACTACAGTGTTTCTTCGGCTTCCCGATTTTTTCCCGATGTTTTTGAAGTTCAACACAATGAACACCGAAGCGTCAGCGACTCCTGAAAACATTCAGAGTTTCGATAGATGTTCTAGTTGGATCAGGAAACCTACCATTCACTAGAATTGCTGCGATATAAAATGGTCCTAATTTATTGAACAACGAAACTCCGGTAATCTCCTCGTATAAAGTTACAAGAAGTGAGGGAATTGTTACAAAAAATAGAGATGCAAAAAGTATTCCCACAGTGATTCGATTGGCTTGTTGAAAAACATTTAGAGCTTTTGATTTTTGTGTAGAGTTTGAGGCAACAGGTGTAGAAGATCCGGTTGATGTTTTCTTGTTCGAGATTTTTCGAAGTCCAATAAACACAAAAATACTCATAACAACTATCAGAACACCACAAAATGTGTTGGAATAACTGACATACATCAAAAAATATTTGTTGACAAAGCATGACATTGTTGGACAATTTGGATGGTGGACAAAATCAGGGGTTAGCATTTGGAACCAGTAATCGAATTGAAACCAGACAAACCCGACGATGAAGGTGATGTTGGCGTATTGAGTGCGACTGGTTTGGCGGTAGAACACTGGGAAATATATTGCCTGGAATTTGGATTTGAAAGTTTTGGGTTTTTTCACAAACACTGAGTTGCACTTTTTTGTCAAAGTCAAAAATCCTTACCAGAACTCGATCAAACGCCATTCCCAAACTAACAATCACAACAATTTTCAAATGAGCTGGCAAAAACGAGTTTGTGTAGATGATAAAATAGGGGTTGTAATCGAAATACACATCATTCCACATGTAAAATTCGTATCCGACGTGGATCATTGCGGCTAGAGCATAACCAATATCTCCGATCGCAAGATAGAAAGCAAGTCGAAGATTTTCGGCATTAGGAATACGTTTCCTGAAAGTTTTTATAGGGTAATCTCTTGTGTTTTACTCCAAAACTACATTTTATTCGTTTATATATGAACATAATTCTAATTCTATTTCACGAAGTAAAAATTCACAAGTTTTTTGATCGGCAACATTTTTGAGAAGAAATACACAAAGATCAGCACGATCAGAAAACATCTGTCGTCTTCTAAAAATTCAGCTGGTACCAACAACTTTGGGCCTTCCTTGATAAAATGAAATGATATCAGAATTTCTGATTAAAAATCAGATGTTGATTATGACGAGTTGAAAAAAGGGAACAAATAACAGTTTAGGGAATTTTTGTTAATAAGATAGCTTCGTTGAGATTTTTCGGGAATTAATGAATTATCAAGTTAGACAACCTTATCCTAGCAGATAAAATATAAACGTTTTCTTCAGTGCCTAGCTCCAACCCAACCTATATCTAATTGAACCACAAAGTTGCTGAGTAGGACCGTGACAGCCTTGGCAACTTTCGCCTAAAATGTGAACCGAACAATCTTCCCCAAAAACCAATTTTTGAACCATTCCTCCCAACTCACGTTGCAAAAATTAAAATGATAAATCCGTTCATAACAAACGAAAATGCCGCAGCCACCAATGCGACTCCTTCAGTTATCAGAAAAATGTACGCCATTTGCAATTTGTTTGTTAATGAAATGAAGTTGCCAAAAATGTTTTGGATTTGCAGGCGGAACGAAAAAAGCAGCTGATACTCAAAATATAAATGAAAAAATAGTTCAAGAATGAGTTATGTCTGAACACGCGCGCGCAGAGGAAAAATGTTATTATGAGTTATTTATTAGATTTAACGTTTTTTTATTTTTTGCTTGCTTTTGCTCATTGCAATTAGCTGCCTTTGGGGAAAGATTTATCTTTTTTGGAACAAGGATCAGTTCTCTATTTTTCACCTGCTACGAAAATTTTGAAAATGATTTATTAATGTGTTGCTCAAAAATTAAGGTCGTTTGATATCTGAGGGTTGTGCTCCACAGACTGCTCCCATCCACGTGGCAACTCGGAAATCTTTTAAAGTTCGAGAAACTGCTGAGACTGCAACGTAAATTTGGTTTCCGTTTGCATTGTCGGGTTGTTCATCGTCCCATCCGCCAACAAAAGCATCAGTTCCAGTTGTCACACCATCAGTCCATGAGAACGAATTTGTCTCGGTACAGGTTGCAGTGAGATTTGAGATTAGACAATCGTTGGTTCGAACCGCACCAACAATTGCGCTAGCTTGCAGGTTGTTTGTTTGTTGCCACAACGAAGTTGCGGCTTCAACACGTTCTTGAGCACTTTGGAAACCTGTCAGTTTCCCGCCATGCCACGCACATTTCGCCACTGCTGCGTCGTAGTTCAAAGACTGGACAAACACTTTGATGCACCAATCACCAATCGAACGAGTATAGCTCGCCCAACCTGCAGGACACACTGTGAATGGTCCGCTTGGCGCCTCTGTTACGGTGACTGCGGGAGGTGTAACGATATCTGCGGGTTTCGCACCACAGGCAGCACCGTTGACTACAGTTGTTGCGCAGACATCGCTGAGGGACGAGTTTTGTTGTGTCATTACAGCGTATTTCTCATTTCCCTCGTTGTTATCAGGTTGAAGAGGATCCCAAACAAATCCGGTTGTTCCAGTTGTAACACCATCTGTCCATTCGAACGAGTTTAGTTTAGTGCAAGTTGATGTGAGATTAGAAGTGGCGCAATCTGATGTTCTTTCCGCTCCAATGAAGATAATCGAAGACGAGAGGGATGTAGCAGTTTGAAGGAGTTTAGAAACCCCGGTTCGTTCAGCTGCAGTCTGCAATCCAGTTATGACTCCACCATAAGAAGCGCATAAATCCGTAGCTTGTTGATGGTTTACAGTTGCCAAGATAACTTTCACACACCATCTTGCAGCAGTTGTTCTTGTGTAGGTTGTCCAGCCTGAAGGGCATTTTGGTTCAGTGGTTGTTGGTGGAGATGTTGATGTTGTGACTGTGGTGGTGGTTTGGGTGGTTGTCACAGTTGTACTTGGTGTAGTTGAGGTCGTTAAAGTGGTCGTAGGTGTTGTGACGGTTGAAGTCGAAGGTTGAACCGTTGAAGTATCCAGCCATCTCACATTACAGCACTCCGCCAATCCTGCCAAACCTCCAAACACAACCAGATACTTGAAAAACATCTTATGATTTCCTCCCACACACACCGCTCTTTTAATACAGTAAGGTTGTGTTAGAAAACGTGGTACATCGTAAATTTTTTAGATCCTCACATTAAAAAAATTTCGGCATCGTGGTTTTATTGGCTTTGATCAAACTACAGAGATTTATGATGATCGTAAATGCAGGTGTCAGGTGCTTTTTTTTGGGAAGATGTTTGACTTCCTTGAAATTTTTTTTCTGAAATATGGAAACAAATGATTTTAGTTGACTAGGATAACGAAATATCTAGACAGTGAATGTGAAATCTAATTGTGAACAAAACTCTGGAGCTTGTAATAAATATGTGATAGGTAGAATCAATCAAAGAACTTTCTACAGAATAGCTTCTGAAACCACGGAAATTCAAGAATTCTGTGAAATAAACAAATTATTCAATCGTATTTTTTGCACTACACTTGAATCGTTTTTGTAGATTTTAGCATAATTTCATTTTCTTTTGTTAATAGAATATCAAGAATTTTTGCATTCCAAATTAATTTTATTCCAACCACAGAAAAAACCCCCAACAAATATATCAGAATTATACTCGGATGATATTAGCTGGAACCGCTCCACATACTGCTCCCATGAGAGTTGCCACTCCGAAATCTTTCATTTTACGTGTTGCTCCCTCGATCAAAACATATTTCTGATTGTTGTTCATATTGTCCGGTTGTCCATCAGCCCACGCGCTCAAAAATCCGTCAGTTCCAGTTGTCACACCATCAGTCCACGAGAATGAATTTGTCTCGGTACAGGTTGCAGTGAGATTAGAAGAAATACAAGCCGTGGTACGAATTGCTCCGACGATGGCTGATGCTGTGAGACTGTTTGTTTGATTCCAAAGTGAATCTGCGGCATCAACGCGTTCAAGAATTGTTTCGAATCCAGAGAGTTTAGCACCATGCAAGGCACATTTTTCGGCTGCTGTTGTGTATGTTACCGATTGCACAAATACTTTGATACACCATACTCCAGTTGAACGATTATAACTTGTCCATCCAGTTGGGCATTCAGTGTATGGTCCGCTTGTTGGTCCAGCAGTAGTGGCAGGAGGTGTAACGATATTAGCAGGTTTCGCACCACAAGCAACACCGTTGACTATAGTTGATGCGCAGACATCGCTGAGGGACGAGTTTTGTTGTGTCATTACAGCGTATATCTCATTTCCCTCGTTGTTATCAGGTTGAAGAGGATCCCAAACAAATCCGGTTGTTCCAGTTGTAACACCATCTGTCCATTCGAACGAGTTTAGTTTAGTGCAAGTTGATGTGAGATTAGTCGTGGCGCAATCTGATGTTCTTTCCGCTCCAATGAAGATTATTGATGATGATGTGGATGTAGCTGTACGAAGAAGTGAAGAAATTCCAGTTCTTTCAGCTGTAGTCTGCAATCCAGTTATGACTCCACCATAAGAAGTGCATAAATCAACAGCTTGTTGATGATTCACAGTGGCCAACACAACTTTCACACACCATTTTCCAGTTGATCTTGTGTAGGTTGTCCAGCCAGAAGGACAGTTTGGTTCAGTGGTTGTTGGCGGCGTTGTGGATGTTGTGACTGTTGTGGTGGTTTGAGTGGTTGTCACAGTTGTTGGTGGTCTTGTTCGACATCTCACTCGACATCCATCCGCCAAACACACCAGAACTCCGAATAATACGAAGACTTTGAACATGATAGTTATGATTTTTCTCCCCACTCGATGCTGGCTTTAATACGGAAACGGTATAGCTAGGAAACGTGGAGGATCGTAAATTTTTTAGATCCCCGCTATCAAAAATTTCTGCGGCATCATAGTTTATGGCATCGTAAAGGGAAAGCTGTTGTTTTATGTGATACTTTAACCACGCAAAGAAGAAGCGAAAATAAAATATTTATTGTTTTCTGATATTTCAGAGAAAATAATTATGGTCGTTTGATATTTGCTGGTTGAGCTCCACAGACATATCCCATCATCACTGCATGTCGGAAATCTTTCATTTTTCGAGTCGATGTTCCAACGGCCACATAAATCTGATTTTTATTGTCATTGTCGGGTTGTTCATCGTCCCATCCGCCAACAAAAGCATCAGTTCCAGTTGTCACACCATCAGTCCATGAAAACGAATTTGTCTCGGTACAGGTTGCAGTGAGATTCGAAGAAACGCAAGCGGTTGTTCGGGTTGCTCCAACAATTGCGGCAGCATAGATGTTATTGGTGGCTTCCCAAAGAGCATTCGATGCATCGATGCGTTCCTGCGCAGTTTGGAATCCGGATAGTTTTCCACCGTGCCATTTGCATTGTTTTTCAGCGTCGGCCTGTTTCACCGATTCCACGAATACTTTGACGCACCAATCACCTACTGAACGAGAATAAGTTTTCCATCCAGTTGGACACGTGGTGAATGGACCGCTGGGTGCTTCGGTAGTAGCGACAGAAGGTGGTATTATGATTTCTGCAGGCTTTGCACCACAAGCAACTCCGTTGAGCACAGTTGTTGCGCAGACATCGCTAAGCGACGCATTTTTTTGAAGCATCATTACGTACTTCTCATTTCTCTCGTTGTTATCAGGTTGAAGAGGATCCCAAACAAATCCGGTTGTTCCAGTTGTAGCACCATCTGTCCATTCAAACGAGTTCAGTTTTGTGCAAGTTGATGTGAGATTAGAAGTGGCGCAATCTAATATTCTTAATGCGCCAATGAAGATATTGGAAGTTGAGATGGATGTAGCAGTTTGAAGAGATGCAGCAATCGAATTTCTTTCAGCGGTAGTTTGCAAGCCTGTCATAACAGCTCCATTCTCAGCGCACAATTCAATAGCTTCTGGATGATTCACAGTCTTCAAGAACACTTTCACACACCATTTCCCAAAAGATCTGTTGAATGTTGTCCAACCAGTTGGGCAATTCGTGGCCGCAGGCTTTGTTGTAGTTTGCGGCAATTTACACCCAGTCACCAAACTCGCCAAGAATCCCACGAAGAATACAAATTTCAACATTTTGTGATTTCTTGATTTCATTCGTCGTTTTATAGGAAATTTTAAGGCAACGTGGAGAATCATTAATTTTTACATCTTCGCGTAAAAAATTAGCGGGGCACTAAAATTTTGCCAATTTTTCGATCAAAGTATGTATACAACCGTTTTTTTGTTTTTTTTTGGAAAATTATTCGGGGAAAATCATTTTTGCTGAGCGTCAGAGAAATAGATTTTCATATAGTATAGCTCTAATTGATCATGTTATTATCGGTTCAGTACTACATACTTGTATGACAGTGTTTCGCGCCTACTCTTTACTGGGAATATGAAAATCCCTAGAATACTTTTATTTTGAAAAAGGCCATCAACGCAAATTTGATTTCGTTCAGTTGTTTTTTCCAAAACAATCCAATAAAAATAATTTTATAAATTACAAATTAATAAATTACGTCACACTTCTAGTTTTGCTAAGAGGATTTAGAACTTGAACTTTGTTTGGTTTCATACTCATTATGAGATAACTCGCAATAATAGCATCTATCAAGATTTGAAATACACGAACTGTTGAATTGAATGGTCCAACTCCATCACCAGACAATATTATTTCTTCGAAGAATTTGGTGATTAAATAAGGGAAGAAATCAAAAATAACAGAAAGTGCAGCATCGGCAAGGCACATATAATTTGTCTGAAAAATTGAGATTACGAGAAGAAAAGTTTTTCACTGATCGTCAACTAACTCTTTTGAAATCTGCATTAGCATATTTTCGATTAACACAAAACAATCTGAAGAACAAAGCAAGGGAAATGAATGTTGTCGTCCAACTCAGAATCAATTTCATCAACACAAAATAATCAAGATAGCATGCATTCGCCGAACATCCAATTGTGTAACATTTAATTTTTCGAACAACATGACATACTTGAAAATATATCAGATCATCGATAATTCCACAAACAATTATGATTATAATAGCAAAACGATTGGAAAATCGTCGGCGATAATTGTGAAATATTATAGGGAAGAAAACAGCGATGAATCTTTCGAACGAAATTAAAAATGCTAGATAAAATTTTGAAACTTGAATACTACTCAAAAATGTTGTCCAGTAATACAGTACTGGATATTCGAAGAGGTAGAAGTTGAAGATGAATGATGCAGCCGTGGCTCCAAAATATATCACATCTGTAAAATTTTTACATTTGTTAAGATGTAGGGAAACCCGTATCTTGAAAATTCTAGTTGTTTTAATATTAAAAAATGACACAATTGTTTGATTTTCTAAATTTGTAAATCCTCTAACTTACTCAAAACCGCCGTTATTAGATCCACAAAAAATCGAAGTGTGAACAACTGATACTCATATTTATTCTTCAAACTAGTTGAATATAAACTTCGAATTAAATTCGAATTCAAAATCAAGACAAAGAATGATCCAATACATCCAATACTTGAAACTGCAAACGGGACAGGTTTCATCTCTGAATTATGAAAAAATAATGATAATATTCGTAATAAGAATAAGAAGAAGCATATAGTTATATAGAAGTAGTTAATTATTTTCACATCAGTATTTTTTTCTCATAGAAACAACACAGATGTAAACAAAAAACACATGGGTTCCACCCTTTTTTGGAAATTAAGAATGAATTCGGAAAAAAATACGAGATAGAATATTTTATCGAATTTCGTATTCAGAACAGCTCGTCTTTTTGAACTTCACTTAAAGAGGGAAATGAAAATAATAACAATTTTTCCGAGAAATGACTCAAAATGTGGCTGTTTTTCAGAAAATAGGAATAATAACTAGTTGCGAGATGAAGAAAACCTGAATTTGACGAACGAACTAATCACAAAAGTGCAGTTTTTGGATTTTGTCTCTTCTCAAAAATTTTACAATTTGTTTTAGTTGTTTTTTCCGGCTTCAGACTACAATTATTTATGAAATTCAAGTTTCATTTTTTTATTTTTGATATAATAAAATACAATTAAATTCCAATTGCTTTCAAACCCATTTGTTCCAACAATATTGATTGCAGATTAATTTCACGATGTTATGAACTCACCCAACCGAACACCATCTAAAATATAGAATTGTTTTTTTCATGATCCAAAAATTAGTGGGAAAGTGCTAGAACGATTGGATGAATTGTTAACAACAAAAGTTTTCACAATTGTTCTAATTAAAAATTGACAGATCACAAGAATATTTTTTCGGGCTGAACCTTTATTGTTTCCATTTTAACCATTTGATCTTATTTTTCTAAAATTCTCAAATTTTTGAAAAAAATCACTATTTAACTGGCTATATTTAGACTTTGTTAAAAGTTCACTTACTGACGTATTTCATTCACGAGATCATTTGAGTAACAAATTGTCAGCAATCATGAGCTTTTTTTGCACTTTATTGTCACGATTTTCATTTTTACTTTCTTATGAAATTTGTTGAACTTCACTGCTAATTTGAAATTTGCTCTTATCCATTTACAGAATCATAAGCTCACCAATAATATTTCAGATAAGTCAAGTCAGTTCCGCAAAAATTCAGTCTAAAAATGTTTTCCTAGTCAGAGCACCTTACAAATTGTTATTCTCAGAATTTTTAATCATCTCCTAGCCTACGCACGAGAATGTCAGTCTATGTCCCTTGGGAATGCAAAAGCCGAATAAAATGCAACGCCTAATCAGAATAGACAGAAAATTATCATTCAGCACTATGCTCGCCTACCCGTTGCTCCTAACATGTTTCTATGGCGGAATAACTTTTTTGGTCTATACAATTTTGATTTTTATTATTATCGCAAACTGGAAACACTTCAATTCAACTTATTACAAGCTTTTCATCGTTGACTACTTTTTCGTAAGTTAATGAATCTGGAAGAAATATTCAGAAATACTCACAAAGTGTATAAATAAGAAACCTTTTTTGTGTCAAAAAATTTATATTTAAAAAATGGGACAACTTTTGAAACGGACCGTAGGCTAGGTATTGAGCAGTTCATGTCCAAGTATTCCGATCAGAATCAAACCAATACCAATTTCGGAGACCAGAATTTTTTTTTTTGAATTCAGTTCCGACAAATTGGAACTAGTCTATTAAATTTTCAGAACTTGTTGACATTCCTCAATTCTTTCATCACCCTCCGAATCCCTCAAAATACATGCGCCAAATGTGATCTAACAGATTTGCTCAGCCTACACACAAAAGATAATTATTCCGACTTTCCTTTGTATATTTTCTATACTTTGCAATATGGAATGGCCTATGTTCAATATTCAATGATTCTTCTTTTCTCTTTCAATCGTTTTACATCTGTTTATTTTCTGAATAATCGTGAATGGCTCTGGTCAAAAATTTGGGTTTATCTTATCATATTAATTTGCCTTTTCTCATTCTTCTTAACTAGTGATCTTTTAAAATTCAGAGTTTATTACTCATATTATGAAACACTCGATTATTTTTCCACACAAAGTGAAGGGGTTTGTTTTTTTTCCAATTTTCAGATTTTTTATTTATTTTCAGGATGTTCTCGGTACGTTTCGTATTCTTATTTATTTTATGATAATTGTGACATGTATCACAGCTGTTTTGAACATTTCATCAGTTTATCATCTGTACGAACTAACTTCCAAAATATCGCGAGCTGAGACAAATTTGATTTTGGTCAGTTTCTGGTCATTCATAATTCAACTTTTTGCAATTATTATAATGGTGAGTTAGAAATATTACGATGATTATCAATAATTTTTTAAAAATTTCAGTCAGTTCAAAGTTTCGGAATGAATTCGAATAACGAGACAAGTCCCTGGGCACGCTTCACAGTCCGAATTATTCCCTATGTTAGTGACACATTAACTTTAGGCCAACCTTGGCTTCTCTTGGTTTTCAGCAAAACAGTGAGTTGAAACATAAATATATATTATATGTATAGAGATGATTTTCCAGACTCGAACTCTTATCTCAAGAATTGGGAAGAATGTTTTCAAGTGGAATCCAACTAGTGTATACAATATACAAAATGATATTTTGTGATGGAAATGTTTCAAACTAGTATTTATGTTAACTTTTATAATGTTTTGCTTTGAAAGTATCTATTTGGTTTTTTCAATTATCAATATTTCTTAGTATATTTATTTATATTTGATTTTTTATTCAATAAAGCCTGACAAAACAATTTTTGGACAAAAAACAGTATTGGTTTTTCTTGGAAAACGTTTCGATGTTTTCCGAACCCTGGGCACGCCTATTGTGGACCTATTGCGCATTACCTGTAAATTCCTCAGAGAAATGTCATGTAAGATGCCGGTTGAACTGTTTCCGACTTTTTTTGTTTGCTTAAGATTTTCTTTCTGTTATCAATTTTTCTTGTTTTTTTCTTTGCCATTATACTTCTTGAAACAATATTGCAAGAATTCAACATGTTTTCTTGAACACTGTAGACCCGGAGTCCGGGTCCCCGGACATTAATGAAGTCAAACATTTTATTATGGTTATTTGTAAAATAATTCATGAACAAATCAGAAAAAGGCTTGCGTGAATGCATGAATGGATTCATTCAACAATCACTGTATATACTTTCTGACACATTCTTGATTTTCAACATTAATGAAAAATAATCGGAAAACACCAGTTGTTGTTTCTAATGGTTTCAGAAAAACATATCGATTTTCGCGGAGGATTTGAGGTATGAAATCAAATACAATTTGATACCCATTTGGCCAGAAATCAGGATGAAGCTGAAAATACAAATTACACTTATCGGGCAAAAAACGATATCAAACGTCAGAACCTGCAACAATCTCGGGAAAAAATTAGCAACCTTGGCGCTAATTTGCGACTAGATTCTTTGGTGGCGCAGAAGTGCGACCGTTTTGAGCGAACGTGCGACACTTTTTAGTTAATCGCAGTCGTCTGCGCAGATCTGCTGAAATGTGTCGCTAACGATTTCAGAACCTGCGACACACTCTCTTTTTTTTTTCGCGGAATCCGCGTAATGATTCCCATCTAAAATGGTGAAAAATCGTCGGCGGACGGCGCCGTTCAAGCCAGACTTTCTCTGAGAAGAACACAAAGATGCATAACTCGCTCACAATCAGATGGTAGTCATTACATAGTTTTTTGCGATATTTTATAAAAATGTAGACTTACTTCAACGTTGAACTGACAAACTGTGATTCCAAGTTTATCAAACTGATTTCCCCTGTTCAAGTAATGCAAAAACGTTAATTCTCCTCCTTCAATATCAATCCATAAAAAATCAATTCTTTTCAATTTTAGAATATTGTTGAAAAAATATGGCACATCAATTGTAGTGACATCTTGATACGTGTATTCTCTTGTTTTTTTATTTTGATTTGGTAAAACTTTGAATCTATTAATTCCTGCATCTTTTCCAACTGCAAATGGAAAAAACTTTCCACCAAAATGTGAGTACATTTGAAGATTTGGTTGGATAATTGGATCAGCCCCATAGAATGTTGTATTTGGAAGAGTTCTAGAGAGTAGCACTTCAGCTTTTACATCAAGTCCAATACCTAATGTTACCATAACATTATCTTCTTTCTGGAATTATATGAAATTAGAAAAAAATCATGTTTCCAGAAAGTATCTCACACATTTTGGTAGGATTGCCCATTTGATTTCATGATCATTGGGAAACTCATCAATTGAAAGATTGGTAAATTCCGGAATCGTATCGCATTTTTTAATTATTTTGCAAATTTCGAGTGAAAAGTTTTTGGGCTCCATTTTAATGAGAACATCTTCAAATAATGGATCAACACAATCATGAAACCCTTTTAGTAATTTAGCCGGTGTTGTTCTTGGCTTCAATTTATCAACAGATAAGTCACAAACATGTAATTTCTCTAAATCTTGAAACTTGGGAAACGGCGAGATATCATATTTCTCAAAATCAAATCCAATACCATCCATTGGATCGAAAACACCCTTGTACTGCATTGTAGATTTTGTGTAAAAGCTATCGTTATTTAAAGTTAACTTTTTTGAAATTGCATTTGCAGAAGTTGTTGTTGTCCAATTAAACAACGATGTGAAAAAAATGAAAGCCGTGACCAAACTTGTGCAGAATATGAAAAACTGAACTGGAATGAATTTTTGCGTGTTTAGCAATTTGTAAATAGTCATAGTCATATTCTGTTCAAAACAGAAAAACAGAGTTTTAAATCTCACCAAGATCAGATAAGATCATATCGAAAGTTTTCCAAACAAGGAAAGAACTTCTGATAAAAACTGGATTTCTCTACTTGTTTTCAAGCACAATAAAAATTAGACTAAATGTAACAACATATTAGACAAACAACATATATCCGGGTGAATCATAATAAAAATAAACCAGAAGGGCTCCGTCGGCAAAATTTTCAGAAAATATCTACTCTACTATTTTTTTTCAAATATAAAAGTGCTCTTATTTAAAAAATTCGCGTTGATTTGGAAATTACTAGGAAAACGAAAAAAAAGTGTTACATTTACACAAAAATTCGAGTAGGCAAAGTGATTAATTTTAGCTTTTTGATGAATCATACATCCTTTCGGTCTAGCACTTTCTTGAAAATTATACATTTGAAGCGACATGCTGGTAAGTTTTTGTGTTCCTCATATTTTTTATTGAATTCCATACTTATCGGATTACGGGTTTGCAATTTTGAAGAGAGAATTTTTGTATCCCTAAAAAATGTAACAAAATTTTTTTTTCAATTTTTGTTACAGTTGCAAAAAATGAAGACGTGAAATGTTGTAACAAAATACTTTTTTTTTCAATTTGTTACGAGAAAATATGAAAACAACATTTTCTCAAAAAAGTGATTCATTTTTTGAAGTGAAACTTTTGACTTCGGGATCGTTTTCAGCATGGTCGAATTACTATATTTCAGGCATGTTCATTTCGCCGGCGAACGCCAGGCGTCGCCTTTTTTATTGAGGCGAATTGCGAACTTTCACATTTAATTGATCAACTCTCTTCAAAATTGCAAACCCGTAATCCGATAAGTATGGAATTCAATAAAAAATATGAGGAACACAAAAACTTACCAGCATGTCGCTTCAAATGTATAATTTTCAAGAAAGTGCTAGACCGAAAGGATGTATGATTCATCAAAAAGCTAAAATTAATCACTTTGCCTACTCGAATTTTTGTGTAAATGTAACACTTTTTTTTCGTTTTCCTAGTAATTTCCAAATCAACGCGAATTTTTTAAATAAGAGCACTTTTATATTTGAAAAAAATAGTAGAGTAGATATTTTCTGAAAATTTTGCCGACGGAGCCCTTCTGGTTTATTTTTATTATGATTCACCCGGATATATGTTGTTTGTCTAATATGTTGTTACATTTAGTCTAATTTTTATTGTGCTTGAAAACAAGTAGAGAAATCCAGTTTTTATCAGAAGTTCTTTCCTTGTTTGGAAAACTTTCGATATGATCTTATCTGATCTTGGTGAGATTTAAAACTCTGTTTTTCTGTTTTGAACAGAATATGACTATGACTATCTACAAATTGCTAAACACGCAAAAATTCATTCCAGTTCAGTTTTTCATATTCTGCACAAGTTTGGTCACGGCTTTCATTTTTTCACATCGTTGTTTAATTGGACAACAACAACTTCTGCAAATGCAATTTCAAAAAAGTTAACTTTAAATAACGATAGCTTTTACACAAAATCTACAATGCAGTACAAGGGTGTTTTCGATCCAATGGATGGTATTGGATTTGATTTTGAGAAATATGATATCTCGCCGTTTCCCAAGTTTCAAGATTTAGAGAAATTACATGTTTGTGACTTATCTGTTGATAAATTGAAGCCAAGAACAACACCGGCTAAATTACTAAAAGGGTTTCATGATTGTGTTGATCCATTATTTGAAGATGTTCTCATTAAAATGGAGCCCAAAAACTTTTCACTCGAAATTTGCAAAATAATTAAAAAATGCGATACGATTCCGGAATTTACCAATCTTTCAATTGATGAGTTTCCCAATGATCATGAAATCAAATGGGCAATCCTACCAAAATGTGTGAGATACTTTCTGGAAACATGATTTTTTTCTAATTTCATATAATTCCAGAAAGAAGATAATGTTATGGTAACATTAGGTATTGGACTTGATGTAAAAGCTGAAGTGCTACTCTCTAGAACTCTTCCAAATACAACATTCTATGGGGCTGATCCAATTATCCAACCAAATCTTCAAATGTACTCACATTTTGGTGGAAAGTTTTTTCCATTTGCAGTTGGAAAAGATGCAGGAATTAATAGATTCAAAGTTTTACCAAATCAAAATAAAAAAACAAGAGAATACACGTATCAAGATGTCACTACAATTGATGTGCCATATTTTTTCAACAATATTCTAAAATTGAAAAGAATTGATTTTTTATGGATTGATATTGAAGGAGGAGAATTAACGTTTTTGCATTACTTGAACAGGGGAAATCAGTTTGATAAACTTGGAATCACAGTTTGTCAGTTCAACGTTGAAGTAAGTCTACATTTTTATAAAATATCGCAAAAAACTATGTAATGACTACCATCTGATTGTGAGCGAGTTATGCATCTTTGTGTTCTTCTCAGAGAAAGTCTGGCTTGAACGGCGCCGTCCGCCGACGATTTTTCACCATTTTAGATGGAAATCATTACGCGGATTCCACGAAAAAAAAGAGAGTGTGTCGCAGGTTCTGAAATCGTTAGCGACACATTTCAGCAGATCTGCGCAGACGACTGCGATTAACTAAAAAGTGTCGCACGTTCGCTCAAAACGGTCGCACTTCTGCGCCACCAAAGAATCTAGTCGCAAATTAGCGCCAAGGTTGCTAATTTTTTCCCGACATTGTTGCAGGTTCTGACGTTTGATATCGTTTTTTGCCCGATAAGTGTAATTTGTATTTTCAGCTTCATCCTGATTTCTGGCCAAATGGGTATCAAATTGTATTTGATTTCATACCTCAAATCCTCCGCGAAAATCGATATGTTTTTCTGAAACCATTAGAAACAACAACTGGTGTTTTCCGATTATTTTTCATTAATGTTGAAAATCAAGAATGTGTCAGAAAGTATATACAGTGATTGTTGAATGAATCCATTCATGCATTCACGCAAGCCTTTTTCTGATTTGTTCATGAATTATTTTACAAATAACCATAATAAAATGTTTGACTTCATTAATGTCCGGGGGACCCGGACTCCGGGTCTACAGTGTTCAAGAAAACATGTAGAATTCTTGCAATATTGTTTCAAGAAGTATAATGGCAAAGAAAAAAACAAGAAAAATTAATAACAGAAAGAAAATCTTAAACAAACAAAAAAAGTCGGAAACAGTTCAACCGGCATCTTACATGACATTTCTCTGAGGAATTTACAGGTAATGCGCAATAGGTCCACAATAGGCGTGCCCAGGGTTCGGAAAACATCGAAACGTTTTCCAAGAAAAACCAATACTGTTTTTTTGTCCAAAAAATTGTTTTGTCAGGCTTTATTGAATAAAAAATCAAATATAAATAAATATACTAAGAAATATTGATAATTGAAAAAACCAAATAGATACTTTCAAAGCAAAACATTATAGAAGATAACATAAATACTATTTAGAAACATTGCCATCACAAAATATCATTTTGTATATTGTATACACTAGTTGGATTCCACTTGAAAAAATTCTTTCCAATTCTTGAGATAAGAGTTCGAGTCTGAAAAAAATCATTATTCCACATTCTGTAGCAACTACCGAAGCAACCAGCTGTAGATACAGTAACCCAAAATTACAAAAATTGCTCATTTGAGCTCTAGAAAATATTGAAAGATTTTTTAGACTAATTCGACCCTGGAGATACTAAAACTAACTTTTTCACTCTTCACCCACGAACACAAAAAATGCCGACTTCATCTTCCAACAATTAATTTTGGACAATCGACGGTGGACTAATTGTTAATGATTTTTTTAAGTTACAGACATGTTCATTTCGCCGGCGAACGCCGGGCGTCGCCTTGTTTATTGAGGCGAATGCGAGGCGTGCCTCTTTTTATTTTTCAACGAACAAGGCGAGGCGAGGCGAAGCCGGCGATTCGCCGGGCGAGTTGCATTTTGCAAGTGAGACTAGCTTAAATGTTCTTCGATTTTTTTCATAAATTCGGCTGTCGACGGGGTTTCAGCTACCTATTAGAAACATTTTTAATCAAGATTTTGCTTTAGTTTTCACTAAAACGTATATATGGATAAGAAACAGTTATTTTTAGATGGAAAACAGATCGTTCAAATGTTCTCATGTAACTGTAAGGCGATATATTTTTACAAAAACATTTTGCTGAAATTGAATGTTTATAAATACAGTTTTTCACAAATTGGGTGAAAAAACTAGATTTTCAGTGCCTGCCTTTTGCCCGGCTAAATCTGTGCAGGCGTGCCTCGCCTCGCCTGCGATTCGAAAAACGCCTTGCCTTCGCCGCGGCGAGAAAACGCGTGTGTGTTGTCTGTTTCATAAAGAAACGTTATTTATTTGCACTAGTGGATCAAGGGCGCTTATGCTTCAACTTATTCATTCACCACCGGTCATTATCATCTGTTCACTTGGTGCACAGATTTGTAGAAGTTTACTCGAGAACATAAATTAGCTCGAGACACAACTTCTTCCAGTAAAAAACCAAAACCAAAAAAAACGCAAAACCGCAAACACCATAACGCAATCGTGCACATAAATGTTTTAGCAGCACTCTAATTTTCCATCCAGATGTAGCAAAATTGCTCTGTTGAATATTAATTTGGATTCTTTTTTTCTGGGGAACCCGGAAATCGGGATTTCGGAGACGCCGAGTAATCACATTATGAAGGTAGTGATTTCATTATATTTATTATTGAAAAAATGAACAAAACACAAAATTAAAATTACCGAGATGTTGGATGGTCCAGTATCGTAATTGTTGCCGATTAAGTTGGCACCTAAATAACTTTGAATCATTATTTGGAAAATTTTGACTTTTTCGCGTTGTCTTTGGATTTATTTTGAATTCAAGCATCTAAAAATAGTTTATTACTCAAAAACTCGATTATTATTCAAAATTTGCTGATTAAGGACAGGACAACGATGAAGCTGATTTTTTCAATGAAAAGTTTATGAAGAATATCCCAAATATTTTTCAACACAATACTTATCAGAATGATTGAAAAAATAAAGGCGGTGATGTCCAACAAATATATGATTTAAAATCGCGTATCTTTGATCGTTCACAATATGCCGAATAAACATTTTGAATTTGTCAAATTGCTCATTGTTTCCAGCAATATGAACCTTAATTTAAACAATTGATTTTTTATGAAAACCTCTAAAAAATATTTCAAAACCTCCATGTTAAATTGACAAACAGTAATTCCAGCATCATCCAACTTTCCATGTTTATAAAAATATTGTAAAAGTTCGTATTCTGCGTATTCACTATCCATCCATAGGTTATCAATTGTCGAAATTTTCAATATATTTTTAAGATAATATATGAATTCAATATGAAACACATCGTAAGACTGATATCTATTATCTAGTAGTACACTAGCTTTAGAAAATCCATCTGATCCACTAATAGCTAATGGGAAAAATAAGCCAATCTTTGAGTACAATTCATAGTTATCCATAAACATTGGATCAGCACCATAGAATTTTGTTTTTATGTGAAAAGGCAGTTTATCAGTATCATTTTTATAGTGAAGTTCAGCATCGATATCTTTCCCAACTCCTATCGTTATGAAATTTTCCAGTTTTGAATTAGAAGATTTTTAAGGAAATATTGAGTATTTTATTTCATCGCCATTAATGAAATTTCGAATTTTCAGGGAATTTGTTGCGTCTATTAGGTTTGCACAAGCTGTAGTTTGAGATGCCGAAGATTTCCAAAACTTGAAAACAATTATTATCAACGTAATAAATTGGCAAAAAAGAAAGAGTCAGAAATTTAAATCCTAATTTCCCCAAGTGCGGTATTCCTCTAAACACTAACACCGTTTGCAGACCAGCCTACTTAGTAAAAAAAGACTAAAAAACATACAAATTCAACTAACTCCGGTGACTGTCGTACGTAACCGATCTCTATGAACAATTTTTTGAGAGTTTTCTGATTTACTTACTCTACCTAATCTGAAAATAATTATTATGATGTTACGTACAGACATGAAACAATTTAAAAAAAATCCAACTTTGTGAAATTTTTTGTGTTCGTAATCAAAAACAAGTTAGTATACTAATTAGGAACTATAAAATGATGGTTTTTGAGAAACTTTGAGCAATGAAATCATGAAAAATTGTTCCGTGATTACTGTCAGATCAGTGTAAACTTTTGTCGCTATAATTTGTTGTCACCCTGTATTTCATAATAATATTCGATGAATCCATTAGTTTTACTATCTATCTAAACGAATATTATTGACTTTCTTAAATATGAAATTATCAGAGATTATCAGAGACCAGTACCATTCAACTTTTTATCACAAAAAATCACATGAACTCTTGTGTGACTGCGTGAGTTAGCGTAAGTCAGAGCAAATTTCAGAAAAAAAATCTCATGATACATTTTTCTCATTTGGGGTGTAGATCAAACTGGAAAAATGTTGATTTCAACAAAATTTTCGAAAAACCAACCCAGACTCAAATCGGCGCAGTTCGAACGCCTACGCCTTATCAGTTTACCCACTTCTAGCTAACGATGGTTTAGAAAATTTGGCAAGCTGGTGTTCGAACCGCATATTTTAGCAAGCGGATTCGCGCTTTCTGTATATCAAATTTGCGAAAAATCTTCTGAGATACATGAGTCCGAATAGTTGTTTGTTAGCCCACCGTCATTCATAAAAATCTGACCTCTCTTGATGGAACATCAAAATCATATTTCTGATTAGCACATTTCCACCACTTTTGAAAAATTCCTTGAAATTTTTTTTTAGTCTCCATCTCCTTTGATCTTCCTGATGAGAATCTATCAAATGAATTGAGCCAGGACGCCACAATTACACAATTGACAAACACAGCAAAAAATATGTTTTTAGTGGGGAGTTTTTCAGAAGAACTAGTTTGTTTATTTGGAAAAACATGCAGCATATTCAAAATCTACAGAGAAACTATGAGTTATAATTTAGTTATAAACAAAAAATTATCTGATTTAAATTCTTGCTTTTCTTGAAAACACCACTGAGATTGTGGAACAAGATGAAAAATAAATTTAAAACTTTTGGTAAAACATGCATACTTGAATAAAAATTAATTTTTCATCTCAAGGTTAGTAGAGTAAATTTCTTAATTCAGTTTCATCATGACACTTGTTTCATGATTTGTGTTATAGGGTGATTCAATCGAATTAATTGACAAAAAACTAAGTTTTTAGGGCGATTAATCAATTTATCGCATTTTTTCAGTAATGAATGCAATTGACTTGCCTCGTAACATAATCAATCTATGGATGATTTGTTAAACGTAAGATTTTCAGACCAAATTTTCATTTCAGTTTACGCAGATACACATAAACACAGAATTATCTGGTATCTTAGAAGACAATTTATAGTTTGCTATTAATTGTGCCATGACCAGATCGTACCTATGTTTGGCCTTTTTTGAGAACGATAATAATACAATGTGTTGATTACATAAATAAACTTTTTCTTTTTTTGATCATCAATTTTTATGCGCACAGTTTTGAGAACGGGACCAGGACACACTATTGCCAGAAAAATTTTCCCAATTAGTATATAGTAGATAGTAGATAGATATTATAGGTTGAATCGCATTAAACTACAAAACGCATTTTGATAGGAATCATCGGTGTTATCTCTTGCGGGATAAATCGCCGATTAACAATTCATTGGAGTCATCAAGTATTATACTTATTCTCTTTCTTATTTTTTTTTCTTCCAATAAATTATTATTATTAAAAACTCTTGCTTAGTAAGTGAAGACCCAAAAACGAAAATCACTCTGAACTTCTATCCACAAACACCCCATTTTGAAAATTTTTTCAGAGGCTTTAGTGCACTTTCTAACCGCAAAAATAAGATTCGTCGTGATTTTTTACGTAGCACAGCAAATTTTTTTCTACGTGACCTCAAATAAAAAAATCATTGCAGAATGTGTTTTTCACGCGGCACACACATCTGGGCGGAGCCTAATAAAATCCTGTTTTTACTCGTTTTTTGAGGATTTGAACCCGAATTTCAGGGAAAAGTTGATTTTTCACTATCAGAATTGAGAAAAGAAGGGTTGAGGGAGATCCGGAAGACAGAAAATTGCTTATAAATCTTCTAATTCCGCTCAAAATGACGTTTCTCCATATTTTTCTCGATTTTCCCAGGAAAGACAATAAACTTTTGATTCAAAAAACTATTACTACTTGAAAAATTATCAACTACTTCTAAAAATGTAGTTTGAGCATGTTTCCTTCGGTTTCGGCTTCAAAAACACATTTTTTGTGAAAAAAAACACAAAAAAAGAAATTTTTTTGCGAAAATACTGTAGCGACACGTGAAATTGTGCAATGAGAAAATGCATAGTGAAAAATTTGCTGTGCGTAGAACGGGCTAAAAATGGGCTAAAATTTGAAAATTTTGATTTCGGTCTCAAATTTTCAGAAATGCTTATGAAAGTTGAGAAAAACATCTGAAGTTCAAAACTTCAGCATTTTCAGCATGAAAAGTCTTAAATTAAGTTGAAAATATTGCTTTTAGGGTTGAGCACAGCTTCTGGTAAATACGAAGAACAGCCACGAATAATTTCTGACTCGCTGAAATTTTGAAAATGCTGAAATTTTGAATTTCAGATGTTTTTCTCGACTACCCTAAGCATTTCTAAAAATTTAAGACCAAAATCAAAATTTTCAAATTTTAGCCCATTTTCAGCATTTTCCAGCTGCAAAATTTTGAAATTTTCGATTTTCAGACCGAATTCTAGCTGCAAATCGTCTGCTTAGAACCTTATATTTTTCAAAACACAGTATCTGGCAACTTTTTAACAAATTTTGTACAGTAACCCACACACATGCGCGCGCAATAGATCAAATCTTTTCAGGGCCATAAAGCTCGACTTGGGCCAAGGTTTGAGACTTTTATTTTGATCGATATATACGTAAAAAAATCACGGCGAATCTTATTTTTGCGGTTTGAAATTTGCAGAGAAACAGGGAAAAAGACAAATCACAGCGAAAAAAATATTGTTTTGTTCGAAAATTTTCGTTGCGGAAATTCGAAAAAAAAGTAGGAACTGTCCCGTGATGCTCTGAATAGAAAACATGCATGGTTTTAACAACATTAACAACATGTTGTTAATCAAGTTTCTATTGTGTTTAATAACAAGTAGAGAAATCCAGTTTTTCTAGGAGTTAATTCCTTTTCTGGACAACTTTCGATATGATCTTATCTGATCTCGGTTGAATATAAAACTTTAGTATTCTGTTTCGGACAGCATATGTTTGACACAATGTTGACTTTCCAAAAATCGCTAAAAATACAAAAATGTATATCAGTTTATTTTTTATTATTCTGCACAAGTTTGGTTATTGCCTTTATTTTTTTAATATCGTTATTCCGTTGGACAAAAACAGATTCAGTAAATGCAATTTCAAAAAAATTAGCTTTGGAAAACGATAACTTATACACAAAACCTACCATGCGGTACAGGGGTGTTTTTCATCCAATGGATGGTATTGGATTTGATTTTGAGGAATATGACATTTCGCCGTTTCCCAAGTTTCAACATTTAAAAAATTTACAAGCTTGTGACTTATCTGTTGATAAATTGGAACCAAGAACAACACCAGCTAAATTACTGAAAGGATTTCATGATTGTGTTGATCCATTATTTGAAGATATTCTCATTAAAATGAAGCCCAAAAACTTTTCACTCGAAATCTGCAAAACAATTAAAAAATGCGATACGATTCCGGAATTTACCAATCTTTCAATTGATGAATTTCCCAATGATCATAAAATCAAATGGGCAATCCTACCGAATTGTGTGAGAATTTTCAGAATTCTTGGAAAACACATGATTATTTTCTAATTTCATATAATTCCAGAAAGAAGATAATGTCATGGTAACATTAGGTATTGGACTTGATGTAAAAGCTGAAGTTCTACTTTATCGAACTCTTCCAAATACATCATTCTACGGAGCCGATCCAATTATCCAACCAAATCTCCAACTTTATTCACATTTTGGTGGAAAGTTCTTCCCGTTTGCAGTTGGAAAAGAAGCAGGAGTTAATAGATTCAAGGTTTTACCAAATCAAAATAAAAAAACAAGAGAATATACATACCAAGATGTCACTACAATTGATGTTCCTTATTTTTTCAAAAATATTTTGAAATTGAAGCAAATTGATTTTCTATGGATTGATATTGAAGGAGGAGAATTAACCTTTTTGCATTACTTGCACAGGGGAAATACGTTTGATAAACTTGGAGTCACAATTTGTCAGTTCAACGTTGAAGTAAGTATACATAGTGTAGCATTAGTGATATCATTGGAAATATGCATATGCATATTTCTGTTCATTGGGTAAAGGAAGGGTGTAAACAGTCAGAATGTCAAATCAACAAAAAAAAAATTAACACGATTCAAATGACAATCGATCAAACTGTTCAAAATCATTAGAAATATTGCAATTTCAGTCAGACAAATAACCCAGTCTTTATGTATACATTGTCGATAAAAGTTTGAAAGTGGTTTTGAAAAAATTGAATATGTTTCTCTGATATATCTGAATCATACATGCTCTCATAGATTTTCATCGATTTCTGGTTTATCTCTAATTATATGTGGATATCAATCAATATCCTCCAATAAACTAGGTTGAATGAAAACAAGATGTTACCAGAACTTTGTTTTTTTTTTGGAAATAGGAGTAGAAACCCCGTGGAAATCACGGAATGAGCTATTGCTTTCAGAAAGTATTTTGGTCAAATCCAAATCAAAATGAGTTGAAACAACAAAAATTATGCTCGAACTATTCATTGTTGATATTAAGAATTCGGAAAATATATTGAAAACAATTCAAGGAAACTGATTCACCGATACATGAGTTGATTATGACTTTGGCGATGTTGCAGATGAATTTCTCCTCCGAGGAGAAATGGGGCGAAATTCAAAAAATACATTGTTTCGCCTCCACGTGCAACACGTTTCTCCTCTTTCTCCTCAATTAGCTCGAGGGTGAAACTAACCTGCATCATCGCCAAACGTGATATGTTTCTCAGATCCATTATGGGGTGATTCAAATAGAAAAACAAACATGCTGAGTCGAAATTTTTTGTAAAAAAACGTTTGTTAACATGTTTTTTTTCTATCTGAATCACCCCATAAAAATGCTCCTCGAAAAACAACATATTTGGGAAAAGTCATGATTTTCAATTTTTTCCAAAAAATTTAAGATTTTTCATTGATATCAACATAATTCTTGGTAGTTCCATTTCAGAAAAATAACTTTCAAAACATTTTTGTTGATGCTGTTTGGCATTATTTGAGCTTTGAATATGAATCAAACCGCATATTTTTTTTCTTCTCCAGTCATGGCCAAAAACGATGACAGGTTTCAGTTCAAAAACTCTTTTTGTTAAAAAAAAAGGGGGGGGGGGTGAGACGACAAAATTTTATTTGCTCAAAAGATCGGGCCCCCTTTTAATAGTGTTTTGTGACATCTAAGCTCGCAAAATTTTTTGATCTACAAGATGTTGCCGATAGGAAAACGCGTACCCTTTTTACCCTTGTCGATAATACACAAATGTCATTTAGAAGGAAATGTGTTAAGTCCACCCAAAGTTAACACCTTAACTTTGGACATGTTTGGAGGCAAAAAAATGTTTAAAAAATGTTGTAGCTATATAGTTCTCACGTTCTATGTGGTTTTTTTGCCCGATAAGCAAGCGTATTTTGTATTTTCAGCTTCATCCTGATTCCTGGCCAAATGGTTATCAAATTGTATTTGATTTCATACCTCGAATCCTCCGCGAAAATCGATATGTTTTTCTCAAACCATTAGAAACAACAACTGGTGTTTTCCGATTATTTTTCATTAATGTTGAAAATCAACAATGTGTCAGAAAGTATATACAGTAATTTGTGAATAAACCTATATCGCGTTTATGCGAATAGAAAAGTCCGCGTACCATTTTCACGTAACCTAGATCCACAGCGAAAAAAAAATATTTTTTTGTTTCCGTGTGGTACGGTGCGCAAAACAGAAAGTGTTTGCACACACAAATGAAATTTTCGAAAAAAAAAGAAGAAACAGGGGGAGAAAACAGATCCTAGTTCAGTTCCTATTTTTTTTTTGGAATTTCCGCTACGAAAATTTTCGAACAAAAAAATATTTTTTTTCACTGTGGCTAGGTTTCTTTGATCACGTTGTGAAAAAATCTCTTTCATACCTCACAGATTCGCTGGCCAGCTCGCCACCAGATCGTTGCAGCCATTTGGAAGCCGCCAGGTCGCCTTGAGTTTTTCGGCGACGTGGCCTTTGTGTTTGAAATCCTGGAAAGCTGGAAAGATTTGCACACAAAACACTGCATTTTCTACTGCTCAGGAGAACGACCGCGAGATCTGCGCGAAACGCGGGGCCTCTGCGATTCGCTCAATCTTCGCGTGAGAATCACGCATTTCGCACAAACCTCGCGAAATCTGCTCGGGAAAAATACGGCGCCAAGGCGACATCCTGGGGCGCTAAGGCGTCATTCTGGGGAAAAAGGTGCGCAGAGAGAGCGCACCGGCGCTAACACGGCGCGCGAAGAGACGCACCGGCGCTAAAATGGTGCGCCAGTAGGACGAAAAAAAAGGTGAGTCTTTTAAATGTGTAAATACCCCTCCCTTAACTTTTAACTATACATCAAAAAATTATTTAACATCTAAAAATCTATTGAAATAAATTCGTTTCGATGTTTCCAACTTCTTTTTTTTTCATATCGAGTTGCCTCTCCGACTCTTTCAATGTACATATTTATCAGTCTCAACGACGTGTCGATGGGATCTTTGAAGTGCCAGGTCCTTTTTGATGTTGTCTTTTTTAGTTCTTCCAATATCTTCAGATTCTCGTTTCTTTCATGAACATTTTGTTGTAAAAATCTACCAGTTTCAGCGAGAGTTCTTTCTAATATTTGATCCGAATTCTTAATCTCCAATCTCAAATGTGCCACATTTTCCAATAATCCTGATTTTTCAGATTATTGTATAGCAACCTGGATTTGTATGTTATTTTTGAAAATCGCCACTGACGAGTTCAGCTTCTCCGCGTGATCTCTCACTCAGGAATTTTTTTGTACTCGTTCAGCACGTTTTGTGCATTTGTACGCGTTCAGTCCAATTGAGTACGCTTTCAAACTGATGCGTGTTCACGTTCAGTCTTTTTTAGCTGTCTTATATCAGGAACTGAACGCGTACGAATGCAAAAAGGTGCTGAACGGGTACAAAAAATCCTGAGCAAACAGTCGTAATAACTTCTCGCATGAATAATTGTATTGTACTTAGAATCGTTTAAAAAGTGATTTTAACTTCGAATTTTTATGCTTTTCAGCTTCATAAAGTGCTTTGAAGTCAGGCTGGGAAATTGGCTGGCGGAATCCATTCATAATAATTAGTAAATAAAGACCAGATTTTTGTTAAATCAGTTTTTTTCTCAAAATTTTACTATTTTTCCTGTTGTAAACACAAAAGACTATTAGTTGAGTATGAGCTTTCGTGGAAACCTCTTGTTTTCCAAAATACTCTTTTGTAGTGGCATAATTTTAAAGGGGGGTAAGACGACAAAATTTTATTTGCTCAAAAGATCGGGCTCCCTTTGAATAGTAAAAGCCCCAGGGGATTTTTTCTCGAAGGGCCTAAAAAGGTCCGAAAAAAATATTCCATGAACTTTTTCAACGTATGTCCGAAAGTTTATACACGTTGTCCGAAAGTTTATACATTTTTTCTGAGCGTTTCCAGAAAAATCCCTTGGAGGTTTTACTACTTTTGGGGCGTCTTTAACTTTGCGACAAAAAATTTGTCGTCTTACCCCCCCCCCCCTTTAAGTGATGATAAAAACCAGCATTTTTTAAAAGAAAACCTAGGCGAGCCCAAAAATTGTTAAAGTCTTCAAGGCGAGCCTTACAATTAGGCGGGTGACATTCTTTGTGGTCTTTGCAAGGTGGGTATTTTTTGAGAATTGAACAAGGTGGGCAACCCCCACGGCTCCCGGTTCTTTGAAGAGGCATGAGGAAAAACTATCGAAAAATTAAAAGCACAAAAGTTAGGTCACATCTGCACACCTGCAGACAATTTTAACTCTTTCGCATTATGCGTGGTTTTTTCAGAATCAAACAGCGTTTTAGAATGAAACAATTTCCAATAACGAGTACGCGCGAAGCCAGGAATGCCCATAAGGAGAAGTCGGTGTTAGCCGGCGGAGCCCTTCTGGTATATTATATTAGGAATGTTTCAGAAAAAAAAACACTTTTTACTTTTAATGATCAAAAAGTGAGATCACCCAATGAACTTTTTAATACAATCCTTGTTATCAACATTTAGAAAATATATTTTCCAAAATCCTGGTGTATGATGAGCAGGTCGCAAAAAAATATATCGTTTATCTTCGATTGTTTGTTTCAGAAATCGATGAATTTTATCTTGGTGTGAACCAATATGTCCGTTGTGAAATTCAATGTTGAATTGACAAATATTTAGTCCAATTTTGTCAAATTTCCCATTAGTTTTGAAATATTCGAAAAAGTAATTTTCTCCTCCTTCAATATCAATAAACATTGTATCGATTTTTTTGATATTCAATAACTTATCAAAGAACAATGCGACATCTAAAGTTGGCACCGTTCTACGAACATATCCAGCTAGAAAACAGTATTTTGTTATATAATATAATACTCGCTACTTACATCCTTTTGCTTTAACATCAAAAGTCTGTGGTTTTGTCTCATTAGATAGAGCAAACGCAAAAAATGATCCATTAAGAACATGTGTGACTAAATCATAATTTTTATCGATTGTAGGATCAACTGCATAGAATTTAGTGTTTGCTTGATGTTTTTTCAACTTTTGTTCCGCTATAATATTATGTCCAACTCCAAGAGTTACATGAATATTTTCTTCTTGCTAAAATTGCAAATACATTCAATCTGATGTCATTATTAATTTCTAAAACTCACACATCTTGGATAAATAAGCCATTTAATTTCATCATTATTCGAAATACCGTGAATGTTCAATTTTTTGTATTCATCAATATAATCACATTTTCTCGAAGAATTAACCCAATTATTGAAAAATTGTACATAATTATCTTCGAATGATTCAAATATTGGTTTCACACATTTTTGGAATCCGTTTAAAACTGATTCTGCGATTTTTTTGTCAATTTCAGTTGCATAGTCACATTTTTCAGTGGCGTTTATCATAGTTTGAATATTTTTGCTAATTGTCTCAACTCTCTAAAAGCACAATCGTATTTATTTTCTTAAGTTATGAAAAATGGTAAATATATACCGGTGAATAAATTCGAGTTTCCAAATTATCCAACTCGTTTTTGGGTCCATCATATCCAAGATCTTCTTTCCACAAATGAACTTCACTTTCTCCACAAAATAAGTTAGTTAGAACGTGAACAACAACAACAAAAACCAAAATAATGAACATTGTTTTTGTTTTGATATTTTTTATCAATATTTCATAATTTGAGATGCATGGAAATAACATTTCAAAAAAAATGACTAGTTTGAAGTTTTTATCGTATTTATATGAACATTTTGAAACTGGTAGAATTGTCTCAGAAATTCTGTATCGATTATCGGCTACTAGTTTTATTAAGATAAAAATCAAAGAGGAACCTTTTTTTTGCTAAAATTGAAATAGTCAGAATCAAACAAGTAGTTATGAGGTGGAAAAATATCAATACTTGATTGTCAGACTGAGATTCTGGAAGAAAATCCCAGAAACTTCCATATTCCCAACAAAACTATTATATATCAGAAGTTATTGATTGAAACATTAGAAATGAGCCCAAGAGAAAGATCGGCCAATACCGCAAATGTAATCCAGAAGTTTTCGATGAGATCTCAATAAATTATTCACATTTTTTCGTAGTGAAATTTCTACCCTAATTTTTGGAAAATAAAAAAAGATTGATCCCTTAAATGTTTATTTAATTCAAAAACCATATCCTATTTTTACCAAACATCTCGACAATAACTTTCGATTGCTAGCCTGTGGAAATAAATAGTTGTTTTTGATCCGAATGTGAGATGAAACGGAAGTAAGATGAAATATATAAAGAAAAAAACGATAAAGGAAAACATCGAAAATTGGAAAAACTATTTTACTTTTCACAAAAAAATGTTCAATACTTATCGACTATATCTGGTGTTATTGCTGACATTGTTCATATTTTCAATCATCTTATTTTTAAACAAAAATCAAAATGAAAAATCATCTTATTTTGGAATCGTTATTGAAAATCAGAATAAGACAAACCCTGTTGACTTTTTCCTAGCCGTCGAACCTTATCATTATTTTATGAACAGAACTGTTGGTCGAATTTATCATGATGACTATTATGATTCGTAAGTACACAAAACGATTCTACATCAGGAAATTTGATAATTTTTAGCGATAAATGTCAAATTGAAGATTGGAATACAATTGAAACTGACAAAATTCCAAATGAAGATTATCACCAGTATTTGATGAGTATTGATTGGGGAAAAGATTTGCTGAACAAATCACCGAGTCCTTTGGCAGCGTTTGCTTATTCTGATTATATTGCAGTAACTTTGACATCGGAAAGAACCGTTTCGTGAGTTTCATATACATATTGTCTGACAGATTTTTTGTCAGAACGAAGTTTTTTGAAGTTGAACAGACCACGGCGAGAAAAATAAAACTTTTTGTTCTTCTTCCCGTTCCCCAGGAAATTTAGAGGAGTAGAGAATATGCGCTCTAATGATAATGTATGCGAGAGGAAATTTTTAGGATTTTAAATTTTCTGCAGTCATTTTTTCGCCTGTACTCTTTTTCTTTTCCCGCTCTCCCCGATTTTCTCACTCTCTCGTTTTGCAACACCGGTCTCCCTGCCGCATTTTTCAAGGGGGGAGGTTTAAAAATTCTCGCTGTGAGACCGAGGGTGGGGAACCTGGCCTCATGTTGACTTTGGTAGTATGAACATAAGCCATGACAGCTTCGCGTGACTAACCTGGCTATTTACCTGTCCTGCCCTGGACAGGTTCATTTTTTAGTTGAGAAGAAACATGCCAAAAAGAGGAGATCGAATTTTTATTTTTTTACGCAGAAAAAAATTCTCTGTTAATTTTTGTTCACGCGAGGACAGGTTGGTTATATGGCTTTTGGCCATGTTCAATCCATGTTAGAGCCAGGAAAAGTTGAGGCAATGTTCAAGGCCAGGACAATTTCCCCACCCCTGGAACAGACTAAAAAATTTGCAGAAGCTTTTCTGAACATTTTTTTCTTTGAAAATTTGGTCCAAAATGAAAAATTGAAACATATTTTTTAAAATACACACAAATTTTAATTGTAATTTGAGGCAACAAATAGAACAAAAAATGTTCATTAAGATGAATTTGTGTGATACGATTTGTTCTGCGAACTACAATCCGATTCTATTTTAGTTTGTTTCAGACACAAGGTGTATTGCCGTTACTACGATTGCAAAATGAAAGAAATGATAGGAAAACATTTTGTGTCTCGAAACTTTCCAAGATCTACAGTTTTTTGTGCTCGCCAAAAAGGCGCTGTATACATTTCCGTCACTGACAATTTGGAAGATGTTGCTGAATTTCCGATAAGAATTGTTAGAAGAGATGCCAAAAGTAGGCACTTTTTTTTATCTATAAAATAACAAGCATTTATAGAACCGCCACATTATTTAACTGTCTGCTTAGCTCCACTTTATGGAGAAGAGCCTAAGTTTTTGCAACTTGTCGATTTTATTGAATATTATAAACTTCAAGGTGCAACATTTTTTCATATTTATGTGAGAAATGTTTCAAATTATGATAGAATTCTTCTCGATGATTATGTTCGAACTGGGGAAGTTGAATTGATACAAGTTCATGATCATTATTGGAGAGCTGATTTTATGTGGCATAGAGTACAAAATAATGTGAGTTTATAAAGAAAAAACGATTTTCTCATCTTAATGAACATTTGTTGTTCTATTTGTTGCCTCAAATAAAAAAAAGTTCAGGATTGTCATTTTCGAAGCAAGTTTTTCTCAAAGTGGACAGCGTTTGTCGATATTGACGAACGAATTGAAATGAAAAAATATCCCGAACTTCGAATTGTTGATCTTCTCGAGTAAGCTTGAATTTCTAATCAGAATGACATTTCTATTTTCAGCCAAACGACTCCAAATGTTTCAACTCTTCATTTTTCTACTGATTGGATTATCAAAAATGGACTGTCTCCAGAAAAGTACATTAATGATAATCAATTGAAAAACGAAATGATTTTCCGAAAATTTACAAATACTTCTACAAAAACAGACACTTATAAACAACCAAAATGTATAATTCGACCCGAAAGAATTGCTGTAATGTCAATTCATCATCCGAGGGCTGTCTATGATAATTCAAAAATAGCGATAGTCAATTATAGAATTGCTGCTATCCGACATTACCGAAATTCATTTCATAAGCTTTTCCCAGGACAAATAAACGTAATGTTCGAACACGGACCATGGAGGGAAACAAATATTGCACCCTGGATTTCTGGGAATTTGACGACAAATATTTTGAACCGTGTTAAATATTTGTTTGACATTGAGATACCTCCAAATGATATTCAGGAAAGGTGGTATGACAGGGAATGTTCAAAAATGTCTCTGGAGAAAATCAAAGTATGAAAGAGTTCAAAGAATCTGCTAATTGTTTGCATTTACAAATATTGCCATTTGAATAATGATATTATCATTAGATACTTTTTCGATATTTGTGTATTTCTTAAGAGATTCCTCAAATTGTGGGATTCTTCTTATAGCAAATACAAGTTCCGCAGAAAGAGATAACACCGATGATTTCTATCAAAATGCGCTTTGTAATTTCAATGCAATCTATATTTTTGTAATCAACACATTGTATTATTATCACTCTCAAAAAAGGCCAAGCATAGATTCTATCTGGTAATGGCACAATTAATAGCACACTAAAAATTGTCATCTAAGATACCAGATAAACACTTTTAGTCGCTCTTGCTTAAAAGGCTCTTAGGTACAAAAATAGCCATGACCATTTATTGAATCGGCTATGTTGGAGGGTGTCTATATGTTGGAGGGTGTATATACCTATAGGGTGGTGGAAAAAGACGATAATACAATGGTGATAAGAATTGAAAGAATAATGGTATTATAGGTAGTAAGCATTTTACAATAGCAATTTTGAAGAGAAATCATGTTGAGAGATGAGCTAACAAGCAATGATATAAATTAGCTCGAAATATTCAAGACTAAGACATTCTCATGATAACAATGAATTGAAATGGTTGAAGCTTAAAAATTCTGAAACACATTTACGACAGCTAAGTTCCAATCTGTAATAGTTTTAACAAGGAAATGTTTTCAATGTTCCCCCTGAAAAAAAGTGATACTATGCGATAAGTGTAGTACCCCCATGGAGTGTGAAAAAGCCAAAAGGGAATTTGGAAACAAAAATTTATTTTCATGGGAAAGTTGTCATCGAAGATCAAAAAAGATGTCATTTTCAAAAAAATCATAAAACCGTTCAAAGTTCACGAAAAGTTTCGATCAAAACAGGATTCTGTAGCTAAAATTGTCAATTTTAATCTTATTTTAATTGTGATATTTTAAAAAAATTAAAGAAATTTTTAAATTTCAAAAATTCGAAAAATTTGATTTTTTCTACCTGGAGATGGAAGTTATGTGAGATGAGACTAGAAAAATCAAATCCTACGGCCAAAGGCCTTTGTGTTTGAAATCCTGGAAAGCTGGAAAGATTTGCACACAAAACACTGCATTTTCTACTGCTCAGGAGAACGACCGCGAGATCTGTGCGAAACGCGGGGCCTCTGCGATTCGCTCAATCTTCGCGTGAGAATCACGCATTTCGCACAAACCTCGCGAAATCTGCTCGGGAAAAATACGGCGCCAAGGCGACATCCTGGGGCGCTAAGGCGTCATTCTGGGGAAAAAGGTGCGCAGAGAGAGCGCACCGGCGCTAACACGGCGCGCGAAGAGACGCACCGGCGCTAAAATGGTGCGCCAGTAGGACGAAAAAAAAGGTGAGTCTTTTAAATGTGTAAATACCCCTCCCTTAACTTTTAACTATACATCAAAAAATTATTTAACATCTAAAAATCTATTGAAATAAATTCGTTTCGATGTTTCCAACTTCTTTTTTTTTTCATATCGAGTTGCCTCTCCGACTCTTTCAATGTACATATTTATCAGTCTCAACGACGTGTCGATGGGATCTTTGAAGTGCCAGGTCCTTTTTGATGTTGTCTTTTTTAGTTCTTCCAATATCTTCAGATTCTCGTTTCTTTCATGAACATTTTGTTGTAAAAATCTACCAGTTTCAGCGAGAGTTCTTTCTAATATTTGATCCGAATTCTTAATCTCCAATCTCAAATGTGCCACATTTTCCAATAATCCTGATTTTTCAGATTATTGTATAGCAACCTGGATTTGTATGTTATTTTTGAAAATCGCCACTGACGAGTTCAGCTTCTCCGCGTGATCTCTCACTCAGGAATTTTTGTACTCGTTCAGCACGTTTTGTGCATTTGTACGCGTTCAGTCCAATTGAGTACGCTTTCAAACTGATGCGTGTTCACGTTCAGTCTTTTTTAGCTGTCTTATATCAGGAACTGAACGCGTACGAATGCAAAAAAGGTGCTGAACGGGTACAAAAAAAATCCTGAGCAAACAGTCGTAATAACTTCTCGCATGAATAATTGTATTGTACTTAGAATCGTTTAAAAAGTGATTTTAACTTCGAATTTTTATGCTTTTCAGCTTCATAAAGTGCTTTGAAGTCAGGCTGGGAAATTGGCTGGCGGAATCCATTCATAATAATTAGTAAATAAAGACCAGATTTTTGTTAAATCAGTTTTTTTCTCAAAATTTTACTATTTTTCCTGTTGTAAACACAAAAGACTATTAGTTGAGTATGAGCTTTCGTGGAAACCTCTTGTTTTCCAAAATACTCTTTTGTAGTGGCATAATTTTAAAGGGGGTAAGACGACAAAATTTTATTTGCTCAAAAGATCGGGCTCCCTTTGAATAGTAAAAGCCCCAGGGGATTTTTTCTCGAAGGGCCTAAAAAGGTCCGAAAAAAATATTCCATGAACTTTTTTCAACGTATGTCCGAAAGTTTATACACGTTGTCCGAAAGTTTATACATTTTTTCTGAGCGTTTCCAGAAAAAATCCCTTGGAGGTTTTACTACTTTTGGGGCGTCTTTAACTTTGCGACAAAAAAAATTTGTCGTCTTACCCCCCCCCCTTTAAGTGATGATAAAAACCAGCATTTTTTAAAAGAAAACCTAGGCGAGCCCAAAAATTGTTAAAGTCTTCAAGGCGAGCCTTACAATTAGGCGGGTGACATTCTTTGTGGTCTTTGCAAGGTGGGTATTTTTTGAGAATTGAACAAGGTGGGCAACCCCCACGGCTCCCGGTTCTTTGAAGAGGCATGAGGAAAAACTATCGAAAAATTAAAAGCACAAAAGTTAGGTCACATCTGCACACCTGCAGACAATTTTAACTCTTTCGCATTATGCGTGGTTTTTTCAGAATCAAACAGCGTTTTAGAATGAAACAATTTCCAATAACGAGTACGCGCGAAGCCAGGAATGCCCATAAGGAGAAGTCGGTGTTAGCCGGCGGAGCCCTTCTGGTATATTATATTAGGAATGTTTCAGAAAAAAAAAACACTTTTTACTTTTAATGATCAAAAAGTGAGATCACCCAATGAACTTTTTAATACAATCCTTGTTATCAACATTTAGAAAATATATTTTCCAAAATCCTGGTGTATGATGAGCAGGTCGCAAAAAAATATATCGTTTATCTTCGATTGTTTGTTTCAGAAATCGATGAATTTTATCTTGGTGTGAACCAATATGTCCGTTGTGAAATTCAATGTTGAATTGACAAATATTTAGTCCAATTTTGTCAAATTTCCCATTAGTTTTGAAATATTCGAAAAAGTAATTTTCTCCTCCTTCAATATCAATAAACATTGTATCGATTTTTTTGATATTCAATAACTTATCAAAGAACAATGCGACATCTAAAGTTGGCACCGTTCTACGAACATATCCAGCTAGAAAACAGTATTTTGTTATATAATATAATACTCGCTACTTACATCCTTTTGCTTTAACATCAAAAGTCTGTGGTTTTGTCTCATTAGATAGAGCAAACGCAAAAAATGATCCATTAAGAACATGTGTGACTAAATCATAATTTTTATCGATTGTAGGATCAACTGCATAGAATTTAGTGTTTGCTTGATGTTTTTTCAACTTTTGTTCCGCTATAATATTATGTCCAACTCCAAGAGTTACATGAATATTTTCTTCTTGCTAAAATTGCAAATACATTCAATCTGATGTCATTATTAATTTCTAAAACTCACACATCTTGGATAAATAAGCCATTTAATTTCATCATTATTCGAAATACCGTGAATGTTCAATTTTTTGTATTCATCAATATAATCACATTTTCTCGAAGAATTAACCCAATTATTGAAAAATTGTACATAATTATCTTCGAATGATTCAAATATTGGTTTCACACATTTTTGGAATCCGTTTAAAACTGATTCTGCGATTTTTTTGTCAATTTCAGTTGCATAGTCACATTTTTCAGTGGCGTTTATCATAGTTTGAATATTTTTGCTAATTGTCTCAACTCTCTAAAAGCACAATCGTATTTATTTTCTTAAGTTATGAAAAATGGTAAATATATACCGGTGAATAAATTCGAGTTTCCAAATTATCCAACTCGTTTTTGGGTCCATCATATCCAAGATCTTCTTTCCACAAATGAACTTCACTTTCTCCACAAAATAAGTTAGTTAGAACGTGAACAACAACAACAAAAACCAAAATAATGAACATTGTTTTTGTTTTGATATTTTTTATCAATATTTCATAATTTGAGATGCATGGAAATAACATTTCAAAAAAAATGACTAGTTTGAAGTTTTTATCGTATTTATATGAACATTTTGAAACTGGTAGAATTGTCTCAGAAATTCTGTATCGATTATCGGCTACTAGTTTTATTAAGATAAAAATCAAAGAGGAACCTTTTTTTGCTAAAATTGAAATAGTCAGAATCAAACAAGTAGTTATGAGGTGGAAAAATATCAATACTTGATTGTCAGACTGAGATTCTGGAAGAAAATCCCAGAAACTTCCATATTCCCAACAAAACTATTATATATCAGAAGTTATTGATTGAAACATTAGAAATGAGCCCAAGAGAAAGATCGGCCAATACCGCAAATGTAATCCAGAAGTTTTCGATGAGATCTCAATAAATTATTCACATTTTTTCGTAGTGAAATTTCTACCCTAATTTTTGGAAAATAAAAAAAGATTGATCCCTTAAATGTTTATTTAATTCAAAAACCATATCCTATTTTTACCAAACATCTCGACAATAACTTTCGATTGCTAGCCTGTGGAAATAAATAGTTGTTTTTGATCCGAATGTGAGATGAAACGGAAGTAAGATGAAATATATAAAGAAAAAAACGATAAAGGAAAACATCGAAAATTGGAAAAACTATTTTACTTTTCACAAAAAAATGTTCAATACTTATCGACTATATCTGGTGTTATTGCTGACATTGTTCATATTTTCAATCATCTTATTTTTAAACAAAAATCAAAATGAAAAATCATCTTATTTTGGAATCGTTATTGAAAATCAGAATAAGACAAACCCTGTTGACTTTTTCCTAGCCGTCGAACCTTATCATTATTTTATGAACAGAACTGTTGGTCGAATTTATCATGATGACTATTATGATTCGTAAGTACACAAAACGATTCTACATCAGGAAATTCGATAATTTTTAGCGATAAATGTCAAATTGAAGATTGGAATACAATTGAAACTGACAAAATTCCAAATGAAGATTATCACCAGTATTTGATGAGTATTGATTGGGGAAAAGATTTGCTGAACAAATCACCGAGTCCTTTGGCAGCGTTTGCTTATTCTGATTATATTGCAGTAACTTTGACATCGGAAAGAACCGTTTCGTGAGTTTCATATACATATTGTCTGACAGATTTTTTGTCAGAACGAAGTTTTTTGAAGTTGAACAGACCACGGCGAGAAAAATAAAACTTTTTGTTCTTCTTCCCGTTCCCCAGGAAATTTAGAGGAGTAGAGAATATGCGCTCTAATGATAATGTATGCGAGAGGAAATTTTTAGGATTTTAAATTTTCTGCAGTCATTTTTTCGCCTGTACTCTTTTTCTTTTCCCGCTCTCCCCGATTTTCTCACTCTCTCGTTTTGCAACACCGGTCTCCCTGCCGCATTTTTCAAGGGGGGGGGGAGGTTTAAAAATTCTCGCTGTGAGACCGAGGGTGGGGAACCTGGCCTCATGTTGACTTTGGTAGTATGAACATAAGCCATGACAGCTTCGCGTGACTAACCTGGCTATTTACCTGTCCTGCCCTGGACAGGTTCATTTTTTAGTTGAGAAGAAACATGCCAAAAAGAGGAGATCGAATTTTTATTTTTTTTTACGCAGAAAAAAATTCTCTGTTAATTTTTGTTCACGCGAGGACAGGTTGGTTATATGGCTTTTGGCCATGTTCAATCCATGTTAGAGCCAGGAAAAGTTGAGGCAATGTTCAAGGCCAGGACAATTTCCCCACCCCTGGAACAGACTAAAAAATTTGCAGAAGCTTTTCTGAACATTTTTTCTTTTGAAAATTTGGTCCAAAATGAAAAATTGAAACATATTTTTTAAAATACACACAAATTTTAATTGTAATTTGAGGCAACAAATAGAACAAAAAATGTTCATTAAGATGAATTTGTGTGATACGATTTGTTCTGCGAACTACAATCCGATTCTATTTTAGTTTGTTTCAGACACAAGGTGTATTGCCGTTACTACGATTGCAAAATGAAAGAAATGATAGGAAAACATTTTGTGTCTCGAAACTTTCCAAGATCTACAGTTTTTTGTGCTCGCCAAAAAGGCGCTGTATACATTTCCGTCACTGACAATTTGGAAGATGTTGCTGAATTTCCGATAAGAATTGTTAGAAGAGATGCCAAAAGTAGGCACTTTTTTTTATCTATAAAATAACAAGCATTTATAGAACCGCCACATTATTTAACTGTCTGCTTAGCTCCACTTTATGGAGAAGAGCCTAAGTTTTTGCAACTTGTCGATTTTATTGAATATTATAAACTTCAAGGTGCAACATTTTTTCATATTTATGTGAGAAATGTTTCAAATTATGATAGAATTCTTCTCGATGATTATGTTCGAACTGGGGAAGTTGAATTGATACAAGTTCATGATCATTATTGGAGAGCTGATTTTATGTGGCATAGAGTACAAAATAATGTGAGTTTATAAAGAAAAAACGATTTTCTCATCTTAATGAACATTTGTTGTTCTATTTGTTGCCTCAAATAAAAAAAAGTTCAGGATTGTCATTTTCGAAGCAAGTTTTTCTCAAAGTGGACAGCGTTTGTCGATATTGACGAACGAATTGAAATGAAAAAATATCCCGAACTTCGAATTGTTGATCTTCTCGAGTAAGCTTGAATTTCTAATCAGAATGACATTTCTATTTTCAGCCAAACGACTCCAAATGTTTCAACTCTTCATTTTTCTACTGATTGGATTATCAAAAATGGACTGTCTCCAGAAAAGTACATTAATGATAATCAATTGAAAAACGAAATGATTTTCCGAAAATTTACAAATACTTCTACAAAAACAGACACTTATAAACAACCAAAATGTATAATTCGACCCGAAAGAATTGCTGTAATGTCAATTCATCATCCGAGGGCTGTCTATGATAATTCAAAAATAGCGATAGTCAATTATAGAATTGCTGCTATCCGACATTACCGAAATTCATTTCATAAGCTTTTCCCAGGACAAATAAACGTAATGTTCGAACACGGACCATGGAGGGAAACAAATATTGCACCCTGGATTTCTGGGAATTTGACGACAAATATTTTGAACCGTGTTAAATATTTGTTTGACATTGAGATACCTCCAAATGATATTCAGGAAAGGTGGTATGACAGGGAATGTTCAAAAATGTCTCTGGAGAAAATCAAAGTATGAAAGAGTTCAAAGAATCTGCTAATTGTTTGCATTTACAAATATTGCCATTTGAATAATGATATTATCATTAGATACTTTTTCGATATTTGTGTATTTCTTAAGAGATTCCTCAAATTTTGGGATTCGTCTTATAGCAAATACAAGTTCCGCAGAAAGAGATAACACCGATGATTTCTATCAAAATGCGCTTTGTAATTTCAATGCAATCTATATTTTTGTAATCAACACATTGTATTATTATCACTCTCAAAAAAGGCCAAGCATAGATTCTATCTGGTCATTGCACAATTAATAGCACACTATAAATTGTCATCTAAGATACCAGATAAACACTTTTAGTCGCTCTTGCTTAAAAGGCTCTTAGGTACAAAAATAGCCATGACCATTTATTGAATCGGCTATGTTGGAGGGTGTCTATATGTTGGAGGGTGTATATACCTATAGGGTGGTGGAAAAAGACGATAATACAATGGTGATAAGAATTGAAAGAATAATGGTATTATAGGTAGTAAGCATTTTACAATAGCAATTTTGAAGAGAAATCATGTTGAGAGATGAGCTAACAAGCAATGATATAAATTAGCTCGAAATATTCAAGACTAAGACATTCTCATGATAACAATGAATTGAAATGGTTGAAGCTTAAAAATTCTGAAACACATTTACGACAGCTAAGTTCCAATCTGTAATAGTTTTAACAAGGAAATGTTTTCAATGTTCCCCCCTGAAAAAAAGTGATACTATGCGATAAGTGTAGTACCCCCATGGGTGTGAAAAAGCCAAAAGGGAATTTGGAAACAAAAATTTATTTTCATGGGAAAGTTGTCATCGAAGATCAAAAAAGATGTCATTTTCAAAAAATCATAAAACCGTTCAAAGTTCACGAAAAGTTTCGATCAAAACAGGATTCTGTAGCTAAAATTGTCAATTTTAATCTTATTTTAATTGTGATATTTTAAAAAAATTAAAGAAATTTTTAAATTTCAAAAATTCGAAAAATTTGATTTTTTCTACCTGGAGATGGAAGTTATGTGAGATGAGACTAGAAAAATCAAATCCTACGGCCAAAGGCCTTTGTGTTTGAAATCCTGGAAAGCTGGAAAGATTTGCACACAAAACACTGCATTTTCTACTGCTCAGGAGAACGACCGCGAGATCTGCGCGAAACGCGGGGCCTCTGCGATTCGCTCAATCTTCGCGTGAGAATCACGCATTTCGCACAAACCTCGCGAAATCTGCTCGGGAAAAATACGGCGCCAAGGCGACATCCTGGGGCGCTAAGGCGTCATTCTGGGGAAAAAGGTGCGCAGAGAGAGCGCACCGGCGCTAACACGGCGCGCGAAGAGACGCACCGGCGCTAAAATGATGCGCCAGTAGGACGAAAAAAAAGGTGAGTCTTTTAAATGTGTAAATACCCCTCCCTTAACTTTTAACTATACATCAAAAAATTATTTAACATCTAAAAATCTATTGAAATAAATTCGTTTCGATGTTTCCAACTTCTTTTTTTCATATCGAGTTGCCTCTCCGACTCTTTCAATGTACATATTTATCAGTCTCAACGACGTGTCGATGGGATCTTTGAAGTGCCAGGTCCTTTTTGATGTTGTCTTTTTTAGTTCTTCCAATATCTTCAGATTCTCGTTTCTTTCATGAACATTTTGTTGTAAAAATCTACCAGTTTCAGCGAGAGTTCTTTCTAATATTTGATCCGAATTCTTAATCTCCAATCTCAAATGTGCCACATTTTCCAATAATCCTGATTTTTCAGATTATTGTATAGCAACCTGGATTTGTATGTTATTTTTGAAAATCGCCACTGACGAGTTCAGCTTCTCCGCGTGATCTCTCACTCAGGAATTTTTTTGTACTCGTTCAGCACGTTTTGTGCATTTGTACTCAGAAAGTGTCCTGACAGCCGTCGGCGAGAAAATCTCGCCAGCTAGCACGCGAGCCGGCAGACGGCCGTCCATTTCTCGCATTTTTCTGGCGAGACCTCGCCAGTTCTCGCTGCTAGCTAGCGCTTGCCTGTTGTTTTTGAAGTTCATAGAGCTTGTTTTGAAAGAATTTATTAAACAAAAAACACTATTTATCGGAATCCTGTGGATGTAGAAGTGGGTGATGTTTTGTGGTTTCCAGGCTGTAAAGATTTGGCTTACAGGGTGGCTGATAAGTATACAACGCTGTGTTTTAAGTTGTAACTAATGATTTGGCGTGAAATTTTTCTCAGGATGTTTTTTTCTCGTGTTACTAGAGACCTAACGAACACTTTTTAATAATAGTCTAATTGATGTTTCAATTGGTCCCAAGTTCTGATTCCGATTTAGCGAACAAAAATTGAGGGGGTGCGCCGCCCTAGTTATTAAGGTTCGGGGTGTTCTAAACGGACTCAAAATGGGCCAATAAAGATGGAAATTTTTTTTTGAAATGTCAGAGGTTCAATTTTAATGTTCCAGTACACATCTGATGAAAATTCATCATTTTGAGTTACGTATGATTGTAGAATCTGAAATTATAAATCGTGTTGAAAACTTCGTTTGAAAAATATAGGGAAATGAGAAATAACCTAATGATTTTTTAATTTTTGTCAAGTTTCATATACATACATATATCCTAAAATAAAAACGCGATCTCCTATTTTTCGGCGTAAAAAAGAACCTGTCCAGGACAGGACAGGTAGCCAGGTTTTCACGTGGACCTGTCATGGCTCATGTTCTTACCACCAAAGCCAACATGAGGCTAACGTGAGGCCAGGTTTCCCACCCCTGGTCTTACCCCCCCCCCCTCTCTCCTTTAAATTGCAAATTTGAAGAGAACTAGAGAAAAAGAGAAGACAAATCGAACTGCAAAACTTTTTCGCGCTGCAATACCAGTCAAAATAGTATTCATTTTCCATTGTTTTTGTAATTTTTTCTTACGGTTTTTCTTCTTGAATTTCGTATTTTTGATATATTTTTTACGCACGACAAAGGGAAAAAGGCGAGAGAACCAGCCGAAAAAAGTGAAATAGATGGAAAATGAATACATTTTCGACTGATATTGCAGCGCGGAAAAATGTTGCAGTTCGATTTCACAGCGGAAAAAAAATAAATTTTTTTTTCCGTGTGGTACGGTGCACTAAACAGAAAGTTTTTGCACACACAAAGAAAATTTTCGAACAAAAAAATAATTTTTTTCGCTGTGATTTGTATTTTTCTCTGTTTCTCTTCCAACTGGTTTTTCGGTTAAAAATAGTTACCAACAGGCTGTGTTATCCAAGTCATCCAAGTTATCCAAGTCGTACAGGCGTGAACTGAGTTACTAATATTTCAAATCTAACATTAGCAATCTTGTGTTTCGATCGACAGTTTGAAAACATAAATTCGGAAACGATGACGTACATGAATAATCAAATCATATGACAATTGTCATGTGTAATCACAACAAAGCATGATAAACTCTATGTGAATTCTTGAATTATGAATCTTAATATGTAATATATCTTTGTTATAAAACCGGGCACTGTGGGTCAGTTAAATTTCGTTCCGGTTGTTCCAATACAAAATGTTTTCCTTCCATATTTTGACAAAAAACCATAAAAAATCACCATCACTAGTGTTTTTTTCAATTTTTCATTGTCAATCCGAAAAAATAAGAGCCTTGGAAGAGAATCGAAATGGCCTAGAAAACCAAACTACAGTAGACTTAGCAAAGTTTTGGAGTCTATTTTAAAAATAAAATGCGAAATTTACACACTGGCGCTTTGCCAACCAGTTTGATGTGCATGTGTCACGTCATTTTTGTCTACTTTACGTGAGCGCCAATTTAAACAAGGGTTCTTTTTCTTTCGGATTGACAATACGTAATTGTATATCATAATGTGGAGCGCTGTAGTAGCTCTCTCTTTCGCGGTTTTTAAAATTTCGGATTCTTCTTTTTATTTATTTATTTTTAATCTGATGAACACATAGAACTATTCCTTTTTGTTGGCAGAAACAGTGTTAAATATATAAAACAGGAAATAGAATATCTAAAGCGAGTGTCCAAAAATCCAAATCCTTACTGTAGTCTATCGGAAGCAGCAGCAAGTTGAGTTACTGAAAACAAGAAATAAAAGAAGAACTAACAATAAATATGTTATAATTTATAAATTTAAGTGGGCTTGCTCTAAAAACAATTCAAAACATGGAATCTTATAAGAGCACCTTCGTTCTGTCGATTAAAGCTAAGATTCTCAGTAGCAGGACAATATATGTTTTTGTAAATTGTTTTTTTTTCATCAAACATGATAAAAGATAATTGTACACATTGTCAGTTCGCAAAAAAAATGACTGCTTGCAGAAATGAAATGTTGATGACGTCTCCAAAACAAGATGTGCATTTGAAGCCATACGGCACAGGCTCTTCCAGAAAAAATCGCCACGTACACATAATTTCGTTGTTTTTCAGGTTTTAATTTTATAATTTTTCATCTAATTTCAGACAATGTTTGAAGTGAATTTTGAAACTTTCTGAAAACCAAAATTGTAGAACTTTGAACCGAAAAGGATCTGTGTTGATGAAATTTTAACATACATTCTATACACTAGTTTGTAGAGCTTGATGAAATGAACAATTCATAGTGACCCGATTTTCGATGAAAATGCTCAAACTTTTTTGAAATGTTTTCAACCTTTTTTCAATATTTCCGAAAATGATCATAGTTTTTCACTTTTCAAAAACAATCGTGGAAATTCCGTATGAAGTTTATATCAACTTGAAGAGAATTCCACCCTCGTGGCAATTTTTTCTGACCGCCGCCTGGAGGACACATCATGTCAGCCCAATGAAAATTGGCAATCGGTGAGAGTGAAGAAGACTTAGAGAAAAATAGATCAAAGGTACATTAAAAATTTGTGGGTCTGAAAATCCATAATTTTTGAAATTTCGGTTGCTAAACATATTTTGTTTCGAAAAAAATTGACGATGACTTTTAGTCGCTTGGCACACTGAAAGTTCAAGAATGAATTCTCACAAGTCAAGCTGAAGCCTATTTCTAAATTTCACAAATCCTAGACCCGCTAATGTAAATCGCTGTAGATCACGCGCGATTTTAATATCTTTTCGTCTCTTTCACTCTCACCGATTGCTGTTTGACATGTTGTGAGGAACCTGAGTATGGTCGCCATCTTTTCCCACGGCCAAGATCTTCCAGTGGTCATTTTTTAGCGTTTTATGATCATGAGCCAATTTTGACAATTTTTGAACTTTTGGTAGAAAAAAAATTTAGGGTGTTCTTTTGACTCCAAAATCTGTCTATAAACGACCATGTTATCAAAGTTTGAAGTGTTGAGCAAATAAAGGTTTTCTTGTTAATCTTCTTGTGTTCATATCATTGCTTTGAAAACAGTACCGTCCTATATCTTAACAAAATATCGGAATTTCACGAAAAACTTAAATCTAAACTATTTCAGACATATTTAAAAGATTAGTATCATTAGTTGTTTTTCTCATTGGCAGTTTACTGACATTTTTCTAAAATATCCGAGATTAGGTTGGGCGGAGTTCTGTTTCTATGAACAGTAAATCGTCAAGCTCGTGCATAACCATTTCACATGAGACAAAATGTGCAGAAAGAAATTGTAAACAAAAACTCACGAGCACCAAGTATAGCTGGGTTGCGCAGTACTCCAACAAACGACTCAAAAATGTTTTGATCAAAGTCGGTGTCAACATCTCGAATCAGGACAGAATGATGAGGATTATTAGCAGCTTCTGGTACTTCGTTTTGAACATCGGAAGCAGGAGTCTCAGAAGTTTTCAATGAATTGTCTTTTACATGTGCGGAAATGTGATTGGCGGCATTTCGATGAGAAATACGTGGTTGTTGATCTGCATCCATAACGGAAGGAGGAGGTGGAGGAGGTGAGGGAAACTCCGTAACCTGACCTGAAAAAAAAATGTAAAAATGGCTTGTATTTCCAAAAAACAACCTTGTTCTACCGCTGATCGTTTATTGTTAATAATTTGGACCTGGAAAGCGGGAAGCGGACGATCGTTTTTTTCTGAAGCGGTTAGGAAAAAACTTACACTATTTCGACCTGAAAAAACTGATAGAATTTAAAAAATGAGTAGCCTGATTGCATTACAACCTCTTGATCTGGAAGGCAGGTAGATCTGGCGGAGATGATGTCGCGGATTGGCTGCTTTCAGATTTTCGTATCCCCAAGGACATCTTTAAACATAATGAATAAAACGGAAAGTAAAGCTTAACAACATACGAATTGACTTTGTTAGCAAATTCACAAAGACGAGAATTGAACAATCGCAAATCGCACCGACGTTCGAACGTAGCGAAAAAAGATATCGCAGTTCCAGAATCACGGGAATCGTAATAATCACGGCAAATATCTCGATCTAATTTCAGCTCTTCAAACATAAATCGCACGCATTCTTCCAACGATCGACCGTTGACCCCTGAAAAAAGCTCAAGATGAGTTGTAACAAAACATAAGAAGAAGAAAAGGAAAACTTAGGCGATGTTGCAGATGAGTTTCTCCTCCGAGGAGAAATGAGGAGAAATGGGGCGAAATTCGAAAAATACATTGTTTCGCCTCCACGTGCAACACGTTTCTCCTCTTTCTCCTCAATTAGCTCGGGGGAGAAACTAATCTGCATCATCGCCTTACATTCTTTATCCATGCGAATAAGACATGTTGACGACGAAATATAGTCTAATAACATTCGTTGTTGAAACACTGAGAACACCGCAGGCATGATTAATTCTGAAGAAAAAAAAGTTAGAAGAAAACTTCAGCGCTCACAAAACAAATGAAAGAAAACAATCATACCCTCATTTGCTTATCTGATCAAGAATCTTGGTTTTCATCAAAATGTTCTACTTAGATAATTTTACAAGATAAAAAATTTTGACTGGTTCAAACAAACTCGATAAAACCGGACCTGGAATACATTCGAAACATATTTTCAGTTTGGAACCCTTAAATCTCACAAATATCTGAATATTGATTATTCAAACTGGTGTTTGGACCATAAAAAGGTTTTTCACTTTTCAAAATTTCATGAAAAATGGGTCCTTAGAAAGTTCAATGGGGACCTAAACTGCAATAGTGACGTATACTTCAATGGTGAACTAAAATTAAATGGTGAACTAACTGTAAACTTCAATGATGTAGAAATCATACATGATTTCTAAAAAGAAAAAAGGATTCTCACAAAAACTGATCGAATCTATGCTTGGCCTTTTTTGAGAATGATAATATTGTCCGTTTGGAAATGAGATTCACCCCGCGAAAAAACAAATTTGAATTTGCTGCAGGAGACGCAGACAGCGAGAGAGTGCGCTGGCAAACAGCCAACGGAGGTTTTGTATGAGAAAGCGACCGCAACGCACACGCATCGCGGGGGTAGGGGGAAATTAGAGATTTTCTCAAATTCAAATTTATTTTTTCGCGGGGTGAATCTCATTTCCAAACGGACAATAATACAATGTGTTGATTACAAAAATATAGATATTATAAGTTGAATTGCATTATACTACAAAACGCATTTTGATAGAAATCATCGGTGTTATCTCTTGCGGGATAAATCGTCGATTAACAATTCATTATTAACTGAAAAAATAAATAAATGAAAAAATCACACATTAAAATAACGAAAATGCGTGAAAAAATTAAGTGATCAAATTTCGTTGTATATAAGGACATGTGAACAAAAATTTAAAAAAAAAGGGAAAAACAAAAAAATTGAAACAAACTTTTTCAACAACATCAACAAATCTTGTCAGTTTGCTTCGATTTTTCCCCATATACCTATTTTCAAAATAAGTCTATAATAGACAGGTAGTAAAAAATATCCCCAAAAAACGTACTCTTTTTCTTTTTCATGGATATTTTTTCGATGGGACCAAATTTGGGATAGCATGGTGAAGGTCCTATCAAAAATGGCCTTTTGGAAGCTGAGTTATCGCGATGGACAGACTTTATTCTCAAAAAATACATTGAGTTTTTCAAACTTTTTCCGCTCTTCGCAACCCTGCACAGCGAAAAAAAATTATTTTTTCTGTTTCCGTGTGGTACGGTGCGCAAAAGAGAAAGTGTTTGCACACACAAAGGAAAAAAACTAAAAACCAAAGGGGAGAACACACAAAAACCGTGCGCACATGCAATAATATTGCACAAAATAAACTAACTTGACTGGCCCGTTCCGTGAAAAGTTGTTGATCTCTTTGAATGTCCTGTCCAAATCAAACATCTTCTTCTTCGGAAGCCTGAAACTTCTACATTCGTTTTCTCAAAATTTTAGCCTATTCTTAAACTTACATCAGAAAATGGCAATTTTGGATTTTATGAGATTCTGTGACGGTTGTCTCTGCAAAAATTAAGAAAATTAAAAAATGTACCAAACCACCCCTTAATAACATTTTCTGCGCTGAAAAAACCATTCAAAAACCAGAAAAAAACAAAAAATAAAAATGTGGTGCAAAAAAATAAAAGAAAAACAACGAAACTCCGCGTGCGCGTTGTTTATCGTATTTATTGTATTGTTTTTTTGCAGGGTAGATGAGAGAGTGTGGGAAATAGAGAGAGGGTCAGAGAGAGATATATATGTTTTTTATTTGAAAAGAAATTATTGATTGAACGTTTTTTTTCGAACTATATCATTTTTCTGGTTTTTTCAGCGCAGAAAATGTTATTAATGGAGTGATTTGACACATTTTTTAATTTTTTTATTTTTTCAGAGACAACCGTCACAGAATGCAGGTATCTCATCAAATCCACAATTGTCATTTTCTGATGTAAGTTTAAGAATAGGCGAAAATTTTAAGAAAAAGAATGTAGAAGTTTCAGGCTTCCGAAGAAGAAGATGTTTCGTTTGGACAGGATATACAAAGAGATCAACAACTTTTCACGGAACGGGCCAGTCAAGTTAGTTTATTTTGAGGTTTGGGGGGGGGGGGCAAAAAATAAAAATTAATTTTTTGTTTTGATCCAAACATTTCGTGAACTTTGAACGGTTTTATGATTTTTTGAAAAAGTCCTGTTGGAAAACACAGCGAAAAAAAATTATTTTTTCTGTTTCCGTGTGGTACGGTGCGCAAAACAGAAAGTGTTTGCACACACAAAGGAAAAAAACAAAAAACAAAAGGGGAGAACACACAAAAACCGTGCGCACATGCAATAATATTGCAGAAATACGCTGCCAGGGGTTGCATGTGGAAAACTCCGCCTATTTATTTTTTGAATTTCCGCAACGAATTTTTTGTGAACAAAAAAATAATTTTTTTCGCTGTGAAAAAAAAACCAAAATATTGCTTTTTTTCTCACGAGATTTTTCGCAATTTCGCCGTACAAAATGCTCAATTCTGCTCGCTAAATGCTGTTTGGACACTAGTTTTCCGCGGAATCGCATATCATGGCGAGCAAGATTTTCTTTTTTCTTAATTGGCAAGGAAACAAAAAAAAGAGAACCGCGAGATTCCAAACAAATTTCGAGAAAAACAATTGGAGGTTCATTATTTTTTATTATGATCATCTTTCGAAAGACAAAGTTTGTCAAGATCAACATTTATTAGTTTTAAGTGGTACTGTAACAATGAAAATCAAGATTTCAGATCAAATTTTTATTCATTTTATACTAATATACATAATTATGCATAACACCCAATTTTGAAACTCATTCTAGGTTTCACCGCAAAATAAAATGAAATTGGTGACATTCTCGGAACATTTTCATAACTTGCATCAACGTGAACACATCTTATATCAGATCTCTGAGGATATTCACAAAAATGTGGACCTGAACAAGGAACCGCAGGTGCTCCAGGATACATTTTTGAATAAAATTTATCTTCGAAACATGCACCAATGATTTTTGTGTAGAACTTTTCACTCGGCAATTTCTTTTTGAAACTTTTATTATTGTAAATTTTGATACGCATCTTTCGCCAGTCTTTATCGATATCTCTCTCCACCGATTCGTTAATTAGAACTGATGAGTTTGTACTATTTAATGTAACGAATTCCGAAAAACCATGTGACATTTTTCAAATGAGTTATCCAATTATTTTTGACTTCTACACGCTTGATATTTTTGTTGAGTGTCCAATGAATCCATGTAAAGTTCATCAATTTTGGATCAGTAACAATTTTTCCGGATTCAAAAACATCCCCAATTTCAATAGATTCAAGCATTTTAGATAAAGAAAATTTGTTGAACTTATTCACAGTGTGAGCTCGATAATTTCGTTTATCATAAGTCAAATAGCTGTTCTCAGATATTTTTTTTAATAGCGTTTGAAACTCTTCAAGGTAAGTTGGGGCAAATTTCGGAATCAGAATGTCATCCAAATCTAGACATGTTACAAACTTTGCGGTTTCCTAAAAAAATTTCATTTTTTTTTCTAAAATAGCTCGGCCCAAAATCGACATAGCTCGGGGCGACTCGCTACACATTTTTCGAGACTCGTTTTGCAGCGAGTTGCCCTAAACGCGCCTCAAAAGTGGCGAGTGATGGACAACTTGCCGCAAATGTAGCGTGAACGGGGCAAGTGTCTACAATCTCGAGCGAGTCGCCCCAGGCTCGTCCGAAGTGCCTCGGGCCAGTCGCCCGAAACGTGTAGCGACTCCGCCCCGATCGGTAGCGACCTCGCCGTTTACTGACCGAGAGGTTTAATGATTTCAAATGATACGCCGGTAGCAATCAAGAACATATCAATGCTTAGTTTCAAAACTAACCTTATACTTCAAAATACAATCTGTCTGAGCTGCGGCTTGATTTCTGAACTCAATTTGATGGTAAGGATCCAATTCATTTTGGTCAACTCCAACCAATTTAATGCTAACCCAAGGCTGAATTGTTAAGTACCCAGCTTCTTCGTAGATTTTGATTAGTTCATAAAATGAATCAACTGCACTTATATAATACAAATTCACAAATGCTCCAAATTTTTTGTAAATGTGCATAGCAAACAAAAAAGTTTGCCAATTTTCTGCAACAAAAATTGGAGATATACAAACTACAACATCATGATAATTTGTAGAAGGTGGAATTGAAAATGGAATTGATACTGAATTATCACCATTGTCACCAAGAAGTTCAACAGATATTGTGTTTGGTAATAATTGAACGGTTAGGAAGATTGAAACCATATAACACGCATTATCATCAGGTGTAATTTTTTTAAAAGAACTTGATATGACTTTCGAAGATATTAGATTTCTAGCTCTTATTGTGATTATGGGTTGTTTTGCACTTTCGTACCATTCTTTTTTGCCAAAATGATATCCTCTTTTTAAATTTATACTCATCACAAGAGCCAATGCGTTTGATCCCAAACTTTTAGATTCAGGATAATAATATGATGATGTGATAAACGCTTTGAAATCTTGAATATCTCTGTGTTCCAAATAGTGTCTGTTAAAAATATTTCATGAAGAAAAATTCGCACGAAATAAATGTGAGCTGTGATTTTTTTTTTAAATTATTTTTTTGAAATATTGAAACTTATATTATTATTGCCTTTTTCAGTCAGTTTATTTCATAAAGATTGAAAGAGCGAAAAACTGATTTTAGGGTGAGATCTTGTACATAAAAATCATAAAACAAAACATTTCCAATTGACCTCTTTATAAAATCCCGTAGGTATGCATTCTGATTATATTTTTTTTTCGCACATTTTTTCACCATTTTTTTCACATTTTCTTCAGAAATTTTAAAAATCATACCTAGGGGATTTAGGAAAATGCTTTAGCTGGGAATCGAACAAAAATGGTTAGATTCGAAGGCAAAGTCGAGTACCACTTGACCACGAATGCCTACGTGAAAAGCTATTCATTTCTTTAAATATTAATGACCATTTTAAAAATGCGAAAAAATGATTATTCTTTGTAATTTTGAATTTTTTGAGGATTTTGTATAACAGCTTCGCCTAGGGGCACCGCCCCTAGTACTTTTTTTAAAAATTAAACCATTAAAAAAACATAAAAATCACCTGTAGCGAGGTTCCAAAAAACGGACTAATACAAAAGCAACAAAGCTGATACATAATACAATGAAGATTTTTTTAACAATTTTCGATTTGAACGTTGTTTTCATTCTACAAAACTTTGAATGCTTTGTTATCTAACTTATATGACATATATTGAATAGCCTTGTTCGAGAAACAACTATCTTCTTGATCGAATTTGGGTGGGATAATTGAAAAAAAATCTTTTTTTTTTTTTTTTCTTATATATATATATATATATATATATATATATTTATTGAACCACACCGATATACATTGTGAAAGACAAAAGAATTTAAAAAGAAGAGATAGTAGAGAAATGATAATCGAGATGACTGCAATAAAACAAAAAGACCCGTAGGTCCTATAAAAAAGACAAGTTGGGCCATTTGAGAGGATGTGACTATGTGAATAATAAATGTGGTTTAACATGATAGTGAATAAGGATGCATTAAAGGTAAAATAAAGAGGGGAAAAGGAGTAAAGATAAAAAACTGAAATATGGGGGGGGGGGAGAAAGTTTAATGATGAATATTTGAATTAGATGAGAAGTTAGAAGTTAGAAGTTTTGACTCAGAACGAAGTTATTTGAATATAAGATAAAATGAGAGAATTAGAAATCCAATCCCCAACCCTCTGCAAACGCCTCCTTCCGTAAAAGGCCTGTTGGTCAATTAATCGGACCATGGCTAATATTGGTCAGGAGCGGACCAGTAGTCAGGAGCGGACCAGTAGTCAGGAGCGGACCAGTAGTCAGGAGCGGACCAGTAATCAGGAGCGGACCAGTATTCAGGAGCGGACCAGTAATCAGGAGCGGACCAGTATCAGGAGCGGACCAGTAAACTTGGATTTTCAATGAGAAAAATATTTGATTATGTAATTTTTTTGGATAATACTATTCTCGAGAAAGGTTTCGCACTTTTGGCATTATGGGGTGATTCATGAGAATAAATTGACAAAAAAAAGTGCGATTTATTTCACGTTTTTTTGTCAATTTATCGCATTCATTTCTGAAAAAATGCGAGAAATGGCCAAAAACCTTATGAGCTGATTCAATTCGTTTTTTAACGATTAATTGACAGAAAATCCAAGTCATTTCTGTGCGATGTTTTCACGTTTTTGTCGATTAATTCCATCTTTTTTTGCAAATCATTGCATTCAAAAATGAGGCTTTTCAATACGAAATAGAATTTATTTGACCTCTTTTTTGAAACGTGTCCCAAATTCACTGCTTATTTTTTGAACTCATTTCGAAATGAAAGAAAATTGAGGAAAAATGATTTTTTTGTTGATAATTCCAACTCATATAGGTCACGTTTTAAAATATAGGTCAAATAAATTCTATTTTTTATGCAATTAATCGCATTTATTACCAAGAAATGAAAGCGAAGAATTGACAAAAATGTGAAATTTATCGCCCTAAAAGACTCGGATTTTTTGTCAATTAATTGAAAAATTCACGTCGATTAATTCGACTGAATCACCCCATTAAATTTTTTCAATTTATTCTTAAATCACCCCATTAATTTACGCCTCAATTTCTTGTTGGTGCAGAACGAACATTACTAAAACGGACGAAACGCGTTGGCAGATTCGCGACGGTGAACGCAGAATTAGCTCGATCGAATATTGGTGATATAACTCGGGTATAATTTGAATAGTAGCGAGTCAATTTTGATTAGATGAAAAAATCAAAATTTTGAACATACATTTTTGAAAAAAATAATTCAAAAAATGTTCTATTTTTATATTACATTGCAATTGGATGTATGATTTTTCCATTTTTATCCGAATCATTCGCCTGATTTTCAATGATGACAAGTTTCAACATAAGTTCATTCCAATATATTAATTGAGCAATAAAAAAACAAAATCCAAACACTAACTTTCAAGAAAATTGAAAAGTAAAAGAATATTTTGACAATTTATTGCCTACATTTGTTTGAATGTAAGTAGACAAAAATCTCTCTGAAATATCGTTTACAATAGTTATAAATTCGAAACTACCGACGAAAATCCGTCAAATTCTGTTATCAAAAATATAAAGAGAAAAATCGACAAAATATTCTGTACATGTCAAATCTCAAAATGTAAAGGATTTTTCGCCATAACTTTTGTCTACATTTTTCAATTTTTTTGAGAATGGTCCTTTTTCGACAAAATTAGTTTAAAAATTTCACTTTCATTTTCAAGGCTCACTTTATGATGAAAAATCCTTTACATTTTGAGATTTGAAATGTAAAAAATATTTTGTCGATTTTTTTGTTTACATTTTCAAAAGATTGAGTTGTATCAAAGAAATGTTTCTATCACTTGTCTACACTTTTAATTTCAAAAGTTGACTTATAGAAACCGTAATATCTGAAATTTCATCATATTTTTTCGAAAATCGAAAATCTAAACAAAATATTTCACGAAAAACAGTTTACATTTTTTCAACAGTGGGAATGTAAAGACAATTTTCGCTAAATTTTCTTTTACATTTTTTTTAATAGAAAATGTATATGACTTTTTAGATAAAATAGTGTTGACATTTTTAATCAAGAAGTGTTTCCGATTTTTCATGTTTTTTTCTTATCGGTTTTTTGTTTATATTTTTCATCTCACTTCCTATTCATCTAAATTCCGGATCAAATTGAAAATGAAATTAAAGCTAACTATCTCGAACAGGGTTGCAATCGAAAGTTATATTGTTTTTATATATGCATGAAAACGGATATAGATTTTGAAGTAAATTATCATTTTAGGGACTAGAAAATTTCCAAAAAATTCAATTTTATCTTTTATTACTTCCTTGTGGATGAGAAAATAAAACTGACAGATGTTGTTAGTTTAATCAAAGTTGATTGGAAAATGCAATGAAAAAAAAAACGCATTTCAAAAGTACACTTTTTGCTTTCTGTGAGGCTGGGTTGCGCACAGCGAAAAAAAATTATTTTTTTGTTCACAACAAATCCGTTGCGGAAATTCAAAAAAAAAAATAGGCGGAGTTGTCCACATGCAACCCCTGGCAGCTTCTTTCTGCAATATTATTGCACGCGCGCACGGTTTTTGTGTGTTCTCCCCTTTTGTTTTTTGTTTTTTTCCTTTCTGTGTGCAAACACTTTCTGTTTTGCGCACCGTACCACACGGAAACAAAAAAAATAATTTTTTTTCGCTGTGGGTTGATCAATGAGGCTTCACTAGCTTTGGATTACTGTAGAATCAAAATGGAAGCTTTGTGATCAAAACGTCACTTCGGAAGCTCGTAAAAAATAAGTAGGGTTTCCGGGTTTTGAACAAAAAAGGTTCAAAATAGAGTTCGGAAGAAAAATTTAACGAGTGTCTAACAAACTTTGGAATATTCTGGAGATCAAGTTTTTCAAATTTTGCAAAAGAATTTTGTAGTTACTCAAAAATTCGAATTTCGAGCCTAGAAAATCCTGGGTACAAAAAATGAACTTTTGAAAGTTTGAAAAATCCAAATTTTTAGTGAAACGTAGAAACTAATACATTCCAAGTATTGTCAATCCGATAAAAAGATCCGCTGTTTGTATTGTCTTTCACGTACAGTAGAATAAAAATGACTTAAAGGGTTGGTGTTTTCCTGGTGAAAAAATTGTCTGCAAAAAGGCGTCACAGTGTTGGGTTCAAAGCTGTGTGCAAACACACACACGAAAATTCGAAAACAAGTTGTGCGCTAGAGCGCATTTACTCGTTTTTTTTGTAGGTTTTAACTCGCTTGTGTTTTTGAAGTAAAACATGGGCTGAATTGATACTAGAATTTTTTCTAAAACTGTTCTCATTTTTCGGATTGACAATAAAAATTTATCAAAGATAGTGATTTCATAAAATTTATTGAAAAACAAGCAAAAATTGAAAATACCACTATGTTGAATATAAGATTGGTAAGATTTGAAAAGTACGCAGTTTTAGACGAAAAATCGGAAAATCGAAAAAAATATGCACCCATTTTTTGTTTTCGATGTTTTATAAAAATTCATATGTTTCGGGAAAAAATGTCAGAAAAGTGCCACTTTTATGATATAATTTACGATCGAACATAGTGATTAAAAAATTGTTGTTTTTTCATAATTTCCATTGATTTTAATTCAAACCTAATGATTTGATCCCGGCACAAAACGATGTTTTTGAAAAAGAAAAAAAATTATTTTAATTTTCAAAAAAACGTGACCTATTTTAAAAATCTGACAAATTGATTCCGGCTCAAATCGTTAGATTTCGAAAATCCAACCGAAAATTTTCTGTACATGTATTTAGCATGCAATAAACACATTATAAGTTTTCAAAACGCGTTTTAGTTATCGCCCAAAACCACACTGAAGTAATTTTGAAACATTTTCTCCAACAAAAAATTATAATTTTCGCGCGAAAAAAAATGAAAAACGAAAAAGAAATAAAAAATAAAAGAAATGCACACGCCACTCGTGTGTTACAGTACTCGCGCGACAAGACACAACAAGCAAACAATTCGCTGTCCCTTGTTTCGACGAAACCAGCCGTTTTCGGTTTTCTTTTTTTTTATGAATATAAGATATGAATATAAGATTTATCTATGTGTCTGTATCAAGAATCATCTATATTTTATCACAAATCTCATCAAAAATGGGCTGAATTTTACTCCACGCATTTGGTGTGAAATGTCCGCCAGAATGCACATAGGCCAAACCGTTGTCATCAAAAAATCGAAATATCTCGGGAGCATATGGATTCCGTTGAAAGTTTGCGTACGGGTCAAAATATTCACATTTTGAGCCGCAAAACTTTGCAATTTTCTCGTTTCGGAGATCGCCTATCTTTCTGGGTTCTCTTAGATGAGTCGAGAAGAATTTCTGCAAAACAAATCGACTTTTTTAATGAAAAGTTTTTTTTGGAATTCATATTAATTGACAAAGAGAGGGCGATTTATTTCACGTTTTTTTTTGTGATTTTCAATGAGACATAAATATATGTTTCTGTACAATTTTCCACGCTGAAAAAGATCCTGTTTTCAATTTTTGCTGAGCGGTTCTCTTAAGAGCCAAAAGTGGAGAATTTTTTGAAATTTTGTGGTTTTGAGAGCCCATAACTCGTGTTACATATGATTTTTGTGAAAAACTGAATGCATAAAGTTGTTTAGGAGGGTCGTTTTACCAAAGTCACACATTTTTGGTTAGTAAAGCCATACCTTTTCAGAAAAAAATTTTGTGGCTCATGTCAGGTTTGCTCGTCAGTTGTAAATTTTTTGGAAAATTGTGTCTCATTGAAAATCTCACGGTTTTCATCTAAAATCCAAACTTACATCAATTTCATCAAAACTCGTATGATTTGCCAATAAAATATCGAGATAATTCATATGACTTGGAACCGTCACAGAAGTTTGAATGTAGATTTTGTGCTTTACAAAATCTTTGATTTTTGCAATTTGTGATATGGCAAAATTCAATACGGTGTCAACTTTATCTGATTTTTCATCATTCACACAGAATCCTCCACATTGTGAAATCAGAAAAATATAATCGAATTTCATTTTTTCAATAGTTTCATATGGGTTCTCGAGGGTAGTTTTACAAGATTGGTGCCATGTATATTCTCTACACAAATAGTCACAACCTGGATGAGATGCCGACCAGATAAGATTCGACTTTTTGGAGCACGATTTAAATATTAGTGGCGCAAGGTTTGCTGCATAACTATTTCCAATAATGAGAATTTTGAAAGGTGCAGTTGAGGAGAGATTCTGCAAAAAAAACAATAGTTTGGGATAAGAGCTCATTCTGCAAAAAAAAATCGTGTGAACCCTTTGATAAAGGTCAGTTAATTTTTTAACATAACTATAATTATGAAAAATGTATTACTTTAACGTTACATAACCCGAATGGCACCAGTTCTTTTGTTTTATATTCACATTCTTTATAATTCAATAATTCCTCATCTTTTAACGCATACATTCTATTAATTTTGATAATTTCATCTAATGTCATATTTGTTGAATTCACAGGACCAAATAATGCATTATTCTTAATTGTGTCAAATTGTCCAGTGAAATTCATATATGTTTCACGAAAATCTTCTCTCCAAATTGCTAGAACACAAAAAATGAAAAGAATTGTAGATAATATAATTTGTGATTTTCTTTCAATTTTTGTTGTATACCATTTTTCGAAAGTTTCATAGATCAATATTCCCAAAAATATTGATAGAATTAAAAAGGGGAATTTGTTCAGATTGAAAAATTTAGAATAACAATAAATTGGCCAATGAATCAAATATAATGAATATGATATATTCCCAATATAAATCATAAACTTATTTGATAAAATGTTGTTGTTTTCGGAGATTAATATAAGCAATGCCGTTATCAAGGTCATACCAATTCTGGAAAATATCTTCAGAGGGATTGTGGATTTTTGTGATATTTTTTCAATGTATAGCGTATTACCTAACAATTTTCTCCGGATATTCAAAACCTACAAAAAGCATCAAAATTGTAATCAATAATAACCAAATTTGTGTGTTTTCATAATTTGCTTCCACTTCTGTATCTTTATTTTCAACTATCGAAAAGATTCCTTGAGTTTCTTCATCTTCCGATTCATTATTATTTTTATCTTGTTTCCAAATATAAACCAAAAACCCAGCTAAAAATTGCCAAATTCTTGCAAAAACACTATAAAAAGCGATGCTTCTTGATGAAATAAAATAATAACACAAAGAAATTGCAGATAAAACTATCAAAATTGAAAGACAATAATTTTTCTGATCATTATCGGGAAAACCCTTTAATATTGAATAAAAAACAATAGGAATCATAAAATAAAAATGAATTTCAACACAAAGGGACCAAGTATGTGTGAATAGATTTTCAGCAATTTTTAACAAAATATAATAATCATCTTCCAAGTTTGAAAAATCATTCGACATAAAAAATATTGACTGTTTTGCTGATTTTTGATTTGTTAAAATAAATGTTACCGGAAAAATCGATGTGAAAATCAATAAAGAAATATTGATTAAGATCAGAAAATAATAATTCGGTGAAATTCGACATAATCTCCTCTGGTAAAAATCCAAAATTTTTGAAATTATTGATTGATTTTTTGTTCTCGTAATTTTTGGACAGAATTAAACACATCAAATAACCAGATAACACAAAAAATCTGAAAATATTTTTCAGAAAGCTCTACAGTAATCCTGAAGCATATAGCGGCAACATTTTGAAAATTAAACTCACTGATCAACACCCAAAAATCCATTTGGAAAATAATCGGGGAAAAAATGAAATGCTAATACTGAAATTATAGCAATTGCTCTAATTCCCTGAAGATGCTCCTTTTTCGACATTTGTCCGAAATGAGAAAATGAGTAAAAATCGAAGCTTAGTTCTACTACATCCTGGGCGTGCTGAGAAAAATATGTAAAGTTGTTTTCAGATATTCATCTTGTTTTGTTGAACTTGATTTCAAATGCAAAACAAATTACATCCGGTTTTTTGATAAAATCTCGTATAATTATAAAAAAAATACACTAACTTCTATTTCTTACATCAGTCCCGAGGAAGCATTCCTTGTTTTTCCCTTTGTATCCCGGATGAATAGATTTTATCAGAAAAATTGTGAAGGCTTTCAATTCCCAAATCCGTTTGAAGATTTCCATAAACTTGTTTCAAGTTTATAACAATTCAATTTTAAACACCAAAAACTAAAGATTAAAAAACTAAAGAGAAATAGACAACCCTAAAATTTTTTCATGTGATTGATTTTCTAATATTGATTCTATATCTATTCCAGAATTCCCAAAAAAAAATTTGAAAGGTCACCCTGTAGTCTTCCTGATTTTTTTCACCGTGATTGTCAATAATGGGGCTATTCAGCGAAAATGTTTTCTCAACGGGAGAAAAGCGAAGAAAACCTATTCAAGTCGGTTGAGAAAACATAAAAATCAAACACTTGAAACACACGAATTGCGACGAGACCCAACGAAAAACAACATGTTCCTTTGACCTTTTGCATTACTGTAAATTGGTCCCGTTGCGATTTTCTACAGTAGGTTAAAGGAACACGATGTTTTTCGTTGGGTCTCGTCGCAATTTGTGTGTTTCAAGTGTTTGATTTTTATGTTTTCTCAACCGACTTGAATAGGTTTTCTTCGCTTTTCTCCCGTTGAGAAAACATATTTTTTTTCGCTGAATAGCCCGATAATCGGAATTTCCCTTAAAAAAACAAATACTAGAACAATTGAAAAGTTTTACAGTACAAATATTAATGAGTTACGACGATTGAGTGGATTTTGGTCAAGCATTTAAAAATTTAAAATTTTAAAGTTTCTCTTTTGTATATTTATATTCTTTGGTTCGAATCCAAATATCTAATATCCTGATCAGATAAAAAGAATTATGTTATTTACTATTAGAAAAACATACACATTTTCTGGTTTCAAATCCAGATATATTTTTATGAAAATATTACGGGGACTGAAGTCGTTTTTATTGAACTCTAAACGAGTGTAACCAGTGTTAAAAGAATAAAAAATTGAAAAATAACAATATAAACCAAATGAGATTCCATCTATTAAAAATATTTGGCAGGTTTCTTGAAGGTTCTTTGAAATATTATCATTTTCACAAATGAAGTTAAAAAAATAGCATTATTAAAAACAGTTTTGGTAGAGTTTTTCTTTGTCATATTAATTATACATCTGAAAAAATTAAAAATTTCGAAAATTGTTGAATGAAAATAATGCGTTCCAACTAGTTCCGCCAGAACTAGAATGTAAGAAACTTGTAAACACTTTCGAGATATAATCACGAGGCTGGATGTGTTTCTCCTGGTTTTCTCATTCACTTTTAACTGGTGTTCTCATTGACTTTAAAAGTTGTCATTAAAAATGTTTAATGACAAAATACAATTACCCATATTTTTCTCAATCGCCGTACTTACTATAATATATTTTTTCTATAAAAATCCGACAAATTACCAACTTACCGACAAAATTGTCTATGTCAGCAATATTTTTACATATGAGGAAAAAGATTATAAGAAGTGCCGAGTGGAAACGTGGAATAATAAAACAACTTGGGAAATTCCACGTGTTGAGAAACTCGAGTTATTAGCAAAAAATAATATTACATCTAATGTGAGTACAGAAAAATTAGGAATAAAATATTTTTGTTTTGACAGGAGGGATTGGAAGATGGTGAGCTTCGTCTAATTTCCGCATTTTTGTACGAAAATGAGGTAGTTGTTACAACTTCAAGGCAACGGACATCTGAGTTTGGGTGAGTTTGAAGAACACGTGAAGTAGGAAAACATTATTTTTCAGAACAACAGCTTACTGTAGGTATTTCGATTGTAATCGTGTCGAGATCCCTGGTTCAATTTACAAAGCCTTCTTTTTCCCTCTAACTTCAGTTCATTGTCTGAGAAAAGCTGGAGCAAGTTATATGTCACTGAGTTTGGCAGCACAAGACGAACTCCCAGAGCCTATTCCATTTACTCATAGGCTTTTTGATAAACCTCAATATGAATTGGGAGTTTGTGGTGGACAAATATATGGAATGGATGCAAAGTGGATGCAAATCACAGAATTTGTTGAGCATCATAAATTAATTGGAGCGAGAATGTTCTATTTTTCTGTGTTTGAAATCGATGGAATGACTCGGATGATATTAGATGAATACGAAAGAAGTGGATTTGCTGAAGTATCAATGATAAATACAGAATATACAAATGCAGCTATGATGAGACATATGGTTCAGATTCACGAATGTTTTTATCGAGCAAGAAACCATTCAAAATGGTTACTTAACATTGATCATGATGAATATCTCATCCCAACAGGACAGTCTATTTTATCATATATCAGAAGTCTAGGAGAATCTGCTGCAGAACTCGTATTTGCTATAAGAAGAGTTGCGAAATTTAACGAATCTCTTCAAAAATACAAAAATATTCAAGAGGTATCAAATGATATACAAATGGCTAATTATAACTTGACGAATGAAGCAGGTTACGCTGCACCAAAAGTTATGTATCGACCAGATAAAGTATATGCGACTCTTTTACATTGGGGTTATGGAATGGAACCTGGATTCAAAGTACACGCGGTTCCAAGGGATATTGCATTTTTGAATCATTATCGCACAATTTCTCGCAATTTTTTATGGTCTGAATTTATGGCAAAATTGATAAGACAGAAAGCAAAGTTTGTACAAGAAACATTGCCATCTGATTATCTCGAAAAATTGCGAGGAAATGTTGTTAGAGTTGTTGGATATGTTTTTGACAAACACAGTGTTAAATGCGAATCGATACCATGGGTTCTGCGGTTTATTTCTAAACCATATTTGGATAAGTTGAAAATTTATTGTAAAAGTTAATTGTAAAGAGAAAAAATTACTGCCTGAAATTTGAAAAAATGTTGCTGTTTTGTTTGAGGATTCTGCCAAGATATTATACAAGTTTATGAAAATTAACGATAAAAGATGCTTCAAACATGATATAGTGAATCAAATTCATCACACATCTCTAGAATCAAATAATGCGTTATGGGGTGATTCATACGAATTAATTCACAAAAAAAGGCGATGAAATATGAAAATAAAGTACAATTTCTAAATTTAGAAATTATTAATTCAAGAGAAGATCTTCATACTAGACTATACAATAAAACAGATGATTCGAGATAGTACGATACTTAAAACTCAGAAAATGTCCTGAAAGAATTCGACGGCCGTCTGCCGGCTGGCGTGCTAGCTGTCAGGGAATTTTCTGATTAAGCAGAAAGTTATATGCTCGAATGAATCCCATTGGATTTCCCGCTTTTTTGTCGAGCACTACGTTTATAGACCCCATAGCTACGCCCTTTGATGCGTTGAGGTCTCGCAGCAAATTTCTAAAAAACTTTTTTCATAATTTATAGCCTTTTAAAACCCATTGTGGGGTTGAACTGCGTTTGATAAGGTGAACGAATTATTTTTTTTCATATTGTTCCTCAAAATAATTTGCTAATTGTAAACAAGTTGCTTCAGATAAATCATCAAATTAAATAGTATGGTCCCATTTTTATCCTGAAAAGCAGGAATTGAAGATTCTCTACGTTTGAGATCGTCTAGGTTTCTTACTGTCCGTTCGCCAGCGAAGGAAACGCGCTCCATCGCACTTTTTTTTCTGCTGCTTCACACTTCACACAAGCAACACAAAATTTAACAAAACGCTGTTTAAAACGGTACGCAAAGTAGCTCAAAACCAAGATAATGTTCATGAAAACCTAAATATAGCATGAAAATCAGCGCCTCGAGTTCTACCTGACTTGCTACTTTTCTTATTTTTTGAGGTCCATGTATGAGACCAAATATTTGATATAACAACACGTTTATTTAAAACTTATACAGTGCTCACAATGATACGGCCACCCTGAAAAATCCGAAAAACGAGAAATCCGGGTAATATTGAATTTTCGTGTTTATGGTGTCTAAATGTGCTTAAAAATTAAAATTATGGGTCATATAGCAAAAATTGAAAAATGGAGAGAGCCTTCAGATCGCAAAAAGTTTGGGATAAGGTGAGTAATTTTTCTAAAAACATCAAATATTGATGTTTTCTTGTTCAGATAATTTTTCTGACGAAAAAAAGTTTAATATTGATGGTCCGGATGGTTACAACTCATACTGGCATGATATCAGAAAGGATCAATTTTGCTTCCCAAAGAGAAATTTTGGAGGAGGACGGGTTATGTGTTAGGGCGCATTTTCTGCAGCTGGAACGTTAAAAATAGCTTTTGTTTCATTCAAGATGGATTCGTTTGATGACCAAAAAACCCTCCACGACTATCTTTTGCCATGTTTGAGGCGGTTCCGGACTCAAATGTTGTGATTTTTTATTCAATAAAGTCTGAAAATATTCATCTATTTCTGAAAAAGAAACAATGAATTCTCAACAAAAATCAGATGCTTCATTCAGAAATGAAAATCCTTGGACACAAAAAACACTTGTTTTTCTAGAAAAAAATGTTATACATTACTAGTGAACCTAAACTATTCATGATTACATAAAGAACTAACAGAATTTTGAATGTTAAAAATATACATTGAAAATTGAATGCTTACCCTTATTTAATGTGCAACATTTCCCATTTCACATTTTTTATTTTATCAGGTTGAATTTTTATTATCAAATAAATTCAAGCAGCAATTGACTCCGTAGACTGACTGTACAAATTGAAGAAGTGTGAATACAGCGGATGAACGCTGTACCTACACTTTTTTCCCGAAAAACGTAGGTTCATTTTATCTTCAGCGTAGCTACGAAAAAAATCAAATTCGTAGCTACGCAGATACTAAATAGTTGATACCCATACCTTAAATTATGACGAGAGCTGCCAAGCGTTGCACTATCAGTGATGAAAACATACGTACAGCGTATCTCCGCTGTAGCTACACAATTCGCGGGCAGAAATGAAGTGAAGTTTATATTATTTTTGAATCCGTAGCTACGCCGTTGCTGTTTTGTGGATAAACGGCTGTTTCTTACAATATGTGCAATTCTCTCTTCCCCGTTTTCGTACAAAGTATCAACGAAATTTGTACAGTCAGTCTACAGAGTCAAGTGCTGAGCAATTACGGTTGAAACATGAAGTGAGGTATTGTGAAAACGAAATGAATCTCCAAACTAGAAAAAACAAAAATTAGAACTTGAAAAAAATAAAAAAATCCCGGGAAACCGCGTAAAAAAAAGAACGAAAAAAGAATGAAAAAAGTTTTGGCTGTGCGCTGCGAGACCCGTTTTTTTGTATTCCCTTTGGAGAACATTTTTTAATTTTCTTTTTTTTTCAATATTTTCTTGTTTTCACTTGTAAAATGAAATAAATGTCTAATATTTGAATGATTTTTGTGTATTCAATTAGTAATCAATAAAACCTACCAATTTTTCTATCTTTATCATCCATTTTTCTTCTTTTTTTGTGGAAAACAAGCGTTTTTCTTGGCGAAATCTCAAATATTTGTGAAAATGTAATATTTCAGACAATGGACAAATTTGGCGATTCTGAAGATGACAACGAAAAACCCGTCAACTCAACAAGCTCGCAAAAAACTTGTGATGGAAAAACAAATTCGATCGAATCAAAAGGTCTTCAAATTGTTGGTGCTTTGTTGAAAAACCCGATTTTTGGGAAGATGGTGAAGCATGGTGTGAATAAATTCACACAACCCAATAAAAAAGATGGTGAAATCAACCAGAAGGATAAATCGAGAGTTAAAAGTGAGGTTTAAAAAAAGGAATTTGACGAAAAATCTGTAAATTTCAACTGAAATTGTAAATAGTTCTTTGTTGTTAATCGTTGAAAAATCTACTATTTTAAGTATTTATATATTTTTCAAAATTAATTGCAGGTTCTACCGAACGAACTAGAAAGTATCGAGAAAAGTTGAGTATGATAAAAAATGAGAATCCACCGATCAATACATCTATTATTAATAGATTGCATTTATTAAAAATGAAAAAGTCGGATGTTTATTATGATTCATCGCAAAAAATTGGAATTCAAAATGGCGCTGTTGTTGATGGATCTGGTGTTGATGAAAAAGGGAGTGCGAGTGGTTTGAATGACTTGCAATTGGTTGAAACTTCGCCTGCTGATGATTGTGAATCATCGCAAAAAACTGGAATTCAAGAAGGCGCTGATATTGTTGATGGATCTGGTGTTGATGAAAAAGGGAGTGCGAGTGGTTTGAATGACTTGCAATTGGTTGAAACTTCGCCTGCTGTTTATTATGATTCATCGCAAAAAATTGGAATTCAAAATGGCGCTGTTGTTGATGGATCTGGTATTGATGAAAAAGGGAGTGCGAGTGGTTTGAATGACTTGCAATTGGTTGAAACTTCGCCTGCTGTTTATTATGATTCATCGCAAAAAATTGGAATTCAAAATGGCGCTGTTGTTGATGGATCTGGTATTGATGAAAAAGGGAGTGCGAGTGGTTTGAATGACTTGCAATTGGTTGAAACTTCGCCTGCTGTTGATTGTGAATCATCGCAAAAAACTGGAATTCAAGAAGGCGCTGATATTGTTGATGGATCTGGTATTGATGAAAAAGGGAGTGCGAGTGGTTTGAATGACTTGCAATTGGTTGAAACTTCGCCTGCTGTTGATTGTGAATCATCGCAAAAAACTGGAATTCAAGAAGGCGCTGATATTGTTGATGGATCTGGTATTGATGAAAAAGGGAGTGCGAGTGGTTTGAATGACTTGCAATTGGTTGAAACTTCGCCTGCTGTTTATTATGATTCATCGCAAAAAATTGGAATTCAAAATGGCGCTGTTGTTGATGGATCTGGTGTTGATGAAAAAGGGAGTGCGAGTGGTTTGAATGACTTGCAATTGGTTGAAACTTCGCCTGCTGTTTATTATGATTCATCGCAAAAAATTGGAATTCAAAATGGCGCTGTTGTTGATGGATCTGGTATTGATGAAAAAGGGAGTGCGAGTGGTTTGAATGATTTGCAATTGGTTGAAACTTCGCCTGCTGTTGATTGTGAATCATCGCAAAAAACTGGAATTCAAGAAGGCGCTGATATTGTTGAATGTTCTGGTTAGTGAAATTTACACTTATATTTTTGAGCATATGAGTTTACTATCAATTTTAGATACTTCGAATCAAACAATTTCTGTCAGTCATCGAAAGAGACAATGTTTGCGCAAAAATGAGAATGTTCATCATCCTTCAATTATTCAAATAAAACGAGGTATTTTCTAAAAAAATATATATCATTCTCTTAATTTATAAAATTAAGCTCGACTGATGCAAGAAGAAAATGAATATTTGAATTGCCCTCTGATTTACAATGAAAAGCGATTTGATTCCGGATTGTCAAATGATATATTTGGTGAGAATTTTTTACTAAACATATTTTTTGTAATTTGTGAATTTTAGCTCATTTGCAAGAAGATTTGGAGGATTATTCCAACTGCCCATTCATTTATAATGAGAATAGATTGAATGGCAAATTAACAACTGGAGTTGCTGATAAAAGTGTTGATGATTTGCGTCTTTTGATCAAAGATAGAATTGACAAGGAAAACGAGATTGATGTGAATCTTGATGTTTCAAATATCCAGACTTGTGCAATTTCAAATCATAAACCTGGCGAAATTTGGAATATGAATGCGTGTGAGACTGATGATTATTATTCAAGATTCGAGAATAGTGGAGAATTGGAAGAAGAATTACGAGGAAAAGCATTGTCGAAAATTGCTAAAAATTTTCAACGATTTCGAAATGATAATGCGAAAACGTGGTTAAATGCTGATGGAAGTTTACCTTCAACATCTTCGAATCAAGGTAATCGTTTTTTTGTCATTCTCATACAAATTTGGTTTTTTCAGCACCAAAATTGCCCGAAATCGACGGAACAATTGAAAATGAGGTCTGCAATTATTCTTTAATATTTCTGGCTTTGATCATATTTCTTATTAATATTTTCAATAAATTTCATTTTTTTTTCATATTCCGTTTTTTGAAACCACCATTAACATCAATTTTTTGAATGAAAAATGATAAAAGATAGATTGTCTTTTTTTTATTGAAAAGAATAAAACAAATTTCAGAACATTTTGTACATGAAATAATTATGAAGGTTCGAAAAAGGTGTGCGAAAAAAAACGACTGATATTGTTGATAATATTGATTTGTATTTGGTCGACGGAATTGGATCTGAAAAAGAATACATATTTGAGAAATAATTACGATAATTTTGACACATGTGAATTTCAGTACTCCAGTACAATTTCAGTATATTTAAAAAATCGATAATTAGGCCCTTGGGGTCGGAAAAACCGCTTTTACAGCTGAAAAAGATGTCACAACTCGGTGCATGGATCCAAGGTGTAGATCTCAGTTCTCTGAAGCAACCCGAATCCAGTCAACAACACCTTCCAAACCGTGGATTGATCATTGCTTCAAATGTTCTTCGAGGATTGAAAGAAATCAAAAAAGATATGGGACCATTGGCTAAAAACACAATTTTTGGTTCAACTGCACAACTATTCCAATATTTAACAGGAGTGCACCCGAGCAGTTTGACAAAAACTCGCACAACTCGTGAACTTCTCAAAAAATCGCGGAAAGAAAGAAGAAGAAGAGCAGCAGAAAAACTGAGTTCGGGAAATCAATTGAAGCTTGCTACTTTTCTTCAGGAATGTTGGAAAGAAGAAATACAAGTAACACTGGAAAAACTGCAAAGCTTTTTATCGATTGAATGTAATTTTGATGTGTCCCAGACCTCCTTAAATGACATGATGCACGGTCTTGGCTACACATTTAGAAAGAAATCAGGAACTCCGTTGATTGAAGAAAGGGGTGACTTGATAATTTTGCGTGAAAAGTATCTATTTTTGGTAGATGAGTTCGAAAATGCCGCCATTGAACCATATTTCGGATATTTTGACGAAACGTGGATATTTGAGGGCATGACTTCGGAATATGATTGGGCACAAAAAGAAGAAACAATGTACAAAATAGCCCGGATGGGAGACATTGATCAAAAAAGAAGTGGTCCAGCGAAAGGAAAAAATAAGGGGAAACGAGCGTATGTTCTAGCTGTAATGACAAGCGATGGGATTCTCCCAGGATCAGCCAAAGTTATTATTCCTGGCGAAGACAAACAATTGATGGATTATCATTCTATGATGACAGCAAAATCATATGAAGAATATATGGAAGAAATAATTCCTTTATTTGTTGCTGAAGCCAGGAAACAGGGTAAAGTTCCAGTGATGGTGATTGATAATTCGCCTCTTCATAATGCAACAGTTGAAAAGGTACTTAAAAACGATTTTTTTGTAAAATCTATTCAAAATTTGAAAATATACTGAAATTGAATTATTTTTGAAAAAAAAACGTCAAAATCCGAATTATAAAATCAGTGTTGAAACAGATATTAAACTTTCAAAAAAATACTTGATTTTGACATGATAAATTATTTCGTTCAAAAACTTATAAAAACCCTAGTTTGTCAAAACTCTTCTTAGATTCCTCAACGAAATGCCAACAAAAGCGACTTGGTTGATTTTTTGGCTAAACATGGAATAAGAACAAAACTGACATGGACAAAAGCTCGTCTTCAACGAGAATTCGATAATTTATTAGCTGCTAATGGAGGAAGAAATGCAATGAAAAAATTCAAAGTTGATGATTGGGCAATGAAAAAATATGGATGTCATTTTTTGAGATTGCCGCCCTATCATTGTTGTTTCAATCCAATCGAATTGGTTTGGGGAAAAATGAAGGGCTGGTTAAAATCACTAGGAAAAACAACAGATCGCCTTCAATTGGTATATTTAACAGAAAATATAATTTTCTCAATGTCAATTCACAATTATATTTAGGTGAAAGAACGAGCAGAAAAATGGCTCGATGAATTGACAGCTACTGAAGCTCGCAACTTTATTCGTAGAACAAAATTCTTGGAAAATTCTATTCGAGAAAAAATTAAGGAGAAAAATCGAGCAGCCGCAGCTGCATCCAATACAAATGCTCAAAATACAAGTGATAGTGATGATAATGATGATAATAATGATAATGGTTGGTCAACTGATGATACACTCAGTGACTGTTCTACAACCACGTCACGACCACAAGATTTGGATGTGTCAGATATCGATGATTAAGGGGTTTTTATTAGGATTTGAATTTTCGTTGTTTTATTTATTTATTTATTTATTTATTTTTTGAATCGATTTTAATTTCGACTTTTTAAATGTTTTTTTTTCGATTTTCATTTTTTATTTTTATAAACTATTTTGGTAAAAAAAAACTCACAAATCATCGCGTGATCCCGCCATGTGACTCAATTGATGTCTCTGAAAAAATAATATTACATTTTCACAAATATTTGAGATTTCGCCAAGAAAAACGCTTGTTTTCCACAAAAAAAGAAGAAAAATGGATGATAAAGATAGAAAAATTGGTAGGTTTTATTGATTACTAATTGAATACACAAAAATCATTCAAATATTAGACATTTATTTCATTTTACAAGTGAAAACAAGAAAATATTGAAAAAAAAAGAAAATTAAAAAATGTTCTCCAAAGGGAATACAAAAAAACGGGTCTCGCAGCGCACAGCCAAAACTTTTTTCATTCTTTTTTCGTTCTTTTTTTTACGCGGTTTCCCGGGATTTTTTTATTTTTTTCAAGTTCTAATTTTTGTTTTTTCTAGTTTGGAGATTCATTTCGTTTTCACAATAATCAAAATATATTTTGTTTTCAAAAATGAATAATTTTGGGAATGTGGGTAATATTGACGACCAGAACATAGAACCAGAACTTTTTCTGTGTGAATAATTAATAATTTATAGAGAATATCCCAAATATTTTTCAACACAATACTTATCAGCATAATTGAATAAATAAAGGCGGTGATGTACACCAACATCGTGATTCAAAATCGCATATCTTTGATCATTCACAATATGCCAAAAAAACATTTTGAATTTGTCAAGTCGCTCATCTTGTTTTGTCTTGTTTCTTATCTTAAAACTATGGACCTGAATCAAAAAATTGATTTTTTATGAAAACCTCTAAAAATATTAGAAAACCTCCATGTTAATTTGACAAATAGTAATTCCAGCATCATCCAACTCTCCATTTTTATAAAAATATTGTAAAAGTTCGTATTCTGCATTTTCACTATCCATCCATAGGTTATCAATTGTCGAAATTTTCAATATATTTTTAAGATAATATATGAATTCAATATGAAACACATCGTAAGACTGATATCTATTATCCATAAGTACATCAGCGTTTATATATCCATCTGAACCACTAATAGCTAATGGGAAAAACAAACCTATTTTTGAATACAATTCATAGTTATCCATAAACATTGGATCAGCCCCATAGAATTTTGTGTTTATGTGAAAAGGCAGTTTTTCAGTTTCATTCTTATAGTGAAGTTCAGCATCTATATCTTTTCCAACTCCTATTGTTATGAAATTTTCCAGTTTTGATTGTGTATTTGAAGTATTAACTGGAAATATGGAGTATTTTCTTTCATCGCCATTGATAAATTTTCGAATTTTCAGGGAATTTGTTGCGTTGATTAGATTCAAACAAACTGTAGTTCCAGATTCCGCCAATTTCCAAAACTGAAAAGTTGAATTAATAAAATAATATCTGGCGTACTCGTGTACACTCGCAATGAAGAAAAATTGAAAGTTGGACAACACCACTAGTAAAAATTGATTTAAAGAAAAATTTATATCTGAACATGTTTTTTCTCAAAAACATAGGCGAGTTAAAAACCAAAAAAAACGAAATTTTTTAATGGGGTGATTCATAAAAATAAATTGACAAAAAAATCCGCGATTAATTTCACGTTTTTTGTCAATTAATCGCATTTTTTCAGAAATGAATGAAAATAAAAAATATATTTATTTTTATGAATCACCCCATAACGTTTTTTTTTAAATTTTCGTGTGTGTGTGTTCGCAGGCAAAAACTGAAAGGGTTTTTCTGAAAGGGGGTTGACCCCCTTAAAAGGGGGTCAGAGCAAGAAGTCTGAAAGGGGGTCAAGTATAGTAAAAAGGGTTTTACTGAAAGGGGTTAATCTGAAAGGGGTTTGACCCATATCACAAAAAGGGTTTTTCTGAAAGGGGGTTGACCACTCAAAAAGGGGGTCACATTTTTTTTTCAAAAAGGGGGTCAACTTTTTTTTTTCAAAAAAGGGGTCAACTTTTTTTTTTCAAAAAGGGTTTTTCTGAAAGGGGGTCAACTTTTTTTTTCAAAAAAAGGGGTCAAATTTTTGTTCAAAAAGGGTTTTTCTGAAAGGGGGTCAACTTTTTTTCAAAAAGGGTTTTTCTGAAAGGGGTCAACTTTTTTTCAAAAAGGGTTTTTCTGAAAGGGGGTCAACTTTTTTTCAAAAAGGGTTTTTCTGAAAGGGGGTCAACTTTTTTTCAAAAAGGGTTTTTCTGAAAGGGGGTCAACTTTTTTCAAAAAGGGTTTTTCTGAAAGGGGGTCAACTTTTTTCAAAAAGGGTTTTTCTGAAAGGGGGTCAACTTTTTTTTTTTCAAAAAAGGGTTTTTTCTGAAAGGGGTCAACTTTTTTTTTCAAAAAGGGTTTTTCTGAAAGGGGTCAACTTTTTTTCAAAAAGGGTTTTTCTGAAAGGGGGTCAACTTTTTTTCAAAAAGGGTTTTTCTGAAAGGGGTCAACTTTTTTTCAAAAAAGGGGGTCAAATTTTTTATTCAAAACATTTTTTTCAATAAGGGGGTCAAATTTTTGGGACGAAAAGCGGGTCCTGAGTGTCTAAGTTGTCTGGGCGTTCACTAAGCCTAAGCCTTGAATAACAGATTAATCACATTTAACCCTCTTTTTTTCCTCCAAAAATTACCCCTTTTTTGAAAAAAAAGTTGACCCCCTTTCAGAAAAACCCTTTTTGAAAAAAAGTTGACCCCCTTTTTTAAAAAAAGTTGACTCCCTTTTTTGAAAAAAAAAATGTGACCCCCTTTTTGAAAAAAAGTTGATCCCCTTTCAAAAAAACCCTTTTTGAAAAAAAAAAAGTTGACCCCTTTTTTGAAAAAAAGTTGACCCCCTTTCAGAAAAACCCTTTTTGAAAAAAAAGTTGACCCCCTTTTTTAAAAAAAGTTGACCCCTTTTTTGAAAAAAAATGTGACCCCCTTTTTTGAAAAAAAAGTTGACCCCTTTCAGAAAAACCCTTTTTGAGAAAAAAGTTGACCCCCTTTTTTGAAAAAAAAGTTGACCCCTTTCAGAAAAACCCTTTTTGAGAAAAAAGTTGACCCCCTTTTTTGAAAAAAAAAGTTGACCCCCTTTCAGAAAAACCCTTTTTGAAAAAAAAGTTGACCCCTTTTTTGAAAAAAAATGTGACCCCCTTTTTTGAAAAAAAAGTTGACCCCCTTTCAGAAAAACCCTTTTTGAGAAAAAGTTGACCCCCTTTTTTGAAAAAAAAAGTTGACCCCTTTCAGAAAAACCCTTTTTGAAAAAAAAGTTGACCCCCTTTTTTGAAAAAAAAATGTGACCCCCTTTTTTGAAAAAAAAGTTGACCCCCTTTCAGAAAAACCCTTTTTGAGAAAAAAGTTGACCCCCTTTTTTGAAAAAAAAGTTGACCCCCTTTCAGAAAAACCCTTTTTGAAAAAAAAGTTGACCCCCTTTTTTGAAAAAAAATGTGACCCCTTTTTTGAAAAAAAAGTTGACCCCCTTTCAGAAAAACCCTTTTTGAAAAAAAAGTTGACCCCCTTTTTTAAAAAAAAGTTGACCCCTTTTTTGAAAAAATGTGACCCCTTTTTTGAAAAAAAAAGTTGACCCCTTTCAGAAAAACCCTTTTTGAGAAAAAAGTTGACCCCCTTTTTGAAAAAAAAGTTGATCCCCTTTCAAAAAAAACCCTTTTTGAAAAAAAGTTGACCCCTTTTTTGAAAAAAAGTTGACCCCTTTCAGAAAAACCCTTTTTGAAAAAAAAGTTGACCCCCTTTTTTAAAAAAAAGTTGACCCCCTTTTCTGAAAAAAAAATGTGACCCCTTTTTGAAAAAAAAAGTTGACCCCCTTTCAGAAAAACCCTTTTTGAGAAAAAAGTTGACCCCCTTTTTTGAAAAAAATGTGACCCCCTTTTTTGAAAAAAAAGTTGACCCCCTTTCAGAAAAACCCTTTTTGAGAAAAAAAGTTGACCCCCTTTTTTGAAAAAAAAAGTTGACCCCTTTCAGAAAAACCCTTTTTGAAAAAAAAGTTGACCCCCTTTTTTGAAAAAAAATGTGACCCCTTTTTTGAAAAAAAAAGTTGACCCCCTTTCAGAAAAACCCTTTTTGAAAAAAAAGTTGACCCCCTTTTTTGAAAAAAATGTGACCCCCTTTTTTGAAAAAAAAGTTGACCCCCTTTCAGAAAAACCCTTTTTGAGAAAAAAGTTGACCCCCTTTTTTGAAAAAAATGTGACCCCTTTTTTGAAAAAAAAGTTGACCCCCTTTCAGAAAAACCCTTTTTGAAAAAAAAGTTGACCCCTTTTTTTAAAAAAAAGTTGACCCCCTTTTTTGAAAAAAAATGTGACCCCCTTTTTTGAAAAAAAAGTTGACCCCCTTTCAGAAAAACCCTTTTTGAGAAAACAGTTGACCCCCTTTTTTGAAAAAAAAAATGTGACCCCCTTTTTTGAAAAAAAAGTTGACCCCCTTTTTTGAAAAAAAAATGTGACCCCCTTTTTTGAAAAAAAAAGTTGACCCCCTTTCAGAAAAACCCTTTTTGAGAAAAAAGTTGACCCCCTTTTTTGAAAAAAAAATGTGACCCCCTTTTTTGAAAAAAAAGTTGACCCCCTTTCAGAAAAACCCTTTTTGAAAAAAAAGTTGACCCCCTTTTTTAAAAAAAAGTTGACCCCTTTTTTGAAAAAAAAATGTGACCCCCTTTTTTGAAAAAAAAGTTGACCCCTTTCAGAAAAACCCTTTTTGAGAAAAAAGTTGACCCCCTTTTTTGAAAAAAATGTGACCCCCTTTTTTGAAAAAAAAGTTGACCCCCTTTCAGAAAAACCCTTTTTGAAAAAAAAGTTGACCCCCTTTTTTAAAAAAAAGTTGACCCCCCTTTTTGAAAAAAAAATGTGACCCCCTTTTTGAAAAAAAAGTTGACCCCCTTTCAGAAAAACCCTTTTTGAGAAAAAAGTTGACCCCTTTTTTGAAAAAAAATGTGACCCCTTTTTGAAAAAAAAGTTGACCCCCTTTCAGAAAAACCCTTTTTGAGAAAAAAGTTGACCCCCTTTTTTAAAAAAAAGTTGACCCCTTTTTGAAAAAAAAATGTGACCCCCTTTTTGAAAAAAAAGTTGACCCCCTTTCAGAAAAACCCTTTTTGAGAAAAAAGTTGACCCCCTTTTTTGAAAAAAAAGTTGACCCCTTTCAGAAAAACCCTTTTTGAAAAAAAAAGTTGACCCCCTTTTTGAAAAAAAATGTGACCCCCTTTTTTGAAAAAAAAGTTGACCCCCTTTCAGAAAAACCCTTTTTGAGAAAAAAGTTGACCCCCTTTTTTGAAAAAAAAGTTGACCCCCTTTCAGAAAAACCCTTTTTGAAAAAAAAGTTGACCCCCTTTTTTGAAAAAAAATGTGACCCCCTTTTTTGAAAAAAAAGTTGACCCCCTTTCAGAAAAACCCTTTTTGAGAAAAAGTTGACCCCCTTTTTTGAAAAAAAAGTTGACCCCTTTCAGAAAAACCCTTTTTGAGAAAAAAGTTGACCCCCTTTTTTGAAAAAAAAAAAATGACCCCCTTTCAGAAAAACCCTTTTTGAAAAAAAAGTTGACCCCCTTTTTTGAAAAAAAATGTGACCCCTTTTTTGAAAAAAAAGTTGACCCCTTTCAGAAAAACCCTTTTTGAAAAAAAAGTTGACCCCTTTTTTTAAAAAAAAGTTGACCCCTTTTTGAAAAAAAAATGTGACCCCTTTTTTGAAAAAAAAGTTGACCCCTTTCAGAAAAACCCTTTTTGAGAAAAAAGTTGACCCCCTTTTTTGAAAAAAAAATGTGACCCCCTTTTTTGAAAAAAAAAGTTGACCCCCTTTCAGAAAAACCCTTTTTGAAAAAAAAGTTGACCCCTTTTTTAAAAAAAGTTGACCCCGTTTTTTGAAAAAAATGTGACCCCCTTTTTGAAAAAAAAGTTGACCCCTTTCAGAAAAACCCTTTTTGAGAAAAAAGTTGACCCCTTTTTGAAAAAAAAGTTGATCCCCTTTCAAAAAAAACCCTTTTTGAAAAAAAAAAGTTGACCCCCTTTTTGAAAAAAAAGTTGACCCCCTTTCAGAAAAACCCTTTTTGAAAAAAAAGTTGACCCCCTTTTTTTAAAAAAAAGTTGACCCCCTTTTTTGAAAAAAAAATGTGACCCCCTTTTTTGAAAAAAAAAAGTTGACCCCCTTTCAGAAAAACCCTTTTTGAGAAAAAAGTTGACCCCCTTTTTTGAAAAAAAAATGTGACCCCCTTTTTTGAAAAAAAAAGTTGACCCCCTTTCAGAAAAACCCTTTTTGAAAAAAAAGTTGACCCCCTTTTTTAAAAAAAAGTTGACCCCCTTTTTTGAAAAAAAATGTGACCCCCTTTTTTGAAAAAAAAAGTTGACCCCCTTTCAGAAAAACCCTTTTTGAGAAAAAAGTTGACCCCCTTTTTGAAAAAAAAGTTGACC